ATTATAAACAGTGTTTGCCTTTGTGTGATAATTGGGCTAGCATTTATTTTATTTTATTTCAATTATGCATCTGGTTGTTAACTTATTTTTTTTTGTTTTTGCTTTGAATAAAATACAATTTTGCTTTCTTCTGGTATAAAGAAATGCAAATTTAAAAAAATTCTGATGAAGATTATAAACAATTAGTTTAATGAAAGTACATACATTATCAAGAAATTAAAAAATTCAAAATACAATGAGAATGGTAAATTTTGTCATTTTGAGAAAATTGAATGTTCATAATCAAAAAATAAATGTCACTTTCCAAGAGAAAAAAAAATTAATGGCACTAGGCCAAAAATGATTGTTCCTCTATGTCCAGAAATTTTGTTCTTTTAAAATAAGAGAAATAGCACAATAAGTTGAATCAAATTGACTTAAAGTTATGTATTTTTTTTTTTTTTTTTTTTTTGCCTTCAAAGCGAATAGAATGGAGTTTTATTATAACGTCGAATGATTTGTCGTTTAGAATGACTGGCAAAGTTGTATAGACTTTCAGCAGGTATGACATTACATGCCTCAGCAATTCTATCAGACAATTTTTTCTTTAGTCAACAATTTGTGACGTTTCAATTTTCCTTTTAAGATTGCCCCAAAACTGCTCAATTGGGTTTAATTCAGGCGAATATACAGGCGGCTACATCAGCTTATAGCTACGACTTTCGATTTTCCTCATTATCAGTTTTGATTTATGTATAGTGCAGTTGTCTATCATCAAATAACTCCCTTTTAGATCTTCATTAAGATTCCAAGATATCAAGCAGAACATTCATGAATTTGATAAAGTGCACAGTTGTCGTACTCTTTTGATATCATTTCTGAACTATATTGCGCACTGCTCTCATTAATATTATCAACATACTCTGTAGCTGGTTCTAAAATAAATGTATCAATAGTATGTTTTTTGCCCTTTGTTACTTTTCTTTTCTTGCTTGTAGATGCCTTGTTACTTTGATTTTTTTTTTTGGTGGTGGTGGTTTCTTTATCGTTACATGAATGAAGCTAGATGCTTGTATAGCTCGAATGATAGTATGAATTGGGATCTTTGTTTTAGTTGTCTTCACTATGGCAGGTATTCTAGTATCAGTTCTAGCCCAATTATTTCTTAAATTTATATGAAATACAGCTTCGTTAATAAAGATACAGTTTATTTTTTGTAAAGTCTATATCAGAGTCTTTCCATTTCATAAACCACTCATATCTCGCCTCTAAGTCATCAGCAGAGTGTTGTGGTTTAGGTAAGTTTAAATAGTTAAAATAACAAATAAAAGAAATAACAAATAAGATAGACAGAAGAAGTACGTTGAGGCTTGTCAATAAGTTTTTATTAAGAATTAAGCTCAATACAAGTATTGTTATGTGTTATAAATTACCAAGTAAGTGTTAATAATGTAAGAGTATTTATATATTTTGTGAATAAGGATGATGAGTAATAAGAAGATAAAATTACACCTTTTCCGGAAATTATTCGTACACTTTAAAAATAAAAATTCGTGCACTAGAAAAATAAAAAATCAAGCAGTAAAAAAATAAAATTTCAAGCATTATGTTTTTTTTTATTGGTGCATTTTTTCATTGTATCAAATGTACAAAATGTATCAAGTTTTTAAAGTGGTTTACGTTCCAAGCAATCATCAAACTTCCGGATCGAATATCTGCAGAACCCTCTCAAATCACTTAAAAGTACGCTATTGCATGCATCCCTTATGCGACTGGTAAGGGTTTCGCTTTCTAAGAGTGGCTCTCTCTTCAGTTTGCTTTTACAGACGGACCAAAACTGTTCAATTGGGTTCAGTTCAGGAGAGTATGGGGGCAGATACAAACAAAAGTAACCGCGACTTTCGATATAGCTCTTTATATCCTGGTGCTTGTGGATTGGGACATTATCCATAACAAGATAATTCCCTTTAAATTCCTCGTACTGATCCAAGATATCAATAGTATCGGCGATGAAATTGAAGCAATGGCCTATAACTGTGCCAATTGAACTGTTTCTTTCTTCTTTCTCCTTTCCAAGCTTTCTTTTCTTGGATGCTGTTACTTTTGGTGTTCTAACCTTTACGTTTATAACTCCATAAGGTGAAATAGCGCCCAAAATAGTTGTCATTTTAGCCTTGGTTTTTGGTGTCTTAACAATAGCGCGATTACCGACACGAGACCAAGAAAAAAAGCGTTTCATATTGATATGAAATCCTGCTTCGTCAATAAAAATACAGTTGAATTGATAATCAATATCAGTATTACCCAACAGGTTTTTAACCCACTTGTATCTCTCCTCAATCTTTTCAGGGCTGTTTCTATCTTCAGGATAAAAATAAGATTTCTTACAGCTTATTCTGCATTTTTCCTTTACAAAAGTATAGAAGGCAGATTTTTTTATCTCAAGTCCTTCAAAGTTCCTGGTTAATCTATCCCTCATTTGATCCAAGGTCATGCCTGAATCATCCTCATCAACCGAATTGATAAGGTACTCGCGATGGGCATCGTTCAAGATAGGAGGTCTTCCCACAGGCCTTCCGCTTCCGGGTTTTCCTTTGTTGACAAGTTCGTCTGGATCCTCAAGACTTTTTTTGTATCATGAAGTAGCTGTACTAGCAGGAACACCTATTTGTTTAGCTGCCCACGAACGGACATACCCTTCTCACCTACAAGGAAGAAGAAATAGTCCATTTCTTCCTTTCTATAGTTTCGATACGTTTTCTTGTTGTTTTGAGACTCTTCATTTACTACCCGTTTTTTCTCTTTGGATACAACTTTGTTAGCCTTATGAGGTTTTTTGGGAGGCTTTAAATCTAAATATTCCCCATAACTTGTAATATCTGCAATAGGATAATCAGGATCGTCGACCTCCATCTGAAGTACTTCAACTTCATCCCCTTCTTCGTTGAATGATTTGCCTTTTCCATCTTCATGTATAAATTGATCCATTTTAATTCAAAATAAAAATGTGATATTTCTTTGAAAATAACAAATAAAAAATATTATAACAAAAAGACAAAAAAAACGTTAACGAGACCGAACAATAGTTCTAAAGTCAATTATTTTTATTTATGAATTTAAAATGATGGGGGTATTTATAAGAATTGTTAAAGAGGTATGAGGATAAGATATGAATCAGAAAAGTGTTAGTTACGACCAAATAAGGTATGTTGTTGACAATGAAGTGTTAGTAATTTTAATGTTATTAGATGGAGCGGATCAAGAGAGATTCAGGAGATTATAGATAGAATTTCTTAAATAAATTTATGATCCACATGTTTAATCAAGAAACATGACATTATAAGTGAGCTCATAACAAAAAATTCAAAGTGCACGAAATATTAATTAGTCTAATGTGTTAATTTTTATTTTTTAAGTGTACAATATTTTATTTTGTCTGTGATTGAAATTTTATTTTTTACTGCTTGATTTTTTATTTTTCTAGTGCACGAATTTTTATTTTTAAAGTGTACGAATAATTTCCGGAAAAGGTGTATATAATTATTTTTAAATGCTTGAATATTCTAACAATGACCGGTTATTAAAACTGAATATAGAATGTATATATAATGCTGTGAAGTACAATACACTAGTTTTATTTGAATAACCTCTTTATTATGTAATAAATGATGGTTTATTTCTATTAACTTAGTTGTAAAGACGACTATAATCATAACAACCATAACAGGATTAGAAGAAATTACACTAGGTAAAATGTTGATATAATCCTGCATATGTACTTGTTGGATGTATTTTTCCATATACGTGAACTCTAAACCTTCTTTATAGTTAATATCAATTGCCTTGATATCACCATTAGTTCGTTCGAAACTATATAGCCAAGTAGAATATAGAGGTCCAAAGTCTTCAATCGTTTGATGAATATGCAAATGAAAATGCATATTTGGTGTGATAAAATCTTCACCATAAAGCATAACATTTGTTCTAACAAATTCAACCAGAAGGTTATGGGCTTGGTTAACCTCGTAATGAGTGATAGATGGAGAGGCAAGAATACGATTTGCATCGACAAATCGCATCCAATTAATCATATGTTCACCAGTTAATCTTCCTTTTAATAAAATTGGTGAATATACCAGAATCCAAGATCTAAATTCGTCACCTTTCATATCCGAAAAGTTTGCTGAAATTTTTGAGCTTAATGGTGTAAATCTTGGAGGTACTATTATATTTTTAGCCTCTTCAGCCATTTCGGCAAGATCATTGCTAGTTAAAAAAGGTCTGATATTATGCTGTCCATTGCTTTTTGGTTTAATCCAATGCTGAATCATTCTCTTAGCAGTACCAAGATAAAGATTATGTAAACCATCTATAATGTTACAACGTATAATATCAAAGTAGTGCAATCTATGTAATTCACTCCATCTGACTCCATATTTTTGTTCAATATTTCGTCGTTCTAATTTTGTACTGGCATTTTTCCACAAAAGTGCCTGTTCATAGTTGCTATGTCTGTCTCGAAGACGCCAAGAAGAACAATCAACATTAGAAAAACATCTTTGGACTGGATTATCTGTACGGGCTGGAAAGGTATCTGCACATTTGTGACAGGGAACAAAGGAATTAATAGCTGTAAAGCCACATACTTTTTTAACTGCGGGTAAATCACAGTTAACCGAAGCCAAAGCACAGCGAATCATTCTTCCATTAGGAGCCATATATGTAGGTATAATTATTCCATCATATAGTTCAAGGAGCTCGTCCACCATAGGTCGAAGGAAATGGTTAATTTCCGAAAGAGCAGCTTCACGAGGACCAGGCATCAAGCCAACAAGAATCATATTTTGTTTTTTAAACCTCTCGTTACGAGGAAGGTTATTAATGATCAAATATATGGCACCTACGTGATATTTCATTCCTTGAGTTGGAGTAAACCAGTCAACATTTAAACTTAACATTAATGAACCTTCTTTTTGAAGAAATGGTTCGTCTTCATCATCCTTCTTGAATTCCTTAAAAAATCGACCATCGAAGATATCAAACATCATTCCAGGCATTACAGTTTTACTTCTCCATTCTTCAATTTTTTGCTCAAAAGTAGGGCGCATGAAAAACTTCATCAAAGTTGCCTTTACTGAGTTGTACGCATAACGTTTGATTGGTTTGACCGAATCGTTGCTAGCATTTTTAACTACTAATGGATGATTGCATCGTGCTCTCATTCCATTAGCATACGAGGGAAGTGTTCTATTACTGCATTTTTTAATTGTATTCGAATTATCGATAACTTCCTCGTATACATAAATTGCATTGCACTTCTCACAAACAATATATTTTTTGATATCTATTATAATGAGAAATTAGTATTAGTAAAAAAAAATAAATAAATAAATAAATAAAATAAATACCCTTGCTAGCATAATTAGCAGAAATTTTAGATTTAATTGTTTGGAGTTTAGAGGGGAATGCATAATTAATTCCAAGTAGAAAAAGTATAGCATTCATGAACTTGAACAAGCTTTCTGTAGCCGTAATGGTTAAATTATTGGCTTGGAAGAATGTCAAGAAAATCATAATGAAGTAAGGTAAAGCTTCATTTTCACTAATGTTGAATAACTTTGTATCGTTAGTTGCAAAGTTATCATTAGCTTCATCTATATATGAAATAAATAAAAAAGTTAGCATAAATAATTTATATAAAGATTATCATAGCAATATTATTTTTTAAAAGGTAATACATACATTCAACTACATCTTCTTCTCCTTCTAGATAATCCATATCCTCTAATTCAATAGCATCAATGGCATTGTTATCTTCAAAAATTAGATCATCATTTGCATCATAAACATCTTTAACACGATAACAAAAAAAAAAGTTAGCATTATTGCATTTATTAATTATAACATTTGAAATGCATAGTTTTTATTTACTTTGTTCAATTGCATTTGCATCTGCAAGACCTTCATCAATTTCTTGATGTATACGGGCTGTATGTCTGTGGACAACCCTATATCCCAACTCACTTTGAGAGCAAGTTGAGCATTTGCATTCTCTTTGGTCTTTGTTTAATTGAATGGACATGTTGCAATGAAGTTATAATTTAATTTGAATTGTTAATAATCAATATAAGATAATAAAAAAAGAAGAAAATAATTTTATTACAGACGATTAAATTTATTGCTGTATTTTAAACTTAAAAAATTGAGTTTCTTTTTACTCATTCTTCAGAAAAAAAAAAAAAAACTAACAATCAAGAGAAGATGCATCTTACATTTGAAAAATAATAAATAGTTTTATTATTTTTAATTGTTTTAACAAGTGTATATTTTAATTTTTACATCTACATTCAAGCTGATTTTGGAATGACAATTAGACATTTTGACATTATGTTCAACTACGACAAATTAATCTTACTAGATAAAGTAATTTATTGTAAAGTAATAATATAAGTTTTATTTTAACAATTGACATTATACATAACTCATTACTGTACATGTTGAATTTTTATTATTTTTTTAATAAATTTTTTTTGAAAATGTTAAATAATTTGACCTTTTCTTAAAAAAAAGACTTACTTTGACTTTACATTTTAAACATTCATCTTGAATGAATTATTGCTACAATTATCTTTTTTCAACTTCTTTTGAATTCAGAATATAACACAGCTAACACACGCTTATATTTGATGACTTATTCAAAAAAATAAAAAAAAAATATTTTTGTCCAATGAAATTTAAAGAAAAAAAAATGTCGGGATTCTAAATTTATTTTCTAGTAAAGAAGACTATACCCAAAAATTTGTTATATTTTTTAATCATTAAACAAATCTTTAAATGCTAATATCTCTATCAATTCTTAACCAAATAAAAAAAATTAACATATTCAAAATGAGCAAATTTTTCTCTTTCATTTGGTATAAAAAAATTTTTAATCTTCCAAAATTTCAAAATTTTTTGTGAAATGTCTAATTTCACAATTGTGAAATGGTCTAATTTCACAAAATTTCACAATTGTGAAATTAGACTTTATCTGCAGTGTTTCAAAATAATTGTGTATGAATTAAGATCATCTTTAATGTTTCAGAAAACAACAAAAGCGCGGTTGGTTAAGTGGTATAATCTTCGCCTGCCACGCGAAGGGCCGGGGTTCGATTCCCCGACCGCGCAAATTCTTTTTGTAGTTTTTCTTTTTTGCTCTTTGATTTTTTATCGACTTACATATTATGACAAGACAGCTTGAATAGAATTTTTGTAAATACAGGTATAGACCAAAAAGAGCGACACACTTCTTCCTCCCTTTCTCCCATTTTTAAAAAATTGATAATAAAGGCATATCATAGTTCATATAACTATTAGCGTCTGTTTCAATTTTATAGTAATCGACTGGAAATATAGTTGTCTCGTCGTAAAGAGCATAACATTATCAACAGTTTTATGTTTATAATAGACTCTTTTACTATCTTTTTCCTCCTTATAATATTTGTATATCTAGTTTTACTAACTAAACTATATGCTTGACGTTTAAAAAAAAAAAATAGTTTGGATTAAAAATAAATGATTGTATTAAATTTCTCATTAATTTTTGAAATTTAAGGATGCTCATCAAATAAACGCTCTTTTTTTTATGATGATGTCGTTATATATTTTCTACATATAACAGTCTTTACAATAAAATATTTCGTAGACTGTCTCCATATTATTACCCTTTTAATTTTAATAATTCAAAAAATACTGCTTTTAGAATTAAGCTCCTTCAAAAATGAATTACTTTTTTATAAAGTGTATCATGTTAAAAAACGTAAAATTCACAAATAAAAATGTGGCTTAGTGACAAAGAAAATTTTATTTTATTTATTTTTTTAAAAAAAAGAGAAAACTATGTACACATACCTAATGAGAAAGGAAAATAATATGTTAGTAAAAATTACCAATGAATACACATTAAATAATTATGATTTTTTTTTTTTTATTTTCAGTATGTAGGGGCTAAAAGCCGTTTTCATCAAGGTTTTTATGAAGACCGTCGTGATATTAGGTATCATCATTTAAATAAAAAAAAAAGAATCATAATAATAAAGAATTTTACCTTAATAACATTTCTATACGTAAAGAAAAATCATTCTTAATTTAACTTGTTAAGTCTATCATAACGATAAATAAATGTTAATAAAATTATATTATATGAATTTAGAATAAAAAAAGAAAAAGAAAGATAAATTTCAGGCATTTAAAAAACTCTTCATAAAAATCAGACATATGCTTGTCAATTGTTTTATAAATTCATCAGAAAAATATCTACTTTTTCTTTTTTGAAAAGATAGTAAATAGAAAACTTACCATCAAATGAAAAATAGGACAAAGCAGAGTCCTATTTATTTTCTTGAAGGAAAAAAGAAAGGGGAAAGGAAACGTCTAATAATAATTAAATTAGCAACTGTCAAAAAAAATAAAAATTATTTTCCATCATTTTCTTCTCCATTCTATATTTTCATTCTTTTCAGAAAAGCATGAATGGAATTAAAGAGTTTTATCAACATTGAATGACTCGTCAGACTCGTCATCTAAGCATCATCATTTTTTTAAAAATGAAAAATACCGAGGAAAAGAGAAATGAATGGAAATCAAATATTACCTTTTAAAAAGTGGCGTTTCCATAACAGTTAAAATAAAGGAACACAAATTATACGAATATATTTGAACCCTAGCAAAATAAAAATGGATTAGTCTTTTTTCCCCAGAATATAAATTATATTTCAAATGAAGAAAACAAAAAAAAAAGATTTAATCAGTAAACAGCCAATTTGATTTCTACAGAAGTTTCAGACGGTAATTCCAACTTTAAAAAAGTCGAATCATCACTTAAATCTTTTCTTTTTGTTTTTTCATCTTTTTTATAGATTGATGGATTTATTTACCTTTTTTCTTTTATTCAATATATTTTACACTTATTTTAAACATAAAATAAAATCTATTATATACATTATAAAAAAAAAATTAAAATGACTATTCATTAAAATAAAATATAACAAGTATCATTAATTTAGCATCAGTGAAAGAAATTCACATCAATAAATCAGAAACTCTAGTTTGTTTGACAAAAAACATCTTTTGCACAACTAATGATACTTTTATCATATAAAATGTATAGTATAACTAACCTTTTTTATTGTATATAAAAGAAAGAAAGAATATGGATTTTAATAAAAAGAAGAAAAATATGTCAACTTTAAATAGTTTAGTAAAAAAAAAATTTTTTTTCCTCATCTTATTTAACCGTCACACCATTTTAGTTTCCTTTCTTAACATTTTTTGAACTCAGTTTACTTTGGTTTATTTTATTTACTTTTTCTTGTGAAGTAAATTACATAATGGAGGAGGAAACAAATTACTATGAACTTTTAGGTGTTGAAATTACGGCATCTGAAAAAGAAATTAAAAATGCTTATCGTAGAAAGGCTTTAAAGGTTCATCCTGATAAAAATCCCAGTCCAGATGCAGGTACATGACAAAACATAAAAAAAAAATAGATTATTAATAAAACTCACTTCTAATGAATTTATATTTTTTATAATAGCCAAACTATTTCATGCTTTAACACAAGCACAAGATTTATTGTTAGATCCAAAAAAGAGAAGTGAATATGATCAACGACATCGTGCAAGACAAGAACAATTGAAAAAAAAGAAAGAGATGGATTCCAAGAGAAGACAAGCTCAAGAAGATTTAGAAAGACGAGAAAAGGAAGCAAAGAGAGCCAAGACCGACCAGGATCAAGCCAAAGCACAATATGAAGCAGAATTAGCTCGTTTACGTGAAGAAGGTGCTAAAAGAAGACAAGAAAATTGGGCAACCGAAAACAATAAGCCTACTGAGCCAGGTAAAATGCATAATAAAGATGTATGTATTGTTCTTTTTTTGTTAACTTTTTCTTTTTTTTTTATTATTATCCAAAAAGAAACATCAGCAGAAAATGAATTAGGAGCAGTAAAGTTTAAATGGAAGCGTAAAAAATATGATTTTTCAGAGCAAGATCTTTATGATTTATTAAATTCAATTGCTGAAGTGGATTCACTAGCATTATCAGAAAAAAAGAAAGGAAGTGCAATTGTTATATTTAAAACAGTAGTGGATGCTGTGAGTATACATATTTATTTATTATTTTCGACTTGTGAAAATATTTATGTGTTTATCTAGTATAGTATTATTACTAAAAAAGATACAGATCCTACTTTATCAAAATTTGAAAGTATTTATTGGGCAACAGGCAAACCACCTGCATTAGTTGAAAAAATGATTAAAGCAGAAGAATTAAAAAAGGAAGCTCAGGCTGCTTTATATGGTACGCATAGTAGATTAACTACGGCAACTGGAAAACCTTTATTTTCAATTGTATCACAATCTTCTTTTTTCAAAAACTTGAGTAATATACCCGCTTTTCAGGTATTAAAAAGTTTAAAAATATAAAAGAATGAAAAACTAACATGTTAACATTAGAACTCTATTCCATCTAAATTATCAGATAATGACTATGAATCAATAACGTTAATGAAAATGAGAGAGGCTGAAAGAAATAGATTGTTAACAATCCAGCAACAAAATGAACAGGCTGTAAAGCAACAATGATAGTATTTGTATATTTGTCAAGATAAATTATGAATAAAATATGAATCAAAGACACAGTTTTATGAATTTTGCAACAAATTAGTAAAATAATAACACGCTATAGCCAAATTATAAAAGTGTGATAATCATGTATTATATACATGTATATAATCTTATCATAAATTCATGTATTTCTAGCTTAATGATATTTACTAATTATTTTTGATTATAATATAATATTGTAAGTAATATGTTATAGAATAAGTCAAGGAATATATGTTACTGTTTGAATCAAAAGAAAAAAAAAACATCTCCTTTTTTTTTGTTAACAGTAGATATATTGAATTATATTTTATAAATCAGTATTATATTAAAGTAGGTAAAGGTATCTTATGTAAATAAGAATCTATATTCACCATTCTTTATCATTAAATAACTTAGTAATTTATGACTAAAATGAATGAATAGATAAATACATATGGAATAAAGGGGATAGACGTCAGTATTGTATCCTGGAAATGCTTATAGACAAGAACGCATTAATTGTTTTGTGCATTTATTATTAACTACTAGATATTTTGAAACTTAATGATGAATGGTGAAAGATCAATATCAACAGAGAGTGTGCAGATCATTTCTCAGATACAGAAAAAATATATCATTATTTTCTCCGTAATTATGTTGACGATAGTTGAATAATGAATATACTTTTCTTATACATTTATGTGTATATATTCTGATTTGGTTTGTTACGCTTTAGCATTGTATATCTTAGTGTAAATTACTTTTTGTCTAAACATCAAATACTTTAAATACAATGTTTGACTCTCAACCAATCTATATAATAAATCTGACTCAGTATCATTGAATTCATCATCTTTTTAAATATACTTTATTCGAAATGTTATGATTGACATTCAATATTCATATAACCGTATTATACACTATAAAATTAATTCAATCTTTTAATAGTAATCTAGCATGTTAAAACCGAAAAATACTCTAAAATTTAATTACTTAACCTCATGTATGGCTGTTATTAGATGTAATCTATAATTTAATTCAATTAGATAGTGGTTTTCAATTTTATAATATCTATTTCCTGTAAAATAGAAATAAAATAGCATTATATTTATTGTAGGAACAATAGGCCATGTTGTAATTGATAACTATTGAATATAAATTTACCAAAGTAATGAAATTTTGTATATAAAAACAATTTGAGTCAAGCTAATGATAAACCAACTGAAATATCTCGAAATATCTTAATTTCCTTATGATCTGAAGAGATCGATTACAAGTCAAATATAAGATATTATATATTTTGTTATCCTTGTCTGTAAAGTAATATTAGATTATACTCTATTATTATTATTTTTCACAAGTTGTATTCTATAGTCTTGTCATTATTCTCAAAAATACAATACTCAACGGAACATATAATATAAAAATATTTTTATCCTACTAACCCTTATTTTATTATTATCCTCAATAAATATTATTTGGCAAGTTTTAAATTATTCTCTTTTGTTTTATTTCTCTTATTTAAACTACAATAATGATAATAGTCACTTTCTATAAAGCTAAATCAATAAAGATAAACTATGATTTATTAAATACAATAATAAAGATATCGTTCAAATAAAAGCAATATACTGAATAGTAAATAATGTTAATAATTCCAACTAATTGAGCTTTAACATATAATACTATTTGACATAGTTGGCTTCTTCAGGCATTATTCGTTTCAATCAATAATAATCCTTTTGTTAGAATATGTCATAATATTTTTAGATTAGTATAATAAGAATAGTATAAGTTAAATAATGTACATATTTATTTTGGGATCAGCTATGTTCAATTGTATAATACCTTTTACTTGAATTACTGCTTTTTTTTTTAATCTGTAATAGTTATTATTATATGAAAAAGTAATAAATAAAATGAATTTGTTAGATTAAATAATAATAAACATAATCATTGACACAAAAAAAAAACCTAATTTCTTTATACGTTAAGTAAGTTCTATATAGCTTTTTTTTTTCTGCATGATGTACCATCACATATACTAACTGTGATATTATGGATTATATTAAAAATAAAAGATATGAAAAGAGAAAAAATACGAAAAAGAAGTATAGTTCGAGACTGTTTATTCAATGTAAAAAAGATAATAAAAAAGAGAATTAAAAAGATAAAGATTATATCGTGCCTAAACAACTGCTTATATTTATACGAGTAGATCCTGAATCAAAAAAATAAAAAAAAACTATGAAAGAACAAGAGTCGTGAAACAATGTTAGTATTCAGATATATATCTTGTTGATTCAAGAGACTGATATATAGACTATCTATTGGGCGTTATAATTGTATAATAATTTGATTGAGGTCTAAAATAAAAATTTTGTCGTTTGATCTGAGTATAGGTTCTTGATGTCTTTTATATTTTTATTTAATTGGATCAAAGACGATCTGAATACTTTATCAAGGTTATAAAAATTAAATATTTAGAAATGATACGATGTCAATAAGTTTTATATTATTTTACAAGATATTATATACAGAGTTTTATTATATATTCAGGCTTATAGTTCATTCTGTATTATGTAATTCATCCTTTATAATATTACTTTTGCTCATTTCCAGAGCTTGTTCTATAACACTAACTTAAAGAGAATATTAATAGTAATAATAACATACTATATAATCTTTAAAGAAAAAAAAGCTTTTTTTTTCAATATAAGCATATATCAAATATTACAAAGTGTATTAACTTTATACATAATAAGATATTTATTTAGTAAAGGCATATGTAAAATTGTTTCCACTCAACATACTATATTATTTAAAGCAGTATTCTAAAAAAAAAAATCTTCATTATAATATAAGATTTAACTCCAACAATAAACGACTAAACACGTCATAAATTATAATCGTTTTGATTGGCTGGCGGTGTTTCAATATATTTGATAAATAATATAATTTTTTAAATGTGATGGAAAAACAACAATGGCTTCTTGGTTTAGTGGTATAATTCTCGCTTAGGGTGCGAGAGGTCCCGGGTTCGATTCCCGGAGAAGCCCTTCCTTTTGATTTTTTTTCTTCTCAGTGTCTTTAGCGGCTGCTTTTTTTTTTTTCTTTTTTTTTAATTCGTGTTCAATATAGTTGTAAGTATTATCTATTACAATAGCTCAGTATCGCATATCAGTTAGAAAATGACATTAAGAAGTTATAATAAATGTAGTGAATTATTATATGTAAATGAATATGTTCTTTATTGAATTTATAAATTTTCTGATATTTTTATATTTTGCCCTAATGTAATACAGATATTTGATTTTGGTATAACAAAAGTAAAAGAATTGAAAACTTACAACAATACTAATATATTGATGTATAAAAGGAAAATAACGTTATTCTATAATATAATAAAATAAAAATAGAAAAATTATACACATTGTTAAACTATTTAATGATATTAATAGTACCAGTCATGACATACACATGATAATTAGACATCTTTATAAAATATCTATTTTTTAGTTTATATAATTATCTTATCAAACTCTGAGCTATTCTATATATAAAGTGATATATGCCATTATTATATCAAATCAGATACAGTACATGATAGAATTGCATATTGTCTTTGTTACGAATATAGTACTTAATCACATTATTGTGCGAATATCAAAAAGTTGTATTTATTTTCAAGATTCAAAAAGTAGTTAATTTATCAAGATAAAATAAAATAAAAGGGCTTATTTATACATAGCCTTCATTGCTAATATAAAAGTAAGATGTTCACTAATAATATAGTTGTTATAATTAGTAGCCTCTTTAACGCACATGATTTGATTACTTTTTATAAAGTGCTGTATCAAAAAAAAAAAAAAAAAAAAAAAAAAAAAGATTACACAGTGTAGGTGTAAATAATTATTAATTACATATAAGAAAGAATATAGTATTTGCTAAATATTATATATAAGCTTAAAACAATCCTCTTTTTTTTTTATTGTTATATTTCTAAACATTAAAATTACAGACAACAGCATAAGTTTGATCTTCAATAACAGCTTCCACACGAAGTTCTACTTCACCAAAATACATCTACATAATTATAAAAATAAGAATTTAATGTAATGATTAAATATCTAGTTACCTTAATAGTTAATGGAACTGGATCACCATTCTTTTTATTTGGTAATGTAGGCATGGGAATTTCAAAATCAAATACTTTTCTAATATTAGTTGTGGATGTAGAAATAGTATATCTAGGTTCAGTTTTACTATCAGAAGCAAAAAATGTACATGCTGTATGACTTGGATAATAAGTAGTATAGCTACGTGAAATGCAACTATCAATATCTATCAATGATTAAGACAAGTATATAAGTATTATAAAAGTTAACAAATTTTACAAAAGAAGAAGAAAAAGGGTGTACCTAAAGGCTTTCCTCGCTCAACATAAGTTGAGAATCGATTATCGCAGCGGATACTACCATCTGGTCGAACAACCTTATATTCAAGAGGATCTATATTGGGATCAAATATATTTGTAATTTCAATCCCATACCAAAATCTAGGTATACGTGTAGCAATTTTTGTAGGACACATTCCAAAAATGACAGCTCCCCGAGACACTGCCATTTCTATTTATTATTTTTGAATTTATATGTGAGCCAAAAAAAAAAAAAAAAAAAAAAAAAAAAAAAAAAAAAAAATACTGTTGTATTACTATTTTTCATTTATCTTACCTGGTCTATCAGGCTGCACAATTCGAATTTTTTCAGACAAGAATTCTTTTTCCATTTGATTATATAAATAAGCGGATGAACCAAAACCACCTACCATAAAAATGGCTTTTAAGTTGGTCGTATCCTTTTTTAGTTCACGGCAGAGATGAACTACTTCTTGAACAACAGGATCAAATACATGGTTCTTGAGTTCTTCTTTTGTAAATGTCATGTTGCCTTCATCTAAACCAATAGAAGGTTCAGTTTTGGTAACAAGATCGAACCCCATAGATATATCTGAATAAAGATCATCTGTTCCATCAAATAATGGCTTTAAATTATCTACACATGCTTGAAGACTTAGCATTTTAAACTAATATTTACTTATACAATATGTATATAATTACCGACAAAAATATCCATCATATGATCGAGAGGGGCCTCAGGAATTTTGACTATTCCATTAGGCGACCTTCGAATCACTTTTTTTAATTTTTTTCTTAAAAGTTTTCTAAAATTTCGATCTATAAATGTTGATCCACAAGATTTACCAATGCCTTTTGTACTTTCTCTAAATTTACGTCGACCTGATGTATCAATGTCAACTCGAAATACAATCAAGTCAACAGTACCCCCTCCAGCATCACATATCATAAATTCATCACCATGCTGCATATTGAATTTATCACATGTCTTCTCACAATAAAGTGCAGCTGCCTCAGGTTCAGAGATTAACATGAGTCGATCTCTGTGATCACTAGCATCTATAATACCTGCCTTCAAGGCTGCATCTCTCATAATTTGCTTTGATTTGTCTGACCACATGGCTGGAACCTAATATACATTTTTTTTTAGTACTTTAAAATTCTCTAAACAAAAAATTTATACAACATACTGTTAAGCAAAATCGAGCTTGCTTTTCAAAATCCTTATGAAATCCTTTTTTAGTCATATCCGTTTTTACACATGCATAAAATTTTTGCAAATAATCTTTGTGATTGATAATATGAGATTCTTTATGTATGTATGTATGTATACATACATATAGTTTTTTATACATGTGTATACTATTTACCTGCAATAATATCAGTGGCTGTTAAATCTAATGGTAATTGCCTTACAATTCCTTCAAGACTATCATCCAGATATAGCTTAAATTGCTGCAAAATAGTAATATTAGGGAATTTAGATTTCCCAGATTTAGCTGATCTACCCCATTGAATTAGTTTCTATTTAATCCAGTTAAATTTCTCTAGTCCTTAACATATATGCATGAAGAGTAGAGAGCTTACATTATTATCTCTATTATATAACTATAAAAGGCAAATGTATATTTATGAATTTCACAGTAATAATAAAAGAAGTCTAATAAGTACTTACGCAAACAGTTGGGCACTATTTTACAAATAAAGAGTATATTATTTAATTGTTATACACAGATATATGTAAGTATATATACATAATATACATTACTTTTGGATAACTATAATCAGGTTGTCCGGGCCTAACAGAAGAGTAAATAAATATTTTGTTTAAAAGTTAGTTTACGTATACACATATATTTTTCTTATTGCTAATTACCATTTACTAATGTCTGTAATTTCGTTATCGTTCATGTAAGCATAAGATGCACCTGAAAAGGTCGTGCCTAAAAATAAAAAATAATATATATATACATATATACTTTCTAGTTTCATATTAATAAATTGAATTTACCAAAGTCAATTCCAATGACAATGGGATAGTCTTTATCAGAAAATGGAGTAACCATAAACCCAGTTTATATTATAAAAAAAGAAGAAGAAAAAGAAAAAAAAAAGGAATGGTACAACGTTTATGGGCTATACAAGGTGCTACAATAATATTTTTGTATTATTATAAGCCTTTTTTTAAAATTTATTATTATAATAATATCCATCCATAGTGTTGCAATAGTTATAGAAGTGTATTGTATTATTTATAATACATCTTGGATATAGCACATTGATAAAAACACGTTGTTTATTTTATTTTATCTTCTTTTCTTTTGTATCTGTACGCATGGTCCTAGATCAATTTACTGCTATTCTAAAAAAAAAAAAAAAAAAAAAAAAAAAAAAAAAAGTTGTGTTTAAATCATTTAATATGCATTTAGGCTCGTTTTTTATACACATTATTCTTTCTTCATTTAAACAATTGCATTAATAATGAACAGCAAAGACAATTACAAGCTTGTTATTGCTTATGATTTTGGTACAACTTTTTCTGGAGCTTCGTATGCTTTCACTCATATAACGACAACCCCTGAAATTTTTGATATACAAAAATGGTAACAAAAAAGTGATTTATATGTGGTTTTTTTTTATCAAATATAACATGAAATTATCAAGGCCGCAAAAAGGTGGAGACTTTTATCCAAAAACACATACTTTGTTAGTCTATAAACGATCTAATCCAATTGTAATGATCGAATGGGGACATGGCGCCAAGAAGATGATGCTTAAACCACAAGCTGCTAAGGAAAATATAATTTTATCAAACTTTAAACTCAATTTAGATGAATCCTTACAAAGGGGCATAGCAGAAAATTATCGGTAAGAAAAAAAAAAAAGAAGATATTATATCTTAATTAACTTAAAAAAAAATAGGTCTAACGTAGATATTATTGCTGATTATTTAAAAGCACTTCATGAATATGTTTTAGAAGAGCTTAGCAAAGGATTTGCCAAAAATTATGATCCAAATCATTTTCGATATTGCTTAACAGTACCCGCGATGTGGTCAGATTTAGCAAAGTATTCTATGAGAAAAGCCGCTGTAAAGGCTGGCTTGGTTCGAAAGGAGGATTCAGAAGATAGGCTAATGCTTATATCAGAACCAGAAGCAGCTGCTCTTTATTGCGAGAGAATGTGCGATCAAGCCAACCTGAAAAAAGGAGACCGCATATTAATCTGTGATGCTGGGGGCGGAACAGTTGATTTAATTGTGTTTGAAATTATTAATGATGGGATACAAAATACAAATCGACTCAAAGAAGTGACAAAGGGTATTGGCGAAAGCTGTGGAAGTATATTTTTGGATAAAAAGTTTAAAGATTTATTAGAAGAAAGGTTAGGTCAACAAGTTAGAAGTCTACCTGCTATTGTTATTAATAGTTTGATGGATCAGTTTGTTAATAATATAAAACCAGAATTCGATGGATTAGATGACCAATATTTGACTTTACCCTTTTCTATTAATTTAGATGAAATTGATATGGAAAAGGATAGTGGTCTTGATGAAGGTATAATGGTACTTAGAGCAGATGAATTAAAGAAAAAGGTGTTTGATCCTATTGTAGATCGTGTAGTAAAGTATAAAACACGGTGACTATTTTCCCTCTTTAACAATTTAACGTAAATAGATTTCATTATTGGAAAAGCAGTATAACTCAATCCCCAATAAGGAACTTTCTTGTATATTTCTTGTTGGTGGTTTTGGTTCTTCAAATTATTTGTATCATCGAGTACAAGAAGCATTTTCCACTAGAGTTAATCAAATCTTATGTCCCCCAAGAGCTGCACTAGCTGTTGTAAGAGGTGCTGTCTATTTTGGACTTAATCCTCGGACTGTAACGTCTCGTATTTCTCGACGAACATATGGTATCAATGCTGGCTTACCGTTTGACGAAAGTTTAGATCCTCCTTCATCTCGCGTAATACGTCCTGATGGAAGTATTCGTTGTACATCAAGGTTTCTTGTATTTGTAAGAAAGGGTAATTTATTACCAATAGATCATTGTATTCGAGAAACCATGTTTGTTTATTATGGAACAATTGGAGCGACAGATATTGTTTTGTATGCTACAGATGATAGACTAGAACCAAGATACGTTTATGAGTCAGGAGTTAAACAAGTAGCTGCTATCTCAGTACCAATACCTGAATTACCTAATGTTATTCTAGGAGAAAGAATATCCTATACAGTGAGGTAAATTAATATTATTAAAAATCGCTTAATAAAATTATTTAACTTATATTTTATAATAGAATGTATTTTGGTTTGACAGAAATTAGAATGGAAGCAGACTTTGGAGCAGGTATTGTGCATAAGCTTCGTTGTAATTTTGATGCTGATGATAAATATGACGACGAAAATCAAGCAATTTGTTGATGAAAATCACTACACTTCATTATTTACGATGTTTGCATATTTTATAATAATTCTCCTGTAAATTAGTATTTTATATTGAAAAAAAAAATGCACTTAGCAATAAGAGAATATATTAGTCATGCTGTAAAATAACTTGCTTTGAGTTTTTTTTTTTTTTTTTTTTTTTTTTTTTTTTTTTTTTTTTTCATGTGAACTATCTATTTTTCATAGAACAACAGCCGTCATCCTGATAGGTAATAAAAATAAAAGTGTTGTACTTTGATATAGCAGTTATATAGAATTTTATTAAGCGCCACCTAAAATTATACTTACAAGTCTTTCTTCTTCAAACTATATTGTTGATATTCTACATCCTTCTATATTCTATTATTACTGTTAGTATTAAGTAATACTTTATTAATAGGTATTAATCACAATAAAAAATGATGGCACAACAAACTACTATCGTACTTTATTTTATTTCCAAGTTATAAAAATTTGTATTCTATTAGAATTGACTTATAATTAATCAAGTTAACAAAAATAATAAAATATTATCTTTTTACTCAATAAAAATCATATTGTAATAATTTTTATAAGAATTATAATAGACTATTAAAGCAAATAAAAATCTTTCTTGCGACACTACTGTCACGATACGACAAAACAGCCTAAATATAATATTTTTAGACGCAACTGATATAAAATATAAAAATTTATAGTCAAACTAAATGAAGCTACTATGTCTCCGAATAAAGAGCACGACACTTAAAAAATAAAAAAAGAACTCTCCGGCGGGGAATTGAACCCCGGTCTCCCGCGTGACAGGCGGGGATACTCACCACTATACTACCGAAGAAGCTGTTGATTGTAAAATTTTTAATTAAAATATAACTATAAATAAATTTAAAAATCACGTGACTCAACCAATGAAATTTACCTTCTGTCTTTTAATTGTTACTTTATATTTTATATATTTTTTAATTGTCGTTATATCGAGTTTGTAATCTTTTCAATGAGTTGGCTCTTGTAAATTATTATATCGAATATTGTGTGCTAAGGATATCAACCAGTTAAAAAAAGAAATAGAGAACGAATTAAAGAGCAACTTAAGATTTATCTTGTAATTGTTTTGAGTGCAAAAAGATAACGAAAGAGATATACTTTATGCTTTACTTAATGTTTTCTAAAGGTAGTTTATGATACATCATATTGAAAAATAAAATCTATACAAAGCTTATTCAATATAGAAGTAGCTTAATACATGTTATTTGTGTTGATGATATCATTTATCGTTATTTATATCACAACTGATAAGCTTCAATAATATAATTGTTGTGTATATAATGATGTATTACATAATATCTTATAGTATACAGATCAGAGTCATGAAGGACCGAATGATATTATAGTCATTAGTTGTATACTTTATGCGTATAATATTACTTGATTTCAGTTTATAAGACATTCTTGTGATAAGAAAAATAATATTATAATAAATACTAACATTACGAGATAATGATAAACCAAACAATAGTGTAAAGAGTTATGAATGATAAAGATATATGAATTATAGATTGTATCTATTAGTTATATATCCACATTATTATTTAATATACTAATATACTAATTTATAAATATAATCATATACTATCTATACATTATACACTATAAAATATATTGATATTCATTCAAGTAGTACATTGAAGAATGAATAGAATACAAAGAAATCTATATCAAAAAATATCTTCCCTATATCATTCACAAGTATGAAAAAACGAGACCTCGTTATTTAGTTCCAAGAAAAATAGTCGACTAGATCGAGCATGAATAATTTAATTTTTATTAGAATGAGTTAACTAAGATTAATTCTCAATCAGGGCAAAGACTAGAAAGCTCAAACAAAATAACTTTAATCATTTTATGGGAAATATTCTTCTTTCAAGATATCTTCATTCTGTTCCTGTCGCAAAGTAACCTGTTCTCCACAAGATATAAATAAGGATTCATTTTGCACTTATTTTGAGGGATTCAATTTTTTATTTTTATTAATTTTTATTTTTATTCAATTAATAATAAAAGCCTTGTACAAAATTTTCACAGATTTATTCTGCTTTCTTTTTTATCTCTACCTTATCAACAATAATTTTCAAAACTTGATACATATAAAAGATACTACATGTCATGAGTTGACTTATAGTATCATGTTTCTTGATTAAACATGAGGATCAGAAAATTATTCAAGGAATTTTATTTAGATTCCCCCGAAACTCTATTGATCCACTTCATCAAATAATATTAAAGACTTCTAACACTTCATTATCTATAACATATCTTATTAAGTAGTAACTAATACTTTTCTGATTCGCATCTTATCTCACACTTCTTTAACAATTCTTATAAATGCCCTATCAATTTAAATCCACAAATAAAATCATTGACTTTAGAACTATTGTTCACTCTCGTTGACCTTCTTTTGTCTTTATATTATTTTTATTTGATATTTTACAAGAAATATTACACTACATAATTAAGCATATCTAATTATAATAGCTATGTATAATATTCAACTAATAATATCATCATCAACATCAGATTGATAACAACTATTACTTGTTATTTTATCAGACTAATCTTAGAACATTGTAGTAAATGCTAGCAAAAAGAAAATTACTTAGTGAATCAAGGCATAATGCCTGAAGAAACAAATTGTATCGAATAATATTGCACGCTAAATCAAGATTGTACATTAGATGTCAAATATAGATTGATTATCATCATTTCCTTTAAATTCCATATTTCTAATATAGAATCAAGGAATCGATAAAAGATGCTTGTTAAAAACTATAAAAGAAGCTGGTCACTTCGAAAAAAAAAGACCCATTAATTGTTATATTTTATTTTTTCTTTTAAATAAAACACTATAAAAAATTCTCACAAAATTTTTTCTTTCTTTCCTCTTTCACCAATCTAACACCAATATTAGTAGTCTATCTTGACTGTGAGACTCGTAAGTTTTAATTAGAATTAAACCTATGAGTAGAATATTTCTTCTAATAATTGTTGTTTGACGTGCCCTTAAATTTATAAATCATGAAGGAGTATATAAATAAGTTGAAATCCCTTCTTTTATATTATTTGTCCAGGTACTTTAAATCTGGAATTAAATAAAGGATAGTTAACTCTGACTATCTTATTTTGGTGATCGTTGAATTATTATGAAATTTATTTGATGTCAAATCGTAAAAGTATAATTTCATATAAACTCTTTGATCGTTATATTTTCAAAAAAAAAAAAAAAGAAAGTGACGCAAAAGGACAATGTATAGACAAACATAGAAAAAGGTGAAGGGAAACAAAGGCGTTTATCAGATAAGCAAAAACAGATGCAATTGATATCAGGTACCTCTGTAGCCATAGTAGAATGTTCTTCATGCAGTGAGGCAGGATATGCCAGTGCTCTTTCTAAACAATGTAAAAAACAATAATCACTATTTAGATGAGACGTTCAAAAAATCCCTCAGTTTTAACTATAAAAAATATACAGAAACATTCTATTTGGAATCAATTATCAGAATAAAATACAAAAATATATTCATAGAGACGATTATTAAACTCAGTAGGTTCGTTAGAAGTATAATCCTCAGTAGGTTCGTTAGAAGTATAATCCTCCGTGCTCAAATTTCTATCGACATCTATATTGCTGTTAATAAGAGATTAAATAACATAGTTGTAATAATTCAACAAGACGTCTAGTGCTCCATGTGCCAGCTGATTTTAGGTTAACATGTAACAAACAAATAAACGGTATATCTTTGATGATATTGTGCTTACTTTTGCCGACTTGAAGGAAGCACACTCTGGCCTAATAGTTTTGACCTGGTTACTATTGAAAATATGACTAGAGTACTTGAAATCTATATTAACCTCAAGGAATGGATGAATTTAATTCCTACCTTAATAAATCTTTCCTCCTCTTCCAAGGAATTTATCTTTGCTCTGAAATATATGCCTGCTAATATCAAACAAATACACAATAACTGGAATAACAAAAAGAGGAAAATGCCTCAAATATTTGCTATGACTCCTCAACCATTTTTGTATTGGCGATATATTACTATTCATAGTAAATCATTACAAGCAATAACAAAAGTACAAGCCGGGGCAAGCTACGAGGATTATATAAAACAGTTCAATATTACTTTTAACTTTAAAAAAGCCGGACTATAATAGATAAGAAATTATACGACTATATCCATGTGGAAAAAAAAACTAGTTACTAAATAATCTTATTATACTTCAGCATGGACAATCTCCTTAATTCTGAAAACAATTCTGATTTATTCTACTGTACCTTACAATCTGACGGCCATGGTATCTATTTTTTTTTTTTTTTTTTTTTTTTTTTTTTTTTTTTTTTTTTGCTAGGAAAACCGCAAATACTGAAATGCAAATCAGCTTTGGTTTAAATAATTTTTACAAGAGAGAAAGTAGACAAGTCAAGAAAAGATTAAAAACCTTAAAACTTAAATTATTGCGTCTAGAATTGTTGTCAAAAATAATCATATTATTTATATAACTATATTTTGAGCAACCTAGAGACTTTATTCACGTTTCGTGATATTAAATCAGTACCCTCTAATTTCCATTCATATCAGTGAAGACAATGAAGTAATACTGAAATGGCAAATATTCTTTTGAATAGTGGAAAGAAGTATAATCCTGCTAGGCACAAGCACACAAGTCCAAATGAAAGAATACAATAAATAAAAAAAAGCCGTAAACATAAGAAGACACAGCGGTAGTCAAAGACATCCTTTAAAAAAAAACAAAGTTAGTAGTACCTTTGATTGTATTTGGCAATGGTATGAAAAACAAGTATTTAGTATCAATAAGAGGAGTACTTTCTGAAACGGCTAATATATTATATAATGAATTCAAACAAAGATCAAAGTTTTTAAAGTCTTTAGTGATTGATATTAATGAATTCAGAATATCTAAAGTATTTGTATTAACTTTAAAGTGTGAATATTAAATACGCAGTAACTGTAAGATAAAAGATTTGAAACTATCAAGACTTCTCAATGGTAAATACTCTTATAATAATACTCAAATGCAAACATCACAGCATACTGTGGATTAGAGATACAATGCTAATAAAAATATACATGATATCTCACTTTCTATTTTAGGAAGGAAGGGAAAAACCTACTGTTCTTACTCAACACATTACCATAGAGAACACGGCTTCATCCTTTGACAACTAAAATATTTATATATAAATTGTTTACAAATTATTCTTTATTTGTCTAAAAACTAACAGTAATTTATTTTCGCTCTTTCTCAAATCAAATTCCCATTAATTCAAAAAAAAATTTCTATTCGTCTCGATCTTGAGCTGAAACACTGTAATAATAATAAAATGTCCGAGATTAATTTTGATTCTTCTCTTCTAAATATATAAAGGGAAAAAGGGAATTTTTTTCTTACAGCAACTAAAAAACTGATTGGTAAATATCTACGCGTTTTTTTTTCTGTAAAAATGATATGACGTGTCTTTTATTCTTGCATATCTGATAACCTACTGGTGTGTATATAGTTAACCATAATATCCTCCCCTTTTTTTTTTTTTTTTTTTTTTTTTTTTTTTTTAAATCTTTTTCTCTTTCTTTTTTATTTAAATTTGACATTTATCTAAAATGTCACAACAAGCACGTATTAATGTTGTTAGTGGGGGAGTTAGTAGAGTCCCACGTATTATTGAATTCCCTAAGGATAATGCTGGTAGACAACAAGTTATCTCTGACTTCTTTGGTTCTAATGTATTTGGTACTAAAGAAATGTCAGAAAGACTTCCTAAACCCGTATATAAGTCTTTTTGCGAACAACTTAAAGGTGGTCAAACATTAGATAAAATTACTGCAGATGCAATTGCTCATGCTGCTAAAGTTTGGGCTCTTGAACGTAACGCTACACATTTTACTCACTGGTTTCAGCCATTGAATGGTACAACTGCTGAAAAGCACGACTCTTTCTTAGCTTTAAAAACCACTTTTGCTAACGGTCTTCCTGAGGTAAACATACACACACATATATATATATATATATATTTACATGCATATAAATTAAATCATCATGCTTATCCATTTTTATTTTAAGGTTACTGCTATTGAAGCTTTCTCTGGATCAGAGTTATTGCAATCCGAACCTGATGCTTCTTCCTTCCCTTCAGGTGGTATGCGTACTACATTTGAAGCTCGTGGTTATACTGTTTGGGATACAAAGAGGTAATATATATACATATATATTTATAAAAAGCAAGAATAAAGTAATAATAACTTAATGCAAATTTCATTTTTATTTACGTAGTCCTATGTTTCTTCAAGAAGGTCCTCATGGCACAATGATTCTTTATATTCCTTCAGTTTTTATTTCTTATAATGGAGAAGCACTTGATGAAAAGTCTGTGCTTTTAAGATCTTCTTCAGTTATTTCTAAAGTTGCATTAGAAATTCTTCGTCTTATTGAACCTATTAAAGAAGGTATTTTTTTTTTTTTTTTTTTTTTTTTTTTTTTTTTTGGGAAGAGCTTATCACTTTATCTTATTTTAAGCGCTCTGATTGGCTTGTTAATTCGGAAATTAATTGATATATTTATCTTTTTTTTTTTTTTTTTTTTTTTTTTTTTTTTTTTTTTTTTTTTGTTTGACATTATTTAATAGATGTTCCTCGTACAAAAGAAATTTACACTACGCTCGGTACAGAACAAGAATATTTCTTGATAGATAGAGGACTTTATGCACTTCGACCTGATCTTAAGACATGTGGACGTACTTTAATTAGTGGACTTCCTGCTCGTCACCAACAATTAGAAGATCATTATTTTGGTAAGATCCCAAGTCGTGTCTTAGCTGCTATGAGTGAAGTTGAACTTGAATGCGCTAAACTGGGTGTACCTATTAAGACACGTCATAATGAAGTTGCCCCATGCCAATTCGAAGCTGCACCTCAGTTTGAAGAAGCTATGCTTGCCGTTGACCACAACTTATTAACGATGGATATTATGCATCGTGTTGCACATAAATATAAACTTAAATGTCTTTTCCATGAAAAGCCCTTTAAGGGTGTTAACGGTTCTGGTAAGCATTGTAACTGGAGTATTGCTACAGATCGTGGAGAAAACCTTTTGAATCCTTCTTCTACTCCTGAAACTAATTATCGTTTCTTAATCTTCTTGGTCGCTGTACTCAAGGCTGTACTTGACCATGGTGACCTCTTGCGTGCTGGTGTTGCCTCTGCTTCTAATGATCATCGTCTTGGTGCTCAAGAAGCACCTCCAGGAATTATTTCTGTCTTTTTAGGTTCTGAACTTACTGAGGTTTTGAATGCTATCGAAGAAGGTCGTCCTGTAAATAAACACGTTGCTGGTACTGAAACTACTCAAATGCGTGTTGAAGGTACTACACTTGATCTTAAGGTCGCTACTTTACCTAAATTAAACCGTGATCTGACTGACCGCAATCGTACATCACCTTTCGCCTTCACCGGTAACAAATTTGAATTCCGCGCTGTAGGTTCTAAGCAATCAGCTGCATTCCCTGTTACCATCCTTAACTCTGCAGTTGCCTCTGCTCTTATGGAAATTAAGGATGACCTTAAGAAACAAATGGGTGACAAGGAAACTGCTTCTGACGAAGATATGCTTGCTATTATTCGTAAGTATATTACCTTGACCAAGAATGTTCGTTTTGAAGGTGACAACTATACTGAAGAATGGGTCCAAGAGGCTGCTAAGCGTGGCCTTGTGAATATTACCAAGAGCCCTGAAGCTTTCAAACGTCTTTTGACACCCAAGAATGCAGAGATGCTCACTCGTCTTGGTGTCTTCTCAATGGCAGAACTTGAATGTCGTTATCACATTATGAGTGAAACATACGCTAAGGAAATCGTCATTGAGGCACAAACCCTCTTGGGTCTCTTACTTCAACATGTTCTTCCTGCTGCCTTCAGTTATCGCCGTGAACTCTCTGAATCCGCTGCTTTCTTAAAGCAAATAGGTGCTGAAGCTGCACCTGAATTAAAATGGTTGGCTCAATTGGCACCTATTATTTCTGGACTTCAAGAAGCTGTTGAAGAGTTAGATCATTTATTGGTCGAAGCACAACCTATCTTAGAGTCTGAGCCTGCTGCGGATCATGCTTGTTATAAGATGGCCCCTGCCATGGAAAAGGCTCGTTCTTATGCAGATCAATTAGAAAGACTTGTTGCTGATAAGTACTGGCCATTACCCAAGTATCATGAGTTATTCTCTACTCTTTAATTTTTTTTTTTCATTTTTTCATTTTTACATTTTTTACATTTTTTTTTTTCATTATAATCATTTAAAGTTATCTCTTTTTCGTCATGTAGTAATAAATTTACTTTTAAAATATATCAATATTTTTTAATATTTAACCTTTTTATTATCATTCGAAAGAAAAAAAAATACAATGTAAATGGTATATATATATATATATATATATATGTAATGAAGTTATTATAATCTTTTCCCTCTACGTCTTGAAGGTTTAACTTGCCGTGTATGTGTTTCAACACTTCCACCTTCCAACTCTGGATGTCCCTGAACCTTTTCACGGGCTTCCAAAAAGAAATTCAAATCGCGTATTTGGTCGCTTAACTCATCAATTGCCTTTTCTCTATCCTCAATACTTTTAAGCAATAGACTATTGATTTCTGACAAAGAATTTGTCAACTAACATAATATCGAATAGATAAATAAATACATATAATTTCAATCTTGACACTCGATATTTATTTAGTTTTCCCCCCTATATACGTACCTCTTTTTCTTCTGACCATACGTCTTTTGCATTCTCAAATCTTTCTTTCCAAATATGCAAATCACTGTCTGAATCAAGTTTTGTTCTGATTAAATCTCTAAAAAGTTTATCTTTCTGCTCGATTGAAATCTCTAATGATTTGTTTTCATTTTGTATTTTATCAAACTTTTCTAACAATGCTTTTGATTGTGATGCTAATACGGATAACTGTGATGAAACCTCATCTATTTGATTTTCATAATAAATACGCTGAGAATCTAATTGTGAACTAAGCAAGTAATTATATTCAATTGAAATGGCTTCCAATTTCTCCTATAAATGGAAAGAGAGAAAAAAAGAAAAAAAAAAAAGTCAATAAATAAATAGTATGAATCACTTCTATTGATTACTATTACTATCAAACCTGTATTGCTACATTCTCATTTGAATCATAATCTGCAGCACTCGGTAACTCCACCAATTTACCATCTACAGCATTTTGTATCAGACGTTGAACATAGTTGTCACCTGCATAGTCCCATACACGCTGTGTGTCAATCTCAAGTGCATAAAGATGATTTGTTTGTCGATAATGCTCGTAGGCATGAGCATTCATATATCTTCCACAACCAATATTTCCACAAATTAAACAAATCCAAAGACTCTCTTTTGAATGACATAAAGCGCATTCGTTATCTTCATCCTGATCACCAATCATTCGTTCTGTAGAGTTATTTTGTATGCTAATAGATGATGAAGATGTATCTACCTCAGAAGGTAATAACAGTTTTTTAGATTTTTGTGAATATCGACACACTGGACAACTGCCATCACCCCATTTTGATAAACAGTGGCAATGAAATGTATGTTGGCAAAAAATTGTTAATAGGCCTGTAGTATTTTCGTTCATAGGCTCTAAACAAACTGGACATATGGGTAAGGATTCTTCTTCTTCTTCTTTAGTTGGCATTTGTTGTATAAAAGGGAATGTATAAGGTGGTATAGTGACAGAGTTTATTTCTATTGCTTCAATATAAATAACTTTACATTTTTCTGGCTATGTCAAAATAGAATCATTAATATATATTTATACTTGTATAAAATAACATTCAAACCTACTTCCATAGAACTGAATAATCTATTATTATATTGTTTATAATAATTGTTTGCAGAATATGGATCTCTGAATTTCATTAAAACCATGTATAGATCTGGATTTACATCACTTTTATTATATACCAAAAAGATAAACGCTTTATTTTTGATGTTTTTTTTTCTTTTTTTTTTTTTTATAAAAATGACAAACTTACCGAACAATTCTATAATGGCTAACAAAGGGATCTACTGGTGCAATGAATTCAAGGAATTCAGGTATTGACAAATGAAATGGTATTGCATAAGTGCATAATATAATAGAAGTATCTTGAATGTTGGTTGTAGTTGTAGATATTGCTGATGAATCGTAGTTAAATTTTAATATACCGTGACAATGTTCTCCCTTTTCTATTGTTGGAGAAACAGATGCAATAGGTGGCCCTTTATGATTTGACATTAGTCAAAAATCTTCAGCAAAAGAAAAAAAAAAAAAAAAAAAAAAAGAAAGCTGTACATTTTATGACGTATAAAATAATCTACTAGGATTTCATTGGACGCTACTTTAATTTGTGGGAGCAGGTGAATAAAAGTTAATTCTGATAATTTCATGATTAATGTATTTTGAGTGCTGGAAAACTTAACTCAAGAGAGAATATGTATTTGTAGAATATTATAAATTTAAGTTACTAATAAACAGTATTGCTTTATTTTAAATAGGTAGTAAATAGAATATAAGTCATATTACGTAATATATATGACAATATTATATGATAGTATATGTTTATGTATAGGGTCTTTTTTTTTTTTGGAAGTATATCAGATACTTATATATATGTGTACATAAAACAACAAATATAATCGACGAAACAAACATTAAAAGAATGAGAAGACCAAGTATATTACTATGTTTAGGGTATAGTAAGTTTAGAATAATAAAAATAATATACGTACATAAAATAGATATATATATAGTAGGATGCCTTTTCTCTAATTCTTAAAAAAGGATCTTTAGTATTTGGCCAAAAACAAACAAATATATCGTAAACATGTAATGATAAATACATAAATATGAGTCTTCTCCTTTATAAAATATAGTTTATATATATACATATAAAGAAGAAGATGAATCTTGTGCTATTTTACTGTATAAACGGGGCCATATCAAATGTAAATGCTTATTAGGCAATAGAAAATCAAAGAACCAGTATATATTACATAAGCTTATTCTATTTCCCAATTTTTCCTAATAAATAACAAGTAATAACACAAAGAATGAATTGAACTAAATGAATATGATTTATGCAGTTTAGTACTATATTAAAACTTATTGCTTGACACAATGACAATGAACTGAACAGATAGTATAAATAAGCTCGAAAATTTTACTCTTGTTGTACTCTACATTCAAATATTATATATTGCATACATATATCATATGTATGAAGTTAATTGGCTATTCTTTATGAATTCTCTGTGGATTCCATTTGACTATAAAAATCAAATATTTTTAGAGGACGCATTTATATTAAAAGGAACATTTGTTGACCTTGAAGACAGTCATTTTCCCGAAACACGTAAAGTCCGCGTTTTTCCTAAACAAGATTACCTTTGTTACCTGGGTGTACGATATAGGCTTAGTAGAATAATGTTACCAAAATATATTATGCGGTAGTAGTAGTAGTAGTAGTTTTTATTATAAATTAGCCAATAAAATATATTATAGCCCATATACAGAATACAGTAATGATCATACCACCATAAAATATCCATTTATCTTGCGCTGTTCTTCTTTCAATATATCGAATCACATTTTGTGATAATCCCAAGTGATTTGCCGTATCTAATATTTTCTTTTGTGTTTTCTATATTTATAATATATGAATTCTTCCATAATAAAATAATTAACTTATTTGTGTACCTTCAAGATACTATGTTGATCTGTTAAATTCTCCAATAAACTTTGTGCTTGACCAATAAACTCATCTAGTTGAGAATCTGTATTTCTAACAAAAGACTGTTCTCTCATGGCAAATTCATCTCGAGATAGTGGTTGATATGGATGTTCGGGCTAAATAACAAGTTCATGAATTTAGGCTTAATTAAAAATAAATAAATAAATAAAAAACTTACAACAGTTGATGAACCTCTATTTGGTCTTCTTAACAAATTATCTCTATTTTGCTCATTTGCAATCATTTCTTGTTGTTTCTTTATAGATTCAAATCTCATTTTCATGCTTTGTAAATCTTGTCGAAATTTTGCAATCCGTCTGCATTATAAAAAATAATAATAATAACAAACAATGTTAATTGCATTTGGTCTTGTTTCAGAATGTATACATTATATTTAGTTACGTTAAAGCAGTTTCTTTTTTTACTGGAATCAGTTCTCTTTTAGCTAAATGCTCGTATTCATCAATTGATCTTTGTAAAGCATTAAAAGAAGCTGAAATTTGACCTATTATATTATAAATATTAACTTAAATGAGGAAAATTAAAGTACATCATTTTTAAAAATTACCTTGTAATCCTGCCGAAGCATCTTGCCCTAATTGGAACTCTATACGAGTATTCAGGATGATAATTAGTTATACTGTAAATGTTAGTTTAAATATACTTTACTATCCAAATCTTTCTGGAGAGCATGACACTGCTTTAAAGCATTATTATATAATGAATTCATATTTAAATATATAAAAATAATAAAAAAGGAAATTATATAAAAATATTAAAAATGTAACAGATAATGGGAAATTTTATTTATAATGCTTTAATTACAGTGTTTCCACTTGAAATCACATATAGAATAAAATTATGAATAATGTGTCACGACGAATTTGAATAAAGTAATAAAAATAGGATTTAGAAAAAAAAAAACGTATGCCGACCTTTTAGACAGGTCAATATGTATCATGTTTAGACATTCTACTTGTAAGTAACTGAACACTTTTTGAGAAGTGAACGGTGTTTGATACGGCCGATGTATTTTACAAGAAGATTAAGATACTTCCCTGGAGAATTATTTATGATCTTCCTTAGTTAGAGTGGGCATTATGGAAGGACTCTATTAACAATTAGTTCTTTCCCGACTTAAGTATGGACTAGCTATCAACACACCTACCCATCTGTCAATATATACAATTAGAAGATACTTGAAATAATTGTATTCAGCAAATCTTTAGTAGCCTCAAGTCGTTCATCTTTTAAAGTATTACTTCACCTGACTAAGCTTTTCTCAATGTATAAAAGCTTTCATATTCCTCATACACAGTTTTTATTATGCTCTTTATCACTACCAGAGAATACTCTTTTGTCTCATATATCCAACAACCCTCTACTAAATCACAATAATACATACTTTCGAGAATACCATTATGAGAACAGTGGTAACTCGAAATACGTTCCTTAGATACTAAAAACGTAGACACCTTCAACAGTAATTTCTGCAAGATAGTTTAGATACAAACTGAACCATCCTAGCTAACTCAATGCTTCTTTCTGCTAGAAGATTTATAATTTCTATAGATTCCATTCTCTAGCGACTGATATCATTTATAGGATGTAATAGATGTATCCGTTGGCGACTTGGATGACTATCTAATAACTACTCAGCATACAATATATCGTAGACCACAAATACCAGAAACGATTATCAAGCCTATGCCATTCCTTCTAAATCATCTACTTAGTAAGAAGTATCGGACTATCCACTCTATTACTTCTTGGCAAATATGCTGGTTTTATATCTATTTTATCTTACATGAACTTGATTACTTTTTCTACAGCAAGCCGATCCTCCTCCCTCCTCTACTCAATCTTGGGCTATGACTCTTAAATTAGTTCTCATCTTTCGCACACCACTAGTAAATTTATTAACTCTGTCCCCCAGATACTCCTTTCTTCTTTTCTCTCTCTCTCTCTCTCTTTTTTTTTTTTTTTTTTTTTTTTTTTTTTTTTTTTGTATTATTTAATTCTCCTCTCGAATTCTCTTCCCCCCTCTTTTTCTTTTCTCTTTTTAACTACTACAATATAAATAATTGAAATGACTACAACTAATCTAACATTTGAGTTGTTCATGCTTCCAACTCAAATAGATACCAATACATTCTGGACTAATTTGAAGGAAAACAACTACTTCATCTTGCAACAAACAAAGACACAAAAAAATGGTATAATGAAAAGTGTTTTGGGTACACTTCAAAATGTGTAAATAACAATTGACAAAATATATAAATATATATAAATAAAATATAAATAAATGCTAATTATTATACATGTATATCTTGTTTTGGGTTCTTCTCATTATAACAGATTAGATACAAAGCAATCACCTTATCGTATTTTATTTCGACGTGTAAATAACACTTTTTTACAAATTGCTGTGGCAGAAACAGAAAAAGACATTGAGCTAGCTTGGAGCTGGATTGAAGGTAGGATGTATAATTGAATGCTTTAAAATAAGTTAGATATTAAATACATGTATATTATTAGTAAATTTATTACCTTTACTTGATAGTCTAGATAAGGAAGAAATAGAACCTTTTATTGTTACAAAGATAAATTCAATTGTTACACGTAGAGGTAAATAAAAAATAATTATATTCATAGAAATTATATTACATGGTAATAACGCTTTTTATATATAGACTCCTCCAGTACAGATGAAATTTCAACAGATGAAAAAGTTAGAAAAGCTTCAAGAAGCTTTAGGCAGACATTTGGTGTATCTCCAAATGAAAGACTTGTTAGCTGTAAGAGAGAGAGGAAGGGCATTCTATAATAATTGTTTTTTGTTTCTAATTTCCATATGCTATCCTGTAGACTATTCAAGCGCTTATCATACAAATAGATTTACAAGTCAAGGATGGATTTATATTAGTGAAAATTATTTGGCATTCTACTCATATTTGTTGGGTTTTGAGACTAAATTGTTATTAGAACTTAAAGATGTCCAAGATATTAAGAAAGAGCGATCTAAACGTGGTGTATTTTCTGATGCTATCAAGATTTATATGAAGGATAAAAGTGAGGTAAAAAAAAAAAAGTATAACATGTTAAACATAACTTGTTCCAACAATTAAATTATTTCTTCTAGCATTTTTTTTCCAATTTATTTAAAAGAGACGAAGTATACGATATTTTAGTTCAACTTACTGGGTTAGCTATGCAGAGAGTATTAAAGAGTACAGCACTAGAACATGCACCTGGAAGTGGAACGATGTCGATTGATATTAAAGATAGTGATATAGAAGCTGTTAATGATGCGGATGTAGCCTCTAATAGAATGGCTTCATTACCTATAGCTGATATTAGAAAATTAATGCAACCTCTTAAAACAAATCTTGAAGCACAAAAACGTGATGAAAGATTTAGAGCTAGATATAGGCTTCCACTTACAGAACATCTTGCTTATTCATTTAGTAATACCATTCATCCTGTTAACGAAGAGAGCACATTAAGCCCCAATGAACGTATTATAACGGAATATACAGGCATACTTTCCCTTTCAGAAGCTTATTTGACCTTTGAATCAACTGATAAAAATAGATTTTTTGAAGTTGTTATGCCTCTTTATACCATTCGTCGTGTTGAAAAGTTATTATCAGATCGACCTGAGCCTTTTTCTATAAAAATCGTGAATTGGCATCAAGCTGAATCTATTTATTATTTGAATATGTAAGTTTAGTAGATACAAAATATATATAAAGTAGATTTATTTATATATTTTACAGAAGTGAAAAAGATTACGAGGAATTCTCAACAGCATTAACTGCTAATTTAAAGAGTCAAATTAAACATATGAGAATGATGAAAAAATTTTTAACAACATGCGCTTCTGAATCTATTATTTCTAATAAAGACCTTGAAGATATGAACACAAATATTCCAGGTGGATTAGGCCTACAATTTGATTTCCCTGGTGATCCTAAAAAATTGAAAGAAAGAAGTAAAATGAAGCTCTGGAAAAAATATTTTAATGGTAATATTTGTATATATTAAAAAGAAAGTTACAATTCGAATATTTCTATTCTATTCACTTTTTAGAGTATGGGCGTAATTTGACAATTTCAAAAAATCCACGTTTTGCGAAACTAATCCGTGTTGGATTACCTAATCGATTGCGTGGTGAAATTTGGGAAGTCTGTTCAGGGGCAATTTATGAACGGTTCATGAATCAAGGATTATATGATCGCATCCTAGAAGAAAATAAGGATAAGAGCTCGCTAAGTTTAGAAGAGATTGAAAAGGATTTAAACCGTTCTTTACCCGAGTATAAAGCCTATCAACAACCTGAGGGTATTAATAGTTTAAGAAGAGTGCTAAGTGCTTATTCATGGAAAGACCCTGAATTGGGATATTGTCAAGCTATGAATATTGTTACCTCCGCTATTCTTATGTAAGAAGTTTTTCTTTTTTGATTTATTATTCAAGTTCTAAATTGTTTTCATTAGTTATATGAGTGAAGAGCAAGCCTTCTTTACGTTAGGTATTTTGTGTGATGATTTATTGCCTGGATATTATAGCACATCTATGTACGGGGCTCTTTTGGATCAAATTATTTTTGAACATTTGTTGGAAAAGACGATGCCTAAATTATATGCTCATTTTAAAAAAACTGACATTCAACTTTCAGTTGCTTGTTTACCCTGGTTCTTAAGTTTGTATATCAATTCTATGCCATTATTATTTGCGTTTAGAGTTTTAGATTGCTTCTTCATGGAAGGTCCTAAAGTACTATTTCAAATTGGGTAAACTATCTAATTTTATTTATTTGTTTTTTACAATTAACCTAAGCTACTCCCCTCTTTTTTTTTTCTTTCTTCTTTCTTTCCCTGCTCTATTTATATTATTAATATACATTAGTCTAGGTAAATATTATACATGTTCGTTTTCAATATATACTCACTTATATATATATATTATAGCCATACTTAAAATCAACGGAGACAAGCTATTAGAAGCAGCAGATGATGGCACCTTCATGAATATTTTAAAGCGTTATTTCACTTGTTTGGATCAACCTTTATATCCTAATTCAGATAATCCGAAAGCCAGGAATTTAACAGTAAGAAGAAATAAAAAACTTTATTTTATTTTATTTTTTATTTTTTTAGCTAAAAGGGAAAGAAAAATATTTTAGAAATTCAATGAACTATTATTAGTTGCTTATCGTGAATTCAGTAATGTGACAGATGAGCTTGTTAGAGAATTAAGACAGACACATCAATTAAAGGTCGTTGCAGGCATTGAGTCCTTTACAAAGCGATCTGCAGTACGTAACTTGGACAATACAGCAGGTTTAAATAAAACAGAATTAGGTATTATATATGATAAGTTCTATAATGTACTTTATTATAAACAACAGCAACCCGCAACGAGCCACAATGAATCTTCTTCTAAAATGGATTTTAGATCGTTTGAGATATTTATTGGATCACTTGCACCTTGGGCTAAAATAGATGGTGAAGATCAAAATAATGAAAGACAATTAAAAGTAGCAAAAAACTTTTTACATCAATTATTTGAAATATTTGATATTCATCATACTCAAAGTATAAGTTTCCAGGTAAACAAGTCATGCTTTACAATATTTTACAATGCTTTAACCTTAACATCTACAATAATCAGGATACCGTTGTTGGTATTGGCTCTATTTATAAAGGTGATTTAAATTCTCAACTAAAGCTATTCTTTGATTTGCATGATGTGGATAAAGATGACTATCTTAACAAAGATGAAATTCTTCAGTTATCAGAGACATTACTTTGGATTTTTAGAAACTACACACAAGACGAAGACTATCTTAATGCAGTCTCAACCTTCTTGCGTAATTCATTTGAATATGCAGAAATGAAAGAGAATGAGCCATATTTATCATTAGCTTCTCTAAGGTAACATATACATATATATATATATATATATGTATACGTACATATATAAATAACATAATATATCAAAACTAGAATGATCATCCTTGCAGATGAAACACTGGAGAAGTTTTTTGATCATGAATTTGCTCATTCCTTCCAATTGACAGAGAAGCCTACAGAGCAACAAAGAAGTCTTGGTAGAGAAATATTCGATAATTTGCTTGCTACAGGAGCCAAATTGGCTAAGGCAAGTCGACCCCAATTAAGATCAAAGTCAACAGATGCATCTATTTCCTCCGAATTACAAAATATTACACTTGAAGAGGATCATGCTATGCTTGAAGAAATTCTAAAAGAAGAAGCAACAAAAGAAAAAGAAGAAGTAGAGGAAATAAAGAAAGAAGTGATAAAAGAGAAAGAAGAAGAGAATGAGTCATTGACTGATAAACACGTTATTGGTAGTGACGATTCTGATATATCAGAAGATGAAGACCTCAGTCCTGATGTCTTGGAAGAAGTAGATAGGTTATTAAAAGAATATGATGATGAAGATGATTAAAGAATAATAAAAGAAAAACTACTTTGAAAAAAAAAAAGGGAGGAAGGAATGTACTGAAAAAACACATTAGAATTATTATCTTTTTTTTTTTTCATATTCATACACATGCTCAGTAATATTCACTGAGATAATAATTTAACTATTTCTTTCCCTAAATGAATTAGAAAGCTCGTATTTCCTGTATATATCATGCTTATCATTGTAGAGACTTCCTTCATCATTTTACTATAGTATGAATAAGATGACAACAACGAAGCGACCTTGGATATTTTCCTATTTTTTTTCTTTATAAACGTAATTAGTTGTAGTAATATTTACTTTGATTGAAGAACAATAATAGCATTTAATTCCCATCAACTTTTTTAATTGAATATTAGGGATGCCTTAAACATTGTTTTATTGTAATACAAAAAAAAAAAAAAAAGTATGATAATTTAAACAGACGCAAGTATAACAACTAATTATAAGTTTTTTTTCTTTTTCTTTTTTTTTTTTCTTTTTTTTTCATTACATATACATATTTATATATGATATAAGCCTACTATTCATTCCCCCCCCCCCTCGGAGAATGGCAACAGTACCTACTGAGAAAAAGCAAAACTTATTACAAAGAAATGGAAGTCAATTATTAAAACATGCTTCTCGTTTAAAAAGATCTTTATCGACAACAAAGTCAGTTAATACTAATTTTGTTACTTCAGATACAACTATTGATCATATCTTAGAACTATATACATATACTACTACAAAAAATAATAATGAAGACTCTTATGGTATAAATGAATTATATGATATACATACATATTTATATATAATACGCTTATTAATTCTTTTTTCTTCTTCTTCTTGTTCCCTCCCTCTCCCCACTCCCTTTATTTTATAATAGTTTCCTCAGCAACAAAAAAACATAATAGCATAGCACAAACATCACCACCTCAAACACATAACAAAGATAAATATTATGTACGCAAACACTATCCAGGATCCTTATCTTCTATTGCATACGAAATGAAATGCTGTATTATTCTCTCTGATAGAATTAAGAATGAAATTCAATATAGCAATGTTTTTGATGGAAAAGAAGCTGTGGTATATATATTCATACATACATATATAATTATAATATAACTTAGTACTATTACTAAGGTTAAATATCGTCATATGTATGTCATTTAAGATTAACTATCAATTATTATTCTGCTATTTATATATCTATAAAGGACATTTTAAAGAAAGTGTTGGGAGTCAATAATCGTTTTATTGCTCTACAAGTCGGTCGTGCATTAGAATCACAACGTTTCTTTCATGAAATAAATTATGAAAAATCATTCATGGATGATATTACAGAATTATATCAATTTAATGAGTTACTCTTTTATCATCACCCTGTAACTTGTAATCATCGTACCACCAGTAATAGTAGCAGTAGTATGACTACTACTACTACTACTACTACTACTACTACTACTACTACAGCGACAGATTTATTTCATCCTACTACTGCACTTTCTTCTTCAACTATTAATAGTGATGAAGAAGTGGATGATAGTCTTACAGATAAAGAATGGTCCACTCGAACTTGCCAACAACAGCAATTACCCAACGGAGTTTACACAGAATTAACCTATTGTTACTCACCTACCTGTAATAATAGCCTATACCCGTGTTACAGTTACACCTGCCCAAAAAAAGGAAGATCGGTAAAACTAAACGTGTTTTAGTATCATAAATATGAATATAACATTCTTCTATTCTATTTAGCATAACAGCAGTAATGATCATATTGATACACAGCAAATAGCAACAACAACAACAACAACAACAGCATCTCATATTTATAAAACTGCAAAGAATCAGCCTTTATGGAGTCAAACAGTTGAAGACTATATCGTAATATCGATGCCTGCAATAGAAAGAAAAAGACAAGAAACGATTTTTGAATTAATTTATACAGAACAAAACTTTTTAAAAGATTTAGATTATGTTATAAAGGTATACAATGCATGCATATAATGTAATGAACAGCAATATAAATAAAGAGTGTTACGTATATTAGATGTGGTTAGAGCCTTTAAAAAGCAGTGATATCATCCCTCAACGAAAAAGAAATAGCTTTATCGATAAAGTGTTTTCAAACATAATAGAAATTCGTGATATAAGTACAGAATTAATGTGGGCCCTAAAGACAAGACAGGAAAGACATCCAATTGTTTCACAAATAAGTGATATAATGCAGCAGTTTGTGGATCAATTTGAACCTTTTGTATATTATGGTGCAAAACAACATGAAGCAAGGCACACTTATGAACATGAAAGATATAATAATCCCCAATTTGCTGTATTTGCTGAGGTATTTTTTTTTTGTTTGTTTGTTTGCTTGTTTGTTTTCTTAATTTACAGCCTATATAAATAAGTTATGTTTATCTTCTCTTTTTCTCCACTTTCCCCCCCCTTTTTTTTTCTTTTTCCTTTTAGCAAACAGAAAGAAATATTATATCACGTAAATTAGAACTTAATGGGTACCTTACCAAGCCAACCACACGATTAGGAAGATACACATTATTACTTGACAAAATATACACTTACACAACATCTCCTTATCATCCTGATAAAGTTCAACTACCTAATGTCATAAATACCATTAAACGCCTCTTACAACGCGTCAATCAAGCTGCAGGTACAGCTAAAATGAAGTTCGATTTGAAGCAAATCCATCGGCATTTAAGATTTAAGAACAAAAAAGATAGTGTTGATCTGAGGCTGCTAGACCCCAAACGAAGTATTATTAAACAAGGCATCTTGAGAAAGTCTCCAAGCTTAAACTCAACTGAATATCAAATTATTTTATTTGATCATTATTTAATAGTTGCAAAAATCTCAAGAATCAATGCATCCGAATATTATTGCATTCAAAGGAGGGTAATATAAATATAGATATGAATATATAGATATATGTATATGTATATAATATAGGTATATGTTCTAATGAGTAACTTTTTTTTTTTTTTTATGTTAGCCAATACCTATTGAAATGCTAGGAATCCTACTGCCTCCTCTAATGAAAAATACAAATTTACATAGAAAACGATCTGCAACACAAACTTTATTATTTTCGACACCCATGTCTTCAAGTCCTTCTCCATCATTAAATAACAAGATTTCACCATATAAGTCTATCATTATAGATCAATCTAGTATGGTTTTTCCTATACAATTATATCATCTAGGAAAGAATTTAGAAGACGCTTATACACTATATGCGCCTAATGAATCAAATCGAAAAGCCTGGTATGAAGCTATTCAAAGGCAGCGTGATATAAAGCTTATAAAACAACCACCTATCTTTAATACAGTAGATCGAATTAAACAATATGAATTCTTTGCTGACATCAAAATACATCATATGACTATCTTTGGTAATATATATAAATTATTCTATTAAAAAAAAAAAAAAAAAAAGAAAGCTAAAAACAAATTTTGATTATTATAAAAAAAAGCTGAAGGTAAACAGTATTTACTAGGAACAGATTCAGGCTTATATATGGGATATATTGATGATAATTCCAATAATACAATTATACCACGCAAAATTATTCCACTTGATAACGTTCATCAAGTTCATATCCTTGAAGAATACCGACTTCTTCTTGTACTGGCTGATAGAGTTCTCTGGCAGTATCCGTCTGATATTATCGTCAACAGTATTGACGGGAACAGTATCCAAAATTTTGGAAGAAAAATTAGGACTCATGTATCTTTCTTTCATGTTGGGGTCTGTTTAGGTCGTACCTTGATTTGTGTTCCTAGAAAATCAAGTTCTATGAATGGAACTGAGATTGATCTTTATGAGCCATCCATACCCAAGATGATAGAAACAAAAAGGAATTTATCTGCTTTAAAAAGCTTCATGCGTTTGTCTACAAATCAATTTTCATTTATGAATACACAAGTAACGCATTTGAAGCCGATTTATAGTCCTTGTGATGTATGGGCTCTAGATAATACTTCATCCATTTTGTTATTAACAACTCCAGTGGGCATTATTACAGTAGATATGAAAACAAAAAAGCCTGAAGGTAAAAGAAAAAAAAATGATATGAGATTTATATATATATATACAATATAGTACTTATTATTATAGCTCTACTTGATCCATCAGATAAACATCTTCACTTTATCACAAAAAATGAAAAAGTAGATGAACAGATAAAATTAAATCTTGCTATTAAACGAATAGCTTTATTTCAAGTTCCAAATGGAGATTATCTTATTTGCTATGATAGTAAGCTACACACATATATATAAAGCATATATTGTTATATTAAAAATATGTATATTTATATTTAGAGTACGCATTTTATATTGATAAAAAAGGAAGAAGAACTCAACATCAGTTTATAATTGAATGGGAAGGCAATCCAACAGCATTTGCTTACTATCATCCTTATATTATTGCCTTTGAACAACAGTTTATTGAGATAAGAAGTGCTATTGATGTAAGGGGGAAAAAAAAAAGAGAGAGGAAATGATTATTTCATTCATATTAACTTGTTTATCATAGGGTCATTTGGAACAAGTTATACAAGGGAAAAATATTCATTGCTTACAGAATGGACATAAATCAAAAGGTGCTTATATTTTAGGAACAATGCTTGATAAGACAAATGCTATTTACCAATGTATATTTGAATTAAAGCCCAATATATAATAAAACGATATACCCAATATGTAAACACACAGATATATATATAAATAAATATATGTATTTATATGTATATACAAATATATATTTGTATATACATATATCAAAGCCTCATTAAACAAATAGAGGCTAAATAATTGTAATAGGATAGAACAAGAAGTTTATTCATATACTGTGTTCCCTTACACATTTTAATCCAAATAAGGTGGCAAATCATATGTACTGTTATACATCTTTTCTTTCCTTTTTTTTTCATTACTTTATAAGACTCCTATTCTCTCTCTTTCTCGCTTTTTTTTTTGTTCTTCTTTCCTCCTTTAATCTTATATTTATATAAATATATAAAATGCTTAAAAAGCAATACTATACTTCAAATGATTTACATGAGCAAACACGACGTCTGATGAATGAAATTGAAGAATTAAGACTTGAAAGAGAAGAATCAAAAAAGAATGTTTTACATTTTATTAGAGAAGCAGACTTAATTCGACAGGAATTAGAAAGGGCACAAGCTCTTATTCAACAACTGACTTTTTATAAGAATCGGTATGATGATAAACAATTTATGTTATTTTCAAAGCTAAGCCAATTAGGTGACACTAAAATCAAACAACTGTTTGACTTACTCGAGGACAATAACAACGAAAAGAAGAAAAATAATGATTTCCTTGCTCGAGAAGAAATGACATTATCGTCTAATAGTAATAATCGTGTTGCATTAAAGAAAAAGAGAGAAAGCTTAAAGACGATAACGAAAAACATATGCTGTTATTGTAAAAAAGAATTTAAAAAAGACACGTCATTATTATCACCACCACCACCACCACCACCACCACAGCAGCAGCAGCAGCAGCAGCAGGGCAATGTTACACATCATTTAACAATAGAAGAGTTGTGTACTTTCAATCACAGTGAATCATTATCGGCAACAGTAGAAGCGGAAGAGCAAAAGTTAATAAAAAAAAGAAGCCTGACGAACAGCATAAATTAATAAAAAAGGAAGATTGGCAGCATGATAATAAAATAAAAATGCAGCAGAATGTATGCAATGTGTAAAATGATATATATAAATATAAGATTACATAATAATTATCTTTTTTTTATTTTATTTTTTTCATTATAAAAGAGGAAATTAGATTTATTAGAACAAGCGAAAGATAGAGAAAATAATTTAAAAACTATTAATAAAATGCTTCGAGAAGAGATTCGTAAATTAAATAAAACAAGAGTAGATACAACCATTAATGTAGAATATCTTCGTAATGTTATAATTAAATTTTTAGAAAGACAAAATACAAGAGTAAAGTAACATTTATTAGTAAAATAATCCAAATAAACAAATTAACCTGTATTTTCTCTTTCTCTTATAAAAAAAAAAAAAAAAAGGCTCAACTGGTACCTATCCTATCTACCTTGTTGAAATGTTCCACAGAAGATCAAACAAGGTTAAGTCGACTTGTAAGAAACAAGTTGACGTCTTATTGACTTTATGGGAAATAATATATATTTTTATATAATAAAATTGTTACTCTATTATGGGCTATAGACTATTTATTATACAAGGGTCTATTATGCATCATCCTAATGAGAGGCTGTTATTATACACACGATATTCATATAAAAAGAGAAAAAAAAATAATAATAATTTAATCATCTATTCTTTGAATTATATTATTAGTTTAAAAAAAATGAGTGGATTATACGATTTTGCTGCTGGTAACATTAAGAAGGCTGTTGGTAGTGCAGTTGGTAATAGTCAAATGCAAAATGAAGGTGCTGCTCAATGCTCTCATGGTAAAGCTCAAGGTGATAACTGTGACACCTGTAGAGAGACTAGAGGTACTGCTCAAAGTGCTAAGGATAAAGCCTCTAATGCTTTTGGTTATGGTAACAATACTAATACCGAACAAAACATTCCTCAAGACCCTATGAATCAATTCTCAACTGGTCAAACCAACACTACCAGTCGATACTCTACTGGTAGATCAAATGCTGGTCAGTCTGGTCTCTAAAGAGGTTTCACCAGATATTCATCGATTTTGTTTTATTTATAAAACGAGATATTTTCAAGATTTATGGGTTAATTTAGCTTTATTTTTAATATCTTGAATAATTAAAAATCTATATTTTGCTCAACTCTGAGTAAACAATACTTGTACACATGTTTTGTATTTATAACATCTTGTGTGTCTTATGTGTATAAATTGTTTAGTGTTGTTGTATAATAGACTGATATGATATATGCTAACAACTCTGGTTATGCGTTCTAAGTAAAATTTTAGTCATTTCTATTCTACATTTATTAAAGTATTATATTGTTTTCTTTTATTTATTTATTTATTTATTTTTTTTTTTTTTTTTTTGTCTTTTGGCAAAATAATAATTTATAAGCAAATATTTAATTTAATCTGTTTCCTCAGTATGATAACCGCTACGTCTATATGTGTATAAATATTTTACAAAAAAAAAAAAAAAATAAAATAAAATAAAATAAATTAGAATACATGAAATCACCTCATTCTTTTCTTTTTCTCTTTACCTCATTTCGGCTAAAACACGTCTAGCATTGGTCAATTCAGCATCCAACTTTAAAATCTTTACTTGTTGTTCCATTTCACGACGTTTAAATTCATGTACACTTAACTTATTAAAATCAATATCCAAGTCATCTGTCTTATTTTGTTGGGCTACAAGTTGTTTTACTTGTTTAACTAATTCTGCAGCAGCATCCTTGACAGCCTTTGCAGCCAACTCTAATCTTTCTTGAGTACGTGACATAAAGCTAGACTTAACACGTGAAGCAGATACAAGCTGAGCAGTTGCAGCAGAGACTTCATTGGATGCAACAATAAGTTGTTCAAGTGAATGTGTCTTACTGATCACACCATCAGCTGCTTCTACTAACATGTTTGTCGCGACTGCTACTGCTTTAGCAGCTGAAATCAAACCTTCAGTCCATCGATTATGTTTCTTATAGAATGCTGCCTTTGAAGATGTTCCACGTCCTTGTGAGACAATCTCTTGTTGTGAGGCTGTAGCACATTTAATAAGATTTGCAATGGCATTTGTGAGTGCCAAGACGGAATTCAAAATTAATTGATGAACTTGAATGTCCGTTGCTGAAAAGGATGGATTTGCTGGTCGTCGCATAAGTTCTTGAATCTTGGCAGTTGCTTCTTCAATCGCACGTGCTGCTCGAGACATCTCTTGTTCCACTAATTCACCAATCTCTCCTTCTGCCATCTTGTTGACATCAGTAGTAGCTGTCAAAATAAGGTCCTCGGTCTTTTGGGAGAGTTTTGTTAGTGCCTCTTGAACTCGCATATCACCCTGAATTACAACTTCAGGACGTTGTGCTGGTGGTAACATTTTAAGATAGGTTGACATGACGCTACTAAAATAGTGAATACAAGATTCAGCTGAGGCCTTGCCTAATTTAACTAATTCTTCACCATCTTCATCTCTCATTACATATTGAGTGATGCCCTTAGCATGTTGAAGGACATCAACGATAGTATCAGCAAATTCAAGTGTACGTGTAATGGTACTAGTATGATCACCGGTATTACTGCCATCAAGGAATTTGCTAAAGGCTGACATGAATTCAACAGATGTGATACTAGCTCTTTCAATCATAGAAAGTGCTAGTTCAGGTGTTGCATTTTCATTACCATGATAATTAGGTGCATCCATTTCATAAAGATAGCCATTTATTTTTTGAATGGAGGTGCTCAAGATACAATCTAATGTTAATAATAATAGTAATAATGAGAGAACATTTTTTTTTATAAAGACGCTCGTTGTCATTATTTACCCAAGATTTGATTTAATTTATCAGTTTGTTGACTTTCCAAATGACTCAGTTCTTCTTGAAGCTCATGCTGTCTGTCATTCTATTGTATGACAAAATTGAGTTTCATCTTTTTTTTTCTCCTTCTATTTTAATTATATGCATTTACCTGTTGTAATTCAGCAAGTTGAGAGAGACATTCATCCATGCCTGCTTGTAAGACAGCAATTTCTTCATCTTTTTCCTACAAAGAAAGAAAGAAAAAAAAAGTAATTAATTAATTTCTCTTCATATTATTTCTCTTTTCTTTTCTTTTCATGCTTTAATTTACTTGTCGAATGTGATCAGCTTCACCTTGTTGATCTTCAATTTGTTTGAGGAATTCATCAATTAATGCTTGCTTCTCCATTAAACTAGCTTCAAGCTCTTGTTTTTCTTTGTTGAATTTCGTCAAAAGTGCACTGACTTCATCTCCCTTAGATCTTCCCATATTTTGTATTTGGTCGCGAGCATCATCTAATTCACGACGTAAACGATCCATATCCTCACGTTGATTCTACATAATCAAAGGAAGAAATAAAAAAAAAAGAGAATAAGTATATGGCAATGACATAGTTTGGTATTATTATTATTATTATTTCTATTATACTTTACACCTTGAAGACGAGCCAATTCATTACGAGCTCTATCACGTTCACGAATTAAATCGGCGAGTTCAATATTTTTAGCTCGCATATCAGCTTGCATGCGTTCCAGTTTTTCTGTAGCTTCTTGTGCAGAATTGGCCTTGACTTGAAGTCCTTTATATTTGTTCAACAAATCAATATGCTCCTTTCTTAATTGGCTATACAATTTAGCTAATGCTTCATATTTATTCTTCCACATTTGAATCTCATCTATATATATATATAAAGGAGAGAGAGGGAGAGAGATACAGATTAACTTTCTTTTCCTTACATATATATATATATATATATATATATTATATTACTTTGAAGAGAACGAATCAATTCATCTTTGGATTGATCTCGTTGTTGGGAATTAGCATTAATAGAGGCTAATTCTTGTTCAAGTGCTTTAACACGTCGATCATATTGTTCCAACATCAATTGATTTCGCTCTAATTGATTACGTGCGTTCAAAAGCTGCATTTCCAGCTCATTTAAACGACCATTTTGTTGCAATTGCATCTGTTGGCGCATCAATTCTTCTTGACGTTGTCGCTCAAGTTCAGCCATACGGCGTTGTTGCTCTTCATATTCACGTTGTTGTTGAAGCTGCATTTGTCGTATACGCTCCTGTTCATCAGCACGCTGTTGAGCAAGTCGTGCTTGCTGTTCTTCATATTCCCGTTGTTGCTCTGCTTGCTTTTGGGTCCAAAATCGATGACAGGCTCTGGAGAGGCTGCTTGTGCTGGGGTGGGTGGTGCTTCAATACGAGCTACCTCGGGTCGTTTAGGTAATTTAGGCGTACTACCATCCATAAAAGAAGGTGGATCCTGGGCAAGCTTAGGCACATTAATGAGACTTGTAAGATATTTTAGATTGGAACATTCATAATAAAATTTTAAAAGTGCATAATGTTGTGAATTAAACTTTTGTCTTAGAGGTGTAAGTGCATCAGAAGAGTCCGTTTCTGTGTATATATATAAAGGAGGATAAGTTTATGTAGGGTCTATAGACATATTGCTTTTCTCCCAACTTACTTTGATGCATAGCTCGTAACATGCTGGTAATAAACTTATAAATACCATAACTTTCTTCTACCAAAGGTACAAGAGAAGCAATACGACATTCATTATTAGAATGATGACGGAAACTACTGAAAACTACCTTTTGGAAACGGTCGATATGATCCTGTAAAATCATCAAGTCATTGATTGTCTCAAAACTATGATACAAAAGAATGAGTCAGTATTATGTAAGCCTTGCTATTTTTTTTCTTTTTTCTTTTTTCTTTTTTTTAGTCACCCTTCATTAGGATCATCAATATTCTTTAAACTAATATATTCTTCATAATCAAAAGTTCCGTTAAACTCAGGATGTGCACGATGATATTGAAGTTTATGTAAAAGAAAGTCAACGTAGGCACGAATAAGAGTACCATAACCACGCATACTATCCATATTTACGCTTCTCGCACATGTCTCTAACCAACTTGTTTCTCGAAGTGCATCTTTAATAACCTACACATATATATTTGTATATATGTATATATGTATATATATATATATATAAAACAATTTTTTTTTAAAATAAATAAATACCCCATTTTCTTTTTTTTTTTTTTTTTTTTTTTTTTTTTTTTTTACATTAGGATGACCATCTTTAATAACTTTATGAACAAGAATTAAAGCTTTAAAGGTTTGTACTTCATCAGAAAGTAAAGGCTGTACTTTTAATATATTCCAAATAATGGCTGAAGTTCTATGGTCCCAAGTATATACAATACATTCTTTTTATTTTATTTTTCTCAATTAGTTCATTCGAGATGATGAACATTCAATAAACTTACTTCGAACATGTTTTTGTTTTGGCGCAGTTTCTTCCACACTGCAAGCCTTTTTGATACTTTGTGCGAGTTCTGACTCTGCTTTTTCAGCAGATAAATAAGACATTTTTTTTTAATACAAGTGTAAGTGGAAAAGAGATTTATATATATAAAAAGGAAAAAGAAGGAAATAAAGGTTTTATTTTATTTTATGTAAATAAGTTAATTTTAACACGCTTCTACTATATTTAGTGTTGTACACATCAACACAATTTTAAAATCCGCCTATAGTAAATATTTGCTGATCTTTCCGCCTGTATCAATCAATGTTTCTACAAATCGCTCACTTAAAAAAAAAAAAAAAAAGGAATTTAGTTCCAAAAAAAAAACAACAAATTATATAATAATAACTTACTGTGGTAAATAAGTTCGATTTGGATAAAATACATAATCGACAGAAACATGATCCAAATTTGTAATATTCGACATATAAATATCAGCATATCTTTGAATTTTATTTGCAAAATAAGAAGGGTTTTGATAGGTTCGAAAAAGACTACCAAAGGATTCATTAAAGGCATTTTTAAGTTTTATCTTGATTTGGTTTCTTTCTTCTTTCCATTCAGTTATCAGAATTTCAAGTTGTTGATCGTTATGGTTTATTTGTTTATTATTACTTTTTGTAGTTTGTGCTTCATTCAAAAGACTTTCTAAACGAATTAACCAAGACAAAGTATGCCGATACGAAGGCTGATTTCTAATATCGATTTCCTTTGCAAGTTCATGTATAATAGCTCCCTAAATTTTAGTAATGATTAATTAAAAAGAAGAAAAAGGAAAAAAGCTCTACACACACACACACACACACACACACACTAGGGAAATTTATTTATTTTATTTCATTATTTTTTTTTCACATTAACTGTATGCCATCCATGTTGAATTGAAGCTTCTATAAGATCAGAAAATATATGATCACCGAAATAGAGTACTCTCTGACTGTTTCAATGAAAGAACAAAAAAAAAAAAAACTCTATTAGTTAGGTGGGGATTGTGGGGATTTATTATTATTAAATACTTAACACAGCTTACCCTTTCCATCCCGTCAATCTTTCAAAATCTTTCATATTTCCACCTTGATATATTTCGCCTGGTAGAAAGTTATCTACAGTATCCCAGTTAGGTTCATTTGCTCTTCGAAAGGGTCGATGGAAATGGTAATAAAATTCTGGCTTTCGAGCTGATACGATGACACAATCGAACAAATCTCTCCAATCATGTGTCGTAGTCAAATAAGTCATGCCCTTATCAATAAAGGCTAACGTACTGTTCGTCAACAGGAATGTCTTTTTGCCTTGCTTTCGTAAATGTTCGAGATAATCAACTAGCTTTGGAGAACGCTCAAGGTAACGAGGTAAATCTTTCATTACATCTAAATGAAGTGTGCCTCCTATACCGTGCGCTCCTGTATGTAAGATTCGAGCTGCTATATTTACATCATCTGATAAATATCGAGGATGAAAGCTTGCCAAAAAAAAATAAGATGAATAAAATAGATGAATAAAAAGACTTTACATGTCATTTTTTTTTTTTTTTTTTTTTTTTTTTTTTTTTTTTAGTATTAATATTATTATTACTTCATGTTATGGTCTCGAAAGTATTGTACAACATCGCTTAAAAGAGTTGCTTGAGGAATAGAGAATAAATCGCTTAATTGAAACATATTTGTTCGAAGATAATCTGGAGAAATATGTTGACCTTTATGAAGTTCTATAATTTTATTTACATCTTGTATAGGTTCACGTCCTACTATAGTACACACAAGTCAAATTATAAATATACACGTATATATGTATATATCATAGTATGTGTATTTTACAGTGTATTGTATTTAGTTGGATATTAGCCATATTATCTATCTTCATTAACCATCCATTATTAAAATCTAATATAGACTTTGTTAAATATATGTACATACATATACATATATATCTATAAGGTACCATAATGAAGTCCTCTTATAGCAAAATTAGAGTCAAATTTGAAGTCTATATCATATTTATCTATTCATTACTCTGATATATACGAAATAATAATGATAATTTACCTTTAATTTGTCTAGGATATTTAAATACATCGACCATAATATCCCGAAGTGAATTATAAATAGTCAAAGATAAATTATCTGTGTAGTCTGCAAGTGTATACTATGTTATTGTTATTATAAAGATCTGCCTTATTAAACAGTTATCACACTTATTTTGCACTTTATTCTAAATTTACATCATAATCAAATCCATATACATCAATATGACTTAGATTCAATTCATTGTTAATAAAACTATTCTATAAATATGAGTATTTCTTTTTTTTCTTTTTTTTTCTTTTTTTTTTTCTTCTTTGTTTCCTTTAAATAATTACACTTCATTAGGTGATGTAAAGCCAAGTCCATAGATTGCTTTTTTCTTATCTTCAAATAATTTATTTTGATTATGTAATGTATTCATAGATAGAATGGTTGCTTTATCTTTTTCTGCAGCATGGATATGTCGAAGCTTTTTTTCTTTATATCTCTCTCTTAATGATTCTACACTTTGATAACGATTATAATGATACACTCTTTTTAATATCAAAAATGGTCGACTACGTAACATAATAATAAGAGGAATGAAGAAGAAGAAGAAGAAGAAGAAAAAAAAAATAAAATAAAAAAAAATAAAAGAAATAATGCAGGTAAATTGTAACCAAAACCAAAATAAAATAAATAAAGTTAAATTAAATAAAATAAAATTATTCAACCTTTAGATTAAAATCATTTATTGTCTTTTCTTTGATGAGGAAGAAGATTCAGCTTCATCGCTCTGTTCTCTCTTTCTTTTATTTGATTCTTCTTCTGTTGATGTGCTAGTGTTTGCAGATGTACCACCGGTCGTATTATTTGTATTTGTATTAGTCGTAGTCGTATTAGTAGCAGCATTCAAATTTTGAGCATCTACATTTACAAGTGCAGCAGCTAGGAAATGTTGACTTAAACTTATAATTTGTATCACTCTAGCTGCTCTTAATAAATGGGCATGTTGATTCGACTATTATATGGTATAAAGTTAGTCATAATAAACTTGTGCAAGATAGATAAAATATTACCATTTCTTCAGCTCTAGAGAGTTGTTGACTTAAATCTCTAAAATAAGAACTCAATCTTTCAAATAAATTAGCTATTTGATCAAAAACTAAAGCTAATTGTGATGCTGGGTTAGGTTGCTGTAATAATACTTGTCTAGATTCATGAATAGCGGATAATGTAGGTCTTAAACTGAGCATTGTGCTATTACTGTGTTCAACTAGAATACAAAAATATAATTCATATGAATGACTATAATAGACATGTATCTATTTATTACTTACATTCATTAAGTGGTGTATCTAATAGGTTATTAATCTCTCTTGTATAAGCTAACGTTCTTGCTAATCTTGTATTTAATGATGAAGGTGTAGTATTTCGGTTCGCATTTTCCATCAAATCTATTATTCCATCCAATCCAGTAGTTAATCTAGTACGTCTAAAAGATCGATCATTATTATTATTACTGCTATTACTGTTATTATTATTTGATGTTAAAATTTGAAGAAATCCCTGGTTAAAAAAAGAAAAAAAAAAACAATAAAAATTAAAAAAAAAAAAAGTTGATAAGCATAATGTAACTTACAGATCGAGGGGAAGCAGTTCTTCCAGAAGGCGAAAATGGACTATTCGTATTATTTTGTTGTAAATTATTAAATAGACTAGGTAAAAGCTACACGCACACATATATACACGCATACACACACGCATACACACACACAAACACACACACACACATATATATATATATATACATATATTACATATAAATAAATATATAAATATACATTAATAAATAAATAAAACTAAATTCTCTACCCTTCCCCTTCCCCTTCCCCTCCTCTACTTCATATCTATCTGTCTATATCAAAACTTACAGAACCACTAGTAGCACCCAATCCACCTGTTAAATCTGCCAAAGTGGCATCTAACGTTATTACAGCATATCCTGAAGAAATGCCTCTTCTTCCTGTTGGCCTCCTGTTATTTCTTTGTTGTTGTGGTTCATCTAATATAATTATTAATTTAAATAATAATAATAAAAAAAAAGAGTCGAGTCATATAATATATTAATAATTACCATTTTCTGGGTTATGTGGCGCATTCAAGGGTCTAATAACCAGATGAATGACTTTACCATCATCCAAGTTTTCTGTATTATATATACATGAGTTTATATTCGTCTTTACTGATTAACCAACTTACCATAATCCATCAAGTTTTTGTCATCTTTTAAAACTTTTCCCTGAAAAATTAAACGTTGACGTATACTATCGACATCAAATAAAACTTCAATTTTATGCTTTAGATCTAAAACGGATGCATTTCTAGGTACAGAGACCATTTTTACTTGTTGTTCAAGAGATTTAATGGATAACTCAATAGATCTATTGGGATCAGATGATGATGATGGTTTGTTGTTACTGTCATTCGTTGTTTCACTCGACATGATGTTATTAGAGATGAGAGAAAAAACAAAAAAAAAAAAAAAAAAAAAAAATAAAATAAAAAAAATAAAATAAAAAAAATAAAATAAAAAAAATAAAATAAAAAAATTGAACTAAAAAAAATAAAAATAAAAAAAAAAACGCCTTTTTTAGTAATACTACGCTTGATATTTTATTTATTATAATAAATTAGAAAACTATTGGGCACGAGATATTGAATATATCATCATGGCCCGGGTCGGATCAAGGAAGAAAATAGAAAAAAAAAAAAATAAAATAGATAAAGGAAAAAGAAATGAGGACATCAATGATAATCGAGAAATAGTAATCATTTTACTCGATATTTGAGGAAATAAGATCAAATTGAAATAAATATTCTTTTCTTCATAAAGGCATATATACTCTATCTTTTCTTTTTTTTTTCTGGCCAATAGATAGATATAAAAAAGGGAAGGAAGTCTAGACAGTATATAATATCTAAAGAAGTGTGTGTAAAGGGACTAATGATATCATTTAAACCTATTCACAGCTAAAATTAAAACAATTCTCATTAATAAAATAAAGAGCAAAAAGTTATAAAGCACTTTAAGGGAGTATAAAGTAAAAGGACACGCTAGATAGCCTCTTTCTAACAAATATAAATAACTACAAGACAACTAGGATTTAAAAAAAAAGACTACTATTTAACAGCTGTCTTTTCATATTTGCAAAGTATTTTTTTTTTTTTGTAAAAACTATGATATTAAAGGATCAGGGAGCTATACACTCTGAGAAACGAACTAAGTATCTGTATAAACATTTGGAAGAAAAGTGATAGATTAAAAGTTAGTACAACTTTTGCCTTTAAAATAAGAAAATATCCTTTGTCTTAAGAATTCAATTTACTACAGGTGAAGCATGCGTCACTCCAACATCTCCGATTTTTTTTTTTTTTTTTTTTTTTTTAGAAAAAAAAAATGCATTATTGCATACTATTATAATAGATAATCATTTTTTCTTTAAACTTGTTGTTGAAAAATGTTGAAATTTAAAAAGCACGATAAAGGCAAATATAAATGTTTATATAAATCCAACCAAAACAGACAAAGTTTGACTTTTTTTTTTCTTCTTTGAATTAGATTCTTCAACCGAAGAACCATCACGTAAAAAGAAAGATCTTCTAATCATTCTCGTTCACCAGATCGTAGAAGAGAACGCTCTCGGTCACCAGATCGTAGAAGAGAACGTTCACGGTCACCTAATTATCGAAGAGATTATTCACCTCGCTACAGAAAAGATGATTCATCCGGTCATTACAAAAGAGATTACTCTCCAAGAAGATATGATAGTCGACGTAATGATAGAAGAGAATCTTCACCAAGAGATGAAAAAAGATCCCATCACAGATCACGCAGTCCACCACCATCTAGAATGAAAAATGAAAATAAGGCAAGCTATCTATCTTTAATAGATCTTTTCATTTTTTTTTTATTCTTCGAATTCCTTTACTTATTGTTTTATTTATTTTATTTTTTTTTAGGATAATAAAATTGTCCTCAAAAAAAGAAGGCTAGTTTTAATCTTATTGAAATAGAAGTCAATGATAGATTGGGTAAAAAAGCTAGAATCAAGTGCTCGCCCAATGATCTTGTTGGAGATTTTAAAAAATTAGTAGCAGCACAAATCGGTACAGACCCAAATAAAATTGTGCTCAAAAAATGGTATAAAGAATTTAAAGATCACATTACCTTAGCTGATTGTAAGTAAAGTTGAATTTATAAGATGCATATTTAAACTAACAAGAATGTTTGTTAGATGAATTACATGATGGTATGAATCTTGAATTATATTATAGATAATAAAAATCTTTTACAGTTGTACAAGTTCGATTGGTTCCTGTTTTTAAATGGCATTTGAACCACTAAAAGAAAAGGAAAAAAAAATAACTTTTATTGAAAGAAAAGGAAAAAAAAAGAAAAAAAGACAAGGATTTGCATGTAATGTAAAGCAATGATAGTATTCATTTTTTACTCACTATTAAACATAAGTTAATAAATAGAGTGAACGCCTCTTTTTTTTTTCTTTTTCTTCTTCTTAAAAAAGTAAATATGAAATTTCCCGCATTAATTTTATGTAATAGATTTTTCTTTTTTTTTTTAACAAAAAAAAAAAAAGTGGAGAAGAAGTCTATCTTGTAAATCGATACTCATATTATTCCCCTTGTTAAATAATACCCCCTTCACTTTTCTATTTTCCTTTTTCTTCTCTATTTATAAAGAAAAAAAAAACTTTGTATTATTATTTCTCCCCAATAAAAAAAAAAACCATGTTAAATGCTTCATTAGTTGATAGGCTTACAAAAGACAATGAAAAATTGAAACAAGATTATACCATTATACAACAAACATTAACATTATTAAAAGATGAAAACAAGACATTAACCGATTCTGTAAATAAACTCAAAGAAAAAGTAGACTATTTACAAACAGCTTTAAACGAATCCCATCAAGAACTTAATACTTATAGTGAACGACAAACAACGATACTAAGTGAACTCAATAATTTAAAGGAAACCATAATGGATAATAATAGTCTACTATCAAGGCAAAACAATGACGAAAATAATGTTACAACATCTAATTTATTATCAGTAGTAGCAGCCCGTAGTATTCCAGCTCCTTCTAAAGTCATGGTAGATGATCAGAAAAAGAAAGATAATCGACTAGTTGAACTAAGACGAATGACAAGAGAATATATGAAAGTGAGTGATGAAGAAGCAGGCCTTCGATTGTATAAACTTCAAAAGACAATGATTCATGTTGTGTCTGATTTAAAAAAATATATGAAAGAAAGAAATGAAGATATTAGTAAATCATGGAAGTCAATTGATATTAATACACAGCGAGTAGCATTTGAAATGGTTGAACGTGAAGCGTCCAGTTTAGGTGTGCCCTTACATATGTGTATTGGTTATTGGGGTGCTCGAAGACTAATTAGTAAATCATGGGCAAATGCTTTAAGGACGACGAAGAAACACATAAAATTAGAAGGTAAGAAAAAAAAGAAAAAAAAAAAAGAGGTAAATAATATCATTTCAAATAATAATAATACACACTAGATTCTGAAGAATCAAGTAATAAGTCAGTAACAGCAAAAGAGTTACATCCTTCTAACGAAAGACAAGTTAAAAGACTCAAGTTAAATTAATATTGAATTCCTTATTGTAGTTATTTCTTTTTTTTTTTTTTTTTTTTTTTTTTTGTATCTTCCTTTATTTATAATAAATTGTATATTTTCTTTACTATCTATTATCACTTTTGAATACCATTTTGCTCTAGTCTTTAAACATATCATAGATCTTGTTGTATTAGTAATAACTTGATTCTATCTGTTCACATCATGAATAAACAATAAGAGTGACTACCAAGTTAATCGTATGTATCATTATTATCATTAACAAATGTAATCCTTATCGTGTCAGTATAGATTATAAAAAGTAGTAGCTAACTGATAATGATGACATAAACCCTAATTGTTTTATCACATCTCTTTTCCTTATAATAAGGTACAGTGTGATTAGGTGTTTGATGGACTGGATCCCTCTATTTTCTATTGTATCCGCATAAATCAAGTACAATTTTTAATTATTAACTAATAAATTGTGTACAGATATATATGTATACAAGTATATGTATGTGTGTATGTATGTATGTATATATTACTGATAACCTATAAGCACTCTTTCCCCCTCCCTTTTGTTTTTTTTTTCTCAAATAAATGTCAAATACTACACAATATGTTGTTACATTTATTATGTAAGCTTACATACACTTCATTCGATTTGGAGGGTGTATTTAGCTATTGATATCTTAATTGGACAATTAAATAGTATTGTCGCTCTTTTAAATTATATTATAAATTTTTGTGTGGCTTATACCTTCGTAGCAAATTTTTTTTTTAATAAGGTTCAGAGGAGCAAAAATGATGTTGCCTCCTCTTTTTCGCTTTAGTCGATTTTAAAAATGTAATGCTTCACATTTCAACATGATGTCTTCTGTTTGATATTAACCAAATATGTATTTCTATTTCTTTGATTTCTTTTAAATAGGGTCAGTTTGCTTGTTCAAAAGCGTCTCGCTGCCTCCGTCCTCAAGTGTGGTAAAAGAAAGATCTGGCTCGATCCTAACGAAGTCAACGAAATTGCCACCGCCAACTCTCGTAAGATTTTTTCTTTTTTTTTTTTTAAAAATTAATCAAACGCATTATATTAAAGAATCTATTTCTCATTCCCATATTCCTTTTTCTTCTTTATTCTTTAATAGGTGCTAACATCCGTAAGCTCGTCAAGGACGGTCTCATCATTCGTAAGCCCGAAATCTCTCAATCTCGTTTCCGTGTTCTTGAACGTAATGCTGCCAAGCGTAAGGGTCGTCACATGGGTTACGGTAAGAGAAAGGGTACTGCCGATGCTCGTATGTCCAGCCAAGTTATCTGGATGCGTCGTATGCGTGTCCTCCGTCGTCTCCTTGCCAAGTACAGAGAAGCTGGTAAGATCGATAAGCACCTTTATCACCAACTTTACCTTAAGTCTAAGGGTAACGGTTTCAAGAACAAGCGTGTCTTGATGGAACACATTCACAAGGCTAAGGCTGAAAAGGCTCGTGCTAAGACTCTTGCTGAACAAGCTGAAGTCCTCCGTGCCAAGAACAAGGCTCTCCGTGAACGTCGTGCTAACAAGAAGTCTGAAAAGCTCGAAGCTTAAATGACTTTTTTTTAAAGAAAAAAAAATTTTTCCCTAAAGGAAATAAAGTATAATAGTTTGTTTTCATTTTTCTTCCTATTATTTGAATTTGTCAATAAGAGAGAAGAGGCATATCTATATGGAGGGGAGCGGGGGATATTGAGATCTTGTACAAATAACCAACACCTATTCCCAATAGGAAATTTCAGTTTGAAGCCTAATATGGCATTTCTTTTTTTTATTTTTATAATAGCAGGTGTAATAACGTTCATATGATTATTAACTGGTTACAATAAATAAATAAAATAAACAATAATACGTCGTTGTATAAAGTTAAGATAGACTAGAAGGGTTTCCTATTAATTTAATTAGGAGGCTCATCTCTCCGAAGACTGATCTCAGCAAGCACGTTGAAGAAGCAAATAGACTATAAGAGAAATTGTCGCCTATAGATTTTACTATGACTATCATTGAATAAGGGAGGATTATATCCGGATAAAAGTTTTATTATTACAATTAACTCAAAAGGGAATTGAACACCAACTAACGGTGATCATCTATATGCAAAAGTAGTAAGTGTTATTCTCTTCTATAATTCTGAATTTTTGTCTTGTTCCATACAGATAATTTTTATTTACAATGCATTATTATAAAATACAAAATACAAAAAAAAAAAAAAAAAAAAAAAAATGGCCAATAAAAGACCGAGACAAATCCCTCATCCTCCCCCCATTTACTTCAATGTGAGAATGATATCTACATCATGATATAACCCTTTTTTTTTGTTTTCTTCTTCTTCTTTTACGCAATTATGAAAGCATTTCTTATAACATTACTATTATTTCCTTTTGCTTTAATTACGCAAGCAGTACTTGCTGGTCAGCAACAACAGCATTTTATGGCACCTGATGAACATGGTGATATATGGTCACTATGTAATAATCCTTCTACACATCAACTAATTGGTTATAAAGATGGTGTCTATATTTCACCTAAACAGCCTAAAACAGGAGAAAATATTCATGTTCAAGTAAAAGGCAATTTATGTAAAGTATCCACTAGAGCTTTTTTTTTTTTCAGAAGCAACAAATACTAACCATTTTATACAGTAAAGGATGTTACTAGTGGAAAAGTGGATATTGATTTAAACCTAATGGGAATGATAAAAATTAGAAAACAACTTGATCTTTGTGATGTATTGAATTCTGATATTATGGGTCATAAAGATTGCCCTTTAAATGCAGGTGATTTAGAATTAGATGCTACAGGTAATAATATATGTATAAGCTTATTGAATATATATATATATATATATATATATTTATGTTAATGATAAATAATATATATACATTTATATAAATAGCTTGGATTCCTAAAGAATTACCAAGATTACCGCTCGATGGTAATATTCAGATATCTGATCAAGATGGAAAGACGGTTACTTGCATTCATCTTAACTTTAAGCTTGAATAATAATTATTTTCATTCTTTTAAATAATGTATTTTATTTTACTTTTTTTTCTATCATACTTTTGAATAAAGGGTATATACATATTAGTAGGTCATTTTGGGTGCCTCTGCCATAATATATTTTTGATTGACACCAAGTAATGAACTAATGACTCGCAACTTGTTTTTCATTTTATCTCTTAAAGCAAACAAGTCAACATCGTGATCATTAAAGGTAGGAAAACTATCAATCAACCTTTTTAACCCTTCAATTTGTTTTAGAGCTCTAACATGAAATCATCAGTCAGTTCTTTCTGTATTTATAAAGCATGCAATGGCTTTTGTTAGTGTACTTTACTTTGAAGATACTCTATCAGGATATTGATTACATAACTCAGTCCACATTTCTACACATCCTGAATAAAATCCAATTTCTTTTCCTAAATCAAAAGCCTTTTCACAACCAACAATACGACCTTCTAATTCCCCTGATTCTTCACCAGCCTTAAACCCGTCATCGTAACCATGTTCTTGAAACCTGTCAACAAAGAGTTAATTATCTTTTTTTTTTTAAAAAAAAAAAATTTTTTTCTTTGAACTATTTTCTTTTTTGTTTTATATAAATATTAGATTTACATTGTTTCTAGATAACATAATGATTCGATATCTTGATTAGGGGGTGGAAGTTGATTTTTACTTGACATGATTATTAATACAAAAAAGAAAAAGGGAAATAGAAGGAAAAAAAAAAAAAAAAAAGAGAGTTTAAACGTTTATTTTTTATTTTCCGACATATCCTTTTCTCCCCCCTTTTTCTTTTTCTTGCTATAGTTGGCACTCATTGACAAATCGTATCAGAGTACAATTAGATTGTATTATCGAATAAAAAAAAAAAAAAGGTCTAAAATACCACACAGGTTTAAAACAGCCTTCATGTCAAGAACAAAAAAAAAAAAGTTATTGTTTTATTCATAAATAGTAGAACATTCTTTGCCTGCATCTTTTTCTAATTGGAATACAAGTTGAAAGCCTTCGTGTTCAGGGTCATCCATTGTTCCTTGTATGCTTGCATTATGGGTATTTGTACTGGTACAACGAATATTTTTACCTCGAATAATTTGTTCAAGTTCACCCTATAAATAAAAAAGTGTTTAATTTCAAAAAAATAAATAAATAAAAAAAAGTGGAGGGAGAAGAGAAGCGCATTTGTAGAAAAATACTCTACCGAATGGACATGTCTAACTTCTATAAAATCAGGTTCAAAAGCAAGTATATAAGGATAAAATAGTGCAAATGAATCCGGTATTCCTTCCCATTTAATTAGGACACTTGATTTAATAAATCTTCCCCTTTGATCAACAAAAAATGCAAATTCTAATGATACCCACAAAATTAACATTAAAGAACATAATGAAGCTTTTCTTTTTTTCTTTTTTTTTTTTTGGGGAAATAACTTACCATTATAACAGACAAGATACTCTGCAAACTGTATTCTATAAATGGTGATCGGTCGAACATCGGGTCGACTAAAAACAAATTCTAATGCTTCATCTTCAGGATCTAGCAATGCCTGCACTCCAAAATTCTTCATATCCACTACACCAATCTCCTTTGATGATGAAATACACATCATTGATTTCAATAAATTGATAGAGGATGCTTCACTTGGTAAATACAAGTCCTTGTAGGGTTTTAAAAGACCCGCCATTGTATTACTTTTCACTACAAGCCGTTTTAGCAATGATTTTGTCTTTTTGTTTTCATCTGTCATCACTGGTTCCAGGACTCGAATTGTCGTTGCTGATAGTGTATTGGTCTTTACGACGCAAACAAATGTCTTCGAAAGGCATTCTCCAACATGAAAAAAGGCAGTACCTTGACTTACAGCTCGTCCACTTCGTTTCGCTGCTGATGTGGTTGTTGTAGTGGTGTTATTGGTGGTAGAACTAGGAGAGAGAATACTAGGAGGGAAACTCCAGAGGGTTTTATCTGCTAAAACCAAAAGTTGTGACTCTGGCATAAGCTCAATTTGAGAAATTTTTTCAAGATGGATGATACGGGAAATAGTAGAATGTGAACGTATGAGATAAACACCTTGATCTGCACCTACGATGACCGCCTTTCCATCTAAACTCGTGTCATCATATACGGTAGATGTACTATTGACTCGATTAGACACTGTAAAATAATTTTGAATAATAGGCGTGATGGTAAAGACAACACGTGATTTTGCTAGTTCTACTTTTTGCTTCATAATTTTTTGGATCCAAATTTGTTGAATTGAAGCTGCTGTTGTGTACAATGTGATAGGTGGTGAACCCTTTCTACCATGATGAATAAAAGTAATCGAGAATGAATTCGATTTATTAGATAAGAGGTTGTCTGAGGAATTAGTAGATGGAATACTAAAGTTAGTACTATAAGGTAAAATTGAGCTTGCACGTCTATGTCGACTACTACTACTATGAATGACATTAATCGATAAAAGCTCTAATGGAATTGGCTATATTTGTATATATATATATATATATATTATATAATATAATTAATATCCATTTTACATCTTGTAAATAGTATACATACTCTTCTACAAGCTCTATATTTCTCTAAATGATCTTCATATTTAATTTTTGCAAAGACTAGATAATGATCAAACAAAAATACTTGCAAATCTGACGAAGATGAATTCTCTTTACGTTTCATTCTACCTTTCATTAATAACTGTCTTCCTGGCTTTTCCAAGTTCAAATCTACAAAATCGACTGCTGACTTAAATTCTAATCGTTCATAAATTTGCTGTAAATTAAAAAGGTTTTCCGATCTTCCTGCTTCTTGGTTTACTTTTTCCAAATAATGTTTAATAATATTTATAACTTTTGGAATTGCAAGTTTATCAGGATTATTATCTGGCGTCCTTTTTAATATTTCCCTTAACAGGAGATTATAACGACCTAATCTCGTTGTTGGCTTTGTGAGATATCCATTTAATTCTAATTTACGAGATTCTTTTTTTCGTTCTGTTTCCTAAATAAGAACATGAATACAAATGTATGAAAAAAACTCTCCTATTTTTTTTTTTTTTTAATTTTTACCTCTACAAATTTTGCAAAGATAGGGTTTCTTTTCTTTTCAAGTTCAAAGGTAAATTTACCGATCATTTGATGTGCTCCATACTCAACAAATGTTTGAAAATGACAAACATGTTCAAACATGATATCACCAATATGAGCAACTAAATATTTCTCGGCTTGTCTCTTTTCCAAAGCTTCTGCTAGTTTTGAATTAACACGATGAACATCGGATATATTGTAAAATACGTCTTTTACAAACTGTTTCCGTCGACTTTCTTCAATAATATCTTTTGAGAGTAGAGGCTCGACCCAAAACTTTATATAGATGAGTTAAATATGCATGTATGTATGTATATATGTATGTATATATGTATATATGTTTGTATGTTTGTATGTATGTATGTATATACAATAAATTTATATATGTATATAAGCTTACATCTTTGACATATTGAAGATCTTTAACGAAATCTTGTTCAGTATAAATTAATTCGTATATACATTCTTGTCGTTTCCTTTCAATAGGCAGTGTTGATTCTACTATGTTTTCAGGAATAGACTGTGACCATAATCGAGTATTATCTTCATGCTTGTAACATGGTGGATATAGATTGTGAATATATATAATTATGGATATACAAAAGGTTATACACGTTTACCTTTATTTGAATATGACTTTGTTTCAAATTCTAATAATTTAGCTTTAATTAAAAATTATTAAATAAAATTATTATTTTTATTTTAGTTTATTTTACCTTCTTTTTTGGACAGGACCAACTATAACAACGATAATCATCTGTACAAGTAGGTGAATAACAGCCAGTTAAATTCGTATAAACTCCAGTTGGTAAATCTAATATTTGCGCATCTAAATAATAAAGTTTCCCATTTATTCTTTCTATTATTTATGTAAAAGCCTATTTTTATTTTACTGTCTTTTAATAAATCTTCTTCTTGAGGTGATGTATCCATAAAGTCTTTAAATGCATATAACTCATCAGTCGAATCAATTAAAAAGGGTTCATAATTTACATTATGAAAGAAATTCTGATTTCTTAAAGCTGTTCCTACTCCTATTGCCTCTAAACGATCTCCAATATTTAATATGACAAGCAATCGATCCTATTTCCGAGTAATAAAAGTTAATAAACATCTTTTTTTTTTTCTTGAGTAACTCTAATTTACAATGGCATCTTTTCCACTAAATGCATCATGGTATTGAATCCCATCTTTTGTTAACGTTGATAATGTCATATGTTTATGAAATTTCGAGGCTACTTCGGATAATAATGCAATAGAATGATGAGAGCAAGTATCTATAGTATATTGATTTATATCACTGGAATTATCACTTGATATAGACTCAGTATCCCTTGATATAGACTCAGTATCCCTTGACATAGACTCAGTATCCCTTGATATGTCTATTTATATATAAATATATACATGTATATAAAAGAAAAAAAATTAGTCAAGAAAGTTTCTTATCCTTTACACTCCCTTTATCTACCCTTAAAATTAGTTAAATCAGGGGAATGATTATCCCAAGATACGTCGTCTGGCATCATGTCCTCTTCTTTCTCAAGATCTATAGGTCGTATACAAATAATAGAAGAAGGGGGTCTATCTTTAAAGTTAAAATCATCGACATCATCATCTTGTCTTACTGCCAATGACGGAATGGTATCTTGATAATGGTGACGATGATGAAGCTTAGATGCCTGTTTATTATTTCTCTTTGTTGATTCTGATGATCTACTATTATTATTATTATTATTGGCAGCTAAGCTTTGTTTTCTAACGGGTAACTGTTGTTGAACATAATATTGTTTAATAGCTTCTGGTATAGGTTTTCCTGAGGCATAATCATAAGTAACAGTAGGAGTTCTTTTTAAATATAAAACATTAGGTGATGAATCCATCTATAAGTTTGAATATGTGTATATATGAAAAAGTAAAATAAAAAAGGAATATTTATATTAATAAATAGGACAATAAATTCGGAATAAGAAATGTTAAAGTAGTAAGATGAGAAAATTTAGAAAACGATATGTATAACCTTTTATGTATTCTCCTTTAAAAATATATATATATATATATATATATGTATATAAATATATACTAATTTCAGTTCTAATAGTATTTGTCAACGACTGAGTGGGCGTAACTTTTTTTTTTCTTTTTTTCTTCTCATTTTTCAATAATAATACGGCATCTCAATAAAAAAGATAAAATAGCGCCAAAAATAAATATCTTCTATTTTTGTTCCTGATAAGATCTAAATATTTAATATCTCCATTTCGGCATCTGACGCTACACTTCTCCGACGGTTCATTTTTAATCTTTGTTATGAATATCGGACAGTTTGTTAGATAATAAATAGTAAAGTAAGCTTAACTGAATATAAGCTTCTTTAAATATCAATATCATTCATTATGCTACATCAGTAATCTACATTTCCTTTATTCTATTATGTTGGAAGATAAACTCCAAGTAGATTTGGACTTTGGTTAGAAAAATGAAAACAATTGAGCAAAGGCAGAATATAAAAGATAAAATATATATATATATATATATTTTATTTCCACAAAGTTGCAAGGAGGAGTAACTTGTCTAGTTACTCTGTCGACAGTGAGACCATGCCTTTTTTTTTTCTTTTTTTTTGAGCAGCTAATTTCAAGTGTACCCAATTCCACACCTCCGTCAAAATAGATGCAGTCTATGCATGCACTCATCTTTTGTCTCTCACTTTTATTAACTAAGGAAAGCTTCTACTTGCCATTGCAAGTTTCTGAATTGGCAATGCTACAACCCTCTTTACAATGTACAGAAAAGCAAATGAGATTACTTTATTTATTTATTTTTTCTCCTCGCCTCATATAACACTCATCCGATAGCCTTATTGCCTGATTTCTTGAAAATGGAGCTGAGAAACGAAATCCTCCCACCAACAATACTGGTTTGTCTTGGGCTTATCTGGCACCATCATGTTGCATTCATTTTTTTTTCAACCAACACCCCTTTATTTCTTCTACAGTTATCTCTTCTGCTCAGTTCCTCATTTTCTCCTACTCCCATGAACTATTATTGGCGTCTGGGCTAAAGCTCCTTATTGTCTTCTTTACTTTTTTTTTTTTTTTTTCCTCCAAGAAATTTCTTTACTCTATCACTGACGGAAACCCCACTTCAAAAAAAAAAGCTGTCAACCTGAAATACATCGAAAAACCTAAGCAACAAATTAAATTCTAGAAATACCCCTAACAAATCAAAATTAAGGATACAATGTTGACTGTTTATCCCTTTGGCTTTCTTTGTTGAATATAATCGATGTACCTTGGATGGTCAACAATTCCTTAATTTGGCTCTTTCTCAATAATAATCATAGTATAGCTACTCTCTGTTTTTTTTTTTTTTTTTTTTTTTTTTTTTTTTTTTTTTTTTTTTTGCTTTTTCCATTCTTTGCCTTAGAGCTCTTATAAAAGTGGGTTTAGTCTCTTTTATTATTAATAATCTGACTTGGGCAATTTTGATATAATTAATATCTTGTGCTCAGTTTAGAGTTAGATAAAAATTATTGTTTAAATGAATATAGAGGATGTCACAGTCGGAGCTGTAGTACATGTTTGGTTATACTCCAACCTATTTTCCCCCTTTCTCTCTCTCTTTTTTTTCTTCTTCTTCCTCTTCTTTTTTATCATGTTTAAGCCTTCCTACTACGAATATATTACAGAAAAACGGCTAGAGAATTTACGTTTTTACAAATATGCTTCAATAGATAAATCTTATCTTTCAAAATATGTATTAAGGCATTATTGGGATTTTGCTATCACCTTATTTCCAAAATGGATAGCGTAAAAAAAAAAAAAAAAAAGGTTTTAAATTTAATATACTTATTGTTTAGACCCAACTTGATTACATTGATTGGTTTATTGTTTATGGTGATAAATGTGATTATCATTTGCATATGGTCTCCACATCTTTCTGAGGACGCACCCAACTGGATCTGCTTTAGTTTTGCGATAGGACTTTGGCTTTATTCGACCTTTGATAATGTAGATGGACGTCAAGCACGTCGTACTGGATCATCATCGCCGCTAGGTGAATTATTTGATCATGGTTGTGATGCCATCAACTGTACCTTTGTTGCTCTCTTACAGACAGCCGCCTTCGGTTTAGGTCATTCTTGGTTAGCGGTTATTTTATTGTTTGTCACAATTGCTGGGTTTTATTTATCAACGGCAGAAGAGTATTACACAGGTGTATTGTACTTGGGTTATCTAAATGGTCCCACAGAGGGTATCTTGGTGACTTGTTTAGCTTTCATTTGGTCAGGAATTTATGGTAAGTTTTTATTTTATTTTATTTTATTTGTTTGCTTTAACTGTTGATTCTATTAAAAAAAAAAAGGTGTTTCTTCTTGGCATGTGGCCATTAAAGATATTCCATGGCTTCATTGGACTCATTTTCCTGAACATATAACATGTGCCGAATTATTTATATGGGCTATGACATTTTTCTTTCTCATTACTCATCTTCCTGTCTGGTAAACATTCTATTTTTATTATTATTATTATTAAGATTTATGTATAAGGAGGAGGGGAAAAGCACAATAGTTAATTCAATTTTTTTCTCTCTCTCTCTTTTTTTTTTACAGTGTTTATTCTATTGCTCAAGCATGCAATGAAAAAGGATTGAAAAAAAGAAATGTATTCTTTAACCTCTTTTTCCCTTTGTTTGCTCTGACGTTTATTATTTGGAGTTGGTTATGCAACTTGATTATTTTTAAGGAGCAGCTTTTTATTGTATTTGCCATCTATATTGGAGTATTATTTGGTGAAATGGCCTCTGATATCATTTTGGCACATCTTACGAAATCTGCTTTTCCTAGCTTTGGAGGGGTTTATACATCTTTATTTTTATTCTATTTGACATTGGCTTTAGTAACTCCTCTTCAACGTATTCTTCATATGTAAGTTGAAATGAAGGAGACCGAGATCAATTCCTATTCATTTATATACATTGTAAATAGTAATGTTATTCAAGAATATCATGTATTGGCTATCTTTTGTTTGATGACAGTAATAAGATATATGATAAGAGCCGTAAAAATCATTCAAGCATTCTGTGATTTTTTGAATATTCGATGTTTTATTATATCGAAACAAATGGTTGTATCCAACACAAGAGGTAATATGCGTTCAACATTTTCTTTCTCTTTTTTTGTTTGTTTGTTTAACATTGTTTTATATTTAGCTGAAGGAGAAACTGAATCACTTTTAATTACTCAAGAAGAAGGAACAAGTTATAATACATTTCTTTAAAAAATGAAGGGACCATAAAATAACCCGGTTTTCTTTTTTTTTTTTTTTTTTTTTTTTTTTTTTTTTTAATGACATATATAAAAGAAATTATTGCAAATTAAATCTTTTCATATAAAAAAAAATAACTAGTATATATGAGAAAGTAATATGTATAAATAATAATAATAAACGTATAAAAAAAAGCATAAAAAACATCAAATAATAAAACTTATAAACTTATTTTTCTTTTTTTTTTCCTTTTTCTTGTTTTCTTGTTTAGCAACCCACAGTTGTTGAGTGCCATGACATATTAGTCATCAAGGTTGAATTGTTACTCGTTAAAGGTGGTAAATTGGTTGCATCCTTTTTCATATTTCGACGTTGATGTGTCTTCATATGTTGAGAGAGATTATCAGATCGACTAAAGGCCTTTTGACAACTAGGACAACTGAAGGGTCTCTCCTGAGTATGGATACGCATATGACGCTTCAAGTGTTCTAGACGTTTAAAACGTTGTTGACATTGTGTAACGGGGCAAACATGTGTCTTGGCCTGATTGCTATCCATTCCATTTGAACGTCGACGTGTTGAGGGCCTCCTTGTGGACGTTGTGAGGTTAGTTGTGGCAGTAGAGGTGTTTTGGAGAGGATAATGATGATGATGATGATGAGGAGGAAGAGGACCGAATGGATCACGACCAAAATGAATGGGAGAATAAGCATGAGATGTAGGGTAAAATGAAGGATGATGATGATGTTGTTGTGGTGGTGGTTGGACTTCATGATTTAATAAATGAGATGCACTTGTATCGTGCAATGTTGCTGTGGGTCCAGTAAATGCTTGTTGATGTTGTTGTGAGCTATGATTAAAATGACGCATATACTGGTGGTGCTCAAACCCATTTGTTTCCTGTATACATATATAAAAGTGATTAGATTATTTGACCCTATAAAACATGAAAATGCATGTACATATATAGGATTACCTCAGAAGGATAAGAGGGACGATGATGATGATGATGATACATGTCTTGATAAGAAGACATATCAAATGACTGAGGCTCTTGTTTAATAAAGAATGGATTAGCTCTATCATCAAATACATGTTGAGTAGTCACATTAGGGATAGATGATGGTGATGTAGTAGTAGTAGTAGTAGTAGTAGTAGTATCATCATCAGGAGTCACCATGGATGTAGTAATAGTATTAGTCGTCTTTGCTGCCTTTGTTGATCTTTTCGTCTGATAGGCCATATTTTCTTTTCTCGTATGTGTGCGATAATGAGCATGAAAATTATCAGAACGACTAAAACTTTTACCACAATTAGGATAAGTGCAAACGTGAGGACGTTTACCAGTATGAACCAACATATGACGCTTCAAGTGTTCATAGCGTTTAAAACTCCATTTACAATAAGGATACTTGCAAACATGTTTATGTTTTGTAATAGGTCCAGCAGTTAAATGATGACCACGACGTGTAGTAGTAGTAGTAGTAGAAGAAGAAGAAGAAGGTGTCTTCAATTGCTGATGAACTGTCATTGTTTGTTGAATATCATTATTTGAGTTCAAAAAGCTATAATCAGCTTGATCCTCATGACAACGTTGTGTATTATTTTGAATACCTTCCATGGATATAGCAGAACATGAACTTCTTCGATAAGCATCTTGATCCATTGAAGAAGTTCCAAAACTAAAAGGGCCAACATCGACAGAAAATTTACGCTTGAATTGTAATGAATCATATAATACAGAGGAAGGTGAAACAGCTGGAGTGAGAGGAGGTGATATATGATGAGGATACATCAATCCTGGATTCAATGTATTACCAGCACAGGGAGGAGGTAAATAAGTAGAATTATTCTCGATTATAATATTATTATTTTCTTCTATTTTTGGCAGCTTATCAATTCCAGGTAACTTTTCATTCATTAAAGGTGTATTCGATTGTTCATAATTCGACATCATAATAGAGTGAATAAATAAGAAAAAGTCTTTATTTATTATAAATAAAAAGTTAAAAAAAAATAAACAGAAAACAAAGAAAAAAAAAAAAAGAAAGTAAATCAATAAAAAGTAAATAGTTAAAATACCTTTTATAAATATGTATAGATTGATCGGCAATTAGTCTCTTATTTTATTTTTAAAGAAGGAGTTCATGGTATATCACTTTTTTTTTTTTTTTTTTTTTTTTTTTTTTTGATCATAAAATAAAGCTTAATAATTTACTAAATACGGAATAGAGTCTCCTTGTGATTTAAGGAGAACAGAAAAGTATATACCCAAAAGAAAAAAAAATTAAGGGGAGAGTAAAAGGTTAAATTTTGTACATTTACTCCTTGAAAATATAAACAGTAAAATTTATTAATTTGTCCTATTATAAATAACAATCAAAATATTGATTATGTCAACAACAACAATTTCTTGTAAAGTATTTTATCTCCTCTTTCTGATTAAAACTAGCTTTCTGAATATTCTTTTTCATTGTAATATTCTCCTAAATAACAAAGGAGCTTTGTTCGAAAGATATATAAATACAACAAAAACCTCGTGTTTAAAAGGTATAATATATCCTTTTTACCTTTATTTTTTTTTCTTTTTGTCTTTTTTATTTCTCCTATAAGATAGATATAGTTTTAGTATGCATTTGGTATGTGTAACTAGATGGTTGAGTTAATAGCATTTTATCAGAGGCTATACACATGTATTCTCATAGGAGATATGCATTTATATAATATGTCTATACGCTAGTTTCGGATTTAATTTTCTTTTTAGATTGCTCGAGAATACAATCTGGACTAATCGACTCCAAGTATTTAACATAGCATAGCACTATAAGGTAAGAGTATGAATAGGATTTATGGATCATCAAGTAATATACACAGTTGTTATTATTAATAGAATACCCTTTCATTTTAATAAATAATGTGCAGTATTTCATCATTTGCATCTATTTTGAGTAGTTATTTTATCTGTATACAGACTAGAGAATTATTTTAGTTTACTGAATGACTTTCTTCTTTTAAAGTATCGTATCGTAGCTTCCAATATAAATATCGAAAATCTACAATTATATATTATCCTTACTACTGATGAAATACATCAACTATCTTTAGGAAAAAGTCTTCCCTACTATTCAAGAATACAATACTGGAATTCAGATAAATAATTTAGCTTACATAAACACACACACATATCAGATGAATCAAGAATGTAATAAATGAAATATATTAATTTATCTTACTTGTAAGATAGATATAATACTATAATAATTATATCTTTTATATAGCTTTGAGAGCTAGCCTATCTACAAATACGCATACAAGAATGATATTTCTATTTATAATAATGATATGATAAATTTTCAATTTAGCTTAGTTTTGACCATGACTATTGTATGTTACGCATACGTTCATGTTAGCTACTTGTATTATTTATAATAACAGTAGTAATTAGTATCATGTGTCTACTAATACATGTTATATTAAAATCATGATCATATGTTCTTCTAAAAAAAAAAATCTTTAATTTTAAATACATGTTATAAAGTAAGTATTTATATTACAAAAAAAGTCAATATACTAATTTTATATAAATTATCTCTTGGTAATGTAATAATAGACCTATATTTCATTTACCTCATTTTAAAGATAATAAGTAGAGCATATTTTTATAGCTCACATGGTTAATGTAATGCCATGTAGTCCTTCATGTATAACTAACTAGATATTATCAATTCCCCCTTCCCCCCTTTAAAGGACCATACTATCTTTTCTTTTTTTTACATCCTATTCTATTCCTATGAATACTACATTGATTATCAAGTAAATACATATGTATATAAACATATATATTTATATATAATAAGCATACATATACAGGAGAGGAGGAGGGGTTCTTTTCCCTTTGTTAATTTTATAGTCTTTGCTATTTACTTTATGACATATGAAATACAATTCTTGTCCTTTGACTTTTAGGTTTACAGTATTAAGTAAGCACAAACTACTTTTTCTTTTGGAAAAAGAAAAAAAGAATATATATTCATTCAAATTTATCAATTAAAAGCAAAGTTGTTATTAAAGCTTGTAAGTATATAATTTTGACTAGATCATGTTTTATTAATAACTCTTTATTTAAAAAAAGAATTTATTATTTACTGTGGTTCGAACCGAAAAAATAAAATTGAATATTGAATCACCGACACACCGGACATGACATACATGATTTTTTTTTCCTCTCACTATTGTCTGGTACTAATATGGACATGAAATCCATTCAAATTATTGATTCCCTCCTTTTTTGCTTATTCCATCCGTTTTAAAGTAATGTAGAAATAATTCATCCATCCATATTATAAACCATTTATTTACTAATCTTTGATTGATAAATAGAATGGCCAAGGACCAAAAGACTACTCAAAAGCGTTCCACCCTCGCTGATGTCGTTACTCGTGAATACACCATTCACTTGCACAAGCACGTCTTTGGTCGTTCTTTGAGAAAGCGTACTCCTCATGCCGTTAAGGCTGTCAAGGCCTTTGCTCAAAAGGCTATGGGTACCAAGGACGTTCGTCTTGACCCTGCTTTGAACAAGGCTCTCTGGTCTCGTGGTGTCAAGCACATCAACCACCGTATCCGTGTCCGTATCGCTCGTAAGCGTAACGATGATGAAGATGCTAAGGAAAAGCTCTACTCTTATGTCACCTATGTTCCCGTTGCCAGCTTCAAGGGTAAGTTGAATTTTTACTTGGAATAGAAATAATAATAAAAAAAAAGACCAAGAGAGAGAGAAACGATGTATTGATTTATTTTCTTGATTTTTATAATAGGTCTTAACACCGAAGTTGTTGAAGACGAAAACTAAATTTTTTATATAATTAACTAAATATAATAAAAAGTAAGATCAACTTACTTTTTTTTTATTCTCTTTTTAGTCCAAAAAAAAAAGAACAATAGTAACATTTTTTTTTCCTTTAAAAATTGATTGTGTCTTGAAATATAAATGGATCTGAACAGTTTGATGATGATTCAATGATTATAATTTGGGATTTTAATCGAGAACACTTAAGAGTTGATCATTATCGATAAGGATAATTGATTGATTGGTAGAATTGTAAAATGCATCTATGATGTGGATCTATTATGGACTTTATTAATATAAGATAAAAAGTGTTATAAGTGTCTTTGACATAATTTTTTTTTTTTTATGTCACTTTGGTTCTGTCAGAAAAAGTTTTTTTCTAAACAACTTTGTTGAGCATTTTGAACATATCCTTGAAAATGTTAAGCTCATTGGTATATGTTATCATATCAGTTACTTGCTTCCACTTTGACAGTCAATTCCCGATACAGTGCACGTACCCTTTGAGTTGATAAACTTTGACTTTCGAGAGGGGAGAGAGAGTGGGTTCATACTCTTAGAAATCTAAAGAAGAAATGATCACAACTTTTTTTTTTTTTTTTTATTCTAATAATGAAAAATATGAAATTAGACTGCGGTGTCTATATTAAAACAAGCAAGGTGTGAAAATGACAAGATAAAATACGCGACTACCTTCTTTATGTCAAATGTGTAAATAACGCCAACACTTTTTTTTTTGCATATTTAAAGTAGTCAAAGAAACAAGTAGGTTATGTACTATAAGGACCGTTTCTATAACATCTTGGTAAACCTCTTTCTCGAGCACTTTTGAGTTAATAAACTCTCTTGATATTTTCTGATTTTTATTATTTATCTTATTCAGGATACTTCACTTGAAGTGAATAAATAAATACATATATAAAAAGGGTGTATCAGCCACTATCTTATTGCGTTTTATTATTATCGACATTCATATTACACAGTTCGTTATGTTGACTACGGTAGTCAATATAGAAGGACTTTTATAAATATGTATATAATATTTACTATAATATAATAATGTACCCTTCCTTTAAGACAAGGAGTAGAATGTTTTGCTTGTATTTATGTTTATAATATCTTCAGAGCCATACTATTTCATTATAGCTAGATTCCTGAAGGTTACAATATTACTACTACTACTACTAATAATAATAACAATATATACATATAATCGCATATTAAAGGTCTGCTTTCTTTTTATTCATTAAAAAAAAATGAAAAAAAAAATAGATTTTAGATAGATAAATGCATTGTCTTGCATGCATAATACACTAATCGTTGGTTTGTATTTAAAATCAAATAGATATAATTTACGCTTATTTTTTTGCTTCTATCTTTTTCTCTCTCGATAAAAAAAATATATATATATATATTTATATAAATTTCTAAAAATCAACATCCATGCCTGTACGGTGTTCCATACTGTCAACATCATAACCCGATGGAGGCTGCTTTGCATCTTCAAAAGTACGATGACGGATGACTTCCATATCAAATTTATTTTTTAATGTATTGATTTCTGAGATAAGCTCTGAAGTTGCGTCCTTTAATGCCTTTCCAGGTGATGTACCAGGTACAGTTTGTACTTTAATAAGAAAGTTGTGTTCAAGAGGATGAGGAACTTTATAACCAGCAAATAAAACTCTAGGATCTTTTAATAATTGTCTAAAGTTTATAGTTATATATTCTATTCCTAAGCAAAATATGTATATATATATATATAAATATAATGTACATGTATATATTTACCCTCTCAAAATATTTCCTAGTGTATGATCTTCACGTTCAATTGTAAAAGTTGCAGCATTAGGGATTTTGGTATCAATTTCCATTTCCACCCTTTTTTTTTTTTTATGATTAAATTAGTTCAAATTTTAAAAAGTCGTTTAATTCATCAATTTATACTTTTTCTTTCCCTCTGGAATAACGAATAATTCAAAACGATCTGGTGCATTCATTTTTTAATTGTATAATTGTCTATAGTATTGTCAATAATAATAATAATAATAAAAATAATAAAAAAAAAAAATCCAAATACTCGAAAAAAAAAAAGGTCAGAAGAATCTAAGAAGTCACATACTGCTAATTATTATTACAATACTATTTTTTTTTTTTTCAACTGCATAAGAATATGCTTTATTCACAAAATAAAAATACATAATAATTATTATAACTTCTATATAGCAATTAACTTATTGATACTAGCATAATATAGTATTAAAAAGAAATGTTTTTTTTTTTTTTTTTTTTTTTTTTTTTTAACAGGATATAATACGTTCCATTAATTCACTAGCAAGTTTGGTATTCTGTAAAATATTTGAGTTTGTAGCACCAAAAGTGGGATCACCTAAAGCAGAAAACCCTAGCTTATCGAGCAACTTTCTTTGTGAAGTTCCATTTTTGGATTCCATGAAAACAGGATCTGAACAAGCTGTAAGTAAAATAGATTTTACTGCTTCAATAATAAGTTGTGTTTGACTACTGATTACAATCTGGTTCATTTTTGGTAATAAGGAATCATACCTATAAACAAATATAATTAGACTTACTTTCACGTACTCTCCCCTCCTTCATTTTTTTTTTTTGAATGAATATTCATATACACATTTATATAATACTTTACACAAGCGCAAATACTTCAGGAATAGCTACTGCAGCTTCGGATAAAAGACCATAAATAAACAATCGTTCAGATTCATTATCGGCTGCATTTAGCATTGTAGCCAGTAATGAAATTAAAAGTAAAGCTGTCGTATTATCAGGTATATCAAATTTATCGAAAATACCAGAATAAGCTTTTTCATTCATTGTATTATGACTATCAATATCTGCCTCTGTCAAGCCTGCTGATTTCAATAATTCTTTCACTTTTTCATTCTTTGCCGCTAAAGGAAGTAGACCAGTTACATAGCCTAAAGTAGAAGCCTCAATAATGCTGTTTTCACCTGATAAACCATCATAGATGTACTGTTTACGTTCAATATCCAAAAAGGTGTGTAAACCATGATAAATTGAATCTTTTACATTACTGTATCGAAGACCCTTCATAAAAATGCTTGCAATTGCAAACGAGAAATGATTATCAAAGTTAACACCACAAAGGTGGTCAAGTTCTCGTGCAACATCTGCAATTGGTTCTCGGGCCGCTAACAAGACATCTACCATTGTATCATCTGTAAAAAATCCATTAGAATCTAAAGCACGGACAACAGCTTGGATCAGTTCAATAGCCATAGCAAAGGTAGGTCCTGTATTAATTTCGACAAGTGCAACTGCTACCCAGAACAACTGTAATAGATAACGTGAGTCACTAGGAAGGCTTTCAACCACATTCTTTAAGCACATCATAATACTTGTAACCAAGTTAGGATCAGAATCATTAAAAATCGCTAATGCACCACGTAAGGCTACTAATATTTGATAAAGCAAGTCGTCATCAATCTCTTCTCGTCCCAAGTACCCCAATACAACAAATGCACGAGGCTGTACAGATGGGTTGAATTGGAACGCCGTGCTTGCCACTAAACTCATCCACCTTGCTCTCCAATAATTGGCAATATCTGTATTTGGTGCTGCATATTTGATTGTTTCTAGCAATTTACTTACAATAATTTCTAGAGACAACAAAGAGATTGGCTCCTTTGAATCATTTAAAGTTTCAGGCATAATTACAAATGCATTTGCATTTGATCGATTAAGGCCAAACAAGAGACGACTCTTTGACTCTGATAATTCTGTTAACAAAAGTTGGAGCTTTTTTACGTTCGCTGCTGACAAAGGTAGAGAGGTACAAAGTGACTGAATCAAGTTTACAGTAATACCATGAACTGAGGCGCGTATGACAGTACATCCAACACCAGCAATAAGTGATATAATATGAAATAATTCAGGAACAATCAGTTTAACAGGGCCACGATTATTAAAAGATGACATAAGAATAAATCGAACAAGGATTGCAATCTCTGGCCAAGAAGGATGATCTATTAGAGATCGAGTTGGCTTGAAGGATGTATGATGAATTACTTTACGCAGAAAGGATATTAATTTAGATCGAACAACGACACTAGATAATGTGACAAGTGTATCTGCTAATGCCTCAGCTTGAACTGATCCAACCCCATATTCATTAGAAACTTGGATAAATGTATCAATAACTAAATTAAGGATATCATCTATTTTGCCTATTGTTTTCCAAATTTTAGCTTGAACTAATTTTGATATTTCTCCCGTTAGAGTCAGATCAATAAGAAGCCTTAACAATTCTTTTGTTTTTGCTGTATCTTGAGGAGACCGACTACAATATAAGGATAGATTGGATAACCATGGTATCATATATAATAAACACAAGTAGCGTAGACCTTGCTCTGATTTATTATATCCAAGAATACACTCATTTAAGAATTCAAGTGTGAGTGATGGTTCTGTAGCTGCAATCTTTTCACTAATACTGACAATAAATTCTGTGCTATTTGCAGGTAAACACAGATCTAATGATATATCCAAACTATTAGTATCTTCTCTCTCTCTTTTAAATATGTATATTACCTTTTGCATCTAAAAGCTGTTTTCCTACATCAAAATTAAACTCCCTACTAAGTGCATAAAGTAAATTATATGATGCTAATCTAAGATTAGGATCATTACTGCCCAAGTTAAGTAATGCCATATTAAGCAACCGTCCAGGAACATCACTTGGTTGAATTGTACGCTCACTTATATTACTAGGACGAGACATATCATAACGACGTTTACTACTTTTAATTGCCTATATATAAGGGGTTTAAAGAAAAATAAATAAATAAATCTAATTTCATTATATGATGATAAGAAAAAAAAAAAAGGGAGGGAGGAGAGGGGACTTACATTGATAATAGCTTCTCTCTTTGGTGAATTAAATGTCATTATTGTATTGTCTCTAGTATATCTGTAACTGAATTCAAATATATGCTCCGTTGCTCGATCATGTTGTGTCATAGAAATATCTTCAATTTCAGAGATATGGCAAATGTCATTTGTTACTGCATGCAGTCCATAAAAGATTTCCTGTTTCCGCACCGTCATTATTTGAACATATTCCGCACTAATTTTCATTGTTACAGGTATTTGCGTTGTATATTTCAAAACTTTATTCACAGGGAAGAAGACTGCACTTGGATCAGTCTCAAATCCAATTGTAGATTTCGGAAGTCTAACCTCTGACGGGGAAATATATTCGTAAAGTTCAGCCAATGTAACAGCAAAGACAATACGTTTTGTAAATTTGTGAGAGACTGGTCTTGCAAGCTTTTTCACAAAAGCTCTTAAACTTGAATTAGGATTAAATATGTGGCAGATGGCAATATTGTCTGATTTATCTTCACTCAAGAGTTGTAACAGTTGATGCACCCATTGTGCAGGAATTTCATTCGATCGACAAAAGCGTGACATATCTATGACAAGCTCATAATGACGGTTTCCAGCACGTTCTAGAGTCTGCAAGACGTGATAAATGAGTAGTTCAAAATCAATGTTATCTGCATTGATATGGCGCAGTATGAGATAGAATACAGGTCTGCCAGCTTTTGAAGTACTGCCCTCATAAAATATATTTTTTGATACAATCGCTTCTACACTACGACGACTATTTCTACGCATAAAGTCCGCATAAAGTTGATTAGAGGCTGCATAGACGTAACTACGAGATACAGCCAATTCCTTTTGTGGCACTTCAGGTGGTTGGCCAAGCTGTGCAAGAAGGTTAGCAAACTTATCAAATTCTCGTTTCCACGCACAGAGTGTTGCTGAATCTTGAAAGTTACGCACACCTCGTGCAGCAACATCACGCGATACTCGTTCAATATTATCATAAAGCACTCGATGCAACATAGCATATTGCTTTTCATTCAATTGAGGTACCTCATTGCCTTCTTCTCCTGATCCTCCACCTGTTCTTTCAGTTACTGTCTTTGAAGTTGGTACTTTAGAAATCTCTCTAAGAAAGCTTGCCACTTTATAAATATTACTTGTTAAGAAATCATTCAAAACAATCATAAACGTTTCTTTAGCTCCAAATAAGACATTATTAGCAAGATTTTGTATCACTTTGGTAGCGATCAAAAAACCACGACGCATTTCACGTGAGATAGAGGCTGTATTCTTGACCAGTCCTTCTGTTTCAGGAGACACGATTGCTGGACAAAAGAATCTTAAGAAAATAAAAGAGCCAACTGCTGTATATTTTGCTTCTGGAAATTGCTCTCGAACAGCTATCAAGATAAAGTGACAAATTTCTCTAAATGAATAGGGTGCTTTATCGACAGAGTTACAAATAGCGTCCAAAAACATTTCAGTTACTTCTACGACATTTTGTCTATTCTTATTTACATCTTCATTATGTCCAATTTTAGATGGGTCTAATTCAAAACATTTTTCTTCACGAGGACGTTCAGATAACTTTTGAAAGACAGGCAATAAGACAGAGCGAACATAATCAGTTCCATTATTTTTAGCATAAACCGATAGTAAACGAGTTGCAATACTTGTTTTTCTAAATAAATCTGTTTCATTTTCTAATGTGTATATGTGTATAAGTGTCTGTTTAACTTGCCTAATTTTTTTTTTTTTTTTTTACCTGTATTTTCAACTTCTTTTTCAATAACGGCTTTGAGCAACACCATCGTTTTATTTCTAGATGCAAAGCATGCTAGTAAAACATTTGCCACATCATCAATATCAGATGAAGCACACACTTCACACAATGTAAGCGCAATATTCAAGTCATCTTGAACAAGTATGTCAATCAACTTTTCATATCGGTCTGTCATCACTGTTTCTGCTAAGGTGTCAAATTCAGTTCCTTGGTTTAGGATATTTGTTAATACTTCCATAAATGCTGATCTAGTGCGTGTGTCATCATGATAACCCATTGAAAATGAATACTTAAGACCTGCATCCACGTTAGCACTCAAAAGATTTGATAATGCTAAAATAGTGTAATTCTTTAGAGGTGTTAATTCAGAACATCTTTTGTATTGACAATTGTAACCAAGTACTTGTGGATTGGTTCCGATTTCTGATACACGGCATCGATTCAAAAGCTTAAAAAAGAAAGTAAAATATTTATAAAACATCCTACTTTTGATAGCGAGAGCATCAGATTCCACAACAGACTCAGAAGGTTGGAGAGGTAAATGATGAAGAAGGGCGACAATTGTCTTTAGACAAGCTAAATCTAAATCGTTTTGCAATTTTTCTAATTGTGATGATTCACAGTTTGATGAAGAACTAACATTATCTGGCTTCTATCATATATTAATAAAAATTCATGTGAGTAATGCATATAATAAAATAATAATAATAATAAAAAAAAAGGCTAATCTATTTACCAGAGAGAAATCACTTGTCCATTCAACTATAATTTCCAGTAATTTGTTTCTTAATTTAAATTCCTGTCTTAACGTTACACTTTCTTTCTTGTTCATCAAGACATCAACTAATTGGCACATTTTAATCTTTATTTTAATTGATAGCTGATTTATTCCCAACTTGTTTAAATATAAAGCATACTGATTAATCAAGGTACTAAAGTCGACAGTAAACAAGTGTTCTGATTTATCAAGTCGATCCAAAACTTGTTTAAGAACTGAAATAGCCTGTTCGACAAATAAAGTATAACGAGGGCTACAAATTGGATCCATACTATCAGGTACAAAACATTTCATTAAAGTGTTTTCTAAATGTCGAAATAGAATATGATAGAGAGTAGGAGAAAGATCGTTGCCCAAGATTTCACGTACCCATTCACGCACAATTAAATTATCACATGCTAATAATTCAACCATATCCATAATAAATTTATCCACCATTGTAGCTGATTCGATAGGAGCTGTAAGATGTCGAGAGCTATTACTTGTGAGTGTATCGATGGATCGTGATCGTTGGGAGGAAGGTGAAGGTGGTACAGATGATTCGGTCATTAAACAAACGCCTCCTAAAGCAGCAAGAAACCCAGCATAATTTTGCCATTCTGATGATCGATCATCATCAATAAAGTCTATACGGTTAAGGACAGGTAAAGAAGTCTGTCTTGAAGACGTGTTTCTCAGTTTATCGTGCCATATCGATCCTCCACCCTTTCGATTGGAGTCAATCATTGAATCATCTCTACTTTCCTCAGGTACACGAGCTATTATAGGCGTCATAAATTTCCATCGTTTCCAGGCTTCTTCCCAAGCAGCTAACATACCAGGTGAGCTATGGTTAACCATCCTTAAGAGTCGACGTATACGACGTTGCTGTGATTTACGGCCCGTAATAACTCCTGGATTGTTTGCTAATTCAGTATAGCAAGCGATATTTTCGACAATGGTGATAGAAGAAGGTTGTGAGTCATCTAATCGTTCAGTTAGATGAACTTCAGTACAAAGAAGACCAAAACAATCAATTGAAAGGGTGCAAATATCTGGATCAGATGAACATAGTAGCACTAAAAGGGCAACCTCTAATCCAATGGATGCCTGTAATCGTTCTCTTGTATCGATGCCATACATGGCTACATCACGATGCTGTTCTAAAAATTTATTGCGGGAAATCAAAAGTCTTTTCAAAAGATCAAGTAGTTTTCGAAGTCCATTCTCTCGTTCTCGACTATCCAATAATTGTTTAGCTAATGTAAAAAGCACTTGTGATGAAATTTTCCAAAATGATTCCATATATTTATCAGGCGTTCCCCACAACATAATGTAATCTGGTGCATGCAGTTTATATAAACATTCTGCAGCCGCATCTCGAACACAGGTGTTTTGATCACGAAGACAATTAGTAATAGATACCATGAGAGCTACATTTTGATCAAATCTATTATCTTCATTCCCCTACATTTATATACAATTATATACATATATATATGTATGTATGTAGTTAATATACATTTGTATGTTTAATAGCATATGTTTTTTTTCTTTTTTTTTTTTACCAAAATGGCTAATTTAGGGTCTGTTTGATATAATCTCAATACATCTAAAATCAACTCAAATCGTTCATGAACTGGTACAGATCTTGTTTCCTTTTTCGCGATACGTTTATCAGTAGTGTTATACAATGCTTTTCGAGAACTTGTAGTCTGATATGCACTAGACACATCAAATTTCTCTTTATACTCGCGATTGAAAAACTCTAAAAAGAGCTTTCGAAGTCGACTACAGATTGGTGTATATAATGCAGAAATAGAGGGAATCCAAGATAATCTGTTCTCTTCTGATGCAATGGCAACAGCTGCTTTAACAACACTCATTTTAAAAATTGTTGGTGCACCATAATCAAAGCAAGTTGGAATAAGTGAGTTCACAGTCCTCTCTGTATCTAGTCGAAACATAGCAACAATGCAATCTGCCATTAGACTTCGACGATCTATCAAGACACCCAAGCTGTTCGATAACATCTCGAGATCAATAGAACGATGTATGTTGAATAATTTATCGATCAATTCATTTTCAACATCCGGAACTAATTGTCGAATAGATCTTACATTGTCTTTTGGTACATAAGATGCTGCACGACAAAGATCGACATAACAAATTGCAGCTAATCCACATATACGGTCATTCTTCATTGCTTTTCTAAGAGAATTAAAAAAGGCAGCCTAGTGTAATGTAATAAAAAGAATATAAGAGAATTTACAAGCTACAATTTTAAAGGATTTAATTTACCTTTTTAATTTGTATAGAATTTGATGCTGAAGTTGAAAGAATGATGTCAGGACAAAGGATGAGTAACATAGTTTGAACAGGCCAAAAGACAGCTTTTCGCTTTGTTGTGTCTGCAAGTGAATTGAATATATCAAATAAAACTTCAGGAGATCCATCAATGTGAGTTTGATTATGACATAAAAGAGCAAATTCAGCCTTATAATTTTCAATCCAATTCCAGATTGCTCTTCTTAGAATAGTTGCTAATGCATATTGTGCTGGCTTTTTTAAGTGTAAAATTGAAGTGCATAATTCTAATTCAAAATAGCATTAGAAAAAAAAAAAAAAAAAAAAAAAAAAAAACTTTAAATTACTTGATCAAGATCTTGTTTCTTACCTGTAAGTACCATACTTAATCGTTTACAATTTAATGAAGCACATTCTAGTAACATGGCATCTGTCATTTCAGGATTTTCTTCTTGTGTTGTTGTTAAATAGAGAATTCTGTTTTTGATTTTAGCAAATGTGATTGACCAATTACTTGCGCTTACATAGGCAATGACATGACTCGCTGCCTTATACATATCTATAATAATCTGTGTAGATGATGTTTGACCATTTATATTTGTATAAGCTTCAGCTGGATAAGCGCTCATAGAATGATTCACAATAATTCTATGTTCAGATTCTGTAAGGACACTAATTTGGAAGATAAAACGAGACATAACATAAATGATATGCTTTGCAAGATTGTCCTCTAGTGGTGGTGGATCAATAGGAATAGGTGAGATGCCTTTTGGCATAGTCCATGTCACGTTAGATGATGCATCCATACGATTTAAAGATGGTCGTTTATTATCGTTACTTTTACAAGTATTGTTATTTAAATCCTGATAATATTTCCAATGATGTTGCATACATGCTGATAAAACTCGAAGTAAAAAAAGTTGTGATTGTAATACGTCTTTTGAAGGAGAATCCTCTATCCTTAGAAATGGAGACTTGATTTACAGTAAGCTTTTTTTTTTCTTTTCTTTTCTTTTTTTTTTTAAAAAAAATTTTTTTTATTTTTTATCTTTTAGATATATTTTTACCTTTGATACATTTTCAATTGCTGATACAACTGTTGTTGCAATAGTTGGTAGTCTATATTTTGATAATTCAATTAATGCAGCAACTATATAAATAAAGGAAAATTACTTAAAGTTCAGTACAACATTTCTATTTATATATGTATACATGTATACATGTATATATGTATATAAACACATATATGTGTGTATAATTAAAATCACATGAAAGGAATATACTGTAACATACCACTGACGTCAAATGTCAAAGAAAGAATAAATAAAAGAATAATAATAAAAGAATTAGAATTAGAATTAGTTCTAAAAATGTATTTATGACTGTATTAATTTACGTTTGCTGAATTAAAGGATCGCTTTCTAATGTGTCAAATTGTGAGCCATTATTACTTGGTAGCTATACAAAATAATTGTTGTCACTAAACATGTTGAAGAATAATATATATATCATCTGATAAAATAAGAAACCACATACTCTAACAGCAATTCTATTTACTAAGCTGAGAATGAGTTTTGTGTCTGTACTCATGTTAAAAATGCCATTTAATGAATAAGCTTTCTAATTAAAAATTAGCTGTATGTATATAAATATATAAATATGTATGTATGTATTTATTTATTTATACACACTCAAGCAAAATAATATATCTATTCTTATATTACACGCCGTATGTATAAAATATAAGAAAAAAGACTTTTTTTTTTTTTAATATATAAAAGAAGCTATAAAATCTAAAACTGGATTTTTCTTTCCTACAAGCGGAATTTTAACATTGCTCTAATAAGATTATGAAAAAAAAAAAAAAAAAAAAAAAAAAAAAAAAAAAAAAAAAAACTACTTATAAGCAAGTACACACACACACACATATACATAATACCAGATATTGCTACTATACTACTTGATGGGTTTTACAAAAGAAACTCTATCAAGGGACAAGAGCAATAAATAAAGGGGAAAACTGCTAACGTCATTATAAAAATAACCATTGTACTAGTCAAGTATAATGTATTCTTTTAAAGACATTATTATTATAATATCACGTAATATCTTAAATATATTGTTTTAACCAAGTCAATCCAAATAAGGGATCTAACAAATCTTTTGAGATAAAAGCTAAAAAAAAAAAAAAAAAAAAAGTGATAAGAATTACAGTACAAGTAGGGAAATCAATCAACAAGTTTAATTGAGGGCTGAATAGTAGCAGAGGAGAGAAGGATTATCCATGGTAACGCTACTGCAGTAGATAAAAGATGATACATTTATATTCAGGTAGGATATCACGTGTTTGCTAGAAAAAAAAAAACTTTCTAGATAGTATGATTTAGGTAAAATTGACTCCATCAACGCAAACATCGATCACCGTCTAGTCTTGTTGTCTGGATGCCTTATTATTTTTTATTTTTTTTTCAATTGAATTTTTATTTTTATCTATTTATTGTTTGACGTTATTACGTAATCGAAATTCAGACTTTTTATGTCTATTATGTTTTGGGTAGAGAGAAACATATTTCTAAGCTCTAATAATATATATAAATATATATATATATTTATATATATACATGTATATTGAACTATTTTTTGACATGGGTTTTATACAATACTATTTATCATTCTGATCAGTTTAACTGAAATATTTAAAAGAGTATATATTTATATATATAAAAATATAAGCTTGAAAAGGTATTGAACTAGAATTGTTAATGAGAATGGTCTTTTTCTATTTGAGAACTTTAAACCCATATTAAGTAACAGCAAAAGATGAATTTCAAAAAAAAAAAAAAAAATTCAAACATATAATCAAGTCAGCCTTAACTAAACAGGCTTGTCAATAGGAAAGCCTTTAAAATAGAAGAGAATAAAGGATACTTACTTATCAGTAAGTATCTACTCTGAAAGGAAAAAGTATGAGTTTACAATGGCTCGAAGAAGATGATGATATAGTAACAAAGATTAAAAATAAAAAAAAAAAGAAAAAACAAAAAAAATTTAACAAAAATTATTCCAAAGAAATGAGTCTTTAAGAATACAATATACGCCTTGAATCAATTCTTTTATACTAATCTTCAAATATAATTGGTATATAATATAAAATATGATTTCAAATTTAATAAAAATAAATAACAAAGCTATTTTTTTTAACTTAATTTAATTCATAACATATACAAATATGTATATTGACTATATATGAGGTATATAAAATTGTCTAATGGAAAGGAGATTGAGGTCTACTGCTGTTGTCATGATAATATCCCATCATTGACGGTGGTGTTGAGTATCCCGGTGTTGGTGATTGATAAGGGGGTAAACGCTGAAACGCCGGTGACATAGTAGTACCTCTTAATGGCTGTTGTTGCATCATCATTTTTTTCTGATAACTTTGTTGACTGTAATAACTTCCTTGGCTATATCCTGAGCCTACTGATGCATTGTCATATCCTCCGTCATCAAAATACATCATTTGCTGTTCATATTCCTCCCAAGTCATAACAGGGATAGAACTAGGATCGAATTTACCCTCATCAGCCGCTACAACTTTCTTTGTTCCCTTTTCACCCAATACGACACGCGTATTCCCCCACGAGAAATCATCAAAGTGCCAATAAGCATAAATTGGAATCATAAAGGAAAAGACAGGGATAGCAAAGATGGAGACAATCATCCATATAATATGTTCCCATTTACGATGCAGCAAAAAGATAATAGCTTGAAGACCATACACACCAGCAATAGTAATGATAGACATAATTGGGACACCCGATGTCGATGTCACTAGCATATAGATGAGATAGATCAAATAGCCAACAATCGCAGGCTGCACAAGCGTACTCAAGAGATCAAGCATGACAACAAATCGCATCGAGAAACAACAAAAGCCACAGAGTTGAGGTAAGAAAACGAGCTCACCAAGGTTATGAATTGTAGAATTAATCCAACGACGACGTTGCGAGAGTAGGACAGACCATCGATCAGGGGCATTTGTAGCACACTTGGCGTCAGATACAAATTTGGTCTTGTGATTTGGAAAATGCTTCAGTATGAGGGTTGTCAAGTAACGATCTTCACCCAAATGTAATAAGTTTTTCTTGTGTAATGTATCAACCTTATTAATCGAATACTCCTCGATAATCGCATTCGAGACTAATAAAGGTTGATTCTTTTGTGGGGACCTTACACGATACATACAGAAGCAGCCTGGTAAACATGTCACAGACCCGAACAGACTTTCGAATGCCTTGATCATATAATGCGAAATAAAATATTCATACACTTGAATCATAGTGACCCAACTATCCTTTTCGTTTGACAACACCGTCTCGCCACATAGCCCAATAATTTTAGCATCGTGTGCGAAGACAGAAATCATTCTATTAAGACCATCCGGCATAACCTCTGTATCCGCATCCACCATTAATACATATTCGTAAAAGGAAGGGTTTACGCCAATGACATTCTTGATTTGATGGTACAATTCAAGCTCAAAGGGTGTCATAGGGGAACCAAAATGCACTTTGTTTAAGAAATTCATCAGGATCAATTGACTATCTCGCTTACCACGATTACCTGGCTTCTGACGCTCAGATGGCTTTCCAACTTTAGAGACAACAATATAAGGTACGACATGACCACGACATTCGTAAAGCCCGGAATAAATCTTGCCCATGTTATGCTGCTTTTGTCCTTCACCAACAGAAAAGAAGGACAAGGGCTCTGGATCGATATTTGGATCGACACCCAAGATATCAAGAACGATACGGGGGGTTGGACGATCGTTACCGCCACCAACAATCATGCCATCACAAATGATAAACAGCAACTTACGTTTATCATCGTATTGAAGAGAACTAATAGAGTCAATCGTTTTACGAAGCTCCTCTTCACCTTCCGTATAACAGGGCACTTGACAGATCACAAACTTTTCGTGCTTTTCAGGTTCACGTCGAGTTCTAAATTGTAAAGCTGCTAAAAACTTGAATAAAATAACCATACAAAGGAAGACAGTGACGATCAACAAAAGATATTCTGCAAAGAGACAACGTGCAGAGTTACGTTCATCGACAGTGCCTACATGGTAGAGATTACGAAGACAAACCATTTGACGTGATTTGACAGCTGGATCTAAAGGTAATGCGTTCCAACTAGCTGTAATATCTTGACCCGCCTTTTGACTAAAGAGAGTTACAATAGCTGTGTCCAAAAAATTGAGCTCACCTGCATCAGGTGCTGCAACCCCCTCAGGTAACTCAAATCGACGACCACCCAAGATATAGTATGTTAAATCATAGACGTTATGATTAAGGATGGCCCATTGTCGTGTAGTCTTTATACCAGACATATCAACAGGGTTAGTTGCCTGCGTTGCAATATCCTTAGGTGTATATCCCATCGTGCCTAGCTTATAGTTTTTGCGTAAATAGGACATTTGTTGAAAGTACCAATCCGGACGAGGATCTCCACTGTTGGGCAAAAAATTATGATATTGTGCATTTGTATCAGTAAGATTAGTATTAAAGTCGAGCGAAACATAAGGCGACACAGTACCCGTGACGCCCTCACACAGTGCAGATACTTGAACAGGGAATAATGAAGAAGCATCCTTGCCTCCATATTGAAGAATAGCACTCGTAGGTATCACTTGAGTGGCCCAATGATGCGGAGCAAACTTGGTCAAATCAAAGACCTCACCACGAATAGCAACATAAGCATTACTGTCATCTGAATGACTTTGTAATTCTGAAGTTGAAAACACATCTTGATGTGGGCAAACCAATGAACCAAAGAAAACAAGGAACCATATAATAAAACCTGAAGTCAAAAAGATACACATACATAGTGTCATTTTTTCTCGCCATGCAATTTGTATATCAGGTCGTTTCATTTTGCCGCAAAAAGATAAAAAAGAAGTTGGGATCCACCAAGTCATAAACCAAACAAAATTAAGCCAATGCCGACGAACTCGACTGACCTTTGTTGCTTCTTCATCATTATCATCTTTGTCTAGACTAGGTTTTTCAATCTCTATAGGATCCGTTGTTGGAAGCATAATTTGTCTCAGTTCCAAGTTGGTTTGTGAAGCACCATAAATATCAGATGATGTGCCATACTGTGAATCCGTATCATGATAATAATTATTGTTATTAGAATGATTGTGTTGGAATTCATCATCCGATAAAAAGGAGCGTTGATCATCCGTATAAACAGATGGAGGTAAAGGAAGTCCCGCTGTGTTTGCAGCAACTACTGCTGCTGCTGCTGCTGCTGCAGCATCATAATGTGTATGTGGATGATGTCTTTGTTGCTGATTTTCAGGTAATAACAAAAAATCTGTATTCGAACCATAGGACATATTAGAAATGGTTTCAAAACTATGATCTCCACCATCCATATTCATAACAGGTGCAGCTAAAGTAGCCATATTTTCATTTACTCTTTTTTCATCTCTTAAACGTCTTTGTTCTGCTTTTTCCGAGACTCTCATCATATCTTCCAAATTTAGCCAAACTGATTCTTTCAAAAAGATCTACATGTATATATATATATATATATATATTTACACGTAAGTTTAGTTTGTATTTTAATTGTATTTTAATTGTATTTACCTTCGTGGTGCCTAATGCAACTTGATCTACAGTCCATCCAAAACAATTGATTATTATTTGACATTGTTCTCTCGTATTTTGTGATATGGTTGCCTTTTCCAAGTATCCTTTTGGACTAAAGACAACATCTTTATATCTTATCATAAATTCATCTTGGAACATCACATTTGCATATTGTGTTTGAAGTCTTTGTGCTATTTGAGGTAATCCAGCAGCACGAATTTGTTGTTTAACCCTCATTGTATCAAATTGATTTGGGGCTGCATGATCATTAGGCTTAATACAAAAGACAAACCATGATACTGTCTCCTCCAATGTTTTAATAAATAAATCATCCATATTTTGCTTCAACTGAGATAATACCATTCTGACACCTGATTTTGACTTATCGATCACTTCTTTGTTGATAGGATCTAATGTAGTACGTTTCAGTTTTGTAGATTTGGAACGACGCATTGAGGGACCACGAACAGGACCGGTTGGTTGTTGTGCGTTCAAGATTGCATTACTCTGTTTAGGATGATGTTCAATTTGAATCATATTTGTACCTTGACCAAAGATTTCCACTAAAAAGCTATTGTAGGAGCTAATTTCATTGTCTACACCACGGATAAGCTGTACAAGATCAGGATTCAGAATATCCCAGTTAGATTGTAAAAAGTCATCCGGACTATAGACAGCTTGACCAGAGAAATGTTGAATAGCGAAAAGACGTTGCTTTGGGTCTAATTGTTTAAATGAGGCATGATTGGTATTATATTTAGAGAAAGAAGCAACCATAGAAGATAGGATAGTACTGTTAGAAGTATCCGAGGAAGTTTTCATTTTGGAGGTATGTTGATTGATAATATCAACAAGACCCTGTTTTGGACGCATTAAAAGTTCAACACAGGCTTGATTACTAAAGTAAGGAATATCGGTAAACATAATACCTTCCTGACGGTATTCATCCAGATCCATTTCAAAGATAGTTCGCTGACAAAAGTGATGTAACCGTTCATTAGCAAAATTAATACAAAAGCCATAAAAATGTTGAGTATCTTGATGATAATAAGGACCAGGAAAATCCAAAAGGCCAATAAAATTAAAATTATCACCTTGTTGATATAACTTATTATTCATGAATTCAACTAACCAAGTAAATAATAAAGAATAAAGAGATCGAACGATATCATCACGTTGTTTAGCAGCACCCGTTGAATCTAATATGATAGTCGTTATATCCTTCTTTATTAATTGAGTTTTATAAGTTAAAACTGTTTCCAACCCCAAGGGGTCAACACCTAAGAAGTCAGCACAAAGATCCAAAGTAGGTCTCGTATTTTTAGCTATGATAGCCCCACCATTTAAATCATCTGCTTGATCCAAAAACTCTAACTGACCTAAATGCAAAAGACAAGCTAGTAATTGCCAAATACGAGCTTGATATTTTTTGTTGATGCCTAAAACTCGCATAGCTTGTTTCAAATCACGAAATTGATTTGCTTCTGAGCCATTTGCAGCTTTAATACGAGGAATATATCGATACATGACCTCATCATTTAATTGTAACATTGCCTTTTCTTCATTTGTACATCCAGCGAATAGTTGATAAAAGATATGAAAGGTCTGTTCTCGACTAACAGCCTGGATCATTCTTGATTTATCCAATAAATAATTAAGGATTTTAGTGCCTACCATACGTCCGCGCTCATTAAATTGTAATTCCATATACTTGCCAAATCTAGATGCATTTGTATTGACTGAGGTGGCACAGTTACCGAAGGCTTCAAGAATTATTTGAACATTTGTTATTTGAGCTTGAAGTTTACTTTCTTTTTTATGAGAAGAAAGTTGAATAAGATGATTTAAAGCAAGTTTAAAACTTTCTGTCTTTCCACTGCCTGATTCACCACTAAAATAAATAAATAAAATAAATTAAAATAAGGTTATATTTTATTATCATTTATTAACTCCGACTAATAAGTTGCTCCGATACCCCCTCCTCTCTCCCCTTCCTCTCATTCCCCCTTTAGGTTTTACATCAAAAAGTAAAAAAGTAAAAAAAAAAAAATAAATAAAAATAAAAATTGATTATTATTGTAGATCCCCTCTTATTTCTTTATCTTAAGACTTTAAATAACAGAACAACTGAAAAAAAAAAGGAGGAAATGAAAGCTGAAAAAAAAAAAGTAAATAAATAAATAAAAAAAACACACAACTTACCAAAGTATTAAGGATTGATCAATACCAGTTCGTCTCATGTGTAAATAAGCTTGATTCACGATTTTATAAAGATGTGTAGGTAAAGGTTCAAGTCCATCCGGATCTTTGTATTCAGCAACATAACTTGTATTCTCCAATGGCATCGATTTATATGGGTTCAAAGCAATAATAGCAGTGTCACTGATTCGAGAATAAATGACATTACTTTGAAATGCACATCTTAAAGTTTCTGTTATGCCATCTTCATCTACTTCATCGCCAAGGAGATCAAATTCCTTTTTACTTGTTGTCATTAAATTAATTTGTATATAAATAGAAAAAAAAAAAAAGAAGGAAGGAAGGGAAAAATAAAAAAAAAAACCGGCTACAGGAATCAAAATAATAAAAAAAAATTGTCTGTTTTATACAGTGCCCGCAGCGTTGAATAACTATTTTCTTGTACAACCAAGCAAATGTAGAATAGAGTATTAGAATTGTAAATATAATAATCTGTTTGCCGTTTAATTTCTTTTCTTGTTAATATCAGCGACCCCTTTTTTCTTTTCTTTTTCTTTCTTTCTCTCTTCCTTTGCTTAGTCGATACATATAAATCTTATTGACGACAATAGCATCATGAATAACAGTCATATGATTCTGAATACTTTAGTTAGTCAGCTTGATATCTTTCAAGAACAAAAGCTTATTTCATCAGTTAGATGGTCATTTTCTCTCTGATTATATTGACCACTTTTTGTAATTAGAAAAAATTGGCTTCAACTCATAGCTACAAATTAACTATCTGTCTAAACATACTCCATCGCTAATATAAATAATTGTACATATTCATTATTCTATATTTAAATTATGTCAATGTGATACTGTCTTTTGGTAATCAAAATAAATTCACCTGTCAGACTACATAGACTTGGGACAATTTGATGCTTATATTCAATTTTCTTTATGATGCTAGTAACTAATCTCGTGGTCTTTCTCTGTACTTTTCTCTTTATACATATACATACATAAATGTATTTTTTAATGTTAAAGTCTACTTGTTTCTTCCACCTGTTAAATATGTATCGGGCTTATTTCTTTGTCAAATGTCTAATAAGAGCCTTCTACCTATTTTTTTTTATCGTACGTTGATTGAATAAACTATTTTTAGGCTCCCTTCATTGGGTGATAAAGAAGGATATCAAATTCTTCTTTCAAGTTTTTTTTTTTTTTTTTTTTTTTTCTCCGAAATCAAGATCCACTAAATCCCGCCAATGAGAACTTTTTTTTTTTAAGGGACATTAATAAATAGACTCTTGATAGCAAAAAAAAAAAAAAAAAAAGGTTAAATAAATATAGACATGAATATGTAAAGGTGGAATAGAGTATCAACTGTTCATTTTAAACTATTCGGCTCATTTGTAAAGAAGACAATCTTATTATTACATCCAAAATATATATTTATATACAATCAAGAAATAATAGAAAAGAAATGATTATATTTCAAATCTTATGCTTCATGGATCAATAATTGAATTTGATGAGATCTAAGGCTTTTATTTTTTTTTTTTTTGTTTTTTAAAATCTAACTTTTCTCTTTCTTCCTGTATATTTCGAATCCTTTGCAACCACTTTATCGCCTTTATCTCTTGCTATTTGCTTTTTATGTTGAATCCATTCTTTATTTTTCACTGATTTACGATCATTTCTCTTTCTTTTAAGATGTCGATTGCGTTTTTCAAATTGAATTGAACGTGCTTCGTCAGGATGCATCTCACCTTCTTCTTCACCTAGCGCTTTGGGCATTTGATTTTTCACTCCACTTTGTTGTCCTGCAAATAAACATAAATAGTACTTTTTCGCTTTTTTAGAATTAGGATAATCTACAAGGAGACCCCCTTCGAAACCACATCGTGTAGCAACATCAATAATAAGTTGAATTTGATCATCATTTTCAGGATAGAATTGAAAGACAGCTCGTGCGCCTTTCGTCAGTGATGCATAAAGAGTTGAAAAAAAGCGTTGAAGACGTGCCTTGGGACGATTAATTGCTTTATCTGCATTACAGAGCCATTGAAGCACAGAGACACTTTTTATGTTGGGTTTGTGTGTATAAAATTAAGATGAACATGAATTCTTTCTTTCTTTCTTTCTTTGGCTTACCTAATACAGCCATCAAAAACACCAGGTCGAAATCCTAGTCCTTGTCCTGCATCTTGTAAAAATAAATCCCCTTCTACTTCTCTTTCTTGAGCAATGCCTAACATAGCATCTGAAATATCGAAACCAACCCAAATATGTCCTTCTTCTTCTAATATTTCTCCACTAAGTCCAGAACCACATCCAATATCTAATAAATATTTTGGTCCTTCTGTCAGATTAAGTAATTCTAAACAGCGATATGCCATTTCTGCTTGAATAGAGGTAATACGTGAACTAAGTAAAATAAATAAAAAGGTTGAGGAGATAAAAGTAACATTGTTAAAAACAATCGATTTGAAACATCAACATGTATACATTGTTTACTTGTCTGTGTATTTTCGGGCTTCATCTTCACCATAAAACTACGTGTCAAAATAAAAAATCATGAATACAAGAAAGATATGAAATAAAATAAAGTCATTCTTTTACAATTTCTGGTGGTGCAATGTGTTCAGGGCGAGACATGATCTAAATTTTATAATTGCAAGTTAAAAAAAAAAAAAAAAAAAAAATTACTAGTAAAGGAATAAAATTTAAAAAAAAACGACATTTGTGTGACTTTTATCCTGCAGCATGAGTATTGAGTGGCTTTGAATTCCTTCTCCCCCCTCAAAATTGAAACTAAACTAGGGTCCAATAATTTACTCCATCTCTTATAACAAAAATGTTACATTTACTTGGTGTTAATTTACCTGATAGAAAATTAGTAAGGTACATCACACTACTCTAGTATTTTTTATTTTATTTTTTCAGTGTAAAACTTACTTATTAATAGTACAGCACTTCAATATTTTTATGGCATTGGTGAGCCAACAGCATACAAGATTTGTCAAAACCTATCTATTCCAACCACACTCAAGGTAGCTGAACTATCAGAAATTCAAATTAACGAAATAACGACTACCTTGTCTAACATGACTATTGAAACTGACCTGAAACGAGAAGTGAGAGACCACATTATGCATCATCGTAACATTAATAATTACATTGGAAGAAGACATGCTATGAGTTTACCTGTTCGAGGTCAAAGAACAAGAAATAATGCGAAAACAGCAAAGAAATTAAATGGTCGATGGGTACAACGTCGAGGCATCTCTATGTGGACACAGTTACAACAGGGACCTTTAAATAAGTTTCTAGAGAGATACAATTCAATGTAAAATAATCATAATAGTAGTAGTAATAAATAAATAAATAAAATAAAAAAAAATTGAATATTTATTAATATTGCACAATGTATAAAAAGAACAAACGGGTATTTGATATAAGTTATAATTTAGTCATATTGTCCTCCAGAACATGTTATAAAATGAATGAATCCTTTCCAGAAACCTTGCTTTTGTTCTTTAGTATCTATAGCATTTACATTAGGGTTGGTAGCAGCAGCAGCAGTGGCTGTCGTGTTTTTTATATCATGACTGTGATTAAGGGGCACATACGAAGTTGTTTGCTGCTGCTGTTGTTGTCGTTGTTGCTGCTGCTGCTGAATGACAACTTGTTTACTATTATTGATTGTATTTCTTGTTGTTGCTCTTCTACTGCTTTGATGTTTCGTAGGCTGTTGATGATAATGACCTGATCTTCTTGCTCTTGCTTCTTTTAATTGTTTGAATCGAGTCTATAAATTATTATTATTTTAACAAGCTTGGAACAAACAAAATGTAAATCTTTACCTCCCAGCCTTTGCCTTCGTTTAATAAGACCCAGTCATAGAGACCATCATCCTGTTCATTTTGTTTTTCTAATACTTTATCGAATAATTCTCTTAAAAAATCATAGTCAGGTGTTTCTTCAAATCCTAGCTTTCTAACGTATTGAAGATAGATACCAAATTCCTCTATTGATTTTTATATATAAAATGAACAAAACAAATTTAAAGTAAATATTTCTTATTATTTACCTGGATAGGCTCCGCATAAACTTTTAATAGCAGTTGTCTGCTTTTTTTCACCAATTTTTTCGTATTTTTGCTTATTTGTGGCTGCCTTTAATCCTTGCCAAGGTAAAGAGCCTCTTAAAAAGTACATAAATACATGACCTAAAGCCTCTAAATCATCTCTTCTTGATTGTTCTAATGTAATGAAGTCAGAAATTAAGGAGTATTTATATGTATATATGACATAATATACCTCTTCCTAAATGAGTATTGATACTCATGTATCTTGCAGTGCCTGATAAACTCCTGCGTTCTCTATAAGGAATATGTTTTTTAGTTTTTGGATCACGATAGAGTTTGGCCATGCCATAGTCAACTAAAAATACTAAATTGGCATATTTTGTTCCCGGTCGTCCGATCAAAAAATTATCTGGCTTAATATCTCTATAAATCAAATTTCGTTCATGAACACTTTGTACACGAGAAATCTAGATAAATTACAGATCATTAGTGCAGACAAATAAAAAGAAAAAAAAAAAGAAAAAAAAAAGGGGAAGGGGAAAGTAAATAATAATAATGATAAAAAGAAAACTACAATCTGTACCATTTGCTTTGCAACCATAGCCACAGTTTTAATAGTAAATTTTCTATTACATATATCAAAAAGATCTTCAAGACTTGGACCTAATAAATCGATCACGAGTATGTTATGAAGTCCTTCGTGACCAAAATAATAAGCACTAGGAACTCCAGCTACAACAACAACAGCAACAAAAAATCAATATTTTTTTTTGAAAAAAAATAAAATAAAATAAAATACAATAAAAATAAAGAATGAAAAATGAAAATGTATAGATATAACATACATGTTCCTGCTAATATCTTATATGTACGATATTCATCTCTTAATTGAGGCACTTCAGACTTTCTTGGTTCAAATTTAATGGCAACAGACTGATTATTTAATAAATTGAGACCTTCATAGATGACACCAAAACTACCTTCGCCCAACTTTTTACCCACTTGGTAATGAACGCCTACAATTGTACTCGCTGTTGATGTAATACTCTGGCTACTTGATTTATCAGGTAATGAGTGATGAGAAATCTTTTCCATCGTTTAATTATTAAAAAATAAAAGAGGAGACAGCAGATATAGGAGTATAAAAAAAAAAAATAAAAAAAACGAATATACACAATAAAAAAAAAACAGATTTTTTTTTTTTTTTTTTTTTTTTTTTTTTTTTTTTTTTTGAAAAATTACAGGTTTTATTTCGTTATGTCCAATTAAATTGTTTTTACGGGAATTTTCAGACTATCTGCATTTTTCATAGAATTTAACAAAATTTAGAGGTTTATTTTGGCAAAAAAAAGAATCCAATTATTATATGCATTTTTTTTTTTTTTTTAGAAAAATGACAACTATAGACTGAAGCAAAAGAGACGACAAACAGCGTAAAGAAAAAAAAAGTAATTAGAACATAGGATGTTATATAAAGACATAAAGTAATGCCTGTATTCACTAAATAATAACATATGATCCTAAAGTATACAATTCAAAAAGATGCGACCATGATTATATGCCTATAAAATATCATGATTTTTATTTATTTATTTATTCATTATAAATATGACTATTTTAATATTTACCTACAATACGGAAGAAAAAAGGTTTGTCAAGTTCATTGGCCGTCTTTTTATTAAACACAGAAAGTTAAAAATATATTTATTGTTGGGAAGAGGGATTAGTATTCGTTTGACTAAACTAATCTAGATTTATACTTGTTTCAGTTTTATACATTGAAAGGTATTTTATGTATAGCATTATTTAATATGAAATAGTTAGTAAAATATATTTAGCATACTTGTTCATCATTACCACAATCTATCGACACTATTTATTCTATACTCGAGTTATATTCTTTATAAATAGTGTTAACAAACCTGAAATTATTTGATGTTGCCTCCAGTGTGTTAAATATGTCATATAAAGTCATAATAATGATAACACATATTCAAGCCATTTTACTAAATAAAAAGAATACTTTAATTAACTAGTGTATGCGTTACTCTGTTAGCCCTATTTTAAGGTACAATAAATGTATTCAATCATCGTCATTATTCAGATTACATAATACTAGGTATTAAAAAGTAAAACAATAGTATTAGAGATCATCATCATATGACTCAATTGACTACACATATACTAACGTTTATGTTTACCAAATCAAAATAGCAAGTCGTTCTATTATAATAGTCTTCTATTATAATAATCTTCTCTTATTTGTATTCTTCCTATTTCTTATTCAATGCCTAGCATTTTAACAATGACTGTTTCCTTCTCTTTCATAGTAGATTAGCTTCAATATGATCTACACGGGTCACTTTCCATATTTAATACATTCTATTCGAGAAGCCACTTATTATTCAGTACTTTTTGTATTACACAAAATATAAAAGTGACATACCAATCTAGATCATTATTTTATTTTATTTTTCCATATAATAATAGATCGATATCACCTTTATGATTTGTAGTCTGTAACTAATTTCCTCATTTATTAGCAGAAGAAGTTGTCTTTTATAAGATTACTAGTCCATTTTTTTTTCTTTTAATACGCAAACTTAAAAATGTATAGTTTTTTTTTTCTATTTTTATTGCATGTCTATTTCACACAACAACTTATTTACATTTAAGATAATATATATTTATAAGACTAAATACATGATGTCGTTTTAGTCATAGTAGTATAGGTCCATATTTGGGAAAATAAACACGATATCCTTTGCATAGCTTCTCAAATAATAGGATAAATTTAGAAATAAAAAAAAAACAATAATCTACTCAACATTTATTATTGTATCTATCTGGTTTAAGCAGTCGTTGAATAGATTTAGTTTGGTGTAACTGAAACATAAAAATAGTTACACTCAATAGTAAGTGATCTCAAATACAAATGACAGAAAGTACTCAATAAAGCCATAAAGAAATAAATAAGTAAAAAAAAACGATGCTCCTTATTATGTATATCGAAATCATAAGGATGTATTACAATAGAGTTCTAGAGTGAAATCATGAGATAACATACAATTCAAACGAATTGTAACAATAGGATAAAGAAAGTATTCTTAACTAAACAGCTTTTTATTTATTTATTTATTCATGAACAACAACTACTACTCGTGTTTATAATAACAAAAAAAAAGAAGCATATATGCACTGATTGTCTGCTTATTTTATATCCAATAACAATAAATTTGTCAAAAATTCCTTTTTTGGAAACGTACATTGCTTGATTATCACTCAATGGGGGGGGGAAATTACCTTATCTGAAGGGAGACAATGTATAATGCATACTATCAAGACTTTTCTATAATATATAAATATATATATATATATATATGTATACTACTGAATAGTGTATTTATCTATTTCTAAATAATTAGTATATCTAGTATGTATAAATCATTGTACATTCTCCTATTGAATAGCATTATATCTCCCATATACGTACATACATTTTATTATATATATAAATGTATATAAATATATATATTTATATACATAAATAGATAGTTGTAAATGTATTAAAAGAAAAAAGGATTCCTCGGTATATGTATTATAGATGACTTTTCTTTTTATCTTATTTATTTGCTCGATATAAACCATCATACCGATACTGTTATTTAAAAAAGTGTTTTTATTTATAGTTGGTCTTTTTTAAATTATATGCAGAGTTGTCTGTGCCTATAAAACAGATCTTCAGGAAACTTTTTTTTTTTTGACTAATAAAACAGGGACTACGGTATGACACTTGTATGCATGATTCCAAAATAGAAATTGATTGAAATATGATCAAAAGGAATGCAACAGGTTGCAGTAACATTGACAATATATATATATACATATACTTTCTATTCTTTTGTCTCTTTTTTTTCTCTCTCTATTTTTTTTTTTTAAAAAAAACATATATATAATATAATATATACTTATATTTAGATATATAGATATATATTTATATATAAATATATACACACATATACATATAGTAGAAAAAAATAAAATAAAGTAAAAAATGATACGGCTAAAGTTCTGGTTCCTTCTATGTTTTACTTCATTTACATATGCCACAAAGCATCGTTATGAGTTCAACATTACTTCACATCTGTTAAACCCAGATTGTCACACACGAGGTTATCGTACGCCACTCATTAATGGACAATTCCCCGGACCCACCATTCATATAACTCAAGGTGATGAAATAGAGATTCTGGTACGAAATCAAGCACAAACGTATAATACATCAATTCATTTCCATGGTATCAGACAGATAGGGACACCTGAATCCGATGGTGTTCCTGGCATCACTCAACATCCTATCATGCCAGGTACCTCCTTCCTTCATCGGTTTAGTGCTGTTGGACAAGCTGGTACTTACTTTTATCATGCTCACATCGGTCTTCAAGATGATACTGTAAAGGGTGCTTTCATTATTTATGAATCGGATGAAGCAAACCCTAAAATGAAACATGATGGGAATAAAAAGAAGAAGAGGAACTATAAGCGATGCGTTCGTCCACAGAATGACTGTTTTCTTCATGATCCTTCAGAGAGTCATGATATGGAAAAGCAAATGCTAAAGGCAGGTCCCTACAGTTACAAAAAGGACCTCGTCTTACAAGTGAGTGAATGGTGGCATGATGACTTACTGAGTCGTGAAGAATATTATTTAGGAAACTTCTTTACCTTTGATCACGGTGCAGATAGTATATTGATGAATGGTCGTACGATCTATGATCCGGATACACTCAATTTGACTTCAGCAAGCTGTCAGGGCTATACAACATTTGATGTAGAACCTAATTCAGTATATCGATTACGTGTGATTGGATCTACGACATTTCGTACGTTAGCTTTAGCTATCAAGGAGCATCCAATGACATTGATTGAAATAGATGGTGAATTAACAGAACCTTATCAGACGTCCTTTCTAGAGATCGCTCCTGGGCAAAGATATTCTGCTTTACTCAAGACAGGTAATCATCCACCTGGCACTACCTTTGCGATTGGCACAAGTTATCTTTGGAAACAACGCGGTGGTGGTATTACTGAAAATGGGTTTGCTTATATTCGTTATGTCTCCCCTGATACTATAAAGAAAGAGAAGGAGGAGGAGGATAGGCCTAATACGTATTTATTTAAGCCTATTCATCTTTGGCAAGATGCTACAAATCCGGTTTCACCTGATCCACCTTTAAGTCCAACTATCCATGATGCTCTCACAAAGCGAGCAGATAATACTACTGTACCTATTGCTAATACAACAACTCTACAACAACAAGATCCTTCTCGTAAAGATAATAAATCAACAGGTCGTAATGGTGGTGGTGGTGGTAGAGGTGGTCGTGGCAGTCGTGGCGGTAGTGGTGGAGGTGGCCGAGTTACGAATAATAATAATAATAATAAGAGTAACAATCGTGTCTATGCTGACTTGCCTTTACTTCCTAATGTCGATGAACCTGACTGGTTTTACCATCAAATCAAGCCCCTGGCTAAACGTCATCCTATCCTTGATGAACGAAACGTACGTACTATCAAATTAACAACTAGTTTTCATGTCATGATCGACAATACAACTCGTTATATGGTAAACAATCGTATTCAATCACATCGTTTCATACCTGCTCTTTTTGACTATCATCAAAATTACAAACAATCAAGGCATCGCAAACAATTGACAATAGATGAAACAGCCAATCTTCATTCTCAATCCACTCACAAGAACAAAACGTTGCCTCAGCTGAGTCAACATGGTTATGATTATCATATGGATTTAGATACATATCCTATTCAATTTAATGAGACACTCGATTTGGTCTTTCAAAATTCAAAAAATGCAGCTGGAGGTTGTTTGTTACATCCTTGGCATACACATGGACACTCACATTATTTAATTGCTAGCGGACAAGGAGACTATGTACATGAAAGGGATTCAAATAAAATGAACTTTGAATTTCCTTTATATCGTGATACCTCAGTGGCTTACCCAAGTATGCCTACAAATGATACAGACGGCTGTGGATGGACTAAAGTACGTATGAAAGCAGATAACCCAGGTTTTTGGGCAGTTCATTGTCATATTACCACTCATATGCTTCAAGGGAAAATGGTCATCTTAGAGGAAGCACCCGAGTTGATAGAAGCCTTTAAGCGTTACAAGTAATTTTTTTTGTTTTATTTAAACTCTTTTTTTTTCTTTCTTTCTTTCTTTCTTTCTTTCTTTCCTTTTTTTTTTTCTCAAAAAAAAGAAAAAATAAAGTATACAAATTAAATATTATTGTTATACCCTATATATTTAATCAGTATCCATAGCATCTTTTTCCTTTTTTTCTTTTTTCACTTGTTCATTAATAGCAGATAAAAAGGATTCAACTCCTAAAATAGAAGGGTCTAGTCCAAATTGAGATAACAAAGGACCTAATTGTCCTGTATGAAGGGCAGCAACAAAGGTTTGCAGAGATTGGCTGAATTGAGGACTAGCAATCACCGCATTTAATTCTTCAGGTGTCTTTTCACATTCTTCTGGCAAATATTCCATAAGTGATTCACAAACTGATGCATCCTTAAGTAAAGGCTGCAGTGTTTGTGAATTTAAAACATCATTTAATGAAATAGAAGATACAGTAGAAGGTGAACCTATGCAAATTCAGGTTAAAAAACACACACACACACACTACTCTCCCTTCCTCCTACTTTACATATTTTTAGTTTTATATATCATACCATTTAACCTAGCAAGTATTTGACGAATTTGATCCATTCGTTGTTCTGATTGTTGTTGTTCATTACTCATATTTGCAATATCAGTAGTTGTTACAGGCATTTCAGTATTCACAGGCGATATATCATCTGTAATAGGTGCAGTACCTGTTGGGATAGGTGTAGTGTATTCTTGATCTACAGCTGTAGGATTTCCTGTAGGATTTGTTTCTGTAGAATCTTCCTCTATTTCATCTTCATCCATCTCATCTGGAGATCTATCAATTAAAATTAATAATGATATACTGACATCAAGTCTATTTACCTATTCATATTGCGTAGAAAATGTAAAATATTTTCCGGAGTGAGGCTAGGATCTAAACAAATAAAATAAGTAAAACTAATCTTTTTTTTTTTTTTTGAATGAGTTACAATCATACCTTGACTACGAACATTATTTAAAATTCGCATAAAGTCAGCATGAGAAGCTGAATCCTCGGGTTCTGGAGACATGTTGGTTTCAGGATCACGAATTAGGTTATTGACACGCTCAACTAATTCATCATCTTTTTCATCTGATTTATTTTGCATCCAATAAAAATGACGTTCATTCGAGATTTTGAACCGTAAAAGATAAACACGACCTGTTGTGCATTGCGTAACTTTTGTAAATTCTGCTTCGTCAGGAAATATAATCCAGTCCTATTTAATAAATACATATAAGTATATATGTATATATATATAAATCCTCTCTCCAAGATTTAAAAATAGATAGATCGTTACTTACGTCTTCGGGAACTGATTCATTCTGACGTTCTTTCCAATAAAAATGTAATAGTTGATCTTCACCCTAATTAACCAAATTGTTTAGTTAAGTAACTCTAGTATACTTTTTTTTTTTTTTTTTTTTTTTTTTTTTAAGAGAAGTTATTTACCTGCTCCATGTAAATCATACTATTAAAAAGAAAAAGATTAACATTAAAATAATATCAATCGATTCTTTACTTACCCTTTTCTGGTATCTGGCTTAATTAGTCTACCTTCAATGATACATTTCCCAGCATTAAACTCGACTAAATGTGAAGATCGAGCAGCGGCAGCAAATAAGCTCATTTTTTATATAAATGTATAATTGAGCTACGAAGAAAAATGCACGCATTATGTAATAAGTTCTAGTTTATAAATGTATTTGGGAATAAAAAGACGTCACATTGCCTATTTGTAAGTATTTTTTTTTTTTAAGAAAAAAAAAAAAAAAAAAAGTGTCAACATATCAAATTGCTTATTTATATACCACATAGATATATGATCATTTCTACTACTAAGCAGTTAGTCCATGAATTACCTTTTGTAAAGAGGATAGGATTCTATTCTAGTAGCATTTCGGAGTAATAGTAGAAAGTAGTAATTTACCTTCTTCATACAGTAACAAGTTTCCCACGATCAAAGTACAAAAATAAGAGAATTCATATCTCGTTTCTTTCTTCCCTTTTTTTTTATTTCTATTTTATTACGTATTTTTTCTGTTCTATTAGTAAACGGCTTAAAGAATGATACAAATCACAAGGTCTTTTAAGAATGTATCGTCATCTATTCTTTTTCCTTCTTTAAAAAGATCTTCTTTTATTCAACAGCCAAAATCGATATTTCTCACGGTAAAAGACATTAAACAGAAATCCATGTTTATCGTCTAATTTCTCTCCCCTCCCCTTTTTATATATATACACACACACATATATATATATATATAGTCTTCTAGTACTCGTTCCTTTCATTATTCAAGCATCCAACAAATAGTCAAACCTTTTTTATTAGCAGATATTGGTGAAGGTATTACTGAATGTGAAATAACACAATGGTAAGTCACTATACACATACACACTATATATATATATACATATACGCCTATTTATTTATATATTCCAAATTAACGCGATTTCCTAAATAATAATAAAGGTTTGTTGAACCAGGTGCTACAGTAGCTGAATTTGACAAGATATGTGAAGTACAGTCGGATAAAGCTTCAGTAGAAATTTCTTCTCGATTTGCTGGTAAAATTTTAAAACTCCATTATGATGTAAATGATATTGCCAAGGTGGGTGCGCCCTTGGTAGATATTGATGCAGTAGATGAGGATGAAACAGAAGTTGACAAGGTTCCTGAAGTAGTCACGTTATCTAAACAAGATGATTCTCCCTCATCATCAGACAATATGTTTAAAAGTCAAGTAGGCGTACTTGCAACTCCAGCAGTTAGGAAATTGGCAAAAGAAAAAGGTGTTGATATTGCTAAATTGAAAGGATCTGGTAAAGAGGGTCGTATTCTTAAAGAAGATATTTTCGCTTCGTTAACAGAAAAAGGTAAATTAAATTATAAAAAAAAATAAAATAAAATGAAAGAGAGACAAAGGTGTTAATTAGAATTGATAGCTATTCATCCTGAGCCTAACCCACAAACAACACCATTAACTATGATTCAGAAGGCCATGTTCAAGTCTATGACCAAATCTCTCGAGATTCCTCAATTGGGTTATGGTGATGAAATTGAAATGAATGCTACTAAACAATATCGTGCTTCTCTCAACAAGCATATTATGGCGCATTCAGCACTATATCCTTTCCCCAAAATTACCTACATGCCCATATTTATCAAATGTTTGTCAATGGCTTTAACCCATTACCCTATCATGAATGCTCAACTCACTCATGATAATGATGTCCAAACTGCTCGTCTTACTTACCGTCCTCAACATCATATTGGTATAGCTATGGATACTAAAGATGGCCTAATTGTACCAAACATAAAGAACGTTCAAGATAAATCTATCTTTGATATAGCTTCAGAGATCCATCGTTTGACAGAACTAGCCAGTAAGTCAGCAATCGGTATAGAGGATTTGAAGGGTGGTACGATTACTATTTCCAATATTGGTACAATTGGAGGAACCTATGCAAACCCCGTGATTATTTCTTCTGAGCTAGCTATTGTCGCGCTAGGTCGTATTCAAAAAGTGCCTCGATTTGATGAAAATGATCGTATCATAGCCAAGGAAGTGATGCCCATTAGTTGGTCTGCAGATCATCGTATCATTGATGGAGCCACTATTGCTCGATTTGGAAATTATTGGAAGCAATTAATTGAGAACCCTGCTTTATTGGCAAGTGAGCTACGTTAACATCAAAGGATATTATTATTATTATTATTTTTTAGAGCAATATATAAAAGCAGTGTATATCCTTCATGGTTTTATTATTATTATTATTATTATTATTATGTCCATCATAAGTGCCTACCACCTATATTTACAAAGCTTGGTGTAGCCATAGTTATAATATACAAAATTGTTAAATGTTGATCTCGCCTTTATTAAATCGCGACCCATCCATGATGATATAAAGAACTGAGACCAAAGGAAGAATTAGAACAAGTTATACAATGTCCTTTTGTAGATTGTAAATATCTTAAACAAGTTAAAATGATCGCCTTTCTTCTTTAATACTTATTTTTATAACTCTGATTACTTTATTTAACATGATCCTTGTTGATATTAGATCGTGACACGATATCGAACCAAGTCTTCTTGGATAGTGATTATCACATAATCACCCCTAACCCTGTCATTCCTTTTTTTTTTCATCCCTGATCTCATTATTGTCTACAATTGAAAATGCCTCGAGCAATTGACTATTTAATACCCTCACAAAATCTTTTGTCCAAGTGACTAAGTGACTTGAATATAATTTCTAGTTAACCCACGTGAATACAAGTTTTATATATGTATATACAATCAAATATCACAACTAATAGTGTATGTGGGAGCTACATATGAATAGACCTCTGATGATCGGTTCAGTTGAAATTTATTAACTATAAAGAATAGAAACCTGTATTCTATTATATAATGGATAGAAGCCTTTTTAAGATGGATAGCTTCAATATTGTAAAATAGTTATACATATATGAAATTGACTATTTATACATGTATAGATTATATACACTAGTTTTCTTGTTTTAACTTATGAACCAAAGGTCAAAATCTATTATATTTCAACCGTAGATTTAGTACATAGAAATTCATTCATTTTTTATAATTATATGAAACTTACTTTGTTTACTACGCCAGCAGCAACAGTTTCACCATTTTTACGTAACATAACACGACCCAACTGCTTATTGTCCTTGAATGTTTCCAAAGGAATAGGTCGATGTGTCAATTTGATTTGAACTTTGGCTGTCATTCCTTTTGTCAAACAACGAGGATTCTTTTTAACGACTTCACCTGTTGATTTATCAAGAATTTCAATGAGTTTAGAAATCATTGCTGGTTCATCTAAACTGCCATGATGAAGTACAACAGGGTAACCAGGTGTAATAGGGATACGAATATCAAAAATAACGATTTGTGCTTCAAAATTTGTTGTTACTGGAACAGGGTTTGCACTTGTACAAACCATACAACCATTACTATTGTATATATATGTATATAAGAGAGAGAGAGAGATAAGGAAAAAAAGACAAATATAAACAAATAATAAACTCTATTATTATTTTACCTCAAATTCATAATATCCAAGTTAACCAGAGTCATTAAAACTGAATCACCTGCAACTGCCCAAGAAGCTGGTTTATCGTTGACTTGCATAGCTTTTTTTTTTTTTTTTTTTTTTTTTGAAACGAAATCAAAATTTTAATAATTTAAATAAAAAAAAGATAATTTATAAACTTACTTTTAACATATCCAAGTTCATTACTAGGAACAATCATAATTTGTTCACCCACTTGAACATGACCTGATTCAATATTTCCTGCTACTGTAACGCCACCACTACTACCAATACCTCCTTTAAAGAAATCTGTTACACGCATTCTAAGAGGACCATCCAAGGGACGTGCAGGTACAGTTAATTGATCCATTTGCTCTAATAACGAAGGCTGAGAATCCCCATACCATGCTTTTAACATATCAGGTCTTTCATGATCTATAAGATTGACACCCATCAAACCTGAAATAGGTACAAACTTCACGTTTGATTTCTTAAATCCAACATGTTGGCAAAGATAATCACCCAATTTATTTTGAATCTCTCTAAATCGAGCTTCTGACCAGTCAACCATATCCAGCTTGTTGACAGCGACAATGATCTGTTGTACACCTAAAGATCTTGCTAGCATAGCATGCTCCTTTGTTTGTCCACCAAACTCAAATCCACTTTCAAAGCTATTTGTTGAAGCATCTACAACAAGAACAGCACCATCTGATTGTGCAGTACCGGAAATCATGTTGGGAACAAAATCACGATGACCAGGTGCATCTAATAAAGTGAACTGACGATGTTCTGACTCAAAATGAGCGAGGGCAATATCCATTGTGATGCCTCGATTACGCTCTTCCTCAGTTTCATCTAGGATCCATGCAAAAGCAAATGATCCTTTACCTATCTTTTGTGACTCATGTTCAAATTTACGCATCATACGATCATTGACTTGACCTAACTTAGCGGAAAGATTGCCTATCAAAGTTGATTTACCAGAATCGACGTGTCCAATAAAACAAATATTAATAAGAGGTTTTTCACCAGATCGACTTTCATATTCATCAACAACACAAATACGTTTGGAGGCAGGAATTTTAGATAAGGGCTCTTGAACGGATTTGTTAACAAGGTCAATTGAACTTATATTCTGTGCTATTTCATTAACTTCTTCTTCGTCGGATAAGAATTCTACTTGTTCTTCTTTATTAGTTTTATTCATCTTTTCCGGTTTTTTTTCAACAGTCATCTTTTTTTCTGAATTAGCTACATATACGTTAAGATGAAATGAGGGTGTTGGTTAGTTTTATATATAATGTATTTTTTTTTAATTGTATGAGGGGGTTTTTTTTAGACAAGTATAATAAAGAGAGAAAGAGAGATAGGTAGGTAGAAAAGCTAAAACACTGTTATTGCTTTAGGCTTTCTTTTTATTGTTGCTGTTAGCTCCACTACGTTGACTTTGTGCCGACATAACAATATCATCAGGACTAGGTTGATCAAATTGAAATACTGGAATAAAAGATGGGTTTTTTTTAGCACGATCAAATACAACTTGAGGATCAAAAGACGCAGTAACAGGTGGTATAGGCTTAAATAAAAATTGTGCAGCTGCTGAAGGCTTTGCACAAAGTGGGTTATTACAATGCTGCCAAACTTCCTCTTCTTCTTGGAAGAATTTCGGTTCTTCTAGTAATTTGCTTTCTGTCTTTTTGGCTAGTTGCGTAACAGAAGACAATTTTGAAATGGAGGATAAATTAGATAAAGATGTCAAAGCCTCCTTTTTGGGTGTAATTTGTTTTGAAGTTTGATTAGCTAAAAAGCTCAAAGTTGGTGGATTAGAAGCAGGTGCTGGTGAACGGGAGGCTAAATGAGCAAGACCTGTAAGTTTATTTGCATTAGCAGTTGATGATGTAGTTGTATTTGACTTTCGTGCAAGTAAAGCAAGAGAGGGTATTGAATTGTTGGCAGCATTAGAACGTTGAGCCAAAGCTTGTAAAGAAGATAAAGGCTGCTTTGATATGTTAGAAGAAGAAGCAAGTGACGAAAGAGTATTATTCGATGTTTGCAACTTTTGCCCTAATTGTGCTAATTTACTAGTTTTGCTGGCAGAATTTTGTTGACGCGTATTTGCTAAATTAGCAAGTGAAGGAGGTGTCTTTTTAATGTTATTTTCCATCAGTGAGAATTTCACAAATTAATACCAAGTTGCGATGTGAACAATCAAAGTGTTGATTAATTAAGTTAAATTGAAGTGTAAAGTGTAAAAGAAAAGAAAAGAAAATAAAAAAAAAAAGAAAATAAAAAAAATGGACTTTTTTTTTTTTGAAGACTGCATTTTACAAAATGCGCTTACTCTTTAAATCTCCCTTTCTCTCTTCCTCTGTCTATGTCTATGTATACCTATTTTCAATTTTATAACTGAAGCTTACCTTTTTTCTTTGATGCTGCTTCTTCCTCTTTAGCTTTCTTCGCTGCTGCAGCAGCTTCTTCTTTAGCCTTCTTCTTTTCTTGTAAAGCCTTTTCTTTAGCAATTTGATCTATACACCAAATAGGTTTGTAAAAATATTGATAACTTCAAAACAACTGTCTAATTTACCAAGTGCCCATTCTATTGTTTCGTCAATGTCAAAATAATAATACCATAAAGCTTCTCTAATTTCTTTTGCACTTAAAATAGTATCTTCACCAATAACACTATATACTTGAGCTAATCCTTCGTCTAATTTATCTAGATCTTCATTTGATAATTCATCCTCATCGACTACAAATTAATAAAAAGAAAAGAAAAAAAAAAGGGAATTAATTGATCTTTTTTTGAATGAATTTTATTTTATTTTTATTTTTGTTTTTTGAAATTTACATTGATTTTCGTCATATTCACTATCATATTCATCCTCGTCTAGTATATCTGCAAGAGAAAGTTAACATAAAGTGTATAAAGTAAAATTATAAAAGAGAGATTATATATCTATATATACCATCAATATCCAAATTTCTCACTGCTCTATGCCTCGACATTTGAACTCAATATGAAGAAAAAGAGTAAACTACGAAAATAAAACTATACAAATTTAAAAAAAAAAAAAAAAAAAAAAAAAAAAAAAAAAATGCAAGCCGTTTATTTTATCAGCGGACACCGCTTTATTGTCCAATGAGACACACTTACTTTGTACGGAGCAAATTAATACATTCTACAGTTTTACACAGCTATAGCGTTAAAAAAAAGACCTGTTTTTTTCATACAAATATGAAGTACGCTTTAAACATAGAATTTATGAAATAACTGTGTTGTGAAACATTTATACAGCCAGTACAATGGATATTGTCGCCAATTGACACATATTTGTTGGCAGTTGAGAAACAATTGTCGCAAAAGAAATTTCGTTTTAGGGAAAAGCGTATGTGTCGTAAAGGTTTTATTAAAATTTTTTAGAGAGGTTCTTCATATAGACATTTAATAATATTGTTATAGAATTAGCTCTGGATATGAGCATAAGAAATATTATAAAAGATGAATTACATAATACAGAATAAAATATAAGCCTGAACATATAATAAAACTCTGTATATAACATCTTGTAAATAATATAAAACTTATTGGCATCCAATCATCTAAATGTGTCAACTAAATAAAATATCCTATCATTTCTAAATATTTATTTTTTATAACCTTGATAAAGGATTCAGGTCAATAAAATAAAAATGTAAAAGACATCAAGAACATACTATCTCAGTTAGAACACCTTCCATTGGATCATAAACTTTTCGTACCCTTCTCGTCGAACAGGTTATCGTGCCGATCTTCGTAAAAAAAAAAAGATCTCTCCATGCCTCAAACAAAAAAGAAAAGCTCAGGAAGAGGAAAACACTACGACAATTTAAGCTAATCTGATGCGACAATTGTTTCTCAACTGCCGATAAATATTTGTTAATTGGCGACAATATCCATTGTACTGGCTGTACATCTTTTTATTGTTATCAAACACAATAGAGTCATGGATACATCATTCGGGATCGCTCAAGGAACACTAAATCATAAAACTGTTTTTTTATGCTTCCTTAAACTTTTTTTTTTATGTCCTTTCTCTTTAATCTGAGCAAGTATTAATGTAATTATATATAAACTATCTATGTAAGTAATAATTGATTTTATTAGAACGATTAAATACACTACAGTCTACAAAATAAAAGAATTGATATATTACATTGTCCATAAAAAAAAAGAACTGTAGTTTCTGTTTGATTCAGCTAGCAAACAATAGTTCAGTTAAAAGCGTAAAAGACTGTATTATTATGAATGCCCTCTTTCATCCAAGCCTAGACTAAAACTCTTGAACTTTGAGCTTCTTCTTCCTTTCCACACCAACTAAATATTTTATGAATTACAAAAGTCCCTTATAGTTTCTTCTTGATCCTCTAGTCTCTTTATTGATCCGACCCGGGCAAATTTGATATCTCGTGCTTATTTTTGGGGCCTTTAAAATTTATTTATTTACTATTATATTACCATGAATGAAAAAGAAAAAAATTATTAATCAAGCATTCTTTCTTTCTTTCTTTCTTTTTTTTTTTTTTTTCTTTATTGTTTTTATAATGTCTACACATTCTGGTATTACAGCTGACCATCTTAAATCAGTTATTACTGAACGTCTTCAAGCACAACATGTTGTATGTTTAAAGATGTGTTCTTTGTTTTTTTTTCATATATGATGCTTATAAATTGAATTCGACTCTCTAGGAAATTGAAGATTTATCTGCAGGTTGTGGACAAATGTTTGAAGTCATTATCGTTTCACCTATTTTTGAAGGAAAACGTCTCTTGGCTAGACACAGGATTGTAAATGAAGCACTTAAAGAAGAAATTAGTAAAGTGCATGCTTTTACTCAAGTAAGTTGACTATGCTTATTCTTATTCTTATTTCCAAATAGTGTATAATATTCGTTTGATTGACTTTTACTAATATATAAATATAGAAATCATTTACACCTGAGGAATGGGAAAAGAAGAAGTCTGAATAAACAAGATTAAAAGCTAGAAGTTTTGTATGATTAAAATCAAATTATATACATTTAATGAAATAATAACTATAATAAAAAGAAGCAACCCAATATGTATTCTCTTTTGATCTCTTTCTCTTTTTAGATTATTCATGATGACCAAATCTTAATTAAGCAAAAAAAAAAAAAAAAAAAAAAAAAAACGAACGATCTTCTTTTTTAATATAGAAATAGTGCCATTATCATTAGTTTAATAAAATAGTTATACTAGTGAATGAAATATACATGAAATATACATACACACACACATATATATATATATGTATATATACATATATAAAATAAAAGTCATATAGTATTGGATTCGATTTATGATAATGTAGATAGCAGAGTGGTAGACAGAAGTTGATGCTGAATTATAACAGTCACAAAGAAGTTTAATAAAAGTTAGACATATGTTATTATCTGATTAGAATTGCCTGCTTCTTTCATATAAATATAAATAGATAGAGTTATATAATAAATTAGTGTATTCTATTTTTATTTTTATTTTTTTCTTTTTTCTTTTCTTTGTTCCTTTTATATACATTACATTGAATGGCACGCTGGACATTAACAGGTTTAAAAGAGGGTGCTATTGATGCCCTGCAAGGCATAATCATCGTTCTTCAGAACCCAAACATTCGAAAACAACGATTCTTAAAGATTTTTATCTATCTTTCGATTATATCATTTATTTTACTCGGTTTAACAAATGCCCTCATTACTATTCCTATACGAATTGCACAGTATTTTATATGGGTATTTACAAAGGGCGAACAAGTGACAAAGGCACAGACACTGTTGGACTCGGCCTATCAATCTATACATGAAATCGTAGCCTCTCTCCCCCTTTTAGCTTTATTATTAATGCGTTACGTATATCCAAAACCATTGGATGATTTATTTATGGAATCTCTGCGTTATTTGGACCAACAATATCCTCAACGAAAGCCCTATGCGACTGTGTTAGAACAACAAAAGTCGAAACGAAATCATTGGATTGATATGAAGCAATATATATCAAGAACTTGGAAAAAGATAAGATTAGGGATTCTATTACTTTTATTGTCAATGTTACCTGTTATCGGTAAATTTGTATTTCCTGCTGCTGGTATGTATTTTTGTATAAATGTATTTGTATTTATAACAAAAACTTGTTACATCATCTTTTATTTATTTATTTATTCATTTATTTATAGGTGCATATACTACCTATAAAGCGTTAGGTAAGACACAGGCCGTTGTAGTGGGTGTTTGTTTCTTTTTCTTACCTCAATGGGCTACAATGAAGCTTGTACGTGCCTTGATTGGTATGCGATCTTTAATGCGTGAATTATTATCACCTTATTTTATCAGAATGCAAATGTCACATAAGGAAAAGCGTAGATGGTTTAGTGGTCGTAAAGATAGATTGTTTGGATTTTCTGCAATTGCATATATCATGATTCGATTACCTATGGTTGGCATTTTAGGTTATGGTATTGCCCAAGCAGCTTCAGCTTATATGCTAACGATCGTTACTGAACCTCCCTCTAAGGAAGCTCTATTTAAAAAGAAGTTGGATGAACAAGGGAATAATGTAGATGATTTACGTGAAGTTGATGATCATGATAAGATGAATTAAATGTAATATATGATTACGTAATCAAAAACAAATAATAATAATAATATAGCACATAGCTACTTTTTGATGTGTATCCCCCTCCTCGACTTTTTTTTTTTTTTTAAGAAGAAAAATCAAAATTTTTATTTGCCAATTTTATACTTTCCTACTGCTAATAACGTAATAGCAGTAGTAATAGCAGTAGTAGCAGCAGCAGTAGTAGTAGTAGCTGATGATCAGTGAAATAATAGACAAAAATAGAAATATTATAATACCAACATTGGGTAAAATTAAAGCTGCTGAGTTTAATAATAATAATAATAATTATAGAGCTTTTTTCTTATTCTTATTATTATTATTATTATTATTATTATTATTATTATTATTTTAGTAATCTTGAATCAATGCGATTTAAAATACTCATCTTGTTATTTTTCTATTTCATCATAATGGGGATACTAGGCTTTGCTCCAATACATTTACATGAACAATTTGATGATAAATTACTTCATTTCTTTATATTCTTTAATTTAGGTATTTTACTTTATTTCTTATGGAATCTCGCTTCTGTAAAACGTAATTTAATTCTTGCTACCATCTTGCTCTCTGTAACGGCTATTGGAAGTGAATGTATACAAGGTTTATTACCTGTAAATATAAAAAACGAAAAAAAAATTATATATAGATTTAACATGATTGTTAGTATCGCACTTTTGATGTCAATGATATGATTGCGAATATGTTAGGAGGTGGTTTAGGCCTTGGATTATCTTCATTGTTGGATTATGTCATTGAAAAGAGAAAAGAAAATAAAAGAAGATTTGGAGGTAAACGAGAAGCAGAATATCAAAGGGCTTTAATGGAATTCACAGATGAAGAAGAGGAACAAGAGAACCTGGAAGGCAGTTTTATGTTGAATAATCGAACTTGACTTTTTTTTTTTTTTTCTCCCCCAATATACCATTTATTTAAAAATAATAGATAGATAATTACATATTAAACTAGGCATAATTTATTTTATTTTATTTTATTTAAAACACAATATGAGCTGCAACAATACGATGTAATTCCTATTCAAACACAAATGTGAATATCATTTTTGATGTCATTTTTTTTTTTTTTTTTTTTTGTAAGGGAACTTACCTCATCATCTAATGATTCATGTTGTTGTTGTTGTTGTTGTTGTTGTTCAACTTTGGCACATAAAACATGTTTAGCAATGGAACCTGAATGTTGCTGAACCTCTTCTTGTTGTAAGGGAGTTAATGGTGGTGAAATGAGTTTTGTTTCTTCTTGTTCAGCTTCAATCATGACTTGTTCTTCTTCTTCTTCTTCTTTTTCTTCTCCTCCTCTTTCTTCTTCTCCTTCTGTTTCTACTGAAACCATTACTACTTCTTCTTCTCTTATTTCTGTTTGATTTTCTCCTGAGGTAGTTGAACCCAACAATAATGATTTTAATACTTGTTCATTACTATCATGTATCTCCTGTTGTTGAGATTTAACGGCTGCAAAAGAACTTTGGGGTCGATTCCAAGGGTGAAAATCATAACCACCGTCTTCTTCCCATTTTGTATTCTCACGTAATGTTAAGAAATCAACACCATGAGTAACCAAGATAAAGAGATCATCTTCATCATTGCCACCAGCGAGGACTTTATTCGATTTGTCTTCAGCTAGCATCGAAGTCGGAGTTGGATTTGGAGTAGTCGTCGTCGTCGTCGTCGTCGTCGTCGTTGTAGTCGTCGTAGTCATCGTAGTAGAGGCAATAGAAGGGTTAGTAGTACAAGTTGTCAAAGTGGGTAAAGATGAATTATTAAGTCTATTTCTATTTTGAATGGGAGATGGTAAGGGCTTTTTAAAGGCTGAACCATCTTGCTGTTGCTGTTCTTGACTATTCATCCACATTGTATATTGCGCTTTTATATCCACTGTTGATACATCTTGTTGTTGCTCAGATGTTGTCAATATACTCATATTCATCTTTTTCTCCTTATCATCCTCTTCATCCATTTCATCTTCTTCTTCTTCTTCTACCTTCATGACTAACAATCCTGATGAAGTAGCAGTTGTTATCATATCAGTAGAAACAGCAGTGACAACAGCAGCAATTTCTTGTGATGTAACAGAAGAGGTAGATGAACCGCCACTTGAAGAAATAGATGATATTTTTGAAATAGGATTCGAATCGATAGCCAGCATTGCAGAGGAAGTATGTTGATGGCTATTTTCTTGATGATGAGATGGTAATGGTGGTGGTGGTGGTGGTGGTGGTGGTGATGTTGATACGTGTGGTGCTGGTGTTGGAGAAGTATGAATAGTGACAAGATCTTGTTGATGTTTTACTTTTGTAGATGAAGAACCCCAGCCTACTAAACGTTTTAATTGTTGCTTTAAACTTTCCTTCTTTTTCTCGGCTATTCTCATATCTTGTTCTAGTAAAGAAGAGGAACTTGTTTGTGAAGAAGAAGGTTTTCGTGGTTTAATTGAAGAATTAGAAGGTAAAAGAGAAGAAGAAGAGGAAGAAGAAGTTGTTGTTGTCGTTGAAGGTGAATTTTGTTGCTTTGTAATCGAACTCGTTTGTCTCCTGCTGTTGTCGTCAACCAATAATAAATTAGACATGGCACTTGGTCTACGTTCTGTTAAAGGTCCGGGACTGTTATCCATCAAGATATCTAAAATACTAGGTCTTCTTAAACGACCTTCTGATGAAGTTGTAAGTAATGGTGTAGGGAGACATAGATCGTCTTTTCCATCTAATTTTTTATTATTATGTCTTTCCTTTTGAGATTTCCTTTTTTGTGTTGAAATTGCTTTACGTAAGATAAATAAAAGATCGCTCGTGATAGGGCCAACATGATTAGGTGAAGAAGATTGTTGATCCAATAAAACATCAGATATAAGCACATATGGATTTAATTCAATTTCTATATGTAGGTAAATATGTGTATATAAATCAATCAGTCAGTCAGTCAGTCAGTCAGTCAGTCAATCTATTTATCTATCTATCTTTCTTCTCCTTGTATATATCTATCTATTGCTCCTTACCTTTGCCATTGCCTCGTACAGACATTTTATATTTTCCAAGTAATGGATCTAACTTACTATAAGCATCAGCTTGTCCATCAGGTACATGAAACTTTTTTAGTGCTAAATTAATCACCGCACCAATCGGTGATTCTCTTTGTACTGCAATCACTTTATCCATACGATCAATTTCCAGCATTTGTCTTTTATGAAATAATAATAAACTATTAGAGGTAAATGACGGTTGCTGAACGTTAAAGAAGGAGACCTTAATATAGACTAATCCCTCACGCTCATGAGCTCTTTTAATACGTCGATGTAAATAGAAACGAATGACGGAATCTTCATCAAACGAGGTTTGTTCATTAAAACTACTTGAACGAGGTCGTGTCAGAGAGGAAATAGATTGTTGCGAGACACGACGAATATGTGATAAGGATGGCATAGGTGTCGTAAGTGAATCTGTCAAGGTCCTGAAGATGGAAAATGGTTTATCTTGTACTGAAAGAATATATTCATCTCCATCCATACCTTGCACAGCAAGATAATATTCGATGGCTGTATCCTCTGTCGTTATTTCAAATCTTTCTACTGCTATCTTGATCACTTCATCCGCAGTGGTAGAGGGTGAAATGGTAAAGGTGTGGAAAAGGGGTCCCTGTCCAATGTTACCAGCAAAGACGCGAAGGTCCATTTCATCCATCGTTGTGGTTGCTGTTATTGATCCTGTTAACGATGTTGAAGAAGTTGATTTCACTAGTTTGTTTGATATTTCTTCCTCCCATTTTTTTTCATGCCATTCTTCTTCCTCTATTGTCATTTCGTTTTCTGTCTGTTGTTGTTGATCATGAACTTGTTCAATCAATTCTTCATCTAAAGCAAGTTCATCTTGTAGGTCTTCAATGTCAGATTCAACTTCATAATGAAAGATTTGTTTCGCATTTTCCCCAATAGTCACACGACGAGTTGAATTCGAAGAAAGTGGTAAAGGTGCAATATCCTGAATTGAAGGTGAAGTAATCTCAATATTTCGGTGTTTATTTAACCGAGCCAATCTTTCATAGGGTGTCTTTAAAATAGATATAAAAAAAAAAGTTTAATATATATTTTTATGCATATATCTCTTTTAGTAAAACATTTGCATACTATTTACTTCAATATTCTCTGCTGGAATATAACCAACTTCTTTTGTCTTCAGTACCTCCACTAACCACCAATAAATATTGGTATCTTCCATAAGGATAAGTGCATCCCCTTTTACAACCGAAGCTTGTCCTTCTACAGTAGCTACAAAGGTATGAAGAGCATAAACAAGATCAAAATTGATGTTCTCATCTGGTATACTGGGTGAGGAAATAGATGAAGACATATCATCCTCATCATCCACTATATCCTCATTTATATATTCTTGTTGTTGCTCAGCTTTCCACATAAGCTGTTCTTCTTCATCTACTTCCAAGAGTTTTTCTGATGCTGCAGAAGATGAATAATATTTCGTTGTCATTCAAGAAGAGGAGAGAAGGGAGAAGCGAGGGGAATGAGTGAGGAGGGAGAGGTGATAGATAGATAGAGATAGAGAGAGAGAGAGAGAGAGAGAGAGAGAGAGAGAGAGAGAGAGTGTGTGTGTGTGTGTGTGTGTGATGGTTTTGTTTTTTTAAGGAGGTGAAGGATAGAAGCAAAGAAAAAATAAGAAGAAAGAAAGAAAGAAAGAAAGAAAGAAAGCAAAGAAAAGAGAAATAAAGAAAAAGGCTTTTTACTAAATAAAAAAAAATAACAAAAAAGTTATATAAACAGTGACTAAGGAGACTATTATAGAGGAAGGGGAGAAAATAGTGTATATAACAGGAGATGATATAATGTGTATGTAGATGACGATCTCCTTTTCATTATATTTATTATAGATTTATTTTTAATTAGCAGTAGTAGTAGTAGTAGTAGTAGCTCCGTAAGAGCGATTATGATTGGATAAATGTCTTGATAATCTTCTTTCAGGATGATGATAATATGTCTTTGTATTATTTTCTGTTTCTTCTTCCTCTTCTCCTCCTTGTTGTTTTTGTTTTGACATGACTACAAGTAGGGGCTGATTTTCATCTATACGAGCACAAAAAAAATAAAATAAAACAAAACAAATGAATATACATAAAAAAAAAAATACATCATAGAACCATGTTAGATGTCTTGTTTACCTTGTTGTTGTTGTTGTAGTGGTGGTGATGGTTGAGATACAGAAGATGACGCACTTGTAAAGATAGATGATGATGAAGAGGATTCTGGACTTTGTGTCTTGTTTTGGATAATAGGACGATCTTCATGGTAACCTGCTTTTACAGGTAACCAAAGTTGTGGTAAAGCACCTACAAGTGCAGGATGTCCATATTGTTTCATGCCTGTATTCAAAATACCATTGAGAAGTGTCATAGGCGGTTCTCTAAAATCAGTATATTTTCGAGGTTCTGCAACATAATCATCTTCATCCAAGACTGTACGCCTTTTTCGTGTTTTTGTGTTGTTATCATTGAATGGAAGAATCATTTGATTATTATTACTACCACTACCATTGTTCATGTTCCCTGTTGGATGTCTACCATGAGTAGGTTCGATAAAAGAGGTCATAGGTCCAAGTTTTTCAGATAATAATTGAAGTGGTAAGAACTGTGTACTTTTTTGATAGGCCTTATCCATCATAAATTTATAACTAATGGTAAGTAAGATAAGTGGGATACAGAGGGCTGCTAATGGATAAGATTTGTTCAATGTAAATAGACCTGCTGAAGTCAATTCAAAGATCAATAAGCCGATAATAATACGTGAAAACACCATAGGCCACATTCTACCTGCTACTTCATAAGAATGAAAGTAAACATAAAGTAATTGATATTTACAGACAAGATAAGACATAGCAAAATAAATAACTCCAAACACAAGAATGAGAGGAGAAATAGTTGAATAAACCAAAATGACGACGAACATAAAGACAGGAACAGGATATCCCCAACCAAAATTATACATGCGAGGAGCAAAGACTTCAGCATAATCACGAGGCGTTTTACATAAAAATGTACGATAGAATAATTGAACTAGAATAGGGCCAATCTGAAGTAATTGAATAGGGCAACTGTTATTAAAACAAAAAAAAAGTAAGATACGCATGTTCTCAAATAATAATAGTAAGAGTAAGAATAAGAATAAAAAGGTATATATATCTTACAGCATAATGCCTTGAAGTACTGTATAATTGATATAAAAAGGCGCAACTTCGGGTAATTTTGATGCGAATATATTTGCAATTTTAGTAGGGTCTTCGATAATATCTCTTTGTGATTTAAAAAGAGTACTTGTAACTGTAATAAATAATAATACGTTTGCAAATAAGAAAAAGAATTGCCTATTTAAAACAAATAAATAAATAAATAAATAAATAAAAAAGCAATTATTTAAATAAATAATTACTTGGCAAAGCAGGATTCTTCTGATTCACTTCTTGTTGTAAAGCCTTCAATGACACTCAAACCTAAAGATACATGTAAAATATTATAAACGTTCATTTTATATAAACATATATAAATAGAATGCTTACTATTAAAAACGATAGGTAAAACAGAGAAAAAGATAACAACACCAAGTGTAGGAATAAAACCAGCTACAATTTGCTTTAGAATTTTATTTTTTTCGGCCAATTTCAATAACCAAGGGAAATAGGCTTTTAAAGATTTTTGAGAAGTTAAAGCTGATAGATAATTACAAGGAATTGTCCAGGAAAAGACCAAAAAAAGTAAAATAAGCATCACTAAAACTTTTCGAATCACCCGTTCCCTACTACGCATGGATATATTTTCCCATAATATATCTCTTGGTTCAGGTGCTAATTGAGCTCGAATTCTAAAGGGTGTAGAATCAATTAAGACTTGTGAGGCTACATAAGCACTGATTGTTTCCTCGAATGTTACAAAACCGACGCTAGTGGGTAAAAATTTGCCTATCTTTCGTGCCTTTATAACGATTTCATCCACTTGTTCAAATTTCTTTGTATAATAATCGATAGCATCTACCTGAGGTCCATTACAGAGATATCCTTTTTGAATAAGAGGACGTTTTTTATTTTGTTTAAAAGTTGGTAACAAGGACTGATTGAATACAGTGATTGCATCTTGTTCATTAAGAACTTCGTCAGGATCATAATTTGGATCTTCACAAGGATTCCCAAAATAGGTAGTATAAGCCGTCTCTAATTGTCTCAAGTACTGTGTTCGTTCTTTTATAAATTCCATTAATCGTCCTACATGACGTATCGTATGTACTGACTCAACAACGCCCACTCCAAGACGTTCAAAATAGTCTGCCAATTTTCGATCCGATCGTAAATGAGGTGGAATTCCCGTTATTAGTAGCGTACGTGCTGATAATGTCTTTGCCTTTCTTAACAAAAATTCACGTCGGATACGAACATAATCTCGATAATTTAAAAAAGTGAAATAAAAGGTAGCAAAGACAAATAAGTAAGTAAAGAAAAGATAAACCCAAAGAAATGAAGCGGAATGTGAAAAGTTAGTTGAAGTAAAGAATTGTTCCTGATTATGATATCCATCAGTAGAGTTAGCAGGTAGTTCCGGATAAGTACCATTTGCAAAATCACCTCCCATTTTACTTATTGGATAAAGAACAACTGTACCAAAGAAGCCACAAAAACTAAATAATTTAACACTCATAAGTAAAAATTGCAACATCTATAATCATAATATAAAAATTAACAAAATTAAACTATTATAGTCATTTTAATTTTATTTTACCACAACTGCATCAAGTCCAACTTTTTCCATAATTACAGAATTAGGTGTTTTTAATAAGGGTATAATCCAGCCAAAGAAGCTTGAAGGTAGTTTATCTGGTGCATGTCTATTTTTTTTAAAAAAAATATATGTATACATATAAAGAAAATATCGAAATGAGTATTCTTTTTCTGCATTTCCACATGTACATGCTTACTTTCTCATTCGAAGTCTTGGTGAATATATATCTCTCCATCTAATATAATAAAGTTGAACAAGTTATGTAATATTACATTATTGATATTAGTTTACCTCATTCTTAAGAAGCAAAATAATAGAAAACATAAGATGCCCACACTTGTACATAAAATAAGTTGTGTTTGAAAACCAGTAGGCGATTTTGAAGTTTGAGCTGGTGATCCGGGCAATGGTTCTTCATCTTCACATAAAAACTTGAATATCCAAATACAAGGAAAGCCTGATACAGATAAAGAAGGATTAAAGCTAGTTTTAACTAGCTCTTTCATGATTAAAATTCAAGTGTATAAAAAAAAAAAAAAAAAAAGAGAGAGAGAGAAAAAAATAGAATATATGAAAAATAAAATAAAGCGGAAAAGCGTTGTTAATATGAATTAATTCATTCATTTATTACAAAATGACTGTACAAAAAATAAAATAAATAAGCTGCTGTTACAATTGTTACAGCTGTTATGATTGTTTGTATGTTGTTGAAAATGACGTATTTTTCATCCAATAAGAATCTAGATTATGCTAGAAGTAAAATATATTCAAAACTGTATATTCAATATTTTGTATTGTATCCAATATGATTCGTGTATATTAGGTAATCATTATTGTACATTCATTTTTTTTCTTTTTCAAGACTAACTTCACGAATCAAAACTAGAGTAATAAAAAGTTAATTTTTATATACTTTGTGTGTATACAGGCTGCATATATGAATCTAGTTTTCAATACAAGAATATTAAACAGCTGCAAGATGATTATATGACTGAATCATACTTGCTGTTCATTATCTAGTTCCTGAATTGTATTTATGATGATAAGAATTTATTTTTTTTAAAAAAAAAAAAAAAAAAAAAATGTCTTGAATAGAATTTTCTTTATCCATTTCTTATTGGTCTAATTTCTTAACGAAAATTCTTTACTACTAATACTACAAATTCTTCTTGTAATATTAAGAATAAAAATAAATGGCCTTGACTTCTACTCTATTAATCTTGCATACTTTCTTTATTACGCTTAACAACACAGTAGAAGATCTCTTTCAAATAGTTGAATTTGATAATTTGTAAAAAGAAAGAAAATAAAAGGAAAGAAGAAGAAGAAAAAAAAAATGACAGACATAATAGAAATGACGCTCTGGTTTTTTTATAATTCATGCGAGAAGTTTTTTTTTTTGCCTTTTTTGACAACATTCCCTTTCTGTCTCTCTTTTTCTTTTCTTTTTCCTTTAGACAAGTATGAACAATTCTAATCTATTATTATAATATCATGTCACATATAAATGATAATGACTATTTACCAAGTTATGAAGAATCGATATGTTGTCCTCCTAAAAAGGATAAAGTAAGTCTAATATCGAATACAATCACTAGTTAAATTTTATTAATAGAAATAACAAGTTGGTAGAAAATATGACAGTCCATTTATTAAATACTTTTAGAAGGATAAATCCATGCTTTGAATATAATACATCACGTAATCCCAAAAGAATATTAACTAAGCCTAGTCTAGCATGTAAAAATGATGGATATGACAATGAATATTCAGATTATATATTATATGTAAATGACTGGATTGGTCCTATTCATGATGAAAGAAGGTATATATTATGGGTTTTTTTTTTTCTTAAAAAAAAAAAAAAGAAGAACATATAAATCTGATAGTTAAAAATGATGACTAGATATTTAATTATTGATCTACTGGGTTCTGGTACTTTTGGTCAAGTTGTGAAATGTAAAGATACAGAAACAAATGAACTCGTAGGCATTAAAGTCATAAAGAATAAACCAGCTTATACAAAGCAGAGTCTATTAGAAGTAGACGTATTAGAACATGTAAGTCGTATTGAATTTATTCATGATATATAGTCTTATTTTCTCTTCTCTTTACTTTACTTTAATTTTATTTAGTTAAATAACGTGAGTGACCCTTATGATGAACATCATATTTTACGACTCTATGATTCTTTTATGTTCAGAAATCATTTATGTCTCGTTTTTGAACTCTTGTCTGTTAATCTTTATGAATTACTTAAACAGAATCATTTTAAAGGCTTTTCAATTTATTTAGTTCGATTATTGGCTATGCAACTCTTAGATACTTTATCAACGACAAAGAAGTATAATATCATACATTGCGATCTAAAGCCAGAAAATATTTTATTGAAAAGTTTAGATGATGACGAAGATAATGATTCAAGTATACCTGAAATTAAGGTCATTGATTTTGGTTCTGCTTGTTATGAATTTGAACAAAGTTATAGTTATATTCAAAGTCGATTCTATAGATCTCCTGAAGTTTTGTTAGGCTTAACGTATACAACTGCAATTGATATGTGGTCCTTTGGTTGTATAGTGGCTGAACTTTATTTAGGTTTACCATTATTTCCTGGAAGTTCTGAATATAATCAATTATCTAGAATTATTGAAACTGTAGGGTAAGGAAAGAAAGAAAGAAAAAGAAAGAAAGAAAGAAAAAAAAAAGAAGCACTTACGAACAAATATAGACTATTATCTGCATATAATCAATTTACATATATAGACATATTCCAGATTACATGATACAGAATGGAAAATATAGTCATCGTTATTATAATCGATACAAGTCTAAAGATCCAATAACAGGTCAAGTAAAAGTAAGCTATCAATTAAAAGATATGACTCAATACTCTGAAGAAAGGAATAAAGTCGAAAGAGAAAGTAAACGCTATTTTTCGACCTATGTATTGGATGATCTTGTCTTGAAGTACCCTCATCGATTACAACAAGCTAACTGTGAAGATGAAATAGATCAAGAGATGGAGTTACGAAAACAGTTGTTAGATTTCTTAAAGAAAGTATTACAAGTGGATCCATTAAAGAGATTGACGCCTGATGAGGCTATGAAGCATCCCTTTATTACATACTCATGCTTTGAAAGTGTAAAGGATCAAGAGGTAACAACAGGGATGAGTCGTAATAGTTCTCAAGATGAACTTTTATTATCATCATTTGGAAAGAAAAATGATGAAGAGAATGATTATATGTCATCTGAGGATGAAATGTCTTCCATGCTTACTCACTTTAGAAGAAAATCAATTGCGAGAAGTAGTTTGAGTGTATCTCCTTTTTCAAGAAAGAGATTTGAATCACTTCAAAAAAATTCTTTATTAGCGTCACCTTCTATGGAAGAAGAAGAAGATCATAACGAAGATGTGATAACATCTCCAAATCTATCATCAACAAGTAATAGCTTAAGATTACGAAATAATAGAACTAAAATGCAACAATGACTAACCTGTAACAAGTTCTTATCAGATTTAGAATTTAAACTATTTTAATATTACTTAATAAAATATATTATAATATCGTGTTGTTTCCACACCAAACTGCTATTGGTATATTAATCTCCACTTGATGCATTCTTTCCATACATTTTCTTCTTCTTTTGTTATGTGCTTACATCATTTGTATTTTGTTTTTATGATATTTTAACTCCTCAAAAAATCAGATAATTGAAGTGAATTGTGTTTTATTTAAAAAAAATATCTGAACAAATATTAATATCAAAGAAGGAGGCTTTAACGCATATTTATATCACTCTTTATGATAGTTTGATCAAAAGATATTCAAATCACTACTCCATTTGCCGTAATACTTTGACAATTGATTTTATACTGTATATTTTCTAATGACAAAACGAAATTTTAACCATTGTCTCAGCTGGTTAGCGCTTGGTCAGTTCTCATACTATCTTTTTTCGTCCTGATCAATTATTCCCGAGTTTTCATTCTATTCACCATCTACATATAAATCGCAAATACCTCAAATAATTGACTGTTCTCTTTCCTTTTTTTTTTTTTTTTTTTTTTTTTTTTTTTTTTTTTACCTAATAGCTCCTCTCCTCTTCCTCCTCCCTCCATAAAAAAAACAAAACAAGGCTCTTTAATTCATCTTCTCCTTGGTTCATCTGTTGGTCATTCAATTGCTCTATCCTACAGAAAATGGGTTATTTGGCTTGTTCCTCTTTCTAATGCTTGCTTGTTTTTTTTTCTTTAAAAAAAAGTTCTTTATCTAGATATGCATATACATATATACATTTCCCTTAGCTGTAGCCTTTATATTCATTTATTTTTTTATCTTTGTCTTAAAAAGGGTTTTAGTCTCTATTAAGCCGACTAAAGCAAATCAATCTTTCGAGCTATGTCCTTATTGGCCGTTAAAAATACTTAATAAAATGTTATATATTAAGGCATTTATTACTGCTAAATAAAGAAATTATAAAAATAAACTCTTTATTGCAGTCTTTCCCCTTTTCCCCCCCTTTTTTTATTTTTTTTATTTATTTATTTTATTTTATTTTTTTTGACAAATAAAAAGAAATGAAGATAAACATTTCTATTTTATTTGCTTTTATTATACCCTTTTTCATTACATTTTCATTTGCTGAAAAGACTTTACTAAAGCAACTTGTTGATGAAGGAAATCAATATTTAATAACAGGTCGATTTAATGAAGCCATTACTAGCTTTGATGCTGCCATCCGTAAATATATATATATATATATATTTTTTCAATAGTTTAATCAACGTATATATAGAGCAAGATTCTTCCGATTATATTTTATATTATAAAAGAGCAACGGCTTATTTGTCTTTAGGTAAATTAAGCTCTGCTATATCTGACTTTACAGCTATTCTCAAGTTACGACCCGGTTTTCAAAAGGCTTTACTGGAACGTGCAAAAATATATATAAATATTGGTGAATTTACTTTAGCTGAAACTGATTTACTTGATCATAAAGATCATGCTTCCGATGAACAACTAAAAAGTTTGGTATAGTAGTTGCATATATTTATATATAATTGCGATGAGCCTTCCCTTTTTTTTTTTTTTTCTTCTTTCTTTTTTGTTACTAACTTTATTCTATTGTGCTAGCTTGCATCTGTTCAATATGCTAAAGAACAATATAAATTAGGTCAGCAAGCACTTGATAACCAGCATTATGATCTTTGTATTCAACATATGACTGAAGTTATTCGTATCTCTTCTCAAAACTCTCAATGGAGACTTCTTCGTGCTCAATGTCATTTTGAAAAAGGAGAGATCGAGGAAGCCATCCATGATTATACGTAAAGATTTTTCTTTTTCTTTTTTTTTAAAAAAAAAAAAAAATACCATCAAATACTAAATATTCTGTTTTATTTATTAGACGCATAGCTCATTTAAACCCTTCAGATAAAAATATATTAATCAATTTAGCAAATTTAAACTATTTTTCATTATATGAACCTGATAAAGCTTTAAACCAAGTAAAACAATGCATTCATTATGACCCTGAAGACCGACAATGTAAAACTCTTTTTCGGTTCATTAAACGTATTGAAAAGGAAATGAAAAAGGCAGATTTACCGACACTTTTAGAAGATTCTCATCACACGAATCCTGGTGGTTTTGTGAATGAAATAGATGAAGCTTTTAATAAACTAAAAGATAATTTAAACATGACTATAAGAAATATACCGAAACGACTTCACTTAAAGTTATATACTTTAGCTTGTATGGCACAAGAATACAAACTGGAACAGGTTGAAAAATGGTGCAATGCGGCATTGAAGATAGAACCAAATCATGTAGAAATTTTAAAAAAATTAGGCGAAATGAAACTGAATATAAATGATTTTGAAGGTGCAGTACGGTATTTAGAAAGGGCGCTGGAAGCCACTGAACAAAAAGATAGACAAATTAGACATTTATTACAACGTGCACAACAATTACTACGACAGAGTAAAAGAAGAGATTATTACAAAATACTAAGTAAGTAAAGCATGCTTTTTGTTTTGTTTTAATGTATAATACCTATCATCATACTTTTTTTTTGTTTTAATATATAACACCTATAATCATACTTTTTTTTTTAGATGTGAACAGGGATGCAGACGCTAAAACAATTAAGAAAGCATATCGTAAACTAGCACATGAATGGCATCCAGATAAATACAATGGAGAACTTGCTAAAGAACAAGTAGAAAGTAAAATGGCAGATATCAATCAGGCCTATGAGGTATTAAGTGATCCAGATAAAAGGCAACAATTTGATAATGGATTTGATCCTTATGATCCAGAGGCCAATCAACATCCTTTTGGTGCTCAATATGGAGGGGATTCATTTGTACGTTTTGGTGGTGGTTTCCCCTTTAGTAGTGGCCATCAATTCTCCTTTCATTTTTAATAATAATAAAAATAATTCAAATAAAAAATAATGTGTCCGCCCTTATTTTATTTTTATTTTTAGTTTTTTTTTTTTTTTTTTTTTTTTTTTTTTTTTTTTTTTAATTTTTTGATGGGATTGTTTCGACAAAAAAGTGGTAAAACGTTTTCAAAACTTGAACAAGACGAAGAAATTGAGCCACTTCATCATGGTGAAACAATAGAAATGAATGAAGCTAGTGGTAGTCATTTACCATCATCTCGTCCTTTATATCGTAAAATAGGTCAACTTGCAGAAGGAGGTTGGACTTCAGTTGCCAATTTAGTACAAAACACAACATCCACCTCACGTCCCTCACCTCATATCGACATTGATGAACCTTCGAATTCATCCCCTGACATCAAGAACGATGTCAAACGAACCTTATATCTATTGTTGGAGGAACCTGCAAGTAGTCAAAGTGCATTTTGGACCAACGTAATTGTTTCGTTTTTGATTGTCTTTAGTGCTGTTACAACTACGATCGAGACAATCCCTTCTTTTCGTTCAGCTAAAAGTAATAGGGTTTGGTAAGTTTTATACATCGAGAGAACTTACAAGGGCCAAATTTCTTATTATTATTTTCGTATATGTATGTGTGTGTTTCCGTGTGTGTGTGTGTGGGGGGGGGGTAACATAGGTTTCAACTAGAATCAGCCATGGTAGCATTATTTACATTGGAATATTTGTTACGAATGTTTGCCCATTCAGATTCCTTTCGCATGTTGAAAAAGTTTTTTACATGTAAGCATGTATACATTTATATATGTATATATAACTTGTGAAAAAGGAAATATTTAAATGAATTATATAGCACCACTGTCCATCATTGATTTTATTTCCATTATCCCATTTTATATTGAAGTAATTGCTAAACGAGATACTGTACGTATAACGATCACTTTTATATATGGATTGATACAATATTGATCATCTCATCTATTAGACGTATGAATTTAGATTTACAATCTTAAGATTGTTTCGATTATTACGATTATTTAAATCATATAAATATTCTAATGCAGTTGTGATGACAATTGAAGTCATGATGATGGCCTTTCGAAGATCAGGAGATGCATTGTCAGCTTTATTCTTTTTTACAGTCACTTGTGTAGTTTTGTTTTCAACTTTACTTTATTTTGCTGAAAGAGGTATTTGGGATGAAACATTACAGACATTTGTAGCGTCAGATGGCACACCAAGGTATTAAAATAGAAAGAATATTATTATTATGATGATTGAATTCATTGAATTTTATATGATAGTGCATTTGACAGTATTCCAGCAGCATTTTGGTTTGTATTGGTAACTATTACAACTACAGGATATGGTAAGAAATAAATAAACATATATTCATAGCCTTTGTGTGTGTGTGTGTGTTCCTAGATTTAACCAAAATAGAATAGGTGACATGGTGCCTACCACTTTTGTTGGTAAATTAATTACATTTCCAGCCATGATGTTTGGAGTTTTGGTAAAAAAAAAAAAAAAAAAACACATATCTGTATTACCTACTATAGAATGTCAAAAATTAATTGTATATTTTATCAGCTTATTGCCTTACCTTCTATTATTGTTGGAAGAAACTTTACAATTGTTTGGGAAAGTATGAGAAGAAGACAATTCTCAAACCAATTAGCACACACTAATCCGATGGGTGAGGAAATAAATGAGCAACAACATACCATTCATATCGTCTCCCCTTCCTCTATTCAACCTACAACAACAAAAAATAATAATTTTGAAATATTACCTAATAATACTAATAATGATGAAGAGGTCATGTCCCAGTTACAGACATTAATGACTTTAACTTTACAAAATCAAGCGGCTATTAATAAAATCATCAATGTCCTCGAAAGACAACAACTAGATGTGATGAACAACACTAATAATGAAGAATTCTTAGAGCAACGACTACATCAACAGAACGTTAAAGGAAAGAGTCCATTCATTAGAAAAGACATAAATCCATTCAATGACGAATAATGTCATGTCATTCAATCATCATGAATATCCCGTTTGTTTCACATAGATCTTTGTTTTATTTTATTTTATTTGTCTTTTTCTCCCTTCTTTTATAGTTGCATTTAACCACTAAATGAATTTAGAATATGTAATAAATAGCGTTATGTACATACATACATACATTCTCTTTTGCTCTCTTTGACATGTGCAGTATTTCAGGTCCATATATATAGGATAATAGGCACATATACCTTATGTATTAAGAAGAAGAAAAAAAAAAAGAAAGAGGTAGTTGTATTTATTATTACTTATGTTATTTACTAAAATAAAGCAGGTAATAATCGGGTATTACACCTCAAAGGAAAATAAATATGTAATAATTTAATCATCAACCTTGTTGTTTATAAAGTCGTTGGCGGTTGTTGTTGTTGTTGTTCTTCATCAAATAAAATTTCCCATTGATCTTGAGGCACAAGTGATCCGAATAGCATCGTCATATTTTCACCCAACTTTATAATAAATTTATACCAAAGAGGGAAATGAGCAAAATAATCTATATACATTAACCATTCAACTTTACCTTATCTAATTCTCGGATTATATCCTCCATCAAAGTAACATAGGCATAATAAAATATATACGCATTATCCTTTTCTAATAACTCTCTTGATTTAGCAATTGGCATGTTCCAAAGTTGCACTAAAAGAGACTTCCATGCTTTACGTGCTGGTGGGAAATAGGGCGGCATGGGCGTCTTGAGTCGTAAAGCAGAAGCTAATAAATAAAAGTAAAGTATGACATTACCCACCATCTCTTTACGTTCATGGCATACAGGTGACATGAGATCATGATGTTGAACTTCTTCGTACCATGCATCCTTAAACATTATGCTTCTCATTGAAAGGAATCGATCCACAATGTTTTGACAGGATGTAAGCATGGTGCGATAGGTTGCAACTGGGAAGGCTCCTTTAAGACGAGGTTCATTAGGCGTTTGTGATAAAAGCCCTTGCAGATCTAGCAGACTACGTTGAAGTCCTAATTCAAGATCCATAAAGGATTGGGTTGCTAATCGTCGCTGTGCTTCAAATGTAAGGATTTGTGTATCTGATGAGGTCTCAGGCCTTTCTTCTTCCATGAGACGGATAATACGTTGCTGTTCATAGAGATGACGGCGAGGATAATAATCAGAATAAATGGTCACGAGTTTTTGATACAACCATGCAAGCCTTAACAAGAAATCTGAAAGTCCTTTGCGAAGTTCAACACGTGCTTCATATGGCCATACATAGGCAGTGGCAAATAGACCAAAGATAACACCTACCAAGATAGCAAAACATCGTTGGTTCGCTAGGACCCACACAGGAACCTCGTTTGTATCTCGATCATTGTATTTATTCAACATAACCAAGTTGTAAGCTAATAATGTAAATTGTCCAAATTTACCATGTTTATGATTAAGAATAAGATAGAAGTTGGGAATTGAAAAAAGCCATGTCAAGATAGGTAAAATGTACATATTGCTTGGGAAAATCATGTAAAAGACCATAGCAGTGTAACAGCCCAAGATAGTAGAGAAAATACGATAAATGGACACTAAATTTGTGCCTCCTACAGTAGGCGTCATAACTACCATTAGCTAATACGTGTATACAAAAAAATAAATAAATAAAAAGATGGCAGTAAGTATTAACACACATATACATATAATAATTTCTATTTATATAAAACTCATACGGTAATGAGAGCCCATTCCATTCGATAGGTACGAAACCAATTTTGTGTAGACTCCATAAATGCAGGTGTGGCTAACAAAATTGTTGCAATTGTTGCCTTTATAGCATACCGAATCTTTTGTAACTTGAACAATGAAAATAGTCTCCAAACACGAAGAATAAACTGATGCCATTTTGTTTTTGGTACTGGAGTATGTAAAGTATTCATCCTATGTCGTTCATTAGGTACGAAAGGTGTGGTATTTAAGAGGTGATGATTGTATTGTTTTGTTTGATGACGATCTCTTCTATTCTTTATTGAAGAAATTAACCAGGTCCAAATACCCAGTTTTTTACTTGCTTTATCATTGAGTTTTTCAACTTTTTCAACTAATGTAATTAACTCACGAGCAAATTCAGTCATGTTGAAAACAAAAAAATAGACTAAAATGATATCTTGTCCTAAAACAGCTTCCATTGCTTCTGATTCAATATCTACTTTATCATCCTTTCTTGATTTGTCCTCTTTCGCTACGATGTAGTCTATACGTGCCTGATACAGTTTTTTAATTGCCTGCTTTTGTGCTGCTTCAAATAAAATAATAGCTTTTTCAAGATTGGCTTTCAAGATAGATAATGAAGGTCGCTTATGATGATGATAAGAGGCATCCTTTGTTATAGATGTAGCATTTGATGGAACAGCAAAGAGCGTTTGAAGATGATACAATGTTTGTTTGCAAGTATAGGCGAATGACTTTAAAGGTGGACGGATCGTTTGAATAAAGTTAACCAAAATTGCACTATTATCTTCATTTTGTAGATGATGAATGGATTCCTTTTGTACTGCTGCAGCAGATTTCTTTTTATTCAATAAAAATTGATCAAATCGATCGTTTGTTTGCGACATGTTCAATTTCCTCTGTTTACGCATTTGATCCTGAAGTCTTCGCCGACGATAGCCAGCTCTCACATTCCAATTATTCGAATCTTGATTAAGACCAGGGGATATTAAATTGCTAGAGGAACGAATTTGATTATTATTGTATTTCTGTTTCTTTCTTTCAGACATCATTTGTTTATATCGCTTTGTTGCTTCACTACCCATGACTTCAAATTGGATACCGCAACTACTACGTAACCCACCCATATGCTGAGCGAGTCGTTGCACACTCTTAATCACCTCGTCGTATTCCTCACATCGACCTCTCATATCACTATTCCAAAAGGCCTCTAGTTTGGCTTCCTTGAGCGACTTTTGAAGTGCTGTAAAACTCGCTTGATGAGCTTCAATGGCTGCCTGTAATGTTCGATTGGCTTTAAATTCTGGTAAATCAGCATCTAACAAAAATGTCTTTGTGAGTAATTTGAGTAAGACACGATAAGACGATAGCGTGCTCTCAAGATCCTTGCGTAATTTTTTTGCGGCAGATTTTGGCCAAAATAGGATACAACAAGCCACAGTAATGAATGTGCCTGTAGCCACTGCAGTTGTGATCTGTTCAATACGTGTAGTGTCAAAATCACCTCGATTGACTGATCCTTCACGTACAACAATAATAAAGATAGTAATAAAGCAAAGGCTTGAAGCTGTAGCCACAGGAGGTTTATTCCAATGTGCTTTGAGGAATGAGATAGTGAAAGTAGCACCCAATATCCAAACAAATAAGGAGATAAGATGAGCAGTTAGATAATGATTTCTATCAACAAAGTAATCGGTAGTAATCATCGAACCAAGACAGATGATAACAGCAAAGAGGACATAACCCCAGCCATAAGCAGCTGCTTCTACCATACCACCTAAAGTTTTAGCAGGATTGAAAAACACAGTAGCTGTGGCTACAAGATGACTAGAGGTACGGTTATTACCGATCAGAGCATTTAAAGAGGGTATAAATGTGAAAAGAGAAGCGAGAAAATAGGCAAAGCTACATTTGAGTACAAGCTGCTGACGTGGTGTGGTGGTGAATAGATGTTTACAGAGACTACTTAAAATGGCTTTAACACGACTAACAAATCCAATAGTACCAATGTCATTTTCAATAATATAGTTTGATTTTCTTTTATTTAACTTTTGAACAGGAAAGAATGGCTCGTCAGAATCACTCTCGTTATCAGAAGAGGAAGGAGAAGTAGTGTTAGATGAACTATCACCATTTTGTTGTTGATTAAAGTGATTAAGACCCGTTGCCTGATATGATTCTTTATGTGATTTTAATAATGGGGTTGTATCGTTTGTATGTTCACTATCAGAATCATCTTCTTTCAAGCTATATGTATATAAACATTAGATGTATATATAAATCAAACACCCCTTTTTTTTATTTTTTTTTATTTTTTTTTTTATTTTTTTTACTATTTACCTTTTTGCTCTATTATTTTCTTGCTCATCGGGTATAGTTGATAAAGAGATCGTTCTTTTTTGAGTAGTACCATCATCTAAAATGACTTCAATTTCACTAAAATTAGAAACTGATCTATCCAATTGATTATCAAAATAATCTTGATGAAATCCAACATCTAACGATTGAGTTCTTTCTATAAAATACGAAGTTGGAGAAGTAGATAGAGATGAAATACCAGGATCAGATAAAGGAGAACCTATAATAGCATTATGTGGACGTCTTTTTGAAGACTCATCCATTGAAAATGAAAGTTTAAAAAAAAAAAAAAAAAAAAATAAAGAAAAGAAAAAATAAATAAAGATACTATGAAACCAGAACATAAAAATGTTGATTTCCGTATACTTAAATATGATGTCATATGATACAACAAAATATTTACTCAATTAGCATGATTTTTTTTTATTGTTTCCTCTTTTGTCTAAATTTATAAAATACACGATGGACAAGGAATATTTACAAACAGTGAAAGTAGTACTTATATTATGTTCCTGCTTCTTTTCATATGGTGTATGTTGTATTTGATTTATAAGAATAAACTCAATATCATTAATGACATGCATAAAAAATAATAACAATAATAGATCTATTGGGCTGATTGGGCATTTGATTATTATTTGTTGTGGTCTAATTCAACTCAACAAGCAGAAGCTATTTCACGAGCAACAGTACAGTTCATTTGTATCATTTTGTTATTGTGTTTAATTGTATAATTTATAATAGTTCTACTATGCGAATCAAGCACAAATCCCTAATATTTTACAGTATGTGCCCATTATTAATTTATTTATTGCAGCAGTGGGTTTTGCTACAGGACTATTAACAGTGACGGATGGTAGTTTATTATTTGATGGTGCTTCATTAGGTAAATAAGGTATTTTCACTATAAGAAACAAATGAACGTTTAATATAAATATATGAATATAATTTTACTTTTTTTTTTTTTGGCTGGCACAGTCTTAATGTTCTTTGGTCTATTTACTTACTTAACTACGGTAAAGCCAGGTAAGATGATAATTTAACTAGGTTGTTTTATTATTTGGAAACTTAGACTATCTATTAGCGATCCAAACTATTGTTGAATCAACGAATATGAATAAGATTACTGCCTCTTTAAAGAATATTGCAGCAGCTCATTTTATAATAGTATTAGCCATTACAGGTAGAAATATAGTTTATAAATAGAGAATGAATGAAGGCATTCATGATATATTTACTTTAGGTATTATTGGATTACAAATTACACATTATTTTGTTCTTAAAAAACCCAGTAAGGAGGAAGCAGAGGCAGACATGGACGAAGAAATTGAAGAAGATGAGGAAAAAGAGTATGAAAAAAAGACAGAATAATGAATATTTGTAGCAAAGAATACTCGGAGGGGAAGCTTTTTTTTTCTTCTTTTTTTTTATATTATTGTATATTTATACTCTATTAAGGCAGTAAAGGATTCCATAATTATAAGTTATATTTTATTCAGAAATTACGAGAATAAATAAGTGATTTGGCTGGTATGAGACGCGATATTTTAGACATTCTAGGGTCAAGATACATAAAGTACAAATAGGGCTATGGTGAAATAACAATGTCAAATATGTTTTGTGTCGCATCTATATGTTTAATATTGGCTATGGTAATAATAGGCATGTATTTATTTAAAAATGGTATGCTGTTCATCATACTAAAATCAGGTACACGTAGGAAAGAACCTTTAGACAATTTTTTCTTTTCTACTTGTTAATCATGAGGCTTTAAAGATGTTTTGAATCTATAAGCCATTTCGTAGAAATCTACCTCTTGTAACTTACTCTATTAATTACCAACAAAGTATTTTCTCTTTGTTTTTAATGATGTATCTTTCCGAACTTTAATATTAGAGATAAACTGTTCAATCAAAATGAGTGCAAATCATCTTGGATTCTCCCTAGTACTAAATGTGTCTGATTCTTTGGAAATAATATATTTAAAGTTGCATTAAGAAATTTTCGAATAATAATCATAATAAAGTCCATTATGATTGGCTAGAGCTTACCAATTAATTAACAAATACGCGCCGCTTATCCTTCACCTTCCCTTCCCTCCCCCTTTATATTTATACATATCTATATCTATACATATACAAATAAAATAAAATGAAGACACATGCATACGATGCTGTCTGTAAAGAATTAGATGCAATTACTATAACATATTTTAATAAATTAACTGAATATTCTCAACAATGGAAAGAGACTAATCAACAATTACAACAAGTAATTTAATAGATTAAAATGAAAACTTAAACTTTTAACATTTAAGTAATAATAAGGGATTTCTTGATTTGGCTCACGCAAAATATACAATGGGAGCACAGACCATTTCTCAATATTCTTATGATGAGCGTATGAAGGCCACTTTACAAATGTATGTAAAGAAAAAAAAATATGTGACTATTTGAAGAACATATTGATTTATATATGTATAAATGTATATGTGCATATGTTAGTGAGGTCGAAAATGATGCAGTATTTCGTACTAAAAATGTAACACAACTAGAAGAAGAAGAAGAAGCAGATATGGACACACATGTAGAAAAGACGTCAGAATTAAGAAAAAGACATATTGACAAGGAAGATGATACATCAGACGAATGGGTTAAAGTAGAAAAAATAAAAAAGAATAAACCAAAAAAGAATAAAGGAGATCCATTACACTGGTTTGGATTCTTAGTTTCATCTTCTTTACGTACTTCACAAGAGCATTTTAAATATGGTAGATAAAAAAAAAAAAGTTGATATACAGTGACTTGTTCTAATTTATGTAAAATAGCTACGGAACAACTTGTTCAACAAATAAATAGGATAAATGAATTGAAAGCATTAGCAGATAGATATCAAGAATTAAAAGAAGAAAAACTATTAGTCAAATTAGAAGAAATATCATTAAAAGAAAAAGATATATAAAAAAAAATCATAGTTTGTTTTATTCATAAATAAAGTTCATAGCTATAAATCTTATGTTGAAGTTTGTTCAGTGTCTGTAACTGTAGAAGAAGAACGCATATGTTCAAACGTTTCGAAATCAACAAGATTCAACTTAGTACTTGTATGATTAGGAAGAAAAGAAGAAGAGGAATCGATTTCAGCACGAACAATTTCTTGAACGTCTGGTAATTCATCACCTAAAATACCCCAATTTGCAGCACCTGCACCCATCTTTTTCATTCCATGTTGACTATTTCTAGCATCAAAGAAGATGATAAATAATAATAAAGGACAAAAGTTTTATGTATTTTGTACCTGGCGACGTGTTTATCATGTCGATAAGAAAAAAGAGAATCTTTACTACGTGTCATAATATATAATAGAGAAAAAGAAGAAGGAATAAAAGTCTTTTGTATTTATTACAAATGATGGGAAAAAGAAGGAGAAAGGGAGTGAGAGAAAGAGAGAGAAATATAGAGTGGGAGAGAAGGATCGCATGACATATAATCATGCAATTGTTTTGTTTATTTGACAATGTAAAATGAACCTATCAATTTTATTTATTTCTGCTGTGTAATAAAAGAAGACATAATAATAGTAATAGTAGAATACATATAAAGAGTCGAGAATATTCTATTCTTTATCACATAATTATGATTACACTTTGCTTTATTTGTTTATTATTATGCTTCTTTTTTTGTTGACAATACATATCAGGTACACGACTTTCAGCTCCTGTTCTTTTTTTGTCTAGTAAAGCATAGTTGTTATTCAATAGGTCCTCTTATTTGTTGTTTATAATCATTATTTATTCCATCCCAATTTCAAATTAATCTATACTACTACTACATTAAAGCTTTTTGTTGCAAATAAAAGAGTAGCAAGAGTAGCAAGTAGCTAAAGTATATATATATGAGAGAGAAAGAGAGAGTGAGAATCAGAGTCAGAGCCAGAGTGAATGAGCGGGACTGCGGAAATTTGACTATAAAAAAACCTAAAGTAATGAATATATTACACTAAAGTTTATTCATTGCTTATACTAAACTAAAATACATCTTTAAACAAGTACATTATCCTTTATGATATGAAAACAATCAAAATAAATATTATATTCGTTTACTTGATATGAAAACAGAGAGGAGTAGTCGTAGTTTAGCTTTATTCATTTTGTGGAATATAAAACAATAGTCTATTTTTTTTTTTTAGTGGAATTAATGTACTCAAGTTGATAGTTAATATAAAAGCTAACTTCATTCAATACATAGATAATGTTTAAATGTTTATATTTATAATTATATCCTAAGTGTAACATTTACTACTACTACTACTATTACTAGACTCTTTTTTTCTATTACTACTAATAATACTATTAAGAAAAAAAAAGGATGTGTAGAATTATTATTAATAATGGCAGTAATGATTTAACATTATTATTTTTGCATAATTATTATTCAAGATTTAACCCATTTTTTTCAGTCAGACAAGTAAGTACTTAATTTATACAAATTAGGGAAGTGAAACTTGGTAAATGCACATACATCATAAAATAAAAAAAAAAACTACTAATAACAACACATATTATTGATGATCGAGAAATTACAAAAACATGGCGGGAAAAAGTTTTTTCTTTTCTTTTCCTTTTATTATTATTATTGTATGACAACAATGAAGTTAAAGTTAAATATGATACTTTCTAAAAAATAAGTTTATATTGATTGCATCCATTTTGAATCTAATACTTGATCAGCAGTCCACCTAGTCTTTGGATCAAGATCTAACATGCCTGCTAAACAGTCAATTTCATAGTCTAAAAGAGTGGTTCCATCAAAGCTCTCCCAAAGATCGCATGATTTCGGTCCTAAATTAGCTCGTTGTTCAACATAAAGTCCAAAATCCTTATCTCCACTATCCTCTGCAGCAGAAGCTACAAAAGCGGGTGAACCTGAATAGTCAATCGATGTGACCTTGGGGGGTTGCCAAAAGGAGACAGAAAAAGGTAATTGTCGAAATCGAATACAGAAATAGGTAACGGCAGCACTCCAGATATCAACTGCACGACCATCATATCCATCTAATTTCGTTCGTAATTTCCAGATTTCAGGTGGCCAAAAGGGTTCTGAACCACACCAACCATAACATGCGTGGGGTTCCTTTTCAAAGCAAGTTTGAATTACATCTGCTACACCAAAATCTGCAATCTTTAATACACCCGATTTATCAAGTAAAAGGTTCTCGGGTTTAATATCTCGATGTACAATACCCATATGATGTAGATGTTGAAGTCCAAGCATTAATTGTTTCAAGAATGAAGCGGCTTCTTTTGCTGAGATTGGAACTGATGTTTGAGTTAAACGATTAAATAAATCACCTCCATCACACTAAATAAATAAATGTTTAAAACTAAATTTGCCTAATCTTTGTATATGCGTGTATATATATATATAATACGCATAGAAAAGAACTTACATATTCCATAATAGTACACCATCGATCATGTTCATCCACGACCAAGTCTATTGTCTCAACTATGTTTGGATGACCGCTTGCCGTCTTGCTGATGCAATATTCATTATGCATACGTTTAAGATATTCTTTTTCATCCTCTGATTTGCCTCGCTTCATAAATTCCTTTACAGCTAAAATTCGATTTGTAGGCGATGGTGATTGAATGAGATGGATAACAGCTGTAGAACCACAGCCTATATTCTTCTTTTTATTTGTTGTACCGAATGCTATTGCATTTGCTTCTTTACTAGGTTTTATATAATCACCATATTTCTCATTTAATTTGGGAACATTACTTGTAAAAGGTGGTATAGAATGTTGGTCTGCACCAGCATGATCATGTTGATAATGATGTGGATTAAAATGTTTTTTAGTCCAGTTAGCAGGATTAGCAATAAAGTCACCAAAAGAGCGACTCAATTTACTTTGTTTAGGATGCTCATGATTTGTTATATAATGATGATGACTATTAAATGAAGAAGGAATAGCTGTAGCTACAGTATTAGTAGTAGGAGTAGTAGTGGTAGTGGTAGTGGTAGTAGTAGTATCAGTATTAGTATTAGCAGTGTTATCATTATTATAACTATCATGTCTATCCGGAGTAAGAGGACTGTTGGTTGTATTTCTACTGGTACCTGCACTTGAAATGGATGCGTCATTACTAACGACTTCTGATATATCTTTTTGTTCTTGAGAGTTATTTACAAGATGTGTGTTTAAATTAACGTTAGATCTTAATGCATTATTATTAGAAAAGAGGAAACTAAATCGACTTGATCGTTTAGCTGGAATATCTTTTGTATGAAAATGGGATATAGGAGGATGTTGTGGAGATGGAAATTCAGGAAAATCTTCATGAATAGGCCCAGGTGAAATTGCTTTTAATGAATGCATATTTTATACTGATAATATATATGAAAGGAAAAGTAAACTAGACTGATTTTTTATTTTTTATTTTTTTTTTAAAAAAAAAAAAGAGAAAGAGAAAGAGAGAGTAAAGAAGGTGAAGAAGGAGTTTGTTTTATGCCCTAATTATTATACAATTTTGGAAAAAATAGTTTCACCATAAAAGGATATTTTATTTTATTTTTAAAGTGCTAAAGGATTACCCCAAGTTTTTTTTTTTTATTTTAATCCGATTTAATCTCATTGGCTCTTCTTAACGTCATTTTGTAATGACAACATATACATCTATGTATATACATATTTATATTAGACTATTCATTGCTCTGAAATATTTGAACAACACTATGCTTTTGTAAATGACGTCTAATAATCATACAGAAGCCCTAGCTATTATCATGTTGGCATTGTCTTTTTATATAGTTGTTTAATTACATAAAGAACACGTACTACGTACAGAAGAAATAGAGATACATGATGAATCCCATGTGCATTCTTCTATAGCATAGTATAGTATAAATTTGTTATATTCATTAATAAAGCTTAGTATTTTTATAGTTTACCTTTTACCAAAATAAAGAAGGAAAGATCTATTATCAATAATAGTTCATTTTAATTATTTACATTACTCTATTTGGACTAAATTCCAGTTGGAAACATGTCTTTTTTTTTTTCCTAACTCTAACACGGTCTTTGAAATTAGATCTACAACATACTCTAATTTGTGACGATTGATAAAGTTGAGTTAGCTTATTATCATATTTAGTAGAGATTGGAAGAATTATTTTCTAGTATGCTGTCCAGGCATTTAACAGCTCTTGAGTAACTTTTTATTACAATCTTCAATCATTCTTTCTCTTACCTCTTTATCATTAAATAGACTATTTCTGAGTTTCGTGCTTGTCTGAGTAGCCAATAAAATAACATTAATCTAAAAAAAAGAAAAAAAAATGCAGCTTCTATCTGCTATTTATATATTAAAGAGGAAGGGCTGTCAACCCCTTGGTTACTATTAATCGTCACTGTTGTTCAAAATTATTTGAGACTGTCTGTTGATCTTATTTTATGCTATGCTATGCTATGCTTATTCAAATAGTCCCATCTTGATCTTTAACATTTATTAGCTTATTACTGAATTTAATAAATCAAATCAAGTAAGATTATGCCAAAAGAATCCTTTTTTTTTTCTTTTTATATGCTTTTAGAATGTATTAACATTAACAAATTCATAACCGGGTATTAGTCTATGGTAAATATGGTAACAACTGGATTGTTAGTTATATATATAAAAAAAAAGGTGTATATCAACACAAACACTAATGGCACTAACTGTAGTGTGATTTACACCCTTAATCATATAATTTATCATTGCTACCTCCGTTTAATTATTGAATTTCAGCATACAATAACTATAAAGTTTATGTGTCATTCTGCTCAGTATTTGTTTTCAATATAGTTGATAAGTTTTACATCTTTCCTATTATTTTACTCATCTCTACTGATACTAACAAATTTAAATTAAAGGTGTTCCCCCTCCCCCTTACAGATCAATTTAGGATACTAAATATTGGGAAGAATTTTACTATTTGGAAACAAGATCTGATCATTTTATCGAATCCTGTTAATTCGATAGTGAAGAATAGTATTAACTTATACGTTAGTTAAGATGGTAAAACTATAGATTAAATTATTGTGTTTGTGTACTATTTGATATCGAGTCAGAAAAGTACTATTAGTATGGATTGGTAAGTAAAATAGTTTATTAATAATATTTAATTACTGAGGGAATTATGGTTAATAATAGCTCCACATAGATATTCGGGATTACAGTATTGCAATATATAACGAGTTTTGCAAGATCTTAGAAAACATGCCTATCAATATTATGAAATAGTGCATGTATGTATATATAATAAAAAAAAAGACAAAGTAAAAGTACGATCAACTATTAGAGAAAGTATAACTTTAGTGGAGGAGCCTAATATAGCATAATTAAAGTAAATTAAGAAGATCCTTAATACTTACTAATATGCTTAATAAATATTTTTGTAACAAATAGTAAGAAGAAAAACATCAAACGAATGAACTGAAATTATTGCTAGAAGAAACTAGGTTGAGAAGAAGAACTGTTCGAGAGATATTGTAATAATAACAGTTTAAAATCAGTTAATTTTCGAACGAAGTAACTACTAAAAAGATTCTCTTTTTTTATTTTTTTTATTTTTTTTTCACATCTATTGTCTTTCTTATCTTTCTTTTATCATACTAGAAATGAAGCATTTAATTAGAGACATGAAGAGGAATTATCAGATTATAGTGATATTAATATTAGTAACATCAATCATATTAAGCACTACTACATTTCTTTTTTAATAGCATCAACTCTACGAAAAAGAAAAGCATATCTAAATTAAACTTGATCTTATACTTCAAATACATCTACATGATAAAAAAAAATCTCATTTTTAAGTTGATTTGTTATCTCAGTTTATTTTGAGGTAAAATGATTAATAGATAATTTGCTAATATCAGATAAAAACACCATATCTTCAATCCAATATAATACCCGTTTTCTCAATTTTATTTAGTATAAGAATCATTACAGTTAGTAGACAATAAGAGAAAGATAAAGAGGAAAAAAAAAACTAACAGAAAAATTCGACTAAAGATATTCTTAGCTCAAATAATAAATATAAACAATTTATATAATAGTATCATGAGCAACAAGAAGGCTCAATTACTATTACTCTTATTATTTATGAATTCACCTAATTTTTTTTTTGTTAGATACAATCATTCTCTATATACTTCTTCTCCTTCCTATTTTGGTACACAAAGAAGAATGTAAAGAGAGAAAAGGTATACATGTATGTATATTGAACCTATTCGTCGAACGAATTTAATGATTTCCTCTGTAAAATATAATAAAATAAAAAATAAAAATAATGTTTGTTTATTTTATACATTTTAAAGTCAGCAAAATTATTTACATCCAGCAACGCAAAGATATTTGTAAGATTCAGTAAGGTCTTATTCTTCCTTTCTACTTTTGTATATCCATTTGGTAAGAAGAAAGCATCCATCCATCCATCCATCCATCCATCCATCCATCCATTTGTAAAACTAATACATATAATTAATTAATTTAGACATGAAGGACATTTACAAGCAAGACGAACTCACCATCCCTGAAGGTGTCAAGGTTTCCATCAAGTCCCGTCAAGTTACCGTTGAAGGTCCTCGTGGTGTTCTCACCAAGAACCTTCGTCACTTGAACATTGAAATCACCGTTGTTGGTCAAAAGGTCCGTTTCGTTGTTCACCACGGTCTTCGTAAGCACGTTGCCTGTATCCGTACCGTTCGTTCTTTGGTTAACAACATGATCATTGGTGTCACTAAGGGTTACCAATACAAGATGCGTTATGTTTATGCTCACTTTCCCATCAACGTTATCATTAGTGATGCCGGTGATGCTGTCGAGATCCGTAACTTCTTGGGTCAAAAGGTTGTCTTCAACGTCAAGATGCGTGAAGGTGTCAAGGTTGAATCCTCAAAGAGCCAAAAGGATGAACTTATCTTGACTGGTAACTCTCTTGAAAACGTCTCTCAATCTGCTGCTGATATTCAACAATCTTGTCTTGTCAAGAATAAGGATATTCGTAAATTCTTGGATGGTATTTACGTCTCTGAACGTGGTGTCCTTGAAGAATCTGCTTAAGTTTTTTTTTTCTCTCTTTTAAAGAAAAACTGTAGATTTTCTCTCTCCTTTTTTTTTTTTCTTCGGTCTTTCAGTGTTAGAAGTGGAGGAAGAGTAAAAAAAAAAAAGAAGGGGTGAATCTATGATTAATAAAGATACACACCTGTCTTTGGGAAGACGGCAGCAGCCTTCCCACCCATAATTTTTTTTTGTTGTTGTTTTTTTTTATACTAGTGTATTGTGTGAAAAAGAAAAGAATGGAATAGGGAAAAGTAATATATGATTAAGTGAATGAGTGTATTGAATTAGCAATAGCTTTATGTTTTAAATGAAACGTTATAACGAATTGTGTTTCCTTGGTTATTGATTTAAGTATATTATTGAATCATTAAAAGCAATGACAGTTATTACTCCTTGACAACGACGATGAAAAATGGTTACACACTGATAACCATGTTGTATCCTAGAAACTAATTCACATTAAGTCTGTTATAAATAAACTATTGATAATCAACTTTTTATACACACACACTGTTTTAAGTATAAGATACATTGACAACTTCTTTTATTCAATATAAAAGTATTGTTTTATATCATTCCAAAAAAAAAAGAAAAAAAAAGATATTATTATTATCATTATTAGAATTATTATTATAAATAGGTTGCAAGTGAATTCAAAAGAAAAAGAAAAAGTGACGGGAAAGAGAGGTAGGGGGGGATATAAATAGATATATATATGTGAGTGTTGTAAGTGTGTATATATTGTATTTATCGTTTTTTACCAAATTTAATACCAAAGATCTTTCTAGGATTATTATTAAGTACAGAGGAGTGTCTAGAGTCTCCGTCATAAAATGTACCATCATCATCTCGAACACTACGTGCATTTGACATAGGTGAAGGATATCCATTATCTCGAGAAGGAAGTGAAGGAGGTCTTGATACAAATGGACTTGATGTATTAGATCCGTTGAAATTTCTATTATTACTATACATGTAATCACTTTCATCTGGTTTAATGGCTAACATACTCGTCTGTGAATTAAGTGAGTGCATCATCTCTCTTTCAACTGTTTCAAAGGCTGATGTAAACGTAAATTTACGATCTCGAATATGTGCTTCAATTTTTATTTCTGTTTGACCAAAATACATTTTAATCGTCATAAATATGGGTTGACCCTTTTGTACATCTGGGAATTTAGGCATTTTAATTGGGAATCTTGCTACTTTAAAAACTTGAGGATGTGTAGTTAAGCGTGGAACAGGGCCATCTCCATCATATGCAAATAAGTCTAAATTTCAAAAAAAAAAATAGTTCAAATATATCTTTTAATATCTGTATACATCTATATATCCTCCTTCTCCTTTTCCTTCTTTTATATACATACCTGTATCTGTATCATTTGGATAAGCAATCATAAAATTCTTTGACACACAATAATCAACACTAATCGTTTGTCCCTTTTGAACATAAACACTAAATCTTTGCTTACAAAATAAACGATTATCATCGCCTTTAATACATTGTTCAGGAGGGTCATTTCGAGGATCAAAGACCATTCTAGTCTCAAGACCATATGTACGTCTAGATACACGTTCTGTAACCATATGTGGATTAAGTCCAAAATAGACTGCTCCACGAACAACAGCTAATTCTCCACGAGGTGGCACTCCAATAAAACCGACTCGGTTTTGAAATTCTGCTAAAACACGTCTATAAAGATAGGTTGACTGACCAAAGCCACCTACCAAAAAAATAGCATCTAATTTAATGGATGAGCGCTGTACTTGTTCCTCGATTAAATCAATGACTTGATTGATAACAGGTTCAAAAACACGTTGACGAAGTTCATGACAAGGAATATGAAGTGTACCATCTTCTATACCTGCATCAGGATCATCAGCACCTTCAATACCTAATGCAGCGGGTAAAGCAAGATATTGATCTTCATCTCCGTCAAATTCAGGCTACAAGGGATTATAGGGAGTAGTATTAGTATATAAGGAGAGAGAGAGAGAAAGAAAGAGAGAGAGAGAGTGGGGAGGGAAGGAAAGGAAAGGAAAGGAAAGGGAGAAAAAAAATCAGTTAAGGAGATAAAATAAATAATGATTTAAAAAGAAACTTACTTTAATTGTATCAATAAAAGTCTCCATCATAGACTCCATAGCTGTATCACTGATTTTACCATGATGATAAAATCTATCTTTCAAATATTCACGCATACGAATATCCAAGAAAGTCGAACCACAAGAATCACCTGAACCTTTTGTTACTTCCTTGAGGGCCCTTCGTTCACCTGAGTCATCTATTTCAAAGACAATAAGGTCAACCGTACCACCACCAGCATCGCAAATCAAGAACCGTTGACCATGACCCAAATTAAACTGGTCACATTTCTTTTCACAATAAAGAGCAGCAGCCTCAGGTTCACTAATCAGCATAAGTCTACTTGGATGATCCCAACGATTAATGATGTTTGCACGAATTGCAGCTTCTCTCATAGTTGCTTTAGCTTGATCACTCCACATGGCTGGTACAGTTAAACAATAACGAAATTTACTTTGATCATAATTATTAGCAAAACCACGTTGAAGATCTTTACAGACATGATTATGGAATGCTTCAAGATAATCAGTTATAGCTTCAAGTGCTGTAAGACCGTTTGGTAATGGAGGTAAGTTGAGATTTTCGTCTAATTGTAATTTAAATCGAGAAAGTAATTGGTCATTATTATTTCGTTTCATGGCAGTCTTTTTTGCATCTTGTCCCCAGGCAACAAGTTTAGTTGAGCCATTTCTATAAAGAGAAAGAGTAGGCGTTTTTGGATAAACATTTTGTTGCTTTGGCCTAATAATTTTTTCTTTTAATTATATATATACCTATGCATATACACACATATCTATATATATATATTTATACCATTTCGTTATATCAATAATTTCATCATTTCCATCTTTTGAAAAAGCATAACAGCAGCCAGAAAAGGTTGTTCCAAAATCTATAATAAATAAACATAAAAATAAATAAACTTTTAAAATACAAAGTCATCCTTATTATACCTATGCCAATAACATATGAATAATCATTTGGATCAAATGGTGGAGTATCCATTGACATATTCAAAGATTATAAAAAGACGTAAAGAGAAATTTTTTTTTAAGAAAAAAAAAAAAAAAAAGAACAAGAAAAAAAAAGGGAAAGAAAGATAAAAAGACTTAGTATTTGTTCAGGAGCAACACTACAGACGCCAGGTACAATTTTAGTATTTTCTTTTTTCCTTAATTTTTTATTCGCTGACTTCTAATTTTTCGTCATTATTTTTGTTTTATAATTTCTATTTTTAAAACAAATACTGCTGCCAAGCAGAATAGTCATTCACATGCTTCTTCTTCACTCTTTTCTTTTCAAAAAAAAAAAAAAATAAGCAAAAATAGATTTCTTTATATTAGACTTTATTAAACAAGAAGACAATCTTAGGCGAGAAATTAGTTGTTTAAAAGTAGCGGAACATCAAAAAAAAAATACTCCAAATCTATCATATAAATCAATTATATAAAAAAAGAAAAAAAAACGTTTTCAAATTCAGAATATAAATTTTACATATAATTAAGGAGAACTGCTGCAAACAGTATATCATTAAAGAAAATGAGCATATTTACATTTTTTATAGTTATATTTTTAACACTTTATCAGCTGTCATCTAAAAGAAATGACTTCTCTTAAGTTGTCTTCTTTTCTATTCATTTGGAGGTTTTAATTTAGCTTGTGTAATATGAACACTAAATAGGATCGTCATTTAAGAGTACAAAAATCAAAAAAAAATTCGAAAGCCGGCCTCACATAGTCCCTCATTGTTGTTTACAGAACTAACTATTGGTTTTGACAAATCAAAGAATTTACTAGGAATTACTTTAACAATAATATTATCTGTTAGTTTTGAGCCTAAATGTGGCTTACTCATCTTCTAATAATATAATTCCATTTCTTTTTTTTTTAATACACTTGGCTCAATTATTTAGAGTATTACTTGACAGACTATTGTTTGAATGGATGAAAAATAAGCAAATTTCCTTCTAATAAATAGATATAGTACGTATTTTTTTAATAATTATTCATATCTCGCAAACTATAAGAATAATGAAAGGGGAAGGCATTATTATAGATGACTAAAATTCATTAAAATGTTCTAAGCCCTTACAATTGTTAAATTATATTATATATAGTTTATTCTATAATTATTAAAAAAAAAAAGGCTATTTTAATATGACATACCCCTTAGACCATTAAAGAACAAGTATAGTAAATTTCTTTGATTTAAATAGTAAAACTTATATACATGTACACATGCATACAGTTATGTACACCTTTTGCCAAAATGATGTCACAAGAAAAAAAAATTAAAGTGTCGCATACATATACATTGCTTATGGTTCTAATTGGCGTATTTATAAAATTCAATAAACAGTTTAATAAATACCAATCAGCGCATTAAAAATTTCCAATTAGCAGATTTGCAAAGAACCAAATAGCAGTTTTTTTTCTAGTCAATTCGCGTTTTTTTTTTTTTTTTTTTTTTTTTTTTTTTTTTTTTTTTCAGCATGAGCAATAAACTTCACTATTTTATGGAAGATGGCCGGGGGGGTTTTTTTTCTGAGCAGACACTTATATTTATTTTTGATCATCTCCTTGGATTACTTTGTAATACGTGTGGGAGGGGAGGGGAACCTTTGTTTTTGACACAAGAGTCACTTGTCATTGTTGTCCGCTCTTTTTTTTTCCTATACAGTAACAAAACATACCGACATAAAACTAACTAAAACAACGCATTGATTCTAAAGTAATAGTAATTTCATTAGTGTATTCTTGTTATTGTCTTGTATTCATAGAGTCAAGTAGTAGATACACAAAGTATTTAATAAAAGTAGCGCTTGTATGACAAGACAAAAAAAAAATTTTTTTTCTTTCCAATTTGTTTGCAGACATTAAACTGAGCATAGATGGACAAAGCCATGTTTGACAAGTGCTTCAACAAAGAAAAGTCATAAAATGTATGAAGAGGGTCTTAACATTACCTGTATTTGAGCAATATTCTGCCCTTGTTGATTTTATTTAAATAAAAGTGATCGAAATCCAAGACCAAGCTCTAAGCCTTTACTTGAAAGCGACTTTATAATAAAAGACTTGATACAATTACAATTTATATAATCAAAATATAAAGCTTAAAGACTAAATAAATTAGTGTGAGTAGGTTTATACATAAACTTGAGTTTAAGATATCCGTATTCCTGAGAAAGAAGAATGCCATAGAATAACAACAAAAAAGCTAGCAATCGCAAACACCTATATAATAAACTAGAGTTTAAAAGAATAGATGTTTTATAAATCTAGGTGACAGCATTCCCTCACTTAAGCAGGAATGCTACTCCCAGACTATAATAAATTATGCTCCCCCCTGAGTTGTCCGGGCAAAAATGAGATATCTGTGCAGTAAGTGGCCAACAAAACACGGCCATGATTTACAACTAAACACATGCGAGAGGTCTATCATATTTCAAGATTTATAAAACAAAAAAATCAAGTTGTATTTATTTTCATGTTTTTTTTTTTTTTTTTTTTTTTTTTTTTACGTATAAATTATAAAGACTCGTAAAAAATAAGAAAAATAATGGGATAGTAAAGCCTATTCTGTATAAAAAGTAGTAGCAGTAGCTGTTGTATGAATAGTATGTTAACATAAAGTATACAAGCTTATTTTTATTTGTTTATGGATAATATAGATTTATTCATTTATAATTGATAATAGTAAAAAAGAGGATAATGAACCAATTAGCCAGTAGCTTCATTATGTAATAAAAGGCTACTATTTCCAGAAGCAACCCATCGTAGAGGTTGATTGCACTATATGCTTCCTTTTACAATCTTATTTAAAGAGAGACGTGAAAAGTCCAAATGAAATGTACTCTCAGAGATTGAATATTTACAGTGACCAGTATCTTCAGAACTTCACTAATTTAACAGTATATGTTCTGTTTGCCTTTGTTACGCTTTATAAAGAGTGTATAGCTTCCCCCCTTTTTTTTTCTTTATTTAAACGGAGCTTTTTCCTCTACTGCTGCTGCTGCTTTTATAAATTCTGTCGATCTATTGACTTTATTATAATTGAGTCAAGCTATTGTTCTATCGGGTCTTTATAAAGCCTACATTACTACATAATATATTACAAGTGAAAAAAAAAAGATATTACTTTCTTTTAGTAAAAAAAAAAAAAAAATAGTAGATTATTAACTTGAAGACAACTTGTTTGTATATAAAACTAATCATATAATAAGCTTGAATCTAGCATATGCCTAATGACAACGACTCTATTATACTCTGTATATTAACATAGGGTGTAGTGACTTTGATTATTAATCTACGAAATCGTTGTATATAAAGATGTAGATAAATATACACTTGCACTACATTGCATATATTCCATAAGAAAAAAAAATTTTTTTCATGCAGGAAAATAAAGCCTTTTTTCTTCTGTGTCATTTTAAAACAAGTTTATTATTCTTTTCTTATTCAATTTTATTATTACAGGTTCTTTTGCACTCATTTATTATTAATTTGCAGTAGCCTTAGTTGTTATTGCAGTATTAGACTTTGTATTAAATAATTGTTCTACTAAATCAGTTGGAGAGGGATCATCTGTATTATTAAAAGGTGATACTTGCCGACAATAATGTGGCTACATTATACGTTAAAAAAAAATTTATGCATTTTATTTTATTTTATTTCCATTTTATTTTCATTTTATTTTCATTTATTTTCTATTTGTCTTACCAGTGAAATAGCAGATTGTGACTTCTTTATATTCAACAATGAATTGCTGTTATTTTCGTTATTTGTGTTATTTCCAAAACTACATGATGAATCTAATAATAAAATCGATAACAATAATCAATAAAAAAAAAAAAGACAGCTTAAATAAACATTACGTAATGATCTTTCATCAGCTAATAAAGATCTTGCTTGTTGCTGTCGTTCAGTAATCATAGAAGGAATGTCTGTGAATATTTGCTGTTTCTTCAAAGGAGGTCTAAAGAGGGAAGAAGTTAAAGCGTTTTGGTTATTGCTATAGAATGAAATGAAATGTAATGTAATAAAGAAGTTACATTTCATATTCAGTTAATGTATTTGATATCTGATCTACTTTAATAGACAACTATAAAATAGAGTGTGATGTTAGATAGAATAAGCTTTCTTTAAATCTTCTTTATATTACCTTTATAGTTGAATTAAATTTACAATGGTCTAATAAATATCTTCTAGTAATTAATCCAGAGCCTGCATACTCTGATAAATTTATTGTCAAATTTCCAATAGATATCGTATCTTTACTTCCGCCTAATTCTTGATATATTTCTAATTTTAGTTCACAGGGTCCCAAAATACGCTGCTTTGTAATGACTAAATGAGCTATTGTACTAATCGGATGACCCCAAAATATACAATGATCTCTAATAGGTGCTCTACAAAAAAAATACATTAGTCTGCCTCAATGAATGACATTGTATTATTATTATTATTATTATTATTATTATTATTATTAGTTACCTCACTGTAGAGCCATTACTATGTACTGTATTTTTTATTCTCCATTTAACATAATAAAGGCCACTTACTAAAGGAACATTAGTTAAATCTTGAATAAGAATGGTTAATTCGAAATCTATTTTTCGATTTTTAGATATAAATAATCTAGAGAAAGACATATAAAATGAAGATAAATAAATAAATAAATGAATAAATAAATGAATGAATAAATAAATAATAAAGAGCCTTATTTATTTCTTTCCTTCTTCCCAGCCAGCAAATTAAACGACGGTTGAAATTACAGACAAAAATTACCATTTATGGCAAATATAAATCCCCAATTTTATGTGTGTCAAATAAAAGTAGTGTATATATTATGTAAACACTATTTAATTTAAAGTTACTTATTCTTCCCTTTTTCTTTTAAATACATATTTATTTTTTATTTTATTTTATTTTACTTGGACAAACAAAAATTAGTAGCATTCATTTTATATTATGTCTACTGCTACTGCTACTACTACTGCTACTACTACTGCTACTACGACTACTACCACTACTACTACAGCAACAACATTAACAACAACTACACTATCTTCTTCTTCTTCTGCACTTCATAAGTCTATCTTATCGTCAAGTAGGAAAACAGTAAAACATTTTTTTAGTCAACTTTATCAATATGTCGATTTGATAATACGTTTTTTATTGTTCTTTTTACCAAGGCAACAACAAAAGATAACTAACAACAAGATACCCTTACAAACACAATATTATAAAAACAAGACACTTATATTAGACTTGGATGAAACATTAGTCCATTCAGTTCGTTTAGGCTCAGAAACTTCTTCTCTTCACAATAAAGTGAGTCCAACTATTAAACGAAAGCATATTGAAGTTCTTTGCTCAAATCATGATAACAAACAACTTTCGATAATTTATGAAGTTTATAAACGACCTCATGTGGATTTCTTTTTAAAGACAGTAAATAATAAAATTGAACATTTATAGAATAGGATTGCTTATGTAATACATAAATATGAATACATATTTGTATATGTATAAATATAGATTAGTCAATGGTATCGAGTTGTTATTTACACAGCTTCAATGGCAGAATATGCTGACCCTGTGATAGACTGGCTTGATCAAGATAATTTAATTTCACAACGACTCTTTCGACAAGTAAATGATTCCATACACATTATGTGTTACTCACTCACTTACTTACTTTATATAATAGTCATGCATACTTCAAAATGGCAACTTTTTAAAGGATATTACATTAGCAGAAAAGGATCTATGTAAAGTATGTCTTGTAGATAATAGTCCTATTTCATTTGATTTGTACAAAGGTAAAGAAAAAAAAACACACACACACACACACAAAAAAGGGGTGAAGAAGTGACAGTTTTTGGGGAAGAAAAAAGAAATAAATAACTAATAGATTAAACTTGGGTTTTATTAGAAAATGGTATTATTTTACCCACATGGATATCAAATCCTAATGACGAAAGCTTATTGGACCTTTTACCTTTATTGGATGCACTTCGATTTGCTGCTGATGTTAGAAGCATCTTACGATTGCAGCGTAATAATAAAAAATAATAGTTTATCAAAATATAGATTTTTTTTTTTTTTTTTTTTTTTTTTTTTTTTTTTTTTTTTTTTTTTTACAAAACATAAGCTGCAGATGCTAAGTTTACCTTTATTTTAAAAAGAGATTTATTCATTTAGACCCATTTACATTATATAGACATGGGCAATATTGTTGAATAAAGTAAAGAATTTTCTAATCAGATAAAATCTTATATTTCTAAACATGCTTTAATTTGAACCTCTGCAAAGGAACCAAACAAACAAACAAACAAAAGGCTTGTTTGGAGTTCATCTTTCTTGCTATAAATCCACTTTATATTTTATATATCAACTACTTTCAAGCCTCTCTAATTTATTATCTCGTTTTATCAACATGTTTACATCAACCATCCATGTAAGTTATAATTGATTCAATCATTCATTCATAACGATTAGATGCATTGTAGTCTACAAAATAAAAGAATTGATATATTACATCGTCCCAAAAATAAAAAAAAGAAAAGAAAAGAAAGAAGAAGCTTATTATCTGTAGTTTATATTTGAACAATGATTTAGTTCAATATGGATGAATTAAAGTTCAGATGATTTATCATTTGAATTGCTACTCCCTTTCTTCTTACACACACACCTCTTTATTTCTATCTCCGCATAATAATAATAATAATAATAATAATAATAATAACAAAGGACTATTTCTTATCTTTGCTTATAATAATCTCCACCATGGCCAATCGAGCAGTTAGTTCAACTATTAAAAAGGTTAGCAAAGCACTTGATTGTTTGGCTTATATATATGTATATATATATATTTATTTATTTAATATATGCAAAATACATTATTGATTAGAGTTTATTAAATGCACGACCCTTACTTATGGCAAATAGAAGGACCCCCGCACAATTATATGGCTTGGTAAATAATCATCTAATAATGACTCGAATTATTGACTTGTATAAAACTATCCTTTTTATTTATATATATCTTCTTCCTTTCTACGTCTACACATAGAAATCGACTAGTTTATTATGCTTCTCACGATACAACTCGACTCTAACTGCTGAACCAAAAAAACCAAAGTATTCTGAAACTACAAAAAAGATTGTATATGGATTAGCTAAACTTATGGGATATTATTCAGTCGAATCTACAGCTATTAAAGCGAGTCATAATCTTTATAATGTTTGTTCAAAACAATTTGATTTAAATAAGGACTTTTATACCAAAAGTAAAATTAAATGAAAACTTGTATTATACCCACATACATTAATATCATGTAAAAAAAAAAAATAGAATGTAGTTTGCCAGATAATTTTCAATCATGGTTTTCAGTAACTCAATTACATGTATGGATGTTAATGGTTCATTTACGTGCAGAAGGACAAGGCAAATTATACATTCAAGAGCTTGTCAATCGATTCTTTGAAGATGCAGAAGATCGTATTCGACAACATGGTATTACACAACAGAGAGTGATTAATAGTTATATAAAAGATTTGTTAGCACAGTTCCATGGTGGTGTAGTAGCTTATGACGAAGGAATGTGTAAGGATGATCCAGTCTTGGCAGCTGCTTTATGGAGGTAATGAATAAGATGAAAGAAGAAAAGAAAAGAAAAGAAAAAAAAAAAAGAAAAAAAAAGAAAGGCTCTAAAGAATGTATTCATTTTCATAATTTAGAAATTTATTCGCAATTTCATCCAACAATGCAGCTGATTTAGCACTTGTTGTACAATACATTAGACGCGAATTACAAGCATTGGAGAAATATGGTGGTGAAAATCTTAATGCAGGCATTGTACAATTTGATAAACCTGAGCTTACTTTTGTATAATAATTATTAGAAATTAAAATTTCTTTGTATAATAATAAAGTAACAAATTATATTTTTCTTTTTATTTTAATAACAATAACAAAAAGTTATTAAGATGCGATATAAGCATTTTAGATATCCTTCTTGAGAGTACCCATGAATTGATGCTTCTCGGCAGCAGTTTGGAAACGACCATGACCAAACTTGGAAGAAGTATCGATGAACTTGAGGGAAACCTTTTCCAAAGCAGAACGCTTGGTGTGGACAGTGAGGGACTTACGAAGAGTGATAACACGCTTCTTGGAACCAGCACAACAACCCTTGATCATAACGAAATCTTCGTTAACGATACCGTAGTGAGGGAAACCACCCATAGGAGTAATAGGCTTTTCAGTCAAGTCGTAATCAGTAGTACCAGACTTGGCATCAGCACCATGAGCAATACGGTAAATCTTCTTGTTGATTTCAGTACGGCGATGGTAACCACGTTGACCAGCACGAGCAACAGAGTACATGACTCTGCTAGGATGCCAGGCACCAATACAGGCAACCTTACGAAGACCACGGTGAGTCTTACGAGGCAACTTCTTGGTACCCCAACGGTGAGTGACACCTTCGAAACCATGACCCTTGGTGGTGGCGATGATATCAATCATTTCATCTTGTTCGAAGACAGAGCCAACAGTGACTTCCTTTTCAAAGTGTTCACGAGCCCATTCAACCTTATCGGCAATAGAACCACCGTTCAATTGAATTTCCATGATGTGAGCCTTGCGTTGATGAAGCTTGGCCTTGGAGATTTGGGTGTGAGCAATGACACGGACAACGGAACAGTATTTCTTGATACGTTCGAGTTCACGGGCAATATCCTTAGCACCTTCAGCATACTTTTGAGCATACTTGGTGAAGGCCTTCTTCTTGGAACGATACCAGTTCTTGTAGAAGCGACGCTTGGCTTCTTCAGAAAGATGTTCAGCCCAGACGGTGGTCAAAGAGCGGAGACCACGAGGAGTTTCGACGTAACCAACAACACCGACAACAACCATAGCAGGAGCTTCGATGACAGTAACAGCTTCGACGATTTCCTTCTTGTGCATCTCTGTCATTATAAATTATAATATTAGATTCATTTTTTTTCTTTAGTTGTTTCCATATTATTATTTCATTCAACTTACTGGAACCAGGACGTTCAAGATCACGAACAATGTGGGTCATACCGGCCTTGTAACCCATGAAGGCAGTCAAGTGAACAGGCTTGCTAGCATCATCCTTGGGGTAAGCCTTAACGCGACCGCGGTGAGATCTGGTTCTCTTACGGGGACCAAAACCCAAGTGACCGTGACGGGGAGCCTCGAACTTTCTATTAGTAGGTTAAATAAATAAATAAAAAAGTAATGATTAATGTCAAATTCGATTTATAATTGTTTCAATTGATAGCTGAAATGGTTCGTCTTTTATATAAATCACATAATGTCCGTATTGAATGAAATTGAACATTTGTTTAAATTATAATTATACTCAGAAAATTATAATTTCAAGAAAGTTGACATTTCGAAAGTGGAATTTAATGATTGAGTACTAACCTGTGAGACTTTAATAAAAGAAAAATAAGTATAAACGAATATAGTCATTGATGGATTATTACTTGATAACTTACCATATTTAATTACACCAAGTATAAAAAGATGATGATTTAAAAAGAAGAGAAGGATCTCAACTAATTATCATATTCAATACTCTATCCTTCGCCCTTCATTTTTTTTTTTTTGTTTCGACATCTATTCAGTAAAATGGATGGACCTATTTGTCCGAGCCGGATTAGAAATATTAAATATTTAAATTCAAGTTGCGAAAAAAAAGAGTATAATATGATTTGCTACAAGGAAAGACAGCATTCGAATTCTACTAACGGCTCCTTATTTGTTATGGTTCAGAAGTCTGGTATCTTTTATATTAGAGTATGGATAACACTAAAAGGTCTAGGATAGTCATTTGAATATAATAATGGAGCAAAGACTAAACACATACAACAACAAAAAACAAGTTCAGTCAAGATAAATATATGAAAACGTTTATTTATCAAAAGTCTATATAATGAAGGCCACCAAATATTGAAGACAATTCATTAGCATAGCATAGAAAGATAGACGTCTGGTTATAAATAAAAGTAGTATAATTATTCATCAGACTAGTAAAATTAGGTGTCATATTACTACGATGAGTTGACAATTTTCCAAGATAGGGCCAATGTTAGCGGCCTTTTAAATTTAACAAGGAGGAGAATGATTCCTGTTTTATTGGAGGAAAAAAAAAAGCAATAAATAGAGGAATGGATTATTCTTTATGACATTTTAACCTTTATTTATTGCTTTTATACATATTATGTTATAACTAACCATTTGGTTAGAAGACATGACATATAAAATGTCTATAACATAATGGATGGATGAATGGATGAATGGATGGATAGATATGTAAGTATTTCTTCTTCTTTTTATGTGTTCATATAATATGATGAATTACAAGAAAATTTTTACCTTATCTACATTGCCTGAATGATTGATGTAAAAAACTTGATACTGATTCTATGATGAACACATGTAATATTGTTTAATATAACGAAGAACTAACGTAATTTATTATTATTAGGTGTAAATATGTAAGTTTTTATTTTATCTATACTCTACTGTTTTAAATAAAAAAATTTTTTTTGACATCAAATTACAAAAATGTCTCTATTTAATACATGTGCTATTTGTAATAGATAACATCATAACCTTTGATTTAAAAAATATACACATTGTATTTAATGAATGCAAATATTGCATTTTAAACCTAATTTTGACAGGTCTCAGGTTCCTTATTAATATAAGCTTAGAATTTATTTTCTACAAGATAAATATTTATATAAACTATAGCCTAAAACAGCTTTGTGTACACAAGACAATTGTCCTTGATTTATTATCACACTAGTTCACTCTAATTGCACTCTTTTTTCAGATGTTATTTTATCATTTAATTGCTATAACACTTTTCTTTGACAATAGTTGTTATGATTAATGCAATAGCTATTTTTCGTAGTAAATTCCATTAAGCATTTTACTTGAACAATCTATAGCATCTTTTATAATAGCATGTAGGCAATTAACAATTAAATTGACAAAATACTTTTTATGAATCTCCTGTAACATACTTTTTTTTTGTTGTTGAATATACTTACAATTAGTATCAAGATCAGAACTATATTTTAACTAATGACAATTAATTATTCCTTCCCTCCCCATTCTAATGTCTCATTAAAAGATGTGTTATTTTGGCTATTTTTATAAAACAGCTTATTAAGCATCATTTAGTTCAGTTTGAACATAATAAAGCTGAAAAGATTAGTTGCTAAAAAAAAAGTCGAAGTAGACTTTTGAAGCTGCTATATAGATTTTTATAAAAAGCATTATTCGGCTTTTATCAAACTTAAAAAAAAATGCCATTTATTCCTGAAAAAAAAAAAAAAAAAAAAAAAAAAAAAAAAAAGAAAAAAACTTGTCAATTAACATCATGAGCACTGTATTTACAAACAACTTTTTTATTCAAAAAAAAAAAAAGTTGTATATGCATGTTTATATATTTATATATACGAACTGAAGAATGAAGAGTTGCTTATTTCTTTTTTTTTTTAAGATTATTGCTCTCCAGGTCTTTTAGCATTGCAAGCAACAATCTTAACTTTATCAGCAGAAATAGTTTCTTGATCAAATTTAAAATTAGGATTCTCTATAATAAATGTCCATACTTCATCACAAAAACGATATGTATGTAAATGTCCCTTTTTTTTTTAAAAAAAAAAAAGAAAAAAAAATACATGTTAAAAAATCATATAAATGTAAGCATAATAAAAATCCGTGTTCTCACAAAAGTGATTAACTTTCAAAAAGATTGCATATAATACCTTAATGTTTGCTTTATTTCTTACAAGTTGTGAAAGTGCTTCTGAAATGCTTCTGTCAAAAGTCATTAAAACACGCATAGCCAATTGAGGATTAATATGTCCGCTTTGGATCAATTCATCCAAAGAATCGGTTAAAGCCATACCGATGCTAATAATTATGTAAATTAATTAATATATATAAAAAAAAACATGGATTTTTTTCAGTTTAATTTATTATTTCTTTATAATTTTTTAACACGAAAAAAAATGCAAATATAATACTAGTTCTAATGTAGTTTGAACTTACCTAGAACGACGGTATAACTCATAGAATTGAGTGCTAGACATGGTTAAAAGAAGCTTGAATGTTAAAAACTCTCTCCCTGTATTTATAGTGTGGCTGGGTGTACAAATTGAGCCAATCAATTTACTGGATTTCATGACGTATAAATAATGATTTCCTCACATTTTTAAAAATTAAAATTCAGACTTTTTTTTTTTAACAATAACTTATGATAAATTCTGTATAGTCAGTGAGATGGATTCTGCTAAAGCTTATTGTCATTTTAAGTTTAGAGTAACTTGCCGGTTTCAAGATATAGAATTAACGTTAAAAAATAAAAATTCTAATTCTTAAAAAAAAAAACTAGAATAGAGCTCTAGTAGCAATGTATTATGATTTGATGGTTAGAGCGGCTACAAAAGCTATAAAGATTACTAATGAGAACTTTATTAATAATCCTGGATGACAAATTTTTAACCGTCTTCAGTTAATGGTATTTCATTTTTCCTTTCAATAAAGAACAGAATTGCTTGGTGGGATTTCATTCATTACTTTGGGTCCCTTACTTTCAATTTTTTTTATATATACACATATATATTATTGGCTTTAGTCTATGAATTGAAGCATTGTCCATTACTAAGTAACTTCCTCTCAAGGGCTCCTCAAGACTCATTTACAATAAGGAGCATATTTATAACCTAAAAAAAGTGGACAGCTGTTGATATTTTGTTGCTGACTTAGTAGTGTTAACAGTTGTGTCATCCTCTACAGTTGATTTTAAGTCATTGATCTAAATTGCTGATCTTTTTTTTTTTTTCCGTTAATATTTGTATTTATTAAGTATGCTTCGAAGCTATACAGGTACATTTGATAAAATTATCGAATGTGTCTCTCTGAGAGTATTCTACATTGGTATAATCTGTTAAGAAAATTTGTTCGTTTAGTAAAAATATGTAATATATTTACTGTACGAACTTCATTGTCGCTAACAGACTTTAAGTGATTCTAACCTGTATTCCCTTAATTTTTCTGGAGTATAACATTATGGCCTTTATTTTTATACTTGAATATAATATTGCTTCATTGCAATTGCCCAATATCAGACCATGGATCCACCATTAATTTAAAAAATCCTCTAATAACCGCTTATTCAGATAAAGATGTGGAATGAAAAAAGTTCTAGTGACAAGTTGTAAAACGAATAAAATGTTCTCATATTTATTGATATCGTAAGTCTTACGTATTCGTGTATATTGCTTTATTTTGCTCTGAAGTAAATTATGCATGTGAGTATTCTGTATGTCTCTGTCAAACAATTAAACTACCTTTAAAGTTCCTCTAATTCCTTGAGTATTAGGTGAAACGAGCCTTCTCACTTTTTTTTTTTTTTCCTTTTATCAAGAATTAACTTTTAAAATCTTGGCCAGATCTTTCTAAAGATAATAGGCATATAATGGAACTCATTTGATTATTATAAATAATATCATTGTTGATGTATTCTCAACAATGAAAATAAAGGCGTAATAAAAATATAGAAAAAATCATAGATACTAAGTACTCAATAAGATAGTTAAAAGCTATTTATTTAGTATTTGATAAAAAGTATTTAAATACTTTCAAGCATATTTTGCTTGATTACTGTGGTAGTAAATAAAAAATAGTTCAAATTAAAGCTTAGCTCTTCATAAAAGAAATACATAAATCTCTTAACCTTGTTTGTTAATTAAAGAAGCTTAATTATAGCTTGACCTAGTTAAACACTGCCCCTATAGTTATTGTTCTTATTTATCTTATCTTGATTTGAGAATAATTTCATAGTTAGTGATGTTACTTTTCTTGATATTATTTAAAGGAAGCTACAAATAATCATTAGTGCCTATACCTAAATAATATATCTAGGCATGAGAGTTAGATCACTCGAACATATTAACAATATAGTTCGTTTTAAATATAGTATAATAACTGGGATAAAACAGTATATATGGTATGGTACAAATCTTTATAAGAATTGTATCCTGAATTATTTAACCAAGAAACATATCATTATAAATCAGCCCAAAAATATCATTTTCTAATGATAAAGAACAAGGATGCCGTTTATATGTGAAATATCAACTTTGAGCATATTTAGTGGTTTTAATTACAATGATAATAAGCAGATACTAAATGTCTTTTGTTATAAATGAAAGTATCATTCATAATGCAAATATCGTTTTAACCTCTTGAATGTTCTATTGTAATAAGAAGGACTATTTTATGAAACAATCTTCAGATGTCTAATACTTTTGTGTATGATGAACCCATATTGTTTGTAGTTATCTACTACTCTTATTATCAATAAACATTCTATGAGTCTGTGTTACCTTCCATCAGCCATGGGAGGCACTATACAGACGGGGCGATTTTCAGTGCTATTCATAGCCCGGCATAAAACAGGCTCCCCACATTTCTGAAAAAAAAAAAAAAGGGAAAAAAAAAGAAAAAAAGAAGGAAATTAAACATTCGTGCCTTTTATATCATTCTATAATGAAATGTTACACGAGTGACTACCATTTGCATCTTTAATATTATAATAATAATAATAATAATAATAATAATAATAATAATAATAATAATAATAATAATAATAAAAAAAAAAAAATACACGTATTTTATGTTATGTTTTTTATTAGATAGATTAATGATACTTTTTTACTTATCGACCGACTAGGACAGTACAGTATATTCTAGTACTATGTATTCAAGCAGTTGCTATTAATCTTTATTTTTTATGAATGAAAGATTTAGTTTAATTGCTGTTTATACGTATTATAAAAATCACACATAGTAAATACAAAATATTTAATATAATAAAAGAAAAAAATATGTGCCTTATACAATCATTCAACACTCAATTTGAGATTTTTTTTTTTTCAAGAACGTTAGACAAGTAACTGACATTAATAATTGAATGAAAGACTACACTAGTTTCTGAAATCTTTACTCTAGCAGGAGTTCTACTTCCTGTTCTTGCCTATTGGTTGTTCCTCATATTTATATCGAACCTAGCCTTATCAATAAAAACACCCCCTTTTTTTTTAGGTAATCAAGTTCTGTATTCTTTCAATACATAAAATACTTGAAATTTATCTACAAGTTGTCTATGGAAGTCTTTACTTCAGCTTCAGAGGCAAGCTTTTTCTTTTTACCTTTTACAGTGAACAGTATAGTGTTCTTCAAATAGAAAATAGGTTACAACTTTAATAGAGAAAAAACCTAAATTTGTTTAATCAATTCTCGTATAATAACTCCAATAAAGAGCTGAGAATTGTCATTAATCAAATTCTCTATAACTTCTATATTCAACAGTAATAAAGCTTGATAGACCACTGTTGACTCTTTATTTTATTTTTTATTTTTATTTTTATTTTTATTTTTATTTTATTTTTATTTTTATTTTTATTTTTATTTTTATTTTTATTTTTATTTTATTTTATTTATTTATTTATTTATTTTTTTTTTTTTTTTTTTTTTGGAACAAGCTTCTATAGACTTTTCATAAGCTTTCTAGCATCTTTTGGTGAGATTTATCAGCATTTTGTTCACCTTTAAATAAAACGACTATTGTAATTAGTTCGAAGAATAATAATGACCTATTATTATAGAAGTATGTTATTTTCCTTTCACACCTTCCTTTTTGTTTTTGTCCTTCTTCTTTATTAAAGCGAAGTTCTGAAGATACTAGTCACTGTAAATATTCGATCTCTGAGAGTACATTTCATTTGGACTTTTCACGTCTCTCTTTAAATAAGATTGTGAAAGGAAGCATATAGTGTAATCAACCCCTACGATGGGTTGCTTCTGGAAATAGTAGCCTTTTATTACATAATGAAGCTACTGGCTAATTGGTTCATTATCCTCTTTTTTACTATTATCAATTATAAATGAATAATTCTATATTATCCATAAACAAATAAAAATAAGCTTGTATATATTTTTTTTCGTATGTACAAAAGAAAAAAAAAGGTAATTTGATTCCAGGTCTGGCTGGGGTGAGGTGTTCATAATCGCTTCCACTTAGCAGAATTGTGTCCTAACATACCTGGCATGATTCGTTGTTTATATCTGAAAGTATAGCACCGTGAAGATCGAAACAAATAGAACTATTCTATATGTAAGGGATACTACCAGCCCAAACTATCAATCCCTCATATATATATATATGTATGTATAAATAAAAGAAACTACATTTATACTCTTTACTCTAGTTTATTATCATATTTGATAGAAAGAAAGTATTATAGTTATGTAGGTAATCCTTATAGCTTAAAAAAAAATACAATATAATATAATGCTACTATAACTAACAAGACTTTGCCCCTGTTTTTTATATTAATAAAAATATAACTTTTTTTTTAAAAAAAATTCTAAATCAATATATACTACTAAAAAGGCTGCTAATAGGAAATAAAAAGTATTATATATATTCTCATTATATAATAACTGCTTTTATTATTACTATAAAGATAAGAAAAGATACCAGAGTAATAAAAAAAATGCTGTTAATAGAGGTAAACATACATGTTAATCTAATAAAATAATTATAAGACAAATAGGTACAAAAAAAAAGAATAAAATACGATTCTTGTTTTATACATTTATCTTGTTCAATCAGTTATATAATGACTTAGTTTTCTTTAGAAAGGATGGTTACTTTTCCCTTAGAAAAAAACAATTATTACATAAATACATATCAGCTTAAATAAGCTTTTCTTCATATAAAAAACTAGTTATCAGGTTTTTTTTATAAAAACTATCTATATATACCTTGTATATGTAATGAAATTCAATATTAATTGAATTAATATCAATGTGTATACTGTATACTTCTCAATATCTTCCAAGTGTAATAAAAGATACTACGTAAAAATTAATTTGAAGTATGCACTAAAGACAGTCACCGTTTATTTTTTTTTTTATTTTTTTTTTTTTTAAAAAATCTTCTTTTTTTTTTTCTTGACTGATTTCTCCACTTGCAATAATATTTGATAGATCATCATGTCTAGTAAAAATAAGAAGGGTAAGTTATAATTAAAAAAAAAAAAGAAAAAACTATTTTTTTCTGACTATTGTTCATATTTTGTTAATTAAATTTTATAGGAGGACCTAGTCAGGTAATGTTTAAAACAACAAATATGTGATCTATTTCATGTAGATGACTAATATAATAAATAATTAACATGTAGGCCGAGCTTATGGTTCGTACTTGTTCAGAAATTGTAGCTGAACTTGTTGCAGCTGTTGAAGCAGGAAAGGATGTTAATTTGAATGGATTAAAAAACAGAATGGCTCGTAAAAATAAATTAAAACATCAACCAAAGCTTGTTGAAATCATTGCTGCTATCCCTGAACAGCATAAAGCAGCTTTACTTCCTAAATTAAAGGCCAAGCCAATTCGTACTGCTTCAGGTGTAAGTTGATTTGAATATATCCTAAGGCAAAAAACAAAAAACAAAAAAAAAAAGAGCGATATTAATGGTAGTATAAATAGATTGCAGTTGTAGCAGTGATGTGTAAACCTCACCGTTGTCCTCACATTGCAATGACAGGAAATATTTGTGTGTAAGTTGGCAGTTCAATAGTTTATAAAATCAGATATTTAATTACATGATATACATATATAGCTATTGTCCTGGTGGTCCGGATTCTGATTTTGAATACTCAACACAGTCATATACAGGTTATGAACCTACATCTATGCGTGCTATTCGCGCACGTTATGATCCTTATGAACAAGCTCGTGGACGTGTAGATCAACTCAGAAGCTTAGGTCATAGTGTAGATAAGGTAGAATATATTGTTATGGGCGGTACATTCATGTCATTACCCGAAGATTATAGAAATTGGTTCATTCAAAATCTGCATGATGCCCTTTCTGGTCATTCTAGTAATGATCTTGATGAAGCTGTCAGGTAATATAGAAGTACTGAATAGGTTGGTTAATTATTTATACTTATTATCTTCTTCCCCCCCTCCCCCTTCCTTTAGATATTCACAACAAAGTCAAACAAAATGTATAGGTATTACAATTGAAACTCGCCCTGATTATTGTTTAAAGCCCCATTTAAGTCAAATGCTTCGATATGGTTGTACTCGTTTGGAAGTAGGTGTGCAGAGTGTTTATGAAGATGTTGCAAGAGATACAAATCGTGGCCATACAGTAAAGGCGGTAACAGAATGTTTCCAAATGGCAAAGGATGCAGGATTTAAGGTTGTTTCACATATGATGCCTGATTTACCTAATGTCGGTATTGAAAGAGATATTGAACAGTTTAAAGAATACTTTGAAAACCCTGCCTTTAGATCTGATGGCTTAAAGATCTACCCTACCTTAGTTATTCGTGGCACAGGTCTTTATGAACTTTGGCGTACAAAGCGCTATCAAAATTATACACCTAATACGTTGGTTGATCTTATTGCCCGTATCCTAGCTATGGTGCCTCCATGGACTCGTATCTATCGTGTACAGCGTGATATCCCTATGCCACTTGTTACTTCTGGTGTCGAACATGGTAATTTGCGTGAACTTGCTTTAAACCGTATGAAGGATTTAGGTACTGAATGTCGCGATGTTCGTACAAGAGAAGTAGGCATTACTGAAATTCATCAAAAGATTAAACCTGATCAAATTGAATTAATTCGTCGTGATTATGTGGCTAATGGTGGTTGGGAAACTTTCTTATCTTATGAGGACCCTCAGCAAGACATTCTTGTTGGTTTATTGCGTTTGAGAAAGTGCTCTCCTCAAACATTCCGTCCTGAACTCACTTCAGCTGGCCCTACTTCTATTGTGAGAGAATTGCATGTTTATGGTTCAGTAGTACCCATGCATGATCGTGACCCTACTAAATTCCAACATCAAGGTTTTGGTACTTTATTAATGGAAGAAGCTGAACGTATTGCTAGAGAAGAACATGGCAGTGTTAAATTGAGCGTTATTTCTGGTGTTGGTGTAAGACATTATTATGCTAAGCTTGGATATCATTTGGATGGTAAGATTGAATTAAAGAAAGAAAGAAAGAAAGAAAAAAAGATACTAAATATACATATTAATATATAGGTCCATACATGTCTAAAATGCTTGTTTAAAAAAAAAATATAAACTATATTCATTAATTATCCCCTCCCTTCCCTCCCCTCCTCCTACTCCCATAAAAATGTATATAAAAATGTCTTTAAAAGGTTTAATTATTTAAGAATAAAATTACAAATTGTATATTCTTATTTTACACAAATCATATAGTATTTCATACAATGACATAAAGCATAATACATAAAGTTAAAAGGAATTCATAAACGTAAGCCATTCAGTCATATTTGTATTATTGGGTACTTGAAAGGTATGTGAATCATAGAGGGTATCAATAATAAAGGTAGTCTTAGAATTCTATAAAATTAGCTTAGTACCAACAAAAAAAAAAAAAAAAAAAAAAAAAAAAAAAAAAAAAATTACCATCAAATTCTCATCTTTATATACTTTTCTAATGTGGAGAATATCAATTTCATTAGTCTCGGATTGATCAGTATACAAAAACATGAAACATCTAAAGAATAAATAAATAAATAAATGCTTATATGTAATTATTAGTATGTCCCTTTTCTTACCCTATTAATAAACACCAATATTTATCCCATGTATCATGATCACTTTTATGCATAAGAAAGCCTCGTTTGAAGGACTTTTGCTTATTATTATCTGTCATCATCATGGGGATTAGAATTTGTTGTACTTTAGGTATCCAACGACGAACAACGACAGGAGATCTCATAATATCATTCTTATTACTAACTATCGATCTATCTTGACTTTTCCACAACTTCAATACAGTCTCCAATGATCCCTTCTTTTCTTCATCTCTCACACTTCCACAGAGTCGCTCTAATTGTTGCATCAAAAATACTTTATATCTCACAACATCTCTTTCTTCTCTTTGAATCATCTTTTGTCTTGCTTGCTCATATTCCATCAGCAACTGACTTGAATCTGCCAACAGGCCATGTAAATCACCTATCAATTCAGGCTGATATTCAATCGTATATAGACTCATAACTTGGCTTTTCATCACAGGCGATGATTTGAATGCTGAAAAAAAATGAAAGATACTATTATTATTATTATTTCCTCCAGATAATCGTTTATTTTGTTGTTGAGTAACCATATTGATTTTCTTTTTTAATAGAGTTGCTTTAGTTTGATCTTTGATATGAACAAAGATGTCTCTTTCAAATCGAATCGTCGTATCTACTTCACTACCGTTTAATAGGCTCTTTTGTCTTACAAACCAAGTCAAAGTGAGTCCAACTTTATGATTAGGTGTTGTCACAGCATTTAAAAATTTTGTATCATGGAGTGAGCTATCCCAAGAGGCCTGTGCTATACAACTGCCATCTGTACCTCGTGTCGTTGAAATCATGTTCAAGATAATGACATCATCTGTTGCATTTTCATTCAAGATACGATGTTTATTACTATCAAGCAATCGAACATGTCCAATTCGCATATCGATTATCTTATCAAAGGATGCAGAACTCTGGAGGGAAATGATGATACGACGTTGATGACCTTGTTGTAATGAAAATGTATCGTATTGTCCTAAAATAACTGTATCAGATGTCGTACTACTACTACTACTACTAGAGTAATAATTAACTGTTTCAACAGGCACAGGCTTGTAATCTCCATCAGATGCAAGTTCGCATATTTGAATATGTGCAATCACATCTTCAGATTTTTTACTCGATAAATTAGGCGTTATTATAGTCTTATTCACATCATCTCTATGTGTGGATAAGGCCTCCAGATATTTTCTACAAGGTTTGCCATATACTTCGAAAACAATCTCTTTAGTCTTAATTATATTTAAAACTTCTTCTGTAATAGCCATTGATAACGTTTGGTGATAATTAAAGATAATACTTTGTTTGTTAGTCAATAGGTCGCAGTTGGCCACCTCTGTCGCAAAGACACCATCTAGATGACTACCAAATGTGGATAATCTAAATTGAGCATGCAATTGTGAGAACATGTCGGAATCAAAGTCAGTCAACTTGATCATTGCAATTTCAAAGACAAGTTGTTGCCCTACATGTAATAAGTTGCGAGGATCCTCATCATCGAAAAAGACAACTGGCTCATCTTTAGTAGAGGAAGTATCTTCTTTCACCTTTGAGGAAGATGCTAATGTACTGTTACTGTGACTACGATAAGGATGTCGAACTGATCTTGCAATAGGAGCAATTAAAACATGTATATAACCCATTAGCTTTCCTGTATCGTGACAGTGAACAGATAGTTTACTCTCTACTGGAACTTGAGTTGTCAAATTTTGAAGTGGAACTTTAGCTAACCCTACAAGGCTATAATAATTATCATTCAATTTTGTAGATTCATAAAACAAATCGTCCCCCCTGAGATATTTCTTGTAATCGGAGGCGTAATAGTAAGCGCCCTCCAGATATCGAAGACGTGCCATAAATTTCTCAATTGACCATAAATAAATGGAGCCATGCTTTCTATCGATCACTTGTATAGCAATACATGGTTTTGATGCACGGATTAAATCGATGTCCAAGGGGGACGATTTTTGTGGTTGACTCGTTTCCCAATTGGACACAGCAGTGACAGAGTTCGTGTCATGAACAACAGCAAATCTATAAAAGACGTCCTTGTTTAATTTAACTGCTAAATGATTAGCTTGTAGAACATAAACATCATGCATTAATATCGTTTTCGCCATCGCAATATTCCTTTGGCGTTTCCAACGATGAATCACTTTTGTTGCAAGCACTTGCTCTTCAGATGTAAACGTGAGTGGCGGTAGTGGTAGTGGTAGTGATGATGACGATGTCTGTGAATTAAAGGAAAGTGCACGCGACATGCGACGTAATCGAGACTGAGGTCTTTTACCAAATTGAAGCTCTTGACTATCTTTATGAGATATTAAATCACTAAGTGAGGATGTGGATGAAAAAGAAGAAGAGATGGTACTGGTGTCAGTTGTGTAATAGCCATCGATAGCATCATCTAAAAACATCGACAAAGCATTTGTGGAATAACAACTCTTGCGTAATGAGGAAGAAGAAGAAGTATGACGTGAAAGTGTATCAGACGATGCTGACTGTCGCTTTCGAATGATACGCACTTTGGCGACATCGTCAAACAATTTATCAAGATCTTCGTTTGTCAAACGGTCAAGGTTGGAATCATGGATATAACTATTCAGTACTGCCTCACGTCTTGCAAAATTCCAATCCATTAATTCAGTTCCTGGAGGAGGAGAAGGCACATCAAGTTCTCCATCATCACATACAAGGGATGGAGTTGCATCTGAACGATTACCAGTCTCATTTGATTCTGGTCTTTGTTGAACCGTCTCTCGTTCTTTTAGTGCCTCTCCAGGATTATTGAATCGGAAAACATGATGATCACCCAAGATAATACGATATCCACTTTTGAGTCTCTTTGGTTCAGCGATACGTCTACCATTGACCATGACTATGCAATTAGCACGAGGATATAAAGTGACACAATCCTCTTTATTTTCAAAATAGCAATGATCTTTGTTGATATTAGAGCCACTGAGTCGAATTGATTTGCTACCGTCTGTTCTTTCTTCAAGTTTTTCAGATTCATCTGCAACGAATTGGTCAACGTACGTTATTCCAGGCATAATGTTGTACATGAGACATTCAGACATGAGCGGGTCTTCATTCAAGTTGATCAAGTAAGGAGTCTCTTTAGGTGTATATAATCCTACTTGGTTCTTTTCAATTGTAATGCCTAAGTTCTTTAAAGACTTTTCCCTTTCGATATGAATTTGTTCAGTCTTGTGAAGTTTTTCTTCCCATGTTTGATTTAATTCGTTTAATAGTTTTTCAGTTGACTGTAGTTGCTCGACCATTTCACTTTTTGTTAATTGGACTGTATTACCTGATGCATCTGTAAATACGACAGTTGAGTTCAAGCTAGAGGTGGGGACTGAGGGACGAGACGCTGTTGAGGAAGGTCGTTTGGTTGTCTTTGTAGGATGTGTGATAGCTTGAATTTTTTCAACCTCTTCAGGTGCATAAACCATCAGTGCTTGTCTTAATGCTTCGACTTCATCCTTTAGTTCTCTCATCAATTTCACATTTGGATCTTCATTTACAACTGCCTTTGTCTTAATCTTCTTTGCTTGATCTGCATATCTTAATGTACTCAAAGTCTCATCATAATCAGCAGGTGAAATAGCTGCAATCATGCAAGTCTTTGAATTACCTCCTAAAGAATCCTTTAAAAGCCAAGTCAAGACAGAATCACGATAAGGAATAAACGTTTCTCTGGGTTTTTTATTAGATGAATTTTTTTTGCCATTCTCATTGGCTGAAGCTTGTTCAGCAAGTCCTGCAATGACTTTACCAAGTGTTGTTAATGATTTGTTAATATTTGCACCTTCTTTTAACCGAACACCTGTTGCCCCTGTACTGTTAGCGCGTTCACTACCCGCTAAATCCACTAAACTATAGGAAATAATAGTAATTAAAGATATAAATAAATAAAATAAAATAAAATAAAATAATAAAATAAAAAATAAAATAAAAAAATAAAAAAATAAAAAATAAAATAAAAAATAAAATATTAATATATACATATATATATACATACCTAATACGAGCCACTTTCTCGGTTGTTTGTTTTGTTGAAGGATCTAATACCTTTTGAGTAAGAAAAATAGTGAATACAGCATGGGATCGAGAGGAGGTTTCATTCATATTGGTAGCAGCTACAGTTCTCGCCTTATTACCTTCATCCATAAGCTGTTCAATCTTTTCAAATGAATTGACTGCAAGACGAGAAAGATTCTGTACATAAGGACCCAATACTGGATGTTCTCGAACTTTTAAATTATTTTTATTGCGTGGATTAAGAAGATCTCGTACTTTTTCATTATAAATTTCAATATAGGAAACTTCAACTTGAAAATCCAATGTATCTGACTTTTTTGATTTGATTCTTTCGAATAGCTCTAAGCAAGTCCTCGGTGTAATACCTTTATCTTCACCGTAACCCACCTTAATAGTAATAATAATAAAAAAAAAAAAAAAAAAAAAAAAGATAAAAATTCGTAAAATGTAAATCAGAAAAAAAATATATACATGTATATCATATTATTTACCATAGAGTATGATTTACCCGAACCAGTTTGTCCATCTAAATAGAAAGGTAAATATCAGTATCTACACAGAGAATTTACTAGCTAATGAGAATATTCACATGCAAAAATACAACAGTTATAGCCATTAAAAGCATGGTCTAATAAGTCTTTTCCGAGATCATTAAAGACCTTTTCTTGATCTGCATAGTCAATATCATCTTTATCTGCCGACCAATACGATTGATCAAAAGTAAATGCCTTTGGTTCTTCTAATACTTTAGAGCCAGATGTGGCTGGTTTACTTAAGATTGTTTTATTTCCTTCCATTCGAATAAGACATTGTGCGCCTCGTGCTTTTTCTGTAGTATATTAAATGTTGGATTAAAAAAAAAAAAAGAAAAAAAAAAAAAAGATAAAATAAAAATAGTAACTTTTTTTTTTGTTTCATTTTTTTTTTTTCTTTTTTCAGGTACCTCTTGAATTTAATGGTCTACAGCGTACAACAACCTTAATATTATTTCCACTCATGATAAGCTTGCTGTTATGAAACGAGTAAAATTATCAAAGTATTTGAGTCTTTCGTAGTGATTTTCCTGAATTATTTTTGTTGGCTTTTGTTTGTTCGTTTATTTGTTTTTTTTTTGTTTTTTTAATGAATGGTTTAGATTTTATAATTGAAGCAAACAAAAAGATGATTGTAAATGAGAATTACGAAAAATAAAATATATAAAAAAATAAAAATAAAAATAAACTGAAATAAAAAGGAAATAAAATTATTAATGAAATCTAATTTAATAAAATAACAGTAACAAAGTAATATAATGAACTCAATAAGGAAAATACAATTCTATAGCAAACGATTGTAGACATTAAAATTAAGTGTAACATAATCTTTATATGACAGTTGTCTATGCACGTGGAAATATATCCAACAAAATAGCTTGTTGTGTTTATAGATAAAAATAAGATACTAGGTGTGTGTTATCGACGCTTTTAACACCTTTTTTTTTTTTTTTTGTAACTTGGAAAAGCCATTTGTCTCAGTTATTTATTCTTTGTTTTTATTTTTTTTTAATTAAACAATTACGTATGTATGTATGTTTTTTTTTATACAATAGCATGGAAGTCTATTATTTTTTGGAAGCCAATTTCTTTATGTCACTACCAATAACTTCACTCTTTCCATTACTATAAAAATTCATTAAGCATTCTAACTTCCATTTCTTCCAAATTTCTTCCGTATGGAAACCCATCTTTTCCCATTCTTTTTCTTCTTTCATATTTTCGTCTTCATCATCATCGCCAACGTCTTCTTCTTCTTCATCTATTTGGTCCTCATAACGTAGTAAAAAATTAGATCGATGGTCTGATGAAAGTTCAGATACAAATTGAGCTGCGTCCACAGCCAAACGATCATGTCGTTCACGTAATTCGTTCCATTGTTGTAATTGTGAATAAATAACCTGTTCGTCATCGACATTATGAGTCGTTTTAGTGTTATTTGTAGCTTGATCAGCAAGTAGCTCCTGAGCAATTGTAGCTTGTGTTTCTGCTTCTAGTTTTTCAATGTCAGGAATGAGTTTGGTTCGAAGCAAGACACTGAGGATGTTTGTCTGTTGTTCTGTGGTAGTGGGTATATAAGGATGGATCATCAACTTGGGTAATGTTGCATTATTGCCTGGTTCAGTATAACTATAAAAATCTTCAGATAATGTCGCGAATTTAGCTGTCAACATATTAAATTTATTCAAGAGGTCTGGCCAAGTAAATGGATATTTTGGTTCCTTTAGATAAGCAAGATGAGTGGCAAATGTTTCCTGTAAGGACCATAATTTTCCACGAAGTGCTTCTAATTCCTGGTATGTATTCGGATCTAATTGAGATTGAAGTTGTGTATATTCCATTATAAATAAATATTTGAATAAAAGAAGAAGAAGAAGAAAAAAAAAATAGAACAAGTTGAGTCTAAAGTGTGTGTGTGTGTATATTATTTTTAGAGCTACTTTATTGATTAATATAAAAATACACTGAAAACAAGAAAAACAAAAAAAAAAAAAATGATATGAATGGTTCATGAGTTAATTATTATTACTATTGTTGTTGTTGCTGAATGGTATCCTTAGCTGCTTTAATCAAAGGATTCAAAGTATAAAGTGGATCTGCTTTACGTAAAAATGGATGTTTGAGTAAATCAGCTGCTGTTGGTCTAAACTGAGGATCTACTTGAAGACAAAGAAACAAAAAGTCTTTAAAGACATCACTTAAAGCTTCAGGATTTTGTAATTCAGGTGTACCATTATTTGCAATTAAATAAAGTGCACGTAAAGGATTTTCATTTAAATAAGGTGGTTCCCCTTCAATCATTTCAATAGCTAAGATACCTAAAGACCAAATATCTACTTTTTGATCATAGGCCTTTCTAGTGACTACTTCAGGTGCCATCTAAATAAATAAATAAATAAATAAAAAGGTTGCTTACAATCTAATTCAAATATGACTATTAGTCATCTATCTATTCTTACCCAATATGGTGTACCAACTAATGTAGTACGTTTAGATTGAGGTTCATGAAGTTGAGCACAGAATCCAAAATCAGCTTTATATACATGTATATAAAATTAGAATTAGACTAGTCATCATTTCATTTAAATATATTAATACATTACTTAGTTTAATATCGCCTTGCATACTCAATAAGACGTTATCACTTTTAATATCTCTATGAATAACACCATTTGCATGTAAATGTTTTAAGCCTTCAAGTACTTCTTTACAGATAGCAGCAATTTGACCTTCCATAATCATATTACAAGTAACAACGTCTGTTAAACTACCACCTTCCATATATTCCATTACTACCCAAAGATCCCCATTCCAAAGGTAAGATTCAATAAAATTAACAATATTCTTCTGCCTTGATTTCTTCATAACCATAATTTCATTAATAATGAGTTCCTTTTTAGGCTGTTTTTCCAAATTCATTTGTTTAATAGCTACTGGCATATCATCTCCATGTCTATGAGCAATAAATACACCACCAGAAGCACTAGATGTATATTAAAATTAAAATGAATTCTTTGTTTGCTTATTCTTTTTTTATCCTTTACCCTTGACCAATCTTCATCATATCAGTATACACTAAAAGTGGATTTGAATTGATACATAATTCTTGTAATTTACGAATCACATCTTGATCTTTCATAGCTTTATTTTGATCTTTAGGTGGTCTAGATTTAACTGTTGTGCTTGATGATAATGGAGAAATAGGTGTATTTGTATGAGTCACATTAGGATCCTCTTTAAGTCTTGTTAATTGTGGTAATTCTTTTTCTCTTTCCCCAAATTCTTCACTAAGTGAAGCTGTTGACTCTGAATTAATGGAATGAACATCATCCATATATTCTTTTTTTTTTAAAAAAAATGATTAATATGATATATATTATTCCACCTTTCATTTTTATTATTATTATTATTATTACCAGAGTTTTGTCGTTGATTAGATGAAGTCAATTTACTTTCAGTAGCAACATTATCTTTCGATTTTGTAATTCGAAGTGCCGAAAATCGTCTTAAAGTTTTACTTTTTATACTTTCATTAGATCCTGATTTCCTATTATCTTCACTTGTAGTACTTGTACTTTTTTGTGAAGAAGTGGATATCGTCTTTGGTATTTTATTCCAAACTCCTTCTTCCATCGTTTCTTTTGTATTTCCTTGGAAGAATTCAATAGCATGAATTACAGCCTACATATAAATAGATACATATATAAAAAAAAGAATAAGGAATCTCTTTTTATCATGTATATACATGTGTGTTTTTCGATAATTACTTGGGGATTTTTTTCTTGTTCCTGCCTTGTGATACCACTTTGTGTAAGTAAAGTTTGCCATTCTCTAGGAAGACCTGTGAATTCGCCTGTAACTGAATCAAAACCAACATGAGTAACATGAACTGTATTATAAGGTGTTGAAATATCCATAGGTGGAGATGAACTTTTATTGTTTGAAGAATTATTTCCATTAGAATTATTGTTATTATTATTATTTAAAAAGTCTAATTCACAGTTAATGTTAATTATTTATTATTTTTGTTCATTCTATTTTAAAAATTACCATTAAAATTGCCCATAAATTTATCAATAACGTCTTTAAATTTTGTTTTCTCTCGAGATTTCGATTCATTACTACTTAATGAAGGTCGATTATGATGCTGAGTAGATGATGTCAAAGATGAATGTAGTTCATTTGATGAAGCTTTTTCTCCAGTTTGTTGAAAAGAATCATGATTATTTGCAACTGGATTTGGCAAGTTGGATGTCATTAATAAGAAAAAAAAAAAAAAAAGGGTCTAGTAAAATTAAATAAAAGAAGAAAAGTAAAGATATTAAAATAATTAAAATTAACGGGTGGTGGTAGTAGTTATTGGTTGGTTTATTGCCTTTTTATAAAATTTAGTTTTAATATAAAAAATTCGAATTCAGTTCAGAAACCATCATAGCAGCCGTTGTTGTTGTAAAACGAACCATTCCTCTTCCTTTATTATATTTAAAGAATAATCGTGTGTATATGTGTATATATATAAAAAAAAAGGATAGAATAACTGCTTCTTTCTCTTTACTATTTTAATAATATAAACATAAACAAGTATTATGAATAAAGAAGTATTTAAAAAGAAAAAGGGAAAGAAAAAGAAGAAAAGTGGTCTGATTCTTTGCATTTCTTGTAATAAAGTTGATATTTTATTATGCATTTTATTCATAATCATTTTCTCATATTTTGTCTATCTTTTTTTTTCTTTTCTTTTTCTTTTTTTTTCTCTTTCTTTTTCTTTTCTTTTTTTAAAAAAAAATACATATACATATTTATATATTCCTCTCTTTAATATGTCACGTAAAGTGTTAATAGGCTATGATCATACAGAGATATCAAATATGGCTATGGAATGGATTGTGAAAAACCGTGCAGTATTTCCAGAAGATGATATTACATTAGCTATTATTGTAAATGATGATGCTATTGCAGTAGAAGGCGCTTTTGGTTTAGAAGCATCAGTAGCTGGTCCTATGGGCTGGTTATCATCGGATAATTTCCGAGAGCGTATATCGAAACTTGAAAAAGAATCAAAAGAAGCTTTAGAAGCAGTTGTAAGATGGTTTAAAAGCAAAGGCGTAAGTATATTTTAATTTCATTTTGTATATACAAATATGTATATCTTTTTTTTTGTGAAATAATGATATGCATTATTATTTATTTTTTATACATGTCTATATTTATATGTGTATACATGTATATACATGCATTTTTTTTTTTGTTTATTTATTTATTTATTTATTTTAGATTACTGTGACTCCTCAAGTTTTAAGTGGTGAACCCGGAGAAACTCTAAAAGATTTTGCAGAAGCTAATAAAGTAGATCTGGTTATTGTCGGTAGCCGAGGTTTAGGGTTTCTTAAAAGGTAAATTGAAATAAAATAGACATGTATAAAGGAAGGTCCACGTAAGGGAAAAAAGTATTCATCTGAATAATGTTAGACAATTCATTGGCTCAGTCTCTGATTATTTAATCCATCATCTAAAGTGTTCTGTGCTTGTTGTTAAAGATGATGTTCAACACCATACTACTAACTCATAATAATAATAAACCTCTTTGTCAGTTATCGTAATAAACTCACTACTATTGCTGTTATGGTATAATATCAATCATAATAAGGTTATAACCAATCATATGAATGTTATTAATATGCATTAACATAATAAAGAAAGACTTCAAAGAGTATGATGGAATAATCTATAGAGACTTTATTTACGTAATCAATTATACTTTTTTGTATAAATTATTATGGATTGTTTATTACCATATGGTAGTAGTAGTAGTCGTAGAATACTACTTCCTTGTCTAAATATAAATATGACTCACTCGTCATAATCGGCAGTAATGTTAATAACCTTATTTTTATTATTCTATTGGATATAACGTATATTAGTGTCCAAAAGGAGGTTGTTTTAGTCTTAAATAAATCAAATCTTAAAATAAATAAATGCTATGATGAAGACAAAACCAGTTTAATAAAGAAAAAAAAGGTATATATAAAGGGCAATTATTGATATATAAATATATACATATAATAAAACATGTATATAATTTAATATATTTATATATGTCTACATATATCACTTATGGTTTATTCTCAATGCTTCGTTATTAACAAAGATGCCATCTTATTATTATCCTAATTGCTCTTCTTCTTCTTCTTCTTCAAGTGACACTGTCCTTGCTGATGACAATAGTAATAGTCGGACTCGGTCTATTCTGTTAAAGACGGAATCTATACCAAGGGAAAAAAAATCAGCAGTAGTTCAATTCTCGAATGTTCTTATCGTCAATACTACTTCCACTGCATGTATCATAAAAGATGATAACTCTTCTATAAAAGAAGTTATTGATAAACATTATTCAAATAATTAACTTTTATCTATTTATTATATACACATACATATGTATACATATAAATCTATACATATATAACTTTTGTATATGTTCTCCTTTTGCTGTAAATAAATAAATAAATAAATAAAAATGATCAAAATTTGAATTTAGAATATTCTAAACCAATTGCAAATGAATGTAGTCTACTATCAATTATTAATAATCCATTATAAGACTTGACTAACCCTAAAATAGGGTATAATAATGATTTAGTTAGTTAGTCAGTAAAAGACATCCTATTTATCATCTATTTTATACCTATTAAACTTTCTAATAAGCCTTCTACAGGTAAACTAATTGTCTGTAGACTCCATTCATCGGGTTCTAATTGTTGTATAGGAGCTTCTATTAATTGTGTTGTATCTATGGTAACATTGACAACATAGCAACATGAATTTGTTAATCCTGGTTCATAAGCAACAGGTACATTAATTAATTCAAACTGTTCTTTTGGAATTAAATATCCTGTTTCTTCTTTTAATTCTCTCTGTGCTGAATCGATTGGATCTTTATCCGACGGATCAATTAAGCCTAATACATGAATTCAAATTTAGTAGTTTTTACTTCTTTCTTCCCTCAATATATCAATGAATTTACCGGAAGGAAATTCTACACAGTAACATTCAATGGCAGGTCTACACATATATATCTTATATTAGCTTCTATTCACATACATATTATTATATATACCTATATTGAATCACTAATAGAACTTTAGGTATAGGAGTTAAGAGAATAGCATGAATATCAATTGCTTTTTATATATATATATATAGATAGATAGATAAATAAATAGACAGATAGGTGAGATAAGATATTCAACAACGTATTTGTTCATATGTTATGTCTATTACCATCAATAGATGAATGTTCAGGTTTTGTTCGAATACAACGTTCCCATTTTCTTTCAATGCCTTTATCATCTTTATAAGATATATTCTCTAATTGAACCCAGTCACCTGTACCCATAATCTTGGGTGATGAATTCTCGATTGGTAAAAGAGGTTTTAGTAATAATGATGATTTAGGTAAAATCTCTCCTGGCATATTTTAAAATGTCTAAGTATAGAAAGGAAGATGTATAAATATCTATTTATTTATTTTTTTATGTTGTATAAATCAAGAATAAAAAAAGAAAAAAAAAGAAAGAAATGAATATACAAGACTAATATATTTTATTTTATTTTTTAAATCAGAATTATTATTACTTGATGTTGCGTAAATGACATAGGATTTATTTTTTCTTCTTTATTTTTTATGCTACGAATAAAATGGCCTTTTTTTTTTTAAAGAAAAAAAAAAGAAAAAGAAAACCCGAAAAATCTAGTAAAAACTGATGTTTTATTTTGAAATATATAAATCTTATCAAGTAGAAAGGGATTTATAAAGGACTCAAATTAAGCTTTTAAATTGAACAACTTTGTTGAATGTCTTTTGTCCTTCTTTTTTTTTTTTTTTTTTTTTTTCAGTGTTGTATGCTTTTATTTCTTCAATATGAATAATCTCCCTCTTCAAAAAAAAAAAGAAAAAAAAATTATCAAAGGATGATGTTATATTGTTAATTAAAGTTATATTAAATACCCAATAAAGAAAGTACTGAAAATTATTTCAAGTTTATTTGCTATCCTAATAAACTTCTTTAATCACTCAAAATGATATTATTATTGTATATTAAAAAGAAAAAAAAATCCCCTTTCCTCACTTCCCTTCTTAATAAAAGAAAAAAAAATAAGGGGAGGGGAGTCCAGAATACAATCTATTTTTTCAATCTGTTACTATAGAAATAATAGCAGCACAATCATGGTTGTCTTTTTTCTTAAAATGAATTATGTCATAATTTTATATCTCAGATGATCAAAATGGATAGACAGCTATTACTACTACTATCAGAGGTATGAATACATAATGATGGATCTTGCTGAATTATTTATTAAATGAGGTTGTACAAATCATATAATAAAACAGCTGTCAGCTCTTTTCCTTTTAAAGTATTTTTGAGTGTAAATCAAATCCCTTATATGCACACACCTTTTTATAAAGTATATTCTATTTAATATTACATATCCCTTTAAATCAAAAATATATGCATATACAAATATATGATTGTTATTATACAATCTACTCCTATTCGACACTATATAAATTTTAACTCCTAGTTCCCTTTTTTTTTCCTTTCTCTGTTAGTTATGTCGATTTTAAATACAAATCATCAAAGATCGAGGATATCAACAAATAAAAAAAAAACATGTTCAAAGGTAAACAAGAATAAAAGACATAATTATCCATCATTAGCAGTGAAATCATCATTATCCTCTTCTTCTTCTTTTACTACTACTACTACTACTACTACTACTACTACTACGATAAACAACAACAATAAAAAAGAATAAAAAAAACCATAAAGAATGTAAAATGGATGAATACAAACGACGTATCCCTTATCTCTTTAGGTTAAATCAACATGTCATTGTTCTTAGTTCAAATCTCTTGGGGACCGTAAGATACCTTGGTGGTCTTCAATTTATTAAAAATTGACATGACACTATTTGGGTTGGAATAGAATTAGACATAAAAGGTGCAGGAAAAAATAATAGATATCTTCAGGGGTAAAATTAAAAAAAAAAAGTGATCCATACATGTCTTCTTAATCTAATATTAATCTTTTTTTTATTTATTTTTTTAGTATTCAATATTTTACTTGTCCTTTAAATACAGGTCTTTTTGTTTTAGCATCAAAGTTAAAGCCAGTTGAAGAAAAAGAAGAAACGAAATCAAATAAATCTTTATTACAACCAACAAGACGTAGAGGGAATAGAAAGGTAGTAACTCGGACAATCACAAAAGAATCCATACAACAAGATCTATCAGAAACAACAGCAATAACAACTCATTTAACTCGAAGGAACAAGTCTACACAAAAACACTCATCATCATCATCTTCTTCTTCTTTATTAGCTAATAAAGAAGAAACACATTATATAAAAAAAAAAATAAAGAAAAAACCAATTCCCTTGCGTCGAAAACAATTCTCTTCAGATAATAATTCATCTTTACTACAACAGAGATTAAACTCATGTAATAATAATAATAATAATTTACATGAAAAGGAGGAAAGTTTCAACAACTCAACTAGAATTACAACAGAGGGTCAACAAGTTAGATAGAGAAAATAAAACTTTTTTAAAAGAAATGGAAGATAAGGAGGTAGCTTGGAATCGTTTGTTATCACTCAAGGAGAGCTATACGATTCAGCTCCAAGAGAGGGGGAATCAAGTAAATTGATTACAACATTCGATAGATATGTTTGAGAAAGAGACTCAAGAGGTGTCACAGCTTCTTGCAGAGTGAGAGAGAGAGAGAAAAAAGAGAAAAGATGCTCATATTTTCATACATTACTAGTGTTATTGTGTTAATTGTGATCATTTTAATACACATTCTACTGAAGAATGTCCGAATCAAGATGATACATTCTAACAAACAAAACAAAAAAGTACATATTTGTATCTTTAATCTTCCTACATATACAGTATAAAAAGGTTTATTTATCTTAATATTATTAGAAAAAAAAATAATGATTAATATTTTCTTTTCAAAGACTTAAATATTATAAATATATATGACTTGGCTTTTGTATATAGATAATTAATGTATTGTATTGTTGTAGAATTAATAAAATGATAGTATTCATATATACATAGTGGGATATTTATGTAGATATATGTTGCTGTTGTTCTTCTTTTTCTTCCTCTTCTTCTTCTAATTTAAGTACAGCTGAAGGATCAATTATAGGCGGACTAAATTGGATATATAAATAATTAGAGAAGTAAAAAAAAAAAAAAAAAATGAATACTTTACCTTAGCCTTCGTCCTCTATTCTTCTGTGCTTCTTGAACTTTTGCAGCTGATGGATGCTCCATAGGCGTTAATAATTCAAAACTACATAATAATTCCTCATTGATGCTCATAATAGCTCCAAAATTATCAAATTCACCACAATAATTGGGTGCACTAAAGACTGTAACTAGAGTACGTTCATTAAAGAATTGATATCCATCCTCAACAACCTTATTATAAATAATATATATATATATATATATATATGTTAGTCTATATATACAAGAGAATATTAAGTCTCTGAATCATGACATACCATGTGTGCTCTACATACTAAATCTAAATCATGTTTAGACAAGAATTCATTTACAATTTTTTTTCCAAAGCAATATGAAACTCCTCTTTCATTATCCTCCCATTCAAACGCTGACTCTGATGGATCTGACCATAGTAAATCATTCAAAAGACCATATTCAGGCACATCAGTAGGCCGCATAATGTTTCTAACATCATTCATGGAATGCAGTGATGGACTCAATCCACCATGGACACAAAATATTTTACCTGCCACAAGTGCTGCAATAGGTAATGTATTAAAGACGTCTATAAATGTCTTCCATACTTTAGTATTCGTCCTTCGTTTACATTCATCATAAAATCCATAAACTCGTGTTACATTTGCACATTCATGATTGCCTCTTAGTAAAAAAAAATTTTCTGGGTATTTTATCTTGTAACAAAACATTAAAAGTATAGTTTCTAATCCTTGTTTGCCTCTATCTACATAATCACCAAGAAATAAATAATTTGAATCAGGAGGAAATCCACCCTTATCAATTTATATATAAAGTCAGTATAATACATATATGTAAATATAAATATATAGATTAAAAAAAAAAAAGTCTCCTTATACTGACCATTTCAAATAATCGAACCAAATCATGGAATTGTCCATGAATATCACCTAATATCTTTACTGGAGGATTTAATTCTATTAAGCTCTAACAAAAAAAAAAGGGGGGGAAGGTGAATAAACCATAATTACATAATCAACTTGAATAATAAAGAATTTACAGGCTGAGAAAGAAATACTTCTTGTGCAGCACGACAAATAGCAACAATTTCCGAATTTCGAAAACAAATTGATTTTGATATTTTATTTTTCATACCAATGTCTAATAGACGATTAATACATTCATCAATATCTAAATTCCAACCAATAGATCGTATAGAAGTAGCTGTTAGTTGATTTTGTGAACTGATTGTAAGCTGATTCTCTCCTTGTTGTGGACTTAAAGGTGGAGATTCTAATTGTTGAATTGCATTTGGAATGCTTGAAGATTGACTAATAGCATTTGATTTTGATATTGAATTATTAACAAGAATAGAATTAACTGAAGTTGCAGTTGCATTTGAGAGTTCATTATCAGGTACTTCAGTTCGCATAATACTTGGTCTATTATGCTTTTTTCTTTTTGAAGAAATATTACCCATTATAAAATAAATAAATGTAAATAAAAAGAAGGAGAAAGAGAGAGAGAGAGAAAAAGGAAAAAAAAAAAAAAAAAAAAAAAAGAGCAGATGTTATAATGTAAACTTTATTACTGTATACATGCCTACATCACGTGGGAATTTTTTTTTCTTTCTTTCTTTATTATTGTTGAATGTCGATCAGTTTTTAAGGCAGTGACGAATAAGGGCTTTTGCCTTTTTTGTAGAATAATACATCCTCTTTACATCATTAAGGACCGTCTCTTGCTTTTCACCATGAAGAGCCATCATAGATAAAGGAATGGATTGAATTTCATTAATATTTGTAGGTAAAGGATGATGACTACTCAAGAAATGATGATTCTCTTCAGTAGGATTGTCATAATGCAAGAAGCCATAATGATCCATAAAAATAGCAGGAGATAGTGGTTCCTTTTTTTGATCTGTAAATTCTACAATACGAAACATGTATTCATAAAAATAACATCCTTTATAGCAAATAAAAGTATCATGAAATGCTTGTACAGGTGCTAAGAGAGATGAAGGTAAACTAGCTTCTTCTGTCCTTAACTCTTTCTCTCTTTTAGTTATCAAGTATCGAAGTAACTTATCAAAATTATCTTCACTTCCTGATTTCAGACATAAAATTAAAAGACTCCAAATTATAGAATATGAACAAGGTTGATAATGATGATGTCTTGAAATATCTAACTTTCTATCCCATATTTCAAATCCTTTATTACACATATGTACAATCTGACTTGAAGATCCTTTACATTCATATAAAAGCGTACATAAGATAGGTTCTAATACTTGATTATGGCATAAAAGTGTATCTAATTGAAGACGTACTAATAATTGATAAACAGTCATACATTTTGTATATCGAGCCCTTTTCCTTTTATCCTGTACTGTCCTCGTGATCCCCTCAGGACTATTAGCAGCGATAGAGAGAATATCGTGTAAGAACCCTGGCATCTCCTTAGATTCCTCTGGATGTAAATATTCAGAACACATAAATCGTGAATAGACAGACCATGCGCGTGCTTCCCAATGTGTACGGCGTGATATATGCATGATTGGTATCTCTCTAAAGGCCATCCAACATAAATGCATGATAACATAAGGAGTAGCTTCATTTATTGAATCCTTCATTGACTTATAAATTTGCCAACCATACTCAAATTGATTGTTTCGAATAGCTACAAAAATCATTGTATTGTCATTCTCAATACCTTTCCTATCTATTTGCTGTCGTCTTGTCTCAAGATGAAGAAGTTGATCCATGGCCCAATTCTTGATCATCTCCGTATGGCTCTCCTCTTGAGTCCATACCTCTTTTCTTTCTTTCTCATAGATTAACTTTTGATGATGCCATTCTCGATCTGCATCACTAAGGGCTGCTTGATAGAACATCCATAACTTGAAGTGATCTTGTTCAGTTACCTGATCCATGAGTGGCATCTCCCTACGAATAGGAGGTAACTGTTGAGGTGCTATCGGGTTCGCGAATTCCAAGTAAGGTTTCCCATAATCTGTTAATAGGCCCTGGGCCTCTTGTATCTGTGGTTGAGGTTCTTGCATGAGATGAAGTAAAATAGCTGTTCGATAACAAGCAGTATCCCACTCTTGTCTTGGTAAAGTATAGATAGCTTGAAGTGCTAAACTTGTCTGATGTTTATCTACTAGCATCTTTACTACTGCCAAATGAGCCTCTCTTTCTAATACATAACCTGCTTCAACTACCTTTGTAAATAAACGCCATATAATGGATTGATTTATATCTTCTTTTACTCCATCATCATCATTAGATGAAGAAGATGATAATTCATTGACAATCTTAATTATATTCTTGTCACAAAGTAACTTGATAATTTGAGAATAAATCTTGGAGACTTGCCTACCATCCCCTGTTTGAGTCATTTGAAGATGATCAATAGCCCTTTGAAGGATATGAACTGCTTTTGCTACATTATCATTCTCTACTAATTCATTCATCACTTCATGTCCTAGTTGTACACTATTTCTTCTTTTGGACTGTAAATCTGGATCATCATCTGTACTATAACTGCTTGTTTCCTCACTTGATAAATCATCATGAGAATCATGAACGTCTTTTTGTTTATTAGATGGCCAACCTTCAAAAAAGTTATCAACTAGAGAAGGCAGTTCAGTGAAGTCATCATGTTGAATTTGAATACCATTGTTGAACATTTTTTTTTATAAGAAAAAAAAAAAGAAAAATGAAAATAAAGTAGTAGTATTGTATTTTTAACACACACATCTATTTTTTTTTTCGATATGTTTTTTTGATTTGTTAAATTTCTATTATGCGAACTCACGATTTTAAACTCAGTTAGTCCTTTTTTTTTTTTTTGTAATAATAAAGATAGGGTTACTGGTAGGAAGATTTGTTTATCTAGGTACCATCATGTTAGCTCCTCCCTCTCATCCCGGCCTTTTTAAAGTAGTTCATCAAGGAAATTCCGATTCTTTTACCAGTAAACTTGTTGCAGAATGTGAATTTAAAAAAGATCAAGTTATAGTCGACTTGAAAGGATTAATAGTACCAGGTCCCAAGCGTTATTCATCCGTACAAATTTCAGCTAATGAACATGTTGAATTAAATAGTGATTTACTTTATTTGAACCATTCCTGTGATCCTAATACTTTTCTTGATGTTAGTCAATTAGAGCTCATTGCGCTTAGAGATGTTCATATAGGGGATGAGCTTTTATTTTTCTATCCTTCTACCGAATGGGATATGGGTAAATAAATGCAATCCATTCATAAAAGATATATGAACAGAGCCTTTTTTTTTTTTACAAACTAATGTAACTAATATGGATTTTTTTTTTTGTTTTGTTGTTCTGATTATAGCTCAAGCATTTGATTGCTGGTGTGGCTCATCTAAAGTAAGTGATAGAAAGAACTTTTTATTTTATTTATTTATTTTAATTCTTTTTATAATACATATTTAGTGTATTGGTAAAGTAAGAGGAGCTCATGAGATTCCTACTAAAATACTAGATCAATTTAAATTAAATAATCATATAATTCAACTTGTTCAAGAACGAGATTTTCCATCTACAACAAGAATAATTAATGAACATTAAGTTGGAAAAAAAATATAATTTTTATGTTTATGATTTTTATTTTTTTTTTAAAATGACTATAATTTCTATCAAGAGTATTAATGGTATGAATTGCTTCTTAGAATATAGAGTTTGCAACATTACTGCCAACTAAAATAATAAACAAAGAAATTAGTTTTCTAATACATGCTCATAAAAAAAAAAAAGCATATTCACTTACTTGTAGCACCAAAGCCCCAAGTAGCAGAACTAGCTACATTTTCAGCGAGTTTTTTACCAAAAGTTGAAAATTTACTTTCATGTTGACCTTCTACAGCTGCGGGAGCAGAAGAAGTACTTGCTACTTGTTGAACAGGTGGTGGAGCATAACTCATTTGTTGAGGAGGAGGGGGAGTATAGGTTGTGGCTTGAGGAGGAGGAGGAGGAGTGTAAGTTGTGGCCTGAGGAGGAGGGGGAGTATAACTATTATATTGTTGAGGGGGAGGGGGAGGATAGTTATAGGAATCTTGTTTAGGTGGTAAAGGAGAAGATGTATAACTACCATAGCTATCTCTTTCAGAAGGAGGAGGAGGAGGAGGAGTAGAGTTTAAAGACTTTTTTTCATTCATTGGTGACCTATTATTATTAACATAAATCCCTGGTAAAATAAAAAAAAAAAAGGAGGAAGGATACTTACTCTATTTTCTTAACATAGTTGCTAGGGAAAATACCAGTCTTACCGTTTACTGTACCTTTCCACCAATCGTTATTCACAAATTCAACTAATTGAATAATATCACCCTGCTTAAGATCCAAGTCGGTACTAGGATTTTCACCACGATAATCATAAAGTGCTTCCGCAGTTCCAAGTTTATTACGACTATCTTCATAAGAAGGTGGTGGAGGCATACCGTTATTAGAAGAAATAGCATCATTAGCAGTAGGAGAAGGCATGGTGGTGCCTGAAAAACTATGCTTAGCAGCAGGTGTTGAATACCCACGGTTCATATTATTGACATCTTTAGGTAACATATTTAATATTTCATTGTAAGTTTGAGGCTCAATATAATGATGAGTCTTTAAAAGTTCCAATTCTTTACGAATTGAATAAAGAATGTGCTCTGCAAAGGCCTTTTCAGACATTATTAGTGAAATAAATGAGAAAGAAAGAAAAAAAAATAAAAATAAAAATAAAAAATGAAGATAAAAGAAATTAATAGAGAAGTTTCAGATGTATATTTATAATTATTCGGAAAATAATATTTACTCTATGTGATTCGGAACTTTAATTTTTCCATTTCTTGGTCTTTTGCATATAATAGCAACAAACTTAAAATTCTGAATTCTGTCTTCTTTTCCCTTTAAATGTAGTAAAATGTTACCAAGATCACTGAATGAGGCCCTGTAATTTGCAATAAAGAAAAAAAAAAGACTTTTTGTTCCAAGCAAAAAAAAAAAAAATTATATATTATTTTATTCGAAAAGTGGAAGCTTGTCCATTTTTTTTTCTTTATAGTTTAGAACAATTAAATTTAGGAACGAACACTACAACATCGACCAAGCTTAGTCCTCATCCTTATTTATTACATAATATACTTTTTATATATATAAAAGTGACTTGTTATTCATTGACAAAGATACTACTATTTCATATTATTGAACTGAGTTTTATTTTCTTTTATCCAAAAGATATTGAACTTTACAACACAGCTGTTATTGTTATTCATGTGTCCTTTTTTTTTTTCTTCTTTCAACTACTAAAATTAGTAGAATAATGAATAATACTAATTCACTTTCAGAAAGAATTAAAAGACTACAAGATTATCTTTCATCACAATATGTTGATTTTGATCAAGAAAAAACAACAGATCGCTTATTGTCTTTATATTCTGATTTCTCTAAATTAAAAATATTAAATCCATATGGTTATGATGCCAATGTTAATTATTGGAGAGCAGTTATACTTGATTGTAATTTACATGGATATTTATCCGCTCATGAGTCTGCTTGCTTGCTTGATCAACAAGAACTCGGTGAATTATTTTATAGACCCAAGAAGGGGAAATCACTTTCATTAGATATTGTTATTGTAAGTGAATACTACTACGCACAAATTTACTATAGATTAGATAGTTATATTTATGTATATCTAGGAGGAAATGGTAAATCGAACCAAGGATTTATTGACACTAAAAGAATATAAAAAACGATATCCAATTGAATACGCCATAAATAATAGTAGCAGTAGCAGTAGTCATTGGTTTCAATGGTTTACTTCTTACTTTATACCTTCTTTTAAGAAAAATAGAGTATTACCTAATCTATCTATTTACGTTGTTTTACCAACTATTCAAGAATATGCTAAAATGATTATTCATAAACATTATCAAAAGCCTTTATGTGATTCACTTGATAACTTGTTTACGTTTAAAGAATTTAAAGAAGAATATGGACTATTAACATGTCATCAAGAAACAATTATACAACTCAGTCATATTGATTTATGGCTTTTACTTGGATATTTAAATCATAGATATGGCATAGCTATAATGAATCATGAATCAATAACGATTATCAAATTTCCAGAAAGAAATGAGGGACTTGAGAATAATAAGAATAAAACTAAAATAACAGCAAATGATAAAGCTATCATTAAATTAAAAATGACATGTGCTATTTTACATGAACAAGTGAATGAATTACAAATGAAGTCTGAAGAGTAAGAAAGAAGTAATTTATTAACAACATTAGTTTGATAATGATTTTTTTTATATTAGATTCATTCAATTAACAAGAGAACATTATCAAGAAAATCATAAACTTCAAGCCATGTACATGTTAAAAAAGAAAAAAAAGATCGATTATTTACTTGAACAAAGATTAAAGACATTAGAAACAATGGAAACAATGTTATTAAAGATTGGATCTGCCCAAAATGATATACAAGTAAGTAAACTGAATAATCATATATACACCGACTCACTCACTCACTAACTAATTAAATGCAAATAGGTGGTTGAAGCATTTAATACAGGAGCTAATCTATTAAAATCAATCTTGTCATTAAAAGGAAATGTGGATAAAACATTTGAAAGTCTACAAGATACATTAAATGAACATAAACAAATAGAAGAAGCACTTCAAATGGGAAATGAAGAGATCTTTTCTAATACAACAAATCAAGAAGAACTAGAAGAAGAATTAAATTCAATTATTAAAGAGAAACCATCATCGTCATCTATCATTATAACTCAGCCAATTGATACTCAATCCGAATTATTACGACTTCAAACCCTTTTATCATCATTTAATCCCTCTACAACCACCCTTCTTTTTCCAAAAAGACAAGAAGAAGATCAAGAAAAAGAAGCTGTGTTATTATAAACTACTATACCCACCCCCACTCTATTTCCTTCATTTAATATGGTCTATTATTATGTAAGCAAAGACGTGTAATTATTATAAATTAAGTAACTTATGTCATTATTAAATGATTTGACTATTTCGTCATAATAATTTTGTTTTTAATTATGATTGGTTTATTTCTTTCAACCAAGTAGTAATAAAGGGTTTCTTACAAAGATACTTTCCTAGATGATTAATAATCTATCCCGGTTTCAATATATAAAACAAGTTGATAAAATATGTCAAAATCCATTTTTATTCTTTATAAAGTATTATAGCATATTATCTCTTGTTCCAAAAAAAAAAAGTATATTATAGTCATGTCAGAAAACCATCCAATTAAATTATTATAATGTTTCCTTTTTTTTTATTAAAAAAAAAAAAAAAAAAAAAAAAAAAAAAAAAAAAAACTCCTTTTTTTGCGTGTGTGCGTGTGCGTGTGCGTGTGTGTGTATGTGTATATTTGTGTTGTATTATTTATAAGCGGACTACTATTATCACTGCTGTTACATTATATTATAATTTTTTTTTATTTCATTTCATTTCATTTCATTTCTTCTACTTCTTTTTCTTTATTATATTATATACATTAACTGCATAATAGCAAATACATACATACATACATATATTATATGTCATTTATAGAATAAGACATATATAGTCTCTATTTATTGTTTATTCTCTCTTCTTCTTTTTTTTTCAGCTTTTCCTCCTCCCCCTCTTCAAAACAAATATACACACATTTATATATTTATTTATTTATTTATATATTCATACAAACATACATAAATGTCTTTTGAACAACAACAACAACAACAGCAGCAGCAGCAGCAACCACCTATCGAACAAAATAATAGTTTACATATAAGCTTTAGTCCAGATATAATGGATAATTATGAAGAAAATTCTAATTATTATGCTCCACTTACTCAAACCATCAGTAACAACAACGACATCATCGTCTCTCCTTCTAATTCTCAACTTGACTATACTAATTTCCCAACTACTACCTCATTTCGTCCAACGATAGACAATTATTCTTTATCTCATGATATTAATGATCAATCGGGCTCTCATGACTCGGAAAAAATTGTTGAAGTTTCGCCTAATGAACGTTATGTGAAACTCAATACTTTACTCGGTAAGGGGGCTTATAAAGTCGTCTATAAGGCTATTGACCGAGAGGAAGGGTATGAGGTCGCTTGGAATACAATGCAACAGACTTTACATTCTCCAAACAACAAGGACCTCGAACACGAAATTCAAATTCTAAAGTCAGTTCGTCATCCAAACATCATTGCATTTCATGATGCCTGGTATGGTGACAATGAATTCATCTTTATTACTGAACTTATGACGTCGGGAACCTTGCGTGAGTATATCAGGAAATTGACTCCTTTACCCAACCTCAAGATCATCAAACGTTGGTCACGCCAGATTTTAAAAGGTTTAGCTTATTTGCATGGTCATAACCCACCCATTATTCATCGGGATATCAAGTGTGATAATATCTTTATTAATGGAGCACATGGTGAAGTGAAGATTGGTGATATGGGTACAGCAGAGATGAAATTAGGTAAGAAATATACATTGATCGGAACTCCCGAGTTTATGGCCCCAGAAATGTATGAGGAACAAGGGTATAATGAAAAAGTCGATATTTATGCCTTTGGAATGTGTTTATTGGAAATGGCCACTGGGGAATATCCTTATGGAGAATGTAAGAATGCTGCTCAAATTTATAAAAAAGTGTCAGCGGTAAGAAAAAAAAAAGGAGAAGGAAAAGGAAGAGGAAACAATCAGAATTAGAACTGTACTGATTTTTTTTTTTTTATCATTATCATGATTATTCTTTTTTTTTAAAAAAAAGGGCGTTAAACCTGTTTGTTTAATGAAAGTACAAAACCCTGAAGTCTTAAGTGTCATTGAAAATTGCCTAAGTAGTGAAGATGAACGTATGTCTGCACAAGAGATTCTAGAACATTCATTTTTAGCTGTCGAACCAGATGTCGTTCTCCTCGCCGCTGATCCAGATAATGTTCATCTTACGTTACAAGTCGTTTTCAAAGGGATGGATAAACTTTCTGTTAAATTTGATTTCAATGTAGAGTCTGATACAGCAGAGGAAGTGGTGCGAGAGATGATTGAAGAACAAGTTTTACCAGAACGTTATCAACATCATATCACAAAGGAAATCAATCGTATCTTGAGAGATATCGATAAACCATCCGAGTCAGAACAGGCAGAACAAGTCAGAAGGTCAGTTTGGCGAAGGGAAAGTGATATCCGCAGTGAATTAGAGAGAACACGTCAGGATTTGAATCATGCTACGGATCGTGTACATGAGATTGAACAAAAATGTGAAGATTTTGAAAATAGGGCAAGGGCGGCTGAAAATCGATATCGTGAAGCTCTGAGGAATTTAAGAGATCTGGAGGAACTAAGATCACCCACTTCTACACTTGTGGATGATGAATACCACCTTACAAAGAAACCTTTGTTATCGGATACCTTGGCTAATATGACCATTTCATCTAGTCATAATGGGCATATGCTGGATGAGCGAGAAAGAGAAAGACTTGTAAATCATATATTAGATGGTAAATATATACTTTACAATAGGATTGATTTCCTTTTCTCTCCTTCCCTCTCTCTCTCTCTCTCCATATACATATACATATACATATACATATATAAATTGTATATCTAACTCTCATTGATTTTATTTTCTTAGAATACTCTGATGATACCGATATTAATGTATTTGTAGAAGATTGTGCTCAAGCATCACATCGAAGTTTAGATAAGGCACATGAATGGGCAAGAAAATTACAAAATCAGGATATTATGACTGTAGGAGATTTACGTGATTTACATGACGAAGATTGGGCAGGTATTGGCTTAACTGTATTTGCTTTAAGAGCATTAAAGAATATGTTGAAAGGTAAAAGATTAGCTGCATCATCTAATCCACAATCCTATTCTATATCTCCACCTCATTCCATGCAACATTCTCCTCCTCCTCCTCCTTCATCATCATCATCCGCTATGTTATAATATCAACCAGCTTAGTTTTAGTCATCCTCTTTTCCCCCCGTTTTTATATATTATATCTATTATTAATAATAATTTTATTCAAAAATAAAGCCCTTTCTACACATATCCATATAAATATATATACATATATATACATATATATATTGTTTCGTATTTTATTATCTTGTTATAAAGTGCAAAAAAAAAAGGGGGGGATAGAGAGAAAGAGAGAGTGAGTGAGAGAGATAGCTTATATATAAATATATTTATATGTATATATAAAAGACAAATCATAATAACATAAAAAGAAGAAGAAAAAAAAAGCTGTATACATACGCAAATTAATAAACTGATTTTTTTTTTTTTAGTCCATCATCATAATATCATCGTCATCCTTTTCAGTCAACATGTCATCTCTTGCAGTTGAATGAACAATTTCACGACGAACTTCAGGTGAAATACCTGCATGATATTTCTTCTTCATGACTTCTAAAAGGATATCCTTTTGCTCACCTACCAAATCCTGTTTATAACGTTGAGCAAAGACAAGCATGGATTGATGCCAGAGAACAGGCATATCACGAGGGTCGTTCATGAAACGTGCAAAATGCATCACCAAGGCATCAACCACTTTAAAGGGTAAAGCATATTTTTTATCCAACAAGATACGAATAAAGAGAGAGTTGGGACCTGTATAATCCATCTCTGCTAATCTCAAAAGAGCAGCAGATGAATGCAAGACAGGGATAGAGACCTTGGCCAGGACACTACCTACGATGGCAGCTTCCTTTAAAGTACAATTACCAGACTCACAGAGTGGGAACAAGATACCCTTAAAGAAAGCAGCAGGTTTATAAAGTGCCTTTTTGAGGGCTAAATAAAGGTGATAACTTAGTTTCTTATTTTCTGCAATATCTTCACGAACACGATCCAGCAAGACAAATGATAAAAAGCGTTGAACTTGTTTTGCTTTCAAGTTGGAAACAAACATACGTGTAGCTTCATAAGTAGCATGAGGAGTCCATGTTTCAGGTGATGTCAAGTATAAGATTTCTTCCCAGTTGCCTAAGGATGGAATAATCTTGAATGCCTTGGGTAATTTACCTGATTTATAACGACTTAATAATTGCCCCACCCTTTATAAAAAAATGTATATATATACATATATTTATAGAGTAAATAAATAAATAAATAAAAAATATCTACATAATACATCTTTCTCTATCTAATTTTACTTTGTATATACTTCAACTACTTTTGGATTCATTGAAGGAGATAATTCATCTTCTCGTTCAATCGCCTCACGTCCTTCTGCTGCATTTTTTTCGTTGATTTTTTCCATAATTAAATCTGCTAACGTTTTCTTTTCTCTAGGTGCACTAGGTAAAAATTTGTCTAAAAGATCAGCATCCGCAGCATCAATTTCTAACGCTTCATAATCAGCATATTGATCGATTTCTTCAATCTCTTCTTCGTCGGGATCAAAACCTAAAGGAAATTTTTTCTTGATCGCATCTCTACAATTTTAAAATATTAGGATTTCCATGCATAAAATAATCTTTTTTTTTCTTTATATTTAACGCTGATACCTTTCTTCTTCATCTTGTTCTGCCTTTTCAATCTGCTCTTGTTGTTCTCTGGCAATTTTTAAAATTTTTTTAGATAATTTAGCATCAAGATATTCCTTTTAACAACAACAAAAAAAACAATAATAATGAGCCACATCTTTTTCTTAAAAAAAAAAGGAAAAAGAGATAAAATTTATCTAACTTTTTTATTTTTATTTTTTTTTTATTTCTTACCTCTCCTTCATTTTCTGCTCTATTATTACGATCGATGAATTTTTGACGAGGTGCCTTTTTCAGTAAATTATTTTCAGGAATGTCTGCTAATTGGACATGTAAAGGGTCATGACGTTGAGGACGACCAGCCTTTGATTTACTTGATTCTTTTCCCATTTATATATACAAACAATAAAGTAAAACAATATATAAATAAGCTTATCTAAATAACTTGTTTATCTTGTGAGAAAAAAAAATAAAATAAAAAGGGATATTGATTTATATGAACCTTTTTTTTTGACATTAAAGGATGTTTTTTTAAAAAAAAAAAAAAAAAAAAAAAAAAAAAGAGGCTTGTGACCGTTTGTGACTACTTTTACAGATCCTGCTACTATTTTATTTTATTTTGGAAAAGGGGATACTTGCATTGATCCGCAAGTTTGTTAGACAAAGATAAAGCTTAATTAGAATAGTGTTTTCTTTAAGAAAAAAAAATTTATTGATTAGTATAACTATTATAATTATAAAAAGAAAAGAGGGGGGAATTAGGGGGTGGGGGTATAACATAAAGATTACACACAACAAAAATTCTTTTTTTTTATAACATTCTATCAACGACGTTTAAGGCTAAAAAGACAACAAAGGTGCAAAGAGGGATACAGACAACACCATAACTCCAAAATAACATACGTAGCATTTCTTCTTCAAAGATATTGTTTACCTGAGTGATTTGTACAAGATTAATAGCAGTAGGAGCACAACCCAAGACGATCATCATTGTCACAAAGACGGGATCACTGGCTAAACTAGAGAATCTGGAGCCATAAAGAACAAATAAAATAATGATGGGTACAACCAAGAAGGGCATTAGACACATACGAATAGCGATTGCAGTGACTACCGGCTTCTTCATAGCTGGGGAAGTTTCATGCTGAGATTTTGAAATTGAATAAAGTTGAGCACCCAAGCAAGTTAAGATGATTGGGACAGCAGCTTTACCACATGATTCAACCGCCTTTGTAAAAGATGGATAAAGAAAAGATTGTTTGTTATACAAGATAGATTTGAGAGGTGGAGTGAGACCTATGATAAGTGCGGCAATAGCAGCATAAAGTGGGGGTGACATGAAACGATTGATACGTTTAGCCAAGAGGATCATCAGATTTGAAGAAGTTTCTGGAGCAGGAGCTTGTTTATTTACTTGAGATAATAAATTTGTATTTTCATCAGCAATGACAGTGATAGTCACAGAGCTCAATTGACGAGAAGGTAATTTACTATGACTAGGATGAGTGGCTTCCTGATCATGTAGTAATAAAGAAGAAGAAGAAGAAGAGGAAGAAGGTAATCTTGTATCACTACTTATTGTTTGATAATCTGTATAGTTAACTACCACTTCTTCATCACCGTTATGTCTTTGTAATAAATGATAGCCATAAGACCATCGAATTAAATTACCAAAGATAGCAAAGAAAAGTGTATAAGAGATACCTCTAAAATAAATAAATATTAAATCATTGAGAATTACAGTCTTTTCTATACATATCAGCATTGATGATATACCTTGCAGCTACAGCTTCAGTTGTATCATTTTCACCCCAATAAAGAATATGAGCAGCTTCAGAGACAGCTAAACTGGAAATAATAGCGATAGGTAATGAATTTGAATTAGAGAACATGACACAAGCCAAGACAAAACGACGATAAGCTGAACTTAAACCTATAGCACGAGTAATGATTTGACTTGCACCGTAATTCAAAATAGCATACACGAAATAAAAGAAAGGAATAGGCCAATAAGCTAATAATTTTGAAAGTGAAATAACAGATGCGATATTTGAAAATAAAAGACAAGGCGTAAAAAAGACTAAATTGACTTTAGAAAGCCACTATTAAAAAAGAAACATAGGGTAAAATAAAGACAGAGGAGCGGGAGGGAAAATAATAAAAATTAGTTTAAACTAATATTTGACAGGTAAAATTTAACAACCTTTTGTTTATCCATGTTAAAATATCCTAATTTTGCTAATAAACAGCCAAAGAAAACAACGACCATGACTTGTAAAATTGCCTACGTAAAATAGTTATAAAATTAGTGAATATAAAATGGTGATCATTAAAGAATATTACCTGTATAGCTGATATAATCAATTCCAACATTATTCGAATGTAATAAAAATAATGAAAAAATAAAAAAAAGGAAATGAAAATTAAAAAATAAAAAAAATTACGTTTTTTCCTTTATATTGGAAAATTTGACATTTCTTTTTTTTTTTTTTTTTTTTTTTTTTTTTTTTTTTAGAAAAATCCTGCAATTCTCCTCCCCTTTAGTTTCATCATTCTATCGTTTCAAATATCACCAATCTGTTTAATCTATTTTTCCTAATTTGGTCTATTTGCATTACTTTATGTTGAACAAAAGAGGTGGCTGCTGCTCTTGTTTTTGTTTGTTTATTACCTTCCTAGAAAGTAGTTGCATAATGATGATTAAATTCCTTTTTGTCAGCATTCCTTCTAGTGAAAAAAGAAAATAAACTAGACCAGTTGTAAACTGAATATAGCTTAACTTGATCGATGCATTGTCTATCTCATCTATCTTGCAGTCTTATAAAGGGTGAGTAAGAATATTCGATCAATGCTATTATCATCTGTTTGTACAACAACCTGTGTTTATACATCAAAAAAAAATTTTTTTATTCTTGATTTATATTTTATTTGATTGGATCCACTCTTTTCATCCTTGTTGGCTTAGTTTTTTTTTTTTTTCTTTTTTTTTCTTTTTTTTTTTTTTTAATAAGGCCTATCTTATTTTTCGAATTACTGTAATAAACGCTTATTCTTGTTCAAAGTCTTTTTTCTTTTTTTTTTGTTTAATTCTTTATTATAATCAATTTTTTTATTACTGTCCCTGACTCTTTTTTTTTTTCAGATAAAGTTTAATAGCAGATCTCTTTTTTTTTTTGTTATCATAGTGATGTTGAATAACAACTTATTATTATTTTAAATGCACTCACAAAACACGCGTACTTAATACATTGGTCTATGTCCTTTTCTTTTTTATGGAAAATAAAATAATCCATGTTTTGATGCGTTTCACAAAGAGCATCTGTATTTGTCACCTCATGTAGTTTAGCTTAGTTTATTTATAGGCGAATATTATAAAAGGGAGGGGGATAATCTTTTAAGCAGACTTGAATAAAAGAATTGCAATTTGACCATGATAGAAATAGATAAAATGTTTAGATTCTATAAAAAAAAATAAGAATTAATGAGTAATCTTCCTTCCTCCCTTTTCTTCTTCTTCTCATTCTTTCAATTTCGCTCATCATTATATTTACCGTGAGTAACAAAACTACCAAAGTTACGTCCAACAACACAATGCCAAGTAGGTCCTATTAGAAAAAAATAATAATAATAATAATAAATTAGCATCATCTGTCTCCTTTTTTCATCAATTTTCAATTAGATAATTAAAAAAAATATTTTTTTTTCGTGCTTTACCGTATTTGCGATCAAATTCACGTTTAATATGTGCTGCAATATCTTTTTCAATATTGTATTTTTCTAAAGCTTGTGTTGAGCATTCAATAGCTTCTTGTTGCATTTCTTCGCTCATATCAACACTTTTGACGACAGCTTTTGTATCAGACATCTAATAACAAGAAAAAATAAAAAAGAAGAAGAAGGATTCATTAGATTGTATTTAATAACGAAGCATTATTTCTTTAATATATTACTTTTTATATAATTTTTTTTTATTACAAGAAAAAAAAAAAAAAAAAAAAAAAAAGGTAGAATAAAGTACCTAATAGGAAAGAGCGTGTTTTATGAAAATTAATTATTTTATATTAGTTCCTCCAATCAGATTTAAGAAGAAATTAATAATTTCTGATGTTAAAATAACACATTTGTTGTTGCAGAAGTAAGTAATCGTTATTTTCCTGCAGCCACTAAATAACAAATGTTTTATAATAAAATCAATTATAAATAACAAAGTAAGAAACACTTTATACTGTAGTATTGTAATAAGGGAAGAAGTAATACTATTATGAGGGAAAATAAAAGGGGGGGTTTCAACACGATGCTAATTGATTATAATCGAAATACATCTTCAAGAAAGAAATATTTTCTGTGACTCTATATGTGATTGTCCCTATTAGGACTTTCTCTCGAATTTTCTATGCTTCTGTATATTTATACTAATCTACATTGGCGCCATCATTTTTTGTTAATTTTGATACAGGCTGTAATTGACTTTTTTTATTTGTATTATCACTCTTGCGTCACTTTTGCTGTATGAATCCATTTTTATAAGAAATTTAGTATCCAAGCATCAGTTTGATAGTAGCACATCGTTCATACTTGTTGATCCATACACTATTTCCGGAAATTAAGGGGACACTTCAAAATTAGACCACTCAAAAAAAAAAAAAAAAAAAAAAAGGAAAAAGACAATATTTTATTTGTTCAAAATTAAAGTGGCTCAAATGTCCCAAATGAGTGGGTCTATCTATATAGGTTTGCGCTGTAAGCAATCATGGAATTTCTTGACTGAATATCTACAGAAACCTTTTGAGGTCACTAATACAAGAACTTTTGTTGCATGCGTCCCTTATACGCGAGGTTAAAGTATCTTCTTTTAAGAGCGCTTCTCTTTTAAGCTTGCTTTTGCAGACTGACCAATTCAGGGGAATAGGGTGGTAAATGAACACAGTCATAGCCACGACTCTCAACGAAAAGTTTTATATCTTCATGTTTGTGTATAAGTGCATTATTCATGATTAGATAATAGTCTTTGAATTCTTCATCTTTATCCATAATATCTAGCGTACTCGCAATAAAGTTGAAGTAATGGCCAGTTACTGCACCCACTGTTCTTTTTGCACCATCCATAATTCCATTGTCTTTTTTATTGCTTTCTAGCTTTCTCTTTCTCTCTCTCTCTCTTTTATTTTTTTTTTTTTTTTGACTGAACAACTTTGGGAATCCTAACTTTTACGTTAACAACCCCAATAGCGGAAACAGCTCCAAGGAGCGTCGTCATTTTCGAATTTATCTTTAGAGTCTTTACAATTGTGTAAGTTCCCACTCGTGACCATGCGAAAGATCGCTTCATGTTTATCTAAAGGCCTGTCTCATCAATGAATACACACTTGCTTTCAAAAATCCATGTCAATATCCTCCCAGTGCTTGACCCAATTGCATCTCTGCTCGATCTTCTCCTCAGGACTATTTCTTTCGTCAGGTTGAAAGTGTACTCTCTTAAAACTGAATCTGCTTTTTTTTTTTTTTTTTGTTTTGGCAAACTCATGAAAAGCCGACTCAGAAATCTGCAATGCCATAAATTCGGTCGTCAAGTTTTCCATTATTTGGTCTAAGAGCCAATTCTGTATCGTTCTCATCTACAAGCTTTACCAAGTAATTTCGAGGGTCATCGGTTAGCTTCAGAGGTCTGGCCTATAGGTCTTCCACTTCTGGTCTTTCTCCACTCAACAAAGTCGTCTAACGCTTCAGTACCTTTTTTATGTCAGTTGGAAGCAGTACTTGAAGGAATCTTCATCTGTTTGGCTGCACCACGAATGGATGTTCCCTTTTCATTTACTAAAAAAAAAAGTAATTCATGTCTTTTATATATATATATATATAACGACGATGTGTTCTGAGTGTTGACGTATTATTCTCGGGAAGTGTGGACGCTTTCTGCTTTATTACTACTTGATTCATTTCGTTCGCCGTTTGGTTTCTCAGGAGGTTTAAGATACTGATATTCACTGTAATTAGTAACATCACCAAGTGGAAAATTGGAGTCATCAACTTCCATTTGAAGCACAGAAACTTTTATTGCCATCTTCATTGAACATCTTGCCTTTACCATCTTCGAGTATAAACTGATCCATATTAATTGCTTTGAAACCTGAAAAAAAAAGTCTTGAAATGTGCTTGATTTTTTTTTTTTATTATTCTCGGAAATAGTGTATTATAATAACGATTTTTTTTTGTAGTCCGACATTCATTTCCTACCACTCTCAAATGCGCATTCAACTCTTTTTTTTTTTTTTATAAATTTGTATACATAAAATACTTATTCTTTAGATACACAGACACACACACATATATTTATATAAACGACTAAATGACTCAAGTTCCAATATCAGCAACTCAAATCAATTATAATAACACTAATGAAGCACAAGAGCCAATTTTAAACACTAATGTTGATGATCCTTCTCATCCTTTACACCATCATCGTCGTGTTGTAACTGATTTTGACTATGGAGATATTTTAGGCGAAGGTTCTTATTCAACCGTAATATTCTCTTTTTATTAGTGAGCCATACAAAATATATAAATAAATAAAACTTGAAAAAGAGCTTTATCTTTGACCTTTTTTTTTTAGGTCTTGATCGGAAGAGATAAACGTACAGGAAAACATTATGCTATTAAACGATTAGATAAAGCACATATTGTTAAGAATAATAAAGTTAAATATGTCATGATTGAACGTGATGCCCTCAGTAGAATGAATCATCCAGGCATCATCAAGTTATATTGGACTTTTAAAGATAATCGTAGCTTATGTAATTATAAAATAAATGTTTAACTCAGGTAATTAATACTCATTATTATCTTTTCTTGATTAGATTTTGTGTTAGATTTAGCTAGAAATGGAGAACTTTATACATATATTAGAAGGGTAAGATAGAAAAAAAGAAAGAATCCCTCTCTCTTTTTTTTTTTTTTTTAAATCTATCCTTGTAGTTGGCTCCATTTGATTTAGAGATAACGAAATTCTATGCTGCTGAACTTTTACTTGCAATTGAACACATTCATAATAAAGGAGTTATTCATAGGTAATTAAAAAAGAAAGAACTTTTTATTATTTTTATTTTTTCTAGATTTATGTATTGACTCGTTTTATTTAATTGAATAGAGATATTAAACCTGAAAAGTAAAGTAAAGAAAGAAAGAAACTCACACATACATTTCAATTAACACACATCTATTTAGTATATTACTAGATGATAATTTGCATATCAAAGTAACAGATTTTGGCTCAGCCAAGATAATTCAAGAAAACGATAATATATCAGGAGAGAATGAAGCTTCTTCTTCTAGGTCTTTTGTAGGTACAGCAGAATACGTGCCTCCTGAATTACTTCGAAGTGATCCTGTATCTAAAGAGTAAGTTTATAGTCATTTAAATACATAGTTACAGTGATTTATTCTTATGTTAGGGCTGATCTTTGGGCATTTGGTTGTGTTATTTATCAAATGTTATCTGGCAAATCACCTTTTAAAGCAGCAACCGATTATCTCATATTTCAAAAGATTAAAAACTTGGAATATACGATTCCAGACAATTTTCCTCAAACAGGAAAAGATATTATTGAAAAATTACTTGTATCAGATCCTGAGAGAAGATTAGGATCTTTAGCAACAGGAGGAATTCAGGCTATAAAGGAGCATGCATTCTTTGAAGGAATAGATTGGGAAAATCTATTTACATCACAAGCACCACCTCTTCGAGACTATTTGGAGAAGGAAGTTAAAGCGAATCCAATTATATCACCCACATTTGATTTTGACCAAGGTGGTGAAGAAGAAGAAGAAGAGGAAGAGATGTGGTTTAATCATAAAATGGTTAAAAAAACATCTACAAGTCAAGTTCAAAACCCTTTTAACGATCATTCACATGTAGTAGTTGAAGAACATCATAATTCTACTACACAGCATCTTCTAACAGAACAGGGCGGTCATAGTTCTTCTTCTTCTTCAACATCACCTCCATATAATAATGGCCCATCAAATTCAACAAAATTGACTATTAAAGATCAATCTTCTTTATCTTTAAATCAACAACCATCTATTGAAGATGAGAATGCAAATAACATGAGTAAAATCAGTAGTGTAGCATCATCTACGCATAGTACTCGAGAAAGGTTAGGTGAACAAGCACATCCACCATGGTAAATAACATAATCTACATATACATACACATATATACACATATATAAAAGGTAGTGATAATAAACATCTTATTTATATATATTTATACACATTTATACGATGAATAAAAATAAAAGGATCCCTCATTTATATCCTAATGAATCTGTCATCAAGGCAGGACAAGTGACTCGAAAAAGAGGCTTTATTTCAAAAAAACGAAATTTGATTTTAACAAATAGACCAAGACTATTATATTTGGATGAAGGTACAAATAAGAATAAATTAGATGGTAATCTAAGGTGTGAAATACCTTGGACGCCACAATTATTACCTGAACTCAAAGGTAGATCCACCTTTTGTATTCGTACGGTAAAGTTTATTACATTATTTTGTGTATATATATATATGATAGAATCAATTTATGCTAATAATGTGAATAATAGCCTGGAAAGACATATACCTTTATAGATCGTCAACACGCTCAAGATTGGGTTAATACAATTAATTCAATGCTTGTGGATTCATTCGGTATAACTTCGTGATGATAAAAGAGGAGATACTCTTTATACAATAAAGATAATATAGGATTTATTTATTCATCTTTTTGATCATCATGTATTATAACAATAATAGACAGTTCTATTTATTATAAGGACGATAAAGCCTTATAAAAAGTTTATATATTATATTCTGTATTGTAAATATTGTATCATGAAACTATTCGTTTAAAATATCACTAGCACAAAATAAAAGGAAGAGGTGTTTCTTTAACTGCTTTTTTCCTTATCTAAAGTTTAATTTTCGCCAAAAGGGCCATCATCAATTATATTCATTTTTTACCAGTATATACTACAGAGAATGTCATTTTACATGGAGACATACCTATTTTCTAAAGAAAAAAAAAAAAAAAAAAAAAAAAAAAAGTTATTCTCTTTTCTTTCCTACAGATTTAGTCTTCAAATTTAAACTCAGTTTAGTGAAGATACTTACTGTACCAGGGCTTTTTATTTAGAAACAAATAGTACATATGCGTGACTAGTTAAATTTATTTATTTATTTATTTATTTTTTTGTGGGGAAAAATAAATAAAACTTTTTTTTTTCACTTTTGGATTGCATAAAAAAATATGTCAAATACAACAGAAGCTCCTATGACACCAGTAAATAAATAGATAGATTTACTCTTCATAAAGGGAGTAAAAAAAAAAGTTACTTTAGGAATAATTAGTTTCCTTTTTATATATATATATATATATACGTTTGCATATTTATATAATTATAAATATATAGAATGATATACCTACAGAGGCACCTCTTCAGGTCAATTCTTTACGTATCTTGGGTACAACAGCTACTCGCAACTCATTTTTAAATAGTGTCACTTCCCCCGTCTTTAATGCTTCTACTACTGAAGACGTTCTTAAAAGAGTTCAAGCTATTGCTGCTCAACTACAAAAACATGAAATCTTTGAAGAAATTAAAATTTATCTTGATACAAATCATGATATACCTGATACTGTCGATATCACACTTCATTTAAAGGAAAAAGATAAAGGTTTATTTCAAACAAAAGTGAATATGGGAAATAATCAAGCTGAATTGGTAAATGAAGAACATATAAAATAGTAGATTAGAGGATTAAAAAAAAAAACTTTTCCCCCAATATTTTATAATAATATTGTTTTCTTTATAAGAATGGTGGAGTTGGTTTACGTAATATTTTTGGTGGCGCTGAAGCTGTTTATGCTAACTTTTCATTTGGTAATCGTACAAGAGCTGCTATTGAGGTATACATACATACATATATGTAGTATTGTATAAAATAGTTGATATTTTATTCTAATTGAAAAAGCAAATATAATATTATTGGTATCCTTTATATATATGCATATATATATATTTTTTTAGGGTATATTTGAAACACCATTTCGTGGTAATGCAAATACAAAGATTGGTCTATTTGTAAATGGCTCTATTAGAGATCATTCTCAAATAAATGCATTCAAGGAAAGTTCAAAAGCGACTGGTATTCGTTTTAAAGGCTGGACAGACTATGGTAAGCATGAAGTCGCTTATGCTATTACTCATAGAGATGTTTTGGCTTTATCATCAGCTTCAAGCACGTAAGTATTATAATATAATATAAATACGAATTACTAACTTGTTACTTATATTACGTACACACATATACATATTATATACATATATGATATGCATATATATTTTATATATGTATATACATACTCGCAGTGTTCGTAGTCAATCGGGAGGTAACAGTAAAACGTCTGTCTTTCATTCATTTGTTCGAGATCATCGTGACGACATCGTGTTACCTACAAGAGGACATTATATAGGTGTATTCCAAGAATTAGCAGGATTAGGTGATCGTGGTGATTCAAATTTTTTGAAGCATGAATTAAATGCATCATATCACTTACCCTTGATAGAAGAAGGAGAGAATGAATCTAATAAACTGATCTTTAGTTCATCTATAAGAGCAGGTTTATTTTCAACTTTATTTGAAGGAAAGAAGGGAGGTCCTACTGTATCAGATCGCTTCTATTTAGGAGGTCCCCAATCTGTGAGAGGCTTCAAGATGGGTGGTATTGGTGAAAGAGACGGCAGTAAGTTAAAATTCACCAGTAGATCAATATATATATATGTATGTATGCATCTGTATATACGTATACTTATTTATTTATTTATAGATGATGCTCTTGGTGGCGAAGCTTATTGGGCTGCAGGTGCTAGTTTAATTTCACCTATTCCTGGTTTATCTCACTTACCTGTAAAGGCACATGCATTTGTGAATGCAGGCAATATTGTAACAAGTACAAAGAATGTTCATCTTGGTGATACGGTTAAAGCCCTGAGTGAATCGTCTCGTTCATCTGTTGGTTTTGGTTTCATCTTCCATCATAGTCTTGCAAGAATTGAAGCTAATTATTGCATACCTGTAAGATATACTGCATCTGATTTACCTGAACCTAAATTTCAATTTGGTTTTGGTCTCAACTTTTTGTAAGAAAAAGTGAATACACATACATAAAATCATGTTTTTATGTGTCCTATATTATATAAAATAAAATACGTGTAATAGAGAAACGATATGAGTCAACTATTTATATAAAATATGGATATTTTGATGAGTAAGTGATTTCAATTAATGTCAAGATAAATTATAATGTGTATACAAATATTTGTAATTAATAACAAGCACTCTGTGAATGATTATTATTTTATTATTAAAATAAATAAAATGCATGTAAACATTAAAGAATATAAACAAGGTGAATATGCATGTAAAAGGTGAAGAGGGAGAGAGAGAGAACAATAAAGGAAGAGGAATAATCTATATACTACCCATGAATACTTTTTTTTTTTTTGCCAACTTGCTCATAATATTGTATGTATACATTTATATATGTATATGAGTGTTAAGTATAAGAGTATGTATAAAGATAATAAAGTTGTTCTATTTTAAATGAAATATATATATGTTTATAAATGCTAATGCTCAAGGGATACATTTATGCAGATGCTTGAGCAACGATAGTAGCAATTTGTTCAGGCTTTTCAATTGTGTCCAAAAAGATAGTATGACTACCAGCAGCTTTAGCTTTATGATAAGAGCGAAGTAAAACTAATTACATAAAATAAAAAATAATAAAAAAAAAGACATTTAGTATAATAGTTGTCTTTATATGTGTATAATTACCATCAACATCATCCAAAGAAAGAGGTCGTACATCAGCTAATTCTTTGATCTTGGCAGTAACCGCTTTGGCATCTTCATCCGTTAAATCTAAATTGAGTTGTTCTACACGATTCTTTACAGCATTCCAACCTGTTAAGCGATGGCCAATACTGACATAGCGAGTCATACCGAAATCAGTAGGATTCAAGATTTCGTATGTAGAAGGATTGTTCAAGATAGCCTTGGCATGAATACCAGCCTTATGAGTGAATGCACAATAACCAGTGATATAATTATTAAAGGGAACAGTCACTTCAACTGCATCAGCTATAATGTTTTCCACTTCACGAATCTTGGTTAAATTGTACTTTGTCTTGACGTATTCCTTATCACCAGTATACATTCTAGCCAAGAAACCACCTAAGGGAGTAATACCATTACGTTCACCGATACCAAGGACAGAAGTATCAATATGAGTAGCACCTGCTTCCAAGGCTAAATAAAAGGGAGTAAGTAAGTAAGTAAGTAAATAAGTTAGCTTTTTTTTTTTAAAAATATATATATATATATATATATATATTACCAGCATAAGCATTCGCAATAGCACAACCAGTATCATTATGGAAATGACATTCAATATCACAGCTAACTACACTTCTTAAGGTCTTGACAAGTTCATATACTTGACGAGGATTAGCACAACCTACTGTGTCAGCAATACCAACACGGTTTACACCAATCTTATCTACGGCCTTATAAATGCTCAAAAGATCTACAAGATCAGAACGGAAGGAATCTTCAGTAGAGAAACGAACTTCAAGACCTTGACTCTTAATGTAGGTGATGACTTCAATGGCTTGCTTGGTAATATAATCCATATCTTTACCATGAGAGAATTCACGAAGGAAACTTGAAGTACCAATAACGACATCAAGACCGTCAACACCAGTATCAATAGCTAACTTGGCATCATCCATATGACAACGAATATGAGTTAAAATCTTTGCCTTCAATCCAAGACTGGATATCACTTTACAATCATTACGAGATTGTTCAGATGCAGCAGGTGAAGTTAATTCTAGATAATCAACACCGATTTGATCAAGTGCTTTAGCAATTTCTAAAGGATATAAAATTTAAAAGATTAATACAGTACTAGAAGAAGAGTGAATAAGACTTGTATTATTGCTTTTTACCAATTTTCTTTTCAGTAGTAAAGAAAGCATTTGCGAATTGTTCACCCTCTATATATATATATATGTGTGTGTGTGTATGTATTATGTAAGTAAAATATATATATTATATATGTATATGCTATTACCTCTTAAAGTGGATTCAATGATCTTAAAGTTAGCAACATTGGAATTAGGATCATTTGACATATAAGGAGACTTTACACCTTCCTTAGGATTGTTGTTTCCATTAGCTTGAAGTCCAGTAGTTTGAGCCATTTTGTTATAATTAAAATAGAGAATATGAATAATTTAATGAAAAATATAATAATAAAAAAGAACAAACAAAAAAAAGATATCGATTTAATGCATTTGTATTTATATTTTATTCAAGCTACAAGTTTATTTTTATAAAAAAAAAAAAAAAAAAGATTATCAGCATCTTCTCAAAGTCACGATAAATCAAAAATTGAAAGCTTTTGTTATTAGAGATTCAATTGCCTTTTTTGAATTAGCCAATCATAAAGTCAATCAAATGAAGTTTGCTTGAATTAGATGATAATCAGTTTTAGGGGTTCACATCATGTTATTTTTAAACTCAGTTGATTATCTTTTTTCTTTTTTACTGGAAGATAATAGCAGCTGCATATATATTATTACGTTCATTTATTTTATCATTATGTGACTCTCCTTTATTATTATTATTATTATTATGCAATTATTTAACCTAAAATTGGTTTTATGATACGTTCTAATAGTTGAAGAATAAGAACCCTATTTAAATCAGGGTCTTGACAACGAGCCCAAATTCGATCCATTGCTTTATTACAGTTTTGATCACCAATTAATTGCCTTACTGCATTTGGAATTAATCCAGTCATTAGTAAATCCCTTGCTTGCTGTTTACTCTTTTCTTTATCTTCATCTGTACGTTTCATTTGTTCTTTACCATCTAATATCCATTTACCTTCTGGCCAGAATTTTTCTCCTAATTGATTTAATACATGTACAATGGCATCTGAGGACATGTATTCATTCACAAAATCAGTATATTGTTCAGAGATAAATTCGGAATAGGAACGTCGTACGATCTCTCTTAATAAATTTAAAATAGATCTTCGCATCCACGCCTTATTGTTAGAACTAGTAAGATTAAATATCTCGATAATAAGTGCATAGGTTGTTTCAATCAAAAGTTCAACATCCATTGAAGATAGGGCTTTATTATTGTTACTGAATGTATGATTATCTTTGTGTTTAGTGATCGTTGCCTTTTGGGGTTTTTTCACTTTTTCTTTTTCTTCTCCTTCTTGTTCTAATTCAAGATAATGGATAGATAATCCTACTACGTTATCTTCACTTTGTCCATTATCACTTTCTTCTCTTGTTGTAATTGAAGAGGTGTCTTTGGATAAATTACTTTGAATACTTGAAATTGAATCCTTTCGACTCTTTGCCTTTGGTGCAAACCATTTTGGACTCTCTTGATCTATACTAACTCTCTCTCCTCCTGAGGTGATACTACTGTGATTATCTATCTTGGTATGAAATGATTCGACACTATTGCTAGTGATAAGGTTGTTTAGAGTACTACTGCTACTGTTACGAGAAAATAAAGATTTCGATGTATTGGTAGTTAAAAAGGAATGGGCCATCGCAACTTCATCTTTAAATTCTTCTGAAAATGATACAACCCTACCTCCACCATCCTCTGCTATATCTGATCGCGTCTCCTTTCTAAGGAAGGATAAAATAATTGGATCTGTTCCTAGTTCATTATCCTCTACAACAAGATGAATGTATTTTTCTAACTCTTCACTTATTTTATCTAGAGGCATTTTTTTCTTTTGTTGATAGGATGAAGACTTTTTTAACCATGACTTGAATGCTATATCTAATGGAAGTTTTAATTGAAGTTTAGTAGCTCGTTTTGTATGTCTTGCATATAAAATAGTGTTAAAGCCTTCAAAGTCGCTATACGTTCTCGTAATCACATAGCCACCACCTTCAGAACTAGCATGATCTTCCATAGCGGGTCTTTCAATTTGAACAAGATAAATAAGCTCTGATTTATTGATGAATTGACCATTTGATTGAGGAGCTGATATATCCATAATAGTAAAATTAACAGAACCAGGTTGAAAGATCATCATAGGCGGTCCTAATGGTGATTGCAATACATGAGAAGGAGGAGATTGTAAAGATGCTAAAAGGGTGATTTCATGATTCTTTTCTACTGCTGTTATAATAGGTGTTGGTTTCCTATTTAATTGAAAGGTATCAGTTGGCGTAGTAGGTTGTTCGATGTTATTTATATTATTATCTTCTAAAGTAGTTGATTTTTGAATTACACCATTATTATTTACAGTTATTATCGAACAATCCTCGTTGGTAAATTCTTCTGAAAGTCTACTAGGTATATTGTTTTTATTCAACTCTTCCTTTAGGATCGTATCAGAGAGAGTAGATGCAATCGTTACTGTCTTTTCTTTATCTGAAAGAAAATCTATGATCCAACAATTAAGGAAATCAGGATCACTTAAACTGTCCAATACATTTCCAAATACAAATATAGCCAATAGTTCTGTAAATAAACTCATTAACAAATGTGAGTCTCTATCTGGAGTTGGAAGTGTTTTCTTTAAAAATAGGTGACTAAGTCCTCTTAATTGTTTATGCTGTTTTTCTTTAGACAATAATTGTGCAAAAGGAGATTGGGGATTGCTCAAGACGTATTCCTCTATTGTTAATTTTGAATCTTCAAAAGCTCTACACTCTCTCTAATAATCCCCATTAACAAACAAACAGAAAAAGAAGCAGATATTGAATTATTTATGCAAAAAAAAATTTTTTTTTTCAATTTACTTCTTACCATATGAATAATAAGAGTATTTGCTACACCATATAAAGTAGACATGACGATATCATTTCTTTCTTGATTTAATAGAATTTTTTGAAGGTTTAGACACACAATATTCAGTCTTTCTCTCGCCACCTTTTCAAATGTAGGATCTTTATATTCATTTAATGGGGTCCACCAACTAGCAATAAAATCACGCATAACATAGTCTAATAATTGATTAATAACGGTAGTTAAAGGTGGATAATAGAGTTCGATACTCTGTTCAGGCTCATAAGTATTACTAAACTACAATTATTAAAGTTAAACCTGCTAGCTTAATCACGCCATAATATATTTTTATATATATATATATGTCTGTATATATACTTGTTCTTGTTGTTCCAAAAAGTTCAAGTTTCGTTCATATTCCTCTATTTTCAGTTTACTTTCTGCTTTGTTAAAATAAAAAGCTCCTAATCCAAATCCAAGGATAAGAAAGATCAAAAAATGATGACCATCCTGAATGAGTAAAATAGCATAAATGACTAGGGAAAATAAAGTTGCAAAGGGGGCAATTTCTCTTAATATCTTTTTGTTATCAGCGCCTGTATATATTCGTAATATTTCTTTCAGTTCTTCTACTCCTGTTGTACAAGTCATTGTATTAAAGGGAAAGCTGATGCTAATATGTCCTTTGCGTTATTATTATAAATAGTAATAAAAAAAAAGAAAAAAAAAACACCAAGACCTTTTTTAGCTAAATTAGTTATTCAAATGGCGCCAATATAAAAAAGGCATACAACTATTGCTGTAACAATAAAATATAGACATGTTTGTGACTTTTATAGCAAAAAAGAAATCAAGATGAAAGGAAAATAATATAGTAAAACGGAATATTAAAAATATATATTACTATCAAGTTAAGTTAAGACTGAACAAGACTTGAAAAGACTAAGGAAATTCAAAAAGGTCAAAGGAACTTTACGATTAAAAAAAAAAAAAAAAAAAAAAAAAAAAAAAAGTACAAAGAGCTTCTTGTATATCTATCAGATAACCATTCTTAGGCTATTGTAGTAGTTGAAAGAATTATTCAGCTATTTGGAGTCCAAGTTTAAGGCAAAGAGCTATAAATCAAAAAGATAAACATGTATACAAATGTGTGTATAAAAATATAAATATTTTTTTTTTTTTTTTTTTTTTTTTTTTGTTAGACGGACTTTGTATCATGTGGAATTAATGTCATCCAGTTTGTAACAAATAAGATTTTTTTTTTCTTGTAATAATATTCATACAAACATGCCATCATCAAAAGGAAGACATTGTTTTGGTTTCATTCCCATAAAAACAGGTAAATTAAACTAGGTATGAAATATAGATTAGACTAAAGTCCTAAATTCGTTTTACACTAGGAGTGTCACTCATTACAATTTTTGGGATTGTAAGCTTACTATATACAAATTAATAACATGCCACTTTTTGATTAATCTATTATTATAGTTGAATAAATTGTCCGGATTTTATGGAATATTATCGTTTGATTTTAGTGACACATTTGCTACTCTATTATATGTTTACTCTTTATTTGCTATTGTTGTCTTTTCATATGGTCTTTATGGCTTGTATACAGTAAGTAGAAAGATTCTATTTTTTTTAATATTCACTGTATTAATTGTATATAATAGGATAATGTTCGTATTCTTCGATGGTATACAATGTTCTTTTGGCTTGATTGTTTCCTTAGTTTAATAACTACTATATGGTTCTCAGTATCTTGGTTCGTATTTACTGATCATAGTTTACCAGAACTTGCAGATGACCCTGAAAAATTAGCTGAGTACAATCGTTTATTTAAAATGGAAAGTCGAGTTAGCATTGCAGTATTAATTGTATTACGATTAATTCATGTAAGAGAATCTTGTTTTGTTCTTTTTCTTGTGATAAATAACTTATCATTGTGTCTTTCATAGTTCTATTTCACATATGTCGTTACTCGCTACTACAAGTTAATTAATAGATTAACTTATTCAAGATTATCAACAAATGAAGATATTGACCTTGAAGATACAATTTCTAGTGGAAGAAATATTACTGAACAAGCAGTATTACCTAAGCCAGCTCAAGACTAATAATAAGTAAATAATGAAAGAGAAAGAGGAGAGAAGGGTAATTTAGATATACATATATACATGGTTTTTTTTTGTTCTGGACACATAGTAATAATAATAATAATAATAATAATTTACTGATAATCTTTAAAAAAAAAAAAAAAAAAAAAACTTTATCAATCTTTATGTGGAGGGGGTTTGGAATTTAAAGCCAGCATTTCCTTTTTGACTGATGATCTTTTCATCTCTCAATTATTTTCCATTTTGAGCAATTCACTAAAGCATATAAATATATTTGGCTTTTTTTTTATTTTTTCGTTCCTTTTTATTTTTTGTTATTCTTTCTTGTTTTCGTTTAAACACTCTTCTTTTTTCATATAGACAATATGGTGAATGCAAATGATAATATCCCATTCTGGAAGACACATCTTCAAAATTTAACTGACTTACAAGTACCGACAGATTATCCTAGATCTTTGCCTCCACGTACAGTAGAAGAGGTTCAAGCATTTGATCTTCCTGAACAAACATTAATGAGTCTTGTCCAATTTTCTTTAATACCTGTTCGTCCTACACCTTTTCATATCATCTTAGCTGCATTTTCGGTTCTCTTACAACGTTATACAGGTGATGAAGACTTTCCTATCGGTACTTCTTCTCCAACTGGTAATCCTTTAATCCTACGTCTAAATGTAGATCCTACTAAATCATTAAGTAATCTGATCGACATGATTACAAAGGTAAATCAATATATCAAATTGGAATGAAAGGGAATAAAAGTAAAAGAATACTCATATGTATCTATCTTTTATAAGGTCGAACAAGAAGCTTTAATGCATGAAACATCAATTGATCAAATATATGAAGCTATCTATGAAGGCATTGATATGGATTCTAGACGTCCACTTTGTCGAGTTCGGTTTTATAATGCGATTGATACACCATCTCAACAGCACTTGAAGAATACATCAGCTAGCTCTGATTTAACAATCTTTATTTCTTCTCCTGAGCAATCCTCCTCTCTTAGAACCTCTTTTCTTCGTCCTATATCTATTCGTATTGTCTATAATCAAATTTTATTCTCTCCTAAACGTATCAGTTACATCTTTTCACAGTTGGTTACTTTAATCGAAGCAGCTGCTAAAAATCAGGATCTACCAGTAGGTAAGATCCTTTTGTCCGATTCAGGTTTACCTGGTTCTCCGCTTCCAGATCCAACTTTAGATTTGCATTGGTCTCAATGGAGAGGTGCTATCACAGATATCTTTGCTTCAAATGCTAGTAAGCACCCTGAACGTACTTGCATCGTAGAATCTCTGGATGGTACAGACAAGAGGATTATTTATAATTATCAACAAATTCATTATGCTTCTAATATGGTGGCTCATTACCTATTAAATAATGGAATCCAAAGAGAAGATGTAGTTATGATTTATGCCTTTAGAGGTGTTGATCTTGTTATTGCCATAATGGGTGTTCTTAAAGCTGGTGCTACCTTTAGTGTAATTGGTAAGTTAATTTTTGAAGTTTTTTTTTTTTTTTTTTTTTTTTTTGTAATCTTTTACTAACTTTTTTTTTAAGATCCTGCTTATCCTCCTGCTCGTCAAGAAATTTATCTTTCTGTTGCAAAACCTCGTGGATTGATTGTTTTGAAAGAAGCTGGTTCTATTGCTGATTCAGTAAGAGACTACATTAAGAGAGAACAACATATTATTTGTGAAATTCCAAGTCTCAAGATTGATCCTAATGGACATCTATATGGTGGTATTTCGAATAATAATACAGAGGATTTATTAGATAATGTTCGTGATAAAGCTTCTAAAAATGTCAATGTTGTGATTGGTCCTGATAGCATTGGCACTTTAAGTTTCACAAGTGGTAGTACGGGTATTCCTAAGGGTGTACGGGGTCGACACTTTTCTTTAACCCATTTCTATCCTTGGATGGCAGAAACGTTTGGACTTTCAAGTAATGATAAGTTTACGATGCTTTCAGGTATTGCACATGATCCTATTCAACGTGATATCTTTACTCCTCTATTCTTGGGTGCGGAGCTACATGTTCCTACATCTGAAGACATTGGTATCCCCGGACGTCTTGCTGAATGGATGAATAAATCTCAAGTCACCGTCACTCATTTGACACCTGCTATGGGTCAACTTTTATCTTCTCATGCTCAAGTAGAGATTCCATCGTTACTGAATGCTTTCTTTGTTGGCGACATCTTAACTAAGCGTGATGCAGCTCGTATTCAAAAGTATGCTCCTAATGTTGCTGTCATCAATATGTATGGTACTACTGAAACGCAACGTTCTGTTTCTCATTTTATTGTACCTGCTCGCTCTACTCACCCTGCATTCTTAACTTCTCAAAAGGATGTCATTGCAGCTGGTAAAGGCATGGTAAACGTTCAGCTCTTGGTTGTCAATCGTCATGATCGTACAAAGATGTGTGGTGTAGGTGAGATTGGCGAAATCTATGTTCGTGCTCCTGGTCTTGCTGAGGGGTATCTTGAATTACCTGAAGCCACAGCTGAGAAATTCATTCCTAATTGGTTTGTGCCAAACCCTTACGAGAATGAAGATCATGATGAATCGTGTGTAGAAGGGAATGCATGGAAGGAATTCTATTTAGGTAAACGAGACCGTATGTATCGCTCAGGTGATTTAGGTCGATATCGTCCTGATGGAAATGTTGAATGTACGGGTCGTGCTGATGATCAAATCAAGATTCGTGGGTTCCGTATTGAACTAGGTGAGATCGATACCCATTTGTCTCAACATCCCTGTATTCGTGAAAATGTTACTCTGGTTCGTCGTGATAAGAATGAAGAGCAGACATTAGTTGCCTACTTTGTGCCAAATATCTCTGCTACAAATGCCGACTTTGCAAGTGCAACTGAAGATGATGAACAAGATCATGATCCTAATGATCTTCGTTCAACTCATCGTTACCGTAGACTGATTCGACACATCCGTGATTACTTGAAGCAAAAGCTTCCATCCTATGCTATCCCCTCTGTCTTTGTACCTTTAGTTCGTATGCCGCTTACCCCGAATGGTAAAGTAGATAAGAATGCTTTACCATTCCCAGATACGGCTCATTTCAATAAAAAGGTCGTTACATCAAATCAGGGTCCACTTTCAGCTATGTCGCCTAATGAAGCTATTATTCATGACATCTGGAAAGAACTTCTCCCAGCTTCTGATCCTGTCATTGATGTAAATGAAAATTTCTTTGATATCGGTGGTCATTCCTTGATTGCTACACGTCTTATTTTTGAAATTCGTCAGAGGTTCCAGGTGGATACTCCTCTTGGTCTTGTCTTTGCTGAACCCACCATCGCTGGTCTTGCTCGTGAAGTCACAAAGTTACAAAGTAGTGATTTGTTACTTGAGGGCAACACTCATCCAGAGCCATCCAAGGAAACAGCGGGAAAGAAGGAAGAAGTAGATTATGCTGCTGACCTTGAGCTCTTGGGTCAAGAATTTATTGCCACCTCTTATCGTCCTTTAGTGACTCCTAATGAGGGACGTAGATTTGTGTTGACAGGCTGTACTGGTTTCTTGGGCGCCTTTATCCTTGATAAACTCCTTAGTTATCCTGATACAGAGAAGGTCATCTGTATTGTTCGTGCTAAAGACAAATCACTTGCCTTCCAACGTGTCAAACAAGCTGCGATGAATCATTTAGTTTGGAAGGAGGACTGGGAAAATCGTATTGAGGCTATCTGTGGTGATTTGGCAGGTGACCACTTGGGACTCTCAGAGGAGGATTGGAACTATTGTACATCATCGTCAGATGCAGTTATTCACAATGGTGCTCTTGTCCATTGGGTCTATCCATATCATCAATTGCGTGCACCCAATGTCCTCGGTACCCTTTGGGCTATGCGTTTAGCAACTGAACACACTCAAAAGTCATTCCATTTCGTCTCCTCTACTTCCGTTCTCGATACCCCCGCCTATATTGAACCTGGTTTGCCTGTCTCTGAAGAAGATGATCTTGAAAGAGGACGTACAGGACTTGAAAACGGATATGGTCAAAGCAAGTGGGTAGCAGAAAAGCTGATTATGGAGGCTCAAAGACGTGGTATGCCTGCCACCATCATCCGACCTGGTTATATCTTGGGTGATTCACGCACCGGTGTCACAAATACGGATGATTTTATCTGGCGTTTGTTAAAGGGATGTGTAGAACTTGGCTATTTACCTGCTATGGCTAATGATGTTAACTGTTGTTCAGTCGACTATGTTGCCTCGGTTGTCGCAAGCTCGGCTTATCATCATGAAGTATCTACAAAATTACGTGTTCTTCAGGTGACGCATCCAGCAAACTTCACCTTTAATGATCTATTTGGTGCATTATTAACTTTTGGTTACTCATGCCAACAGACAGAATACATTGATTGGAGAAACAAGTTGATGGAGTACACACTCAAGTCACAAAATCATTCACTTTTCCCTCTTCTTCATTTTGTCTTGGATGATTTACCAACATCTACTAAGAGTGCTCTATTGGATGATAGTCATACTAAAAGCTTGTTAGCTCTTGATAACGTTCAACAACCCTTAATGACTCTTGATTTGCTAGGTCTCTATCTAGCTTATCTAATTAAAGTTGGATATATGCCTACACCTACAGCTCATGATGGTCGCCCTCTACCTAAATTGAACGCAAATGTTACTTTATTACAACGTAGTGGTGCCAAGCATTAAAGAAAAAAAAATTTTATCATATGTATTATAAGACACATTTAATTGCAACTTTTTTATTTTTTTTATTTTTTTAATCTATTTGTAGTATACATTTTATAATAATAAAATGACACTTGTATATCATAATAATCTAATAAATATATAAATATATTTATTTGATTTGAAAGGAATACATAGAGTGGATAAAAAAAAACATCTTATTATTTACAAATGATTTTATATACATACAAAAGTCCTTTTTTTTTAATTTGATAATGCCAAAACTTCTTCTTCTTGTTTTGAGGCATTATTTAACCAACTTAAATAAGCATTCCATAAAATACCTAGACTACTAACAAAGGGTAAACGATACTGTAGAGGCATCCATTTAAAATTGATAAATTGAACAGCCGGCCATATTTTATAATTAGCAATCAAAGCAGGCGCAAAAGCGTCTCTAAACTTTTCTTGAACACCTTCCCATTTCCCTGTCTCTGCTAAACCCATCACGGTGAAAAATAGAGCTAACCCTGCAGGTGCAAATAATGTTTGATCTGTCACCATACGTTTAATTGCCATGCCATTGACCCTTTTTGCAATTTGCGCTTGAACTGTCTTTGAAACAACTGTTGTCGTTATTGCTGCTGGCATTGGGAAAAATTTATCTAAAAACATATACCATTTCCCACCTAAGGGAGCTACACAAAAGTTATAAGCTGCGAATCGAAAAGTTCGCTTGAAATCCCACTGTGTCGTTGTGGACCATTTATCTTCATGTCTTTTCAATTTTTCAGGTAAATAACGATCATTGTTCTTATCATAAAGGGAGATCGTTTGTGCTAAACTGTCACTAATAGCACCTAAAATCCCGTTTGCTACACATAATGTTAAAATGGGTCGTTTATCATAAGATTTATTATAAAAAGCTTTTAATACTCTTAAATTATTCATTTTATATATATTTATGTGTATATTTAAAAATAAAAATAAAATAAAAATAAAATAAAAAAGAAAGGATCAAAAATAGAAATAAGAAAAAAAGTGGATTTTTTTTTAAAACCCCTACTACTACAACTACTACTACTCTGTTATTTAAGAAGGAAAAGAAGAAAAATAGAATATTTGTATGGGAGGAGGTGAGGTTGATTATTATTATTATTAATAATATGAACCTTTTCTTTCTTTTATTTCATTATGATTTCGTTGTATTTTATTACTATTTGAGATAATTATATTGGATATAGACTTTATCATTGACGTCAATTTTATGCATATACTACTTTATAAGGTTAAATTTAAAATATGAATCTATAATACTTACGTCAATTGATTTATAAATGATGAAGGAACCAGCAATGTACTTAATCGCTAACATCACATTCGGCCCAATGTCAATTTTAATATTAACTTGATTTGTTAGTTTATTTAAATGTTGGAGTATTTTTTGACCGACATCTACGGTTAGCTTCAAGTTAGTGTCATCCATTATTGAAATGAAATGAAATAAATAAATAAAATAAAAAGACAAATTTTAATATTTGACACTTGATATACTGTTGTACAGCAGGGCGTACATATTATGTATTACTTCTGGGAAGAAAAAAAAAAGTCCGTGCAATTATACATTAACAGTCACCTTACTATTTGATTTGCATAGCAACAAAATGAAAAAAGGAACGGAATTGGTTGAGTTTATAAAAAAGAACAATTTTATTTAGATATACAAGTACTAATAATAGTAAATTTAACCTCTTAGCGATGATTCATTTAAGGTCATTATATGCCTTAAAGCACAGACCTGAGAAGCAAGATTAGGACCTTTTTGAAAAAAGGTATAAATAGATACAAGTGATATGACGGTGTCAGTTTTATTATTATTATTATAATTGTTATTATTATTATTATTATTATTATTATTATTATTATAAAGTTAAAATTTAGTATAGCTTGTTACTACTAAGACTGAATTTTTACATCATTATGTACCTGTAGTAGGCGAAGAAAGAGCAGGAACACCGACGACAGATTTAGTATGGAATCTACTGAAACCCTCTAGTGCTTCAAATTCGTCAGGGGTAATATCTATTGTCTTTCTTTTGTCATAATTTGGCTTCTTTATTGAAATTTCTTCTTCTAATTGAATATTCTTTATATCCTGAATAGGTAATCGAAGATCATCAATTGATATTCTTCTTCTGGTAATTTCGGGCTCATCTCGTTGAATAGGCGATACTAGAGTTGATTCAGAAGATGAAGTTGAAGTGGATGATCTACGGCGGATATAGGAATAATCTTCATGATAAGAAGGTAGGTGGCGATAATAATGACAGTAGGGATATGATTCTCTTCTAATTGGCCAGGAATATCGGCTACGAGTAGCAGTGCTATTACAAATAGGATAGGGATGATTCGATAATGATGATGATGATGATGGTTGTGGTGGTGGAAGTTGCATAGGAGGGAATAACATAGAATGCTCAGATGAGATAGAAACTTTTCTTGTAGGAAGTGGTAAAGTTCGACTATGAATAATAGAGGATGTTAACGACGATTCGGACTGTTGATTATTAATTGCTGATGATGTTACTGAATGTTCTTTTTTGACAGAAGAAACTTTAGTACCTTTTACTGTTGCAGAACGAGAATTTCCACCTTTTCTAGATTTGTCATGGGTTTGAGTATGTTGCATCATATTATCGAATCTACTAAACATTCTTTCGCAACCAGGAACAATACATTTATAAGGTTTCTATAATGGAAAAAAAGTTTAATTTTTTTTAAAAAAAAAAATAGACAAACTAAATGTATGTATACCTCTCCTGTATGTTTTCTTTCATGTCTTGCTAAATGCTCGCTTCTTGTGAAAACCATATTACAGTCACCGTAGCCTGTACATTTAAACAGTTTAGGTGTTGATCTAGGTCCGCTTGATTTTCGTCTATTAGGCATTTTTTTTAATGAAATAAACACAAACAAATAATAATAAAAGAAATGAAATGAAATAAGATATAGAAAGAAAAATCTTGGTTTATATATGGATCGGCTATTTTTTTTTTTTTTTTTTTTTTTTTTTTTTTTTTGGTCTATAAACCGTGAGTGAAACAAAAAACCTTAAATGCAAAATAAAACAAACGTGCGACATAATAGTCCAGGGCAATATAAGACATATCAAAAGATATAAGTTGCATTAATATTTTGTCTTACTATCTCGTCAAAAGTTTTATTTGTTGTATTACCGGATGTAACATAAATACATACTATTAAAATAATTCTCTACATGATGCACTATGTGTCTGTGCGAAGATGAGTCTATGACGAAATTAAATTTGAACCCTTGCTATCAAAGTAAACATAACATCCCTTATCTTATTTCTTCTTCGATAATAGGGCCAGTTACAACTCATCCCTGGATAGTGATAAAATGAAAGTTCTTTTTTGATACATACATACATACATACATATTTGTATATACACATATATAATACATATATACATAAATTATAAAGTTTTGTAAAATTCTTCTTTTATTGACATTAACCACTTATATTTTAGCTAAGCATATACTATAGCGCTAAATTATATGACATAGTAATAAAGTTTTGATACTATAAAAGGGGTTTAGAAGGTCTTTATATGATTACTTAAAGATAGCTATATAGTGTATAATAATAATATATACATATAGAATATGTATACGTAAATTTATAGAATGTTGAATAAAAAAAAAAAAACCAGTAACAATCAAAAATTATTGTAATTCAGTTCCCACAGGGCGAGTTTTAGAAAGGAGTGCTAATAAAAAAAAGCAAGGCTATAATAATATGGAGAAACATGATGGAATGATTATAGCATACTATATAATATAAAAGGGATATATAAAAGAAACCCATGAAGTCTATAATTAAATAATTCTCTTTAGTTACCATATGTCTCGAAATATTGTAATTCTAAAACTATTGAAAGATGTACGTATTTTACGAAGTATATCGTTTGTTTCTCATTTTATATATGGCAGCTTAATTTATACCGTATTAATTCATAGTCACTATTATTGTACGTTAATATAAGAACCATACTTGTACCTATATTAGTCTGTAATATTTGATTTAGTTATAATTCTTTCAATTTTATCATAACTACACAAACTATTAAAAACAAAAAGGTCAAAATGAATCAAAAAATACATGAGCTAATGAAAATACAAGTATTTTTTTTTTTTTTTTTTTTTTTTTTTGTATTAAACAATTGAAAATGTTTTATTATATCGTTTTTTTTTTTCATGCGGGCAAAGATGAAACTTCGGAAAACTAATCATCCAATGAAAAACTTTCTTTTTCTCGATATGAGTTCATTATACATCATTATGCTTTTTAATCATAGAGACACCAGTTTTTTTTTATAAATTATCGCTCTCTAACTGGTTATGTTATATGATACTTAATCAGGGTATTATACACTATACAGAGCTGTAGAGTATTATTTGTATTTTTATTTTATATAATAAAAGCAGTCCCAGTTTAGAATTATCAAACATTGTTGTGATTCTCTTTGCTTATACATAAATGATTAGAAATAAAAAACGAAAAAAGTATCATATACACACTGTATTATTTTAACAAGTTATATAATGTTTATATATTTAACTCAATTCTAATTCACATGCTTTCTATATGTCTATGTCAAAAGTTGATATATGCAGAATATAACACAATATGATGTATTGCTTAATTTCTGTAATTTTTACATTTTAAGGAGACCATTTGAATTTATTTCTATCATCCTATTTCTATTTATCAAACAGGATTTTTTTTTGCCTACTTTTGTGACTAAGAGGATACCCAGTTTCTTATTCTTATTTCTTTAAATCAAAGAAGATTTTTCTACTTTTGTTGTATTTTTATTTCACAAATGGCTCTCAATATATATATATATATATACTGAAACAAGATAAAATGTATGAAATATGCCTTATTCGGCTTTTCTATTTGAGCAAATAAAATAATTTCTATATAGGAGGCTTTACGGATCGACCATGCATCTGATGTTTAAAAGGTTTTGGTTTATCTGTCTTTCCTTGCATTACTAAACAGAAAATATAGCATTTATACAACTTATAGTATAAATAATCAGAGATATCACTGGCCTGTTTTTCTTTTTATTTGGCCTCTTTTAAATAGGCTATTGTTTTTGATTTATGATAAAGTTTTATCTTTTTTTTTCTTGAATCCCCTTAACAAGTTATGGTATCATTTTAGAATGTAGAAATCATATTTTTTTTTTTTTTTTTTTTTAGTTTCCAATAAATAGGAGACTTGTATGCTTATTAGTTGAAAGGAGTAAATAATGTGAAAAAGAAACTCGTCATTAAATGTTAGTATAGTTAAAGTCCTGCAAACAGATTTCCTGTAAAATTGTTCTTGGATATTTGCACTATTATAAAGGTTAATTATTAAGTAGCACTCGTATATGAGTATGCTTATAAAACTCAGGGTTATAAACAGTGTAACAAAGATTTCTTATAGTTACATTTTGTAATAATAGACAATATTTTATTTACACTTTATTAATCAATATTGATATACATGATAAAACTAGAGTCAAATCTTTCGCTTGCAATTATTTACATGACATCATATTTAACATCCTTCTTTTTTTTTCTCTCTTCTAAAATTGTATAACTTTTATAATTGCGTGTTGTATTATAATAACAACGAATTTGGAAATCAGGCAGGTGTGTAAGTATTTAAGATAAGAAAAAAAAAAAGAAGGGGTATGCATATCTTTAATGTGAAGTGCATTTTCTTTGACAATCTTTCTACTTCTCCTTTTTGTGATATTATCGAAGAAAAAAAAAGGAATCTTGATAGTATGTATAACATTTGATTGTCTGAGTTAATGCTTATTACACTTATTAGTTCCTTGGTAAAGGAGATTGTTTTATTTAATATAAATACAACGCAGGAATTAATTGTTACTTTATCTCTCTTTTTATCTAATTTATATTTAATAATGCGTGGAACAGTAGTTTTTAGCATAGCAATTATTAGCTCCTTTATCAATTTCACTTATGCTTCAAATGTTGCAGATGGTTTATCAAATATACGTCCTGACACTGCTATCCAAAATATTGATCCAACTATAGGAAAGGTAACTAATGTGCTTGATGCCGCTAGTGATGCTTTACGAAGTACTTCATCTTCTGGTGATCCTGCTCGTAATTTGGCGAGTAAAAAGAAAAAAAGAGCTGTAAACAGAGGAAAGAGAAATCTTGTACCTGGAGTGAATGAAATCACTGAAAATATGGATGTTCCTTTTTCTGGAATTTTTAATAGTGGAAGTGTTTCTCAATCAAGGGGTACTATGCAATCATCAGGTAGTGTTAGACAGACTACTGGAAATACATTCTCTCAAGGAACTCAGCTTGATGGAACAGGTATTGATCAAATTTTAGGCAAACGTGAGCCTCCTTCTACACCTCCTGCCTCTAAGGCAAACAGTGGTGATCTATTAGGTACAAATCAAATCACTTCTAATATCCCCATTGTTGGAAAACTTTTGTCTGATCCTAGTAGTGCACTCTCACAAACTGGTAAAATCCCCCTAGCTAGTGATATTCTTTCTGGAAAAACTGAATCTGTATCTTCAAAACCCTCTACAGGAACACCACAGGTCCCCGTTAAAAGAAGTATCGTCCATAACCGTCGTAATCTCGATGCTATCCTTAGTCCCGTATTAGGAAACAAAATGATTGGTGGTATTCTTCAAGGGAAAAAAAAGACAACACCCGATCAAACTACTAATACGCCTGCTGCACCTGTGAATAGACCTATTAAACAAATCTCTGTAAACCGTGCTGGGAAAAGATCATTTAAGCGTCGTGATACACATTTACCAGAGACTGTTTCTAATATGAGTAAAAACATTTTAACTTACGATACTAATGAAATCAAAAAATCTGTAAAAGAAACAGTCAATCGAACCTAGTTTTTTATATACTCTTAACCCATATACTTATTGTTAATTCTTATAAATATTAATCTTTTTATCAAAATAAAAATAGCTTACAGAAAAAAAAAAAGTTTCTCCACATAATTAAAGTGCAAAAATTTAATTTCCGCCTTTTTTTTTTTTTTTTTTGTTCAAACACGTCATGACGCAGCAGCAAAATTTGAAGCAATAACTACCAAAGAAATTAAAACCAAGCTGATTCGTGGGGTGGAGTAGAAGTAAAATAAACAAAAAGAAAAAAAAAATAGATATAAACCTTGTTTACCTAAACCTCTTTCTCTCTCTAATAAATAATATACTTAAAATTTTCTTTCTCCCTACTCTATATTAAATACATTAAAATGGCTACATCTGCACTTGGTTTGCAATTTGCTAAAAGAGCTTTAAGTAAAATAAAAAAACGAAATTCGAAATTGAGAACATTTTGACTGACCTTGATTCCTTTTTTTTTATTTTTTTTTTTTTTTTTTTTTTTTGCTAAAATATAGCCTTAAGAACTCCTAGTACAATAGCAACATCACAACGATTCATGTCAACCGAAGTTGCTAGAAATATTGATCAAATTAAAGACATTACAGTTACTCCTAATAATAGTGCAGGTTAGACAGATAAGCGGGGACGTTTATATATGAATCGAAATTATTCATAATTGACTTTTTTTTTTGGTTTCCTTTGTATTTTTTGATAGAATATGTTTTATCTACAGTTGATCGTGTTATTAGTTGGGCCCGTGAAGGTTCTATTTGGCCCATGACTTTTGGATTAGCATGTTGCGCAGTTGTAAGTCTGATTAGGAAGAGGTTCTTAACGACAAAATAAAATATTTACTTTATTGTATGGGATGTATTGAATAGGAAATGATGCATTGTTCTACACCACGTTATGATCAAGATCGTATTGGTATTGTTTTCCGTGCAACACCTCGTCAGTCCGATGTGATGATTGTTGCTGGTACTTTAACTAATAAAATGGCTCCTGCTTTAAGAAAAGTGTATGACCAAGTAAGTTATTTTAAAGAAAAATACAAAAGCAATTCCCTAATTATAGTATTAAAAAGATGCCTGAACCTCGTTGGGTTATTTCTATGGGAAGTTGTGCGAATGGTGGTGGCTATTATCATTACTCATATTCAGTTGTTCGTGGTTGTGACCGCATTGTTCCTGTTGACATCTATGTTCCTGGCTGTCCTCCTACTTCTGAGGCCTTACTTTATGGTATTTTCCAATTACAAAAGAAGATGAGAAGAGTAAGTTTTTTTTTTTTATACATATATAAAACAGAAAAAAGGTTTTTTTCTTCTAATTATTTTTTATTTATATAGACTAAGATTACACAGCTTTGGTACAGAAAATAATTTATTACTTTAGATTGATATCTATTTATATACAATAAAAATAACATATAAATGTGTATAATTATAATGATTATTCTTGACTACGATTATTCGTAACTACGATTATTCTCAACTACGATTATTCTTAACTACGATTATTCAGAAAAAAAAAAAAAAAAAAAAAAAAAAGTCAGAAAAAAAAAAACTATAATTAAAAGACGCCTTCTTTTTTTAGTTCAAAGCCTTTCTTTTTATTATTTTTATTATTATTTTTATTATTCTTTTTCCCTTTGATTATATTCCTTATCATGGATACAAGTGCAGCTCCAGAAACTACTACTTCTGTAATGGTACATGATGCTACAACTGCGTCTCCTATAAAGGAAGCAACTACTACCGATAGAACAAATAACATTGAAGTTACTACGACTGTCAGTTCTTTAGTACATGAACCTACACGTACCACAGAGGCAACTTCTAACAAGGAAACCACTTCTGCAGTAATTGGTAGTACGACAGCAGTAGAAGCGACAACAAAAACAACAACAGAAGAAGCTCAGATATCGACTACAACTATTACCGAAGCCACTAAACCAACAACCACTATTATCATTGACACAACTACATCACTAGCTAGTAGTAACGAATTATCGTCAGTAACTTCAACAGCAGACCCGACTACAACTACCGCAGACGTAGCATCCTTTACCTCCTCTGAAACACGAACAACATCAATGTAAGTTTGTTGGCTAGGAAACAATAAAACAAAAATAAGCCTCAATCTTCTTTTTTTTTTTTTGTATTAAAAAAAGAAAAATATTAAATAACATTAATTATCTCCGTTTCTATTTTTATTCATATATTTATATTTTTATTTATTTTATTTTATTTTTTTTTCTACCCCATTGATTTTAGGGACCAAACAACAACGAATACAGCCCCTTTGTCTACAACAATAATGTCTTCAAGCGACGTACATACAACAACTGAAACATCTGTAAGTATTATTACTACAACTGTTTCCGATAATAACCCCGTCACTACTTCTACTATTATGATATCTTCTTCCACTGAAGCCCCTACTACTACTACTACTACTGACATGTCCAGCATAATAACCTCTATTATTACTACTTCTTCACAACAGGTCCCCACAACAACTTTATCCGAATCTATCTCACATACAACAAGTAGTAGTGATACATCATCTCCTTCATCAATCATAAACACATCTATATCCAATACATCAGAAGCTCCTACTACTACTACTACTAGTAATAATCCATCATCAGTTACGGAAACTACCTCATTCATTGTGTCTTCAACTTCCGAAAAACCTACATCCACTGATCACCCTACAACAACACAGTCAATGCAACAAACAATACCGCCACCATCATCTTCTTCATCTTATAAATACCATACAACAAGTATTACTGTTTCAACAGATATTACAACGACAACAGCTATTGTTTCCAATGGTATCACAGTGACCGTAACTACTGTTATTCCAACTACGTAAGTTTGATCATAATAATATATTTATTTTATTTTATTTTATTTATTTTTTACTTCTTTATATAGAACCGTAATACCTTCATTAGTTTTAAATAAGAATCCCGGACTAGCGGAACTAGACTCTAGTACAAACCATACAGGTAGTATAGTTGGTGGTGTAATAGGTGGTGCAGCAGGGCTTGTGTTGATTGCAGCAGGGCTTGTCTTTTGGAGACATCGTCATAAGCGAGATGCCATTAGTCGAAAACAGCAACGTACACAAATGTATGATGATGAGTTTTATGCTGACCCTTATGACTGGCATAATCGAAACGAGGAACAAATTCAACCTATCAATTCACAAAATCATCCCACAAATATTTTAGATGATGAGGAAGAAGATTTTTATCGATCTAGAAAGAACAGCCGAAATTCTTGGTGGTCTAACATATCGAACCCTTTTAGTAGAAAATAGAATATATCTACTATTACTATCACTACTACAACTACTACTACTACTACTACTACCACAAGTACAAGTACAACAACAACAACAACAACCACGACTACTACTAACTACTACTACTAACCGTTTTATACATAATAATGATAATAATAAACGTTTATCATCACAGAATAAGGATATATTATAAAGGCTAGTTTCTTTGATACATTCAATATATACATTATAACAGACAGCATAGACCTATCATATAAGCTATTTATAAAATGAAATAAGAAACATCTGATATTTTATTTCCAGAAATGGAGATTTTTATACTACACAGTTAGAATCTTATTATATACAAAACAATCCTCTTTAATATACTTGTCATTTAAGTATTTAATATGTCCAACTATTAGCCAAGTTAACATTTGTTTAGCATAAATGGGAATTAAAGCTTAACTGTAGTTGTGGAGTCGCGCCAAGAAAAAGTATTCACCTTTTGATTTTTTTTTTGAATCATCATTGTTAATTAAATTAACTCTTACGAGTACTTTGAACTATTTATAAAACATATTCATTCAATTCATATCATCTTCACAAGTATTATGAATATATAAATTACAGTTATGGGATGTATTTGTAACTCAATTCACGACGTTAAAATAAGTTTGATACATGACATGTTTGCTCTGTCGTCGTCGTCGTCGTCGTCGTCATCTATTCGAACTTGTTTGTACAAATAAAATCAAGAGTTTCATGACCATGTTTAAAAGATAAAATGTTGGGCGCTTTATCTATTTGCTATTCGTGATACTTCAAGCCCCTACATTATCAAATCCCTTTTCAATGAGAAGATAGACGAGTTTACAAACTAAAGATGACTTCTGATTTAGGTGCAAACCATAACTTTTATGTATTCTTTATTTGGTTTGATCAGCATACTTTTTTATACATAATACCTAAATGTGAATAAGAATTGCTTTCAAAACTAAATTACTGTGTGTATACATACATTCGGAAAACCATTCTATTTCCTCCTTTGTTGATATATATATATACATATATTTATATATATATTTTTCTTTTTTTTTTACAAAGTTTTTAATAAGTGTCATCCTGACTATAAATCAATACTTTCCAAGTAAAGAAGATTTTGGAATTCAACAAAAAGCTGTTTATTAAGGCAAAGGTTTGTAAATTGTATCTTTACTAATTTTGCATTTTCACACAGAAACGAATGGTTTTATTTATATTATATCTTCATCAACTACACAGATAGTAGTAGTGTTTTTATAAAGGTGTTCGTTGCTTACTGATAACTTAAATATATTGAATAAATTTAATTTGTTGCTTTAACCGTTTTATAGTTGTGATTTATATAGAATGACAAGATGAAGGTTAGACACCCTTTCTTTTTTTTTTTTTTTTTTTTTTTTTTTTTTTACCTGTTTTAATAGGTGTTATTTGAGGTTAATTCCAAGATTGATCAAGAGAAGACAAGTTATATCCTATAAATAATTTAATTTATTCAAAACTTCATCAACTGGTATAATTTTTGGCTTCTTTAAATAGAAACAATAATTCCGTTCCTATCTCTAAATATGAAGCAAATAAACTATTATTCTATCAATTCAATAGCATAGCTTCAAGTCTCAAGTGCCTTCAGTAAGTGATCTATTTATCTTGTAAGCCTTCACCTACCTAGTAGAAAGTACAAGGTACAAGTATATATTTATAAACACAAGAATTTCAATATTGCTTTATATAGACAAACTATCTTTTTTTTTTTCTTCTTTTTAATATGCACTTGTTTTTAAATAACAAAGAAAAACATGTTTGAAAAAATCACCAGTCAAAAAAAAAAAAAAAGAAAAAAAAAAGGCTTAAATTGAAGACATTTAATAGTGCATATTTATCACATTATAATACAAAATAAGGCATTTGTTTACAAGTGAAAACTTTTTGTTTTTATTTTCTTTTTCTTTTTTTTTTTTTTTACCTTGATAAGCCTTTGTTGGATGAAGTGAAGCTATTTCTTCTTTTGTGTTGAATTATTTGCAAAAGAAAGTGTTTTTGGTTACAAGCAAAATTGATAAAGTAAGTGCTAAACCAATTAATATATGAACGCGAATGTATGGAGGAATAAGAATTTATCATGATTAAACAGATATTATTACCGTATATGCAAGCTTTATTCCGTATACACAAAGTATTCTTCTTTACGTAATTTAAATCTATTATTCCAAGAAGAATAAATGAAAGAAGAGATTAACATTACAGAAGTCTGTCATATATAAATAAAGAAGAAAAAAAAAAGTAACCTGTAAAATTCAATCCTATTATTACTGCTGCTGCATGTCTCTTTTGACATGTATGTAATATAAAATGCAAAAAAAAAAAAAAAAAAAAAAAAAAAAAAAAAAAAAAAAAAAAGTTCGTCGGGGTTAAAAATCCACCGTCTTTTAAGTGTTGTAATGCTGCACTCCTCTAATGTGTTTCTTCTTACATCAATTTTTATTTTTATTTTCTTATGTTAAATATAATAAATAATGCTAACAATGACAAGTCTACAACTTCTTCAAAAATAGAAACAGATAATATACGCATGTGTAAAATCTGTCTTGAAAGTGATCCTATTAATTCGTTGATATCTCCTTGTCAATGTAAAGGCTCAATGTAGGTTCTTTTCTTTTCTTTTCTTTTTTTTTTTTTTTTTTTTTTTTTTTTTTTTTGCATAATCAACAAGATGATTAACAATTATTATTATTATTTTTTTTTTTTAGAAAATATGTTCATCCTCATTGCATGGCAAGATGGAGGAAGGCATTGTTAAGAACAGGTCGGGAAAACGATATATACCATTGTCAACTTTGTAAACAACGTTTATGGGTAAAACAGCGTCGACTCTGGGCAGCCATTTTACACTATAAAAGTAAGAATAATAATAATAAGCAGTTGTATTTGTAAACATTTTTAATTTATTTATGGTTGCATTCTATTATAGTATTTCGTATTATGATAACAGCATTACTTTTAGGTTTAATTCTTATTCCGGCAGGTAAAAAAAACGCAAGATTTACATACACACTAATAAATATATACTCATATGAATTATAGGCAGCATAATGAAGACTTTTACGCATTTTTCGGCATTTTTATCTAATTATCCTGGTGGACTTACACAAGCTTGGGCATCTAATTCTTTATTTAGCTTATTGTTTTCAAGTATTCAATCATCTATTTTAGCTTCATTTTCTTCAAAAAATATAAATTATGTAACGACACATAATGTCGATACAACAAATACTTTTCGTGTCTTATATTCTCCTTTCCCAGTTTGCTTTTCTTCTGTAAATTCAAATAATTCGCATTCACTTTTTTCAAATCGATTATTTTATTACTTTTTATTTCCGTTTTCTGATGAACGTCTTTGGCAACTTATATTGTGCCAACTAGAACACTTTCATCTTGGCTTCTTTTTATTAGGCAGTGTGAATAATATATACTTTACTTACAAGATATTAAACGATATGTTTGATATTGTCTTATTAGGTCAAGAACAACAATTAAACGAAGATCGTGCTTTAATAGTAGACGAAATACTTCGACATCATCTTCAACAATTTGATGAAAATAATAATGATCATCATCATCAACAACCACAACCTAATGATATAGTATACAATAACAATAACAACGATAATAGTAACAATAGTCGATTAGACACTATTACTATAAGACTGAGTAAATTACTAAAGGGGTTTTTGTTAACTTATTGTTGCTCTTTGGTTGTCTTATTTTGGATTCATTTTAATATCTTTGCTTTTCATGTCGATTCTAAATATGAATATACATCAAAACAATTCCTAGCTGAATTACCTTTATGGATACTGAGATGGGCTACACTAGGCATTGCTGTAGCTGATTTTGCTACAAGAGGCATTTATCGCTGGTTAAGTCGAATTACTAACTGTGTTGATGAAGAAGTCGTACTATCATTACCTGAAAATATAAAATAATTATAATAGCAATAATAATAGTAATAATAATAATAATAATAAAGCTCATATTTTCTCCTCTTTTTTTTTTATTTAAAAATTTTTAATTTATTTAAGCTTCAACAGGCTCAGGAGCAGCAACAGCAGGAGGAGCAGGTCTGAAGTCTTGAGCAGAAGGTTCAAGGATGGTAACATCTTCCTTAGGTTCGAGGATAGTGACGATATCAGGAAGAGTTTGCTTGGGACCGTTACGACCAGAAGGATCACTGTCCAACATGATCTTAACCTTGATACCCAAAACACCTTGACGCAAGTCAACGTGACGAACGGCGGTGGTAATGAAGTCACGGGCAGGGTTACCAGAGTGGATCATGAAACCATCAGCGAACTTCATAGCCTTGGCACGGGCAGCACGAACCTTACCAGAGACAACAACTTCACAACCCTTGGCACCAGATTCCATAACGAAACGGACGACACCATAACAGGCACTATACCCATTTTATTAGAATTATTCAATTTTGTTTCATTGTATTATATCACTTACCGACGGACAGCCAAACCGTTGAGGAGCTTGAACTTGACAGATTCGCATTGAGCAATGGCACAGAGACCACGGTTTTGAACACGTTCAGCATAGAGTTCAACAGCGTTTTCAGGGAACTTGAAACGCTTTTGAACAAGGGTGGTCAATTCACGAATACGACGACCCTTTTCACCAAGAACGTTTTGGGTGTGAGTGGCACGGATGATGATTCTAAATTAAAAAAAAAAAATGTTAATTTGGATCTAAGATTTAATCGATTTCGATTTCACACACACACACACACTCTCTCTCTCCCACTTTTCCGTCAATTTTAAACCATATTGAAATCAATACTTTACTCAGTACGAGCAGGAGTGACACGGACTTCAACACCAGCGTAGCCATCTTCAGCAAGTTCACGAGTGAAGAACTCGTTCAATTCAGCGTAGAAAACACCATCGGCGACCTATAAATGAATTACAAAAATGTCAATAATCGATTGAATGTATACATTGCTGTTATTTGTTGTTGTTATTATTGTTGTTGTATATAGGTGTGTATTTATAATGAATTCAAAAGATGGAAAATTTGAAATTTTTATACACATTTGAATCATGTCAAAATTGTAAAATTACTTACAAACTATATAAAATAAATAAATTAATTAATATCACTTTAATTCATTCATTCATCCATCCATTCCTTCTCTCTTTTATTCTTTTTCTCCTTGTTATTTATTAATTAATCTATTTTACCTTTCTCTTCTTGGAGATTTGAGCTGCAACAGCGGCCATATTGTATATCGATTAAAAAGGAGGGAAATTTAGCTTTTCCTGTTTACCACTTGCATTTTGCTTCCCTCGTCTCTGACTGTAGACTAGCTCCAAAAAAAAAAAAAAATAATAAAAAAAATATAAGAAAAAAAGTTCAAATTTCCGGACTAAATTAAATCCCCGAAAACAAGTATGATCTTGTCATTAAAATGTAAATAGGGTCTTAACAATTGCATGATAAAGTATGTGATTTAAATGAATATTATACATTTGTATAAAAAGGAGTATATAAACACAATATGCAAAGCGAAAAAAACTTTTTCTAGTAGTTTTAAGTTTAAGTTAAATAAAATAAAAAAAAAGCCTTTAAAATAATACGTATTATAATAAAAAGGAGAATAGTAAGAAAAAGAAAAAAAAACACTGTTATAATTTAGATAGAATAAGTTGATATTCAAATATAAATCTATAATGTGTTTTATCTGTTCTTTCCCTTTTTTTTTCCTTTCATATTTGTATCACAGACCTAACTAAATGTCATTTACAAGTCATATAATGGAGGAATCTCAACAATATAATCGAATGAACGGAGGAATGAAAAGAGAATCTGCCTCTTCTACTTCTTCTTCTTCTACAACAACAACAATTACTACTGCTACTACTGCTCACCTTTTAACTCGTGAATATCAATTAAAAGAAGAAATTGCAAGACTAAAACGAGAAGAGCAAGAGCTTCGAGAAAAGGATCACTGGGTTAAACAGAATATTATAGCTGTTAAAGAAAAAATTGCCGCTGAAAGAAGATCACTTTATTAAAGTAATACGTATTTAAAAATAAAGGATCAAAGCATGCTCATAGTGGATATTCAAATATATATATAATGCTTATAGAATTCTGATCATATATAATGTCTATCATAGTCCTCTTTATATTACTATTTAATAGCCATCTATTTTTATTTTATTTTGTGTTTTTTATCTATTTACATATAGTAAATAATGACATGAAAAAATTTGCATTATTTTAAATTGAACCTAAATAACAGCTTTACAACAGCAACAAAATCTAATCAAGTGAAGGAACATATAAAGTTTAGATTAATAAAAAAAAAAAAAAAAAAAAAAAAAAACAATAGCCTCCTCCTTCCTCCATAAAAAAAAAGGTTTAATTAAATTTTAAAAAAAAAGGTACTCCTTTTACTATAATTCATAAAATATCCTTAATAAGCATAGGTACATGATGTATACTGAAAGGAAACTATTATTAATATACAAGAACAGAGTATAAGAAATATTATCAACTACAGCTTATGATTTGTTCTACTTTTAAGGTATCATTTTCTTTACAAATTGAGTATGATTTCAGGTGATAGTTACTGAAAAAAAAAAATGGAACTTGGCTTAGTTCAAAGCTTACGGTATTCTAATAAATTGCTTTCTCAATGAGAGTGTTAGCCCCCCCCTTGAATATACACTATATATTTATATACATATTTGAAATCTTGTATATATAAATATGTATATACTTGACTACCATTGATATTTGTAAGCTCTATAATGGTAGAGATGTAATACGAGTTTGAATCTTTCTTCTCAGGTAAATTGTACTTATAAAGACTATTTTATATGTTGGGAACTGAACATAAAACAATTAAAAGTAGTAAGTCCCATTAATTCAACTAAATCCAATGTATCATTAATAAAGAAGTATCATACATGCATGCATGCGTGATAGATCTATTATACTTTAATAACATCATCTCAAGATATTGGTCTCAATTTTAAGGACTCACTATGAACAATGTTTATATTACAATCATATCATTCTTTTTATATGTATTTGTAATTTATACGATTTATTTAAATATCTACTTTATTCCCCAATTTGAGGTGCTTTCAATGAAGTTCTGCCAGCACGCATAATCTCATCAACTAATAAAAGATTGCTTGCAATAACAGAACATGAATGAAGCATATGACGATGAACACGATAATTATCCCAAACACCTTCAAGCTTAGGATCCATTGTTTCTCCTGTCTTCAAATCAACACCAACAATATGTCCTTCCATTTGTTCATCTTGTAAGGCAACAATTACATCTTGTGCATCAAAACCTGCATTTTGTGCAAGAACTTTAGGAATAACCATCATGGCATCAGCAAATGCTTGAACACCCATCTTTGCACGTCCTTTAACTTCTTTTTTGAATTTTTGTGTCAAGTGTTGAGCAAGAGCCACTTGGAAAGCACCACCACCAGCAACAACGGCTTGATCTTCAATAGCATTTTTAACAGCACGAAGACCATCTCGAACGGCATCATTTATTTGTGCAAGAGTATGAGGGTTAGGACCCTTAATTAAGATAGTAACACTATAAGGATCTTTCACTTCTTCAACAAAAGTAAATTTATCTTCACCCAAGACTTGTTCATAAACATTACCAGCATAACCAAGTACATCTGGGGTCAAATCATCAACTGAGTTTTGTGCAATACCACCACAGCATAATTGAAGACGTTCCATATTTCTTCTCTTGGCTCTACGAAGGGCCAAGATACCATTCTTGGCCAACATATCAAGTGAAAGAGGATCAATACCCTTTTGATTAATAATAACAAAGCCACGATTAGCATGCTCACCGCTACAGACTTCATTTTTGAATTCAACTAAACGACGAACTTTATCATCTACATGCTTACGTTCACTCTCAACTAATTTATCTCTTTGTTCAGGTGTAGAATAAAAGAATCCTGAATTAATTTCGGATTTCTCATATTCAAGACTGACATTCAAGGTCAATACAAAGGCATCTTTCACTTTCTTGGGCATATCTGGATGACGTGCACCATGATCCAAGACAAGACCACGAATTAATCTTGATTCAGTTTCAGAACGATGTTGCATCTTCATGATTTCTACCATGTGAAGATCAATAGGCTCTCCTTCACGACGAATAGCTAAAACAGCATCAACAACTGCTTCAGTTAAGGTATCAGCTAAGGCACGGTGAACTTTAGTGCGAAGTGATGAACGAGCTACTGAAACAAGTAATTCACGATCAATTTCAGGTTGAACTGTTTTGAATGCCTCCAAAAACTATATAAGAGGAAAAAGGAAAAAAAAAAGACGCTATAAATACTTACTATATAAGAATAAAACTTTAGCTTATATATACCTTAAGGGCCTCCTTCTTTGCTAAATCATAACCTTCTGTAATCACACGAGGATGAAGGCCTTCAGAAATATAACGTTCGGCCTGCTTAAGAAGTTCACCCACTAATAAAACAATTGAAGTAGTACCATCGCCTGTAATTTCATCTTGTGCTGTAGCAGCTTTTGCAATCATGGCAGCTGTAGGATGTTGAATTTGCTAATGAGAAAATACATTATTATTTCATTGTGCTTTTTTTTTTTGAAAAAGAAAATAGTTTTTTTTTTATAATCAAGACTTACCATTTCACTTAATAAAACTTTACCATCCTTTGTAAGTTTAATTGCACCAGCACCATCAACTAACCTAAACAATAATAATTATAATAATAAAAAACGCGCATTGTCAAAATTAACAATAAAGCATGAATACTGAAACAAGAAGCTTACATTTTGATTGTTCCTCTTGGGCCTAAATTAGACTTTAAAACATCTTGTAAACCAATTGCAGCAGTAATATTGAGTTGGAGAGCTTGACCACGTCGAGCTACATCCGAGTTGGGATTGATCATCTTCAGGGCAGCAGCAGACCTACATCATCGTCACATCAATTAAATGAGAATATAAATAATATTAATGAATATAAAAGTGGAATACAAGATGAGCAATAATTACTTACATCTTTCTTTTCTTTTATAATAAAGTAAGAGTGATTTAAAAGTTCTGTCAAAAAAGAAAAAAAAAAAAAAAAAGAAGGGGAATGAAGGACAAAGATCTTTTTTTTTTTTTTTTGTGAAAAAAAAAAAATTCTCGTATTTTATTTTTTTGCCAAAAAATTAGCGGTGATCATATATTTCCACGTTGTAGAAGGGGAGGAGAGGGGAAATATTATAGTCTATAATAAACTTGATTTTATTAAAATAAGCTAATAAGATTCTTCTTTGTTACTTTTCCCATTGCGTTTTTAGGTAATTCAGTAACTATCTTCAATAAACTAGGCACTTTATAAACAGCTACACGCTTCTTCATTGCATTTCTCATTGTTAACAAGTCAAGTTCCTATTATAATGTAATTAGAATTATTTATTTATTTATTTTTTTTAAAAAGGTCATGTCATCAAATACCTTGCCATCCTCCATAACTACAACTGCGGCTACCTTCTGGCCCCATTCAGGATCAGGAATACCTACAACAGCTACATCCTTAATATTTAAATCACAAGATAATAATTCCCTTTCAATCTCGAGTGCAGATACTTTTTCACCTCCAGTCTTTTAATAAAATTATTAGCACATATATAAAATATTATTATCAGCGCATACCTTGATAATATCTATACTATTTCTACCCATAATTTGGAAATATCCTGAATGGCCAACTCGTTTAGCTATATCGCCTGTAATAAACCTTTTATATATTTATATACATACATATTGTATATTATTATTATTAATAGACTGAATAATTTGCAATAAAAATAGTATTAGCTACAAACCATCCATCCGTTGTAAATTCCTTTTTAGTAGCTTCAGGTCGATTCCAATATTCTTTAAAGACAGTATCCCCTTTAATTTGAAGCATACCAGGTACCTCTCTTAACTCTGTTACATCTTTGTTTGTTTCTACTGAAATAATACGTGCTTGTACACCAGGTAAAGGAATACCAACAGTACCTTGAACTCTTTCTGAAATTATATATTCTTGACTTAAAGCCATACCAATTTCTAAATATAAATTAGAAAATATGGCAACAATAAAGATATATATATATATATATATATATATTTTTTACCTGTCATGCCATAACGCTCTAATAACACTTGGCCTCCACTTAATTTTCTCCAATTATTACGTAAAGTGGTAGGTAAAGAAGCAGAACCAGACACCATCAATCTGAACTGTCGACACGCATTCGTCAAGATACGTTGTGTCTCGGGACTTTGTTCTTTATAAAAATGATACAGTTTAGCATAGACAGTGGGGACAGACATGAAAACAGTCAATCGAGGCACCACCACCATCAACCCCCCTGTCGCCATCGGCATCGATCCAGTCTGTTGCTCCTCTTGCTGTTGCGCCCAACGCGTCCAAACCTGCATGGCATCAAATTTTGGATGCATCTCCACTGTTGCGCCACAATAAAGTGGACAAATAAGGGCATTCACGATACCATGGATATGATGTAATGGTAAGATATGATGAATACGGTCGCTGGAGGACCAGTGCCAGGCCTTGACAAGGACGGAGGCTTGAGCGTTGATGATAGCATGAGTTGTGGCTGCACCCTTAGGTTTACCCGTTGTACCACTAGTGTAAATAATTAATGCGCCTGCATTAAAGTTTTGGTTCGAGAATAAAGTGAGAGTGGTATTGTCATCTTCCTGTAGACCGTCTGTTAATTCAATCAAGCTAGCATCATCTTTTAACTTGTATGGTATTTGTGTTGCTTTAGTAAGTTCTTCAAGACGATCGGTAAACAAAGGATGACCCAAGATGAAGGATACTTGGGAATCTTGTAGTGTATACATTTGTTCTGGTGCTGGATGTGTTGTACCTACAGAACATGTGTATACAAATATATACATAGATACAATATATTAATAATAATGATACATACATACATATATATATATATATAACTTACATAAAGGGACTGCAATACCACCTGCTGCCCAAATAGCCAATAATGATATTACATATGGAAAACCACTAAAAGAAGAAGACAAAATAAATACACAATAAGCCTCTAAAAAATAAATGTGTAATATATCTACTTTACCTTGGACATAATATGGCAATTCTTTCTTCATTCAAATTACTAATAACATAACAATAGGTAATTTATAAACACGTTAAAACACTATATATATATATATATATATATATATATATATGTATGTATGTATGTATGTGTATATGTATAAATATATATGTCTATTTATCGGAGTTACCTTTTTCCATTTAAAATCTCTAGTCTTAGTTTAGCTACGGCATGAATAAGATGAAGATAAGTAAAGTTTTGGCACATACGAGCATCATCAATAGCAATATTATTTTTATTGGTTGCATATTCAACCAAATTTTTAAATAATGGGAAATCGGGCAATCCGTATTTTGCCATTTTTTAACTTTTTTCGAGGGAAAATAGGGGAAGTTTAAAAGAGGAAAAAAAAAAAAAAAAAGGTAAATAGAATATTGTAAACCTGTGTTCATTATTATTTTTTGGTGGAATTTAAAAAAAAAAAAAAAAAAAAAAAAAAAAAAAAAAAGTCCAGGGAATAAATTATTTAAATAAATCTATCATATAAATACATGTTTACATGTTTATTTATTTATTTATATATCCATTTAAACATTGAAAAATTGATAATTAATAGGGACTGCTGCAGTAGATAAGCACATTCTACGCTTAAAGTCAATTAAATCATGTATAACGATATAATTCTTCGGTAATTTAGTATGATCACGTTTAGATAAAGCACTAGGACCTTCATGTAATTTAACTATGATTTGTTCAATATCTTGCTTTTTCAATTCGAGTGAAGATAAAAGAGTTTCAAGTTCAGTTACAGCAATAGACGCGATATTACCTCCATGATCTATGATCAAGTTTTTAAGATGATCTTCTGAGAGCAATGTTTTTCTGTCAACTAAACCAAGATGAACCATGATAGAATATAATTGTTCGACAGTACAGTGACTATTCTTTGATACAGATAAAGGGGAACGTTGCGAACGTAAATGAATAGAAAATGTGGTATTAACTGGGGAATTAGGCATGATATATGTATCGTAAAATGCTAATAATGATTCCTTTGTAATCTTTTTTAATTCAGCTACATCTGTTTGCGTATCATTAAACTCATAATAACCCGATTCAATTTCAGCCCAATATTTTACACCTTCTTCAGATATGTTTTTGTGCTTTTCTAATCTCTCAGATATCAATGAATTCACTTGAGATTCATAATCGGATTCACTCATTTCCATGATAATATTCCTTAATGTGATCTCCAAGAATTCTAATGCTCGATGTTCGAGGTAGATTGGGTTGTATTCACTTTGTATGATTAACCTGAAAGCGAGTTGACTTAAATGACGTTGAACGCCACTAAAGACGAGATAACCTAATTGTTCTTGAGTACGCAACTGATTAAAACATGGCTCACGAGCAATCTGAGCAACAAGACTTAAATGATTTCGTAGTGATATATCCTTCACGTTACATACTTGAATATGATAATTGATGGCTGAATTCACTTCATCTGGATCACGCACAGATAGGGAATAAACAAACTTTTTCCCCTGAGGTAACATAATTGAACGTTCACCCATGAGTTGACCAGGTGCTAAAGGTCGAGGTTGCAAGATGGATTGAACAGACTGAAACATCTCAAGAGCTTGAGTACGTTCTAAACTACCATGCACTAGGCCCTCAATATGCAAAGTCGAAATAATTTCAGGTATACTCTGCTGAACATCCTTTAGAGAGATATCCTTGATTTCACCTAAATAGTCATCACAAGTCCATTTCCTTTCACCAAATACATAAGACATGTAGTAAATCGAATGTTGATAGGGTGCCTCTAAATAAAAGTTTTCATAAACTCGGGTTATTTCATCTTTAATAGCTTCGAAGCGGTTAACTAAAATTTGAATATTTTTCATTTTATCTATTACTTTATTAAGCAATACAAGCAATTTATCACTATATCCTCCAAGATGTAACTATTTAAGAAAAGAAAAGAAAAAATAAAATAAAAAAAAATAGAAATTAGTATTATTCGAGATATAAATGTACACTTTTGTCAAACAATCATATTTACTGTAATTCCTTTAGATTCTCGATGAATAAAATAGGATAATCCTGCAATTTCAGCATTATAAGAGTATTCTGATAATGAGTCAGTTAGCAAACTTATATAGAGTCTAAAAGGAAGAGGAAAAAGTAATTATTAAGTATGTATGCATGCATAATATAGTATAGTATAGTATATTTTTTTCTCTTACTCTGAAATCACAGCATTACGAGGAGTAGCATATGGTAATGGATTTTTAAAGAAAATCCAAACATTTGTTTTTGGAACCCAAAATGTGTCATCTTTTTTATACCAAATACGAGTAAGAGATGTATCTCGAATTATTTCAGGTTGATCTTCCTTTTCTTTTACTTCAAATCGATCTACATTTAAGTTTGATGGAATAAATTCATTTCTTTTTGGTAAAAAGAATTCATTGTTCATTGACATATTTGATAATTTCTATTTTACAGTTACTAAATTAATTCTCTTCTAACCTGGAGTTTTTTTTTTTCTATATTTACAAATAATAATTCTTCAGAAATGGGTAACGTTTCATATTCAGTTAAATACCACTTTTCAACTTTAGTAGGCTGTATACCATTAGGAAATTCTTGACAGGTCAAGGTTAATCTGAAATTATCAGTTCGAAGTAATTTTAAATGTTCCTCGATTAACACTGGATCATATTTTCTTAAAAGAGAATGTCCACTCACGACCCATTGTGGTGGTAAGTTTTCTTGCATTTGTTCTGACAAAAAAGAAGTATACTGCGAGGAAGGGCATTTTTCCGAGAATTTGAAATCTATTTCAGCTAGTGATTTAATTTCATCAAAAATCCATTTCTTTACACCTGCTTCCTTGATCATTTTAATATATTGGAATATAGCAACCACAATATCCTCATAATGTACTAATACATGTATGTATGTATGTATATAATATTAAAGATGATTAAACTGCAATTGTGAATTTTTTTTTTTTGGATACTTTACTTAAACCTTGTTCTGTTAATTCAACGCTCGTATGAAATAAACTAAAGCCAATACAATTAATATAAATTCCCGAACTTAAATAAGTTGCCCAATTTTTCTTTTTAAGATAGGATAAGACAGATCCAGGACCTTCATGACCAGTTAAATGTGATATATAATGTAAAGGCTAAGTTTTTTTTTTTAAAAAAAAAAAAAAAAAAAGAAAGGGAGGACAAGAAAAAGAATAAACATAATAAAAGCAAGTTAATATGCTACTAACGTTAGTTATTGTTACTTGTAAAATTAATTTTGAATTTATCATAATATAGAATATATACCTGGCTTTCATAATAAGGCAGTTGTTCTGGAAAAGGAAAATTAATACCTAAAATACGGCACTTCTTAACAGGTTTGATAAATACTTGTTTCAAAAGTTCATTATTTGTCAATGGATGTCCGGGAAAGGAAGGAACACTGATATTCTTATTAACAACGTCAGAGAATTTTTCGACTACCCATTCAGTTAATTGATCAAGAGACTCTAAAATACGAAGAAAGGAAAAGAAAAGAAAAGAGAAAAATTAAAACTATGAATCGAGTTAATATACATGCCTATCATAGTACAAACCTCGACCAAGTACCACCAATTTCATGATATTTGCAGAATAATACCTATTATGAAATTTTAACAATTCTTGTCGAATATCTAAGCCAAGTTGCTTTGGTCTATCCATTAATGTTTCCAGATTGCCGGTCTGGAATTGATGCCATGGATGATCTGGATTACTAAGGCATTTTTCTACTTGTGCCGCACGCCAACAATCCGATTGAAGATTTTTTTATGTTCAGAGTCAACAGCTCTTAATTCTCTTTCTGTGCAACTTTCAGAAAAGAGAGGATCAATGAAAAAGTGAGCAAAACGATCTAAAGCACCTTCTAACCATTGATATCCAACTTCAAAGAAATAATTTGTATTTTCATTTCCAGTAAAAGCATTTGCATCGCCTATTATAAATTTGATAAGTTTCTATGAAGGATCGAAAATAAAAGAGCTTTATTTTTTTTATTTTTTTACCAGAATGTTCAAATAAATAACTATAATAATCATTTTCTTTTGGATATTTCCTTGTACCCATAAATAATAAGTGTTCGCAAAAATGAGCTAAACCTTGCAAATTTTCCTTTTAAAATATATTTGTAAATAACAGGACAAGAAATTATTGTTATTATTATTATTTACAGGATCACTAAAACTTCCAACATGAACGTCAAGAGCAGCACTTGCACGATCAGTGTCAGGATCACTGATTAGTAGTACTTCTAATTTATTTAGTAATCTAATTAAACGGTATTCACGATCATCATTATCTGGTTTTTCTAAAGGTTTTGTATAAAGAAAATAAAATTGTTTATTTTGCCAGTTAATATCATCTTGAACTATTGTTGAAACCATATGTATAAGATAAGAAAAAAAAAAAAGAGGGGAATTTATTAATATGCTTTTTTTATTTTATTTTTTTTTTTTTTTTGTATGGCAACACTAGTTTTCATTTTTTATTTATTTATTTATCTCAGTTCGCTTTCTTCCAAATCTGTAAATTTACGAATGAATTGTTATACAACAGCACACACTCCTCCTTTTTTTTATAGCGTATAGATAAATTAGCAAATTGGTTTCCACCTACTAAAAGGAATCCATGTCAAATGTAGTAATGATATAATATATATTTTTAAAAGAAAGAGAGAAAAAAAAAAACTTCATTTTTCTTGAAACCTGTAAGAATTGGTCTTGATCACTTATAACGCAGTAAATGATGTATGTATCTATTTCTGATATTATAATACAAATATATAATTTTAATTCTGTAGTACAAATATCATTATATCCCTTACGACACACACACACCCTCCCTTTATTTTTTATCAATATATTATTTATCTTCTATTGCTGTATGAATATTTCCCTGGTAGACTCATTATGGGTGTAAAACAATAATAATAATAATTTGCTGTTTTAGACTCATTAAAAGCTAAAACTCTATTAAACATAAACTGTACATAAATGACTTTGACTTTAAATAGGATGTATCAGTATTTTTTTTTTCTATCTCTCTCTCTCTCTCTACTTCTTCAATTCTAGTCAGCATATTTTCTTAAAGTCTGCGTAAGTATAGTTCTACAAAGTAGAATGTACACAATAGTGTTCCTGAATCTTGTTTTTTTTTCTTCTTCTTCTTCATCATCTTATAATGATATAGATTGAGTAAATGTTATGATATAGTTTTACCCCCCCCTCCCCCCCAATTAATTGAGTATTAATACCTTAGTTGCAAGAGTAATTATGAACATTGAAATCCATATTTGATAGATTTGTATAGTATTTCTTTTATATATTTATCCGAAGTATACAAATAAATAAAGGGTCAGACTTTTAAAAATAAATATTCTGTCAAGTATCTTTAGATAACTTACACCTACTTCCATTTGAAGGAATGGGTTATGCTAAAAGAAGATAAAAATTGAATTCACTGTTTTAGTGTTATTATTAAAAAGCCTCTTGAAGAAGCTAATAACTAAGTAATGTCACTGCATTTATAAGAATTGTCACTGTGTAATAACCTGATCAGGTTATTTAGGACTAATATCTTTTGGTCTAACAATAGATTAGCTACCATTTATACCTTCCTCTCACACCAATTGAATGTCCTTATATTATTCATATTGAAAAGATGAAAAAAAAAAATAAAGTTCTTCCTTTTTATTATTATATTACAACAATATGCTTGAATTTATCTATTGTGTAAGAGAGAAGGTGGCTTGCATAAAAAGATTGGAAATTATCCCTTTTACTCGAACGCTTTTATCTTTTATTTTTTCTTTTCTTCTTCTTTTGATTCATCTTCCCAAGCAATGATTTCTCGAAAAGTAAATGAAATACGTCTTTCTCTATGAATAGTAATTTCACCAGAACTGGTTGTTTCTATTAAATCCTTAGAAATTCCATGTTTATATTTGTATCTAGCATCTCCTGTTAAAATAGCTAATGACCTACGTGCTGTACATAACATTATAAATAAATCAAACTAATATATTTATCTATCTATCTATCTATATCTTACGCAAAACAATATCTATGGAAACATGATCATCTGTGTCTGTAAATTTCATGATACAATCAGATAATAGCGATAGAGACAAAATAGCAGGACCAAATAAAGCAGGAGCATCTATTGTATACATATTAGTATAAACACGTCTTCCATATATGTATATATTACCTATATGAGGCATAATTCCTTGACCTGGATTATACTCATTTATTAATAAATGGTTTGGCTTATTTGACATCCATTTGCTTTCAATAATTCGATCAATAAAGAAATCAATAAATTTAGGTAAAGGACCATATTCCTCTATTACTTTCCTATGATATATATATATATATATATATTACATACTTAATTACACACACACATACACATATATATACCTATATCGATAACTAAATAAATGTCCGTATTGTTGTGTTCTTCTCTTTAGTTCTGGATTTGGTCTACAATATGCATATAAATACACTACTGCTGTCAAACATGTATTAAATAAATAATACATTTACCCAATACCCAGTCCACACCATGTTCCTTTATCTGCAGCTAATATCAATTCCTCTTCTTCTTTTTCTGTTACTGCGTCTAAAATTAAATGAAGCCCTGGTATTTTATGACTATAATCAACATGCATTTGGATATTATATTAAACCAAAAAAAAAAAAAAATTAAAAATAAAAAAAAGTCCTTTTTTTTTTGTTATTATTACTATTATTATTATTATTATTATTGCGTACTTTGAATATTACGATTATCCAATTAGACAATAATATTTTAAACGCTTCATTCGTCCAAACCAGTGTAAAATATACAGTATGATAAGCATGGAGAATAGATGGAGGTTCCTTGTTGAGTAAGAGAGTAATAGTATATAAATACTTATATCATGATGTATTAGACTTGTTTATTGAATAAGGAAATATGTTGGCATGTATAAAAACGAAAAATTATGCTGAACATTTACCTTTGTATAGTAAAGGCTGTACGTAGGGATGAAAGGCGTCACAACAAAAAAATGGTTGAAATTTTCTAAAGTTGTTGCCTCTTTTTTTTTTTCATATTTTCACCTGTTTTTATTTTTTTTTTTTTTCTCTTTACAAAGAAATGCCAAAATATTATTGTGGTAGGACTATAAGTAGATTAAAAATAAATAAAACATCATTTATATTCATATTTTCTATTAGAATATTGTGACATTTTCTTGACGCATGATAGCTGTATTTATTCGCCATTTATTAAGATCAACTTTTTTTTTATGTAAATTAAATAGTTAACTTTAATTTTTATTAGCATCTGTAAGAAAGGCACATAATGCAGGAAAGAATCATATTTTAAATGTTAGAAACTATTATGCTGGTAAGATGAATTGAATTTATTTTACGTGTAGTGTTAACCCTTTGTTTAAATTTAGAAATAAGTCATGATAAAGCACAAGCTATTATAGATGAAATCACTAGAGCATATGATGTAGCTGAAGCAGGTAATATATACATATACATGATTGTAGGTTAAAGGTTGACTAAAGAAAAAAAAAACCCTCTTCTTTCCCCCTCCCCCTCTCTCCCACGTGAACTAGTTTTGCCTCCCCAGTATGCAGGCTATCCAGCTTATGGTGGACAGCAATGTAAGTTTTAAATCATGATAATAAAAGAAGCTTAATCAATAACATATGCATGTATCATAGATCCTCCTCCTGCTGGATTCGCTGGCAGACCACCTCCACCTCATATGATGGCAGCTAGACCTGGATTTCCTTTTCCTCCACCTCCACCAGGTCAATTTATGCCACCACATCCTCCACCTGGATTTAGACCACCACCTACAACAGCACCAGCAGCACCACCACCAGGAATACAACCACAAAGACCACTTCCACCTCCTGGTATGAATCCACCTCCTTCATCTTCTTTACCTCCTCCTCCTCCACCTCCTTCTTCCACCTGATATTAAAATTAATGTTGTAAAATAAAAAATACATTGTATATAAATTTTTTATTTTTTAACCATTACATATTTTATTTTATTTTTTTTAAAAAAAAAATACATTTATTAATTTTTGTGTATTTCTTTCGTAAATTGTTTATTAAATATAAAAATGGGCAATATATTCTCGAAAAAAAAGGTAATCAATTAAAAAAAAAAAAAAAAAAAAAAAAAAAAGAGTCTTTTCTTGTTAATTAACAAGATAAATAGCAAGAGTCAAAGGATTTTGAAGAAACGTTATCGAAACTACATACAGACATTCAAAAAGTAGAAGAGCGATTAACCCAATTAAAGCTTAAACAAAGAAAGGCAAGCTTTTTATGGATAATCTATTCACTTATTATTTGGGTCATTTGTGTTCTCTATTTGTTTTATTGTATTGTTCAAACTGAAAGTATTAGTATACGAGATGTACTTTACCCTGCATTACTAGTCCTTCTGTTACCCTTTGGGTAAAAATAATAATAATAATAATAGATACTTTGCCATGATAGTTAACACTACTCTCTATTATGCAGAATTTATCATGTTAGAAAATTATTAGTTTGGTGGTATGAACAGAGACAAACGAAAGAAGAAGCCAAGTTGGCCAAACTTCGTAAAAGACAAAAAGATGAAGTAGAAGATATAAAGAAAAAGACTAATTTTTACAAGACTCAATCTTTATTGGAACAATATGATGAAGAAGTAAAGAGAAAGAAGAAAGAAAATGAATTACAGCAACAAAGAAAGCCTGCCACTATGCCAATGAGACCCAATAGACAGTTAATGACACCACAACCCCATTTACAATCACAGCCAATTAATCGACCCATGATGCAACAACAACAACAACAACAACAGCCTATTTTTCCTCCTCAAGTTCGAAGTGAACCTAAATGGTATGATAAACTGGTAGATGCTTTAGTAGGAGATGCTGGTCCCGAAACAAAATATGCTTTAATTTGTAATCATTGTTTCCACCATAATGGCTTAGTATTTAAAGAAGAGTTTGATACAATCCGTAAGTCTTTTTTTTTTTTTTTGTAAGAAAAGGGGAGGGGAGAGAGATGATTAAGGACAGCAGTTTCTGATTATTATTTCATTTATTTCATTTATGTATAAGAATATATCTGTCCTAATTGTAAACAGTTTAATCCTCCTCGTAAATCAAAACAAGTCGATATCAAAAAGGAAAATGAAACATTAAAGCAAGAAAAAGATAAAATACAAGAAGATAAAGAAAAAGAGGAAGTTTTGGCTAAATTAAAAGAAAAGTATTTAGGTGAAGAAGAGAATGAAGCGACTACGATAGCTTCTAGGGTTAGACAACGTCATCAAACAACAACAACAACTACGTCTAATGACACTGAATAGATTTATCACCAGATAATTTATCATTTCCAAAAATAAAATGACCCAATCCTGCTCCTAAAACAGTAGCCATCATAAGATATCCATTATATGTCATAAATACTAACATAAGCCAAAAACTAATAGCAACTAAAAATGCATAAATACTAGAACGAATCATTTCTCTCTTTCTAGATAATCTACATGTATGTGTGTGTATTAGTCATCAATTATGAAAATCATGCTATTATGATATATATACCTTGTATGTTGCTCATAAGCATGAACAAGGGAATGTTGTTGTTCTACTAAGCCTTCTTCTTCTTCTCCTCCACCCCTTTCATTTATATTATTTCTTTGTAATAGTAATTCTGCTTCTTTCCAACGACTTTCAATTAAGGAAGAATACGCTCGAATCCATTCATAACCTGCAGCAATTAAAAAAATAGCTATACAAGATATAAACATACCAAAAGGACTAGAAATATGCCACCAACGAAATACAACACAAGTGTTTTCTACTTGCCAATTAAACAACATCTAATTTCAATTCATTTTAAAGGAAAAGAAGAAGAAAAAGAAAAAAAAAGAGAGAGAGAGAGAGAGAATACAATGTTATTATTATATATAGTATACATATTACTCTTGATTTACATACATTCATTTTACAAGTAATTGGCATATTATGTCCTGAATGATCTTCCATTGCTATCGTTTGATAAGAAGAGTAGGAGGGGGAGGGGGGAAAAAGAAATTAAAAAAAAAGTGAATAAAGTTGTTCTAATTGGATAATAGTATTATTCTTTGCTGAGAATAGAATACAAATCTGATAATATGACTTATTTTATTAGTAGTTGTACAACATTGACAACAAAAGAAGAATAGATGTATGTATCTATCTATATAAAAGGAGAGTGGGAGGGGAGGGGGGGTGTGAGTGTGAGTGTGTGTATATGTATATATAAATATAAATGTATATATGTTGTTGTAGGAATGATATATAGATATATTATTTCTTTCTTTCTTTTTTATTTATTTGTTTTCTTTTCTTTTCTTTCTCTTTCTTTTCTTTTTATCTTTTCTCTTTGTCTTTATTATTACTATGCCAACTAAAAAAAAGAATTATTTGAGAATTGTACCTCATATTGATACAGATTCACGACCTTTTATATTTGATATTATTGAAAAAGAAATTAATGAAACTAGTCTACTAAAATTGGGTCGATTTACAGATAGAAATAACTTGTTTACAAATCGAATTGCTTTTAAAAGTAAAGTAGTCAGTCGTGGACATGCTGAAATATGGATAAAAGATAATCAAGTAAAGGAATAAAATAAGAAATGATGATGACGATGACGATGATTAACTTTTTTTTTTTTTTATTTTAAATAGCTTTATATTAAAGATATTGGCTCTTCTTCTGGTACCTTTATTAATAGGATTAGATTAAGTCCAGCTAATCAAATATCAGAAGCGTATTTATTAAATAATGGAGATATTGTACAATTAGGAATGGATTATCAAGGTGGAATAGAAGAAATGTTCCGATGCATAAAGATGAAAATAGAATTAAACAATGAAGCATTAATAGAGAGTCCATCAAGATATGGACTTGATAACTTTAGAAATAATATAGTAGCTTCATGCGGTATTGCTGATAATACAAGTATTAAGGCAGAAAATATCGATGAATGTTGTATTTGTTTATATGCAATTGCACCCTTTCAAGCTTTATTTGTAGCCCCTTGTTCTCATTCTTTTCATTTTAAATGTTGTTATCCTCTATTACAAAATTATTATCCAGGCTTTAATTGTCCTTTATGTAGATCCTATGCTGATCTCAATGCCAGTGTGTCTATTGATACAGAAGAAGTAGGTTATATAAAAATCATCTTTATTTTTCTCTATTCATTTATTTGCATTACATATTTCATAGGTTGTTCACATGTTAAAGCAGCAACAAGGAACAAATCAAAATTAACCAGAAGAGAACACTATTAAAAATGAGTGTACATACTTTATTGAATAATCAACATCAACAACAACACAATGTAAATTACAACATTATCTACACCAGGATGCACTACTACTACTACTACTATTCTGACCCACCTTTCCTCTTCCCCTCCCTTTCCTCCTTTTTCTTTTTCTTTTTTTTTTTTTTCCTTTATAGATATACGTAATAAAATATCCATCACATCCTGTCATTCTTAATACTTTTTTCTCCATATAGCAATAAAAATAGTTTAAGTTGTCAAAATAAACGTTATATTATATCGATAATAAAAAAAATGAAAAAAAAAGAATATAAATTCCCTCTTTCTTTCTTTTTTTTTTTAAGAAAAAAAAACTATTTTACTCCTGAGATCTGAGACGAGCACCAGCATTGATAACCTTAACGTTCAATTGGGCAGCACGTTCAAGAATAGCAATACGTTTCTTGGAAGAAACGTTGTGAGCAATTTCAGCAGCATAAGTACGGTTGTGCATCAACAAGAGGTTGAGTTCACGAACATTGGAGACAGTGAACTTACGGAAACCATTGGGCAAGAGGTGACGAGTCTTCTTGGCAGAACCATAACCAATCTTGGGCATAGGGGCTTGACCCTTGAAGCGTCTACGAATAGCACTATCAATACCCTTAGGCTTTCTCCAAGATTCCTACATGTGTGTATGTATGTATATGTATGTGTATGTTTGGATAATATAGTATGATTAACATTTCGTTTTTTTTTTTTTTTTGCTTGTATGAATAAAGTAATGACTTACACCAACACGCTTGAAACGGTTAGATTGGTTGCGCTTGAAGTGAGCAGTACGCTTCTTGACAATGTTATGCTTGACAACAGGAGTAACCATTGTTTACTTTATTAGGTTTTTTTTTGTAAAGAAAAAAAAGAAATTAGATATACAATTAATTCAACTGTTCACATTAATATAATAAATTCAATTCTCCTCTAAATCTCAAATGTCCTTCCAAAAATGTCTCTTTTTTTCTTGAAATCAATTCCAAATTCAAAATAAAAATTAAAAAAAGAAAAAAAAAGGCTGAATTGATCTATGCTTCTGGTTGTATAATAGAGGAATAGATGGAGAACTAGAATTTTGTTAGATGGATGTAGATTGTTTACTTACTCTCAGAACAAATGGATGGATGCAAAGAGAAGGGGAAAATTGAGAGTTGGAAGTTTTGCACTACAGTTTCTTTGTTTCGTCCCGATCATTCAATAGTAGATGTAAGCGTAGTGTCGGAGATTAAATATATCATATACAAATGTTTATATTATTTTATTATTAATTTTATTTTATTATAATAAATTCTTTCTTTTAAACAACTAAGCATTTTATTTTAATAGCTCGTTGTTTATTGTATGAAGTTAGACAACAATAAACACACTATAGCTTTAATAATATCAATTATAAGAATAGCGTGAATTTATTAAATCATGTAATTTACTTACTACAAGATGTAATATTTACCTTTTCATTGATAACATAATGTATTGCTTGAAATATAAAGGTTTGCCAATAAACTACATGTCTTTAGGTAGTAAGAATAATTAAAGTGATATTTTTTTTGTCAGGCTTTATGACGGTATTTATTTATTTTAAGAAAAAAAAAGAAACTTTATTTTCAATGCGATAGTCAATCATAGAGCCAGTAAACAGACAAAAAAGTAGATCAAGACATGATTTATTAGTAAAAGAAGGGAAAAAAAAAGATCAATAAAGACAAAAAGATATAATAGGAGAACCCTTCAACAGGGTTTTACTTTAATAAACCCATTTGATTTGCTTGCTAGTATAAACAAAGGTAAAATTAATATATCCTAAATTATGCATAAAAGTACTGGAGTCAAGGTTAGCATAAGAGATTGGATCAGCTGAGTAATAATAATAACAATAATAGAGAAGAATATACATGTGTTATGTACCTGGGGGGGTTTATTTTTACCAATCAAATTCAATGATTCCTTATGAATCCGGAAACAACAACAAATAAAGTTAATATGATACTATTATATCGGATATAGTATAGAATTAAGAATAACTTTTTTGTTCTGTATATTATATAATAATCTATCGTTGTTATACTGCAATGTAATGAATGTATGTAAGTTGGCCTTAGCACGTGTATATGTAAGTTAAGGTACAATTAAAAAAAAAAAAAAAAAAAAAGAGAGAGAGAGAGAGAAATGCCAACATTCTTGGATATGAATGACTGCTTACCTTTTTATTATTTCTCCTATTTTTTAAGGAACAAAACTTTATTTTAGTCCAAGTTATTATATAGTGGCGTCTATTGATTGAATAAGCTTAACATAGTGTTGTACATTGCATAATCTATATAAAATAATATAATAGAAAGGAGTAACAAATAAATATAAATAATCCATTTTTTTTTTAATTCTTTCCTTCTCCTTTTTTTTTTCTATTCTATTTTCTCTTTTCATATGGAAACTATTCCTATCAAGTTTACTTCTTCTGAAAGTATTCCAAAACGTATTAGATCAGTATCAGCTCGTATATTTTCATTAAATCATCACTCTGAACAACAAAAACGCTTTTCATGTCAATCTTCTGACAATCATAGTTTATCCATTAATCCTCATAAATGGTTTCCAAAACGAAGATGTCGTTCTTCTTCTTCTTCTTCTTCTACTACTACTACTTTTTCTCTTATTTTCTCATCCAATACAGTAATGGATAATTACTTGTCTCCAAATACAACTCTATTTTGTCCATCTATCATTTCATTAGAACATGCTTCAGCTGAATTAGAAAAATTATACAAGAATGCTAAAGAAGAGGTATACATATATATGAATAGAAATAAGCTATATTCGTATTGACATTCATTTATTGTATAAAAAGATTGACTACGCTATTGAATCTCAAGGATCCATTTATTATGAGGGAGACAGAACGACTGCGTTTACTGCGGTAGAAATATGCGAACAGAAATATAAAACAGTGATGCAAGTCTTTGGTGAATCTACTCATGGTATTAAATTTAAGTTTTGTTGGGAACTTGATCTACATCAATTACGACTTCAATTAAGTCTTTTACCTGAAGTAACACATTCTATATATCAATAAATGATGGTCTATCTTCTCATTCACTTGCATATATTTATATATATATTTATATATAATATCTCCAATCCTTGCATTTCCTTTCTTTTCTTTTTTTTTTCTTTTTGTATAAATGACATACCCATCCATTGTTACTCTTTCTTTTTTTTTTATAAATATACTTCTTTTTACTCGTTATATGCAAATATATAGTTTTAAAATAAAAATAAAGTGTAAGCTTTTGATAATACAATTTCAATTATTGTTTGTAAGTAAGCAAGCAAGCAAGCAGTTAGGCAAACAAGTCTTTTTTTTTTTCCTGAATTAGCTTTTTAGATTTTTTTTTATGTTACCCAAGTGTCAAATACAAAAATATACATGTATAAATACACATATATGAATTAATAAGCAAATTATACAACTTTCAGATCTTTATACATATCAAACAATATACATATATAATTTTATTTATTTACTGCTGTGTAAAAGTTCTTTATTATTCCAAAAAAAAAAGTAAGCTACAAGTTATGCTAAAGCGAATGTATTAATAGTTCTCTTAACACGTTATTCGTTTTAACATGACGCTTTGTATGACCATTATGACTGAAAAGATAAGATATTTTATGATAAAATCTCAATAGTAGTATAAATTGCCAAGTATTATAATTTTGGAAAGGATATCAAACTACTAAAACACTCTTCAACTATTAAATCCTATTTATATTAACCCGGGATTATCTATGGCTCTTATAGAGTATAGCCCTTGTATTTAGATGATTGCTTGTGAATGAGTTGACTTACTGTCCTAAGCATCGCTTCCTGTACATAACAATTGATAAAGTCATATTTGATTTACTATCTCCCAACATAGGTCGTTCACTGTCCATGCTAATAAAGGAGGGGGGGAAATTAAAGATCTATAGTTATTTTTTTTTCTAAAGCCCTTTTATACCCGTAAAATATATTAAAATCTTTTGTTATTTTAATGTGATATCTCCTTTGTTAAGCATTTATACAGTTATTTAAAGATTCGATTTGAATTATGAGCCCCCTTTTTTTTTTTTTTTTTGTACTTTTCTCATTCGCCTCTCTGTACCGACTCGGACAATTTTAATGTATTTTTATAATACCTTCTGCTACTACCCGATAGATTTTTTTTTTATATAAAACATTTACGTCATCTTTGTGACTATGCAGTAGCTGAGCTATATTTTATAGAGACGCGCAAGTTTTCGAGAAAGGCCTTTTAGAACAGCTTGCATTTTTTTTTTTTTTAATAATATACTATCCGACAAACTTCAATAAAAAAAAATGAAAAAAGAAGGAGTAAAGTCATACTATCAAGCAAAGATTGAGGAATGTGAATTAGTTATAAATGAAAAGACTCAAGACTTGAGACGTTTAGAAGCACAAAGAAATGCTTTAAACGCTAAAGGTAACAAAAAAAATAATACATGTACCTATCCTAGTTCATTAAGCTAAAGCTCTTAGTCTATAGTACGTCTTTTAAAAGAAGAACTTCAATTATTACAAGAACCTGGTTCTTATGTAGGCGAAGTTGTCAAAGTCATGGGCAAAAAGAAAGTCTTGGTCAAGGTTTGATTTCAAACATGTATGAATATTATATTTATTCTTTCATTTCTCATTCCCTTTTTTTTTTTGAATAGGTTCATCCTGAAGGCAAATTTGTTGTTGATCTCGCTTCTGATATTGACATTGCACAATTAACACCTACAACACGTGTTGCACTTCGTAATGATTCTTATCAACTTCATAAAGTTTTACCCAACAAAATTGATCCTCTCGTCTCTCTTATGATGGTTGAAAAGGTACCCGATTCCACGTATGAAATGGTAGGTGGTCTTGATCAACAAATTAAAGAAATTAAAGAAGTGATCGAGTTACCTGTGAAGCATCCCGAACTGTTTGAATCACTTGGTATTGCACAACCTAAAGGTGTCTTGTTATATGGTCCTCCTGGAACGGGTAAGACACTTTTGGCTAGAGCTGTTGCTCATCACACAGATTGTCGTTTCATTCGTGTCTCTGGTTCTGAATTAGTACAAAAATATATTGGTGAAGGTAGTAGAATGGTTCGTGAATTGTTTGTGATGGCCAGGTAAAAAAAAATAAAATAAAATAACGATTAGGGTACATGTGTATAACAGTTAACAAAAAATAAATAAATAAAACAATAGAGAACATGCTCCTTCAATTATTTTTATGGATGAAATCGATTCTATTGGTTCAGCTAGAATGGAAAGTGGAGGAGGAGGAGATTCTGAAGTACAAAGAACGATGCTTGAATTACTAAATCAATTAGATGGCTTTGAAGCAACAAAGAATATTAAGGTGATTATGGCTACAAATCGTATAGATATCTTAGATCCTGCATTATTACGTCCAGGTCGTATTGACCGTAAGATCGAATTCCCTCCACCAAGTGAAGAAGCACGTGCTGATATTTTAAAGATTCATTCTCGCAAGATGAATTTAACTCGTGGTATCAATCTTCGTAAAATTGCTGAAAAGATGAGTGGTAGTAGTGGTGCTGAAGTAAAGGCTGTTTGTACAGAAGCTGGTATGTTTGCTTTACGTGAACGTCGTGTTCACGTTACTCAAGAAGACTTTGAAATGTCAGTTGCTAAAGTGATGAAGAAAGACTCTGATGCTAATACAAGTTTGAAGAAGCTCTGGAAGTAGACTTTTCTCTATCTCTAATTTTATACAAATAAACACTATCTCTCTCTCTCTTTCTCTCTCTTTTATATATACATATTTCTTCATTCTTATTAAGTACACATAGAAGAAGGAATATTTACTTATTTTTATTTTCTCGTTGTAATTTTCTCTCTAATTCAGCTAATTCAGCTTCTAAAGTATGTAGTCTGGTATCTAATAATTCATTATATTCTTGTTCAGAAAGTCGATGTATAGGAAACCAGCTAGGCATATGAATATGATTTAAAAAGCTATATGCTTCCTCTTTTATCTCTTCTTTACTAGTCCGTAAACGATCATTGAATCCAGCCCCCTTTAGAATAGATTCCTGACGCCAATGATTACCTGCTGTATAGATGACTTGAAGAACAGAACAAATAGCGCCAAACATAACTGCACCTGACACAACTGTCTTTGGTCCACGATAAGCAGCCGAAAGTAAACCGCCCGTAGTTGCACCTGCCATTGTACTACTAAATAATGCATCAAAATCTTTTGTTTCAGAATCCTTTAAACCAAACTGTGCATTTTTTTTCTTTGATATGTGATAAACGTCTCTCTAACCACTTGAAGCCAAAAAAAAAAAAAAAAAAAAAAAATGTTAATCAGTATGAAACTATGTTTATATGTTTATAACTATTTAATTCTTACAAAAGAAAGTTGCACCAAATATGCCACAATTTAAACCTGTTGACAATGTCCATTGCTTTACAGGCGCATTCTTCAAGACAGCTGCAGTTGCACCTGTTGTAGCTCCTGCTAAAGCTAAAATAATAATAAATAAGTCTACAAGATATTATATTTTTTGTTTTGTTTTGTTTTTACCAGCAATGCTTGAACCAACAATGACACTTTGGATAGTTTCTTTACTTCTGCTCATTTTAACAGGGGGGAAACGAATGGAGAAGGTTTTTATTTTATTTATTTATTTATTTTATTTTATTTTATTTTATTTTTTTTTTTTTTATTTTATTTTATTTTTTTTTTTTTTTTTTTTTTTTTACATGATAATGAAGAGCCGAGATATAGCAGTAGTGCAGTATATATTTATATGAAATTAATTATTTATAAATCATTATCGGGCCGGATTATTATTATTCAGTGACAAGTTTTTTTTTTTATGTGGAGAATTGCACCCTGTTCTGTTTCCCAGGCTTACCCCTTGGAAGAGCTTCTTTTTTTATATACATTATAACCCAAATGTCAACCTATCGTCAATTTTCATCTAAACTATTATCAAAAGTAAGCAAAGTTAAATTAACAGAAGCGGATATAAAGCCTCAACTCGTGTTTAATGCTGAAAAAGGACGATCCTTCTGGAGACCACCTCAGGTATCGAGACGCCTTCAAAATGATTTACGTAAAGCATGTGTACAGACAAACATAAAGCCTGAATCGATTGGATTACCACCCATTAGCGTCAAAAAACCACTTCGTTATAAGCCAAATAAACTTGAAAAACACGAACGTATGCGTGCTGAACGACAAGCTATGATTCAACGTAATCTAGAGAAAATGCCACAAATCATTCAAGCATGGGAGGAAGTAAGTTGATAGATACATACATATAAAACAACGTCATGTACTGCAAAGACTGTTTATTAAATCTATTTCTTGTTATAGGATAAATTAAAGGAATTGGCAAAACAAAAGACTTCAATGCCATTCTAAGGGCACACATTATTTGTATATAATATTTTACAACAGCAAATACACACACGCACACGCACGTATATATGTATATATATATACATATTCATATATTTATATGTATTTATATTTATTTCTATATTCATATATATATATAAAGGACATTTTACTTCCTCTCCCTCTTTTTTTTTTTTTCTTTACAAAATATACGCTAAGGAAATAAATTGCAGAAATATAGAATTTATATTATTATGTGTTAATACCCACCATCGACAATAGCCCTTTTATTTATTTTGGACTGCTGCAATTAAATTTTGTTGTGATAGATTTTCTTATCATGCATTATTATCTTTTTCTTCTTCTTCTTTATAAATACATAAAAACTATATAATGAAGATTCCTATTATTGACTTTGCTGATTACAATACAAATTCTAAGGAAATTGTACAGAAAGTATTTGATGCATGTAAATCTATTGGATTCTTTTATATCATAAATCATGGTTTCTCTCAGAATGATATTGATAAAGCATTTGAACTGGTATGTATATGCATATATATATAAATGATGCTTTATAATACACTGGTATTATTTTAAACGAATCAACAACTTGATAGAGTAAGCAATTCTTTGATTTGCCCAAGGAAGAAAAAGAGAAATACTCAATAAACCAAGAGAACCATGGTTATTTTAAACTCTATAGTGAAACGTATATAAATATATCGATATTCATATATCTATAAAGACCATGTTCTAATTTAATTAACGTGTATAAACTATTAGTTTAGATCCTCAACATCAAAAACAAGGCGATCATAAAGAGTATGTATCTTTATATACATCATTCTTTCTAATAATAATAATAATGATTCATTTCTTATAAAAAAAAAATAGAGGGTTTAATTTTGTTGGAGATTTTACTAGTATAAAGTTAATGGAATCTTTGCCACAAGTATTTGAAAATCATATCGAGTTTTTGGAACAATTCTCTAGAGTAAATGAAAACAAAAAAAAAAAAGTTCTTCTATAATTATGTTATATATTAAAATTCTACTGCTAGAATTGCCATCAATTGGCTCTTCAAATATTGGAAATATTCGCTATCGCATTAGAAATTCCAATAGAAGAAGGCGGCACATATTTCTTTTCAAATAAACACACCTATCATCATTGCCCACATACTCTTCGTTTTCTCAAATATCCTTCTAGTCGTCATAAAGACGAAGAGCCTGTTGTCTATGCAGGTGCTCACTCTGACTATGGATCTATCACACTCTTGTTTCAAAAGGATGTACCTGGTTTAGAGGTATGGGGGGAAGAGGATCAAGAATGGGTTAAAGCGCCTATCATAAAGGAGGCTATTATGATCAATGTAGGAGATCAAATGGAACTTTGGACAAATGGATTATTCAAATCTAGTCAACATCGTGTCGTATTCTTACCTGAACACCATCACGTCGATCGTTATTCAATACCTTATTTTGTTCATTCACATGATAATGTCGTCTTATCCCCTTTACCTTCACCATGTGTCGATCAAACCACCCAAGATCCTATCACAGCAGGTGAACTTTTACGTAATCGATTAGACGGTACTTATGAACATCGTAATAGGGTTGCAAAAGACCATTCAAAATATGAAACATGAATAAACAAATAAAAAGAAAAAAATAATATTTCGTGCTACTACTTGTTCATTTTTAACAAAAGTTATATTGAGCATGCATGCATGCATATACATTTATGTTTCCTTAGAATGGAGAAAGAACAAGTAGGAATGAATATTAGAAACAAAACGGAATGAAATCCTCCATGTCTCTGTAGTATGTCTAATAATAATAATAATATGGTGTTGTAAACTTTCACACACAAAAAAAAAGGAGCACTTATTATGTATTCAGTATTAAATCAGTAATCAATCTGAGACATACGCACTATTGTAACGTATAATAAAATGTCTTACTAAATAGAAAGTGGCTGGGTATATATTTTTGCCATTTTTTTTTGGTAATTTCCACCAATCATAGTGATTCAATGATCTTTTTTCTTTTGTTTATTATATAAAGTAAGTAGCAGTTATTGATGATAACGTGTTTAATTAAAAGCATCATTATGTACAAAGTATGACTTTCTTTTCTTCTTTATTATAAAAGAAAATAGTATAGAATTCATTGTTTGTTGTCCAGATAGTCTTACTATTGCCCCTTATTTTATTATTATTATGATTAAAGCCCTTTTGCGCAGTTTGAAATCAAAATAGACAGAAAAAAAAAAAAAAAAAAAAAGATTGAGAAGAATAAGCCTCGTTTCTGACTATTATTATTATTTGCACCATTCTATTTTAGCTACTTGTTGTAGTATAAAAGAGAATAACTATCAGCCATCAATGTATTAGCTTTTATATTATTTATTAGAGTTACATAATCGACATCAGTCTTTTTTATTTTCATTATTATTATTTTCATTAACACAATCATTTTTTATGACAAAAAATCAAAGTTTCGTATTAGTACTCTACTTTTACTGTATAACGAGAATCTCCTCTTTCTTTCCGTAAAAGAAAAAAAAAAAAAGAAAAAGGAAAAAACAGAACAATCCTTTTCGGTTAAAAAATCTATTATTTTCATTTCGTAAGCAAAAATCCTTATTTTTTTCCTCTCTAAGAAATAGACTTTATACATACGGGAATTCCATACATTCATACATACATAATTTTTTTTTTCTTTGTCCACACTATTTTTTGATCTGGGTTTAACAAATATGTATATTTGTATATTTAAGCTACCTTTTTGTGTGTGTGTGTGTGTATGTGTTTATCAAAAAATGTTGACGTTGTACACCAATGAAAAAAAGAAACCGTGTATAAATCTATAAAGTATTATTACTCTGCTACTATTTATAATAAACGAAGAAGATCAAGATTACTTTTCCGAATCTTAATTTTTCTTTTCTTTTTTTAAAAAAAAAACCAGCTTTGATTCATAGAGTAATAATCCCATTTCCTTTTCTTCTTTTTGTTTTTATTTTAGTTTCATTCTATATTATTACTATTTATTATATTACTATACATGGCTACTACTGTTATGAATATCGTCAAGTTAAAATAAAAAAGTATTATGGCGTGAGGGGCGAATCCGGATTTCCTTATGAGGAAAAGAAAGAATTACAATGACAAAAAATATATATTATTCGGTTCATCGTTTTAACCGGTTAATTACAATTCATTCGAGTAAATCGAACAAACATTGGTTAGCTGGATAAAAAAAAAAAAAGAACTGAAAATCCCAGTTTATGCAAAAAAAGAAAGAAAGAAAAAAAAAACGGATGTTTATTTACGCTGATATTGTAACATGTATATATATGTAAAAAAAAAAAAAAAAAAAAAAAATCAAATTATTATTTATTTTTCATTTTATATTTTATTCTATTTTATTAACAAATTCATGAAGGCAAAAATTAATTTATATAGTTATCGTCAAAGCAGTAATAGAAGGATTGACACATATCAAATTGCAACCACATCACCTTATGATACAAACTTAAAAAAAGCTAATAAAAAGGAATTATTGCCAATCATAGATGATCGAGAAAATAGATTAAAAGCAGCAGCCTATAGTGTTAACCATAGTCAAGCTTGTTTATTACTTCAAGCGATTCAAATGAATGGAAGACGTAGATTAAGTTCCGAATGTATTTGTAAGTATACCCTATATGCAACTCTTTTTAATATAAATCATGATGGATAATTAACCTTTCCCTTTCCCTTTATATATACACATTTATATACATTTATTTATAGTACAACTTGCTTTATTTGTTGTGAAAGCATGGGAAGCAAAGGCTGACAAAGAAGCAATTGACGGATTAGTTAAATTGATTAATAATCTTTTAAATTCTACTTTATTATGTCCTGATATGCCATTTGATGAAGCACTACGACAATTTTGTCGAAATAATATACCAACTCAATCTGTCTCACCTAGTATCACTTTATTAATTGCAATTGGATATATTGAAAGATTAAAACAAAGATATCATCATATCAAAGGTACAGCAGGATGTGGACAGAGACTTGTGTTAGTTGCTTATATGATGGCTGCTAAATACATGCATGTTAATCTTCGATCTATTATCGACACTACTACTACTTCTACTCCTACTACTTCTACTACTACTTTAATATCAGCAGAAAGATCAACTATCAAAGATACCCTTACAACACAATTACCTCCCATCATACCACCTACTACAAATCACTTACCTCCTTCACCACCTACATCACCAAAATCATTCTCTCAATCTGATCCATTTAAATATCATTATTTCCAGTCTTCAAATCAAAAAGAATCAAAAACTACACAAGAAAGACAATTTCAAATATTACGTATGGAACTCGAATTTTTACATTTTTTAAATTATGATCTTTCATTAACAGATACCTTAAAGCTGATCCACTGGGCACAAAAATTTGATGACGATGATATTTTACCCACACCAATAACTACTACCACTACTACTAATTAATAAATTATCATGTTAATTCTATTATTATTTCCTTTTTACTGAGATTTAATAAATCATATACTTAAAAAAAAAAAAAAAAAAAAAAAAAAAAAAAAAAAAAAAAAAAAAAAAAAAAAGTAAAATCAAAAAAAAAGACTAGTGTGACTAAACTACTCATAATATTAGTGGTAACACTTGTTGATTTTTTTTTTTCAATCAAGAATTACATGTAGTAGTATTACATTTATTTATAAACATAATGACATCTTCTATAATAGTTACTTTTTTTCTTTTTTTTTTTTCGGTTATAAATCCCGATTTTTTTTTATATGGAATAGGTCGGATAATGGTTTATACTCGTTGAAGGAGAAGAAGAACTTGAAGATTATATACAGTCGTTCCAACGCCAAAGGACGGGGGGGTTTTTATTATTTATTTCTTCTAAAAAGCAGTTTTTACGCTTGGTGAAGTAACATTTTATAATGGCTCACCACATAAGCACTTTGTAAAGCAATTTAGCAGAGTGCTGAGCAAGTGCTTGCTGATCTTTAGGAGGAACAAAGTTACAAGCTTCAGTAATTCGAGTAGCCAAATCCTCAGTAGCTTCAAATGAGCTACACTTAATCTTATTTTTGACAATTACTCAAAATTCTCCTATTTGGAGAGGAGGAGGTTAAGCTCAGGGAGAATAAGGAGGGAGGGAGGGAGGGAGAGAGAGAGGGAGGTAGACACTTTTGTACCGCTCTCCTTTGCAACTACCATCCTCGTCAATTTGATTGGATGTATGGATAGGTGCATTATTTATTACGATGTAGTAGCCCTTTAACTTCAGGAAAACAATCCATTTCATTCATGGGAGTTTTTTTTTTTTTTTTTTTTTTCAATAGCATCGAGTAGTTCAATGGCTTTAGTCTTGTCATAATCTTTATGGTAGAACATGCATATTGCACGCTCTCTGCTAATAGTAGTCATTGTTGTTAATGATACCAAGATAACCTGTGATGTTTTAAAGAAAAAAATGGACTGTTTTATGTGCAAAAGATAAGGAAAGAGAAAACAGAAAAGACAAGTCTGTAAAAACTTTGTATAGTTTACTGAAAGAAAAATAATACAAAATTTGTACCTAGAAAAATAATATGGAAAAATGATGAGGGCTATTTATATGCCTTTTTTTTTTTTTTTTTTTTTTTTTTTTTTTTTTTTGCAAGGTAAGTGATATTAATAGAAGTATGATTTGGATAAGTGAATACTGTTATAATAAAGCATTATGTGTAAATGCTGTCAGTGTACATATTGTCTCCGAACAATTCTACAATCAATAAGATATATCTTTATTCTTTTTTCTCCCTGAGTTGTCGCTGTTACGAATAATATACCTAATTTTTATTTCTGGGGTAAGCAACGCGTTAATATTAATTCTCAGTAAAAATGTTCAGCTGCAACAATACCAATTATTTATGAGTTATCATTGTATAAGATCTTATTACATAACAATATTCAACATTATCAATGGATATATGATATGTATGGCTCATAGATGATTATGTAATTGAATACACTAGTCATAATCCTGTTCGAATTATGTATATAATTATTATTAGTGTTCGAATATACTAACAATGACTATTATTAAAACTGAATGTAGAATGAACACTATGCTATGAAGTACAATATGCTAGTTTTATTTGAATAGCCTCTTTATTCTGTAAATAAATGATGGTTTATTTCTATTAACTTAGTTATAAAGACAACTACAATCATAACAACAAGAAGCTAGCTTCAAAAGGTACTATTATTGGTCATTATTTGAGGTTTCTTGAAAAAAAAAACTCCCCATGAATGAAATGGATTGTTTTCCTGAAGTTAAAGGGCTACTACATCGTAATAAATAATGCACCTATCCATACATCCAATCAAATTGACGAGGATGGTAGTTGCAAAGGAGAGCGGTACAAAAGTGTCTACCTCCCTCTCTCTCTCCCTCCCTCCCTCCCTCCTTATTCTCCCTGAGCTTAACCTCCTCCTCTCCAAATAGGAGAATTTTGAGTAATTGTCAAAAATAAGATTAAGTGTAGCTCATTTGAAGCTACTGAGGATTTGGCTACTCGAATTACTGAAGCTTGTAACTTTGTTCCTCCTAAAGATCAGCAAGCACTTGCTCAGCACTCTGCTAAATTGCTTTACAAAGTGCTTATGTGGTGAGCCATTATAAAATGTTACTTCACCAAGCGTAAAAACTGCTTTTTAGAAGAAATAAATAATAAAAACCCCCCCGTCCTCTGGCGTTGGAACGACTGTATGCAGATATTTTATTAATTAAGAAATAATGAAATTATTAACCTTTTTTTTTTAAAAAAAAAATTAATTAAAAAAAAAATATAAATAAATACAGGGATGGTTTTTTTTTTTTTTTTTTTGTAGTAATAGGAGTAGTGATGTTAAATAGAATCATGAAACATGACATGTTTTTCTTCTGAATTAAATGGATTCGTAGTAGTAACAATATGAAAAAAAAAGGAGGAGAAGGGGGGGGATAAGGGCTTCTGTAGTAGAAAAAAAAATGTAAAAGTGAAATAATTAGATTCAAAGCCACTTATATTCATGCATTATATCAAACAAATTGGTGGTCCGGCTATTATTTTTATCATGCGTCCGGAGAAGGGTGTGTACAACAACAAGGCTTCAACAGGAAAAATCAAAACAGGTGTGTGTAAATTTTTATTTATTTTTATGTGTATGCACATTATCGAAGTGAAAAAGGAAATTTATAATTATATGTATACGTAAGAATATATTCATATTTACATACATGTGTGTGTTGTGCATATGCATATACATATATATATATTATTGTGGAGGAGAAGGAAAAGCATTTTTTTTTCATATATATACAAAAAAAATAAGGGGTAGAATTTTTTTTTTCTGGGGAAATTATTGTCGTTGCCATTGATCAACAAGCATACTATCGTTATTATTATTATTATTACTATTCCAATAATCAACATTTGATTTAGTATTGGTTTGTTGTAAATATAACGGTGTTAGTAAATCATCTTCTTCAGAATCATCTTCTGTAGTAGATATCGGTGAATTAGCAGCAGTTATAGGTTGAAGCCAAAGAGGTGGTTCAGTGGGTGGTAGTGGTCTATAATCTGGTGAAGCATATGTAATAGCAGGTAAATTCTTCTCCTCTTGTTGGTTAGGAGAAAATTGTGTGTTTAAATCAAAGTAACGTTTTGTCACGATATGCTATTAAATTAAAGAATGAATATAAATTGTATTTTTTTTTAATAATGATAATAATAATTACTTCTTCAATATCATCTTCTTCTAGTCTACGTTTATTAACATTTATTTGACTTGATAATTTCTGTGTTGCTAACACTATTAATTTGATTAGATCCTTTCACAAAAATTAAATGAAGAAAACTTACAGCTGCCGCCAAATTGATATGCCATTTTAATAAATTGATCCAACTAAGAAAATATAAAAAAAAAAAAAAAAAAAAAAAGAAACAAGAAAAAAAAAGAGTGGAATTTTAATAACTTTGCAATTGCTTTTATACAAGAAAAAATTTTTATTACCGAATCGATTTAAACTAAAACAATCCAAACGACTTTTATAAATACAGTCTTTTTCAAATAATGAATGAGATTAAACAAAAAAAAAAAAAAAAAAAAAAAAAAAAAAAAAAAAAAAAAGCAAATTAGAACTCCTAATAAAAAATAATGAATTTAATTGGCTGTTATTCAAGAAGGAGGAGAACAACAACATGAATCTTTTTTTTCTTTACTTTGAATTCAGACGACGAATTAAAATTACTTTTCAGATGATTTGCTTACCTTTTTCGGATAAAATAAAAAAACTTCTTCAAACACTTCAACAACATTCAAGATTCTATAGTATATAATGAAGCGAAAGCGTGAAAATAATCCAATTGACGATTTAACGATATCAAAAGGAAAGAAGACTTTAACGAGTAAGTATCAAAAAATATACATAGCAAGAGAGTATGTGCCGTACTTTTTTTTTTTTTAAAGATGTGGATCATGATACACCTACTTTGACGACGTTTGTTTCAACTTCACGTGCTTTTACGCCATTTGCTTCTACTACCTCTATATCACTTGCTTGTACAAGTTCTTCTTCTAGTGATTCACCTCATATTTCAAAGAAGATACAAAAAAAAAAACAATAGAAAAAAAGCGTAACTTGATCAACTTTAGAATGGAAATAGCAAGCAATACAGTGGAAGAAACGAATACAGTAAAACATAAAGTAAAACAGTGTAAATGCGGCTCAAACACCCATATAAGAGTAAACAGCAATGCATGCCCCCTAAAAAAGCAAAAAGAACCAACGCACAGTCCAAACGAGAAAAGAGAGATCTTTGTGATCAAATGCTCCCTGAAAAACATCTGTAGAGACGCTAAGCTCATTGATCAAATATCTCTCGTCATGGCACATACAACAAAAGTGATGTGAGTAGGATCGTTGTTTATCATCTACCTTTTTTTTTTTTGAAGCTCTTAATGAAGGGTGAAGAAGTTCTGATTATAAGTCAGAATGATGTCTACTCCATCTTTACCGTCATCACTGGTAAAGGCAAAAAGTCTCCCAGTTATATTCAACAATACTTTATTGAGTTTTGCAATGAATGTGAAATTGATGACACAATCCTACGATCCCTCAAGAGTATTGGATGTTCTTCTATTTTATCCGTTTTATGCAAACAATACTGTGTACTCATACACAACCACGTATGTGAGAACCACGAAAGGAGAACAATTCACTTCTTTATAAAATACTTGTCCGATAAAAACTCTACATTTTTTTTTGCAAGGACTTATCTGTTAACGAAAGAAGATCTCTAGCTAACTATATCTATTCGCTAAAGCTGAAGCAGAAATCCGTATGGCCGCCATTTGTCGAAAAAAAAATCAACATTTTGAAGAGATTGTACAAAAGATGGAGTCATTATGATCTAGCTATCAAGCATTAAGCTGTAACTCAGAAGATCTGTACTCTCAATCACATCAATTCTTTAAATGGCTTTTTTTACCTTCAGTAAAAAAATAAGTGAAAAGGTGTACATGATGGAAGAAAAACCAGCCACCGTTGCTTCCAAGTCCTACATTTATAGGAAGTCAAAAGAACTAACGTTTACTTCAATACTCAATAGAAGAAGCTTCAAATCTTTGCAGGAACAAGTTCTGCAAAGCATTAATTCAAATGTTCCACTTATCCTTGGGCGGAAATTATCCAAAGTCAAGCCTCATTTACCTGCTCTGGAAACGTTTGTCACAAGTGTCAAGTCAAGAATTGCTGATGTAACATTCACACTTGAAAAATATATGGATAAACGTGGCTACCGGTTTTTCACTCTATTACCGATCTATTCATTTGAAACAAAGTCGGTCCAAATAGATGCTATAGCTTTTTGGCGACTAGTGAAGGAATCTAATATTGAAAATTACTCAAAAAGTACTAAAACCGATTCGGATCTATTAGGTTTCTACAACAAACTTTTTGACTATTCTAATCTGGGATTTCGCCCTCGAGAGAGTCTTTCACAAGGAAGAAAGCAGTTCAAGTAAGTCAACTCTTCAGTTGTATTGAAATATAGAAGTATTGGTTTGGTTTAATTTAATTCATTAATCAATGTATAGAAATGTCGTGCTTACTGATGGGTATTCTATTTCTTTTCTTTTTTCTCAAGTGGTAAAGGAAAAAAAAAAAGAAGTTTCTGTAGAAAAACAACCAGCCGACTTTCTTAAAGATATTAAAAACGGCTGTACTGTTTGGTGTCAATACAATCTTCATCGCCGTAGATACATCTGGGAGGCAAAGGACAAGCAGCTTAGGTAAATATTACTATTTATGTGGTTATAATGATGCAACGTTTATACGAAATCAGCATCAGAAGCAACACATGGCTGAATATTCGAAAATATCAAACCTGAGCTCATTGAAGACATCAAATATCAAAGATTTTATTAAAGCATGCAAAAAAAGACTCACGTTATATGACGATATTAAAAAGTATTATAACAAGAATAATTGGTAAGTGTTTAGACACTATAATAGTTTACTTGTTCACTTACAAAAGAGAAACTTTATAGGAAGTTCAAACTGAAATTCCAATATTACATGAAGAAACAAAAAGGTGTGCATGAGATTTGCAAGAGGTTCGTCTATAACAGCAGCAAATATCATCAGAAGTCATCTACTGGTGTAAAGCCGGTTATTAATAATGTAAGCAGATTCTATCCACCTACCCCGACCGACCATAAAGAAAGGCCAGTAAAAACGATCATTGCTTTGGGAGATGGTGTGGTTTAATACTAGTTCACGAGGCAACAGGTTGTCACCGGTCAGAACTATTACAAAAGCGTTGAAGAGGTATTGTGGACAGCAGTTAGAAGTAGTAATGGTTAATGAACACCTCACTAGCTAAATCTGCAACAAGTGCAAGATCAGAAATGTCAAGAATGTGGTGACCAAAAAATCAAAGCGAAGAGTACACACACTATTACAGTGTCAACAAAACACTTGTAATATTGTGTGAAATCGTGACATTATGGCAACTCATAACATCTTGGACTTGTTTTTATTTTGCTTTGAAAAATAATAATCAGCGTCTCAGCCAATTCAAGCGTAAAGACGTAACCACTGATGAACCATCCCCGTGTGACTGATACGACTCTCTCATACGTTCGTACAGCGTAAGTTCTATATCTTTTTTTTTCCAACAGTCTTTACATTTTTAAAAGTATGAATGATTTCTTGTTGGAAACTCGTCTAAAGCTAACTTTTTTTATCTGAATTTCCTTTTTTATTTCATCCGAAAAAGGTAAATAAATCATCTGAAAAGTAATTTTAATTCGTCGTCTGAATTCAAAGTGAAAAACTGCATTCGACTTTCTCCCTTGCGGTTTTCAAATAGCCAATTAAATAACTTTTCTCGATTTAGAAGTTCTAAATTCATTTGTTTAAGGATATGTTTTGCAAAAAAAAAAAAAAAAAAAAAAAAAAAAAAAAAAAAAAAAAAAAAAATTACATGGATGAAATGAATAGTCGTCTCACAGTTTGGCTATTTCTATTAGGAATTGTCTAAAGCGTAGTAGCATTTTTCTTTCTCAGCAGCAACATTTTGTTATCTTTGTTTTAAGAATAGTAACAAGTTGACTATTATTACAATAACTTGAATTTAAAATACATACTATATTAAACCAAGCAGTTTCTTTTTTATAGACACTTTGATGTATCTATTCAGGTCTTTGTAGAAAAGAAAAAAAAAACAGTAGAATGTTGTGATTTGCAATAATAGAGCAGTGAAACAGTTTTATAGTATCATGCTTTATTATTATCATCATCCTGTTCTTTTATCAAGATAAAAGGTGAATTTCTTCTTTTCCAAACTTGTTCAAATAAACGTCTTCTACAATCTGCATGATAACGATTTCCTCTTTCACAATCACATTCACCCATTCCTTTCATAAATTGACAAACATATTTTCGTGTACTCATCCAAATCATGGGTACTTCATGTTGTATATCATATTTTACTTTCAACTCAAGAAATAAGTTCTTTAGTGCCATTTTATGTTTATCATAACGAATTGCACTCCCATTAACAAAATCAACATGGGTAAAGACAAAAAGTATATTCTTCCAAAACTCTTGATCATGAGAAGGAATCAATTCATAAAGTATTTCAATGCATTTGCATATTGTATCTGCACTAATAATAATAATAATAGAATAGAATAAAAGCAAAATGAGTTAGATGGCAGATTATTGATTCGTCTTTTTTTTTTTTTTTTCTTCCTTCCTTCCTTTACTTTGTAGTGATCTTGAAGACCATTAAGAAACAATGTATTCCTCCTTTATGAATAGCAGTATTGACTATAGTTTGATGAATAATATTAAAAAATTCAACATCTCTCTTTTGTGAATCACCAAATCCTGGAGTATCTATAACATGGATTTGACAACCAAATTCTTTTCTATCTTGCATATAAGGATGAAGTGGTGACCAAAAGCCGGTATATGTTTCGATATCTTTTGTTTGAGACTAGTATTGCGTATTTATTATCTATATCTAACAACTAAAAGTACACATATACCTACCTTTGTAGATTGCTTTTGTTTAAATGCTTCAAATCCTATTAAATCATTAAGTAAACTTGATTTACCTTCACCCGTTTTCCCTAAAGCAATTAAATTTAAAGGCTTCTTTTTATTATTTATTAAACGGGCAGCAACCATGATTGGATCTTGATCATGTTCATAGCTATAAAAGGGACTATTCTCTTTTTATTATTTAAAGACATAATCACCACAAGGCTGCTGGTGGTGGGAACATGTGTGTTATTTTTTTCACTTTTTTTTACTACGATTATTATGCTACACAAAAAAAAAGGCAAGTAGTCAAACCAATCATCAATGGTAAAGACAAAGCATAAGAAGATGACTGTTTTTCACATCATCATAAACTGCCCCTTCCCTCTCCTATAAATAATATAAAAGAATAGCAGTTTATCATCATCTTGTGTCTACTATTTTTAAATAATATAAAAATGCATAAAAAAAGACATACTACAGAGGAGGGGGTGGGGGTTTATAATTAACCAATCAAATTTAAAGAAGGGAAAAATACAAAAGTCTATTATCCACATTTTCATATGAGTGATCGTTCCGGGCTTCTCCGTGTGACTATTTACATCTATCTATCTAAATGTGTAAATGTATAAATATACATGCATATACATCTATATAAATATATTATTACTTTTTGGACATCTGCTTTACATGACCTTCCTTCCTGCTTTGTCTTTCTTTCTATTCTTTCTCCCACTAACTTGTTGAAAAAAAAAAAAAAAAACTTATACTTGTACATACATACCCACACACACATATTTATATACTTTCTTTCTCTCTCTCTCTCTTTTCTTTTTCTTTTATATATTTATGTTTTTTACAAGACTAAAACAAAGAAATCAACTATAAATAGTGCAAGAAATAAAGCCAAAAAAATGTCTTCAGTCATCTGGTCTAAAAAACGAACAAATAATTTACGATCTGCACCATGTACCATATTCTCTGCTACAACACTTTCACCTAGACAAATAGCCAATAAAGCGTATACATTAGGATGCAAGAAATTAGATCGAGACAATAAACAAAGTAAACCAAAATATCATGTTCGAGAACGTCTATTGCTTTGTAACACAATAGCCAAGGCTGAAGAAACATTAAATCAACGCACAAGACGTACAAATAGACGTGTTTTGGCAGCTGAAGATGAAGAAGAAAACTCAAGTGATGAATTTTCTATTAAAAAGAATAAATATCATCACGAACATCTATCTCCTTTAAGGTCTATAACTAAAGAAGAAGAAGAAGACGACGACGACGACAACGACAACGACGACATGATTGCTGAAATTAAATTGATCAAAGAAGAAGATCAAGAAGATATGAATAATACTACGTCTATTATAACAGCATCATCATCAACAACAACAACTATCATAGCATCTAATACTGCATCATCATCATCATCAACTACTACTACTATTAACAATCTTGCATCTTCCTCTAATAATAATAACTTTTTCCCTCTGGATTGTAGAAGAGTAACTATTTCACCCAATAACTGCAAAATAGTTACTTCTCCTATTCCAACCATCATTTAATAAATATATATATAATTATAGTGTGTATAGTTCTCTCTCAAATAATAATAATAATAATAATAATAAAAGGAAACTTCTTCTTTTTTTTCTCACGGTATGAAATCTTCGGGTGATGTCGTATTTACTGCTACTACTACTACTACTTTCGTGTTGTGAACCAAGCTAATCCAAAACAATAATAAACATACAACAACGCAATATGCCATGACTCTATTATCTAATTTATTCCTATCTACAGCAGTAATAGTTTATATATGTAAAGAAGAAGCGAGAAGAATCTTTACCTAAATAATAGTAGTAGTAAGGCGAGATGAGGGAATATTATGAATAATTTTCTGTATATAGAGAGTTACCTGTCGTTGCTATGTGGCTATCAATAAAAAAAAAAAAGTGATACAAGTACAATGACAAAGTTCCTAATAATTATTCTAGATAGTGTCTATTATAGAAAGTAATTCGATCTTAGTTAAATAAAAAGTCATTATGAAATAATAAAGATGACTTTTTGGTGGGTTTTAGACAATAAGCTTGTACAAGGGTGATTCTTCTAGATCAAGAAAAACACGTTATTATTACTATTTATTTAGTTGTGTTCTTTTTATATATACATATATGACATACTAATAGCCTATTACTACTACTACTACTGCTATTAAGTTTTCTTTGAATGTGCTGTGGACCTTGGAAGTAAAGGAAGGAAAAAAAAAAAAGACCCCTTCCTCCTCTTTCCCTTCTAGTATTTCTGAATGAAGCTTATTATGCTTTAAATAATAATGTATAGCAATTCTGTCTTTCTAATAACAATAATATATTTATTAAATCAACTGCAATTGAAATCTTAACAGTTATATTAACTCTAAAGCCATCTTTTGCTGTTTACAGTAGTATTAGTAGTAGTAGTAGTCATAGTAAATATCGTGAGTATATTTTACTTTTACCAAACTATTATTTACCTATTATATATGTTTATATGTATATATATGTATATGTGTGCATCACGAATGCAGTGAATAAAAAGAGACTCCTCCTCTTCAATTATATCTTTTATACATCTTCCTTTACTCTTATAAAGTAATATGGAACCAATAAAAGAGAATGATATAGTATTCATAGAAAACAAGTTATCTCTTTAAGCATATCAAGTAAATTTATATTTATATTCTAGAGAGAGAGAGAGAGAGAGAGAGAGGATTTTACAGCTATTCAACATTATCATATATTATTATTATTATTATTATTATTTTTAAAAAAAAAGAAAAGAGAATAGAATAGTATCTTTTATATAAATACTTTCTATGTTGAAAATAATTTCCTTTTTATTGTTTCAGCCTTTTCTAAACGTTGCTGAATAGTGTCTAATTGATTAACAATCTCTTCATCTTTATCAAACATTTTTAATACTCTTGAAGATACATCTCTTACCAGACTACTGGCAGCACATGTCCAGAAATCTCGAAGGTCCGTTTCATAAATATGACATAAACACGTTGTAAGTCTATCTGAGGAGACAGTAGACATATCTAAAAACGTGGTCTTTGTCAACGTCTGTTCACTCTCCTCTTTATCATTCATCTCTGTACTAAAAGGTCTAAATAACAGGATCTTCACCATATTATGAATCATATGCATATGCATCTTAAGGCCCAACCTAGATGATTCTGAATCAGCCAGTGATGTGTTCCATTTTGCCCATTCTGGTAGCTCTTGTTCCCAGAGTTCAATATCTCTTACAAGTGTAAGGACCTCATCTACATCAATCTTTCGTAGCGTAGGTCTATCTGTCATGCCTTCTCTCTCATCATCCACTTGATAGAATAAGGAAATGACTTTATTGAGTAACGACATTAACCTGGCCTCTAATACGATACCTGCTTCCTTAAAGGACGAATCCCAACGGCTCGGCTCCCTCATCTGAACTGCCGCCTTCCAAAGCTCCATCATCCCTTCCCCACGTACCTGGGGTACCTTGAACCTAAAGGTAGCTGAATACACATCTAAATAAAGTAAAGTGGCAATCAAGATTTGCCAGGCGGGCTCTTCACTCTTCCAATCTGAATTACAGAGGACACGAAGTGCGATGTGTACCATCGTGTCTGCCTTGAATTCTGTACAGGCAACTAATTCTGTTTCGATCCAAGCTAATAGAATCGCACATAGGATAACTGGGTAAGGTGATAACGCATCTCCTGTTTGTAATACTAAATCAAATAGTAACATGGTAGCATACTCTGCACATTGACGCCAAAGTGAGGTCGGCAGAGGTGGGAAGACAAGGCTAGGATCAGGTGGTAATAAGGTGATGGAGACAACATAGGCTGTCAGGATACAAATCTGTAAAAGTGGGTCATGTTGATGATCTAAAGAAGATGGAGCTGGCTGTGGTGCATAGTCAGGTAAATACATTTTAAGTTGATGCATAAGGATAACTAGATGGTGAGGAATAGGTCTAGATGAATCACCCTCCTTTTCTAACCATTCATATCGCATATTAAGGTGCTTTATCATTTGTGGGAAATTAGATTGAATAAGTGTAATGAATGGATCGGCTCCATCGAGCATGATTTCAAATGAAGGTGTAGCATTTGCTGTCTCTTGTTGTAAAGAAGAGAATAAAATAGTATTGATAATGTTGGGTGCTGTGTTTTGTAAAAGTGAACGAGTAGAAAATACAGGCACGGTTACTAGATATTCATCTTCATCTAATTCATCGTCCTCTGTGTCTTCAAAATAACCTTCTGCATCTGGATCCCAATTCTTTGGTAAATAACTAGGTCCAAAGTCACGAATAGTTTGTCGTGAAAGTGATTTTGCAAATTCGTCAAATTCATAAAAATTTCGTGTGATGGCGTGAATAGATAATCCATTCGACGTAAGTGATATTGACCAACCTGCTGGTTCTTCTGTCGATAGTCCATCATTCTCTTTTCCTTCTTTTATTACTTTTTGCCTTTTATTGTCATGTGCACAAACATCTTCATCAACTGAGCTATAACTTGTAGTCTTGTCGCTGTATGATGGGTGATTTAAATTCTTGTCTTGTTCATTTATATTTTCATTCTTATCTTCATTCAAAGATTGCATGTATTTAATCAAGAATTCGCCCTCTAATTCTCGTAAGGTATCATAGAGATTAAGAACTTTTTGCGACAAATCTGTTAGATTTGGTGGTGCATCTGGATATTCACACTACACACAAACGAAAAAGAAAAGAGAAAAAAAAAAGAGAGAGGGAGGGAGAGAGAGAAAGAGAAAGAGAGAGAAAGGCGATAATCACTTAATAAAATAATCGAATTATATATATTTAGTTTATTTACATACAGGTTGATTTGAACGAGCACAACGAGTACAGGTAGGTCTTGTCTTTGAACATCTATAAGTTAAAAAAATAAGTCAGGAAAACTTTTTTTTTTTCCTTTTGAGATACAGTTATATATATTTATAAAGGAAGAGAAGAATAGAGAAATTAGCATTTACTTTGCTTTCTTCTTTCTACAGCGTAAACAACTCAAATCTTTATTAGCAGGTGTTGTGGGTATCGAAGACTTGGCTGTCTTGCCTGCCATTATTTATTTATTTATCTTTATTAAGAAAGTCCAGCTATAAATTAGTTGCTACAATTTTAATTATTCGGAAGCATTTAACGACTTTTTTTTTTTTTTTTTTTTTTTTTTTCCTCATAAAAATCCGTTTTTGATATCCGAAATGACGTCGAAAGAAGTAAGAAAAAAAAAAAAAAAGAGAGAGAGCATTATTTTTTATTCTAACGTTTCTTCAAGCAATAACACTATTTTTAATGAATAATAATAAATCTAGTTTAGGGGAAACTGTTATTTTATTGATTTCTTCTATTTTCTTTTTATTTTTTTTATACGTTCTTCTTTAGCAAAGAAGAAGAGAAGAAAACTTGAAAAAAATAGAATTTACCAAATTTAGACTTTTTTTTTTTTTTTTTTTTTTTTTTGTTGCTGAAATTTTTCATCTGTGATTAGTAAAATAAAAAGACAGCTGCCGTCAAATCCTTTATTTTTTTTTATTAACTTTGTCTTTTGGCTAGAAGAACAATATCATTCATCTGGTGCCGTGTTGTTATATTAAAATACGTTAAAGGATAATTATCAACTATTTTTTTTTAACTAACAGCGATATTTTTCATGTTTAAAATAAGAATAGATTGAATGTAACTTTTGCTATTCAAAATCTATTTGTAATATTTATCCACGTATATTCCTCCTTACTTTTGTGGGAGGAAACATGAAACGATTAAAATTATGACACCTGTGGAGTCATAAGGGGCCTCCCTTTAGTCTCGATCTCAAGGGGATATTATTTTAATGCTACAACTGTTTTTAAAATTTTACGATTTCATATAAGAAAAATGCACAATTTATATGAAAATAGTAACGTGATTGATTATTTCATTATTTAGCAAAAGTCAAGGACGCATATAGATCAATAATAATACACCTTAAAAGTAAATGTGCATAATAATAATTATAATAATAATAAATGTATTCGAGAAAAAGGAAATATATTTCTTTTTACTGATCTCCATTGATCCTAATAAATGTATATGTGTATGCATATGTACATAATTCAATACAAAGTAAGACTATGCACGCATTCTAACCAGAACTACTTTTATAGACCATAAAAAACATATACACATACACACACACACACACACACACACACACACACACACACACACATGTATATATATAAAAGAATTCTCTTCGACTTTCTTGTCAATTAAATAAATATAAGAATCGAAAAAAAAATAAAAAAGTTATTATCTCTCTCTCTCTTTATCATATCATTTAAAATGCCAAATTTACATAAAAGGAATTTTTCTTCAAGTTTTTATGATGTTGGATCATTTTCAAGTCTTGCTTCACAAGCAGCACTTTCATTCTTTCATTCAAAGTCAACTAGTCTTACAAACAACAATAATAGTCCCTCTCAAGAAATGATGAATGATATTTCCATAAGAAATTATCCTAATAGATTACCCTTTACAGAGATAACTCCATTACCATTTAGACCTTCTCTATGGAGAGCAAATACTACTGATCTTGAAAGGGGGCCAAGCACTAAATCAACTGCAAATTATAATCCCAATGAAACTCGAGATAATAGTATTGCCACAGCTATTAGTATGCGACATGCTGATATTATGGTATCTCGAGATAATCCACAGCATTTTCATCAGCAACAAAGAATTAGTAATATAAAGAGTGATGATGAAGAAACTACAAGTAATACAAGCAAAAGTGATACCAATGCTATAGTAAATAATATTCATATGTCAGAAGAAAAGGATGAACTCTTGTTTGAAAAGAAGAAGAGTATCATTATTTTATTAGGAAGATTACTTTTGAAATGTGGCTGTCCCTGTCATCGAGTAGTATGTACCAAAATAAAATAAACAGTATTATAGATATACACATATTTATTCTTAATAATAGGATGATACACTTCAGCATACATCAGCTTTACTAGAATTAGATACATCCTTTTCATTTTTACCTGACTCAGTATTGATCACATTTACAAACAGAGAAGATAATCAGTCTATTATGGTCAAATCACCTCAAGGTTATGATAATGGCAAAATTGCAAAAATAAATGATATCATGAATTACTTTCATAAAGGTGAAATAGACTTGGATCAATGTTTAGTTTTTCTTCATGAAGTGGCTACTGCTACTCCTACATGTGGTATCTGGTCAACCATTTTATCTTTCTCATTTAGTAGTTTTGCTGCTTCAGCTATGATGTTTGATGGTACTTGGATAGACGCTTGTATTAGTGGTATACTAGGATTATTAGTAGCTATCCTTTATATCATGTCAACCTATTTTCCTATCTATTCTCGTGTATTTGAAATTTCAGTCTCTGCATGTGTTGCTATTATTACAAAAGCAATGCATTCTTATTGCTGCTTTACAAGTGTTGCTATGTCTGCTATACTCATTTTATTACCTGGATATACAATGACCGTAGGCGTGGTAATTTTTTATTTATTTATTTTAAAAAAAAAATATTTATTCAATAATTACTTTTTATCCTTTACATGAGCTATATCAATTTTATACATACATTATATTATATTCTGTATTATATATATATATCTATATATCTATATATCTATATATTATCTATATATTATTATATATATACATACATACATACATATATAGATCGAATTATCCGCAAGACATGTTACAACAGGTATTGTTCGATTAGTTTATGCTGTCTTTTACGCATTTCAGCTTGCATATGGGTTACAAATAGGAAGTAGTGTCTATGATGCTATTGATCCTGGCTCTCCTGATGATGGTTTCTGTACTCAAGACTCAGTATCACCTTGGTTTTATATCATCTTATTACCTATCCTTAGTATCACAATTGCATTGTCCTATGGCTCTTCTCCAAAGCAATGGATCTCTCAGACTATTTCAGCCATCATTGCCTTTTGTATAACTTACTTTCTCAATAAAATTATTCCAGATGGCCAAATTGTAGGTAGTATCGCTTCTTTTGCTATAGGACTTTATTCAAACTTTGCATTAAAGGTAACCGGTGAACCACCTATAGCACCACTCTGTGTTGGTGTGACATTATTAGTACCTGGAAGCATAGGTTATTATTATGATATATATATATTTAGCTTATAGAGTAGAGTGATTATCTAACATTTAGTATGTATTAGGCGTTCGTGCGGCTTATTCTGTATTACATCAACGTAATGTTGTTGACAGTCTTTTTCCAATGCAAATGCTAAGTATCGCACTCGGACTATCTGCTGGATTATTTGCTGCTTCAATGATTGTTTACCCCTCAGGAAAAAAGAAATCAATGTATATTTCTTTATAGAACGAGTAAACTTGATAATATTATTACTTTTTTTTTTTTGTACTATTAATATAGAGGCTTTCATATATCGTACTGTATAATAAACTACTTTACATTTTTACATGTTTGCAATTTTTATTATTATTATTATTATTAAGTTCTAATCTGAGGAGGAATCACTATCATCATAACTTGCTAGTAATGATAAAGCACCAGCACTACTACTATTTGATTTTGTCTTTGACTTTTCATCATTATCTTCTTCCTTTTTTCTTTTCACCACTATAACTGGACTCGCAGTCTGTTTTCGCTTCTTGATTATATTGACAGGTTTAAATGAGGGGAGATCAACAGTTGGCATTGTTTTATTGACTAGTTCAATAGCATCAGGTTCTTTTTCATTTAACTTACGAACCTGCTGTCCATCTGCACTTTCAAAAATAGCTTTTGCTTGTCGTTCATCCTCTTCTTCCTCTACTCTAATACGATCATTAATTTCTTGTTTATCTTCGGCTGAAAAACGATTCAGGATTTCATCAATATTTACACGTTCCGATCTTGCATTACGAGTACGAATTTCATCGAGTGCATCCATAATATCCATCTCTCGTTTCGAATCCAATGTACGATCTTCTAATGATTTCATTGGATCATCAGGTTCTTCTTCTGATCCTGATTTCTTTTCATCTTCTTCTCTCCATGGTTCAAAATTTCGACTAGCGCCATTTTCAGCAACATAGTCTGTATTCTTTGGATCTGTCTTGAAAGTAATTTCTGCTGAACATCGTGGACATCTAAAAATAATAATAATAATTAAAAAAAAAATAAACATAATTTTCAGTATGATGTGGATTTGAAATGTTTACCTAATATAAAATCTATAAATCTTGATACCTAAATATGTTTCTCCTTCCACAGTTTCTTTTCTTGCATTAAACTTTTTCCCTTTATAAATATATTCACCACAACTTTCACAGCGCATGGAAAAGGGCGACATAAGACGAACCTTATGCTGCTGATCCTTTGGCTTTTTTCTATTCCAAAAAAAAAAAGAGAAATAGATTAGAGTACATTCATACATTATAAAAATAAGAAAAAAAAAACAAAGATCGATCAACTTACTGTCTTGGAATCTGTGAAGGATCAAAGTTGGGGGGAAAGTATTTATTTAAGACCTTACGTTCAGACATTTTGGTTTATGACTTGAAAGGATGAAGGAAAAAAAAAATAAAAATAAAAATAAGAGAATGGCAAAAATAAATGAACAACTGCGGAAGTTGAAAAAAAAAGTGTATACACTATTGCTTGCCAATGAAAATTATATCAGGATTATTTTAAAGCATAATCCTAAGAAGAAGGTTAAGAAATATAATTTGGACCAAGTACACAGTAAAAACCATACATACAAAAATACATTCCTACTAAAAGTAACTTTTCTATACCAAAGAATTCGATTAGCTCTCCAATTCTTACACTCATTGAATAAGGTCACCAATACATTCGTTTTTTTTTTGTCTTCACTCTATTATTCTTTTTTTTTTTTATCTTGATTCCAAAGGGGAATAGGAAGGGTTTAACCTTCCCGCTCCACACTGTGTAAACCTATTCAGATAACTTTGATGTACTCAATACTTTACTTCTAATAAGGATTTTTAAAATAAAATAAAAAAAAAAAGATTTCAAATATATAAGACGTAGAGAAATCTCGCGATAAATTATACAGATTTATGTTATCCATCATATACATGCACACACACACACGCATATATATAACATTACATAAAAATAATAAAACTCTAGACGTACTAAACTTGCATTAAATTTCAAGCAGAATTAAATATTATATTAAATAGTTTTATTAGAAATAAGATAAATAAAAACTAATGTATACATTCATTCAATCATTTGATCTTTTTTTTTTTTTTTTTTTTTTTTTTTTTTTTTTTTTTACTACTGTAGTATATACTATGTCTATATTAGTGTAGATGACCTATAAATATAATTATGATTATTATATAAAGCAATAATAAATATTCTCCTTTTGACAAAAGAGATAAAAATGTTTTTACCATAATTTTAATTTTACATAAAACATGTAGGCTATTTTCTTCATATATGCAATGTAGTGCAAGTGTATATTTATATACATCTTTATATACAACGATTTCGTAGATTAATAATCAAAGTCACTACACCCTATGTTAATATACAGAGTATAATAGAGTCGTTGTCATTAGGCATATGCTAGATTCAAGCTTATTATATGATTAGTTTTATATACAAACAAGTTGTCTTCAAGTTAATAATCTACTATTTTTTTTTTTTTACTAAAAGAAAGTAATATCTTTTTTTTTTCACTTGTAATATATTATGTAGTAATGTAGGCTTTATAAAGACCCGATAGAACAATAGCTTGACTCAATTATAATAAAGTCAATAGATCGACAGAATTTATAAAAGCAGCAGCAGCAGTAGAGGAAAAAGCTCCGTTTAAATAAAGAAAAAAAAAAAAAGGTAATTTGATTCCAGGTCTGATTAATGAGTTTGTAGAGTTTCCGTAAGCCGCATAGCTTTCTCTAAAGAGCTAGCTGGGGTGAGATGCTCATAGTCATTTCCACTTAGCAGAGTCGTGTTCTAACATACCTGGTATAACTCGTTATTTATACCGGAAAGTAGAAGCGTCATGAAGATCCAAACAAATAGAACTATTCTATATATAAGGGATACTACCAGCCCAAACTATCAATCCCTCATATATATATATATATATAAAGAAAGGAAACTACATTTATACTTTTTACTCTAGTTTAATGTCATATTTGATAGAAAGAAAGTATTATAGTTATGTAAGTGTTCCTTATTGCTTAGAAAAAAAAATACAGTACAATACTAAACAAACTTGATTCATTTATATACACATAGTAAAATAAAGATTTTGTCCCTATTTTGTCTTCATTGATAATAAAGCTTAAATATGACTAGAATCAATATGAATTTTAATTATCAGTAATAACAACTTCATTCTCTACTCTGGCAATATATATATATATATATATATATACATGTATACAAGTATACGTATATATATAATATAATATAATCCTTATATCTGTATCAGTACATTCAATAAAACAAGCTACAAATTAAATTTACTTTTATACGAACATTAACAAAAAAAAAAAAAGGAAATCACACAATAAATTTAATTTGAAACAAGTGCAAAACAAATCACTAAAATAGGTGAAAAGTAATAAAACACACACACACACACACATACATACACACACATACACACATTTATTTTACTATAGTAGTGTAATTTAAGAGAGGATATTACTTTTTCCTTTTTTTCCCTCTCTCTCTCTCTCTCTACTAACTGACTAATAGTGTATATAGTGTTGAATTAGGTAGGATACTATTATAGAATAGATTATAAATAGTAGTAGTAATAGAGGGTTATATATCATATTAAACTAGGAAACAAACAAACAATAAAAAAACTTCAAAACCTTGTATAGACGAATATTTATAAAGATACATTCTTTATTTATTATATTATATTATATTATACTATATTATACTATATTATATTATATTATATATATATATATATGTATATATGTATATACTTATATATAAAAGGTAATTATTTCATTAATTATTATTTGTAAAAAACTGTTGTTGTTGTTGTTGTTGCTGATCATGCTTAGAGGGTGTATTACGTGGAATAAAGTTAGTGTTGGGTGGTTGTCGATAGTTGCCAAGACTTAACTGACTAAACGCTTGAGATGCTTGATTAACATGAAATGTATTAGATGATTGTTGGAAAGAGGGTCGATTACCAGTATTAAAATGTGTGTCTAGTATTGGTTCAGGCATCGATTGATTTGGTTTTAAACTTCCTGAAGTAGTAGATGTATCACTATATGGATTAAATTCTGTTGCATTTGGTGTCATCTGCCCCATAGAAGGATAAAACACGCCATTATTATTATCATTAAATCTCTATTTATATATATATATATATATATATATATATAATACTATATAAATAAAGACTTTCATATATGTATATGTGTTATATTTACCATCATGTTAATAGCATCTGTAGCTGTATTAGCTCCATAACTAGTAGCAGCCTTTCGGCGATTAGTTGCAGGTGGACTTGTCATAGAGCTTGCTGTAGAAAAACCAGTTGATCGGCGACTACCTGGAATCTGAGAAGGAGTATTAGTGGACCAAATATCACTAGTAGATGAAGTAGTGGGCATCGCTTGAGGGAATCCAAAATTGGTGGTGGGAGGAGGTGGCATTGGTATCCTTTGATAACGATAGTTATTAAGAACAGCACGTTCTTGATCAGTCAACTCCATGGGTGCATCAAAGATAGCTCGGATATTGTTTTCACCACTACCGTTCGATTGGATAGATGTAGAAGTGGATGGTATCGGTTGTTGCATTTGAGAATTCAGGGGCATCCAACTATTGTTATCAAGAGGATTATTTGTTAAACTAGCAGTATCATTTGGGAAATTGAAGAATTGATACACTTGTGGTGGAGTCATGTTAGTGGAAGCATTATGTAAGCTACTATTAGGGGGGGATGTATAGATAGTATCGTCAGATGATCGTACCATAGATACAGAAGAGGTTGTATTATTGCTGATAATGGGCTGTGATTGGTATTTTAAGAGCGAGGAAGAATCAAGTAAACTATTCGTATTCGCTTTACTTGAAGAACTTTTTTTGTGAGCAAGCAATTGATTTTTTTCAATCATACCAAAGAGAGTATCTACAGTCGTATTCTCGTAAAGAGATACATTTTGATTATTTAAATAGTCAATAACGATCTTTAGTGCATCCTTAAGAGATGTCATCACTTTATCTCGAGTCATATGAAGACGAATAAATGGACCCCGTTTGCTCTCCAAGTGTGATTCAACAGATATATTAAAATCTTTACGAAGCAACTCAACTACTTTTTCTCCAAAAAGATCCGACTGAATCGCGTCTGTAAAAGCGGAGCTTTGAAGCACATGCAAATCATATGACTCAGGCACAATGCTTTCCATCATCTTATAGGCGGTAGACATATGGGCCTCTGGGCCAAGCAATTCAACCTCATTATTAGCAAGTTCAGCATCAGGCCAAACAACTTGAGTATTTGTCTTTTTGACAAGTTCTTCAGTAATAAAACTGTTTTGATATTTATGAATTAAATCCCGATGATAGCCAAAAGGAATTTGAATCATCTCGACTATATAGTCGCGGTCTTTAGGATGAATTAATTCCATGACAGCATGACGCAAATTATCTAAATTAATTTGATTTTTCATCGGCGTACGAGCTACAACGTTGTCTTCATTGTTATAATAACCACCGAGAGATGCAAATTCTTCTGTGTTTGAAAATTTAACATAGACACCATATTTCTTCATAATACGTTGAATATTTTTGCCACCTACACCGATAATACGCTTATGATATGACTCTGGGACATAAAATGATATTTCAGCAGGCAACTCTTCTTGAAGTAACGTAAGACCATCCAAAGCCTTAGTGAAGCTTGTACTTTCAACTTCAATGACAAAATTGTAATCATTCATGAAAGGTATAAATCTAATCTTGGCGCCTGAAGTTTTCATGATTTTATTAATTTTTCCATTTTTTTTCCCAGAGATAAAATCTCGTTGATCATTTGAAGATTCAACACGGAAAATAGTATATTGATGAAAGACTTGAAGGAATTGCATCTCCTGGAGCCTCTGGTAAACATTACGAATGGCACGTTCGGGTCCAAGTACCTCAATACAGCTAGGATCGGTCTTGTAAATCACTTCAGAGCCAGATATTTGAGAAAGTTGAGATACAAGGTTCATAAGGTTAGAGATAGAATCAAAAAATGAATGAGCTCCAGTTGAATCATAAATTGCACTATCACGATTATTAAAATAGAAGCATGCCTCGTAAATATTACATGCTTGAAAGTTAAGTGCTCTTAATGTACGTTCTGCGTTCACTCGATTTTCAGCATAAACAGTAACACGATTATCTCCAGAACCAATGGATGGAAATTCAATATAAGCGCCTAGAAGGAGGGAAAAAAATTTTTTTTTATGTTAGTTTTAGAAAAAATAAATAAATAAATAAAAATAAAAAAAGAAAAAGAAACAAGAAGAAAAAAAAATATAAATAAATAACTAAAACATTTTACCATTGTCATGCATGATTTTACGCAATTCGTCGCGACGATATAATAAAAGCCAATCTATTTTTCTTGCATAAAGTGCAGTATCTTTGTGATACATTGATTTTGCCTGTCAAAAAAGGAAATTCAAGTTAATAATGATAGACATATATATAAAAAAAAGCCAGTAAATGATTTACATACTTTTTGAATAGCAAGCTTATTTAACATATCTTTTACACGTGAGACCTGATTAGGTTCACCTGTAATATAAATGACAGATCGAAGATCTTCCTGATTATCTTCATTTTCACCGATTGTATTATTATTTGAGCTGTTATTATTAGTGATAGGATTATAATTGGTAAATGGAGAAGGAAAATAGATATTTGTTGCAGTTTCTTCAATAATTGGTAATAATCCGGCTCTTTTTCTGCCGCAAATAAGATATTGTAGTTTTAAAGGTAATCGAACAATTTCAGTTTTAAACGATTTCTATTACGTAAAGAAATGTGTAGACAATAATGGAATGTGATTTTAGTCGGGGCTTAATTGTATGTTTTTTTTTTTTTTTTTTTTTTTTTTTTTTTACAAAAATATTTCAATTTTTTTTTCCCTAATTATCCTACCATTATTTCGTCAATAGCCACAAGAACACGCACTCGACATATTTCAACTTGAGAAGGAATACCGATGATCTCAATGGTTACTTTATTATCTGAGATGAGACTTGAATGATTAAGTTTTTCGGGAATAACATTGATTTTTGTGTTTAATTCTTTTTGCAACTGATTAAAACGATCGGTTAATAATTGTAATTTGGAAGTAGGTGGTATGTGAATTAATAATTTAGTCTAAAATAAAGATTGATTCCAAGAGTTATTGATCATTAAAATAAAAGTAAAATGTTAATAAAAATTATATCGAGTTTTCCTTTCTTTTTCTCTCTTTATATATATATATATATGTATATTCTAACCTCAAGTGGACAGTTCTGAAGTAAGTCGCCGCGAGCTTCCATTAAAGCTTGAGTTGAGCCAGTCAAAGAAATATTAAATTCGATATTATTGCAGTTAATAATGTTATTTGTTGTAGTATTATTGTTACATGTATTAGAGCTTTGCTGTTTTGTTTTCGTAGTGATAACAGATATTTGGCACCCTCTTGTTGACATAATTTTTTGACATGTTTCTTTCAAGTTGGATACAATCATTGTTTCATCCTGGTTGATATATTGAGTGCATTGACTCGATAATGGAGGTGCGTAGCTAAATGACAGCGCAGCCATATATTATTAATTAATTATAATATGTAAAATATGTAAGTATATGTAAATTAAAAGGTGTGTTTTTTTAAAGAAAAAAAGAAATATGTATATAGATATTATAGGATAAAATATGTATATAAAAAGTGTGTAAGTGTATATATATAAAAATATATGAATAAAGATATATATTATGTGTATATAAGAGCTAAGTGTATATTAAATTTAGATATGTCTAGAGACCGTATAAAAGGAAAGTATTGAAGTAGAAAAAAGAAAAGAAGAAAAATATTATATGTTTTTTTTAAAAAACATGCGAAGGAGAGTTTAACTAAAATAATAATAATAATAATAATAGGAAAACAAATTATGAAAAAAAAAAAAAAAAAAAAAATATTAAAAAAATTAAAATATTAAAAAAAAAAAGAGGCTCATAGATGGTGAGAAACATGGTGAATAAGAGCAAGCCAAAGATATAAACACTGTTGTTTAGGGACGTTCTTTGAATTTATGGTACATGTCCAATCAATAGGTGCTATTTCAACTTTTTTCCGATAAAAATATGATATGTCAAATTTCATTCTTTACAGAAATGAAACAACGTTAAATATAAAGCATTTATATGTCTATAAAGACGACGTCACCTTGCATGCTATTTAAGTGACAAAATGACTTTGATCTATGATATCTTTTTTTAATTTCAGATTTCTAAAAAAAAAAAAAAAGAACACATCTTCAATAAATTCTTTTTGTGTGTTTATTGTGTAATTTATGTCAATTGTGCTATCGTATACGGATTGTTTATTGTGCCTAAAGAAGAAAGTGTTGGGAAATATTTAGCAAGTTAGTCGTAAAGAGAATAATACATTCTACGGAGCTTAAAATGATGACTGTACAAGCTATTATGTTACTTACTACCCCCATTGCAAATAAGCAGTAATGCTTGATATGAAAGTGATAGAAATAGCTAGTATCGTTAACTCCGCTAAAAAAAACAAAGGTTAAAAAAAGGCAAGTTCTTTTTCTTTTTCAGTTTTGACAATAACAACAACAACAAAGTCATTCCCGTTCCTGATCCCGAAAATGGTAATTTAACCCAAAGTATTATATACTTTTTTATTGGACTTTGTAATTTTCTAAAAATATTGAAAATTGTCATGCTTTTATCATCTTTAAAAAATTATGATTAACATGTGGTATTACTGATGTGGTTATAAATATCTGTAGTTTCGCGTGTTTCTAATTCCCATATTATTTTTCGATAAGTGTATGGAAGCAATCCTATTCTCTTTCTGATTTTCTCTTTCTCTTTTCTCCAGCTAAAACCATAATAACCACTTCTTTATCAGATGTATTCAATCTAGTTTATGTTTTACTGTAGTATCGTTATGGATTTAACAATCTTTTAGTGATTAAAGAGAAAGCAAAGAAGAAGTAAAGTGGCTGGCTTGACAATCAAATAATAAGTGTTCAGAGAGCCTTAAAAGATAACTACTGTGAGTAAAACGTTTGAAAGGGTGTCGATAAAGAATATAGAACACATATAAATATATATATATGTATATAATGTTATATGTATACATACAAAGCTATTCACAGAAACAGGTCAACACAGCTAGTTCTATCTTAGACAACAGGGATCTTGCATAGAGGAATGTTTTGCCCGATTGGCTGATAAAGTATACTGCTGTAGCTATCAACTTACTTCTTCAGGTCAATTTAGTCGATCTAACTGATACAATTAATTTATTCAACTTAACTAGTCTAACTGGTATAACTGATCCACCTAATACATCTCAGTCTATATCACAATAGTCTTAGCCTGAACTTGATCATTCAGTTGCAATAGACAATATACTCATTATGGGGTTTTATTTTATTTCATATGATATACATGTATATAAATATTCTTGCAAAAGTTAAACTAAAAAATATAAATACAGAGTTCGTATCACTTGGATTTCTGTCGATTTATAGTATAAATCAAGCACTTTTTGCCCTTGAAAACACTTTTCAGTTTAAATATAGTCAAGAAATCTCTAAGATAATAAATAGATAGATAGATGAGAAATTAAGGTGAAGTATCCTTGTAGAATAAACAAATTTGAATGTTAATTAATGAAGTTTACCCTCCTCTTTTATTCTTAAACTTTCAACTGTTCACTTAACCTGATAAACGCCATTTAATTGTACAGCATTGGTTTTTTTTAAAAAAAAAATTATGATTTGATTCCTATAACCCTATTGTTTATAGTATATAAGCCCTTGTGACATACATTAGTTCAAATTATAGCTTCATAACAGATAAGAAAGTTGTAATCATATTTGACTGTTGATAGCTATACTAAACCTTATTTTTTTTTTCCTTTTCATTGCTTTGCTTAAATCTCAACACAATTGAAAAATAACGATTATTCCAGAAAGCTTTACATCCTGAGAGGCAAACATAGACGCATTTATCAATATTGTGTATACAACTCCACACTTTAAAAGCCTCCGGATCTTTAATGTATTATAACCTGCAGATATAACTAACCATATCAATATAGTACATCTTTTGTCAAAAGAAAAAAAAACATTTGAGGTGCCCTACTTTTTAATTCAAATGACAAAGTGAGTTCTACTATAATTGACTCAGACACGCGAATATAAAATATGATTGCTTATCCAGAGAGTTTATACATGTTTATAGATTTATTATCTTTCAAGATGAAATATGTAAGGCATCGTAATATATATATATATCGATCCTCATTAGAATTAGCGATTATTAGAGTGTTTGTAAAATCAGAGAGAGAGAGAGAAGATGTTCGCAGTGATCGGCAAGTTTTCAAAAGTGAATAATATGACTCATTTATTTGTATTGATAATAGCTTCCTGTGGGATACCAGTCCAAAGAGCTAGAGACAAAACAATTGATTGATTCGACGCCTTTTTACTCTATTATGGACAAAGAGAGCAAACGTCGAGTCAGATTCAACATCGAATAGTTCGAATACTCAAAGGTGAATTTGATCATCAATAATTGACGAATAGAGATGTAACTTAACGGTTATCACGAAAGACATGGTAGGTATCCACAGAACATATATGAGAATTCCTATGGGTGATTGATAATGAAAGGTTTAATGATACGCCTACTAGCATGCTTTTTTTTTAAGATAGTATAACTTAAGAGATAGAGTAAAACGATCATCAGAATCAATGACAAAAGCTAAAAGAAATACGATATACATAAGAGGGTCAAAAGAAACAGGCAACACAAAGAAGAAGAAATATTAATTAGATTTGTAATGAGGAGAAGGAATTAATGGTGGGGGACCAAGACTCGGTAAATAATCAAAGATAAACTGTATACGGATAGTAGGCTTATGCAAACGGACAGAAGGAGTTGCTGCAAGTAAAATAGTTATAAAAAGAAATCAACATGTATATTATAGCACGGACTATTGGAATCCTAATGTCTCTTTCTTTCTTTTTCGTTTTTTCTTTTTCATCTTTTATATATAACTAACTCTGTCTTCAATACTTCAATTAGGAATAAAAGAGAAAATAAATAATAATAATCATCTGATCATGATTTTTTCTTAAAGATCTAGAAGTTATAATATGGCTTAATTATAATTTATGCGTTATGCTAGATATTTCCTTAAAAATTATCCTAATTTTCAAGTATCTATCTTTTCACTGCGAATACACCTACTAGGAAAGTAGCAAAGGCAAATTAAGAAGCTTCAGAAATTAACTTTTAAACAAAGCTATTAATATAACAAATCAAAGATTATAATCAAGTTATTGTATAATCTGTAAAGAATAGATGACATTATTAGAAGACTTTATAAATAGTGCATTCTACACAACTTGTTATGAATTAGTAATATGAATACATTTTGTAGTTTAAGACTTAACTATATTTGTATATCTTTTTTATAGTAAATGATAACCAGTAATAAGCTACTATGTAATATTATTCATAATAATTAAGTCGGTATTTTTACATGCAGATTCTGTAGCTAAAAAAAAAAAAAAAAAAAAAAAAAAAAAAAAAAAAAAAAAAAAAACGTCTATGTATTGCCCCTGTGTAACATCAGTAGAGCTCATAACTATCTCAACAACCAATCAGAATTAAAGAGAAAAGTCAGGAAAGTTGTGGAAAAAAATTTTATTAGATTTTTTTAATAAACGCTCAAGTCTTAATTATTATTCTTTTTTTTGAATTTTTTTTTTCTATTTTTTTTTTATCACTTCTACTACTATAATTTACTATCATGGTTAGAGAGACAAAATTCTACGACATTTTGGGTGTTAGTCCCGATGCTTCTGATAGTGAACTTAAGAAAAGTTATAGAAAATTAGCTTTGAAATATCATCCTGATAAGGTATATTTATATACATATATGGTTTATATATATATATATATATATATATATATATGTATATTTGTATTTAGTAGATGTTAACAAAATGTCTATTTCAACCATCTTAATTGATTTAGAATCCTGATGCTGGTGATAAGTTTAAGGAAATCTCTCATGCCTATGAAATTCTTTCTGATCCCGAGAAACGTCAATTATATGATCAATATGGTGAAGAAGGATTGAATGGTGGACCTGGTATGGGTGGTATGGATGCTGAAGATCTCTTCTCTCAACTCTTTGGTGGTGGATTTGGTGGTGGACGCAGAGGTCCCTCTGGTCCTCGTCGTGGCAAAGATATGGTTCATGCTTTGAAGGTTAGCCTTGAAGATCTTTATAACGGCAAAACAAGTAAACTTGCTCTTCAAAAGCATATTCTTTGTCCCAAGTGTGATGGTAAAGGTGGTAAGGAAGGAGCTGTTCGTAAATGTAGAACTTGTAATGGTCAAGGTATCCGTATTATCACTCGTCAAATGGGACCTATGGTGCAACAAATGCAACAACCTTGTGGTGATTGTCAAGCCACTGGTGAAGTGATTGATGAAAAAGATCGTTGTACCAACTGTCGCGGCAAGAAGGTAGTCGGTGAAAAGAAAATTCTTGAAGTATTTATTGATAAGGGTATGCGTGATGGACAAAAGATTACTTTTGCTGGTGAAGGTGATCAAGCCCCCAATATTATTCCTGGTGATATTATTATTGTTATTGATGAAAAGCCTCATTCTCATTTCAAGCGTCAAGGTGATGATTTAATCTATGAAGCAAAGATTGATCTCTTAACTGCTCTTGCTGGCGGTAAGTTTGCTATACCCCATCTTGATGATCGTATTCTTATGGTTAATATCTTACCTGGCGAGGCTATTAAGCCTGATCAAATGAAGGTGATTCCTAACGAAGGTATGCCTGCTTACCGTACTCATACACATGGTCATCTCTTTGTTAAATTCACTATTGATTTCCCTAATCCCAACTGGACTTCTCCCGAAAATATTGCTGCTCTCGAAAACATCTTGCCACCTCGTCCTGCAGTTCCTTCTTTCCCTAATAAACATGTTGAAGATGTTGTTATGGCTGATGCAGACGGTTATCAATCTAGTTCTAGACAAGGCAGTGGTATGCATGAATATGACGATGATGAGGACCATCACCAATCTGGACCCGGAGTTCAATGTGCTCAACAATAAGCCCTTCCTTTCACCCTTCCGTTTAATAAGTATTTCATCCCTTATTTTGTTTTAGACGATTTTTTTTTTTTAATATAGTGTAAATTTTTTTTTTTGTTGCTTATGTGTATGTCTTGCTACTCTTTTTCTTTTATTTTTCATTTCACAAGAAAAAACGGCTATTAATTATAATAATAATAAAAATAAAAAAAATTATACATAAACTTGGCATAGTCATCTTTTTTTTTATTCTTTTTTTTTATTCTTTTTCTTTTTATTCTTTAAGAATAAACTAGTTTAAGAGAGTTTAGCAGCTTTTTGATATAAACTAGAAACGACTTTATCAACTTGTTTCAATGTTTCAATAGCAGTTTCATAAGTCTTGTCTTCTTCAGGCTCATCAAATACAATTAAGCAACCAGCTCCTTGATCAAGAATACCATGGAATTTCTTATCCAAAATCATTTGTGATAATTTAGCCTCAACTTGTTGTGTGGGCAATTTGACCATATCAGCAATATGACTAATCTCGACACGAGAGAAAGGTTCAATGATACGAACTAAATTCTGTTCTAAAAGAGTGTCATATAATGCTGCAAGTTGAGAACGAATGATGGGATCATTATTTAATTCATTAGTGTAAGTAGCTAAAGCTGTTTCAAATTCTTGAAGATTTCTATTCTTGTGTGCATTAGCAACAGCCTTCATAGCATCAATCTCTACACCTGCATATTTCAATGCAGCCTTTCCACTAATGATAGCATGAACATCCTCAGTCTATATACATGTATGTATATATTAGATTAGAAAAAAAAACAAGGGAAACGAAAACAAAATCCCTTATAAACTTACCAAATTCAACATAATCTTACACAATAACATATATTTAAGAGCTAAAATAGCCTTAGGATCCTCTTGATTAGAATAACCTTCAAATGTTTCAAAGAAATAAGAGTAAGCAGTCTTGTAATCTTTTTCTTCAGCATGAAGGACACCTGATTGCATATCCAAAGCAGCTTGTAATAAAGGTGGGCAATAAATGGAATTAGCAGATGTACGAGCAGAAGTCAAAGCAGCACGAGCCTTAGGAAGGTTTCTTAAGGCATGGCAGACACGACTTTCGAGCAATTGAACTTCAACAAGTACCATTTTATCATCTAAACGTTTTAATTCCTTCAATAGTAATGATATCAAATTTAAAGATTCATGATACATCTTGTTATCTAAATAGAGTGCTACTAAACGTGTCTCGAGTGCTTGTTTTAAAAATATACGCTTTTCTTGAACACACCATTCGATATTTTCTTTACAAACTTCAATTTGAAGAGGAAGACAATTAGGAATATCACTGAAATAATCAATAAGTGTACGAACTAAATAAAAAAAAAGCACGCAAACAAATCATTTAGCTAAATCTGATTTTTTAGTTTCAATTTGATTTTAATTATTACTCAATTTAGCAGTTTTAGCTTTAGCAATAGATAACATGAATGAATGAGAAGAACGAATCAAGTTTGCAAGCTCCTGAGGAAGTCTATACAAGTTTAAATAGACATTAATTTGAATGTTTTTTTTTATCGAGAATATACTAAGATAATTACTTAAGATCACGGTAAAGTTGACCTAACTGAGTAACAGCATGCTCTTGTTCTCTTAAAGTTTCTTCATCACTCGCTGTTTCTGTCAAAATACTCTTATAAAAACTAATAGCCTCTTCGAACTTTTTAGCTTCCTTTAATAAATCAGCTTCGTGTAATCTATTTGAAGGTGCAGATCTAGTTGTAGTATTAACCATTATTTATTTATGAAATTTGTATATAAGAAAAAAAAAAAAAAATAAAAAAAATAAAAGGCGCTTAACGTCGATATACTTTTGTAAGTAAATAACTCAGTTCGTACACATATTTCCTATGATTGGCCCTTGAGAAAGCCGAACAGAAAGAGGAAGCTGATTACGCGTTCACAGTCACTGAGTTCGTAAATTTCAACTGTTGGAAGTGTGTAACCTTACTACCTCGTAGCAAAATAGCGCAAGTGGAAGAGTCGTCGTAGTGAATTCACTTAATGCTGACTTTTTATATCTGTAGTACGCGTGTCTTAATTGAACTTTTTTTTTTTCTTTTATTTATTTAGTACATATAATAATTAATAAACATGTCTACTTTAATTGAAGAAAATACAGTTCCAAAGATTCCTGATCTTAGTCTTGCTGTAAGTATAGTTGCATCTTTTATCTATTTATTTTTTAAATATCTTCAAAAAAAAAACTAAACAAGAAGTTATTTAGCATTATCGTTTCATAATTACCCAAGGTCCTGCTGAATTAAAAGAAGATGCTAAGACTAAACTTTTTGAAGGCATCAAAAATAACAGTATGTAGATAACCAAAAGGGATCATGAACTAAATCAATATACTAATGTATTTTTTTTAAATAATAAAACAGACATGGCAATTTTTTACAAAACTATGGTTGAAGAGCTTCAAACATCTTTTGATCAATCTTTATATGATGCTATGGTTGCAAAGAATGAAAAACAATTAAAAAGTTTTGATGACAAAGCTGCCGATGCAGAACAGAACCAAGGAGAAACCGAAGTAAATGAAGCTCTTTTAGCTAAAGCTGAATACTATACCAAGATTGGTGATAAAGTAAATTTGAGAGAAAGAAAAAAAAAAGAAAAAGAACAAAATAAATTTATTGGAAATTTCTTGTATAATTAGGAAAATGCTTTAGCAAGTTATGAAAATTTATTAAAGAAATCAATCACTTTGGGTACACGTATCGATATTATTTTCACCTTTGTTCGCATTGGTTTCTTTTATGGTGATAATAACTTAGTTCGTAGCAATATTGAAAAACTTCGAGAATTGATTGAACAAGGAGGTGATTGGGATCGTCGTAACAGATTAAAGGTTTATGAAGGTGTTTATCTTATGTCTATTCGTGATTTCAAAGGAGCTGCATCTTTGTTTTTAGATACATTAAGCACTTTTACTAGCACTGAAATCATGTCTTATCAAGATTTTGTGAAATATGCTGTTTTGACTAGTTTAATTAGTATGAAGCGTGTAGATATTAAGAAGAAGGTAAGTAGAATATTGGTTTTTCTTTTTGCTTATGATTACATGTATAAATGCTTATAATTGTTCATAGGTTTTAGATGCTCCCGAAATTTTAGAGGTAATTTCTGATATTCCTCATCTTGAAGATTTTATGGCCAGTTTATACAATTGCAAATACGATCAATTCTTCCGTTCATTAGCAGCTATTGAACAGACACATTTACGTACATCACGCTATCTTTTACCTCATATGCGTTATTATATTCGTGAAATGCGTATTTTAGCCTACGCTCAATTACTAGAAAGTTATAGATCTTTAACAGTTACCAGTATGGCTCAGGCATTTGGTGTGAGTGAAGCATACATTGACCAGTAAGTTACAACTCTATACTATTGTTACATATAACGTTTTTCTTAAATACATGTAAACTTTAGGGATCTTTATCGATTCATTGCTGCAGGACGTCTTAATTGTGTAATTGATAAAGTGAATGGCATTATTGAAACAAACAGACCTGATGCAAAGAATGCTCAATATCAAGCTGTCATTAAGCAGGGCGATGTCTTATTGAATAGAATTCAAAAATTAAGCCGAGTTATTGATGTTTAAAAAAAAAAAAAAGAATGATTTTTTTCTCTATAAATAAATATTACATGACAAAATTTAATTAGTTTGTAGTCTATTTAAAAAAACGATACAATAGTGCATTCAATAATTATAAAGCAGATGATGGTGGAATATAAATATTGTTTACTACTCTATTCATTCACTTGTAGACAATAGTTAAATTAACTTGTTTATAATGAACCGTAAATATAAAATATTCATTGGACAAATATACGCCGTCTAATGAAGTTTCCATTACCTACAAGAGAAGAGCCTACAAATTATACGCACAAAGAAGTGTTTTATAAAGTGAAAATGTATACACATATCAGATGCATAACATTGACAATCAATAAAAATGATAGCTTAAATGCAAGATTTTTTTTTTCTGGGTTTAAGTATGCACAGTTAATTGATCTGTTTCAATTTAAGACAATCCGTTTTAAGACAATTAGTTCTAATGAATCTTTAATTATTACTTTCTCGCCCCGTAATTTATTAATTATTATTTATTTATTTTTTTTTCTACATTTAACATTTAATTACTCTTTTTCATCTTTCGTTCTCGAAAAAAAAAAGATGGATTTGTTTCTTAAGAGTCGAATAAAAAATAAAAAGCATTCGCATCTATCTTTACCAGAATTTCGAGAATCTTTTAAAGAACATGGCGTTAAATTTGATTCGGAGCAAGCTTTTAAAGACAAACCAATGGTATAGTTATTGTTAACGCAATAGACAAAAAAAAAAAAAATCTAACATAGTGATTATACTGACTTGAAAAGCATGTAGGAAATACCAAGCCATTATGGATTTCGAGATATTAAATCACTGAATTCGCTTCAGGGACAACCTGCAGATTACGGTATAAGCGTACATGAAAGCTCCTTATCAAGTCAGCAACATTCTAATGATAATCCACATTTCGAGAATCGAATAAAACGACCTGAATATTTTATAAAAAAGCTTTCAGATGACGCCGTGTATAGAAAGATATCCAACAAGGTTTTATTACGGCTTGAATTACATTTAAAAACGATGCCAATAAGGTATATAATGAAAACAAAAGAAAAGAAAAACCACACACACAAACACGGACACAGACAATTTAAAAATAAACTTTTTTTTTTTTTTTTTTAATAGATGGATACAAAAATTTATTAATATGAAAGGCGTTTCATTAATTATTAATACTTTGAATCGACACCGAAAAAGTTACACAAAGTTAATTGAATTAGAATATAATATTCTGGCTTGTTTAAAAGCATTGATCAATAACTCGGTATGACAAAGTAGCATTGACGCGAAAAGACACGTCAATATATACATGTAGAAGTATACTCATTTATTAAACTTTTTTTTTTTTTTTTTTTTTTTTTTTTTTTTAAAAAAAAAAAATAGATAGGTGTTCACGAGTTTTTTACTCACCCCGAATATATTAATGAAATTACATATAGTCTAGAATCATATCATATTCCTAGTCGAAAACTTGTTTGCGAAATTCTCATATTTTTGTGTTATTATAAAACACCTGAAGGTCATAGAGTCGTTTTGGATACATTGAAAAAGTTATCAAAATCAGTTAAAAATAATGAAAATCATTTTTTGACTTGGATAACTGCATGGAAGCATACGATTATTACAAAAACTTTAAATCAGAACGATGAATGCGAATATTCCGTAATAATTAGCCCTTTTATTTATTTATTTATTTTTAATATTACGCGTAAAGTCTAATTAATTAATTTTTTTTTTTTTTTGGCTATTATATAGTTATTTAATATGATGCTCGTAAATGCTATACTTAATACAGAAAGCGATAAAGATATGCGTATTTGCCTAAGGAATCAAATGGATGAATTAGGCCTTAGTGTTATCTTGGAAACAAGCGCTCGTAACAAAGAGATATATAAACACATTGAAGAATATTACACGTTAGCTAAAGAAGATCAGCTACCACTAAAAATAGAAAAAAGTGACAGTATAAATAGTTCAAGTACACTTTCTACAACAATGGGTACTAATGTGAATGATAACAATCAGTCAATAAAGTCAACAGTCTCTTCTACAACATCAAATAAAAGAGTATTTAAAAGCCTAATTGATCCCTATAATGTCTTTGAAATGGTTCTTAGTAGCATTGAAAAATCTTCGTGCTATGACCTCTTTCTTAATACGCTTCAAAATATCCTTACATACAATAGTATAAATGATGATGATGATAAAATGGATTATTTTAAACGTATCGATTCTTATATATCACAGCAAACTCACGATGCTTCTTCAAAACCTAGTGAAAGCGATCCTAAATTATATCAACTTACGATTGAAGAAAAGGATAAAGAATTAGTTCAGCTACAGAAAGATTTAGATCATTATAAAGGCTTATATGAATCACAAAAGGAGCTTCAAGAAAAAAACAAGGAAATGACAGAAATGAGTACTTTAATTAAAGATAGTAACGATAAAATTCACTCTTTGGAAGACTTATTAAAGATGTCGAGACATACAGTTTCAACATTACAACAAAAACTTAAAGATATTCAAGAAGAATACGAAGATAATATATCATTACTTGAACAGCAACTTGATAAATTTTATAAAGTAATTGAAGAAGATTTCAATAATGTTGGTGACAAGGGTGATATAGTTATCAGTAGAGAAGAATACATAAAATCATATAAAAGAATAAAGGCAAGAGAAAATTCAAAAAAGTCTGAAAGGGATACTGAGGATTCATCTAATGAAGAATGTAGTTTATTGGTTCCACCAATAGAAAGAAAGGTATAAGTTTAATGAAAGAGACAGTTTATTATTATTATTATTACTAACAGATATAAAATATTTGTATGCATATATATATTACTATACCTTAGAGTTCTATTTATCTAAAGAAGCAAAAAAGAAGTACTGCAATGAATATTACGGAAGAATTTAAATCACAACTCGCAAAGCAATTTTCAGCTAGTAGTATCTTAGATCTTGTCTCAGCAACAGATAATAACCGTCCATTTAACAGAAAATCTAGTAGACGTTGCCATAGTATCATGATTAGTGACAATATTTCACTTCCTATGGTCGAATCACCATTAAAGCATCAGCGATATTCATTTGTACCCCCAATGGCTGAAATAACCAACACTGATAAAGCATTTTTAAGTGACTCTTTAAAATGTTTTGATGGGGCTACAAGGCAGCAAGCTATGTCAAAAGCACCCAGTAAATTATTATCACAAATGGATATGCATAAAAACAGTAATCAACACGTTGGTCGAAAACCACGAGAATGTTCTTTTTATGAAGATAGTAAAGTATCCATTGATTTTACATCATCTGCCGAAAGCTTATTTTCAAATGACAAGTATGCTATGAGCTCAACAGATTCATTGGGCGTGCCTAATATCCCTACCATATCATTATCAAATTCATCAATAAATAGTGATGTGAGTTCATGGTCTCAAAAAACAATATCTTCAATAGAATCTGTCTCTTTATTGCCATCAGAATCAGACATTAAACCTACATTCATATCTGATCCATCACAAGATAATACGTCAGTACCATCAAAAACTACAACAACAGAAACAGTGGAGCTATTACCTTTGATTGAATCATCGGTAGCTCCTCCACCTCCACCTCCTCCACCTCCACCTCCACCACCTGTAAATAGTACTATATACTCATTAAATAATAATTCAAGTCCTACCACTGCTTTTCAGAGTAACTCAAGTATACCCTCTCCATCCTCTCCTTCTCCTCCTTCTCCTCCTCCTCCTCCTCCACCACCACCACCACCACCACCACCATCACCATTTTCAAATTCAGCTGCTTTAAAAAATAACAGCGGATACGATGACACTCAAGAGAGTCAAGAATTTAATATCCTATATAATATGAATCGAAAACAAATGAACCGGTACCCAAGTGTCAAGACACGAATCGTTCAATGGCAAAAATTGAGTAAAGATAGTATTCAGTCCACTGTCTGGCATCCCAGCGAGTATGATGAAGTCCATAAAATAGAGAATTCATTTGAAGCTACATTGGATCAGGCAGGAGTATTCAAGAAGATGGAAGAAACATTTGGACAGAGACAGCCCTCGACTGTCAAACCATCCAGCAAGAAAAAATGGCGACATCGAGCCTATGAAAATGAAGAACGAGTGCTAGACTCACAAAGGGCAGCCAACTTGACTATTTCATTCCTTATGAAACTCAAACAATATAGTATTGAAGAAATAAAACAAAAACTACTAGAACTAGACGAGACGGTATTTGATGAAATCATGCTTGAGAACTTGTTGAATAATCTACCCTCCCTGAACGATATTAAAAAGTTAAATGAAACAAAGGCAAAGCTAGAGATACAAAATGCAAAAGAAACAGATGAAAGTCGTAAAAAGAGCTTGTCAAAGCCTGATTTATTTTGCTTAGAGGTAAATATAAATTGATTATTATTATTAATCTGATCTGACTTATAATTTCGAATTCTTCTTGCATATCTTAGATGTCAAAGGTTCCGAAAGTTAAAGCTCGTATTAAGGCCATGTTACTCAAACTCAACTTTAATGAGCGAATTATTCACATATCTAAGAGAATGTCCAATATTATGGATGCATCTACAGCACTTCGTAATTCAGCTTCATTTAGGGAATTCTTAACTGTAAAATAATATATATATATAAGCACATGCTTTTCACTTTTACTAATTGCATTTTTTTTTTAAAGCTTGTGCTATTAATTGGTAACTTTTTAAATAGTACAAATAATCAAGGTGGTGCTTTTGGTATTCGTATAGCAAGTATAAATAAGGTAAGCTTATTATCTCATTCTTGTAACATATCTATATACATATATTAATGATACTATTGTGTTTAGCTTATTGATACAAAATCTTTTTCAAATGATACCACTTTGCTTCATTTTATTATTGAAATGATGGAAAATCAATTTCCTGAAATATTTCATTCACTTATACCTGATTTGAAATTATGCACAGACGCATGTAAAAGTAAGTTTAACAAAAAAAATTTTTTTTTTTTGGAGAACACAAATTTAAAACTCTTTACACTTTTATTGTAGTAACACTTAATGACCTTGTGAGTGATTATAATGAACTAAAAATTGATCTTGAATCACTTTCCAAGACACTTTCAGAAGTTGAAAATACAGATGAGATATTTACTGCAAAGATGTCTCATTTTTATCATGAGGCTATGGTAACATTTGATCAACTTGAAGTTCGATATACGTCTATGGATGTTGCTTACAAAGATGTACTTATTTATTTTGGAGAAGAGCCAGGTGAGATGAAACCAGATGAATTTTTCAGCATATTTGTCAAGTTTATTTCTGATTGGGAGGTAAATTTCAGTTTAAAGGAAAAGAAAAATAAAATAAAATATTTTCTTGTTATTCGAAAGGTTTTAACATTTTATATCTCTAGTTTGCATATCGAGATATTACAGTAAATAGAGAAGAACGTGAACGTATCAAGAGAGTACATGAATTTGAAAAAGAAATGAAGTTATTGAAAGCAAATGCAATTGAAGAGTATTATTAGAATATATATCTCTCGTTTGTCATATTGTATTTTTTTTTTTCAACAACAGGTTTCAGAATAACCTAGAGTATTTATTTGTATACATTGTATCATTCCTTCTCATATATTATATATAATAATACATACACACATACACACATACATATATACATATATACATATATACATACATACATACTTATATACTTATATACTTATATTTCTTTTATTTCCATTATAATAATAATAATATTAATAATAAATAAATATACATGTTATGTATACATTTTTTTTTGTCTTTGAACGTAAATCGTAGAGTTATAAATACATAGTAATGTTATACATCAACAGTATACATATTTATATATTTTTTGATTCCAAAATTGTAATGCTTTATGTATGTATGTACGTATTATAAACTTACAACTAACTAAATATATTAGTTAATTTACATAATTCACTTGCCAATAACAGATTCAATAGAGTCATTCTTCTTCCAAATTGAAAAAGATCTTTGATACAAAGGTACCCATATATCATTTTGAGATAGGGTCAAGATATTACGAATACGATCCATGTGACCAATGTTTGGTTTATATAACTCTTGACGGAATTTTTCAAGTTCTGTTTGAGTAAATTCATACACAGCTTGAACTGTAGAGGTGAAAACAAGCTTTGTTTTCAAAAAGGACTCAATTTGGGCTTGCAGAAGAGGCCATTGTTGTTGTTGTTGTTGTTGCTGAGATATCATTTGAATTTGAGTGAGTATCCAAGTATGAATAATTTGGCTTACTTGCCTTTCTTCCCGTTTAGCAGAGGATATCCTTTTAGCGGCACGAATAGAAATGGCATGAATGACCTTCATGAGACGATCAGTACCACTAATGACTTCAGAATCTGTATCCTCCTCTGGTGGTACGCTATGATTATCAAGTGGAATATATTGATTTATCAAGGCTTCCAGTTCGCCAGCCATATAGTCAATACGAGAATCAATGATTGTTTTCTTTTTCTCTTGAAGACTTGATACGGCGCCTCTAATAGGCTGGACGAGAAGCTGATCTGTAGGGGTTGTAATAACACCTGGAAATTGACGCTCAAATAAATCGAGCGATTTATTTCCCATCGTGTTCGCATACGAAAGTATTTTCTTGCTCTTATCATTATCCAAATAAGGTTGTGTTGAAGAGATAACGGTCTGAAGCTTATCTTCAGCAAAATTGAGTGCCCTTTGGCCTATAGCATGCTGTTTAGCTATCTTTTGTGCGCCTTTATAACTGTCTTGAATAATAGGTATAGATGCTATACGCGAAAAGAAATTTATCGAAGAAGTAGTATCAGCAACTGTAATAGAACGACCAAGAGCTTCATCTTGACGTTGGCCTTTACATTCATCTTCATCATCTTCTTGACTCATACTAAATCCAGAATCACCATCACTACTATAGTTATCATCATCTAAATATAATGTGCAATTCATTTAGTTTTACAGAAAAATTCTGTAATACATGTATATATATATATACCAAATGGCGTTGATAGACAATCGTCAAAGTCTTCTTCTTGAAAATTCTTTTTATTCATATCAAGGTCTTTATCCATCTTATATAAGAAATAAATATTTATTATAAACAAAAAAAAAAGAAAGAAAAATAAGGGAAATAAATAAAAAAAAAAAAATGAAAAGAAAAGCAAAAGGATAAATTTATAAATCTTTTTATATTATCTTATTCATATCTGCAACACTATCATGCAGATACACAAAAAAAAATAACTATATTTTTTTCATATGTCATTACAATTAAGAGAGAGAGAGAGAGAAAGAGAGAGAAGGATTGTTACATAAATATGCATGAAACACTTTAAAATCTTACAATTTTAGTATAGAAGAAGATGTAACTGTTTATAATGAAGAAAATACAACTATATACAATAATCATATGATGATTATCTTCTTTTTTTTTATCTCTTGTGATTCTAAACAAAATATTATCTTGAAAGAAAGAAAAGACAGTATAAGTTTGAATATTTCTTTATTCTTAAGCAGAATAAGATATTATTATTGCATGAAGAAAATATACTATTTTTGAAATAAAAAAGATATATTAAATGAGTCGTATTTGGTGTATATATTTATATACACACTTTTATTTATCTATATTCTATAACTGAAGCTATTTGAGGATAATGTGATATGATGGAGAAGAGGCAAAATTACTACAAATTTGCGTACCTGGAAAGTTTTTTTTTTTTTTTTTTTTTTTTTTTTTCAATTATAATGCAATTTACTGGTTATTCACATACTCAAATTGCTAAAAAGAAATGACATATATGATCTTCTTTTGTTTATTTAAAGTAGGCACAAAATAAATAAACTAATTTGAAACTAATAACAATAGAACCAATTTTTTTAAACGAAGTTATAAAAAGGGGATATAATGTTTCTTATTTTGTATACGAGTATCTCAGTCGATTCTAATAGAATTTATTCAACATTTAAACATGATTAAATAAATAAATATAAAAATATACTCTTCTAATTATGAACATTGATTGCTCCATTATTTAAAATGTACGCCAGTAAAAGCTTGCTATGTTACATGTACTGTAAATTATATATGAAGTCGAATATAAAGCTTAGGAAAAAAAAAAAAAGAGGCTCATATAATAGTCAGACGAAACATAATAATTTATTTAAGTTTAGATCCTTGTAGTCAAAGATAGGTTCTCTTGCCCAGATGAGATACCTGCCTATTTTTAGTTTACGCTTTAAGTTTCGTTAATTTAACTCTGAACAAGACTACAGAGCTAGGAATGAGAAGCGAGGGCATTGTGAATAATACTAAAGTTGCTCATGCTAAAATAAATAAAACAAGATCAAATATTAATTATATATATAAGTACGAAATATACAAACTTATCTAGCTTTAAATACACTAGATTCATGGCGAAAGATTATATCTAAAACAGAACTACTCACCAGTATTATACACATGGTCTTAATTACGTCTTTGAGATTGATTTTTTTTTTTTTTTTTTTGGTATATTTTTGAAACCTAACAATAAAATGTATTTATTAACCAAGTTATCCACAAGGTATATCTATTTAACAACTGCAAGGAACTTTGTAATGAACCCATAAAGTAATTATTGACTGGTATACTCTTGAACGATGTATACTTTGGTACACATATTTTCAAAGTTTAGTATCACTCATTCCATTTTATATTGGGAGGAGGCTGATATTTATGATAACTTTAGAATGAAGATTTTTAAATTGTCAAATTTGAAGTTAAATTCTTTGCTAGGATGTATGTAAAGAGAAATAATAGCAAGAGATAGAAATAACTATAGTTTTTATAAAATAGCAAATAAAATTCAACTAGTATCAATATTAGTTGATTTCACCAAAACGTACACATATTGGAAAGTTGATTATTAGTATCACTGACATTAATGTCTGCTTCTACTTTATTTTCATTCTATGAAATGATGGCGGTAACTATTTTCTTTTTAGTCATAACGAAAGATAAAACAAATCCTAGAATAAAATAATCATATACGAAGAATGGTATGAAAAAGCTAATTAACTAAATGAAAAATGGTGATTAATACTTCATTTCTGAGCAAGTTACTATTTATGATTGTGACACGGTTAGAAGCCTCGAAGTAAATTTAGCATGATATAGAAAGAGGTGAATCATATAGACATATTAATACCACTAAAATAGGTTTTTTTTTTTTTTTTTTTTTCAAAAGAAAAGAATACTTTGAATTTGTTTAGTTACTTTTTGATAATGAAGAATGCTCAAATCTATGAGAAAACCAATAATGGAAGAATATATTCAAAAAAAAAAAAAAAAAAGCCCTGAATACATGTATTTTCTTCTGAAATGAATTTTATTGATTAACAAGTTTAATCTACAAGAAAAAGCAAGTTGAAAAGATGAGAATATATGAGACAATGATATACTTCAGACTAAAAAAAAAAATAACTGCTGTTTTTAACCGAATCGCATAAAATTATCTTGATGGATTTATTAAACATTAAACTTCATATTTGAATTGAGCGTCGAACTAAATAAAATATAAAAATATCAATTTCCAAAATTACTGCAACATGATGCAAATTACTGCGGCACACAGTTTAGCAATAAAAAATAAAACAAAATAAAATAAAAATACTTGTTTTACTTTTTTTTTTCTCCCTTCTATATAAAAATATGGAGTCAAATACAAGTGATAACAACAATTCTATCCAGGCTTCTTCTTCTTCTACTGAGACAAACAAGAAGCGTAATAATAATCGCCGTCGTTACAATAATAACAAACGCGAAAAGAAAGAAGAAAAATCGCGTTCAAATACGACTACCGCCGAGAATAAAGACTCATCATCGTCATCATCAAAAAAAAAAAAAAGACCAATACCAATAAAGGCCAACATCAAAAAAAGAAAGAACCCTTAAAGAGTTTTATTAAAAAAAAGCTTACAACTAATCCAGAAGAAGTTAATGCTGATGAAGAAGGCGAAGTATGTTTTATCTGTACTCGCCCTATTGATTATTATGCTGTAGCTCCATGCGATCATCGCACATGTCATTTGTGTACGTTAAGATTAAGAGTATTATATAAAACAAACAATTGCGCTTATTGTAAGGTAAAGTATGACAACAAATGAGAAAATAAATAAAAGAAATTTTGTACACTGATGATTGGATGATAATAAACTAGATGGAAGCTAAACAAGTTATATTTACAAATGTTGGCGAAAAGCCTTATGAAGATTATAAACCAGAAGATACACCATTTTATGATAAGAAATATGGTATTAAATTTGAAACCAAAGATATGTATAAAGAAATGAAAGCTATTCTTCAATATAACTGTCCTGAACAAGACTGCGAAGAAGCATTTGAGAATTGGACTGAACTTAAGCGTCATGTAAAAAAGGCTCATGAACGATTATGTTGTGATCTTTGTTTAAGAAACAAAAAAATCTTTTCACATGAACATACTTTGTACACTCAAGCTCAAATTCAAAAGCATTATCGCGAAGGGGATGCTTCATTTAATAAGGATGATGAAACTGGATTTACAGGTCATCCAGAATGTGTCTTTTGTAGAACTCGATTTTATGGTGCAGATGAGTTATTTGAACATTGTCGAGATAAGCATGAACAATGTCATCTTTGTGTTCGAAGAGGAATTCAACATCAATACTATGCTAATTATGATAGTTTGGTAATTGAAATTTTTTTTTTCTTTTAAAAAAAAAAGTAATAAGCCAGTCTTACTTATAAATCTATATAGGAAAAACATTTTAAAAAAGAACATTATCTATGTCCTTATCAAGAATGTTTGAACAATAAATTTGTTGTATTTGATTCTGATATTGATCTAAAGGCTCACGAGGTAAAAGAACACGGAAACTTACTTTCACGTCAACAAAGAGCGAAACAAAGTGAAGCGCGTCGTGTTGATGTTAACTTGAGTTATGCTGGTAGCCCTCATCAACAACAGCGCAGTAATAATAGTAGTAGAAATAGTAATCCTGTCAATTTAGCATCAGCAGAAGAGTTTCCTAATATTGATGGCTCAACTACAACAAATAATGTTACAGCACTATTAGCCTCCAGATTAGCTTCTACAGTTATAACGCCACAGGAAGAATGGCCAATGTTGGGTGAGGAAAACAATAGCAATGTAGCTAGTGGAAGATCTTCACCTATCATTCATAATCATGAATCAGATACAGTTATTGTTTCTCGTCATGCTGCTGCTCTTGATCGTATTGCTGATATATTTAAGAATGTTGAAAAAGTGATCAAGTTTCGTCAATTAGTAACTGGGTTTACTAGTTTAAGCACAAATACAGCTACTTTTGTTAATTCAGTTTATGATTTGTGCGACAAAGATGCAGGAATGGCAGCTAAAGTATTAACTGGAGCAAAAGATCTAATTGATAACCAATCTTTAAAATCTGATATGATCCGAACATGGAATCAAAAAAAGAATTCATCTGTAAGGAATTTATTATTTAAAGATCTTTTTTTTTTGAATTTAATTAATATATTCATATATGTATAGTCTCCCTTAAGAGAGGATGAAAATGATGGAAGCCATGCATCCAATGTGTTAGTAGTGAATCTAGACAATCAAAGAAGTCAACAACAAAAAAGAAAAAATAACCCTGGATATTGGGATAAGGTAGCATCTGCAGCTATTAATGCAAGTAGTAGTAGTAGTAGTCGAACCTATCATAGTACACCCTGGAGTGGTGCATCAAGTTCACGTACCAATTCAGAAAATGATTTACAAGCACTATTTCCTGCCCTACCCTCCTCAGCAGCTAGTTCATCTAGAAGAGTTGCTATTAATTCAATGATAAGAAGAACAAATAATACAAATGCATGGGGAGGAGAACCATCATCAATAAGCAATAATCCAAACGATTCTGAGCTTTCAGATAATAATGATACCATAAACAATAGAAAGAAAAAGGGAAAGAAAGGTAAACAAGTTCTATTCCGCGTTGGTTTATAAAACAAAAAAAAAAGTATTTATGTATGTGTATAAATAATTATGTAATCAATCATCTTCACTTATATTGGTATTTGCTTGTACAAGTGAAAAGGGTGATAATATAGAGGGATTATGTGGGTTTGTTCTCTTTTCTGTATAATCCCATAATAAATTAAGTAAATCTGGCCCTAAAGAATATAAATCGACTACAAATTCATCTTGAAAAGAAAATATTAGTCGTGTTACATGTTGATTGTAGATAATTATTTGTTACCGTCATTTTCTTCCACTAACATATCCTCTTTTTTATGACTTTTAATAATGGATTCAATTTCTTCAGTCTGATCCATTGTCCTTGAACTTAATCTTCTAGCTAATTCCAGAATATCAAAGCCCTTAATGATAAGAAATAGTTAAAATAGTATGTTCACTTTTTTAAAGCTAAGCTAAGCTAAGCTAAGCCAAGCCAATCTACCTGTGGTAATCCCCAAGCTAATCGTATATTTTTATCTACAAATTTATTATGTATTGGATTCACATTCTCTAGATCCTTTTCATCATATACATCATCAATAATGATACCCTCTTGATGATATTGATTTGTTCTCTTTTGTCTACTCGTTCGATTTAATAAATCCTCAGTCGTTACTTCATTCCCATTAAGTACCATATTTGTTGAAGGAGACGTTGGATACTTCATAGTGTTATAAGAAGAAGGAGTTAATGAACCATCACTAAATTGAGCAGGAGAAGGCGGTGTTCTCACTTTTTTTGAATTATTTGTGATTAATGGACTTGTACGTCGCTTTTTATGATATTCGTTATAAGAAGATGGAGATAAAGAAGAGTCGTTATTATTTATATTTATTGATACAGAATTTAAGAGCTGAATTAAGTCAGTTGAGGGATTATTAAAAAATATTCTATGCATAATGGTATAAGTATGTTCGCGAAAATGTAAATCAAAAAAGATATTTTCAGGCTCTGTGACATGATTTTTAAAATAAAGAATAACTCGCATATCAAATTCACCCCATCCTTTCTCTTGTAATAAATAAGGTTCCTTTACAAACACTATAAAATAGATTATAAGCCTTCTTTGATGAATATGAAATCTTATTCCTATTTCTATACCTCTTCTTGGGTTATCAAATGTTGGATGTAATATATATTCAACATGATCCAATAAATGATTTAATTTACCCTTATTTTCTCGATGATTGTCTACTGCCACTAATTTAATCTTCCAATTCCTCCAAGGATGCCCTTCAGAAGCTCTAGAATTTCCTTTCATAACATGATTTTGACAGATAATCTTTATATCTTGAAAATATTCACTCTAAAAAAAATGTATTATATCGTTATTGTAAAAATATGCATGTATATATTTTTTTCTTTACCATTTTTATGCTATATTATTATACTCGTTAAATAGCTTTTTTTTTATTTTTACAGTTAGAATGAAATGTTGAATCTACATTTGTCGATTAATTGAATGAATAAACCAAAAAATAAAATAAAACAATAATAATAAAAAGCGAGTTTCTTACTATTTAAAATATGTATTTTGATCGGGAAAAATCAGAAAAAAAAGGAAATACAATAGAGGGAATATATTAGCTGTTTAATGTATATTTAATAAAGCATATAATACATGCACAATCTAGAAATATGAACAGTAACTTTTTTTTTTTTTTTTCGTTGTACAAAAGAAGAAAGAAAAAAAAAAAAATACACATTGTTATATCTATACATGATAGTTCCGACGCTGAGCCAATTTGCGGTAGTTGAAAAAAAAATTAAATTTTAGTTTTTTTTTTTTTTTTTCGAAATAAATAAAATATACACATGCATGGTGACAGCATTCGTCTTTTTGGATAAAATAAAAAAGTAATATTCGACAAATATGGTAATAAATAATACTTCCAGTGCGCATAGCGTCAAATAGGAAGTTTTTAAAAATTAATGACAATTTTTTTCAAATTCAATTAGCAACTTTTTTTTTTTTTTCCAAAAATTTCAATTGGCAACTTGATATGATTTCAAACGGCAATTTTTATAAGTATTATACAGACTCATTGCTTGAGCATTTTCCAAATATATTAACAGAGTTCTGAATAAAGCCTTTAATATTACTTGATGGAATATTATTACAGGCTTCAGCTATTCTTGTTCTTAAATCCTCATTTTCATTAAAATAACTACGTCTTACTTTGCCCAAAATTGCTCTATAGGATTGAGCTCAGAAGAGTAAGGAAAAAGACAGCCTCGTGCTATAATTATTTTCTCAACTTCTTTAAAGATATGAATTGGTGCATTATCCATAACAAGGTAAAATCCTTTCATTTCAGGGCACTTTATCCATCTTTGAAATAAAGTTCAGGTAATGGTCCGTTACTATATCTTTAGAAGCTGGGGCTTTTTGGAGAGGTGTTCCTTCTTTTATGAGCTCCAGCTATCTTTTTTTTTTTTTTTTATTTTATTTTATTTTTTTTATTTTTTTGGGACTTGAGGAATCCTCAACTCGATATTTACAACACCTACTATAGCAGAGATTGCTTCAAGAACTGTATAGAATGCTGCTTTAGTAATTGGGATAATAATCACAGCTGGAGTACCATAAACTGAACGAACGGTTTTCGGCCTCATATTAATATCAAAATTAGTCAGTTTCATCAATAAAAATACAATTTTAGAGAAACGTCATATCTAAGTTTATCCATTCAAATTTTTGTTTAAAGTCTACTTTTATCATTTCTTGCATGGAATGTAGCTCATTTGATTGATATATTACATTCCTTGGATATAAATTCTAAACTAAACCCTTCAAAGACTTTTGTTAAAGTATCAAATGCATCTTTTGTTAAGACAAAAAGATATTGATTAAAGTAGTTTATACGATAATCCCTTATACTTTTCTTGTAGCTGACTTTTGGCACAATTGACTTTATTAGTTTTCTTTTCATATATATCCTATTCAGGACCCTCTTTTAATTTTTTTTTTAAGCTATTTTCTCTATTTTCGCTCAAGGGCTAGATCATGAGTATCTAGTTTAGGATTTTTAAAAATTTGCCATTTCGCACTGTACTAGTTGCATTTAGGACTTGTTGCATAATTTAGGCCTTTTATCGCCATTCTAAAATTGATAAAGGGGATAGTCCTGTTATTATTAGTAATATTGATTGTATGCTAATAATAATAGTAGATATATTACATAAATACACTTTTAGTAGCTAATATTTAAGGCATCGATAATATATCAACTACAAAATCTTGATAATTTATGCTCATTAAGATCAAAAGATTTAATTTTTGTAGCTTATATCGCAAGATATCAACTACCATGTATCTATTAATCTTTAGAAGATGAATAATATCTTTATTGGACATGGTTCATACAAAAGACAGTTAGAGTCTCTTTAAAACTTTCTTCTTTAAACTTTTTCAGCTAAAAAAAAAAAGTCAATTTCTGTATTATATTACTGCATGTGAAAATCAAAATATTTCAACTACCTAAGCAGCCACGTTTTACCTATTCTTACTATTTTTCTCATCTTTTTTCATTGACTATTATGCTTCTTCTCTTCATCAACTATGTAATTAATCATCATATCTGTATCTGCTTTTCTTTTCTTTTTTTTTCAATCTTGATACAACTTGAGTCTTTCTTTTACCAAAACAGAAACTAAAAAAAAGAGGAAAAGTCTTCGTCTATATGCAAGAAGAGGATATTAGTGTATACCAATTTATCTAATTAAATAGGCTATAATTCATCATAATATGAAAGCAAGTAATGTCTATAATACAATATGTAAGCAACTGCTAACTTATGAATATCTTCTATTATAATAATATTTCTGCATTAAAGCAAATGCAATCAATTTCGATACAACATAAAAATAAAGCTAAATACAACATGTTTAAGAAACACCTTTGGGTCTGTTTTTAAAAAGAACTATGCCTTTGAGTGATTTCCCCCCCAGATAACAAGACTATTTCAGAATCAACATCTACGTTTGTGTGTCATCTGTGATCCCTTTATCTATCGCATACTGTAACAAGTACTAAAAATAATAATAAATATCTATTTATCTTTAGTTTAAAAGATGAGAAAAAACTCGTTAGAATTCTTCTTGAAAATAGAACATTTAAATAGTTGTAATAGTCTATCAGTAAACAGAATAATAGCTGAAAAGCAACACTCAAGAAGGACCAGTTTTGGTACTGAAAAATATGAAAAAATAACTAATAAATCTGTTTAAAGTCCTTTGGAGATAATTATTCAGTTAAAAGATGTTACATTATAACTACAGGTTGCTTTTATAATCGTTTGCCTCTAAATATTATATTACCTGAGTCACAATTAATCCCACCAAATAGAGGTTGATCTATTTCTTATACCTTTACGCTGTATGTTTCATCTTTCCATACAATATAGTCCTTTCATTGACTTTTATAATAATTGTGTAGCCTTGTCTTAAAATTATAGGCAACTCTACATTGAAAACTATTACAAGAAAAACCCTGTTATGAATGTCGCAAGTACGACTAACAATCACTTATATCCCTCAGAATAGGATTTCCAATATCTCGCAGCTTTTGTTTCTGCATTTCATCATCGGAAAAAATAGATCGCAAATACCGCTAATGGGTCAAGTTTGTTTGATTCGTCTTCACTTAAGTTAATTGCATCTTTGAGGATAATTAGGCACTTCTCCGCCCATACAGTACTATTGAACATCTGCCTATGAGAATTTTCCAAAGTGGGTAATAACAGTAATCTTACCGAGGAGGAAATCTTGTCGGTACAAAGAATAACAAGCAAAGGTTGTATGTCAAAGCGGTAGAATACCTCCAAGCATTTTTCAACTGATTGTTTCATCGAATTTTTTGTAAGGTTTGACTGAATCTCCAAAAGGATTGCACATGATTGAGCCATGTAAAGAACAAAATAAGAATCATTACCCGAAAATTCTACTTGAACAAAACTGAAACTAGGACAATCCTTTTTTATAATGGATCCAGCAAGCAATTCAATCAATTTAGGGTTTTGTAAAACTTTTCTAGCTAAAGAGCTATCAGCAAAGTATTCAATTTGACTTTATGGGTTTATCTACTTTCACTCATTGTAATAAAAACTGAAGAGTGAAAAAAGAATTGTGCTTGTTGAATTTCATAAGATCCAACTGGCAACCGTGACCGTAACAATCCAAAAAAAAAGTTTAGTTTTTATAGCAGAAAATAAAATATCATAATAATAAAAAACGTCGCCTTATCAGAAATAAAAAGTCGACTTCAGATTAGAGTAAGCATTTATTTCTACAATAAATTTGATATGCCTCCACTTTAAAGAAAATTGAATGGTAACAGGAAGTTTCAATTGGTAGACAGAAAATTTAAATGGACTATGAGGATTTTGATTGGCCAGAAAAAAGTTTGAATTTCTATTTTTGAAAATCTTGAATTTCAAATGCAAATCACAGTAATAACACATTAATAGTTTTTCTTGTTTGCATTTGCATAACCGCCTCCAGACGCCCCAAATCTATTGAAGATCCACTCTCTTATCTCTTGAATCTATTACCATCAACATTCCATACTAAGAAAGTGAGAAAATCAATTGATGTCTGGCTCATACGCTGGCCTTCTATATGTGTAATTCTGCTTGGAGATGGACTATCTAGCTTCACTCCCAAATCCCTGAACCCTCTGACCATCATCTTCTTTCAGTACAACAACGATTTTCTGATAGTTAATCATCATCATTTATACATACACTTTAACATTTTCCCTTTTATCCCAAAGGGGTTTTTCTTTCCATAGCGATCTGACCAGTATATAAATACTATGTGCTTATTGGTCATTTTTTAATTTTTAAATAAAATTCTTCTTAATCGTAATAACACATTACTTAAACAGGAGTAATGCATAGAGATAGATTTTTATGTATAGTAAAGTTTCATTATTATTTTTTTTAAAAAAAAAAAAAAATCATGAGAAAATTTAAACTTTTCTCTTCCTTTTTCCTTTTTCCTTTTTCCTTTTCCTTTTCCCTTTTTTTTTTTTTGTTTTCCCCTATATATTCATATAGGATGGAAATAGGTCCTACAAGTAATAACTTGACAACGTGTTCATCACAAGCATGTATCGAGATAGCAAAAAGTATTCTAGATGATATAGATTTCAATATAGATCCTTGTTCAGATTTTTATCAATATACTTGTAAATATATATAAATTTATCATATATAGTCTGATTTTGACATTTCATAGGTGGTAATTGGTTGAAAAGAGCTACTATTGCTGAAGATAGAGCATGTAAATAAGCCTTTACTCATATTATATGTACGCTTTATTTTATTTTATTTATTTATTTATTTATTTACGGATAGCCAACGGCACTTTTGAGGAAACAAACGATATTATTATCGATGCTATGCATACAATTTTAGAAGGGAATTATGAAGAGATTTATCAGTCTTTATCTACTATAGATACTGAATTTCATACGCAGGAACAAGAAGCAGTAGATAAAGAAAACTTTGGAATGATGAAAACTTATTATGATACGTGTATGAACCTTACTTACATTAATTCATTGGGACCTACACCTATTTATGAAGATATTGCCGTATTTCAGAATAAAATCTTTCCTATAAACACAAATTCAAATAGCAATGACGACAGTAATAATAATAATGAATCTCTCTATTTTTCAAAGGACAATATTCAGGTCATCAGTCAAACTATGTCACTGTTTAATCAATACGGTATCTCTACTCTGTTCTCATTATTTGTTGATCAAGATGATAAAAACCAAAATATAAATGTTATTTTATTGGATCAAGCTTCACTTGTATTGCCATCTAAAGAATATTATGAGGATCCTAAAGTTTTAGAAAAATATAAAAATGGTTTGAATGATATTCTTTATAAAGTGTTGGGTCATTTTTCAAATAGTATAGAAGATAGTATCTTTCGTATTAAAGCAAGCGAAAAGTATGGATTTCATTTTTGGTCACAGGAAAAGATCTCAGCTACTGTAGATGAGTTTATTGCTTTTGAAGCCCAATTGGCTAATATGTCCCTTAAAAAGTAATTTTTTTTTCTTGCATATCATATACATAACCCCCTCCTCCCCCCTCTCTCTCTCTCTTTTTTTTTTTCCTAACATCTTTATTCTATAGTGAAGACTTACAGGATCCTATAAAACTCTATAATCCTATTCAACTCTCAGAATTTCAGAACAAGTATCCATTCATGGATTGGGCTTCAATTATTAATTCTTTGATACCATCAGATAGTATTTATACACCAGATACGGTTATTATCAGAACCCCTCTATATTATGAAAGACTTAATTTATTACTATCGAGTAACAGAGTCAAATTACAGACATTACAAGACTATTTTATCATCATTTATGTGCTCAACAAAGTATATACCTTGGATGAATCCTCTCGTGCTGCCTATCGGAAAATGAATGGTGAGATATCCATGGGCACATCAGTGGAGCAGCCTCGATGGAGAACATGCGTCAGTTACACTAGCAGTGCTTTATCCAATTCCATGGGTCGCTATTATGCTTTACAGAAATTTGGTGGGGAAGAGGAAAGAAAGAAAGCTGAGGCACTGTTGACGACTGTACATGAGGCATGGTTAAATCGTCTTCCAAACATTGAATGGTTAGACGAACAAACTAGACTTAAAGCGATAGAAAAGGTATTTAAAAAAGCATGGCAAGGAGGGATTTTATATATATATATATATATATAGAGAGAGAGAGAGAGAGAGAAAGAGAGTATACATGTATCTATATTTATATATTATTATTATTATTATAGCTGAATTTAATTAAGCATAAAGTTGGGTATAGTATTATATCACCTGATCTGAGAGAGCCGAATTCAATCAAGAGCTATTATGAGGATCTTTATGTCAACAAAACTAGTTTCTATGATACTGAAAACAATATTGCCATATGGTACGTGAAAAAGATGTGGAAGAAAGTAGGACAAGAGGTGGATAGAGATGAATGGTTCATGTCACCTCAAACAGTGAATGCATATTATTCACCCAACATGAATCAAATTGTTATCCCTGCTGGTATCTTGCAGCCTTCCTTCTATAATTCATTTTATCCAGATTATTTAAATTACGGTAGTATTGGTATGATAATTGGTCATGAATTAACCGTAAGTGTGAATCTGGTTTATACCTGTTATCCAATGGCTCATTATTAATATATATATATATGTGTATATATACATCATAGCATGCATTTGACAGTTCTGGTAGAAAGTTTGACGGGAATGGAAATTTAAATAATTGGTGGACAAATCTAACTTCAACAAAATTTGAAGAAAAGACGCAATGCTTTATTGATCAGTATTCTAAATTTAATACAACAGGTCCTGATAATAATTCGATTCATATTAATGGAAAAGTAAATTTTGATTTCCTTAAAAGAAAAAAAAAGTATAAATAACAAAAATGAATTAATTTAGTTAACTCTCGGAGAAAATTTGGCAGATAATGGAGGAATCTCCGCATCTTTAGTAGCATACCAGAAACTAGTATCGAACAAGATACAACAACAGCAACTGTTGCCTGGTTTAGAAAAATTAGCCCCTGAAGCTTTATTTTTTATTAATTTTGGTCGTACTTGGTGTAAGAAACAAAGACCCGAAATAGCTTATCGAATGGTATATAGATAGATAGATAATAATTTGTAATTAGACATACCTAATTTTATATATAATAGGTTTTTACTGACGTGCATTCACCAGCAACTGCTCGTGTTAATGGTGTGGTTCAAAATAATGCTGAATTCGCAAAAATCTTTCATTGTCCAGCTGATAGTCCCATGAATCCTGTTAATAAATGTGAAATATGGTAGAGTGGATTATAGCTGCGTATAATAAATAAAGCAACGATTTTTTTTTAATTTTACTTTTACTTTATTTTACCTTTTTTTTTTTTCCTTTTTAAATTTGATTGCCTTATGGGATATCATTAGCATATACAGATCGCATTCTAATTAATATCTTTTATGTCATTGATAAATTATCGCTATTGGTGCTAATTTATCATGCTCTAAATCATATAATTTTATTTTTAAATCAAATATCAAGTATAGATCTCGAGAATACATGATTCAATAACGAAAAATAATATAATAAAATAGATGCACTTCTATGTTAAACAAGAAAAGGCATGGATGTCATAATTATAAACAAACTCAATGTCTTCTACTCTCACTCACTCACTCTTTTCTCTCTTTTCTCTCCTCTTTATGTGTGTGTGTGTGTGTGTGTGTGTGTGTGTGTGTGTGTGTGTGTTTTTTGCCCGTTGACAGCTATATTTAAAACAGACCAAATTCCCGAAAATTAGACGACCTGAAAACCTGTTATGATTATGAATTCATATGAAGAAGAAGAGTGAATTATTTCCTGTTCTATTCGTGTGGGGTGTATTTATAGAGGAATAGACGATTTACTTATTGATGGAGTTCTATATTTATATAAAGTGTTATTATCATTATGAACTTATGATGTATATCTACCATTGGTCCTTCCGTTTGATTAGTTTTTTTTTCTTTCTTTTTCTTCTTTAGACTACTTGCTGCCAACTAGTTTTACTTAATGTAAAACAACCTATAAAATAGGCATAAAGACAGTTGATTATAAATTCATCATCATATCTATATAAGAAAAAAAAACTCTAAATTAAGTATAGTAAAAGTAAAGTAAGTTAGCTGATGCCAGTTTATTTACTTCATATAAAAATGTCAAAAAGATATGGTCTTTCTTTTTATTTTATTTTATTTCTCTTACTTTGCATTTATCAAATGTTCAATCATAATTCTAGTAACGATCACGATTCTCAAATAGTAAAAGAAGATTTGAAAGAAAATTTATCAGATAATACAGAAAACGATTCATTATATCAAACGCAATTAAAAGCCATAAAAATACCTTCTTCTTCTTCCGCAACTCATTCTACGAATAATAATTACAATTATTATAATACAAACATCTCTTATATGTCAAGTCATTTCCAAGACTTTTATGATGATATCTTGAGTTTTACAAGTGGTAAATTTATAAAGTGTACATATAAAATAGTATTGCAAAACTATTTAATCATATATGCGTATATATGCGTATGTATGTATATTTACTTTTTTTTTCTCCCTCCCCCTCGTAGATCTTGATCCGTCATGTAAATATAATGAGGAAGATCCAATGGAAGATCCATATTTTATGGCATTCCTGACTTCAATATCATCTAGTGAACCTACTTTATCTTCTCATCGATATCCATCACAGCAACAACAATTTGCATTCTTACCGCAGCAGTTTGAATATTCCTTTAATAATGGCAGCAGCAGTAGTAGTGGTAGTCCTAAATCAATACCTTCTATAAAAAAAAAGAAAAAGAGATCCAGTTTAGAAGAAAGTGACATGACTACACAAAAGAAGGCTACTTCAACTAAAATTGGTTATTGTGAACACCCGAAGCATGTCTTTTATCGACAAGAGAGACACATGAGTTGTAGTAACGGTAATGAATCTGCAACTTCAGTTATGAAGGCAACACCTCGTCGTGGAAGGCCACCCAAGGGTTCAAAGGCAACTGATTTTATTTATTCTACATCTCCTTCATCCGCTTTTCTTCCTACAGACAGCTGTTATCCTATTGTTGAATTAACCGTACGACCTTTACCTAAACGATTAGAAGCAGTTGTAGGTAAATCAAATATCAAAGTCTGTTTGACATGTCTTAAAAGATCTGATTTGGATCCTGATTATATACACAATGAAGCTTATATTGGTCCTCAGCAATTATCAAAACGACGAAAGTAATGATAGTATATGAATTATTTGTGTGTTTTTTTTTTATATACATATACATATACAAATATAAGGATATCTTGTTTATTTTGCTATTTTAATAATAATAATAATAATGATAATAATAATAATGATAATAAAAAGGGAAACATTCATAATTTACTGCTGTTATTACTTTCCTCGTCAGGAAATAAGATACCTTGAAATCTAGTCATTTGAGGAAACTGATTTCCTTGCTGCTGTTGTTGTTGTTGTGTACTATTAGATTTAATAGGTTTACTTGAAAGTAATGATATAGCTGAAGATCTCCTTCTTAAAGGTGATAATAATTCATCCTCTGATGTTTCTTCTTCTTCTTCTTCTGCTTCTGCTTCTGCTTCCTCTGCAAATTCAGGTGGTTGAATCCATTCCCAAGGTACTACACAAGGGAATATACTTCCTAATTTAGCAGCACGATTAATCCAGGCAGGTATTGGCTTTTTCGTTAGTTTCTGTACAAGTGCTTCAGTAAAATGGTTACAATTCCTTGTGAGCAAATTATAAGAAGGTCCGATAAATTCATCAGATAATTTTAATAATAAATCTTCAAGTTCAGCTTCTGTCAAATCCATTGTTCCCATGTCAATTGTTTTCCTTTAATAAATAGTATTTAGAAAATTATTTCCAATATTTAAATAAATATATACTTTAATGTCAATTCAGGAATTCCTGTTTTTGGTTCAACAACGAAAACACCAGTAACATTAGGAACATCATGTCCACCAAAGCAATATTCTTTATCTCCAATCTCAACCCCGGAATGAAATACACCTAAGAATTGTTAAGTTTTAACTGTTTCATTGCTTTTTTCAACTTACCAATGCCTAATGCATAATAACCAAACTGGGTTAAATAGTTAGATTCAAGCTAATACAATTTCATATAAGCATCACTTTAATAGTTAACAAATATATATACATATATATATATATATGCATATATCAACACAACAGTAACATATATTTATATATACAAATATATATATATATACCATATCATAAACATTAACATAAACTATATTATACAAGTATTAATCAACAACAACAAAAAAAACATACACACACATTTACTAATGTATATGAAATGTACCATGTTGCTTTGAAGTGTTACATTCTTCAAATTCACGTTTATTAAAAAAGTAATTAAACATTGATTAGTAAAAATAGAGTATCAAACAATGTATTTCTTTTTCGAACTGATTTATTTAACGCATTAAATTTTTTTTTCCTTCTTACCGCAATATAATTTCCATTTTTGGTGATAATCTTAGCATGTCTCAAAAGTCAACAGTCAATAACTTACATTTTTTGAATGAATTTAATGCCTTGGTTATTCTGTTGTCAATCGTGTTAATAAAAGAAGAAGAAAAAAAAAACTCCCTCTCTCTTTTTTTTTTTCTAGCTTGTTATCACCTGTTTAAAAGTCAAGTTTTCTTTTATAGGACTTATTTAAAGAAGCAGTATATATAAACACTATTAATAATAAAATAGGTATTCTTTATGTAACATCATTCAATAATAGAAATGGTATGAAAAAATGTCAGACAGTAGCTAGTAAATTTTTCTTTCTTTCTTTCTTTCTTTACAAAGTAAGCTTGCATTACCAGGAAGAAATCTTTTTTACTTGTTTTGCTAAAAGTCCATAAGCCTGTTGAAGTATATAGTACTAAAGTTAGAATCAACTCTTGTACTCTCAGTTAGCTTGTTTATTTATTATGCAAGTAGTCAAGCTACTTTCATATAAAGATGATTACTAAAAAATGATGATAGTTATATATCAAAGAATGTTAGCCTGGTTAATTTACTGATGATCTTGATTTATTGACAATAGAAAACTATACGTGTGTTAAAATTTTTATTAAGCAAATTATATAGAAAATGTGTGGATTTATCACAAATAAAAGTAACTCTTGGCCGCCACACATTTTAATCATATCCACAAAGTTTGGCCAAAAAAAAATATTATCTCTGTAAACACTAAAATCCTTTTGAAGGTTGTAATTTTAAGATGTGCATGGAAAAAAATAAATAAATTAGAATTCTTCTTTTCCATTAAAACCTTTGGCTATAAAGTAATTTTTGCGTTTTCCTGAAGTATTTTTACACCTGCATTTTGTTGTTTTATATTCCTTCTCCCCTCATCTTTTTTTTCCTTATTTAAATAAGAAAAAAAAAAGAAAAGATAAGTATATTTAAGAATTATAAGACATTGTTAATGCTATTCTGCTTTCAACAGTACATTATGTGCTGTGATGCAGATATATTTTTTTTTAAAAAAAAAAAAAAAATGTCTTATAATTCTTTAAAATATCCTATCTATTACTACATTTTTTCTATCTCGGCTACTTTGATCTCCATTATAATGGTGATCATGATGCTGGTGAACTCCAGTCAGAGTAGCAGACTCAGTAGTAGTTGATCCAAGTACTATTTACAAGAATTTCATGTAAACTTTTCTTTTTTTTTTCTTTTTTTTTCGCTTTTTCTTCTTATATTTACGTTCATGGATCTTTCTAGGTTTTCGAACTTGATCGTGTGTATTGTATATAACAGATTCTTCCTCTACAATATATGTACATATTAATAAAATCGTTACAGTTGCCCCCCCGTTTTTTTTTCTTTAATTCTTACCTTGGTTTGGTTTTATGTACTCAATTGTAGTTATTAAACTATTCAAAAGCTACAAAATAGACACACATATATATATTTATATATTTGTATTTATAACGTTTACATACATCATACTTTGCTGATCTTCTCCTTCTTTTACCTTTCGTTGATTTTCAACAACAGCTTTTAAATCTTTTACTTCTTTAATAGTATGATCCAATTTTTCTTCTAAACTTTCAGTTGAAATTTGTAATTGATGAATTGTTTCTTGAATAGCTGAATCCATTAATTTTGGTGATGCAGAACTATCGATATCATATTCAGAACTTTCAGAAGGAACGACGTCCATCACGTTAGAATATCTTATTTGGGGTATAAGCCTATTCCGAGGTGGTTTCCTTCTTATTTTGTGCAACTTATCAAATCCTGTCTTGTAAAACCAGGGATGTTTAAAATCCCAACGCTGTGGATGACTCCCGCTTGTATTCATATCCGAATTAGCATCTTTCGTTTTATGAAAGTCGTACACTATATACACAAAGGAGAAAAAAAGTTAAAAAAAAATATATATACACACATATATGAAGAAAAGAACGCACTATTTAATTGTCGAACAAAACTTGACCAGTTGCAGTGTTTAAAATAACAAGGTAAAACTTTCCTTGAGAAATCAACATTATTAAATACTGTGAATTGATCGCCAGAGCCAGTCCAAGCTATTAAATTTTGTGTACTTTCATCATCTACCATGCTAGTTATATATGTGTGTTATTTAAGAATTTTTTTTTTTAACATGAGCTGATTAAACTTACGCAAATAATTTAGTAATGAATGCAGCATTCCTTGTTGGAGCTACTCTGAAGAATCGTTCTACAAATCCATGTTTATTTTGCTGTCTTCTCCCCTTTTTTTCCATAGAATTAACTTGTTGATGTGTTGGTGGTGACAAATGCCGTTCGTCTTCTATCTTTTTTTTCTTCATTAGAGTATAATAAAAAAGAGGAATGACCCTTCTTAATAGAAGATATACAATTCTTTGCCTGTTTGCAAAAAAAAAAAAAAGGGATACAAATAAAAGAATACTTTTTTTAATATTTTTTATATAAAAAAAACAAAAAGGAGTAAAGTTTTGTATATTTTATTTTATTTTATTTTATTTTATTTTATTTTATTTTATTTTTTGCCGATGCATTTGTTATATAAATTATTAACAAATGCCTTTTTGTATTTTCAGTGGAAACAATAATTCTAATTTGTCGTGACTTCCGGTTGCCCCTAAACAGAAAATCTTCTAGAACGTCAATGTTTTGTATGGAATAATAAAGAACACTACTATTTACTTGATGTAACTAAATCTCGATCCTGCTGAAAGCTTTTGCTTCTTTTTATAAGAATTGACATTGTCTACTTTCTGAAATATTTTAATTCTTCTATGATTATTTACGTCATATCACTAACTCAGAGTATATCTTTCAAGTAAGGGAACCAGTAAATTTACTTTACTTTCTATTCTATTAGCTGTAGTAAAAAAAAAAAAAAAAAAAAAAAAAAAAAAAAAAAAAAAAAAAAAAAAAAAAAAAAAAAAAAGTATATCTTTATCTCCTTAACATACACAAATATAAAAGCACATTATGTCATCATAGTACAGATAGAGATAACCTTCTTTTTTGTTTGTTTGCATTTTATAAATCAGAAGCTTCCTGTTACATAGCTGTAGTATTTAGAATTTATAAAATGCCAGAAATAACTTGACTTTGATCTTCTTTAAAAATAATTCACCATCAAACAATATTCTCTTGCCTAATAAACTGATATCCTCTTTATTATTTATACATACTAATTCCCTGATTACTACTGCCAAGGTCATTATTCAGAATGAATACTAACATTTGTCAGTAGTATACATAAATTCGAACCATCCTGGTACTATTCTTTCAAGCTGTTCATAATAATTACCTTTTTTTTTTCCTCCTTACCTAAAAAGACCCTTTTTTTTTCTTTTAATAACAGTGGATATCACATCAAATAGTTTATTTTTAAAACAACAAAAAAGATAGCTTACAATGTAAATCCTTCTATTTAAACATACTAGACTTTATTATATATAAGTTTACTCTATTTCATTTTTAAACATGATTTAAAGCATTATATATAAAAGTAAGCGAATCATATAATTGGTGGCTTCTTCTATATGTCATTTTTATTTTGTATAAAAAAATCATTTGATTTATCATTATAGGTACAACATGATGTACTCTAATCATCCAATAAGAATACATCAATGCCTTTATTTGAAATTCTGTTAATAAATGAACTTTATTTTCAACAAGCTGTTCATAATTCAATAATGTCTTCAGAATGACGTAAAGATAATTTTCTACTATTGTTTTTTTTTATGTTCAAAAAAAGAAAAAAAAAATACGCGATACTATGATGTATAAATGTAATTTTATATTGCTATGCATTCTATTTTTTTTTTCTTCTTTTACTATTTGTTTCTTTTTTATCTATTTAATAAAATAAAATAAAAAATGGCACTGTATTATGGTATTGTGTTTGCTATTTTAGCGTCTGAGGTAAAGGATAAATAAATTAAAATATAGAGAATAAAATGTATTCATTTACTTTTTGGTGTCTTTTTTTTTTTTTTCTTAAAAAAGATTTTCGTTTTCTTTTTATTCTTGGTAAGTACATGCTAATACACTTTTTTTTTTTTTTTTTTTTAAAAAAAAAGAATATATGTACAAATAGACCCATTGTTGTATATCTATTGATTGCTTTTAGTTACCTATTCCTACTCGATGGCAAAAACCAGTTTTCCGCTGGATTGCTACCTCACCTCTTGTAAGTAGATGGATGATAGATACATGATTATTTGCTTAAATAGTTGAATAGTGACTGAAAAATTGTATTTTTTTTTATATACATATAGATAGCTCATTTTCAATATGTGATGAGAGTTGTGTTTGCGTAAGTTTATACTATTAAAAAGCATCCTATATGATCGATCCTTTCTAATATACATACATACTATAGGTTTATCTTTATTCTTTTCTTGGGTAAATATAAATATTTATTTAATAATATTCTATATACCTATTTAAGGTGAATTTTAGATGCTGTTAATACATTAAGAGCGTTTTATGAAGTCGTTAATGAGGAAGAGAATGGTGTCCCTACGGGTAATTCAGATTTTAGAGCACAAGTGGGTCAAGCTGCAAAGAAATTTTATGCTCAAAGAAACTTATACCTTACTGGTTTTACTATCTTATTATTACTGTAAGTTTTGGGAGAGGGGGGGTGGTTCTATTCAAATGTGATTATATAATCTTGTTAAATTCCTATGAATTGTTTTATTATTAGTATCTTGAATAAGATTAAAAGCATGGCACAAGATTATATTCGATTAGAAGATGAGTTCATTGAACTTGAAGCAGCCGTAAGTATCTGCATTATCTCTTTATTTCCCTGTATAAATAGATAAAGTTTAACCCCTTCACTATTTAATATGTATATCCAGACCTCTAATGACCCAGCAGTTAAAGCTGCTGCTAGAAAGATGGATACAGCACCCATTGAGTCAGAGAAAACTAAACTTGAACCTGTTAAACAAGATAATACTTCTTCTTTTGATAACAAGGATAAAGAAAGCAGAAAAGATATTTAATTTAATAATATAAAATAATACTTTTTTTTTCTTTTTTCAATAATAATAAAAATTACGCGTGTATGTGATCATTATATTCACCACTACTACTTTTCTAGTAGGAAATAATTTATTTGTTGCATATTATTATTGTTTACAACTAAAACGTTTTTATTGGTTTCAGAGTGTAAATTTATTATTCTATTTTACGAGTAATGCATATACATAATGAGTTTAATTATTTTGTGGAATAACATGCTTGATATTCAAAAGTATTATTAGCTTAGAAGACAAACATCTGCTGAATAGATACATACATACACACACACACATATATATATATATATATATATACATATATAAATGGCTATCTAATTCAACCTATATAGGACTGGAGTTGATTCAATGATCGTCTATCGTCATCACTGTAATCTCTCCTAATACTTGTGTATATTCTTCTTATGCACAAATAGATAAATGTATATACTTTTATTCGTGGAACTTGTACATCTTGGAAAATAAATACACTACTACTACTACTACTACTAACTGTATGTTCCAGATATTTACTTGTGATGAATAAGGGACTAAAATCTCAACCCACCTTCCTAATGCTATATCTGCTGTTGTACAGTATCTAAATACTGTCATGTCCTTTATATATATATACATTCTTGATGATCAAATAGTAGAATGTTGTCTGCTCATCATAATAACTACTAAAAAAAAAAGAAAAAAAAATAACTGTAGTTTGAATTAAACTAGTTTGCTATTTGACTTGTATAAGCCTGAAAGTTGAAAAAAAAAATGAGTTGCCAGAAAGGTGATTTTTTTTTTTGTTTGTTTGTTAATTAATTCATGTTAAAACGTAGTATTATGTAATATATATGTATAATAACCAGTGTTGTTTATTTATGCTGATTTGTATATAAAATCCTATTATTTCTAACTCATTGTGCAGCAGACATACTATTTTCCTTTCTTTCTTTCCTTCTTTCTTTCTTTCTTTCTTTATTTACAAGTTATCTTTATAATGGTTATTGAACACCAAGCCATATCTCAAGAAGAACAAAGAAAGCTAATAGAACCTTATCAACTATCTGTTGAAGAACATATTGCAGACAAGGATCAGGAATCTTTAATGAAAGTAAAATATTAACAAAAAAAAAAAAAAGAATAATTTTGTTATTAAAATATTATTCAGTCTTTTAGTTCTTTTGTCGATAAAAGCACACATCCAACAAATGAATCTGTTACTGGTATGTAAATAACAATATAGATAGAAACATTGACTTTTGTTGTTGTTTTTTATATACAAATATATTTTAGAAACTGGTTGTATTCATGCTCCATGCTCAAGGGCCCCACGTCACTGGTATCGTCATAAATTAAGTAATTGGGTCTATAAACATGTTGCTGTACCTACTGGTTTCAAGTTGGCTGTAGAAAAAAAATTTGGTAATTTTATTGTCATACGTGAGGTATAATAGAGGTTATAGGATATGTTTGTACTACGTAATAGTATATATGAATACAAATATTATTATTATTATTATTATTAGACAGGTCAATTACACTATGAAGAAATGCCGATTTATACACGTATCGGTATGCATATACTCTTCAATAACTATTATGCAGATAGTGGTAAATAATAAATGGAAATTTGATTTTATTTAACTTACTCATTTTGATTTGACTACTAACTAGTGGCGGATACAACGTTAATGCATTCACTTTTCGCCAAAGAAACTATACGTCAAGGACATTACTTTGACCAACCAGAGTCAGTTAAATCTATTCCTAGCTTTGTACACCATTATTGTATAGATATGGATAATTACGCAATTTCTGACTTGAATAAATATAAAACCTTTAACGAATTCTTTACAAGAGCTATCTTGCCTTCAAAGAGACCTATAGCAGATCCAAATGATGATGTAAGTTTTTTTTTCCTAGGGGAGGAGTGGGGGGAGGGGAAGAAGGATTATTAGAATGGTGAATAAACTCTCTTATTTCATAATAATATATAGAATGTTATTGTTTCATCAGCAGATTGTCGGTTAAATGTCTTTGATTCTATAGATGCTGCAACTACCTTTTGGATTAAAGGAAAAGAATTTTCATTATCAAATCTTTTACAAGATCAATCTTTAGCGAAAAAGTTAGAAGGTGGATCTCTAGCTATCTTTCGTCTTGCACCACAGGATTATCATCGTTTTCATATTCCCACAAAGGGAGAAATAAAGTCTATTCAATCTATTTCTGGAACTTATTATACAGGTAAACAGAATAATAATATAAATCCAGCAACAGAGAGAGAATATATCCTTGGTTATTTATTTAATAATATGATGGATGTAGTGAATCCCTGTGTGGTTACAGCAGATATCAATGTGTTTACTGAAAATCATCGAAATAGAATCATAATTGAAAGTCATCATGGATTCGAATATGTATTAGTCTCTATCGGTGCTCTCTTGGTTGGTTCTATTGTGCTTACAAATGCAAAAGAAGGGGAAAGATTAGAAAAAGGTCAAGAGATGGGTTACTTTCAATATGGTGGTTCAACTGTTATAACCATTTTCCCTAAAGATACAGTAACTTGGGATAAAGATTTGTTAAAAAACTCTCAACGATCTCTAGAAACATTAGTGATGATAGGAGAACAAATTGGTGTCTATAATAATATTTAAAGAAGAAAAGTATATACATATATAAAAGGAAGGAGGACGCTTTATTTTATTCTGCTATTATTTGTTCATTTGTATTTAAAATCGTTTCAATTTGTAAAAGCCATAATTTGGCTGGATGCCGTTCATCCACTATATTTCCAAGATAATAACCTACTAAATCTCTTAACTGATTAAATTCCTGTTCTGAAAGATAGAACAAATCTGGTCTTTTGATAATTGAAAAAATAGTTCGAAAGCCTTCTCTAATTAATAGTTGACTATTCAACAGGGAAAGAAGAAAAAAAAAAAGGAGAATGTTATTCACGTACTCTTTTTTTTTTTTTTCCTCTATTTTATTATAATAACTTACTGTTCTTTTATTTCTTGTATTTGCTTATTTTTTGAGGAGAACGAAGAACATTCAATCATTAATTCTGATGTTTTGAAGAAAATCTACCAAATAGTGAAATGAATATATAAGGATGGATAACCTTCCATTTATTAGTTTATTTACCATTTTTAGCGATGCATGTAATATCTCTGCTGGTAATTGAACTTGAGCCATTTCACCTAATATATAAAGTATTCTTCTACGTAAAAGATACCACTAACAAAATAAAAGCATTGAAAATGAATACCAAGTTATATTTTACAAATTGCAATGTCTTTATATATATATATTTAAAATTTACTTTTTCTGAAGGAATTGATAATTGAGGCACACTCAATAAATTAGATAAACGAAAAACAATGTCTAAACAAAAGTCGATTTCAGTGTTATCATTCATCGTCTTTATATTCATCCAATTTTTATCCAGTACAATCATTTGTAAAAGTCCCCAAATCTTGTTTAGAATTTCATAAGGTGTATCTGTTGATATCAACTTTAAAAAGGATTCATTTGTAATAAGGAACTGAAGTTTATTCCTAATTGAAATGTGAGTGTCTTGATTGTAAGGTTTTTAAAATTAAATTAAATTAAATTAAAAATTGAAATTGAACTTTTACATTGATTTACTGTTATCTTGTGCTACACGAGTGAATATCTCCAAAATCGCTTTCACAGTTGGAAATGCTTCTTTTGGTGTTCGCTTCGTGTCACGGGCTTTGATGATCGCTGAAGGAAGAACGTCATATTTCTCCGATAATTTTATGATTTCAGTATAACTCATGTCATAAACTTGACTATTCTCTTGTATGATGTAATATTCTGGAGGTAGCTTTGAAAATGGGAAATGAGTAAATGCTTGCGCTAGTTGATAGAGTGTCGAATGCGTTGAATCGATAAGGAGTTCTTGAAATAATAAATCTCTTGTAAATAAGAAATGAACTGTCAATTTATTGATAATTTCTGCAATTAGTTGTATAATTTCATACAGTCCTTCCTCATGACAGACAGATAGACAGAATCGAAAATTAACTAATAGGATACGACACGTTATTTTTGCATTTTCAGAAGAAAGGATAGCATGATTGATTTCTCTAGAAAGAATTTGCAATTGCTCTAGTCCTTTAAGAGAGCATGTATGGGAATCTTGAGATGGAATGAATTGTGCTGAAAATTGTTCACTGAATGATTTAATACGTGACGGTACAAGTGATGTATTGAATTCCTTTGAAAAGTTTTGTGTTTTATTCCATTCTTTAAAGATAGTGTCGAAAAGAATTTTATATAATTGCAGCTAATTTATTTATGTACAAAAAAAAAGAAAAAGAAAAAGAAACGTTAGTATTGCTCAAAAATGGTTCATATAATTATGTAGGTTTACATGTTCTTCACTTTCTGTTTGCTCTAAAGGTGAACGTTGTATCTGATTTTTTGGTCTCATTTTTACTTTATTAGATACAATCGATCCTGCTTTAAATGGAACAACTGCTGCTGCTGCTGCTGCTGATGATGATGATGATGATAATGAAGGCTCCTGTAGGACAGCTTGCTGAAAGGTAGATGTATCTTTATTACTTATTCGTTCGTCTTTAATGGATGAAGGTGTACTATGCTCCTGTTGTGGTTGCTGTGTAGGTGATGCTAGTAGTTTCGGTACATTAGTTGATATTGATTGTTGAGATGATACTGTAGATGATTTTTGATCTGAAGAAGCTGATGATAATAAACTTCCTTCATGAGGAAAAATAGGATTGAATATTTTTTAGGTTTTAAAGCTTTTAGTTTAGTAGGAAAAGGTGTACCAGGAAAGACCCTTTTTGACTGACTTTGATCAATATCAGTTTGGTACTTTGTCACTTGTTTTTTCAAATTAAGTACTTCATGTTCCTAGGTATTTAATACATACATACATACATGAATATTTATTTACTTTTTTTTTATAAAAATTCTATATATCATCTATACTTTGACTCTAGCTAATTCTTCAACATCTTTTAATTTAGATTCTAACTTTTTATTTTTCACTTCTGTAAGATATAACTTATATTTTAATTCTTGCATTTGTTTTTAGTCTAAAACAAATTCTTATACATAAATATGAATAGAATATATCTCATATATATATTTCATACATAATCATCTATTGTTGAATCTATAATAGATCTATTTTGAGTAGAAGCTACGAAATTTTCATCAACTTTATGATTATTCTCTTGTACATTATCTGTCTGCATTTGTGTACTCATGTAGTACTGTTCCTCTTTTGCTAATTTTTCTAGATCATCTGGATTTAAATCCTCAAAATCAAACAGATCCTCATTAAAGTCCATTTCGCTCATTTGCCTTTAAAACCAACAACAAAACAAAAATGCGTATATTTATTTATTTATTTATAAATATTCGGAGCACAGTAACGCGAAAACGCGCATTATATTTAACATGTATGTTTTGCTGGGTTTCAAATGATAGTTTTATAATTATACTACAATCATCAAGCAGTAAAAGAAGTAAATAAACATATCTGTAATAAGAGTTTCTCCAAATAATTGTATGATTGGAGCCCACTTCAGTGTTTTGAAATTAGTAAAAAAAAAATAAAAATAAAATAAAAAATAAGTGACTATTATCTAAATAATACTCAATTAACAGGTAGTGCCCACTTGAATATATGCTGTTCAAGATAGTTTCTCTACTACTCGAGAACCTTTAGATCACATATTATGTTCTAGTTGAAATTTGTTACATCCTTTAGTATCGATATAAAGATAGACTTGTACTTATTTTTCTTCAATATATAAAGTATATATATAAAAATATATACTACAACAGAACGAAGATATATCATCCTTGTATCTCTGCTTGAACCATTTTTTTTTTACGAATAATAATCACTCTTATTGTCTTTCTTGATCTTTCAAGTCACAGATTACGATTAAATTCTGATTTTTATTATTATTATTATTTTTTTTGGCAATGAGCATGTAGCGACGAAATAAATGCGCAATATTGCCCGAGCCAGTTATGAAGGGGAAATAAAGAATAAAAACCTTCCTAAAGGACAAGAAGGGAAAAAAGAAAAGAGCAGTATTTTGGAATTAAGAGAAAATATAAGGAGGAAAAAGCGAAAAAGTGAGAAAGTGAGAAGAAACAATTTAAATACAAACCAGATTAAAGTGATCAGGAAGACACACACTATTACTTGGACAACCAATTCAGCAGCTTGAGACCAGGATCGACAAGATTAGGAGGAAATTCATCATGGAACTAGTAATCAAGTTCATGTAGAGTTGTACAAAGAATAGGCCATAAAGTATACCAGCTCGTACAATCAGAAGGACGACGAGGTTTATGTAGTGGAAACAAGTTGAGGAGGAACGAGATGGGTAGAAATACTGTACAGTATTTTTGGTTAAGTTTGAGACGTTTTTAAAAACTTTTGGGACCTTATTTAGTTTTTTTAAGACATAAAATAAATTACATTTAGACTATACTTTAAAAATTAAGACTTTGGCTTTTAGACAGTTTCTTTTTTCTTGAAACTTCATACTAAATGGACTGCATTGAGTACAACCCAGAAACCGAATCCTTACTAAGAGAGCACAATATGAGATGAAAGTTGATAACTATGAGCTTGATTTTGGTATAATGAATAATTTAGTTCATTTTGAATTTTTAAATCAATAAGTAATCGAACCTCAGCCAATGGAAGACTTAGTGGAGGAAATTACAGTTGACATGAGTAAAGTCAAGCTCAGTACGAGGAAATATAAAAAGTACGGAGCAGACCAGATAGAAAGATTCATCAAGATGCTCCAAGAAGAGGGGTTATCTGTCCCTAAAACGGCTGCGGTATGCAACATACCTCATTCAGGTGCTTATAGACTTTTGGACGAGTTTAATAGTGGTGACGGGCACGTACTTCCAAGCACAACAGTCAAACCAAAAACTGTCAAACCTGAAAAACTATTTCAAGAACATACCGAATTCTTGATTGTTCTTTTTGATAAAAATCCATCGATTGTTCTTGAAGAAGCCAGATCGCAGTTATTAAGCAACTTTCTAGAAATAGGTGATGTTGCTATTTCAAGCCTTTGCACTCATATTCGTGAGAAATGTTTTTTTGAGTCTCAAGTAAGCGAGCAAATACACTGCAGAAAGAGACTCACAAAGGACTTTAAATCTTCGATACCATGTGATAACTCAGTGGAAAGCAGTAGGTGTCGATTTTTTGAAAAACTGTGTGTTTGTAGATGAAGCCGGTTTTCATTCACAAATGATGAGAAGCAGAGCTTGGTCGAGAGTTGGTGAACCAGCGAAAGTAAAGGTTTATAATAAAAAAGGTGTGAATATCAGCATCATTAGTTGCATAACTGCAAGAGGGATCCTTAGTTTTTCTAAAGTTGAACCCTTAAAGAAACATGAAGCTGTACAGCTTGAAAAAGAGTATAATCCGAATGAGCGTGATTCAAAGAAGAGGAAAGCAGATACATCAAACCAAAAGCCTAAACCTCTCAAAAAGGGTACCAACTGCGTATCATATTTTGAAATTCATGGAATCAATTATGGATGTAATGGACCAAAATGATATGAAAGGGCATTTTATTGTGATGGACAACTGCAAAATACATCATAGTAAATTTGTTGTTAATGTCATAAAAGCTCGGGACTATAAACCTCTATTCATGCTGTCATATTCACCTTTTCTAAATCCTATCGAAGAGTGCTGGTCCAAAATCAAAAAAAAAATATCAGACGAAACCCGCTCGAAGCATGTAAAACTGTTACTACGCAGGATTATCAGGGTTGGGTTAAACACGCAACTTCATACTGGGATAGGTGTTTGCAAAAAGGAATTGGCTTGAAATAATACTATCTCTTTCCCATTTTTACGTCTTAATAAATCTTACTTGCGTCTCAAACTGATTTTTACAAAGTCCAAAAAAAAAGTAAATGGGATCTCAAAATGATTTTCAAAATTTTCCAAAGTTTTTTAAAAACGTCCCAAACTCAACCAAAAATACTGTATTATTTTTTCATTATGCCTGGTTCTATCGCTGGCCAGTTATGTATACCATTCTACAGAAAATAGATTACTTAATGCACGACAAACTACCCCCTCCACTTCTTGATCCAGGCAGGAAATTATTCAACTGACTGTCCCTTTAAACTTGTTAATAATATTCTCCCTTTCTTTCTCACCTTCTCTTCTTCCTTTCCTTTACCTTTTTACCTCTTGTCCTGTAAGAGGGTTTTTAGATACTTTTTTTTTCACATAATTTGAACTGACCTGGGCAATGCAATATAGCAAAGATATTATGTGCCCATAGGTCGCTTTATAAATTTCAATTTATAAAAATATAAAAAAAAAATGTTTAATCGTATTATTTTTTCAACCCCAGATCATAAAATGAGTTCCAATCATCTTATTTAAGATTAAACACCGTGCCTGTAACAGTAGCAGCAGCAAGTAGAAGACAAACCCCGCTTTAAGGTACCCGGGGAATTGCATTTGGTAAGATTTTCTTTCTTTTATTATTTTTCTTTTTCTTATTGATTATCTTCTTCTTTTTAGATTTTATTTTGTATATAAATATAAAGATATATATAACTATATATATATAAACATATACATATATTTATACGTACGTACAAACATACTGAACTCAGTCACTTGAAGAAGACATTACAAAAATAAAAATAAAAACAAAAAGACGATCGATTATAGACATTACATGTCATTTGTTATAATTCATAAATGAGTCCAGATACAAAACTTATTGCGAGTTTAGTGAATCGATTACTTATCAGGGTATATATATACATACATATATAAAGATCAAAAAAATAAATAAATAAAGATAAATACTTATCTCTTTACAAACGTGTTTTTTGTTTCTCTCCTTAGCTACCTAGTAATAGTGGAAAAAAATTAGAAGTTCTAGAAAATGATCCTCTTATAAATCAAACGTATGTGTCCTTTATATATTTATTTATTTAATAATGCTTTTAATATAAATATTTAAACTTTTTTTTTCTTTTGTACATGTGTCATCATTTTAGAGGTATATTCAACATACAAAAAAAAAAAAAAAAAAAAAAAAAAAAAAAAAAAGTGGGGAGATGCAAGTTCGGATTTTTTTTTTTAAAAAACAGAATCGAATATGTACGATACATATTTATTTATTTATTTATTTTTTATTAGTTGCTGCTTTGATTGAATTATCAAAGTTTAGATTACCGACAATAGCAATTACTTTACTAAACCTATTAGACGGTGTCAAAGTAAAATTATCAAAATATACCCGAAAAAATTAAAGTTAATAAAATTAACTTTATTATTTTATTTTAGATGCCAACAAATGAGGAAAATTTTCCACATGAGAACCTACAATCACAATTATTTATTCTTCGTTTACTCTCAGCATGTATGCAACATCATTGGCAATATATAAGGGATATTAAATCTGATAGTGTATCAGTAAAGGCATCTTCTGTCGCTGGAGGATATGAAAGCTCAATACAGAGTTTTGATAGCTCATCTCGTTATAGTAAATGGTCTGCATCGGATGGACCTTCACTTATCGAAATGGAAGATCCTCCACCATTTGAAGATTCTGTTGCAAAACATGTTTTAGCTGTTGTATGTCGTATGATGCATCAACTAACTATTATGGAGGAAAGGGAATATGGACATATGACAAATCATAACACTCAAATAACTAGAACCGAATATTATACTGCTAGCAATATAACAAAAACTTCAGCTGATATCATTTTAGATATATATAAAGCTATTAGTAGAGTGATTGCTTATTTGAGTGCAAGCAATTGGAATATAGTGTTTCTAAGAGTTAGAACACGTATTCTTTATTTATCCACAACGAGTGATGAAAATCCAGAGACATCAGATATGCGATTATTAGAATGTTGTTCATTAAATTCGAAAAGGCTTAGTATTATTCTTTCAGGTATACTAACGCTATATATTTATACATATTTATATATGTATTATAAATATAATACATACATACATACATATATTAACCTAAATTTATCTAGAGCTTTGTTTGAATTTCCCCAATTTAAAGAAAACAACTCAGCTTATTGTCGCAGCTATTCTTCGTAGAGCTATTTGGGGTTGGATTGAAACTTATCCAAGTGAATTTATGCAATTATGTCAAAGTCAGAAAAAATTGGATGGTGGTCCAGATGTGTTGTTTGAAATTTGTTTATCCTTAGCAGATACAACTAGAAAGAAAGCTAACCTTTGGCCGTTACAGACGATGCTTCTTATTCTTTGTCCTGATCTTTTATGTTCATCAGCTAATCCGGATGGTCATAGAAATGTAAATTCAAAAAAGACGTTTTTCCTTGCTACTCTCAAAAATTCTTTAAAACCAGGTCGAATGGCTGAATTAGCTGCTATTTGTTATGCAGATATCTGTAAAGCGGCGACCTATGTGCCAAAGACAGAGGCTTCTGCTCTTCGACATATTGTACCTGATATAGAGACCGAGTTAAGGAATCAACTCTTTGATCGAGATAGGCCCTTGATTGCAGATAGTTTAATGAGTGGGCTAGGAATCATTATTGATCATCGTTCTTTATTAGCAGATTGTCTTGTTGCCCTATTTCGTCTTAATCCTAGGCACACCTTACGAAGTTTGTTCCCGACATGTCTTAATCAACGATCACCTACATTATTTAAAATTAGTTTAGTTAAAGCTTGTCTTGCTATTGCTTCAGAAGAAAATAGACTTCCATGGAATCCCTCTGTAACAGCATTGTATGATTCATTGTCAGGTCCTTTAAAAGATTTATTTATAGAGTTTGCAAGTAAAGATTTTTCAAAGATCGATAATATCACTCTAAATCCTGGTTCAAATGGTCGTAAGGCGATGAATAATAATTCAACAAATGATAAAAAGACAAAAAGGGAAATTCGTATAGATCCATACAGTGAACGCTTAGAACTTGTTTTGGATTTATTAAGATTGTATCAAACTGATCCAAACCTGGTTATACGTGTATGTTATGTTTTCCAAAAAAAAAAAAAAAAAAAAAAAATTAAATGAAGGATACAGATTAATTTTTTTTTGGGGGGCTTATGATAGGGTGATAATGTAGATCGCTTTGATAAGAATGCAACTGTTATGGTAGCTATTACAAATTGTCTTCGTATTCAGAATCAATTCATTAGAGATGCTGCTGCTGTATGTCTTTATAAATTGCATCAGCCTTCATATATTTTAGAGTGGAGCTCTTCTCCAAACTTTATAGAGTCCTTTTGGAAAATTTCATCACAGGTCATGTTTGCATTAGCTAAACAACTTTTAGATAATAGAGAAAAAGAGGATGGATTAAGGCGTTTATTAGAATTATTAAAAAAGCTTTTTGAATCAAGAAATGAATTTCTGAGAGCACATAGGGTAAGATAATAGATAATTTGTAAATATAAAGTAATTATTATTAATATATTATATATATGTATACAAAAAGGACATTGCATCTCAAGGATCAGATACAAGAGAACGATTACAGGCATCCATTGGGTTGGAGGTAGCATTATTAGTTTTACTTTGCTCGTCCGATATTGAAATTTGTTCATCAGCTATTACTTGTCTCGGTCATATATGTACAGAATCACAGCTTACAGAAAGTATCGATGACCCTCAGCATGTAGTATCAATGCTTGTCGAAAATCTTCCTATTTATAAACAACTCTCGGCTAATAGTGGTATCGTCACAGGTCGTAAATCTCAACAAAAACAAATACGAAAATTACTTAGAATTATGACACATTATGCACCAGGAAATCTTGCAGCATGGGAAGAAGTATATAAAAGATGGAAATATATGACGCCTTCAATAATAAAATTCCACGACGAATCTAAAGATGAACTTCAAGAGAACGTTGTAAACAATAGTAACAATATAAGAAGAGGTGTTCCAGCATGGCATGATAAACTTAGAAACCCCACATCCTCATCGAATAGACAGACACATTCATTATCATTGAGTAGTATTAGAACAGAGACGAATAGTATGGATGATGACAAATATTCTGAGTGGCAGAATTATGCAGGTTTTTTAGCAGCTTTAGGAGGTATTTGTCTGATGGCAGATACAGCTTTACCATCATCAGCGCCTTCTTCACCAACTTCATCCCGTTATAATGATCAACCTACACTAAAACGAATTTCTACACCTACTGAATCATCTGCTATGGTGAATAGATTCGTTATGGAAATGATTGATCTCTTACTTTGTGATAATATTATTATTCGCGAATGGGTCAAGGAAATCCTTGGTACTGATCTTTCACCTGCACTTTATCCTATGCTATTCCGTTATATGGAAACAGCCTTGACCAAGTATTTTGGAACTGAAGGAGATCCAGTTTGTAATAGCCGTAACACATTGTTTGTAGAGCAAGCAATTAGCGTATTAAAATTAGTGCTTGATCGTATGGAGGACTCTCCTGAAAATCTTTTGACAGTTGATCTTAGTAGTTTAATTGATCAATATGCTAAATACTTAAACAAACTAGGAAGTGAACAATTAGCATTGAAAATTAAGATTAAGTTTTGTCAATTAACTGAAGTTTTAATGATGAAGAAGGATAAAGTGACTCTTCGACAAGAGTTTAGATTACGTAATAAGCTACTTGAAATTATTGTGGAATGGACAAGTGATTTTTCTTTGGTAAAATTATATATATATATATATATATATGTTTAATCACTGTTTCTTATATACTTATTTATATATATAGAAACCTGATATGGTGAATCATTCTGTTTCTTTTGGAACAACACAAAGCGAAAAAATGCATCGAGAATTGGACTTGGCATGCTTGAATACGATTGTTAGTCTACTACATCAATTACCTCTTCAATCACCTGATCCAGTACATGAGGTTGATCCAACACCTGTTAAAAGCCGAATATTTTACAAGTATTTTACTTTTTTCTTAAAATTGCTTAACAGATGTAAAGATTCAGAGGTAAAAAAATTTTTTTAAAAAAAAAAGGGGGAGGAGTAACTAATTAGAAAATGGAATATTGTTTGAATGATTAATATGTTATATTTAGACTGAGTCTGATAGTGCATCTTATCGCGCTCGTCATTACTTAGAAAATGGTGTTCATTCTATAGGAAAAGTAAGTCCTTATAAATGAATAGTCGTTTATTGATTATAAAGTTGTTTATTTTACATTTAGAATAAGGATAATATGTCAACCTACTTGGCTCCCTTGAAAGAAAGTACGATATTGGCTATGTCTAACCTGTTAAGTGCGAATGTTGACATTGGGTTAAAATATTCTTTGTCAATGGGTTATCATGATGATACACAAATGAGGACGGCATTTATGAAAGTTTTAACAAACATTCTTAATCAGGGAACTGAATTTGAAACTTTAGCAGAAACAGTAATAACGGATCGTTATGAGAAACTTGTAGATGTAAGTCCTATATATATACATATACATATATATATTTGTATATATTTGTATAAGGGAATTTTGACTTATTTGATTTGATAGATGCTTGTGGATCTTGATTTAAATATTGCTCTATCACTTTGTGATGTGTGCCCTGCTTCAGATATTGAGGATGCTGCAAATGCCTTACTAGCCTGTTTTGCCTCTAGAGGAAAAGTCCTTGTATTATTGAAGGCAGTGATTGAACGAGAGGTTCAAAATACAGGTATCTTACTTTCCTTTCCCCCCTTCCTCCTCCTCCTCTCTTCCTTTATATTTTGATATTATTTTACTGATATTATATATATTTGTATACTTTTTGTAGATAGTGAGACAGAGTTATTAAGACGAACAAGTATTGCTACTCGACTTTTATCTGTATTTGCAAAACAGAATGGAGCAGATTATGTTCGTTCCGTTTTACAACCTGTTTTTATAAAATTATCTGAAAAGCCAGCAGAAGAAAAAACGTTTGAATTGGACTCATCAAAAGTTGGTAATGGTGAAGATGTTCATAAAAATAAACAGAATGTCATCAATGCAACCGAGCTCTTCTTAAATGCTATTTGTGCTTCAGCAAACGAAGCGCCAAGAGCGTTTCGTGAAGTGTGTCATTGTATATTAACTGCTGTTCGTGAACGTTATCCAGAGGCAAAATATACTGCTGTTGGTGCATTTATTTTCTTACGTTTCTTTTGCCCAGCTATTGTATCACCAGAATCGGAAGGGTTAGTTAAATCAAATATAGTGATTTCACGTGACATGAAGCGTGGTCATTTAATTACAACAAAAGTCATTCAGAATCTGGCCAACAATGTTCTCTTTGGTGCTAAAGAAGCATACATGATAGTACTAAATGATTTTCTAACAAATAATATCTATAAAGTGACTAGTTTCCTTCGTGAAATCTCAAATGTTTCAGTTAAATCTAATATTACAAATGCAAATAAGGGTGATATGAGCCCCAATGGTAGTGATAATGCTGGACTCGAGATTCGACCTATGGAAGAAAAGGATTACAGTTGTTTACATAGAGTTTTGTTTGATAATATGGAGCGTATATCTAGAGAAGTTGCAACAAGAAGACTAAGACAATACACGAATCAAGAAAGTGCCATTATGTGGAAACGCCAATTTGATAAATTTTCTAATTTGTTAGCTCAACTAGGTAGACCTCCAGAAGCCTCTAAGCAAGAGTTTAGTGGATTGAGAAGTTATACATATGCAGCAGCAAATCAACTCTACGCTGAATTTATGCGTCGCAATAGTCATCGTAGTGTAGAACCAATTGTTTCAAAGAATATCTTTTATGAAGGTGGAGTTTCAAAAGCAAATCGACCTGTATTTTATCTCATTGCTAGAAATATCACAGCTGATAGTATTGATTTTGAATTATTAGTATATCATATATTACAGGTATCTATCTTACAACCTTTTTTTTTTTTTTTACATCTAGACAATAAATTTGAACTAATTTATGTATGTATGTATATATGTATTTAGACAGTAGAGCGTGCTTCAAACAAAAGTTTTGAACTTGTACTTGATATGACCTTATTCTCCTCTATGAATGAAATCCCTATTCAATATATAAATCAAATTATACAACTGTTGCCATTTAATGCATCTGATAACTTGGCAAGTATTTTAATGTACAATCCTAATTCACATCTTCGAAAATATGTTAAAAGACTGTCTCGTCCTTTATCGCACAAGATGACAAAAAGATTATCCTTCGCTGTAACGCTTACTGAATTGTATGAATTCATTAACCCTAGCGAAGTCCGTCTTCCAAAATCAACTAGTATGTATCTATAAGAAATTTATATATATATATTTTTTGAGAGGGGTTATACTAATGTTATTATACAATAGCATCTTTGGATACAGAGCCATGCCATGTATTTCATCCAGTTAACAAGCTTTCTCAATATAAAATGAATATCCCAATTACAATCAAGGTTAATTCTTTATATATTCAAGTGATGACAGTACGTAAACAAGAATTCCTTTATGGTGTCTCTACAATTATCAATGATGTTTACGCAATTGCTGATATTGAAGACTTGACAATGATAAACAACTCACGTAGTCAAGAGAATGCATACGAATTTCACTTTAAATACAATAAAGGAAATACACATCATATATTCTCATCTTTAAAGCGTGAAATTATTATCAATGTAAGTAAATATAAACTACATATCAAAAGGTAAAAACAAATATATATATAGAAAAATGAGTAATTATTTTGTTTTTTTTTGTAGACAATTCGACACAATAAAAGAAGGCTTGAAATGACAAAACCAAGTAATATCTCAGAGAGAACGATTCGTCCTAATGATGTACCAGGAAGATTACTTAATATGGCGCTACTTAATATTGGTAGTAATGATCCTAGTCTTAGACTTGCAGCCTATAATCTTTTATACGCTTTGAGTATTACTTTCCATTTTGAAGTCGGTAATCAACTTCTAGATGCCAGAGATTTATGTTTGCCTGCTAACAGCACTATGTTTGTTGTTAATATCAGCGAAAAAATTGCTCGAAATCAACAGAGTTTAACTTTAGAGTTTCTGAGTGAATGCTTTATAGGATTTCAAAAATCAAGTGAACCGTTACGTTATCTTTGTCTAGATTATATGGCACCTTGGCTTCCAAATCTTTCTAAATTCTGTAAAAATATGGGTACAAAAAATGATAATGATATTACAAAGACAAAAGAAGTTTTACGTAATTTAATTGATTTGACAGTTGCTCGAACTGATGTAAGTGTAGTTATATAGGTAACTAAAATTTTATATATATGTATTTATTTTATTTTATTTTATATACTGTAGATGTACAAATTAGTTCAAGCTAAAGTTTGGAAGACTATTGGACAAATTGATGATATTTTAAACATCGTATTGGATTCGTTTATTCAATTTTCAATTGAGCATGGAGTTGGTTCACCTCAAGCAGAAGCTATGGCAGATACATTTGTGACTCTCTCAAATATTACTGTTAAGGGAAAAGTAATTACTCGCTTACGAAAAGTTTTACAAAAGACATCCTTCAAGCCGTCTAAATCTTTAACAGACCACTGGATTTGGAATGAGATTGCTATTCTAATTCGTTTTGTATTAATGCTTTCTTTCAATAACCGGGGCCCCGTTAAGAGTTCTGTTCCTGAAATATTTTATGTTATTTCGCTAGTTGTCGGTGTTGGTCCAACTATCATTCGTGCTTCTGTTCATGGACTCGTTGTTAATATTATCCAATCTTTGTGTACAACTATGCCAATCCAGGAAGCCAATGTCAAAAAATTGCAATTAATTCTCAGTGAAATTTCTGATACAAAATATCGTCTTTTATTTGGTTTATTTAAACCACATACAAATGCTTTTACCATATCATCGGAAACATTATCAGATAATTTAGAACCTATTCCATTAATTGCTTTAGAAGCTATAGTTAATAATTTGCTAGAAGTGATTACCTATGGTGCACCATCAGCTGGTATGTATATAAACGTTGATTATTATAATATTTATTTCATTTATTTATTTTTTTTAAAAAAAAAAGATATGGCTAATGCTTGGAGAGCTCGATGGATGAGTCTAGTTGCCAGCACTGCTTTTCAGTTTAACCCTGCTATACAGCCACAAGCCTTTGTTGCTCTAGGATGTTTAGGAAAAGAAGAAGTAGATGATGATTTACTTTATCAAATATTAGTGGCTTTAAGAGGTGCATTAGCTATTTTCAACGAATCTGATCCTAATCTAGTTTTAAGTATTATGATGTGCCTTAAGAATATTGTAGAAAGTTTACCACCAGATTCTCGTTATCTTTTACCGTTATTTTGGATTGCTATTGCTTTAGTAGAAATTAATAATGGATCCATATTCTCTATGGCTATTGGCTTATTGCTATCTATTTTACGAGCTTTAGATGCTGATGAATATTTTACTGGCGAACGTATTGTTGATATTCTTCTTGCTGCTCGTGAACCAATGGCTGATATCGCTAAAAAGTTGGATGAATTATGTGGTATCAATTTCGAATCACATTTTTCATTTGCTATTTCTTGTATTTTCTTGAAAGGACTTCGTTATAACAACGCTAGAGAAATTATCTTTCAGGGGTTAACTACATTTTTAGATATTGAATGTAAACATGCTAATAATTTAAATTCAATTGATTCTCAAACACTTGGGTATTTAGCCGGACTACTACCTCTTGCAGCTAAAAATGAAACTCTCAAAGAAGTTTTACGGTTAACAGGTGTAGCAGATTCTGATTTTGATGTTAGTGATGATGACGAAGAAGATGATTCTGGCAATCTCAAACCATTTTATGAAGGTGTATTTGATAAACTTGACATTAACGACGAGACAACTGCTCTTTTACTTACTTCAATGTTAGCTACACAGTTACAAATGGTCGAAAATAATAATGAAAAACTCTTTTTATATGGTTTGCTAGCTGAAGCGGCTAACTCAATGCCTGAAGTATTTTCTGTGGTGTAAGTTCTAATTATCTACTTCCTACATATTAAATCGCCTACTTATATGTTATTTTTTATTATTATTACACAGATATGATGCACTTTTGCCTAAAATGAATCAAATCGTACTAAGTAGCACATGCCAACCTATTATTGAATCAGTAAAGACAATTCTTTTAATTGCTTGTTCAAATCCTGCATTTAGTGACGTATCTAGAAAAGCCAATCCTAGCCAAAAAGTATTGTTAGAACGAGTAGGGTTTTCTGCACTTGGTGATCCTACTTTTGGAGCGACTTCAATAAACACATTGCAAAATGCAAAACTTGCAAGTGAAATTATTGAACTAGTTATTGCATAGACTATGAAAAAAAAAAAGTTACTTTATACACCTTAATTTTAATCAAAGAGAAAGAGAAAGAGAGAGAGAAAAAAAGACATGATAACATGAATATGCTCAATTTACACATGAATATTTATATACTTAATGATATATACATAATATTTAAAACTTATAGTATAATAATAATATTAATAAATGCAACATACATAACTTATACTATACATATTAAAGATTAAATCTATGTATGTTAATTTTTTTTGTAAGTAATATGTCAAAGCATATTAGGAAATGCTATACAATTGTGGGATTCTAAAGCTCCTCTATCATTTTGATTTTAGATAATATACACAATTCGCATAATTCATGCTTACTTTGACAGAAAAAAAAAATTCTAAATTTTTGAGCAAACATCTTTAAAACTTTTGCCTTTAAAACTAGGCCCAAGTAACTAGAAAAAAAAATAATGTAAATTAGTACGGGTTTCTACTATATGACATATAATTTTAAGAATAGAAAAATATTGAATATGTGTTAAACAATATTACTACCTCTTTAAACTAGCGAATTGACGCAAGATGTGCAAAAGTGTGAAATGAGCAAATTTCAAATTAAAATTAACTTCATTGACCCATCTCAAATGCAAGGAAAAATGAGTAGATCCAACATTCTAAATAAAGTCGATAAACCCCATTAAATCAAATATTCTGAATCGTTTGGTAGTGATTTTGCTGCTTCATTCTCATATTTTTATGATGAAAAGGGCTAATCAAGATTGCTATTCATGTAGTGTCTACCCTTATCAAAATTATGTAATACGGAGTATAAAAATAGTAACCATTAATAGACATTTAGATTGATCACACCTTCTTTATGTTTGTATATATTGTACCTAAAAACAATAAATGAAATTACAAGTACATCCTTTTCTCCCAAACAAAATATATTCTTTTATATCAAGCTTATTTATTTACGTATGCTTGTTACATTTAAATATTTAAATCATTGATAATGTATATTATTTTGACAAGTTATATAAAATGAAAAGCCTCAGGATTTTTATGGACTTGAGTAGGTTTTACACAATTTCAATTCAAAAAAAAACTTAATATTTATAAATTTTCCAGGGGTATCCAAGTTGGAAAACTATATTCTAAAAAATCTCACAAAGTTTCAATGAATGCTTCTTATAAAAAATGAACTGATTATTTAAAAATTCCTTGATTTGTTTTAATAGTGCAAACTTACACAAGAGAAATAGATGTATTTATTTCTTGTTGATAGAAAGAATTATTATAATACAGTAACAACAGCAACAAAAAAACACTATGTGTATGCAAATCTACCATATTTTACATTTCTCAGCTTTAGGATTCATTTTGCTTCCTATAGGGCAATTAAATACTTTGGCAAAATCTTCATTATTTTGAAAGACTTTATTTGCTCGAATAGAGTCCGGTGCATGTTCATCAGTGAGCTATATATAATGAAAAGTTTAAAGTCTATACAAGATCATATCGATATATACATGCATATATTGAAATAAAATATTAACAAGACTTACCGAGTCTTTCACTGTCCCAGGTAAAGGCTTTGAACAAAATGAACGAGCAGCATTAATGAAAAAAAGAGCCTCAGGTGAATAATTATGAAGACCAGGAAGTATAGGATTATAGCCTTTTCCACTACGTTTTAAATTTAAATAAGCATCATAAGCTGCAGATAAGCCCTCAATATCTGCTATATTTTCTCCTAATGTTAACTAAATAAACATATATAATAAAATAGAAGAGTTGTAAAATTTATAATGAAAATAAAATATATATATATATATACATACATAACCATCAATAGAATACTCTTCCCCATTTTCATCTGTAATAGTGGCTTTTGAGTACTGTTCAATGAAACATTGTACCTTTTCGTTGTATTTAAGCTTTGTTTCTTCAGACCACCAATTGTTTTCAATGCCAAATTCATCATATTCTGAACCAAAGTCATCAAATCCATGCTATACACAGACACATTCAAGTACGTATTAGATAATATATATATTACATGTCTAGCATCTTACAGAAAACTCATGTCCAAAAGTTTGTCCGATACCCCCATAATTAAAATAATCTGGATAATGTTTATCATAATTTGGCTTTTGAGCAAATGCAGCGCTCACAAATACCTATTATAAATTATGTACCATAAATATAAGTGAAAAGATAAAATATTCGTACACTTACACTATTTCTAGATAATAAATTAAACGCATTTAATACTTGTGGACTTATAATACCAAGCCATTCACCAGCATTTATTGATCTTCCTAACGTGCCCCAATAAGTTTGTAAAATCCATTTAATAACAGACATTTCATTTTCATAAAAATTATCAGTAGTTGTTTCAAGTCCATTTAAATAAAAATGAATATCGAGTGGTGAACGTTCATCAGGAAAAGATAGACTATAACCGATAGAAGTACTCATTGTATTCAACTTTTTTTTTTGTTCATTTTAGAATATGTATGATTCTATATATTTGAATACTATATACCTTCTTAATAGCAGCTTTTCTAGTCGAGATATCTAACCAACTAGCATTCTCGATACGATCCCTCAGAGACTTTTTAATTGTATTTGCTATTTCTTCTAACTTTAACCGATCAGATTCTCCATCAAATGTAATCATAGAATAAAACCGACCTGCTACAAGTCCAAAATTATCTAATGTTTTATCTATACATAAACTTGACCTTGTCTGATAAGGTGTATCTGGCATAAGATCACGCATTTCTTTATCTAATTTTGATGCATCTTGAACTATTTTATGAATGATGATAAAGTCTATTATTCCGTCTCTATATATGAAACGTGATGGATCATTAATGTTTGCAAAATACTGAAGCTTGTTGAAATAATTGATATTGTTAATATTTATCTTCAAATTGGATAAATCATGATTTTGAGGTATATTTGATTTCAATATTGACTTCCAGTCTATAAACGGAAACAATGTAACTGCATCATCTACTGAGTAAACTTTACTAAAATCTCCAACAAATCTATACCTGAAATGCTTAGTATTTTACAATCAAATCAACCAAGTAGAACTTACGATGATTTACTGAATTTCAATAATTCGATTTGTGCAGAAACAGCATTATCTACTATTGAATAAATATCGAAGTTTGATAAAGTCTTTAAACCTATGTCTTCCAAGAGTGAATTCCTTGTTCGATCTCTGTCTGTAAAATTGTTTGCACTAAATAGAGAAGAAACTAAATTATAGAGTAATTCTGAACTTAGGTCTTCCAGTGGTGCTATATTAATATTATCTAATTCAGACGGTGGAAAAATGGCAATTCCCATTTCTTTTCTATTATTATCATTATGATATATCTCAATTGAAAAGAGCCCTCCTACTTCTATAATCATACTTTCTTCCGATTTTGGATAACTAATGATATCAAATAGTTTGTCATTAATTTGGAATGAAATATTTCTATTCTCTAGTTCAGTTATTTCCAATTGCAGCTTATTTAAATCCTTATAGAAGGTTGCCAAATTAAGTACATTATCTGCATCATTAATCTCGATACATGACGTATAATAATTTTTTAAGACTTTGAAATTAGCTTTGTCAATATCTATGTTTTTCTTTGTTGTCACTTGAAAACTGGATAAAGATAACGTTGAGCGTAAAAGAGTTTCATAGGTTCCATCAAATATTGTTCTTAATCGTTCTCTATGCTTCATTGACTCTACTTCTAATATACCAAATCCTATGTATTATATCGTTTTTTATTTATTTATTTATTTATTCATTTATATATTATTTATTCTTGTAAGGGATTTACCTGCCAATTCTTCAGGAATTATAGTATCTTTAATCCAATTACCACCTATAATAAATATAAGGTATATATATATTTATTTATATATTTTTTTATATATAAAGTCATATTTCAATTTTACAAGTAAATTGATAAAAATCAGAACAGGGATCAATGTTCATATCTAATGAATGTAATAAGTTTGCAGCTGCATTAATACAGTCGTTGGTAAAGCATATTTGATTATTTAGCGAAGAAATATGTGTGCCTTCAATTAAGCTTAACTTTATTGGCGACATGCTTTGTATCAAAAAAATAAATAAATAAACAAATAAATAAATAAAATATGAAAAAGAAAGAAAACTGTCTGTAAAGTTGGAAGGCTAGAACATTCATCTTAATTGGAAAAAAAAAAGAGAGCCTCGTTAGTGTAACATGCATTGCCATAGGTGCCAATTTTCGGAATCAAAATAGGTGTGTATTTGTTGTTTTTTTTATGGCTTGGTGAATTCTCAAATAACAGTTTTGTATTATGTCAAGCTATAGTGATATATTAAAGTAGTATACTATTTTTAAAATTACAGTTTGAAGTAACTTAAAATACAAGATCATAATACGCTATGCTTACTGATAATAACTCTAAACGCAGATCAGACTTTATTTTTATCTAAAATTTATGATTTTTGTAGACTTACATTAAAAGGAATACTAAATAATGAGGTTTATATAAACTTATATTAAAATATCTGAACAGTAGAAAATACAAGTACTGCTATGAGATACAATAAAGAGATGATAGAAGAATTGAGCATAGTCTCTCAACCAGTTTAAATTAACGAACGATAATAAATATAGAAGGACGAGGAAGTCAAAGAAGAAGAAAAGCAGGATCTGGTAAAGTCTTTAAAGGAAAAGGTGCTTGAATTAAAGTATGTTTGTAAATTTTATATAAATCAGCAAGAAACACCTAAGAGAAGAATTAGAAGGAATTATATATAGCAGTAAGGCAAGTTTTTTTTTTTTTTTTTTTTTTTTTTTTTCATGACTTGATGTACAATTACCCAAATAGCATTTGCTAATTTAGCTACAGATATCAGGCCATGTACTGGATATGAATGTCAAGAAAATTTGTAAAGAAAATCTTATTTGTAAAGTGAAAATTATTAGTAAAAATAAAATAAAGGTAATGTAGACAAACCAAGTACACAAAAGCTTTGAATAGTTTTATTAACAACAAAAATCGTTTAAGAGAATACAGAAGGTTATTTATAAGTTTGTATTAGGTAATTTGTACTAATAGAGCTATTTGTTTTGTTTTTTTTGGCAAGTAATAAACTAACACAGACAGTAGTCCTTCGGAAATAATATGCCATATGCAATAATTGTAATACAAGAGCTTTGTCTAACCTATATTTTAATTCCTTAATTTAGTTTTTTTTGCTTTTTTTCAATAGCTGTAACACCAATGAAAATACAGGGTAAGAAAAAAAAATCTAAGAGGCAGGTATATGGCTACCAATAAGTAATCTCAAATTCTGTTGAAGATGACTTCCATATTTTATAACTTGTGTTATTTTGTTTACAAGATGTAATCTTAGAAGAGAAAAAAGAAACCAGCTTTTAGAAACAAATGATTTTGTCTGATAATTGACAACTTAGCTGTTTATATAGCTGATAAAGTAAATGATATCGCATAGAGAGAAGGACATAAAACTCTTTTCCTTTTATCATACATTTTGATCTAATCAAACAGTTATAGTTCTTCAAAAACAAGTAATGAATCATTTATGAAAATATCAAAGGTAAATAATATTCATTTTTCCTGTTACTTTGAAGCATTTATTTAATGTTTAACTATAGTGTTTGAAAAGTAACTAGAGAATGAGTCTATATAAAAAAACATGTTTTATATCTTTTAGACTTAATAAGTTTGCTAAAAGTCAAAAAAAAAAAAAAAAAAAAAAATACCAGGAAAAATAAATAAATGGTGTTATTGTTCATTACATAATCAGAGTTGGAGATGATTTAGATTCCAAGATATTACCATTACATTGTAGGATGATTTGATTTTATCAATAATGCCAATCTAAACAAAAAAAATTTTTTTTGTACAACTGATTTACTTTATACATTTCACGTGTTTTGAAAAGTGAATAAATTAAAAGCATCAATTCTATTTTAAAACCAAATTTTGCTGTATCGTCAGCTCTTCTTTCCTCCTATGAATAATATCAAATTGTGAAAGAAATACTGGAGATTATTTTTGTCTACTAATCAAGAAAGACACAAATAATACCTTTAGGTTTAATAGCTGTTTGACACGATAGCCTTCCTTACTGCATATACCAACAGTAACAGTATTAGTCGAAACTTTTCATTCATAATAATAATAAAAATAAGCTCCTAAATATGTACCATTTCTTTCGGTAAATACAAACAATGCAATTTCTTTGAAATATAAAGCATAATAAAATCACAATATTGTGTTTCTAAGAACTTAATATATAAAGAAGTAAATACAATTATTTTTTTGTATCAATCGAAAAAAAAAATAATGAAAGATTTAAAAATAGATTCGTCTGGCCCTGATTGAACTTGACAATTTGTTAAAACAAAATATTTCTCTTGTACGTGTATAGTGTACATATATTAAAGAGTCATTAAAATATAAATATTAAGGTTTTATTGTAATGATAGGCATTGCTGTTCTTGTATAGAAATAGTAATAATAATATATAAATATATGTGATATGTATACGCGTATACATACATTATGGCAAGACACACAATAGAGCATAATCATCTCTATGGGAATAAAGCCATACACATTTATGCTTTGCATCAATAAGCTTTTGAACTACATGCCTAACTCTACTAAGGGTATCTCTTTGACTAATACCAGCATGATCTAAGAGCCTTTTATATCCATCATCCTGCCAAAAGTTATACTCAGTCATATATTTGATGAGCTCTTTTGGTAAATCAAGTGCAATCACCTGTACATCCTTCTTAAATTCATCCATAATAGGTGTAAGTCGATTGATAGCTAGAAAAAAAATGATATAAATCAATCAAGTAAAAAATTTAAATTTTCAATACATGTAATGTTATCTTACCTTTTTCTGTTAAAACAGATTTATGTTTCTGTTTCATTTTAGTACGCTCTTTACCACGACCTTCATTAAATATAATGTTAACATCAAAAGTAATCTTTTTTTGATCTAATCCTTCGCCTTTAGACAAATCATGAGAAAAGGGATCATTTCGCACTACAACAATATTAAAAAAAAACATACACACACATTATGTCAATGATACATTTTTTAGCAAGTTTTTTTTTCTTTTTTACCTGAATCTGTTGTATCTTTTGATTTCAATTCATGTTTACTTTTCACTCTTGCTGCAGCATCCACTCTCATTTGCTCATTGATTTCTGTTGACAGCCACATACACAAATCTGATTTGCTAACCTCAGTTTCAGTTCGACGTAGCACATCTTTTACCTTAACAGTGGTCGAATCACTTAAAGAGGTAGACTTACTTTCCGAATTTTTATGTTTGACAATCACAATCCAATTAATGCTTGCCTTTTTACAAAGAGAAACAAGATCTTCAGGGGTAAAATAATCGTCATCATTATATTGAAATTCAGCACGGATACCATGTTTCCAAAGTTCTTGCACAATCTCTAAACGTTCTTGGATCAAGACCTTTCCAAAACTTGCAACATAAACATCACATTTTTTAGGTGCCCAAAGACCAAAACTTCTCATCTTTTCGTTTTTAGCTTTCATCAAGTATTTTACTTGTTCCGATTGATGCATATCCAAATGTCGTATCAGTTTTTGAATTGCAATATTTACGCCAACTGCACGAAGTTTACGGTTTGCTGATGCATTAGGGTGGGCAAATTGTTGAATAAGGACATCATATCTAATAAAATATGAAAATTAATAAAGTGAATAAATATAGGTTATATTAGATTTACCTTCCACCTACAGCAAGGACATCCTTACGCTTCGAATCTAACGTATCAGCTACAGTTTCAAATACCAAACCATTTTTATAGAAATGATTATTATATCTAGAAAAAAAAAGAAAGTTAATTATTCGCTTATATTTTTTTATTCTAAAAAAAAAAATTATTTACACTAAAAGTGGATGGAATATAATTTTATGACGAATACCGATATGTTTGCTAACTACTAATAAGGTTCGTAATTCACTTATATGATCTCTAAATTTTGACCTATGGGTACTAGGCAAAAGACCTTCAATTTTTTTTACTATAGATTCTAATTCACCTATATAAAGAATAAAATTAAAAAAAAAGTTCATCTTTTATACATTTTACATTTTTTTTTACCATAAACATTAAACATGGATAACTCATCCAACACACTTCTTTGCAAATGATATTTTAACTTTAGAACATTCCGAACAGCTGCAAAAGAAGGAACACGACCAAGGCTCGAAAGAGCAACAAGAACACCCTTTCGAATATCAGGAGGGACACGGCAAGCATCCAAGATGATATCTGTCACATCTGTATGATTGATTATAAAATAAAAACCACCATTTTTCTTGTAGGGTGGTAATTCTTCGAGTACTTCCTCAACAACTTTTAATACCTCAGCATCTGGTACCATGGGTGTTGTTTCCTTATGGACAATATCAAAATCCGCTTCTAATACGGACTCAGGTTGTCCACCACTAGGATTTTCTCGATAGACCTTATCAAATGTGAATCGTTTTAGTTCAGGAAATCCTTTCTGGCGAGCAATAAAGCGTGCAAACGGCACAGTTTGATCATAGGGAAGCTGGTTTAAATTACCTTGCGAATCCATAAGATAGACAGGATTTTTCCAATTCCATTGATAAAGATCGTTCTTTGGGACCAGCAAGGGGGCTGACACATCAATAGCACCATGACGTCTAAAAACCTTTGCCATTTGTTCTCGAATACAATCGAAAAAAATATGACTGAAGGGGTCAAAGGGACTTTCAATGCTTGTTTGATAATCATAAGTGAAATCTTTATGACGGTCAGCTGATTGAGAAAACATAGCGGACATCAACTTATCATAATAGGGTGTATTAGGGTTAGCAATCGTACGAACACACTCCTTAATATATTCATCTTCCAGTTTAGGTGGTAAAAGATCACTACGAAGTAATTCAAAACTATTAGGACGATCTTTAGGTTGTGGTGATAGAAGTAGCTTAATAATTTGCTTCTGGCTAACATAATTTGACGGGAAATCATCAGGAAATTTCCCATTTCTAAGTTCATTTAATACAACAACACGTTGCATGCCAGTTGCAAATTTATAACACATTTCGAAAAAGATGATTCCCAAGGAATACATATCTACTTTTTGATTATAACGCATACCAGATGTTGCACCCGTCTTGGGGTCAGGCATCACTTCAGGTGAAACATAAAATGTTGTACCTACACCTGTAGTCATACTTTCATCTATACCAATATGAGCACTTGATGCTGAATAACCAGTATAACTGGCAGAAGCACTTTCAGGAACTAAGGAAGGATTGATATTATATCGCTCATTTATACGATGACTTGAGTTACGAGAAATGGTAGTACTATCAACCAAGGTTTGATTTGTAGTTGCGAGACCAAAATCACCAATTTTAACATCATTATTTGAATCCAAAAAAATATTTGGAGGCTTTAGATCACGATGAATCATGCCTTGAGAATGAATATGTACAAGACCTTCAAGAATTTGACGAAATAAACGCCATGCTTCTTGTTCATCAATCCCTTCATCAATTACATCTCGAAGAGTCTTCTTTTCACAGTATTCCATTTGAATGTACAATACACGAGTTCGTTGTTGATGATAATGTCCACGCTTCTCATTACTCTTTTCTTCTGATTTTTTTTTATTTTGGAAAGCCTTTTTCATGCACTGCTGTTTCTTTGTAGAAGCAGTATCTGTAGTAACATCACTAGTACAATCTGCATCATTAGGAGTAAATGAAATAAAATCATTTGAGTCATCTTCTGCATTTTCTCTAAAAGATATAAACTCATTATCTTCATCACTACTCGTATCATCTTCTTCATCTTCATCGTCATCGTCGTCGTCAACATCATCATCATCATCATCATCATCGTCATCAAAGCGAATGGCAGAATAACTTCGACTTTTACTTCTATCAACTGATAAAAAATCATGAAATTGACGCTTATAAGCACTAACATGGCCATCCTCTTCTTCATCATAATCAGACTCCGATTCATCCATAAAACTATCATCATCACTGTCTTCTCTAAAGTTAGAGCCATCTTCATCCTCAAACCATGTAGCAAAGTATCTCACGACATATTGATGATGTAGGCTTGAAAGTGAATGAACTTCTCTTAAAATCTTTCGTAAATCTTCACTATCACGAGGATCTAATCGAATTTTTTTGATAGCATACAATCGACCATCCAATCGATTTCGAACTTTGATGACTTCTCCAAAGCCACCTTTACCTAAAAATTCGATTTCTTCAAAATCAGCTTTGTACCTTGATGTACTGATAACAGTAGCTGCATTAGATGCTTCTGATGAGCTCATATGATGATGATGTATATGCGGACGAGACTTAGTTGTACGATTACCTAGAGGAGATTTGGGCCTGTTGAAGTGAGGAGCTACTGAAGCCTCAAATAACTGAGACCCAGGTGAGGGAAGGATCATTAAATTATTATCATGATTTGATATAAGTTTTCCAGAATTAATATGAGGAGCAACTATAGAAAAACATGATATCAATTAAAAAAAAAAAAAAAAGAAAAAGAAAATTATATATATATGTATATATATAATACCGTTTGAAGAAAAAACAGGAGAAGCAGCTTGCTCTGAAATCATGGCCTCATTATCGACAATAAAGAATGGGTCATTCATAAGATCGATTGCAGTAGGTCTCTTTTTTGGGTCAGGCTCTAATAATCGTTTAGCGAAATCATTTGCAATTATAGGTAATTCGGAAGCAGCTGTACGCATAAATGCATCAAAATCGCCAAATTCTTTTGTCACATCAACACCCCAAAGCATTTCAATAAACACAACACCAAGACACCATATATCATTTTTACGACCGTAAACACCAGGACGCTCGCGTAATTCAGGTGAACACCAAGCAGAGGGTTGTTCTCCTCGACTATTCTCATTGCTATCCATATTTTCAACCAGAAAATTGGATTTATTTAAATCTAACAAAGAAAGAAAAAAGGTTACTACATAAAATAGTGTATCTATTTAAAACCTTCCCCTCTTACCATGAAGACGCTTATTATAACTAATATCAGCTAATTTGACAGACTGATCACTACTGCAAAAAATACTATTTGAGCGAATGTCTGTATAAAAAAGGAAGAGAAATGTAAATTTACAAAATTTGCTAACTTATATTGTGTCTATTTTACCTTTGCAAATAAATCCATTCAGATGTATGTGATTTAATGCCCATAGCAATTGCTTCATATATTTTCGAACCATAGCTAATCTTAAGCCACCTCCACATTTTTTTAACAAATCATATAGACTGCCGCCTTGCTCATATTCCATCAACACATATAAGGTCCAAGAATTACGATCCACTTTACCTCGATCCAAACGAGCATCATATATATTTAAAATGTGCGGATGTTGAATAGTTCTTAAACGATCCAATTCTCTCTCAACATCTTGAAGTTTTTTTTTTCCTGCCTGGGTTGTATAATAAGATCCAGTGACATTTACTCTTTTTATAGCTAGCAAGCTTGGTAAAATAAGACCATCAACATCATCGATAGCATTACCGTTGTTAGTTTTATTTGATAACAAGTCGTAATTGAGTGGTTGAGCCGAAAATGTCTCGCCAATTATTCCTTTCCCAATGCATGGTCCAATAGCAACAGTATGAAAGCAAATTTGCTTTAAAATAAAAAAAAGAAAGAATTATTAAAAAGAATATAAATACATTTATAATAAAGCGATTTTACCTTGGACAGTGTACCATTTTCTTGTTTTTCAATAGGAACTGTGATTAGATTTTCAAAGTGGATAGTCTTAATGTCATTACTATCTAAATTTTCTAGAGTGTGATTATTATCTGAGTTATCATAATGGGAATGAAAATAATCGTCATCGGCGATGGCTTCATCATCAGTGAAGCCTAATTCTTGACGGTGTTGTCTAGCTACACGTGCATGCTCTCGTTTTCGTTCAATATCTTGTTGGATCTTTTTATTCATCATGTCTGATTGAACACGAAGTTCTGCTTCTCTTTCCTGTCTTTTCCGTGCTAATTCCTCTAATTCTCTTTCTCGTTCTACCTTAAGGTCTTGTTCATTACGAATTACCATTTGTTCATGCAATGTTAATTTCGATGTTGCTGAAGGTGGTGAATTATGGTTGGCTAAGAAAGCACGAACATGATCACTAAGATCATACATCATTTCTTGCCCCACAAGTTGTTGAGCAGCTTTTAATAAAGAATTCGTTAATTGGCGCAATACAGGAGCAGTTAATCCTCGGGGATTAATGAGGTGTAGTTCAGGTGGTTTATTAGGGTAAGTCTTTGGAAATCTAACTTTGAGATCTACTGTCACATGTGCTTCATTCTCTTCAACACCTAAAGGAAATAAATGTAAAATAAATTCTGGATCAGCATGAGCTACCTGAAGATAAAAGACAAAATAAGTGACATGTATATTATATAAATATATATAAATATCTGTATATTTATATATATATGTATAAATATAACTTGCAATACCTTCCAAGCTGATTTGTTTATAACCTCATGATAATCGTCCATAAAAATAGCTTTTAAAGCTTCAATTTCATTTTGCTGAATTTCTTTAAGTTCTTCAAAATTGACTGTTTGCATATTGTTGTGTATGTATCGATGAAAGGAGACTTGATTATTATTTTTCTTATTTCGCCTTATTTGTCTTCTTGAGTACTATTGCTTCTTTATATATTGTGGAAAAAAAAAAGAAAGGAAAATAAATAAAATATATTTTATTCCATTCTTTTTTATTCTTCTAATACATAGTTTTATTAAAATATATAATATACTGAAAAAAAAAAAAAAAAAAAAAAAAAAGGGATAGGAAAAGAAACAAAGAAAGAAAAAATAAGGTGTCAATTAAACAATAAATAAATAACTTACATATAAAAAAAAAAGTTTTATTTTTTTGTCAGAATTTGTCAACCGGATTTTCGGACTAAACTTACTTATGTTTTATTATCTTTAGTCCAATTGAGCGCGGTATTTCAATTACCAAGTTTGTCTCAACTTGCCCAAGATATAGAAGTATTAAATGAAGGAAAGTAAAATACATAAAAAATGACTAGACTCGCTAGTTATGCTTTATTGTATCAAATCTATGAATGTTAATGTTTACTGAAGTGGTGTACAATGAATTATCTGATAAACTTATCTAAGAATTATACTTGAATAGTTATACAGACAATAAACGATGCAGGATCAGTAATAGTAACAGGTTTGTGTAAAAAAAAAAAAAAAAAAAAAAAAAAAGAATGTGAGCCGAGGCTATTGTGTCATAGATGTGTTAATGAGCCTATATTGCCTATATGTCAGGGTTTGGATATTCCATCAGATAGCCATCCTAAGTGCTAACGAAAAAAAAAAAAAAAAAAAAAAAAAAAAAAAAAAAGATAGTTACATTCAATAATATATATATATATATAAATAGACAGAAAATAAGAGTTAAGGGGAGTACTTGACAATACACTAACAACAGCTTGCTGGAGATTTTGATGGAGACTATTATAACTCGTCTTCCGTAAGTTATACGATGAATAAAATAATAAAAGTATCATACCATGCATTATAGTTTGGATCAAAAGCGTAAATTATAACGATAACTTCGTCATATGGAACTTTTTGCCTTTTGGTATTATATTCAGAGATGTTATAATGTCAAAAGTTGATATTTGGCTACTATAATCCAACGTCTGATACAATACCTTTATACACAAGCTTAAGTGTCAAGGACGAAATTTTATTTCGAAGACCGCGAAATCAGTATTTTGATTATGGTCTTGAAACAATTTTTTTCATTGGTCTTAAAGATAAAATACAGTAGAGAAACAGCAGCAGCAGTAATTAGCATAATTATTTTTCTTATTTTTTTTTTTTAATAAAGTAGTATGGAATTCAGAGCTAAATTAAACTCTGAATATTTTAAACGTAAGATTTAATTATTTTGGTGTACAGAAGATAGAATGTAATTTATAAAAATAAATAGTTTTTTCTTCAACTCTGGATGCTTTTTCGCATTTAGGTGAAATTATTAGTATTGAAATCCATAATGAGCAAGTAGGTTGAATCATTAACAATGTTTTTTTTTTAGAAGGAAAAGAAACTTATATTTTTAGTATATTAGTTTGTTATGTCTACAATAAATAGCTCAAGAACTGCCCAAGCAGTTGCTCACATTTCTCGTGATTTTTTTAAAGATTATGCATTATTAAGAAGAGGATCAACAGAAACAATTTTACGATGTACTGTTTCTAATAAGGTAAAAATAGGAAATAATTAAATAAATAAAGCAACAGCTAGAAATAATTACAATAAGCATTTGTTATAGAACTTTAATAGTATTTTTAAAAAAAACTTGGCGGCTTCAAAATTAATTAGAGAATGCCAAATACAAATCACACAAGGAAGTTCAGACGAACAAACACATGTAGAAGCAAGAATATATATGAAATTGATTTACCAAAATGGAGTCACAAAAAAGAATACACTTTGGTATTATGATGGAGACCCGATTACTATATTCTTTGAGAGAGAATATCCTAATCAGATTATATGTCATTCATTAACCTTGAAAGGCTATTTAAGTCGATTTGATCCACGAATAACAGAAATTTCAATTATCTGCACGCCTGGTAAAGTGATATTACAATCACATTGGGATGAAACTTCTACAGGTATAAAATGAGCATGTCTATTCAAGTATTCTTATTAACATAGGAATGAATATTATTAGATGAACGACCTGTAAGAGCAACATTTTCCATCAATGCATCCGACTTTGAAAGTTATTCAATACATAGACCAACAAAGCTAACATTCAACTTACGTGAGTTTAAAGCTATAGTAGATTATATGGACACAATTGAAGGAGCAGTTAAACTAAATTTTGATGACATGGGAAGGTAAAAAATAATAATAATAATAATACAGAAACTAAGCCCAAAATATAATGTAATTAATATTTAAATATAAGCCCAATATTGTGTAAATATGCATTTGAAAACAAATTATTAGTATTTATTGCCCTTCAGACATTACCTAGACATCTTTCTGTTGGAGGCAATGGAGATAGTCATAATGGTAATAGTCATGTAAATGCTTCAGAAGATGAATCAAGTTTTTTAACTTATAGTACAGCAGACTAATTATGTATATATGCATAAATAAAGCTTTCTTTCTTCTTCTTTCTCTCTATCTCTTTTGTCGTTTAGTCTGCTAAAAATATATAACACTTTATTTAAAATAAAGAAATAATTAAACTTGTTTTTTTTTTTATAATAAATTTGCGCATCAACTTTTTTATATCTCACAAGAGCCTTTGTACTGAACGATTTCTGTAATTTGAATTTCCTTATAATATAGCAATCAGAAAGCAATTGTTCTCTTGAATATATCTCATTTTAAAATGCAATAAGCAAACCTGTTAGTTGTTATAATTTTGTTCGTACTAAAACATAGCTTAATCGTTGAGTGTCAGTTAATATATAAATGTATTTTTTTTTTTATCTGATGAAGTCTGTTTGATCAGCAAAAAGTTAAAGGAAAATGGATGGATAGAAAACTAAAAGATAAGGCTCTGAAGACTTTATATAGCTTATCAATACTTTTATACCATGAAAACTGTATCATAAGAAGAAAACATGGATAATATGAAAATGAAGAAGAATATTTATAAGCTTTTGTAAGACAAGTAGCATTAATCAATATATGAATTTGATTAGCTAAGTCTAAATTATTCTGCATTCAGATAAAATTTTGTATTCCCTGTGTTATTTATATTACTAAAAACACAGCAGATTATTATTTTTGGTAGGGTAAATAACGAATCAATATTAGCTTATAGTGAATACTTCAGTTATACTAATACCAATTATGTATATGCTACTATTATCAGCTATTATATTGTATAAATATATTCTAATAATGATTTATATTTAATTCGTATTATTCTGTAAAATGCAATATATTGGTTTCATTCAAATAACCTCTCTTTTCTATAGTAAATGAAGTTTTATTAATATCAACTTTATCTTAAAGACGACCTTGTTTATAACAGATACTTTATTGAGTCATTTGAAATGGAAATATATTCAAGTCCTACAGTTTGCTCTGTCTTAGGCTTAACTATTTTTTAATACATATTAATTCATTACAGCTTTATTTATAAACACTTTGCAACTAAACCAACCTATTAGTGTTTAGACTATCCAATATCAGATCAGATACTACTACTACTACATATATCTATCTCAGAGTAATGAGCATATATTTGGTTTATTGCATCTTCTTCAGCATTACAATAAACTATTCTGAAAGAAGATATTATCACGATAAGTAATTAGTCATCCTCTTCAATTTTTGAAAAGAATAGTCGTTAAATTTAAAAATGCAAAATAAGAAATATAACAATCTCTAACCACCAGCTTCCTTTAGAGAAATCGCTTCTCCAGAAGATCAATTGTTATATGATAAATCAAAAAAAAAGGAGATTGGGTAAATCAAATCTCTCACACTATATTTTTGCTTCTAAATAAATTACGAAACATAAATCTGTTAGGATCAAGTTTGATGTTACAATAATAATATGTCTTTACTATTTTCTGTACTACTTCATATAGTCTAATAAAGCTACTGAGGAAATAATAATAACCGTTTCTTTCTTTCTTTCTTTTCCTATCTCTTTACACTTTTTTTTTATATATATACATATATATAAAATGTTTCCTAAGGTAGGCTATTTTTATATCAAATCTCAGAAGACAGGATTTGTTATTAGCACCAATGATGAGGATGAGGTATACACGATGATCATGTATATAAATTAAATATAACATGTATACATATTTACAGGCGACTTTTTTTTCATTATAGGCTGGCACCAAGCTTGTTATTAAGTCTAAGGTATATTATTATATAATGATTGATTTATATGTACATACTAATCCTATATATTTAATAGAATTCGGGTACAGATTATGAGGTATATTTATAATGGCATAAAAATTTATATATGTATGTATTTGTATGTAAGTAAGCTTTATACTCATACTGTACAAGTTATGGAGTTTTGAATCAGGCTATCTAGTTAATAAAATGAATTTATTTGGTAAATTTATAAATGAATATTTTTATATTTTTTTTAAAAAAAAAAAAAAAAAAAAAAAAAAAAAAAAAAAAAAAAAAAAAAAAAAAAAAGCTAAAATATATTTATTTAGTAATGGATATTCAAGGAGGTTTGTAAAAGCATATAAGCATGTGATTGAAAACGTAATTTATAATTTTTTATAATAGGCGACATAAGATCCGGTCAGAATGTACTACAATATGAACGCAAGAAGACTATGTAAGAAGAGATCAAGTTTATATTTACATAATTATATTCACATGCATATACATATATATAAAAAGGGCACATAATCAAAGATGGGGGCTTCGTGATGGATTTATTTATGTAGTAGCAGACCCAAGAATTGTGTTAGAATCTACGGTAAACATACATAACAAATTATAGTGGTACTCTACTTAATACTTATAAATATAGGAAGAAGAAGAATCTTATTTATTTGTAAATGCTCGAAAGTTAGAGGACAATGATTTTCAACAATGGTACATAGAACCATATACAGAAGAATATTAAAAGAAAAAATTCTCGAGTACACAATAAAGATGTTAAGTTATCAAAGAATGATTTTAAAGTCAAGAAGTTAATATTTATTAGTAAACATTTTATTTCAATAAAATTCGCACTCTTTAGCTTTTAATTTTTGAACAAGACAAAAACCATACATGTACTTGATTGATAGATTTATTATTTTTGTCGATATATCCTAGAAAAAAGTTCATTTATCATCAATAAAAGATCACTATCAATTGCATTATTTAACTAAAAAAAATATATATATATAAAATGAATTTTGATATTATTTTGTTAAGAATTGATATTCAAACTTTTAAGTATTTAGACTATTTATTTGTTTTCTAAAATTATCGAGTATAAACACATTTCGATCATAGATCTTTATTATAGTACAAGTTTATTAAGTAGATGGAAGTTAACTCTACTGAATGTTTTCGAATAACAGACTTAAAGAATGTCTTGGAAAAAGGTATTATTATCATTTGCTGATAACGTATATGTCCTTCTAACAAGACTACATGACCTTTTTTCGTATGATATACATTTTTTTTTCTAGAAAAAAAAAGTGTGCCCCCAGCGAACCCAGAGTGAATAAAGGTTACAATTAAACTTAGCTTTAACTTGAATAGAAATATCATTGCATACATATTACTTAAAGGCCACGACAACTACGAATCACTATGAAGAATATATATATATATATATATATGTATATTAAAGAATCAAAATAACCCTTTCTGCTTCTATAACAAATGTTCGCAGTAGAGTGATCATGAACTGTGAGCTTGAGTTGCTTAGCTATTAGTAAGGCTAGAATTAATATATACATATTAAGAGCTTTTAAAGATTAACTAAATAAAAAGTCAGCTGCTAAGAGGCAATAGATGAGCGATGAGTATGAACATATTGATGGTTAGAGACATTTACGGTAAAAATATATTGCTCATCTTTAAGAATGCCTTCATAAATATAGGGTTTATAAAGGAAAAATTATAATTTTCATAATCGAGATAAAATTACTTTCCATCTAATTTTTAACTTACAAATGATAATATGACACTTTATTAAAATAAGCTTATTAAACTATTAATGAATATGTTTTAGGCTTTAGCCATTACACAATCTTTTATAACCTCTTGCTTTTTAAACCAATTTTAGCCCTAGTTGAATCCAGACATAAAAAAAAAATAATTTAATAAATTTTTTAAAGCCTATTTGAGCATATAATAAACTAAAATCGTATTGCTTGGGTCAGATCTAAAAGGGAAAAATAAGGAAAGAAGAAAAATATAAGATTCTCAATGATACTCAATATTGAACATAGATTATTTTAGTATTGAAGATATCTTACCGAAGAGAAGCAGTAGTCTGTAGTTCAATAATATGACCCAATGTATGTAAGTGTCTGACAGGAAAATCAAATTAATAAAGCAACATTCTTTTATTATCCATATTACTATAATTACAGGGTTACAGAAATATAACATGTTATATAATAACATAATTCTTTGCCTATCTCTCTCTCTTTTAATTTATAATAATATACCTTTATAAGTATAATAAAGAATAAATATCAGTACAAGTATTATACTGTTGTACTGTACAATATATTACTCGTATAATAATATGCATATGCTTTATTCTGTTTCCTTTCTACGAATAAAAGGCTCATAAATATTATTTCTTTAGGTGTTTTCAACCAAATTGTGATATTTCTTATAAAATATCAAATAGACATATTACTAAAAAAGAAAAATTAATGAAAAAACATAAAAAGTCAACGGAACCGAATAAAATATGTTATAGATAACAAAATATTAGATATTATTTGATAAAGCAGATCATGAGAGTCTCGGGAAAATATAGATAAATTTTCTTGAATAGATTAATGATCTGCTTGTTTAATTAAGAAATATGACATTATCACTCACTTCATGAGAGGATTGTATGAATCGTATGGATACTACATTTTTTTCTTTTTTGACAAGTGATATAACGACACCTACTATTGATCTAAATTATGCTTTGATATCTAGACAATTAACAATTGTAAATGCTACCCTCACACTGCTCTTAAAACAAAGCTCTCATACCTGTTTTCACAGACAAATAGCTTGTTGAACTCGAAAATCTTTTTATGTAATATCATAAAAAAAATTTACTTGTTCTGCTTGTAGAAAAAAAAAACCCTCGAGTTGAATGCTACTTTTAAGTCTGTGTGTAAACATATATTTTGTACTGGATGGAACACTATCACTGTCTTTTATTGTAAAGGGTACACCATTCAATGTCAATACTTTTGTCACAATGCCTATATTTTTTTTTTACGTTAGCCCTCCATACATAAAATAAATTGTCTAGTTCAAAACCCTATTCCTCCTCCTACTCTTCCTCTTTCCAGTTTAGGCTTATTCATGTTCGACTGGTTACTCGGATACTTCCCCTCTCTTTGTAATTTAGTTGAACTGACTAAGGCAATTCAGTAATTCTATAAACTACCTGCCCATTGGCCAATTTTTTTTTCTTATAATTGTTTTCTTTTCATGTAAAATGGAACTCAGCACATGTAAATCTTTCGAGAAAAAAAAGAATGTTTGAACACGCATAATGATATATTCCTCATATAGTTGTTGCATGTATTACAGAAAATGAGGGAAAGGAGGAAGGAAGCAAATAATTATTTTAATTTTCTTTACCCGCCAATTTCCTACCACCCAATAAGAAAAATTATAGTTAAAAAAAAAAAGCAGATAAAGATAAGGAGAGTTTTTCTATTTTTTAATATTTGTATTCATATTAAAAAAAAAAAAAAAAAAAAAAAAAAAAGAAAAAGTTAGTTAGTTTATTTATTTATTTACTTATTTATTTATTTATTTTTAGTCCAAAATGAGCCAACGTCAATCAGTCCCACTTAGGGAGCTTCATCATAGTAATCAGAATCAAATTGATGCTGTCAAAGAATTAGAACAGCTTTTTTGTTTGGATAGACCTACATTACTAAAAATAGTTGAATCATTTCAACGTGAATTAGTTGCTGGGTTGGCTGATGATAGATCAAGTGATCTCAATATGATTCCAACTTATGTAACTGGTAACTTTTTTTTTTTTTTTTGGTTTTATTTAGCAATTATTATTATATACATGTGTATATGTATTCAAATACTAATAAATATTGTATATATATATTACGTATGTATATAGGATATCCAACCGGTAATGAAAAGGGCACCTATTTAGCATTGGAGATCGCTGGTATGGATATTTATGCTTGTCAAGTAAAATTAAAGGGAGACGCTGGAAAGTTAGCTATCAATCAATATCAGTATAAAATTCCTCAGGATTTAGCTACTGGAGATGATTTTGCAGTTTTAATTGATTATGTGGTAGAATGTATATCTGATTTTTTAATGCGCGTGGGTACACAAGATTTATTCATTTACCCAATGGCTGTTTCATTTGGATTTGCCATAAAACAGACAAGGTTAGATTCAGGTCGTATATTATCACTGGGGTATGGCCTTAGTTATCCAAATGGTGTAGGTGTAGATATTGTAGAATTAATGCATGAACGTATTCGATTAAAAGGGTTACCTATTAAAATTGTAGCTACAGCCAATGGTAGTATATATATATTCATATATATTGATATACACATATTTATTCATTTATATTATAGACTCTGTTTGTACTTTATTAGCGCACGCATATCAACATCCTACAACACGTCTTGGTATCGTTCATAGTTTAGGTACAAATTGTGCCTATTATGAACCAGTAAAGAATGTAACAAAACTAAGGGATCAAAGTATACAAAAGAATGTAGATATAATCATGAATACAGAATGGTGTAATTTTGGATCATCAAGAAGAACATTACCTTGTACATGGTTTGACCGAAAATTAGCGCGTGAATCAATTAATCCACAATTTCATGTGTTTGAGAAAATGACAACAGGCATCTTTCTCGGTGAACTTGTAAGAAATATTTTGATTTATCTTGTTGACCGAGATATTTTATTTGGAGGAGAGTCATCAGAGACATTAAATACTGCACATAGTTTTGATACAAGTTATATGTATGTATGTGAAGCGGATGATTCAGATACATTGGAGGACACGCGCATCGTTTTAGAGGATATGCTCGGTCTCTCTAAGACTACAGTAGGAGATCGTGAAGTAGTAAAGAAAGTATGCGAATTAATAGGTACTCGTGCAGCTGTTCTTGTCGGTGCAGCTATTGCAGCTATAGTACAGCATATGGCTTCAAGGGGTATTGGTATGAATGAGGAAGGCTATGCAATTTGTGAGTATAAAAAACATACTTTACTATTCATCATTTATTGATAAAAAGTTATAACAGCCATTAGTGGAAGTATATATGAAGATTATCCATCATTTCATCCTCGTGTTTGTAAAACGATAAAGGACCTTATTCCAGACTATATTGCAGGTAGGCTTTCAGTCGGAGTAGTGAAGCATTCCCGTATTGTGGGTGCTGCTATTGTTGCTATGATGGCAGAAAAAATCGCCGCTACAACAGGGAAAGCATAAATATAACAATAGTAATCATATTCCATAAGAAATGTATTTTTTTTCTCATATATATAAATATATATAACAGTCAGTTATAGTTATGATTATCATAGTTACATATATATTATTTTGATTTATCTTTATTAAAAAAAAAAAAAAAGCAGAACTAGGAACACGCTTATTGTCATTTTTAGCTGTGACTTGCATAAATTAGATTACAATCTGCAATATGCGAAATACATTAAGGATTGTTACTTATTGTTTTTTTTCTTCCCCTCTTTCTTTCTTATCTCTACATTCCCATACTTTTATATTCCCCTCCCTCTCCCCTCTCGCAATAGATTTAATATTAATAGATGACATTACGTAGAAAAGCGATTGACTTCAATGAACATTTTTCACAATTAATAGAAATGCTCAATGGCATCTTTGCTTTTAATTCAAAACAACAACAAATTAAAGGCATGACTATGTACCAGTAAGTAATCTTCCTGTAATAAACCTGTTAAAAAATAAAGCATTCCTCTCAATGAATTATGATTATTTATAATACTTTATAAGAGTGGTTTATGATATGTGTATAGCAATACCAAGGCCTTTTACAGAAAAGGTATTTATTGGCATTGCTGAATACCTTGACCAACATACATTAAATGAATGCAAAGTACGTAAAAAAAAAACATGTTTATACAGCTATATTAAAAGAATGAGCCATAAATCTTTTATCTATCTTGTATTCTTTTTTTTTTTTTTTTTTTTTTTTTTTTTTTTTTTTTTTTTTTTTTAGAGAATTTTAAAACACGACGATATCGTTACTACATATGCAAGGGCATTTAAACAGTTTGCTTTAGCAGCTGAGTATATGTCTCGCGGATGTTGCTATCTAGATCGTATTATTACTTCTCCTGCTTATAGTACAAACGGTCGTAGTCAAAGCGGTCACCAAAATTATCTCTCTAGCGGTAAATATAAAAGACAACATGTTGAAGCTCTTGCATTACAATTATGGAAATCCAATGTATTATTCATAATTCGTGACCGTTATCAAAACAAGTTGTTTTATCAAGTATTTGAGCTTATCCGACAAGATCGTGATGGGGAAGATGATGCTCCACATAGTATTATTAAGACTGTAGTAACATCACTTGTACAAGTAAACAGTTTTACAGAACAGCCTCTGCAACTTTATATTGAAGAGTTTGAGAGACCTTATTTGGTACATACAAAACGATATTATGAAGCAGAAGCGGCACATGAAATTGCATCAGGGAACATGAGTCGTTTTATGAAAAATGCATATCAACGTCTCGAACAAGAAATCACAAGAAATAATCAATATTGTCACTCTACTTCTCATAGCCGTATTGTGAGGGAATTTGAAGCTCAATATATCGCTGCTTATCAAGATCGAATCATTGATGAATTTGGAAACATGCTAGAAAATGAACAGTTTTCCGGTATTACTAAACTATTTTATTTATTAATATACATATACCTTATTATTATTGCGTTTAGATTGTACTTTAGCATACAAGTTATTAAATAGAATTCCATCAGGGTTAAAGCCTATTTTAGCAATCTATGAAGACTATGTAGCAAAGCTTGGAACGGAAATTTTATCAGCATTAGGCTCATCAGTAACAAAGAACCCTAAAGCTTATGTTGATCAGTTAATTGCTTTACATACAAAATACTATCAAGTCAACCATCAAGTATTTTTATCAGAACCTTCTTTTACAGCAGCAGTAGATAAAGCATTTCGAAGAATTATAAATGAAAGTAATCATAATGATAATAAGACAAATCTAAATGGTAGCAATTGTAATGCATTCCTTTTGAATAGTCCTGAAATATTGGCTCGTTATTGTGATATGATGTTGAAGAAGAGCGCAGGTAGAAAAGAAATGCAATCAAGTAATGCAACTAATGGCAATAATATCAAAAGAAAGGGTTTAATAAAGAAGCCGATAATTGATATAGATGAAAGTGATCAAGAAGAGAAACTGATAAAGATGGTAGAATACATGTGCATATATATGTTTAAATCAAATTTGTTTCATTTTCTTATTATATTTATTAGATTACTTTGTTTAATTATGTGGATGATAAAGACGTTTTTCAAAAGTTTTATTCAAGGATGTTGGCAAAACGTCTTATCTATAACTCTTCGTTATCTGAAGAGTTGGAAATAAATATGATAAATCGACTTAAAGAAATATGTGGTGTTGAATATACAAGCAAATTAAACAAAATGTTTACTGATATATCATTAAGCAGTGAACTGAATGCAAAATATAAGACTTTTATTAAAGAGAAAAATAGAACTAGTCAAAGTAATCTACATGTATACAATTACGTCAAAACGTTTTATTTATGTAAATTTATTTATATAGCAAATATGGAGATGTTGGTATTAACAGCAGGCGCCTGGCCATTAAATCAGCAAAAAGAAGATTCAGACCTTAATACAAATAAATTACAAATTCCAAGAATGGTAAATAGAATAGAGTCTAAAATAATAATCATTAAATTCGTTTTACGATAGCTGGAAGTCAGTATTTCATCATTTGAACAATTTTATAAAAACCAACATAACGGCAGAAGATTATTATGGCAATGGAATTTGACAAGAGGAGAAGTTAGAATCAATCATCTTGATAAAAACTACGAGATTCAAGTTAGTTTGTATCAAATGATTATATTACTTTTGTTTAACCAGAGTAATATAACGAATATAAATGAAATTACAATTCAATCTGGTTTAACTTTGTCAGATGTTATGAAAAGCATAAAGCCACTCATTGATATGCGTGTATTAGAAACAGTGGATGAATTGCCCTTAACCAGCTCAAGCGATATAAAAGTGAATCAATCCTTTACAAGGTAATATATAAATGTAATGTTATTTATTCTGTCTGTATATTTACAAAAAAAAAATCTCGATCACTGTAGTAAACGAACAAAGATTAAAGTCGCTGCATCATCAGCGCAAAATGAGATACAACAGCAAGAAAATGTTGAAGCTAGAAAGTCTATTGATGAAGATAGAAGAATGTATATACAAGCAGCTATTGTACGTATAATGAAATCTCGACAAACACTACCTCATGTACAATTGGTACAAGAAATTTTTGACCAAGCCAATTCAAGGTTCTCTCCTTCCGTTATAATGATTAAAAAATGTATTGAACAGTTACTTGAAAAGCAATTTATTGCAAGAAAAGAAAGAGATACTTATGTCTATGTAGCTTAAAAAAAAAGGCAATAAAGAATTTTCATATATTAACAAAAAGTGAGAATATCTAACTTGTATTTTCTGGATCTAAATGATTTATATAAAAACATACGTGTATATAAAGATACTAATTATAAGGTATGTTTATTATTCTATTTCTACAAACATGTACATAATATTAATATTTTTTGTACTTTAAGCATTTATTTTAATACGTTAACTTTTATCAACATTTTGAACTTGGATTATTAGTTTTATTTCATGACTTTTGTTCGTTTAATTTAGAAATTATTCTTCATATAAGCAAGAGTTATATGTTGCTTTATATTTCTTAGTATTATTTAATTGTATATTTCCATTATGTTTTAAATGAAATAAACAATATAGTAGCATTCTCGTAAACCATTATATATTCTTCTGTCCGTGTGTGTGTTTTTATTTCTTTTGGGAAGCACTCAAATTTCATATATCATGGCAGAGAGTCTATTTTCATAAATGACTTTTCTTATTATAGAATTTTGCTAAATTTTACAAATGAAATCTTTTTTTTTTTTAAAAAAAAAAAAATAAAAAAAAAAAAATAAAAAAAAAAAAATAAAAAAAAAAAAATAAAAAAAAAAAAAAAAATAAAAAAAAAAAATAAAAAAAAAAAAATAAAAAAAAAAAAATAAAAAAAAAAAAAATAAAAAAAAAAAATAAAAAGAAGAAAAACCTACAGTGGATCATCGTGTAAAAACACAGTGCCTGCCAAACAATAGTTTAAAAATGTTATTTGATGACTTTTACTCTCTTCACACTTATTCAAAACTTGCTCTATCTACATAAAATAAATATATTATTTCGCATTTCTTAGTAGTGAGTTTGATGATCTTTCTATGTATTATCTTTTACACTCATGTTTTTTTTTATTCTTTTATAAATCTGTATATTTATATATTTTCAGGAGTTATAGTACAGCAATGCCAAATATAGCTTATAGTAGAAATAGTGAGACACCATATTATGACATAATTTTCTTGTATGCTAATCTTTGGTGTCCCCCTTTTTTCTGTTAGAGTTTGGATAATTAATTTCAACGTTTTCTCCTTTTTATTCCTCCTCCCTTTTTTTTTTTCTTTCAACTCATAGTGTGGAATAAATATATACACATACTCTTCTTCCAGATAAAAATATTGTAGTTCGCATTATAGCATGCTTTTTATATATGTTTTTTTTTTTTTTTTTTTTTTTTTTTTTTTTTTTTTTGAGAAATAATATGTGTTAAATTACATTGTTCTGGACAAAGGTTTATTTTTTTTGGGGAAACACAAAAATGATCAACAAAAAAAAAAAAAAAAAAAAAAAAAAGTGGATGATCAGTTCAAAAGCTATTCTGAAAATGGTAAAAATTATAACTTGTAATTAAATAAATAAATGAAAGTTTATTTTATTTCTCCCTTTTGTAAAGTATATTTGAAGTTACTTTATTATATAAAAAGTGTCGTGCTCTTTTTCATAGTTAAAAATAATATTATAGCATGTTATACATTCTCTAATAGTCATATTCCCTCATTTGATAAAACGTTATTTACATGCTTAAATAAACATGTACAAGTTTCAAGTATGTATGCTTCTCCTTTGTTTATATCTGCATGAGGCTTTTCTTCTTTTTCTTCTCATTCTTCTCATTCATTTCGCCTCCTTTTATTCTAGATTCCCCTTTGTAAAAAATAAAAAGAAAAAAAAAAGAATCCATTATAAAAATATACAATTTTTTAATATAATAATTCTTATCAAAGTGTGGAATAAGTAAATAAAATTGTATTATTATTATTGTTATTTTCTCCTTAAAAACAATCGGACTTCCTTCCTCCGAAAGTAGTACAGTACATTGTACAAAAATAAATAAATTATGCATGTGATTCAATGCAATATGAATAACTTGCCTAAATTTACACTATCTCCTTTTAATTAGTATATCCAAGCAAATTCAAATTAATATAAATAGGGGCCTTTTTCTACAATCAAATTTTCTTTTTCTCTTTCATTATTCACACACAAACCCTTCTCTCTTCTTATAATCTACTCTACTCTACTTTTTTATTATCAAAATTTCTGGTGATCTTTGGTGAAAAATATTTAAAAGTTAAGGAACCCTTAAGAGATTTGTGCTGCTGAAGTATGCAAGTTGTATTAAAGATCTGGGGTGAGGACTCGTCCAATGGCAGAAGAAAAGAAGAAAGATGTCAAGACTCCCTTGCGTTTGGAAGACCATGACACAGCCCCCTAGGCCATACTTCAGCAGCAGAGTTTAAATATTCAGCAAGCTCATGAGGTTATTTTTTTTTATATAGATACATATAGGACTCATTTTTCTCTGATATTACTTGGTTATGGTGGTGGTGAATAAACAAACCAGCAATAGGTAAATAAACATAATATAAATTATATCTAACATTAAAATTAACTAATACTAATTTTATACTAAAGAATAAAATATAGGTAAGTAAATCTACTAGCCTCAACAGGAGGAAGGTTACTCTTCTGTAATTTTTAATAAATAATAAATTATTTAATTGTCACATATAATATCGTCTTTTTTTTTATTATTATGTTGAATATCATGAGCAATAAATCATAAGCCTTTAATTTCTTATAAATAATAATAATAATACAATCTCAGCATAAGCCTATATTATATTAAAGTATAAGAATGTAAAAGAAAGCAAGCTATTGAGAATGATAATAATATAAATATCAATATAATTAAGCTTAATAAAAAAAAACGCGTTTATATTACGCTCTATATCATAGAATTAATTATACTAAAATAATTTTTAAGTTTTCAAAATTTGAACATTTCTATTAAACATCATTATTACGATTATTGAAAAAAGATTCCAAAGTAGGAATAAACATCTGGCTTTATAAGTGTGAACATCTACTACATTATCTATGTATACATTCTTCTAAAATAATACATGGAATGTATATTTGTATATTTGTTTATATATCTAGAAGGAAGCTTTAGAAAATGTATACAGACTCCATATGCTATATGTAAATTAAATAATGGATATTAGCAAAGGAATTTATAACTAAATTTAACAAGTTAATATATACACGTAATCTAACAGTTCTTAAGAACTTTATTATCTCTTTAGATTAGCAACTTGAGGTATGATGTGCAAAGGTGTGAAATGAGTAAGCTACAAATTAAAATGAACTTTATTAACCCTTCTTGAAAGAGAATAAATGTGTTGAATATTCTAAATACAGTTGGTAAACCCCGTTAAAACAAATATTTTGAATTGATAGGAATCAGTTTTATTCTTATATTTTACTGTTAATGTATTCTGGCACCACCACAACTAGTCCATCATTGTTTGATTATGTAATACAGAGTGTCAAATATGGCTTTACTTTTGCTACTAGCAGAATGTTTTCTCATGATTGGTATGTAAATTTCCTTATATTTGTATAAATATTATATCTTACACTTGTAATGACTTTTGAGATAAGACAAGGCTTACTTTGAGATATATATATGTATACATATTTACGAATTTAATAAAAGTAGTTTGTAGCTAATATAGATACTTATTTCATGAAGAGGTATATTTTACTTGATTAGTATAACTAAATAGACAATATTTATTTTAGTTCCTTTCTTTTAATAAATACGATAATAATATATAAACCAACATACATTTTTTACACAAAGTATCAACTATGAAGACTTAAATATTTTTGAATTGTTATTTGATCATCTTCAAGAAGAAAAAGCTTATCCTAATATTACACTACCAGTTGCTTTTGTTAATAGAAAGAGGGGATATCACACAAAAATATCTAAATTCAGTACATACTCTCAACGAATATATTAGACTTTTATAACTGAATATGCACCAGAGTTCAAGTGAAATTATTCTTCAAAGTAAACTTGTGTAAGTTATAAATGAAAATAATCATATATTTGATTAATTATATTTGAATCTATTTATATATTCCTACTAACAATTAAATGAACAGGTTAGATAAGAGTAATGGTAAAAGATTGATATAAAGAGTAAATACACTACACTACACTACACTACACTACACTACCATTTGTCTTCTTGAATTTAGTCAAGCGTATTATGTAGAGTATATTAAACAAAAGTTCCCCCAAAAAAGATATGCTCACTTTACATACTATTGAAATAGTTAAATCTACGTCTTATTTCAACTACTAGAATTGGATTAAATTTATATTTTATCATTCGTTTTGCAATACATAGCTAAAAAAGAGTATGAGCCTATTATATTAGTGTGCCTTCTTTTTATATTTATTTACTTTAATACCATTTCTTTTTTCTTTTTTTTTTTGCATTCGTTCTAATTTTTGACTTTTTTTGAGACTGCAAATTGTATAATCATATCTCTTGTTAATGGAGAAAAAGAGTCATCTGAACTGCACAATTACACAAATAACGAAAATAAAATAAAATATATTCATATTTCCTTATCTTTCAGTTACTAACAATTATACGTTTTCTTCTCTTCTTATTCTTTACTTTCCTTAAACCTCCTTAAGAATTTTCCTTTTCTTTTCTTTTTTTTTATGTGTGTGTTTATATACACATAGACATTCATTTCTTTCCTTCATAAAATATGAAAGTACTATCTTATTTTATATTTTCATTGTTAACGTTAATTTATTGTACATTTACAATTAAAACTGATCTGATTGACAATGTTGGAGAATATGAAATCTCATCTATTGAAAAGGATGCATTGCCAACTAAAACTGTAAAAAATGATAAAGACAAAGAAATATCTTCAAGTATTCCCGTTACGACTGCAGAAGTTGATATACTTTACACGACAGATATTGATAAAAATATACCAAGTTCCTCTTTTCTACTAATTCCAACAACTAGTAACCATAACACATTTCGTACAAGTTCTAGTGAACAACAGCCATTGAATACAACCGATAATATGAGTGATAAAAAATTAGAAGAAAATCTAAAAAATGATCAACAGGCATTAAAGAGAATGATTATTATATTATCTTTAGTAGGCGGGTTAGGATTCATGGCTGTTATTACGACCATTATCATTTTCATTAGAATGAGATCAAGGAATGAAAAGATAAGACGAAAAGAAACAGATCACAGTAGTAATAATAGTACCTTTGAATTGAATGCTAATAACCAACGAAGAGGCGAATCTAATACAATTAGAATAGATTCATCGTCTATCCATAGTCACTCCTCTATCTTAGTACCACCACAGCAACCATCTTTTCCTAATAATGTCGCTCAGACTTTTATTGAACCCTCGGCACCATCTGCGCTTGAATTACTTGAAGAGGATGATAATGATAATACTATTTTATATTTACAGCCTAGACGTCATTCTATCATGTCAGTAGGCTCACAACACTTTACAGCTCCTTCTGCACCTACAGAGAAAGAGTTAGATACCATGCAAGATAACATAGAAATATTAAATTCAAATTCTCTTCATCACCATCATTGTTCAAGGTATATAACCACAGATCATACCCTTTTAACATCTCCTGCAATAGTAACTGAAATAGATGAAACGCCTCCACCTGCTTACACTCCGAGTGCACCCCCTCATTATATCTTACCTTTTGAAGTGAATCATAGTTCATCATCTTCTAGGAGGCAGTCTTTAGGAGACTAAAAGAAAAAAGAAGAAGAAAAAAAAACTAGTATTTATATACACTTTTTCTCCCTTTTTTGCTATTTGTTGCTTGTATAATTATCTTATTTAGTATATGTCATCAAGTTTACTTGTACATATACTCCTCTTTATTTATTTTTTTGGCGTCATTTGCTATTATTTTATAAAGGAGATAACATTTTATAGTTTGTTTTCTTTACCTCTTCCTCCTTCTTCTCCTTTTATAACTCTCCTCACTTATATTAAATAGAACACACGTTTTGTTTTCTTATTTTTTTTTTTTTTTACTTCTTTCTTTTCTCATTACTATTGTTCAAGTAAAGAAAAAAACATGAAGATTACATTATACATTTTATGCTTAATGATATTGGCTCTATCGTTATGTGAAGCAGGCAGTTATCAAAGGACTAAAGCAACAGGTTTGGAGATATTTGCTAAAAGAGAAGAAAATTGCGATGTCTCATGTACTGGTGAATTATCAAATTGTGCTGAGCGTTGTAGAAGGTCCCGTGTAGCCTCTATTGTAGGTGATCTTCGTGTTGTTTGTCAAGAAGGTGTCTGTTATTGTGGATTTGAAGTGGGTTCTGACAATAATTCATAAAATCTGTGACTGGACACAATACCACAAAGTATTAAATTATTAAAATAAAACGCATGTATACATTTTTTTTTTTTTTTTTAATTTCTTTTTTTTTTTTTAATTTCTTTTTTTTTTAAAAAAAAAAACTTTGTTTAAATGAGTAACAAAGATTCCTTATTACCTCGTTCATTATTTTCTGCATCTACTTTAAAGGTGGAGAATACAGAAGAAACATTAAGTAAAAGCTAAAAATAAATAAATATATGTAACAACAAGTTTTGCTTTGCTTGTGATTTTAAGTTTTTTTTTTATTGACATGAAAACATTATTAGATTCTTATTTAAGAAATGATAATCAACAAGAAAGTTCAATGAGTAATAAGACTTCTACAACTTCAGATCAATCTTTAATTATAACTTCTAATGGAATCACTGCAGACTCATCAAATAATAACAAACAACCAGAGACGCGTAGTAAAGATAACAAAGACACGAGTATGAATACAATAGAGAATCAATATACTATTAACAGTAGTAATAGTAGTAGTAGTAGTAGTAGTAGTAGTAGTGAGGATGAAGATGAAGTCTTGGGGCTTCAATTGATTCATCAACAAGACATGAATGCAACTCAAATCAGTAATAACTTGCAATATTTATTATTAAGGGTATAGATATATAACTAATTATTATACTAATTATTGCAATCGCTAATCTTTATTTGTAGTTTGAGAAGCAACAATCTAGACAAAGAAGATATTTTGAAAAATTTAAACATCTGAATAAATCTATGAAAAGAACAAGTCAATTAATTAATTATCACGCTAAGCTACTATCAGGGCAAAACGATGAAAATTTAAAGATAGATATGAACGACACACCAAAAAGCTCAAAATCGCCTGTTCGTCAACTAGCAAAACGAAGTGTTCCATTTAATACAATTAATGATTCTTCACGTACTAGTAAACAGAAACAGCGTAGAATTGTAGTGGAATCAAGTGATGATGAACAGATGGAAGATCAGCAAGATGTTTTCATGTATAATATACAAAATCAACCTTCTACTTCAAAGCTTATTACTAATACTGGAACAGTAAAGAAGGTATGATCTAATGTATGATTTTCAAAAGATTGGTTCTGATTTGTTTTTTAAATATACACAATCTATCTGTAGACTGCACCAAAAATGAATGCTGTCAAAAAAGTGTATACAGAACTCGACTTTGGTACAAATGACACAATGGATATTTTCACTGTACGTAAGCAACAAGGAAGTATCATGTTTAATAAAAAGCCGAGATCTATATTATATAATATTGCAGGTGATAGTCTTGGTCAAGCAATGAGTGAATTGATGATCACGACATCGTTAGATGGAGAATTACATTTCTGGTATAAATATAGTTACTTATGAATAATATATATATGTATATATATATGTGTGTGTGTATGTATTGCTAAACGTTTTGCTATAGGAACTCTTCAAGTAGACAGTAAATTATCTAAAAGTCTTAAAAAAAAAAAAAAGTATTTTTACTTATATTCTTATATTTTGACAGAAAAATTAAAACTATAGGACAAAATCATATTTTTGATTCTTGGATTGAAGACATTTGTTGGGCTACACCTTCTACTTTAGTATGCACACCATCCAAATCGAATGAACCCATCAAGTTAGTTCATTTATGCAATGTTACCAATTCTAATGTTGAAGGTCGAATCCAGACACTCAATGATACACCTCATGAGGGCGGTATTTCAGTAGTTGCTTCAGTAGAAACCTCAGGGGTATACAATACAAAAAATATGGAGAAAAGTAGCTTTGTGACTGGTGGATATGATAAAAGTGTCTACATGTGGAATTTAAAACGTGGATCAGCACATGAGAACTTTCAAGTGGACAGTGTCTATCGCTTAGGGATTTCTCAACATACATCAAGTATTCAATCCCTATTTTATGATAAATATCATAACTTATTATTTTCAGGTGGTGCAGATGAAAGATTCTTGACTTTCGACCTACAAACATCCTATACGACACGCCTAATAAGATTAGATCATCGTGTGAATCATATTTCACAAAGTCCAGTGAATCCGAATATTTTATTACTTACGTAATAATGATTGACTTTTTTTATTTATTTATTTATTCATTTATTTATATGATTATCGTTATAGGATGGCAACGAAGCGAGAACAGTTTCTTATCTATGATCGACGATGTCCAGAGCCTACCTGTTTCAAATTAAAATTTGGACAAACAGAAAATGAAAATTTATCACGTTATATTAAACCTGAAATGCATTTCAATGGATATACAGTCTGTTGTGGTACTCAAGCTGCAAGTCGGTTAAACTTTTGGGATATTCGCTATGTGGGTGTATCACGTAATTTATCATTTTCGATGGATACGCCAGCTAAAACACGTAATTTAAGAGCCTTATTTATAAACAATACGAATACTGTCGTTACTCTTTCAAATGATCGTATGTTAAATTGGCTTGATTATGCAGTTAAAAAGGATGAAGTTGTAAAAACACTCGTATAACATGGATAACATTTTGATGATATGTATGTATATTCATCTATTTATATAATAAAGAGTAAAACAAATAGAAGACCTTTACGCGCGCACACACACACACACAAAAAAAAAAAGAAAAAAAAAAGAGAGAGAGAGAGAGTCATATTATACAAAAAGAAGAAGGGGAAAGAAGAGAAAAGGAGAGAGTGAGCAATATGTATATATATGGATATGAATTATTGATTCGTAACATCTTGTTGTTCTTCTTCATGTAACATAACAGTTCGAAGTCGACGTTCTTTTTCATTCTCAAGTTGACCATAAAGTAAATAGAGTGCTTTTTCATTTGATTCCAAGGTACCTTGGATAGTAAACATTCTTTCTCCTGTATTATCATGAGGCACTTTAGCAATGGATATACGTGAACCAGATAATTGACGAATCTCTGATATTTTTGAACCACCTTTACCAATAATACAACCAACCATATCACTAGGAATTGAGATATGTTGAATACGAGTATTATTATTATTATTATTATTATTTGTAGTGACTGTATAAGGTGAACGACGTGTAGTTTGTTGTTGTTGCTGTTGTTGATGATGATAATGATGATTGTTCATTGGATAATAAGTGCTATTATTATGACGTTTATGATTGAAGTCAGTTCCATTTCCAGTACGAATAAATCCATTTGTAATATTATTATTTCTATTGTTATTGTTACGCCTATTATTTATCCAAGGTTCATTTATGACCTTTATAGGATTATATAAAATGGTGCCATAAGACCTTTCTTTATCTTCAATTAAACAAGAACCTATTTCCAAAATGGCTTTTTCAATAGCTTCTGTCGTGCCACGAATCTCAACAACACGCTCTGTACTTTGAGGTAATAAAGTTTTAGAAGCTATCATACGTACACCTGTTATGTCTTGTATATGTTTAATCTTTGCCCCTTGTCTACCAATGACAGTACCCATTAAATTATGTGATATTAATAAACGTAGAGTAGTTTGATTATGATTATCATTCATAGTATTAGTAATAGAAATTGAAGTAGGATTATCCAATATAGTATGAGCAATCAATGAATAAGCCTATAAAGGTAAATAATAATAATAAAAAAAAAGGAATATATACAAATATTTGTACACACACATCATTTAATTCAAACATGTCTACATGACATTACGTTTAAAACTTACTTTAGCAACTCCTTCTAATGTACCACTTACAGTTAATACACGATCATGAATACCTTGAACAACTTTAGATACACCTGCTCTAACCCCAGTAGACTCTCTTAGCTCGGCAACATTTTTACCCCCCTTTCCAATAATAACGCCTGCTTCTTTAGTAGACACTAAAGAACGAAGACTAAGTTGGTCTTCATCTGAATGGCTTTCTTGTTGTTGTTCTGTATTATTAGATGTAACTTCCAATGGGCTTTCAGTCATGATGAATTAAATTATATATTTATAAAGAAAGAAAGAAAGAAAGAAAGAAAAATAAGAAAAATAAGAAAAAAAAAGAGAGAGAAGGAGAGAAAGAAGGCTTTGTTGTAATACAAATTTAAATGTTAAATTCAAAAAAGCGGGGTTGTCGTAGTCGTCGTCCAAAGAAAAAGAAAAATAGAAGAAAAAAAAAAAAATACAAATAAAATGCAGCGCTTATATTTATTATATCAACATACATGTATAATGCAATTTCTACAATAAACCAGTGATTCACCTTGATTTCCTTGTCTCATTTTGGCAGCTGAGTCCAACTGTTTTGAACATTTGGCACAAGATAAACATTTTTTATGCCAACGAGTTGCCAAGGGGCCAGGCGTATCATCCATAATCGAAATATTTCCTTTACATCTTGGACATCTCTTTGAACCACCTAATTTAGGCAAACTAGATATGGATTTGGGTTTTGTTGCTAAAAGATGGCAAGAACCACAAAAAGGATGCCCTCCTATCTCAAAGACTGGCTCACCTAATCGTATTTTACATCCATTCGCATAACACTTGAAACAATCGAAATGATAGTGTTTATCATTGAATTTAAAAGAGTCTTCTTGAATAGCTCTCTGACATCCTTCACAATTAATAAAATTACAGCGTGAATGATAAAAGGAAGTACCATCTGTTTTGCATTGTTGACCATCCTCCTTTTGAAAGGGTTTGCGGCATTTGCTGCAAAGGAAACAGGATTTGTGAAACCATACATAGTGCTGCTGCTGCTGTTGACGGCCATCACCAAGTGGGACTTTGACTTTCTTTTCTGTCGCGTCACCTAAAGGACGATGGCAATGATGACAAGAAGTTTGAAAGAGGAAAGAGGATGATTTTTGAGAAATGGGGGTATTATGATTTTGTTGATCGATAGTCGTGTGTAAAGGTAATGATGATGAGGGATTAGGCGGTATAAAGATAGATTCAAGTTTTTGAGACTGATGATGGATAGGTTTTGATCTTTTCTTCTCCTCTTGTTCCTCTATAGGAAATGAAGATGAGCGAGTAAGAGAAGGTAGAGCAAATAAGCTTTGATCCAAGATACGTGGTCTTGAGAATTTTCTTTGATTATTGTTATTGTAAAAATCAAGCGTAGATGAAGAAGAACTTAGGGTCGAAAGACTTGACTGTGATGAGTAAGAGTCAAATTGTTGTTTTAGAGAAGATGACTGTTGTATATCTTCAATTTTTTGATCCTTTTCATCTTGATGGCGTTTTCCAGCTTGAGCCATAAAGCAAGTCTCACAGCAAGGTCGATTTCTAAGGTCTACTAATGGATCTTTATCAAGTGGTATCTGGCAATTAAAGCATATAAAGCAAGGAGTATGCCATATTTTATTGGCATATTCAATAAATTTATCCAATTCTGAGACAGCTTTATGGCATGTAGGACTATGTATATACATAGTGTATGTAAGAAACAAAAATGTAGAATACATATATATTTGTAGGTATTTACCATTCTCCTTTAGTAAATAATTTGATATGACATTCTTTACAATAATGTATATTATTTTCCATAATCGTTGTTTTGTAATCTAATGATTTACTGCAACAACTACATACATTCTTCTTGATATTCAATGAATTATAAAATGTAGATTGAGTAACAGGTATTCTTTTTGCTGTAGGTGATTTTTTAACAATGATTTCATCAGGTGACAATATCGTGCCTGCGTACCTAATCATAATCAATAAATAAGGCTTTAACAATGAATAGAAATGTTTCTAATACTTTACTGTGATTGCCATCTATCAACAACTGAGACGGTATTTCTTTCTGAAATCAAACTACTAATTGTAGATTCTGCACTTGTATATTTATGTATTTAAAAAAAAAAAAAAAAAAAAAAAAAAAAAAAAAAAAAAAAAAAAAAAAGTTAAAGTACAGAAAATAATATGCAATTATTAAGTTATAATTTACCTACTGATCTTCCACCACATTTCTTGCATTTTCCGGTCGTTATTTCACCACAACGATTACAAAAACCCATAATAAATAAGAACAAGTAAAAGAAAAGAAAGGAAGAAATTGAGAAAAGAAAAAGGAATAAACAAAAAGGAAATGAAGGAAAAATGATGTCTTTTTATACTTTCTCTTTTTTATATATGTCAAAACATTCCAAAAATAGTAAAGAGTATACAAATCAAATATGTGTACTTCTATAGTAATTTGTATACAATTTATTATCTAAAAATATATTTATTAATTGCCACTACCACTTTCAGGCACACCCGTTTCAACATATTGCTCATCTTCAGCAATTGGTTCTTCAGGCTCATCTTCAACCATCGTATTCAAAAAGTATTCAGCTATCTTTTCATGATTTCTTTGTTGTGCTTCATATATAGGTGAAATGTTCATATTATTTTTAATCTATAAACATATAAAATAGACATGTATATAAATATATATATTAATCAATGTAATGTGTTTTTCTATTATTTGATTCTTTGTTCGTTACCTTACAATCAGCACCATTCTTTACTAAGATCTCTACAACATCATAGTGTCCATTTAATGCAGCCCAATGAAGTGGTGTATTTCCTTGATCGTTTTTAATGTTAATTAACTCGACTTTCTTTTTTTCATCTAATGTTGAAAGCTGTTCTACAATGTAAGTAACAATATCTATTTGAATTTATTTATTTTAATTTTTTTTTAAAGAAAAAATATTAATTTTGAAAGAGTGGGATATTTATTTTAATAAACAATCTTCAATTTACCAACATGATTATTAGCACTGGCCATATGAAGAGCAGTTTTGCCAGATTCATCTTTTTCAACTAAAGTTTCAGGAGAAAGCTTAAGCTCTTTAATATCTTCAAGTTCACCAGCACGAGCAAAATAAATAAGATCGTCAAGTAATTCTGCGTGATCGGTCATGATGATTATAAATTTTTATGTTATAAAAGGAAAAAATGTAGTATGGAGTATAATAAGAAAAGAAAAGAAAAGAAAGAAAAAAAAATTGAGGCTTTGAAATTTTTTGGTGTGCGATGACAATTTTAAACGCAAAATATCTGTTTAGATATTTGTTTAAGAAACATCTTGCTGGATTGCTATTTCGGTTAACCCTCTATTAGAGTAGAAACTCTTTCAACTCAGACTTTAAAAGGCCCATAGTTAGTCTAATATAATGATAGCATAATCAGTATATATCTTGACATTTCTTTACACAAACTCTTCTTTTACAGCTGGCGTATTTTGAGTCAAGTTTGAAACAAAACAAAATAAAGTAAAATAGAGTTGAGAAAAGCATTCTATATATACATATTTAAGAGGTTCTTGCTCGTATTGGATTCTGAATTACTGCGCTAAAAGTCGTTGTTTACATAAAGTAGATATAATAGTATGTTTTTAGTTTCTTTGATGCTACTATACAGAATAATTTTAGCAAAAGAAAGCATGGATATCATCATGTGTTTTATAGTTGTGGACTACGTTAAAATAAAGTAATAAAGAAGACAAGTAACATTTCTATACAAAGACTGGACACGTTATCAATACCTTCTTCCTCTTCGGATATTATTACAAGTCATATTTCCTCAATTTTTCAGAATTATCTTGAAGGCTTCTTATCATGATCAGAACAATTCGAGAAGAACTCAGATGTCCAGGTAATAGAACCAATTATGTATATCTGTTGTAAAGTAAATCATAAAACCCCTATTTACTTATTTAAGAGAAGGGATGTGATACTTTCTCAAATTGACGGGGTTTTTTTTTTCTTTAATCAATTACAATGATCTGAGGCTTTTTAATTCCTAAATTTTCTGGGAGGAAGAACAAAGCTTTTTCATCTTTTAAATTCAATGTATACAAAGAGAGTTTTTTTCTTATTCTTGGCTTATCATCGACACGGACTTCTCTTTAGCACTTTACTTGAACAGAATTCTTTATCTTTTATATACTGGATAAACATAAATTAAGCTTATAAACTTAAATCAGAATAAGTTTTAACACATGTAACTTCAATAAGCTCAAACCAAACATATCAAATACAATTTAAAATTATGTTACATAAACTAGAACAAGGTATTTCTTTTTTTATAATGAAAAAGAAAAAGCAACATCAAGGAGGGTATATCAAGAAGTTTCCCTTGAACAAATTGCTTCTTTTTTCAATAATAAAAAAAAAACTACCATAGTTCTATTATTTTTTAATTCCAAAGAGATTGTGATTTTTAAAATGATAGGGTTCGTTCTCGTCTCACCCTTTATTTTCTCCCCACAAAGGAAGAAATATTTATTTTTGGCGTTATAAAAGTTTACTCTTCATCATCTTCAGCTTCATCGTTAGCAATGTTAAAGTAACGAAGTTCGAAGGTTTGCTTATCAGAAGCAATAACACGAAGCCAGTCACGGATTTGGTTCTTCTTCAAGAACTTCTTAGTAAGGTACTTGAGGTAACGCTTAGAGAAGGCAATGTTAGCGACAACGGTAATCTTGTTATCAGCAGAACGAGAGATAGTAATGGCATCACCAAGGTTGTTGGTACGACCGTCGACCTTAATACGATCATGAAGGTATTTTTCCTATAAAAGAAAAAGCGTAAATTAATATAAAAAGAATAAAAAATAAAATAAAATTGTTAATAGAAAAAAAAGACACTTACGAAAGCAGCGGCATCAAAGATCTTGTCATTAGCAGGACCAGAGCAGTCAATGACGAACTTGGACTTCTTGACAGCAGCGTTGGAGGTCTTGACGGGAGCCATTTTTATTTACTTTACTTTTAAAATATGTAAGGTAGAAGGAGGAAGAACAAAAAAAAAAGAACAAACGAAAACAATTTATAGTTTGTATTTTTTCACGAAAAATTTTTTTTTGAATGTGACTATTGCTTTTGTCCTTAAAGTGGCTTATTACGTCAAATATCAATTAACATTTATCTTGTACCTGGTTTTTTTTTTTTTTTTTTTTTTTTTTTTTTTTTTTTTTTTTTTTTTTTTTTGTTTTTTCGACAAAAAATAATGTTTCAATGAATCTAATAATTTCAACAACTAACCATGATGATATTTTGCTCTGTATCGAAATTGAACATATCTCACTTTATATTGAGTTTACATCTCATATAATCCGTTTACAACGGGCAATCTAGAAAATACTCTCCGTATCTTGATAATTTTGGTCTTTTTTTTGAGTAACATAATATTAGAGAGGAAACTAAAAAAAAAACAACAACAACAACAAAAACTGCCAACGACCATGCCTTGCCCATTATCAATAATATACATGTGTATATCATTATTAATTCAGTTTTACTAATTAATAATAGAACTCCAAATTTGTTTAAACTGGAATGCCTTCAAAAAAAAAAGAAGAATAAAAATACAGCAGTAATGTTCCTTAATAACGCGACATGAACAAGTATGCTATAGAATATATTGTTCTATTTCTATTAAATATATTCATATACATGACCAAAAGTATTTTATTTTATTTTATTTTTTTGTTGAAAAAACATCGTAAGCAATGCAAGTTTTTTCTTATTTTGGTCAAATTAAGGAATGTAATATACCTTCATAATTCATGTTAGTAGATCAAGCTGGTAGTACAGTTTGTCTAATCATCAAAAGTCGTACACTGTTTTTTACCAATCATTTCCGGATAAGCTGTAATTGAATAGCATAACTATGATGTATCTTGTGATAAATCTCCAATTAGATTGAATATATCATACATGGTAATGATGTACTGGGATAAAATTAAAAAATGAAATCAGACCCTATGATTGAATGTATCATTAAATGCCCATTGTAATGATGTTAAATAGATTATATATATTTATATATCATGAGCAAATATATACATGTAATTATTAAATCCATATTATACACATCTAAAATAGTCACTGCTTTAACAAACAAATAATAAAAACCTTGTGCATTCATAATAAAACCTTCCCCCCTTTTTTTTCCCTTCCACCCCTCCCCTTTTTTTTTTCATTACTTACTTTGCTTTTGTCCCTTTCCTCATATCCCTCTTTATTGTATAGTAAATTAAAGTCTATTGTATTGTATCCCTGTATAAATATACTGTTAAAAATTAATTGCATTAGAGTTAGTACGCTCAAGTTTGCTCAAATCTCAATATATTCATATAAATATTTATTTATATTTTGTAATAGATAAAAAAATTTTTTTTTTTTATAAAATATAATGTTGAAACTAGGTGCATTATTCTATATTATTACACTCAGTTTAATTATAATAGTTTGGTATTCTCTATCAAGCAAGAATAATTCCATACATCAATTAAAGGCTTTGGCTATTCATGATTGGAGTACGAGTCAATTAGCTTCGTCTCAAGTCCCTTCCTCTTCTTGGCTTGTTTGGACAGGACAATATCCCGAGAAATTTAAGCAATTACCTATTACGAACGTAAAAAGAAAACAAAGTGGATATTTTTTACATATTACCGATATGCATGTAAAGTTAATAATAATAACAATAGAAGATTTTTAAACATTTAAAATTCTTTCTCCCTTTCTCATTTATATATATATATATATTATCTTGTATAGGTTGATGTCGATTATCTTGAAGGAGCTACTGTTCAATCGGTTTGCCATGAATTACCTGATTTATCAATTTCGAAAAAAAAGAAGCCTTCACAATTAGCTGGAAAATATGGTACACCAGGTCAAAGATGTGACGCACCTATTTTATTAGCTGAAGAAACATTAAAATGGATATCAAAAGAATGGAAGGACAAGCTTGATTTTGTCATTTGGACAGGCGATAATGCAAAGTAATTTTAAATATAACATACAATACGATATTCCTCCCAGATTAGTGTAATTAAGATACCTTTTTATTTTAAAAATATATATATATATATATATATACATATATATTATTATCATTATTATTATGTTTAGACACAATTGGGACAAAAAACATAATAAACGTAAAAGACGAGATGTATATGAACTTAATCAGCGTGTCACAGAAATGATGTTGGAGACTTTCTGGATTCATGATAAAATACCCGTTGTTCCTAGTTTTGGTAATAATGATGTTTACCCTCATAATCGAATAGGCGGTGCAGATACAGATGGAGATTTATTAATGTTTTATGAGCAATTATGGCGTGCGTGGATACCTTTAGATCAACGGTCCACATTTCGACAAGGTGGTGGTTATTTTATGGTCCAGGTAGCACCTCATCTTCATGTCATCTCTCTCAATACCATGTATTTTTATACCAAAAATCGTGCAGTTCATAATTGTCTTCATCCCGACAGTCCTGCTACTGTACAATTTCGTTGGTTTGAAGAACAATTAAAATGGGCTCAGAAACATGAGAGTGGTAAGGAAAAAATCTATGTTATCGGGCATGTTCCTCCTTCACCTCGTGATTACAAAGGCACATGTATGGCAGAGTATCTACGTCTTGCCACAGCCTATTCAGATGTTATTCTCGGTCACTTTTTTGCTCATCTTAATATGGATCATTTCTTGTTATTTGATAGTAGACATAATGAAGATGATGATGATAAGAGTGCTCAGACATGTAACATGACGATGGTAGAGGGTACTGCAGATAAGGACGATGACCATGAATTATTTCATACAAACCGGGATATTGAGTCTTATCTAACTTGGTTACGTAAAATGTATGAGAAGATTGAACCCTCAGATGATAAAACGTCACCTCCAGATAGTCATGCCTCACTTGTTGCTATTCAAGTGGCCCCCTCTGTTTTACCTGTTTATTATCCAAGTATTCGTATTTATAAATATAAAACGACACCAGATGATAATGAAGGCAACACTACTATGACTGAATCAAAGCCTTATGGAGCCTTACTAAGTTATTCGCAATATTTCGCTAATCTTACAAAATGGAACACGGCTTCTGATGAAGAGAAAAACTTGGAATATGAATTTGAATATTCAACTGCAGAGGCATATCACATGAAAGACCTAAGCCCTGAGTCCTTTTTTGAATTAGCAAAATCAATGGTAACAGATAGTGAAAAAGGTCATCAACTTTGGTCTAATTTCCGGAACCACATGTTAGTCAAGACTCAAACTTTTGAATAATAATAATAATAATAATAATACTTGTAATAATTATAATATTAATAATGATAATAATAATAAAATTGTTTACATAATATTCATGTGTATAAGTATAGGTATAGGTATATGTAGATGTAGATGCATATATTTTTATATATTTATATATATGATATGATGATTTATTTTTATATGTATATAATTTAAATGAACACATATTGCGGTGGTGAATGTGTAATTTAATTTAAATGTGAGTCTTATTTAATTTATCAACTAAATCATCTGCGTCTTTTTGTTCTAATTTTGTAGTAGGTTCTTTAGATTCAGCTTCTTTAGCTTCCTTAACAATTTCAGCCTCTTCTTCTTCTTCTTCGTCCTCCTCCTCTTCCTCTTCCTCTTCCTCTTCTTCTTCTTCTTCTTCTTCACTATCCATTTCTTCCATATCATCTAATTCGTCTAAAGCATCTTCATGTCCCCAAACAGCGAGTGATTCTTTTAAAATGTCTACAACTTCATCATCTTCTTCAAATCGATTACCATTCAATTCAAGCTTTTCTAATAAATTCAAATGTGATTTAATAGCAGATGCTAAGGTCTTGACACCGTCTGCTTGAATTTCGTTATATTGCATCAATAATTCCTTTATCTTTTTATTTTCACCACGCTCAAGTGCAGCAAAGATAGCAGCACCTCCCTTTTTACTCAAAAGACAGTCAGACAAGTTCAAGATTTCCAAATCAGGCCAGCTTGGTAGGGCCTTAGCCAAGGCTCTAGAACCTTTTGCAGTAAAGGTATTATCCTGAAGATCGAGATGGTGCAAGTTAGGACAGTCTTGAAGACCCTCAACAATGGTACGAATGCCATCAGGACGAATACCGTTTTGAGGCATACGGACGACTTCCAAGGTACCATGAGAGGAGAAAGCACGAGCTAAGGCCTTGGAGGATCCATCTTCAAGACGATTACGACCACAAATAATTGTGCGGAGTGAAGAAGGTCGGTTTTCGGCCGCAGCTTTGTCAGCAGAGGCTTGAAGAGCCTGTGCAATCATCGCACCACCACCAAGACCCAATCCATTATTATTTAAACGCAAGGTGTGTAAAGTTTTCGTATTGGACAGAAAATGAATCAATGGTTCAGCACCAGCAGGGCCAAAGGCATTGTCGGAGAGATCTAATTCTAAAAGTTCTACTTGTTCAAAGGCATCACACAAGGCTTTTAAAGCAGAAGGAATTTCTGACAATAAGCGGCCAGTAAAGATGTCAGATAAAAGAGCTTTCTATAATCAATGTCAAAATTTGAAAGTTAATGAACTAAAATTACATGGCAGGAAAGGAAAAGAAAAAAGAAAAAAGAAAAAAGGAATTAACAAACCTTTAATTTTTTTTTAGTTTTAAGTGCTTCGGCTAATGCCTGACTTGCTTCAACACCAAGTGTATTACCACTTAAATGGATAACTTCAAGATCATCCATTTGATTAATTGTATCTATAAAAACTTGAACATCATCAGCTGTGTTCAACTTGAGACCTTTTCCAACAATGGAAAAAACTGTGTTGTTCTCGAGTGTATATTCGTTAATTGGTGCAATCATATTTTTTTTTTTAAAAAAAAAAAAAAGATTTAATAATTTTGTTTTGCAATACCAAAAAAAAAAACCGACATGTCTAAAAAAGTTCAGATGTCGTGTATATAGTCGATTTGACTTTTTTTTTTCGCGTCAAAAATTTATTTACATGAAAAGAGGTAGAAGTTCCTATTTTTTGAGCATTCTGATTGGATTGCTTATGTACGAGTAAACGGATCTGTATTATTAAAAAAAAAAAACTTAACTAATGTAATAAGAAGAACAAGATGTGTTTGGTAGAATATAGTGCTTTAGTGTAATATATAGTAATTGGTCGCTATTAAATAATGACTTTGTAAATATGGATACAGTATTTGGGTATATGATGTGAGGCAGTTGATCTGTGTTGTCTGTTAATTTTAACACTTATTGATATCGCAATACCTGCTATTTTATTGTATTTAAATCTATTACTGACACACTTGTTATCGTTACTAGCTGTTATAACTGTTAATTAATTCATAGAAACATAACTACTGCATGATAAAGTTAAGCTCTATATTCACATATAAATACCATTCACGATAATTATTATACGTATACATATATATATATATATATGAGCTTCTTCCTTTTTTGGTATATATTAATTATATGACTTGTTTATAAAGCCACGTCAAATTGGTCCAATGCTTTGTCAATGAAGCACACTTCCTTTTGATTTAAAGGGTCTTCAGCCTCTATCTATCAATTCCAAAAAAAAAAGTCTTGTATAGACGTAATTATTTCTATTCTTTGTGAAGGACAGAATAAAATAAAATGAAAAGAAGAGAGGAAGAAGAGAAGATAGGAAATAAATAGTGTATAAAAATATTATATGAATAGATTTACTGTGTAGATAATGAATCAGATCCATATCATACTATTATAAGATACAAAATAAAGAAATAAGCCTAAACTCATGAACAAATTATATTTACAAAGTAGGTGTGTATGTAGTAATTTCTTATTAATAAAGTATGTATTATAAAGTAACAAAAGAATACATATAATTTATTGTCTTAAAGCTCTTAGTCTCTCTGTTAATAATCTATCTTCATCTCTCTCTTTTTCTTTTTGCTTAGGCTCTTTCAAAACTTTGCTAGGTTCTAATTCATTCAAAGTATCATGTAACTCTAAACCATGCTCATCTGCAACTTGATGCATAAGTTGTTCAACTTCATCTTGAGGTGTATTTAATGTAGTTGTACCCGCCATAGCTCCTTCCATATAACCTGTTTGAACATCAAGATCCTCAAATTGTGATTCAAACTTATCCATCACCATTGAAATCTTTAGTTAACCATAAATAAGTATATTAATATATATAAGAACATAAATTGCCCATGCCTTTTATCAAAAGAATACCTGTTCCAAATTCATAGTTTCCATTGCTCTTCCCATGCCCCGAACAACTTGAGCCATAGAATTAGAAACCTTTATTTTTATATTTGTTTATGCATCAATTAGAAATGAAGAGAAATTTAAAATAGATATATTATATCTACCTTTCTCATAGTAATAGCAGTTTGAACACGACTAGCCACAGCATCGATACGAGAGGATAATTTAAGTAAATTTAAAGACTCATTCTTCTTTCTGATGGCATTAGAAGCGTATATACGTGCACCTTCCATGTTGCCATCTTGTATAGCCTTTTTTAGTTTATTTTTTTCAGTTACTTCATCTTTTTGACATCTTTTTGATTGCTTATTTAATTGCTTTGCTGTAAACTGTATATGCAGGAGAGAAAGAAAAAAGAAAGTTATTTTCATAAAACTTTAGTTGTAAATTACTTATAAATTACCTTTAATTGAAAAAGTTGATCTAAATAAAATAATATGTAAATTAGAATTCAACATGAATATTTATGTTAGCCTCTATTTACTTTCTAAACCATTCATCTTTATATTCGTCTTATTTACTTAAAAAGAAAAAAAAAGTACAATAGAAAAGAGAAAAAATAATAACAATAATTTCTGTCTCTATTGTAAAGTCAGAAAAAACGACCAGTGACAGCAAAATAATTTACATACTATTGTTTTTTTAACTTATGAAGACGATTAAGATTTTATTTTTAGATGTCATAGAAAGAAACTTAGACACTCTGGAATTGTTTTTTTAGACGTTTCGGCATTTTTTTTTATTTTTATTTATTGGGCAAATATTACTAGTGTCCAAGTTGTCTTGGCTTTACAGACGAGCCAAATCTTTTGCCTGTAAATAATACTTGAGGTAATGTTTGAATTAAATGCTATAAGAGTTGTTGGTCTTTGCTTTCATAAAAAAAACACACAAATTGGCATACCATCTTGATTTTCATGCTGATATGACGATGGCTATATATCACGCTTTTTTTTAGTGACGTTAATGTCTTGCTGCAAGAGTTAGTATATGCTCTCAAACATGTGTCCCCAAATCTTCAGGTTCTACAATGAAAGGTCTGCAACCCTTTTGTTTCAATGGTTATCAGGGCAATAATGCTTCTGAATGATAAATATACCAAAAGTATTCTAGATTGCAAAAACTGTCCTATACTTTGGAATAGAGATGTCAATGCAAGCCAAAATATGTTAGACATGTCGCAGTCTATTTAGGAAGAAAAAAAAAAGAAGACCTGTTGTCTTACAGAGAGGATACGGTTTCGCAAGCAATAGTGATTTAAATATCTACAGGTAATACGCACTTGTCCAAAAAAAAAACTAACAGTAATTCGACTCTTGTTCCTTCTCAAATTGAATTCTTATTCGTCTTGATTTTTTTTTTTTTATATATATACATATATAATCTGTCTCAATTCCAAGTTCAATGACTGTATTGAGTACTTGTTTCATTATTCTTAAATGAAACAATAATTATATATTCTTGACATGAACTATACAGTGATGCTTAAAAACGTGTACATGCTTTAATAAAATAAGGAGGAATTAATACATTTTGAATATTTATCGCAATAACATTTCAGTTAAAGAAACTGTTATATACTATCTATTCATCAACAACAAATATGCATTTGGCTTTATTTAGTAATGATGCAACAAGTTTGCTTAGTACATACAAGTTCTCTATTATGTAGGGTTTGTTCTATAATATTATGTAAGCAATTGTAGTAATTGACTATTATGATGCGATATCTTTTTTAGAGTCTTCATCAATTAATATTTTCACTAATCTTTCCAACTCAAAAACATGATCATCACGGACACCTGGACTAATTTCACGAAGTGCTTCAGCTAAATTCAACAAATATTCCGCATTCCATCCTGATGGCCCATATGATTCAAATATTTGCTTTGCTATCGCTGAAGATGGTGCTGGTCCAACATACGCTTGATTATCTGTTGTGCCAATATATACTAAGGCCTAAACATGTTAATTATTAAGTAATTATTGCATTCTATTTTGTTTTATATATATAAAAGTATACATTTTTAACTGCTGGTGTTGTGTCATCTTCCAAACTATAGACATCGACTGTATGTACTGTATAGCCATTCTATTATTTGTTGTTGTTTTTTTTTTTTTTTTTTGGAAAAGATATATAAATATATCAATATACTCGAATTTAAAAAATAAAAGAACAAAAATGAATACCTTTTCCCTATGATCTAAATAGGCCCTTGTAACTTCTACATCGTCGGCAGGAATTTTGAATGCAACTCCCCATGTTACTTTATCATGTCCCTCCTAATCAGTTAAAAAGAAGTATTTTTTTTTTCTTTTTTAGTTCGTTTTATATTCATTCATACAAAAGTGTGCGTATATAACGTTCTTTACCACGTTTTCAATATTTTTCCATTCATCATATGGGATTAATGTCACCACTCGACCTGGTTTTTCAGGAGTACCTCTATGATCCTCACTATGCTAAAATAGATTTAATATTTATTTTTTCAACTATTTATCGTCACAACCACATACTTGCCAAAACCGTCGAACATAATTTTTAATATAGCCTATTTGTCTATGAATAAATGAGTATACACGTATTCATCATAATACCAAAAAAAAAAAAAAAACTTTTTTTATAGACTTCACTTACTTTTGCTCATAATGAATGGGTGGTTTCCAAATTAAAGAACCATAGCCAAAAACCCAAATTCCATCAGTATGATTGTTACCATTATTACATTGTTCGGAATTGTGCTCAAGACGATTAACAATAGTATCAAGATTATTAGGTGTCATATTAAGAGATTAATATATAATAGAAGGAAGAGGAAATATATATGAATTAAAAATATTATTTTTTTTTAGTACAGAAAAAAAAAAGGGGGGACATTTAATTAAATGTGAAATAGTGAATACAAGAAGCAATTTTTAGTAATTTCATAATTTATTAAATTCAGTTGAAGATGCTCATTACATTAATTAGAAGAACTATTGAATAACTTGTCTACTTTTAATAAAATGCTTTTATTGATTTTAGCTAAAGATACATCATAATTGCTTACAAAGTGTTGAACCAAGTTCCAGCTAATAATATGTTTAAAATCGAACAATAAAAGGTTAAATGAAGAACTTTTTTTTTTCTTTTATTAAATGATATATATTATGTTAGGCAATCCATAGCTTGTAAAATTTAATTTTGTCTATGTAGCATGTACTTTATAATATTGAGCAATTAGAAGACTCTATTTTTGGTAATTTTCTTTTTCTATTTGATTATGAATCAACTCAGGGAATGTTTAATTTTCCTTTTCTCAAAAATTACTTTGAATTATGACTCTATCATACAATTTTAAACACAAGTGACTCAATAAACGTCAGCATAGTAATAAACATGTAGAGCCTTTTTGTTTGTATACGTTCACGTTCAGAATAAATAGAACGGACCAATTAACTTGATAGTGACTATAGTGAATAACCTACAAGCACCTCAGCAATTTCTATTCTTTTTTTTTTTAAGAAATAAACTAGATGATACAGTTATAAGCGATACATTATTAATGAATCAATATGTCTATGTATAATGATTTATTACTGGGTATGATGTACAGTACAAAAACTTTAAGCAATGACTAATATTTAACATTGTTGGCTTAACATAGTAATATTATATTTATCCGATACTATTCCTTTTCTTATTTTACAGTTACTGATATTACATAATTATAAATATGCATTGAACTGTTGATCAGATTTTTATTTTTGGCAATAATTTTAATTTTTTTTGCTATAACTGGTAAAAATGCAGTAAAATACTTAATTTCTAAGGTGCCTGAAACCAAAAAATTAAGTACCTTCCTGGTTATATAAAATATTTAGATATGGCTTTATTTGAAAATTTTTTAAAAGTTTTTCCCTAACGATTAAACAAAAAAAAAATGTTGAAAGAAAACAGATTTCAAATAAAATACTTGGATAACTTGACCACTTATAGTCTTACATTTTTAATACAAACAGTATAAAATATTATTTAGTCTTTATATAATGTATTATTTATTTTATTTTATAAAATTTATTAACATTACCAAAAATAAAAGTTGCAAAAAAAAAAAAGAAAAAAAAATTTGTAAGGGTGCCAAAAATTTTTGTATTTCATTGGATGATATTAGCATTCCGTCTTGAAACTATCACCTCGAAGGTACTCATTTTAAACACTTGTAATCCGATTAAAAAAAAATGTATAAAAATTGAATGATAAAAAACATTTTTTTCTTTTTTTTTTTATATTTATTTATTTATTTATTTATTTATCGTTAAGAAAGGCTCTTTGCTTATTTGTTAGATTAGAGCCGTAATTATTATTTGAATTATTTTTCTTTATTGTATTTTTATAATAGCAAATGCCTTCTTTACGTTTAAATTGGAAACTATTATTTATATTTTGTAATTTAGTGGCCTTTTGCTTTGCTCAAGATGGTAAATTTTGACAGCTTAATAATAATAATAAAATGTTACAATAATTAACAAGAATGAATAGATAATTCAAATATACAGAACGAATGTGCAGAAGAAAAAATTACCAACTATAATATGCCAATGCGAGTTGGTGCTTTGTTCATTATTCTCGGTACAAGTGCTTTTGGTAAAGATATAAATCATGCTTATTTGTTCTCCCTTATTTTTGAAATTTAACCTTTATTATTTAAAAAAAAATAATTAATATAGGTGTCTTTACTCCTATCATATTACATAGAATCTCTCCCTACAGTGAAGGCAGCATTCGAGAATCGATATTAACAATGGGAAAATTCTGTAAGTTAATGTAACAAAAAAATAGATCTAGTAACTAACTTGCTTTTTTGTATATATGTATATATATATGCACATCAATAGTTGGTACTGGTGTTATTTTAGCTACTGCATTTGTTCACATGTTACCAGATGCTTTAGATAACTTTGCTAGTCCATGTTTGAGTGAAGGATGGCAAAGTTATGGTGCCTTTGGTGGTGTATTTTGTATGATTTCTTCATTTGCACTTCAATTGTTAGAGCTAGCAGCTGTTAATAATATTGAAAAGATCCGAGCTAAAAGGGCAAATGAGAATGCGTCATTAGATATTGAAAAGACACATAAAAGTGCATCTTTGGATAGCAGATCTACTGACCTGACAGCAAAAGATTTACCTATTGATCAGTCTACATGCGATGAACATCCTCACGATCACGTTCATAGTGCAGGATTATTTGAAGATGAAGAAGCTTTTAAACATATTGGTACAATTATATTAGAACTTGGTATAGTCATGCATTCCATTATTATTGGTATTACTTTGTCAAACACGGATAGTGATGATTTTATTACTCTTTTAATTGCACTTGTTTTCCATCAGGTAAAAAAAAAAAAAAAAAAAAAAAAAAAAAAGATATATACAAATATACAGAAATGTATTTAATAATCTTTTATTTTTTTTTTGTTGATTAGTTCTTTGAAGGTGTTGCGTTGGGTACACGTATTAATGATATGAATATTAAAGGTTGGAAACGACCTGCATTAATGGGATTATTATTTATTTTAATGACACCTATTGGTTGTGCTATCGGAATTGGCATTCATTCTTCTTTTAACCCTAATTCTTCTTCAGCTATTCTCTCGAGCGCTATTCTTGATTCACTTTCTGCTGGTATCTTGCTTTACAATGCCTATATTTCATTAATGGGCCAAGAAATTAATCATAATACTGAATTCCGTAAAGCTTCCTTCTCTCGACAATTTACTTGTTTCATTTCTATGTATTGCGGAGCTGCTTTGATGTCGTTGATAGGCAAATGGGCATAAATAGTAGTATAAAGAAAACGCAATTATATTTAATTTTCTATATGTACTCATTCTATATATCATCTAAATCAAGACACAAGACATACATATTATATACATATAATTTTCATATTTTCATATTTATATATTTATATATATATATATATTATACCATTTTAACAAGAAGGCCCCTATTTATTTACCTTTGTAACAATACATTTACAGATATTATTTATTTTATCTTACTTCAAAATAAACAGCTGCTTTCTTTGAAACACATTACTCGCTATTAGTTCATCATAGTATATAAAATTTACTTTCCGCTTGTGATTTTATACTAGTACTAGTACTAGTACTACTACTACTACTACTACTACTACTACTACTACTACTACTACTACTACTACTACTACGACTACGACTATTACTACGACTACGACTACTACGACTACGACTACTACTACTGTTATTATTATTATTATCATTATTGTGTATTATACATTTTTTTAGTATGTATTAAAACTTGTTTTAAACCTATTCAGATAAACATACAAAAAGGAGAATGTATGATTTTATGTTAAAAAGGAAAGGATAAATATACAGTTTCAAATAAACTCACTTTATTTCCCCGCCTCTAAAATACGGAGGAATTTGAAGAAGTTAAAAATAAATACATATTCATACATATAATAAAAAAGAAGAGTGTAGTAGTATTACTTAATACAGATAAAAGCATTATTTATAACTATTGGCTTTATTATATCAACCTATTTTACTAGAAAAGTAAACGAATATGTGTAATTATATCCATTATCTTTTTTTTTTTTTTTTTTTTTTTTCCGTAAATACAGTTAAAGTAGTAGGGAAAGAATGTTACAATAATTAACTTGATATGATTTACCAAAAATGTTTTTTGTTTAATCAAGTTTATATTAATAAACTTTGCTTCACAAGATTATCTTTAAGTCCTATGTAAACAAAAAAGCTTCAAGTTAATAGTAGAAATTAGCTTTTAATTAGTCAAATTTTGTATATATGAATATTCATTTTTTTTTTTTTTTTTTTTTTTTTTTTTTTTTTTTTTTTTTTTTTGTTGCTGCAGTTTCTCTTTCGTGACGCGTATAGTATGAAAATTTTAAGTTAAAAATAATACTAATAAAAAGTCTTTTTTTTTTCCCTTTACTCTTATCATTAACTTTAGAAGAGGTTTAAAGAGAAAGTTATTCGTACGTTATAAATTCATGTTTCCTTCTATAATAAAAGAAAGAATATATTTTAAACATTAACTTTGTTTTCCTAATAGTTTTAATTCAATAATAAAATGACGACGAAACCAACTACAGAAACTCTCTTATTGAGTAAAAAATTATTCGAAGCAGGATATAACAGTTTATCAAATATAAATAACGCCATGCAGGCCATGGAAAACGTTGAAATTACAGACGATTCAGTTTCAAAAGCCTTGGCAATGATCACCAGAACACATTCTAAACTTCAAGGAAGTACAGAAGCTCAAACATGGAATATTGAAAACTTTGTAAAAGCTGTATTTAAGAAGGTATTTTTTTTTCAATCAATATATCTTTTTTATTTCTCACGATAAAATAACATTCAATTATTAGAATCCTAATCTAAACTGGATTACTGTCTTTGCTAAATTAGATCAAGTAGAATTTATGCTGTATGATCCAAATGGGTTAAAAATACTCGTTACATCTTGGAAATGTTGTAGAAAGGTAATGTATAAAAGGGAATTGTGAGTAATTTAAGTTTATAAATGTATTGTTATATTAGGATGAGCCTTTCCCTGTGCACATATTCCTTCAACCTTGGATGCATGTTAGAGGTCAATTAAGTGTATTATATCACATGGTTTATTGTTCAACTGATTTATTAGATTTAAATCAAACGGCAACAAAAAAAGTGATTCCAGAAGATGTAATTCCTACATTGCCCATCAGCTTACGTCAGGCTGCAAATCAGTTAGCTTCACAGCAGCTAAACTGTTTTGGTTTATTAGAAGCAATTATGGATTTAGCTGGTACAGCCGCTTCTGAGGATGTAAAGGTTTTAATGGATAGGTTAGCTATTCAAGCTCCTGAGTTGCTTATGATTGGTTTGGCTCAAATTCAGGTATATTACTATCAAGTTGAATAATAACAGTTATATTAATCTATCTTTTTTATTGTTATTATTATTTACTATAGCCTACCAAAAATGAATTACATCGCTTACTCTTACCTAAATTATTAAATATCTTTCTTATCGGTCATGTAAATTCTCCTCTTGTTATTAGATTACTTTGGCATGTACAGCTTAACTTTTTATTGGAAGGCTTCTTTGAAATGTATAAGAAGGACCCTACATCTATTTCTCGCATTTTAGATATTTGTCAAGAAGCAAAGGTAACAAATATAGATATATATAAACAAAGCGAATAATAATAATATATAGAACCATAGTAATAACTATTATTCATGTAGATTGTGGTTCATATATTGAAAACAAATATACCTTTCTTTACACTTGATCTAGCTTCACTCGCTGCTCGTAGACAAAATTTGAATTTGGAAAAATGGTTATTGGAAAGATTAGCAAAAGATGGCTTTACCTTTTTTGGTGCATGCATAGATTTTCTGGAAAAGAAATGTGCAATTGAAATGGCTCGTCAATCAGGCGCTAATGTCATTCCTACTTTGCAATTATCCATGGATGTCATTCGTATTTTTTTCAGAATTTTATCTGAAAGGTAAATTTCAATTTATAACTATATTTTTTTTTTCAGAAAAAAACAAAAACAAAGAAGAGCTGTTGTGTGTATATTAACTTACGCCTTAAATTCACAACAATAGATCTTTGCCTACAATTGAAACAGCAAAATTAACCAAGTTAAGTCAATTGTACACCCAATTGTACCCTCAGTTAAATGAAAATCGATTTCAAGCAGATAAGAAAATAACAGGAATGACGGAGACTGCTACTAGCAATAATACTATAAACACTACTACTAATCCTATTAACGAGAATGAACGAAATTATTCTGAAGAAGTAGAAGAAATGGTTCGTTTATATTTTGAGAGATTATATACAAAGGATATTAGTCCTAGTAGATTTGCTTCTGTTTTGAAAGCTTGCCGCACATCTAATGATCAAAGACAAGTGAATTTCTTTTCTTGTACAACTCATACTTTGGTAAGAATACATTAAAAAAGTAATCAAGATATAAAGCTATAAACTAATATATGCATATATTTATGTATTATATTTAGTTGGATGAAGCTCGTTTTTTTAACCAATATCCTGAAAATGAATTAATGGCTACTGGCGAACTTCTTGGTCTCTTAATTGATCAGCATCTTATTTCATTTTCTCAATTGCGTATTACACTCAAACTTATTTTAGACGCTCTGAAGCATCCTGTAGGATCAAAAATGTTTAACTTTGGTATTCAAGCTTTGATTCAATTCCGTGGTCGTTTGTTTGAATGGCCTCAGTATACACTTCTTTTATCGAAAATTGAAGGATTGCGTGGATATCCTACTATTGTAGAAAGTATTGCTATCACTTTGAAGCAATTGGCGCAAAAGGATCCTGAAGGAAAAATGATGGTTTTAACGTCATCTTCTTCTTCCTCAGCATCTTCACCAAAAACATCTTCATCTACACTTTCGTCCGTTACTCCTTCTGGAGATTCTGGAAACACTGCTGAACGATCTGCTGATACTGCACCCAACGTAACTACTTTATTACAGAGCTCATCAAAGCAAACATATGATAATCCACCTGATAAAATACAGGAACGTGTTTCATTTTTGATAAACAATTTATCTGCAACTAATATGAAAAGTAAAGCGACCGAATTGAGAGAACTGTTACAAAAGTCAACTTGGGGATGGTTCAGTCATTATCTTGTTGTTAGACGTGTTAGTATTGAGCCTAACAATCATGAGTTATACTCTGCCCTTCTCGACGAACTTGATATACAACCCTTAGTAGATACTGTGATTGAAGAAACCTATGCTAATATTCATTTATTATTACAGTCAGATAGTATTGTTAAATCTTCAGCTGATAGAAATCTTTTGAAGAATATGGGTACCTGGCTTGGTCGATTAACAATTGCTAAAAATAAGCCTATTCGACATAAAGATTTGTCTTTTAAGGATCTTCTTGTTAGCGCTTATGGGAAAAATCAACTTGTAGTTGCAATTCCTCTTGTTTGTAAAGTTTTACAACATGCTAGTAACAGTAAAATCTTTAAGCCCCCAAATCCTTGGCTTATGGGCTGTTTGAAACTTCTAGCAGAATTGTATTGGACAGAAGGACTTAAATTAAATTTGAAATTTGAAATCGAACTTTTGTATAAAGCATTGAATCTTGATTTGAACGAGATTGAACCTACATCCTTATTGAACAAAGGTGGTCCTCCTGGTATTGCTAATGTCTCAAATAAACCATCGTCAATTGTTGATAATTCTCCCACTGCCTCTCAAAAGTCTGTCCCTGTTTCTAATAAGGCTATTCTTGATGGACAAATTCATCCCCCTCCAATGAATAATACTCCTAATCTTCCTTCCGCTCAAAATGCTCGTCAAGAAATCGATATTATTCCTATATTAGCTAAGCTTCAGATCAATCCAGCTATTGCCCAATTAATGATACAACAGCCTATCATTAAATCTACTGTTTATGCAGGCATTTCTGAGGCATTTTATGAAGTGGTACCTCCTATTATAGCTACTTCTGCCAATATTGCCTCTATATCCACTAAAGAAATGGTTCTAAAAGACTTTGCTACGGAACCTGATGAAACACGTTTGCAACGCGCAGCACATGCTATGGTTCAACCTTTAGCTTGTAGTTTATCAGTTGTAACTTGTAAGGAACCCCTCTACAATGGTATAGTCACAGTCATTTCTAATAATCTAACTCAAAATGGCCTCCCAAAACAACTTTCAGAGGAAATTGCTTCAACTATTGCCAATGAAAATATAGAATTACTTTGTGTTTATGTTGACCAATTGACAAAAATAAAAGCCCTAGAAGATATTGATCGTGGTTTGGCGCCTGCTTACGCTAGTCGTATCACATTCCGTAAACAACATCAATACCAGAACACGGGCGAACGCTTTTTTGATGTTTTAAGCTTGAATGGTGCGCCTCATTCTGTTCATTTACCCAATATTCTACGACCTGCAAATGGTGTTAGTCCTGAGCAAGTTCGTCTTTATGAAAGCCTTGATCAAAGGTCTTATCTTGCAATGCAACAACAACAACAACAACAACAGTTATCACCTGCCGTTTTTCATCCTGAGGTTATGAGTCACCCTATAGTGCCACCTCAACCCTTTGTAGGAGGTGAATCACCTAATCCTCTTCTTGCAAACAGTGCTCCAATGTTGAATGCCAAGTTAGAACAAATGCTATTGGAGTTAGATCGGCTCATTCGCCATTCTGGAATTACAGCAATTTCTCAGTTACCGCCTAATCATGATATTTGTTTATTAATTCGTCAGACACCTTTGCTCATTTCACAAAGCCCCTCACCATTGCAAACTATGATTACATTTGTAGAAAAGGTTGTACTTATGTTGTATCAAAGTAATACAGCATTTGCTTTAGAAGTATACACAATGTTCCTTCAGTCCTTGTTTGAAATTTCAAGCGAAGTAACGAAAGAGACATTATCTTGGTTAATATATGCTGATGATGAACGTAAATACAATGTGTCAGCGGTAGCTATGCTTATTCGATATGAACTACTACCTTTAGAGGAATACGATGTTCAGCTAGCTAAACTGATTAATGCTAAGGCTGATAGTGTTATAGAATATGCTACTAGTTTAATATCTACTTGTTTGCTATCTCAAACACCTATCACATTCCTTGAGGATCATATTCTAACAGTTTCCTCTTTGTATAAACTGGTTAAGAATGATGAAGCACCTGCAAATGTTGTGGCATTGATGAATGATCTTAGAAAGTTAGTCGAAGAGCCTTATAAAGATGTTATTAAACAAAATATAGATTGTCTTGAGCTTCGTATGCTTTTAGCAGAATGGATTCGTTTGTTTCAACATCCTATGGCTACTGATACCATTTTCACAACTTTGGTGGAGCGTGTGTTGGAAATTAACAAGACTGAAGAGCAACGTTGTTTCTTCTTTAGAATTTGTACTGAGACTTGTGTTAATCATTATCTTGCCTACCGTTCAGTTAGCACAATTCATCATCGTCGTATGATTCATTTGATTGATTCATTTACAAAATTGATAATAGCTATGGTCACTACTGAAGAAGAGAATTCAGATATCAAGAGCAAGGTGAAACTTTTGAATAATGCTTTATCTGTTATCATTTTGGTATTATCTCATCATCATGAGAGCAAAGGTGTAGATTTTAACCAAAAGCCGTTTTTAAGATTATTCGCTTCGATATTCAATGAAATTAGCAAAATTCATACAAAGCCGCTTGACACCAGTACGCTAATTACTTTCAGGTAGTTAAAAGATTGTTAAAGTTTGATGTGTTTGTACTTGTAACATTTATATATTTTTTTTTATACTCTTTCTTTCTCTCTTTCTTTTTCTTTTTTTTTTTTTAGTGATACTTTATACACTTTACAGCCTAGTAATTTCCCAGGTTTTGCCTTTTCATGGCTTCAGTTAATTTCAAGTCGATCTTTTCTACCTCAGTTACTTGTTGCTAATGATAATAATGGAGCATTGTTATGTCAAAAATTGATTCACGCTTTACTTAGATTTTTAGGCCCTCTTTTGGAAGAACCAAAGCTTTCTCATGCAACAAAAATGTTTTATCGTGGCACACTGCGTGTTTTAGTTGTCCTCTTACACGACTTTCCCGAGTTTTTGTGTCGCAATTATATTCTTTTTGCACAAGCTATTCCTCATTCCTGTGTTCAAATCCGTAATTTGATTTTGAGTGCTTTCCCTCGGGTCATGCACTTGCCGGACCCCTTTACACTTGATCTCAAGTTATCTGTCCTACCTGAATCTTCTGAAGATCCTGTTTATGATGAAAGTTATGTATCCATTTTAAATGAAAACGACTTTAAATCAAAAATCGACGATTTTGTTAAGAATAAAAACTCCACAACGTTCTTTTCAGTATTAGAAAAACAAATTGGATTCAATACTGATCATCAACAACAACAAGAGACTACAGTTGAAGATATTGAACGACATAATATCAATCTTCTTTGTGCTTTTGTTTTGTATATTGGTGTCAAATCATTGAAATTAAAAGAGGTTGAACTTGAAGAAAGCCCTGCAATCATAGCTTACAATTATCTATTGTCTAAATTGGAACCAAAAGGTAAAAAAGAAAAAGAAAAAAAAAACCCTTAAATTAATTGTTATGTGTACATTTAGGCCGATATACACTTTTAAGTGCAATAGCTGATCATTTACGATACCCCAACAGTCATACTTGCTTCTTCAGTTCTACCCTTTTATTATTATTTTCTAAACATTCTGAAGATATTAAGGAACAAATCACTCGAGTTTTACTAGAAAGGCTTATCGTTAATCGTCCTCATCCTTGGGGTTTATTAGCCTCCTTTATTGAACTTATCAAAGTGCCAAAGTTTTGGGATCATGAGTTCATTCGTTGTTCTCCTGATATTGAAAGGTTATTTGACAATGTTTCAAGGTAAAGAAAAAGCAAAAGGCTTTCTTTTTTTTTGTGTGGTATTAAACTGTTTTTTTTAATAGATCAATTAAACAAACTCCAATCATCAATGCATAATTAAGCTATTTGCTTATTAATACGCCTAATAAAATAAAATATGAAAATGCGTGCTTTTTCTTTCTTTAATAAGTCATGTTTTCTTTGAAATATTGTATATAAATGGTGGATGGTATGCATATGACTTTAATATAAATACATTTATAAAATTAACACAATATAAAAAAGAAAAAAAAAAAAAAACTCGAAGAATTATATATATGTCTATTATTATTCTTGTTATTATTAAGTCAAAATTTCAACACCAGTTTCAGTAACAAGAAGAGTATGTTCAAATTGAGCAGAACGTTTACCATCTTTAGTTGTAGCAGTCCAGCCATCAGGCCTATATGTATTGAAATAAAAAATGTTAATCTGTTGTTTTCTTTTTTCTATATTAATCCTATTCTTACCAGAGAACTTCTTGATGAACGCCTTCACAAATCATTGGTTCAATAGTAAAGACATGACCTGGTTTACAGACACCAATAGCCTTATTATCTATGATTATTAAATGTTAAGCAAAGAAAAGAAGAAGAAAAGGAAAAAAAAAAAGCCTTACTTGCATAATGAGGAACATTAGGTGCACAGTGGAATAATTGATTAATACCGTGACCAACAAAAGAACGAACAACTGAGAAACCATGTTTGGTTGCATGATCTTCAATAATTTTACCAAAATCACGATATCTCATACCGGGCTTGACTATGAACAGAGTCAGCTTCAAATGACATTAACCATCTATCTATTCTACTTACCAACAGCAATAGCCTTTTCCAAACATTCACGTGTAACTTCAACCAATTTTTTACCTGTTTCATCAACATTACCAACAAGGTAAGTAGCATTACTATCACCATGAAAACCGTTATAGAAACAACTAACATCGATATTAAGAATATCACCATCCTGCAAAGGTCTTTGATCAGGTATACCGTGACAAATAACTAAATGATACAAGGGGAAAGAAATGCATAAGTTTAGATAACATATAAACATATACATTGAAATTTGTTCTTTGTTTACCTTCATTTAAAGAACTATATTATTATTTTGAAAAAAAGGAAAAAAAATGAGTTTTCTTTCTTTCTTTTTTTGGTAATATAAAGAGCTAATCTTACGTGCAACATGATTTAGGGAAATAGCTATAGTTCAAAGGGGAAGGATAGGCACCACGTTCAATAGTAGCTTCGTGAACAATACGATCTAATAAGATTTATAACCAAGTTAAGCAATTCACAATCCTCTTTAATAACCAAAAAAAAAAAAAAAAAAAAAAAAAAAACCTTTTTGCTCTTACCAATTTCATCAGTAGTTATACCGATACGGATTGCCTTGGCTGCAATTTCGAGAACTTCACGAGTAATCTAAAATAGTATATATTTAATCATCTATTTAATGTATAATTATAATACGTTACTTACTTTACAGGCTTTTCTAACTCCTTCGATTTCCTCTGGAGTCAATACTTTAATATCTGTGCCTCTAGCCATATATTCAGACTTTGAAATACCTAGTACATGGTGTTAATAAAATTTAAAGATAATAAATGCTTAAAGAAAAACATACCAGTTTCTGCATAATCAGGTCTAGCAATTCCCTCAGGAACAACACGGCGAGGTGATAGAGGGTAAACAGCACGGAGAGGGCCTGTATATTTAAATGTCTTGAAAGGATCATAAGGTGCTATATAGAGAGAGAGGTGGTTCTTGTTAATAAAAAAAAATTGAATTTCCTTCAATGTTACTATTTACATTTTGTGTTTCCATGAACAGCCTTATGAGCTCCCTAAAACAATTGTCAACATGTATGAGAAGCGTTAAACAATGCAATAAACTGAATCTTTGACATCTCAACTTACCCAGCTTTTTTTAAAGCAATCCTGAGAGCAGAAAAATGATCCCTCGGATTTACCTAATTTAAGACAAGTAGGGCATTGGAGATGAGCTTCATTTTTACAATCAACTGCTGAACAGGATGGCTTTTCTGACATCTTATTTTTATTGTGTTAAAAAAAAAAAAAGATGTATGTGTTTTTAAATAGATTTTTTTTTTTTTATATTAATATCTTAAATAAAGGTAGTCACGAAAATATAAAAAAATAAATAAACTTGCTGCATTACTTCTATACTTCATTAGCCATTCATTTGTCTGTTCATAAACTCGACTACCTCTTTTATCATAAAAAGAAAAAAAAAATTCTACTTCTATTTTCATCATATCCAGGACAACTATTTCTCGATTGGCTTCTTTTACTCACTAATTGTGGCATAACTACAATTTTTCTTTCCTTTACCACTTTTTTTTTATCCTCGGTTTCCACAAAGAGAGTTTTTTTTTATTTTTATTTTAATGATTGGACTGCGGCAATTTTAATGTTGTATTTAGTATCTTGTGCTCACTCTAGACAAACAAAGGAAGTGCCACGAAAGGATATATTTATCATTCTGTAAGATATATACTTAATTTCCTTATTTATACTTATAAGATTATACATAGCTTGAACAGAGAAGAAAACTGTACAATAGATGTATAAACGAATCTAATGTTTGAATATACTTTTGATTTACCCTATAGGCTATAATCATTGAATAACTAATTTGAAGCCTTTAATTTTTTTTGTTTTTTAAATTTTAATCAAGTTTTATTTTTAGTTAATACTCATTATGGATAAATGTCATTTGAAAGGTACATTCATTTATAAAAACTTGAACTATTATAGTGAGTAATAGAAGTAGAAAAAAAAAGTCATTTGTAGACACAATTAGATATACATGTATACTTTTAAGAAAAAAAAATACAAAAGAGTAGTTACATGATCTGTAGATTATTGAAATAGACTACAACTTTATGAATTCTTTTAATAGCTGAATTAGAAATAATAGTTACATAATCTATAATAAGTTCTAAAAGCATAAAAAGAAGAAATCCCGGTTTTCTTTATTTAGAGGCCTTTTCCGTAAGATCTATAAGTCTTTTCAAGCCTAAAATCCAACTTCCATGATTTTCATAATGAGCGGTCATCAATTTAGTATGAATTTCTAAGGCTTTAGTATATTCACTTGATTCCAAAGCTATAATAGTCGTGTTATATATATGTGTGTATTATATACTCTGTATTATGTGATAAGAAATATATAAAAAAAGGAATATATACATACCTTTGGATAACGTATACAGTAATTGGGATACCTGTTTTGTCAATTGATCATCTTCTAATTCTTTTAATAAATTGTCAATTCGACGAATAGTGTCATCTACAATTCTTTTTTGTGGACCATTCTATAATTAAGAAACAATGTCAATAACTATATCCACATGTTTATTTCATATTTTAAATTGCTGAATACATATTTACTTCAAATGCTGTCTTGCATAGTTCTATTTTATTTGATAATATTATTGAAATTTCTTGTTTGTTTAAATCGTGATGTGTCTCATCCGTTATTTGATGAAAAATCTATATTCATTATTTTGTTTTGTTTTTGTCTTAAAACGTTACTAATATAATCATCTTTTGAACAAATACCTTTTTTGGAGGATCATTCTAATTGTACATGATTAGTTTTGTTAACTCATTTATAACTGAAATTGTAGAATAATAATAATAAAAAAAAAAGTTACCCAATGGTTCTTGATAACTGCCGTTCTAAAGTCTGAAGAAGGGGGAGCAAGTGATTTATTAAGATTTGATGAAGGAGGTGGAGGTGGAGGTGGAATAGATCTTTTAAAAGCTGTAGAAGAAGTTGGTGTTAGAGATGTCATTTATGTTCTAGATTTCCCATATTAAAGAAAAAAGGAGTTGTAAAAAAAACACAAATAAAAAATTGAATTTATAACTGCAAATTTAAAATCAGTCATAATTGACATTTATTATATACCTTGGACCTGAAGATTTTGAAAGAGCATATCTCAGGTTGGAAACAAGAGGAAAGAGAAGAAAACAAGGTTATATAATCTTTTCTCCCCTCCCCCGAAAATCCTTTAAGAAGGTTTGCATCCTACTTTAGTAATCTAGGCCATAGACCCTTCTATATTCTTGATCAAGGGTCTTACATTGGGTAAGTGGCTCAGTTTGAAGCTAATCTGATTGTCAGTCGTTGAGTAGAAGGCTTGGGTGATGTCTTAGCTCCACTTGATAGTGTTCTCTCCATTGAGAACTTGACCGAATAACCAATGAATACATTCTTGACTCTTAAAAGTGAATTTACATTGATATAATGTATGAGGCTTAATAACCAGAAATAAAGATTCTCTTGGTAATGCTCATAGATAGCTTATATATATATATATATATATGGTGGGAGTATAAATGTTCCCTAGAAGCTGATCTGAGTCAGGAGTTACTTTGAGCTCAGAACAATAGTTCTTCTGAAAGTGAATATTAAAAGCAACGGTAATTGATAGCAGCATATTTGAGTTTCTTGAGCACATACTGATTTCTTGATATTGAGGCCTCTAGTCTTTATCTACTATTAAGATGGTTTTAATAAATATAACCGAGAAATGAATCAAGTTTTTTTTTTTTTTTCAAGCGCAGGTACAACATACATATCACGAGAACCTGCATAATCACCAAAGTAGCAGCTGATGCAGTACTTATGAAAGTATTTTAACACGTTCACGTAACCATAAATAAGAAGTACTCGAATTTGATGATTGGGTGGGTTTATCTCCTTCAAGTAAGTTGACTTCAGTACTGACCTTTGAAAAGTATTCTCTCAAAAGACCCATACTTAGGGTTTCAAAAGCCCTGATAATTATGTAGGTAGGTTTTAATCAGGGTTCTCCTCTATGAAATTTAGTAATGAGAGGAAGTAGTTTCTTGTCCTTTTTTTTAAAAAAAAGGTATCAGATCACCTTTTATATGCTATTGTCTATAGAATTTATCTATTCTAAGTAATGGGCTGTATTATAAACTGAGATCACACTCTCTACAAAGGAAGTGTCCTCATCATAGAGCCTACTTATGATGTTTACCAAAATCGAGGATAAGCCCAAAAAAAAAATCTCCTAAGGGTCTAAGTAGGCCTTTAAGAGAGGACCCAAGAAGAGAGAGATCTTTTGTTAAAATCCTGATAGAGGATAATTTAAATGAACTTCTTGTAGTGGAGGGCGTTATTCTTATGTTTTCAAGTAAAATAAAATATTTACAATACAATACAAATTGATCTGAGATTTAATACAACTATTGGAATTATAATGTATATTTAACAAAAAAAAAAAAAAAAGACAATGCTTTTTATTATTATTGTTTCTCTTTAGGCTAATAGGAACACAATGCAAACAGTTGGTCCACCAGGTACGAATTTACAGCAATATTATATTTTAAACAATCAAACTGATTTTTAGTAATTCAGGCTTTTATAATGTACCAGTAACGAAGTTTTTAATGATGCTAATAAGCTCTTTTTCAATTTTGGTTTCAATTTTGAATATAAAACAATATTTTCATTTACAAATTACACCACACATTACTGAGCATCATCAAGTAAGAAGAAAAAATAAATAAATAAATAAATAAATAATACTTGCAAGACTAGTTCTTTTTTGTTTTATTAATATTGAATTATATATGAATAGATTTGGAGATTAATGACTTCACACATGGCGTTTGGAAATTCAAGCGATGTCTTTTTTGGTTTATTACTATTGTATACGTTGCGAGTTATTGAAAGGCAATATGGTTGCGCAAAGTATATTGTAAAAATCCATTTTTGTTCATTTGCTTTGTGTTATTTTATTTTATTTTTTTTGTATTTATACAGTGCTTATCGTAGGCATTTATTTTTATATCAGCTTTGATATCAACTTTATTGGAATTGAGTGTTTTAATGATTGGAGCACGATTTGGGTTAAAACAGATACCAGGAGGACCGTAAGTTGAAAAAAGAAAAGTAAATCAAGGTAATACTTATTTTTATATATGTATTAGCTATGCTATTATCTTTTCTATATTATATCAATATTATCGAATTATTCCTGTTACATATCGGTTTCGAGTATTTGGTATTATTATGACCAACAAGTTTTTCTTATATGTCTTGGCATTACAAATGGCATTATCACAATCATTTTCAACTGTTATACCTGCTGTATGTGGTATATTTTCTGGTGCATTGTATAGAACAGATATTGTTAAAATTAAACGATGGCGGTTTCCAGTTCTGTTACAAAGGTTAGCAGAAAGATTTATAAAGCCCTTTCTTCTATCCACACCTATTGCTCGATCAGTAACTGCTGTACCTGTTCAACGACCGTTTGTAGCAGGAATAGCATCCATGGAAAGTCTTGTATCAAATGGGTTAAGAAATAATAGAAGAGCAACAAGAAATTCCATTGACAGTACAAACTCGGAGACACCATCCGCTACTGCCGCCGAAGGAGCACCCTCCGTAAGAGTAAGTGCTTTATATATACAAATATAGATAAGGGATCAAGCTATTATGTATATATTTATGTACGTATGTGTTTATTTGTATTTAGGAATATCTTGATACAATAACTGGTAGAGATGTTACAGGATCAGATTTAGAACCTCCTTCACCGGAGTATACAAGAATTTTAATGACCATGTTTCCAGATCATCCAAGAGAAACTATTACTCGAGCATTGTCATCAGCACATAATAATTTAAATAGAGCAGTTGAAATTATGTTGAGTACACCAGCTCCCAATGATATAATTACAGGAAATAGTAGTAGTAGTAGTAGTAGTAATAGTAATAATATTAATCATGGAAGATTATCTTAAATAATAGTGTAGTATATAGAATATTATTACTTGTAAATAATATAGTATTGTTTTATAGTTTACTTGAAACTCAGTAATGTTATGTAACATAATAATAGTGATGTGTTATAGACCATGATAGCTATATATTATAAAAATAAGCTGATAAACGTATACATACATATTTTAATAAATAAACATAATGAATCAAACAGCTATAAAATGTAGATAATGATATAAATATATATGGCTCTCTCCTTTTTTTTTTCTTTTCTTTTCCCCTAATCATTAAATATGTATATAACAAAAATATATATACATGTGTATGTGTGTGTGCTGTGCACTGTGTATATTGATAAATGTCTACATTAAAACACAGCCACATCCAGCAGTTGGTTCTGCGAAAGGATCAGGATTCCTATTGCCCCATACTGAAGGTATCATCATATCTTGATTTGTTTGACAATATTCAATAAGACTATTGAAATAAAAAAATAAAATTAAAATAATCCATCAAATAAATCCCTAATATTTTTATTCACTTACGATCGACTTGCTTCTGAAACTGGTATACGAGATATTTCTAATTGATCTTTTAACTTTCCATTTAATTCTAATAATTTCCGAAGTTTTGCTTCTGCTATTGCTTGACGTGGCATTATTTTTAAAATAAAAAAGGAAAAAAAAAAGAAAGAAAGAAAGAAAGATTTTTTTTTTTAAGAATAAATCTTTAGAATTTAAGGAGTAAATAACAGTAGTGGTAGAAATCAGGGGGTGAATATAGTAGTAATAAATTATTTAAAAAAAAAAAAAAAATGTCAGATAAAACACACACATTTATGAGAACAACAACTGGTCCATTTTTTTTTTACTGTAAATCCGGTTTTAAAGTTGTATGTATAAAAACAAAACAAAAAAAAAAAGACCATTTTTAGGAGACAATGAGTTGTACACCTTTTGCCAAAATGATGTCGCACAATAAAAATTTAAGCTGTCGCACCATTAAAAATAAAGAGTGTCGCAGCAATTGAGATCAGTTTTTTTTTCTAACAAACAATTTACAATGAGTTTTACATTTTATTTTAAAGATGGGTCAGGAAACATTGTCGACGAAAATGGCAACGATCCTATGGACATTATTGAGGAAGAGAATCTATTTAAGTTGGAAGAACTAACGTCTTACAGCGTATATCTCACTACAAAAAAATAAAGCTGTAAGCAACGAAGACGCCCTAGTTCCTGAGGCAAAGAATCGAACGAAGATAAAAAAAAAAAAAAAAAAAAAAAAAAAAAAAAAAAAAAAAAAAAAAACCGTCTAAAATAGCTAATGAAAGCTCATCTCTCAAAGGAAATCGTGTTAACAATGATATTAAAGCTAATGCTGTTCACTTAGTGGACATTCATCCTAAAAACAGCGCCAGAGCAATTGCTTTGCAGTTAAAACTGGAGCCAAGAACTGTTCAAAGATGGTATAAGAGCTGGAAAAATGATCCTGACTCACTTTTTAAAACTATTGGTCGACCAAGAATAATTGAACCTGAGGGAGAACTGGCAGAGGCAGCGAAGGGTCTGGTAACTGACTTCTATTTTAAACAGCCTACTGCAACTGTTGATCAATTGATGGACCAGTTGACTAAAAATTTTGAAGACTTTTTTCTTTCGAAGAGAACTGTTTATCGCTACCTGGCTGATTTATGGATTTTTACTTTGAAAGGAGTTCAGTTAGAGTCAGTTGAGCGAAATACGCCAGCTTGAATTTTAACAAGAAAAGAATAGGTGGAAGAACTTAAGAAAACGGGCGTTGATTACATGAGAAACTGTGTATTTATTGATGAAGCAGGTTTTAACGCAAACTTGAGAAGGTCACAGGGTTGGTCATCAAAAGGGAAACCTGCTACAGTTAAGGCTCTTACGGTTAGAGCCAACTCTGTGTCTCTATTTTAGGTGCCATTTCTGCAAAGGACCTAATCAAAGTTTGTTTAAGAAAACCTTGTTGTATACAACCATCTTATTACATACTAGAAAACTTATATATAATATCGATGTTTAAATGAGTATTTATGTTAGAGCTCAGACTTAACACATAATACCAATCACATATCTTTTTTTTTTTATGGAGACCAAAATGGCTCGGATGTTTATTAGTGAAATATGAGAAAGTCACATTAAAGTTTTTGATATGCGTTTTTTAAAAATTTTGAATTTTTTTTTTTTTTTTTTTTTTTTTTTTTTTTTTTTTTTTTTTTTTTTTTTTTTTGTAAAGTTTAGATGGTAATAAAAAATAAGTTGTATCAAGGGACGAGAGACCAAGATATACGACTAAATGAGGGAACAACGAGGTGGAATTTAAATCGAAAAGTGAGGAATTGGAAACGGAGACTTACCTGCCGTTAACAACTGTTCACGGAACGAAGTTAGTAAAAGGGATCGAGCAACAGATACCACTGTTGTTGTAACAAAAGGTTGCTCATGGAAGATAAAATTAAAATGAGAACGCCAGATGGCAAGGAGTGTGTGGCCGATACAGACGGAAGCTGGGAGTAAGTTATCATCCCTGGAGTCAGGGAATTTCAAAGCGAAAATAGCCGTTGTTAATAGTTCTACAGAGAAAGGAGCAGTAAAGAATGAAGGCCATAATTCCTGCCAAACCATAAGCTTCAAAGGACAGGCAAAAATAAAATGAGAGCTGTCTTCGATCACAGAGAGTGAGCAGATGGGGCAGTATGAAGATGGTACCGAGAGCGGGATAAACCTATTCAAAACCGCCCGACAGGGCAGTTTGTCATGTAGTATTCTATACCATACATTGCGAGAAAGATGAAATACAGGAAATCGCCAAAAAGATGACCATTTCGTTGGGCTGAGGGTTACAAAGCGATTATCGGAAGCGGGGGTGCAAGCCATGCGGAAATGCTTAGTCGAAATATCCTTTCCTTGGAATGTTAGAGCACAGGAATTAAAAAACGGTTGGGTGTCGATCATGTCATGATTAACCGGGGAATACGAAGGGACACCTAAGTGAGCAAAGCGAGCTTCAATGCATGTTCGTATAAAGAATGGAGCCAGCTGGATGTGATTGTTTTGAACATCTTTCAAAAACTTCCTAACTAAGCGAGGGCGACGCACAATTTCTCTGTTAGTAAATGGCCTAATAGTACGAGAGGTAGGTTCAATCATATACACATCACGCACGGAGAGTTTAAGAATTGATTTGCGAATAGGTTTCGTAGGCTGGTGAATCACAATGTTATCAATGGAAAGTTGCATCGATGTCTCCGGATTGATAACTACAGTGGAAAAGTCCTTAGGTAAAATATCCATCGCATGAAAAAGGAGGTATAGGGGGCTATCGCTATGGGAAACCAAAGGGGGACGAAGAGATGGAAACAAGAAACAAAGACGATAGTCCGTCACCAAAGTATTATTAGGAACCAAACCCGAGATGGTCTCAAGAGAGTACATCAGATAGTCCGCCAATAATGGAAGCACAATAGATTTACAGAGGTTGGGATTGGACCAAAATTCGTGTGAGAGATTAGACCGTCGAATTAAAGGAAGAAGCCAACGAAGTTGTAAGGAAGCTTGTTGTATAAAAGGATCCAGTAAACCAAGCCCACCATTCTTTCGAGATAAGGTCATAGATTTAAAACTAATACGAGGAAAACATCGGATACTGACAAATCCCGAAACTAGAGAAACAACAGAGGAAAGGAAATGCTTAGGCACTGAGACAACCCGTAGAATATACCATAATTTGGAAAGTATCAAATTATTAGCGATGGTCACTCGGCCACGGAAAGAAAGAGATCGATGATTATGTATATTGCATGCTGCTTCAATTTTGGTTAAAAGAGTCTGAAGAAAGGAATCTCGTTGAAGTGGTGAATGGAAGATAGGATATCCAAGGTAAATAATAGAATTTGGCGAATTAACATCATGCCATACAGAAATATTGTTCTGAGCCAGAGGAGCACGCCAAATACGATTATAGATAGAGCTTTTACCAGATAATGCAAAGGCCTCTGTCTTGTGATAATTGATACGAGCATTGGATGCAACAGAATATGTGTGGAGATGCCGATTTAAGATATTAAGATCAGTAGGAGAATTTAAAAAGCAAGCAATATCATCTGCATAAGCAAGTAATTTAACGCGATGTTGGATAGTTGTGGGAGCCGATAAGGACGTTGGTAAATTGTACCCAATAAAAGTAGGGTCGTCGAGGATTCGACGGAGTAATGGTTCAAATGCCAGGTTGAAGAGGACGGGAGATAGAGGATCGCCTTGTCGTAATCCACGCAATTGAGGCACATGCTCAGAGAAAAAACCGTTAATGTTAATTTGTAAGTTAGTGCCAAAAAACAAGTTGGTGATACATTTAATTATTCCAATAGGGAAGCCGAAATGTTGTAAAACACGCGTTAAATAAACCGGATGTACTCGATCATAGGCTTTTTCCTGATCCAGCAACAGGCCAATTGCCTCAGAATCGGAGGAGCGTGCATGAGACAAGACCAGCTTCATCATTAAACCATTGTCAGCAATGAACCGGTCATGGAGAAATCCAGATTGAAGTGGAGTTATCAATTTATTAGCACACACAACTATTCGAGCATTAAGTAAGCGAGTAAACACTTTAGCATCGGTGTTGATAAGAGATAGCGGCCTCCAGTTTTTTAAATCACTCAGGTCACCTTTTTTGGGCAGTAATGAGACACACGTTTGAAGCCACGAGTCTGGGAATACACCATGTGAAAGAGCATCATTATATACTTGGAGAACAATAGCACGGCAATCAGGATGCAAAAACACCAAACGAAGAATTTCATAAGGGATCCCATCCTTACCAGGACTACTTTGTTTCGGGCAGCGTTTAATACCAGCCAACAATTCATCCCAGGTAAATGAACTAGCTAACCAGTATTGATCTGAATTTGGGAGGGATAGAGACGATGGAAGTGAACCGAGTAATTCATTAATGGCATCATCATTTACAGGATCAGGAGAATAAAGATCAGCATAAAAGGATTGAGCCGCATTAAGCATATCGGAGCGTGTAGTACACAAGACAGAGGATCTAGGGTGCCGAATAGCCTTAAATAAAGTTTTTTGTTGTCGTTGGGCTACCGTCCTTTTGAGGTAGCCAGCGGACAATTCACCTTTTTCCCGCCATTGAAGACCGGAGCGCAGAGCTAGAGTATCAACACGATGTTGTTGGATCGAGGCTAATTGATGTTCAACAGCACTTAATTGAGGGGATAGTGAGGCTTGTCTAGTAGGTTCACGTAAAAGTTGTTTACGGAGAACAGAACGCTTATTTTGTAAAACCTCTTCGGCTGTCGAAAGAGAATAAGCTTGTTTACGTGAATAATTTTGTGATACCTTTTTCACCGTTGCTTTTATTGCATCCCATTTATATTGTGCACTCAGACCGAAAGGAAAATTTGCGATAGTTTTTGAAATGGCAGATGCGAGGATGCGACGAAAAGTTTTGGAAGAAGCTAATCGAGGATGAGCACGCCATAGTCCTTTTCCAGTTTGATATGATGGAGCGGACGAATTATTTGACGGAAGGGGAGGCTCCAATTGAAGTGTCAGAGACAGGAGCATGTGATCGGACCAGGCAGGTTGGATGTATAACGCCGTCGGAGGAAGACAGGAACGAGATAGATCATGGCTAACAAAAATATAATCAATACATGAGCTGGAGGAGCCACGGTGAAAAGTAGTCTGATGAAATTGATCAGTAGCCAGAATTGAATCTGTATAATATTTATCCAAATAATTTAACCATGATGAAGGAGCGTTCAGAAAATTATGGGAGGAAATATTAGCATTATATGAGTAGTTAAAATCTCCTAAAACAATGTGACGAGAGGGTATAGTCTCAAAAGTATTGTTAGGATTGAGCAGGATTGGGTCTAAGTACGACTGTCGTTGAGTGTAATCAGCAGGAGCGTATAAGACCGTAACAAAAAGAGGATCGAAAAGAGTCTGCGTGTGAGTGATTTTGACTGTCAGTGTTCGTTGGTCATTATCCCACATTGGGTCAGACAAGTTAAGGAGAGGTGATAGACACACCAAGCCGCAATATTGAGACCAATAACTACTTGTTGCTAGAAATTGGTTGTGAAACAAGTCACCAATATCAGACGAGGATGCATGAGTTTCTTGTAGAGCTAAGATATCAAAGGGTAAAGTACGTAAATATCGAATGAATTGACTACTGATGGAAGGGTCAGAAGTTTTTCGTAGACCTCGGCAATTGAGGGTGCCGATTTTCAGGGTAGGAGATAAGAATTGAGATTGAGTATTAAGCGCCGGGGAGGAATCGCTTAAGTTATAGGAAGTTGTAGATTGATTATTCATAATGTAATAAAGGTATAAGTATAGATTCAGTAAAAGGAAAGACGTTGAGTAAGTATAAGCAAGCAGTAGTGGGAAATATGTATAGAGGAAAGGGATTAATCTTCCTCCATAGCATTGGAACCACCCAAACTGTCCGATTCTACGCTAGAAGTATCTACAGGAGTGATGGCAATCAAATTCTCGTTAAGATCAATATTGTGACTATCTTGATTCTTTTTGTTAAGAGGACACTTTTTACTGTTCGTTTTCTGATGGTCAGTACCGCCACATTTACAACGCTTCTCATTAGGAAGATTTGTCAAATAATCCGCCAGTGTAGAATTTGTACCTGCCGTTGACCGAGTAGGTCGAGGATTGAGTCTAGAAGTGTTTATCTCAGAGTTAGCATTCTCCGTTTGTGGATCGAAAAGAGGTGAAACAGTATCATCCTCAATAGTAGGACTAGTTGGTGGACTCGTTGCACCAATGGAAGAAACGATGAGAGGGACATCGTCAACGGATTCTAAGTTTTTAGAATCAGGACAGGGAGGAGATTGATCTTCTGAGGATGCATGAGGAACTATGATACTAGCAGGTCGGGTTTGAACATTGACTTCTCGACGACGCTTACTCGATGTGGTATTGTCTGTTTTAGTTCGGAAACAATTCCTTGCAATGTGACCTACGTTACCACATTGATAACAACGACGTTTTTCGGAGGGTGCTTTAGTGCAATCTTTACGGTAATGATCGCTACCTTTACAGTATACACAGTGTTTGCCCATGTTTGTCCAGGTGCCGAGACAAAAGGTATTTTCTCCTTCAAGTGGAATGTTATAAGTCAAAACGTCATGAGTTTTATTGGCATTACTAGGACGTTCCATGTAGACATGACCGTTACCTGTGGGCCATGATCCAGACCAATCATCCAAATAAATGACAATCTCACGGACGATACCATATCGTGATAAATTGTTTAGAAGACTGTTGCGAAGCTTATCTAAAGTCCAGATGGGAAGTTTGGTCAAATTGATACGTAGTAGAGCTCGATCTGGATGAACTGCAGGAGAGGCATGGAAAAACGTATCTCCAACGTTGATAGGTGAAGCAATGGCTGACTCACAATCGCCTTTTGAAGCTAAAGTAAATTCCATATTGGTGCCTGTAGAGTCTTCGGTTAAAGTTAATCCGAGACCGACTCCAAGGGGGAATTTATGGCTTAGTTCTAAGGCCAGGGCTGATCTCAAGGATGAAAGGTGCTTAGGAATATGATAAAACACGGAATGTTCAGTAGTACCCGTAAGGTGAACAAGACGCTTGGAGGAATCGTTGGAACAATTCTCAATTTCAGTGGAGCGAAAAAGCGACAACTCTTTTCTGGGGTGAGGAGGCATGGATTTTGAGGGTTTTTTAGAATCCAAACGAGAGTCTCGAGATGAAGTTGCAGTGACTGAAGCATAGCTACGAATAGTTGAGGGGGTGTTGTTAGTCTCAGAAAGAGGAGACAAAGAGTTAGAATTTGATAAAGTGGTAACGTTGTCTGGAGGCAACGTCCCAGAAGTGTTTTGTAGCGGAGGAACCATGACCAATCACATATCATATCATGCTTCATGTTTTCTATAGTTATTCCAGTCACAGTTATTATGCACATAATGTCTTAAGAAATACCAGTAATTGTATAATAGATTGATCAATCGCTCTTAGCACTAAATACAATACGTTAATTAGTAAATGTTATGAACCATTTACCAGTTATTCCTTTTTTCCATTTTATAAAGAATAAGGATAAATGTTGCGTGTTTAAATATTCATAAAACTTGAGATTCTTTTTGACTATTCTCATTACCGATTATCCTTATATATTCTTTATCACTTTACTTTCTTGTTTTTATTCTTTTTTATTATATATCTTTCTTACAATTAAGACTGTGTATATAATATTTATGTTTTTAAGCAGGATTGTTGTATGAATACAACAGTCGGGTCCATTTTATTTTTTCTTTTTTTTTTTATCTCCCTCGTTGTTAACATGCAACGATTGTGAAGAAAACTTCAATACCAATGACGCCCTCAAAAGGCATGAATTTGAAAGGCATTGTAAAAAATGCACTATCACTGCAACAGTTGAATTTACGTTCAATTTAGATTCGAATCTACAATTGTTGACTCTTGTTTTTCAGGAATTTATGAAAAAGCTGTAATAGAAAGAAAAAACGATCATTTAGAATGCGCTTTCTGTAATAAAGAACACTTGACTAGAGAAAGTATGAAATCTCATGTATTAAAATCAAAATGTAAAGCAGCTCTTTTTAATGAAAGAACCAAGACCCAGTGGTACCGCTCCTCAGTTTTTTCAGGACTATTCCTTTCTACTGAGTGGAAATGAACTCGCTTAAGGGTGATATTGCATTTTTTGGTTACAAAATCATGAACTGCTGATTTTTTTATTTCAATACCGGGGAATTGACTAGTGAGACCTTCTATCATTTCTTCCAATACAGAAGATGGCTTTTCGTCAATGAAATTGGTCAAAAACTGTTTATGCTCCTCTGTAAGAACAGGAGGTCTACCAGTTTTTCTACCACTTCCAGTTTGTCTCAGGCTCATTTCTTCATCCCCAGCAAGCTCGGCTTTCTTTTTCCAAGTTTGTGCCGTACTTTAAGGCACTTTTATTTCCTCAGCAGCGGCACGTACACTCATCCCTTTCTCATAAATAAGGTAAAAAAGTAGTTTTTGACCTCAGGCTTATAAGTTCGGTATGTTCTTTTATTTCCATTATTATCTTTTTTTTTTTCTTCGTCCTTCGTAACCACTTGTTCCTAATCTTGTTCAATCTTGGCAGGTTTTTTCAGGTGGCTTCAAGTCCAAATACATGTCGTAATTAGTAACATCCTCAAGAGGATATTCTAATTCATCAACTTCCATCTCAAGAACTGCAACTCGTTCGCCTTCTTCATTGTGAAGGTTTCCTTTACCATCTTCATGTATAATTTAGAATCTTTTTGTGAACTATTTTTTATATTTTTTGATTGTTCGTTGCCGGAGATGGTTGTTATGATTGTAGTCGTATTTACAACCAAGTTAATAAAAATAAACCATCAATTATTACATAATAAAGAAGTTATTCAAATAAAACTAGTGTATTGTACGTCACAGCATAATGTTCATTATACAACATTCATTGTTAGAGTATTCGAGCGCTAAAAAATAATATTATCTAAGAATAAAAAAAAAAAAAAAAAAAAAAAAAAAAAAAAAAAAAAAAAAAAAAAAAAAAAAAAAAAAAATATCGAAAATCAAATTCAAAAGTGCAAGTCAGAAGGTGGAGTAATCAAAATACTCCAATCCATACTAAACTTGTATGGTGATGATGTAGAAACTCTTATTATAAACAACTCCCAATTGAACAAACTTTTAGAATCAGCTTCTTCCAGTTATTACCCGTGTAAATGAACATGTCGTTTCATCATTTGATTTAATTACATGATATCTTATCTTGAGCATATTTCGTTTTTTTTATCTATTATATCAGCTTATACTTCTCTCTCTTTATGATAACAAATATAGCATTCTCTTTAATTTATATACAATTCAATTAATACTGTTTTATTTTATTTTATTTTTTAAATAACTCGTTCATCATATATTATACACTATAGTATTTAACCTTTTAATAATCCTATTATGTGAACAAATAAATTGTTTAGTTGAAGAATAGGCATATAAACATATCATAATCATTCTTTACATACCGCAAAGTTTTCAGGCATTAACACTGGTGCAACTAAAGACCAAATGTAGATTAAATGACAGATCCAACCTGAAACAATTTTAACCCATACTGCAGTGTAACTTTGTCCAATTCTAACCAAATCTCCTCCATCATGTCCTACTCCATCATTAAATTGAATCGTGTTCCTAATATAAAATAATTAATCTTGCATTCTTCTCTTTCTCCTTCTATTTTTTTCTTACCAGTTTGTCAATACCATCGAGACATACATAGCAGCAATGGCGAATACAAAATGAAAGAAAGCATAATTATATAAAGATCCATATCTTTCATCATCTTTGTCATCAATATTACTATCTGAATCATCCTCATTTTCTTCTTCATATAATACTGATCGAGGTAAAGCACTACAAAATGGATTAATTGCTGCAATCATGAATATATACATATATATATACTATCTTTTTTTTTTTTTTTACCCAGCTTCTACAGCAGCAATTAAATGTTCACGAGCATTTTGTGTATTCATACGTTGGACACCTGCTTCTACTTGATTTGCCATTAATGGTACAGCACTTGATGTATCCAACGGTTCATAGTCATCAAGTCTTGGTCTACCTGATGATCTACTAATCAATGCACCATCTTGAGTCGCAGCACGACTTGTAGAGTAGGCAACAGCCAAGAAAGTAAAGATAGCTCCTAGAACAATGGAAGTTGTTTGAGGGCCAATCGATCTACGTAAAGGATTACATTCTTTATCATTAGGTTCATTCGCAACAGCAGAGAGAACTAGATATGTACAATAGATAACAACAATAGACGCTTGTGAAAGTCCGGATCTAGGATTACCTTCTTGAATACGAGGTGAAATACATAATAATGTTACAAACACACAGAGTATCAAATTTAATGTCACAAAGAATTGATTTAAAGAGCATCCGTTTGTAGCAAAGAAACCATACATGATACCCGTCAAAGTAATAGCACCAGCAAACATCAATAAAGTCCCAATAATTAATATATATTTCCATATATTAGATTCTTGATATTCATAATTTTCCATACATCGTTCTGTCCAACTATGAGCAAAATCAACGAGTAAAACAAGTCCAAAAAGAATAAAAATAGCAGCTCCAAATAATGCGACATAATTACCCCATCCCATAAAGAACCCACTAGGGATAAAAAACGAGATCACTAAGAGAATAATCCAAGCAAGTATCTTTGGTCCCCACCAGCCATTTTGAATCGCTGCTCTTTTTTGTCGACTATCATGAACACCTATTAATAAACAACCTAAAATAGCATGGAATAATACAAGTGCAAAAGAGACTCGATGAACCTATATAAATTGTATGTTACTAAAAATTATTATTTCTCTCCTATAATTAAATACTTACACCTATAACACCATAACAACTTCCTTCTGCACAGTCAAACTTCATGTAATCAAGTGTAAGATGTTCTAGTTGCTTAATCGCCCAATTGGATAGCATAAGCCATGCAAGCTAAAGTATGAAATTTATATCAATTTTAATGAGCAATTTTTTTTTTCTAAAAATGAGTCAATACTTGCAATTGAGTTGAACAAGAAAATAATCTATCAAGTAAAATCTGGTTAAAAAATATTCTACAAATCATTAGATGCTCTCCCTCTCTCTCATACTTACAGCATAACCAATTCGAGTAGCTATTGAATTGTTACAATTACAACTAACATTATTAAATAAATTAATGTCATGTTGAAAAAGAATGGAGCATGTTGTTTACCTTTTACAGGCTAATGAACATGCTGCGGCAGAAAAGCAGCCTGTAATCCATGTTCCAACTGCCGTTAAAGAGGGTAATGCAATACAACTTAGGATTGCTCCCATATTTTATTTATTTGAATTAACCTTGTGACTAAAAATAAATAAAAAAGAAAAATAAAAAAACAAAATAAATAAATAAGAGTAGCTTTATAAAAAAAAAAAAAAAAAAAAAATAACCCAAAATTATTAGTAGTAGATAAATAATTTTATGCTAAAATGCATAATAATGACTTAGTATTAAATCTATTGATAATATTATGTAATGTAACTTGTTGAACTGTATATGCATATCTACAGGAAAATTATAAATTAATGGAGTATCCAAGGTAATGGACCAGTATAAAGTTCATTATTAGAAGGACAATAATTTAAGAGTGGAGCTAGAACTGGGCAAGAAACCCCATATGCATGTCTTACAAATAATAATAATAATTTTAGAACTAAATCTCGTTATTAACTATGAATATATAATTACCTTTGACGATATGGATTTCGAAGTGCCTTCTTTTGTTTTAAACTACCATGACAGCCATATAAATCTTTTTCAAATGGTCTTAATGAATTCACTAATTCGCCTTCTTCTCGAGAAGGATCTTCGTCTTTGGGATCTATACCTATATAGTGAAACCTTTACAAAAAAGATGTGTGTTTTTTTTTTTAGTTGTCGTATATCTATTGTTATTTCCTTCATCTCTATTATATTTACTGTTCAATTGGATATCTGATAGAATGTCTATGAATGTCCTCAAAGCGTTTTCTTTTGAATTCAAAGCCAACTACAGTAATCTGTTTTGGATAATTGCTTGTCATCTCTGCAAAACGGCAAATGGAGAATAATAAATTTTCATGAGAGTCTTTTGCAAATTCCTCGGTTAACATTCGTTCACTCAAGCCTGATTTTAATTCTATTGGAATATCACTATCATCATCTAAAAGTATTTGTGCAATTTGCCAATATGAGAAAGATTCTGATCGTGGTCCTGCAGTTGGTCGTGTTTCGCCCCTAAAAGTGTGTGTTTTTTTTTTTTAATTATACAAAATTCTGTAATCCTTTATTTATTGTATTTTTTTTTTTTTTTTTTTTTTTTGAATGCTTACCCTGAGAATATCAAAACTGCATTGGAATCTTCTTTCAGTATATCAATACCTTTTTTAATGTGCTCAATATATGTCTGAACTTGTCCTCCTTGTTGATATGATTCTAAAACCCAGTTGTCATCATTTGTTATACCATCAATGTTAGATGGCCCTTTATATATAGCATGACCAGCAATGATGACAGCATGATGATATGCTGTTAATGGCACTGGTGGTAGTGAGTCATGTAAAACTAATAAATCATTACGTGGTAAAGATTGTTGATTATACTGAATTAAATTTAAAAATAAACTAAAAAAGAGAATAGTCAATAGGATGAAAACTGGAAATTGTCTTTTGTTTAATCTCCTCCAAAAATTGTATATGCTGTTTTGTGATTGTACTGCAGTGAATGATGTTGTATCGATATGTAAAGGTAATATTGCTTTTCTTTTTTTGTTACTACTCATCTCTTAATATACGAAAAAAAAGGGGGGAGGAGGAGAGGAAGACAACTATAAAAAAAAAAGCAATATTGAAAATAATAATAATTAACGGCTGTAGCAGCCCTTCATTTTTAAATTCCTATTTTGATGAAACAAACTAATTTTTGTAAATAGATTATTTATCGAAGCCTATGACATTTTTAATTTATAAATTCTTTTTGAGGCCCTTCTTATCAAACACAAGGTGGTGTAGAACATATCAAGATCGCCAAAGTTGATATAATAAATTGATAGTCCCTGATGTTTCCAGAGATAATAGAATACTGCTTTAATTAATAGCTTAGAGTAGTAGTATTTCGAGCCATAAACTTATAATACATCTTTAGATATTTGACTTCCTAAAAGCAGACGCCCTCATCTCACACCTATTTTACTATGACAATTTCCCAATTAAATGCTTTAAAAATCTTCATTCTATTCTTGAATAGAGTCTGAGATATATTCTTAGAAGGATTGTGGTGGCACTCTTAAAGAAATACATATATGTTTTTTTTTAGTAACTTAGCATATTATTGACAATGCGAGTTGTAATAAGCCTACTAAAGGTTTAGTTATTTATTTACTATTAGAGTAGTTACAAACTTTTAGTTTATTTCCAGATAATGTATTAAAGTGATTTACATAGAATATACTTTCAATAAATTCCTTTTATCTACATCCAAATTTTCTGCATAGGATATCTATCCTTTTTTTTTAAAAAAAAATAATATACTTTATCATCAAACTATACAAAGGGAACTAAATAGACTCGAAAGTGAACTTAATGAATTTCCACAATGCTTTTGTCTCTTCTTTCTTTCTTTTTTTAACTTTTACTACTTTGTCTTCTTCTTCTGGATTGATACTTTGTATTCTATTTGAAAAAAAAATAAAATAAGATAAAATAAAATCGTAACTTGAAGTTCAAATAATGTTATTATAGTAATGAAAATTGAGAATTAATGCTTACATTATTGATCCTGATAATAGTTTGATCAACACTTTATTATAGCACTTGAAACTGTTTTTATTTCTCCCCCCCTCCCTTTCCCTCTCTCTCTCTCTGTTAGAAAATAAAAATGAGTGTATCATTGAATTGTTCAGTCTGTCATAATCCATTACTAAACCCAATTACTTTATCTTGTGGATGTACAGTATATTTAATATGTTTACCTCCATTATTTCAACAAATATCCTTTGTTTGTCCACTGAAGGAATGTAAGAAGGAAAGCCATTTATTTGGTCCTGATTTATCCTTGAACGGTATAGTTAACAAACTTTATAAAAAGAGAAAAGGAAGAAATGATGGCAGATATCTTGACATGTTCAATGGATAAACATCATGGACTTTATTTTTCCTATTACGAATCATTGTGGACATACCCTATTGCAAATGGGTGCTTGCTGCTACACAGATAATCAAATGATAACTTGCAAGAAATATCAAAAAACGATTGCCTGGCTATCAGTTTACTCAACAACAGCCTCCTGTTGTATACTCCAACCGCCACAACATACACTCAACAGCCTTCAACAACTATCCTCCTACTTTTAACGAAACCATTCCATTTTTGGATGTTGACGCATACATTTACAAGGATACCTCTATCTACCTTACTGATTTCCTCCTCCTCCCCCCCCTACCCTCATTTTACCATCACAAAGGGTACAGATCCCTATCTTCTTCTTTACAGCAAAACTAAACTCGACTTGTTTTCTTTAAATCCCTTTTCATTTCTAAAGAATATCAATGAAGAAGGCATAATAAGATTATAAAAGGAACAAAAATCTTCTGAAATAGCGTTACTCAGAAGAAAAGAGGAAATAATACTAGCAAGTCATTTGACTCCATTGTATTGCATACTAATAGTAATAAGAATATTACCACTTTTTCATGCTGATGAAAAAAAAAACATCTACAACAACAACAACATCATCATCATTACTACTACCCATATCTTCAAAGGAATATACCTTAGCTGTCCAAATACATGAATTTTCATTAGCAAACTTGTTCATGGTCTTCCATCCATTTCTTTTAGTTGTATGATGGAAGGGGCTTTTTTTTTAGGTCCTACCTGGTAAAGAATCCGTACAAGTTCGGCATGGTCCTTTACCTTCTGTACATAATGCAGTTATTTTTTATGTTGGTGGGCTGCTATCGTCTCACCTATCAGTAATAGGGGAAAGATACTATTTACTTGAAACTGAATCTTTAGAGAAACGTTTGGAAATTATCATGTCGTGGATATATGGATTAATAAAAAAAGAAAAAAAAAAAAAAAAAAAAAAAAAAAAAAAAAAAAAAACTTAATGGAGGTAGGGAGATTGTAGACGATTATCAGCGAAAAGTGCAAAGCTAGACTATTCAGTATATCAATATGTATTTGTATATATATAAACACTTGTTGTATGCCCTTTTTCTTTCTTTCTTTTTTTCTTTCGGTGATTTGTATTATATCAATAAAGTATTCATATCATTATTATATACATATACTAATGGGTATCATTATTGGATTAGGAAAATAAATTAAACAAGCAACACTCAATGTATGTTGCTGATTTATTTATTAGAAAAGATATTAATAGTCGTACAGCATTTTATGTTACACTAGCATATCAAAATAAGAGAGGGAAAGGTAGAATTTAATCAGAGTTTAATTGTTGACCATTGAACAACAAGAGGTTAGGGGTGCCCTTGAGAGCAGAAGTGATAGCGTTCTTGGTAGCAATTGAAGTAAGTTTAGCGTAAAGATTGGCAGGGGTAGGGTTAGAGAGGGTAGGCAACAACAAGGCAGCGACACCAGCAACATGAGGAGAGGCCATAGAGGTACCAGACATAGTGGTAGTAGAGGTAGTAGAGCTAATGTAAGTACTCTTGATACTCTCACCGGGGGCGATGATTTGAACACAGGTTCCCCAACAACTGAAAGTTGACAAGTAATCATTCTTGTTAGAGGAAGCAACAGCAAAGACATCACTGTTACCAGCAGGCAAAGTTTTACAAGTATCCGTATTAGAGTTACCAGCAGCAGCGATAATGGGGATACCAGCATCAACAACAGCAGAGAGAGCATCAGTAAAGGTCTTCAAGACACCGGTAAAGTTTCCATCGGTTTCCATACCAAGAGACATGTTGATAACAGCCTTACCCTTACGAGCGGCAGCATTGTTAGTAACCCATTGAAGACCAGATAAGATGGCGGAAATGGCACCACTACCATCTTCATCCAAGACTTGAACAGCGATCAAGTTGGTCTTCTTAGCGACACCATAGGTAGTGCCACCAATGATACCAGAGACGTGTGTACCATGACCTCCACCGAGACGTGAAATACCACTATAAGCGGTATAACCCCAAGTAGCACGGTTTCCAAAATCAGTGTGAGTAGTATGCATACCATCATCAACAACGTAAACATAGCTTCCAGAGCTATATATATATGTTAAAAAAAGAGGGGGGAAAGAGAGAGAGAAAGAGAGAAGGGAAGGTTAGTGATATATACAAACATATTAGATAATATAACAAAAAAATTACCCAGCAGTTGAATCATAAACGTAGGGTTTAGTATAGTCACGAGTATGTTGGGAGACACGAGCCAAATTCCATTCAGGATTGGATTGAGAAGAATAGGTAGCGGAAGCAGTGACATTAGCGTTAGGCTTAGCAGCAGAGATAGGAGCAACCTTCTTCTTAGTACCTAAAGGACAGTTCTCATCATGATCATAATGATCATAATTAAAATTACCAACACGAGTAAGAGCCTCTCTTCTATCAAGACGCTTTGAGGATGAAGCCTTCATACTGGGCAAATTAAACTTGACATCCATGTCAGGTACAATATTAATGATATCTTGGTTGAATACAGATAACAAACTCTTAACAAGGTCAACATGTTCAAGCTTGACACCAATACCCTTGAAGGAACCTCCGATGTCGTAGGCATCAAAGATATTGACTTGTTCATCACCAGTGTCACGACGAACAATACGATTACCTCTCTTTTCGACATTGGTTAAATTATGGTGCTTAGTGAAGAGATCCAATACACCATCCATGAATTTAGGGACGACTATGTTTATTAGATATATTTAGATATAGACATTAGGGTCATTCAATTCATATATGTATATATACTTACAGTGCTTGATACAAGTTTCCTTGTTTAATTGAATAATATAGTTGCCATTGGGGACTAAAGCAGAAGTTTTAGTGTCTACAGGAGCAGCAGTAGAGATTGCAGTTAAGCAGGAGATAGCAAAGAGAATAAATGCGCTTTTAACCATTGTTTTAATTAAATAAATAAGTAACTTATGTCAAATAAGTCGATAAAAAAGGGAAGGGAAAGGATTTGTTAAAAAAAGATAATAATAAAAAAAAAACTTGATACAGACAAGAAGTCTTATTTATATATGTTTGAAGATGTTCGATATTTTCTTAATAAAAATAAAGTAAAATAGACTAATTGATTTGTATAACCATATAATAGGGAATCTTACGCTAAATTGAACGATATACAAAGATATATAATTTATTTATTGTAAGTAACATTAAACAGCAATAGGAATAGAGTTTATTTCAAAGGACGTTCCTTCGTCATTTTCGTCAATAAAGTCATCAGGATCATAAATAACCTTAATAATTAATGAACAAGAAGGACATTGTGCAACGTCAACACCATCAATTAATTCATCCTAATATTTCAATTTTTTATTAGTCATATTTAAAAGGAATACATAATATAGGATTGAACTTACTGTTGAAATAATGAATTTGTCACCACAAGGACATGGATAAGTATAGATGTCTTCCTCTTCATTATAGTCCATGTCTTCAATCTCGATCTACACAATGTCGAAATTAGTCAATATTATTTCCGAGCTTTCTTTTTTTTTTGCATAAATGTACCTCGTCATAAAATGAATTCATTTTTTTTGTACTCTCTTCTTACTTTGTATGAAATAAATGCTTTTTTTTTACTTATTTGTAACTTTTTTCTTATTTTGTATTAATAATGCAAAAGAGTTTTTTTTTAAGGCACACACTGTACTTTATTTTTTTTTATTTTTTTTTCTAATTTTTTTCGATTGTGTTTCAGTGTCAAAAAAAAAAAAAAAAAAAAAAAAAAAAAAAAGTTAGATGACTGAGTTTTAAAAAGTCAAAAAAAAAATATTTATTTGGGAAAAAATGAATAAATGTACAGGAACACAATGTAAATCATTGTAACAAAGACTAAGATAAAAGTGATCGAGCTAAAAAAACGTGCATAGTTTATTAATATATACATTTCATGTTTAACGAATGCAGTGGTTCTAATAGGTTTATCTACATTTTATTTTGTGTTAAATGTAACAATGCGTTCGATCTTGTTTTACATAGATTAATATGTGTTATATTATTAAAGTTAGTTTGTAGCGATTCTATCCGAGTCGATAGGACAATAGATGGTCTCATTCACATTAAAATTAAAGATACGAGGCTTCATATCTTGCTTTGTAAATAATTGGTTCCAAATAATCTTGGAAACCCATTGATGCCCCATTAAACTAGGATGGAAACAGTCGAGATCACTTGAAAAAAAAAAAATACACATAGATTAATTATACAAAAGCTTAAATTTCTATCTTTTTATAGAATACTTTACCTGAAAAAGTTAATAGGAAAACCGGAAATATTAATGTTACTTTGTTGATAAACTACTGTGAAATTATCCATCTTATTTTGTTGGTATTTCTCATAAATATTATAAAGTTTTTCATTGTAAGCTAGAAACATTATCATTATATATTTAAATAAAGAGAGAGAGAGTTAACTATATTTGGTAACTCTTACCTTTTGAGAGATTGCTCATTAATTCTAAACCTTCAGGAGTTCCACCACATGAGCATGAATGAATATTGCCTTCTGTAGAAGAATTTTGACCTCTTCTCTGGCAATAAGATTGTCCAGCAGTAAGAGGAAATACTTCAGATACATTAAAGGTACCGATCAAGTTGACTAATACATTAGGAATTTTAGCTTGGATGGTCTCAATAGCACTTGCCACATAGTTTCCATATTTTTCAGGTGTTACTTCATCCATATAGGAACTATTACAGGCACCACACATATCATTGCTACCAATCTGAATATTAATCATTTTCCAATCATTTTGAAAGTTAATACCCTTCATTGTTCGTAAGCCTTTTATATAGTGTTATTTGTTATTAAGTTTGAAATGAAGTGCTTGTATTTTTACGACTTACGTGCAATTAAATAATTTAATTCATGTTCTAAATTCATAGCAATAGCACCACTCTGAGCAGCATTAAGTTGATCATCATGAGGTTGATCTATATATATATATATGTGTGTGTATATATAATACTGTATTAGTTACATGTAAAAGAAAAGAAAAAAAGGCACAGCAACTTACAAATACCAACGCACTCAAAAGCTATAAGATAAAAGGAAAAATGGTTATTGATAGATCAATAATAGGAACTAACATCATATACTTTACCATTACAATATTCGACAATATGTCTATCAGTTGAATAACCAGTCACATTAGGCTGATAATGTTTGACATAATTGGGAATAGTAAGAGCATTTTCATCGCCACCAATGCTGTAACTAAGACCTCTATATTCATAATAAGATTCAAGGGTAGCAATTAAAGGAGGAAGTGAATAATTATAACCCATTATACCATAACCAGCAGTAATACTATATATTATAAATTAGTGTGTTTAGTTATTCATAGTTTATTTTTTCATTGTAACTCAACCTGTCTCCAAGCGCACCGACCACTTTAATATCATCGGGACGAAGATCATGTACACTTGTGGGTGATGTACGCGGCGTAAGAGCAGGACAGTCCTTAATATTAGTGACATTTAAGCTCATGACAGTAGTTGTAAAAGCACCAAGTGCTAATACAAGTAATGAAGTGACTTTATACATTATTATTATTCTATTTTTTTTTCCTTTGAAAAGAAAAAGTGATGAAAAAAGCCAAAAAAAAAATTATATACACATGTTATCATTTATATATTTATTTTTTTTTTAAAAAAAACACGGATGTCATGTTGCCGTTGCTGTTGTTAATAACTTTACTGAAACTGAATATCATCGATTCTTCTTTATTTTTTTTTCTTTTTTTTTTATTTACTTTCAAGCAATAATATGACAAAATCGGTAATTTTAAACAAGGATTGTACTTGCCCAAGATATTCTATGTTACTATTATTACCTCGAATAAAAGTATGCTGTTGTAAAATACATCGTTTACAAAATATATATAGTTTCTGTCAAACAAAAAAAAAGTTTTTAATTTTAAAACAAGGAAGAATATCTTCTTCATGTATCTCCGATGTCAAACGCTTAATTATCTAAAAAGAAAAAAAAAAACGCGATAGAATTAAAATTAAAAAGGTAGTAAAATGATGCGATTATATTATATCAGTAAAGCGTAATATAATTAAATATAGTTTATATAGACGTAATAACTGGTTTCCTCCTTTTTATATAATGCCTGATGATTGACTGTTGTATCAGTAAATCAAAAAGGATAAATAGTTTATCCAGTCAATCGCATATTAAAGTGTCAAGAAAATACCTTGAATAGTAATCATAAAAAACAAGTTTCACTGATTATATTTACAGCTCATTATTACGTTTTTTTTTTTTTTTTTTTTTTTTTAAAAAAAAAAAAAGAATACTGTTTATTATATTTCATACATAATGTTTAACTTTAATGTTAAAGCTGCTGGTACTGTCATTTAAAAGTAGAACTATAATTGACTACATATACTTTATTTGGACTGTACATAATACGTGAATTGTCTTTATTTACGTCAAATTCACGTAATAATGTATATTATAATAATAGCGTATTCATGACTATAATAATAATGTGATAGATTATTAAAACACAATGTAAATAGTGAAGTCTTCTGCTATATACCAACAGTGTTGTTACTTTTCATAGTTTACTAATATATACTACATTTTTCATATTCATACGTATATCTTACTGATGTATCATTTATTATCATCTATTAGATGCATAAAGTAGAATAAATAAAGATTTACTCTTTGGTAGTTTGCTTCTTTTTTTTTTTTATCTATCTATCTAACTCACTCCTTTTCAATGCTTTATTTGCTCTAATATCTATACATATATTCAGATATCAAAAGTAGTTTTATATGTACACTATAAAGAGAAGAACATGATTGATATTTTATTCTTCTTCTTCCTCAGGTAAATCATATTCGTAAGCAAGATCCCAACGAGATCCAGGAGCAATTGCACTCACATATTTAATAAATCGCATCACACCTTCATCTCTCAATACAAGTGACAATTCATTTTGTCCAGCGGGTAAGGTTAATAAAGCACCATCTTCATCGGCTGCTTTATAAGTAGCAGGATCCTCTTCATCATCATGAGGTGCCATATAGCATTCATATCCTCCTATATCACCATCTTCCCATGAATTGGGTTTATTAACGTGACAGAGGGTAACATCTAATACACCTTGTCCTCTTGTATTTGTTGTAGCTAATGTATAATCATGTCCTGGACGGAATCGACGTGCTTGACCACGATAACCTACAGGTAAAATTTGAGTGACGGCAGATAACCATAATCTAAACGATTCAGATTCAAATCGTTCTTTCAAGTAAGCAAAGATATCTTCGTTCGTATTTGTACTCTTATTTATCATATATCTTTTACGATGAGGTGGTCCCTGTATTGACCATTGTCCTTCTCTAACACCTGTACCATGTGCTGCTATCTTATGTTCTCTCCTTTCTGATAACTCATCCTCTTGATCCATCTTTGTCGTCACAGCTATCAATTTAGCCAAAGTAGATTCATTTAATATTTGTTTACATTGTACCGCAGACTCATCTAAAAAGCGTTCAGAGATTTGAGATATAATCTCTAAATCTAAATAATGAGGATTCATCCATTCTGCAAGCTCGACCAATACATCCTCTGTCAATCCAACGATTTCTTCTTCTTGAGGATTTTCTACTTGATACTTTTCAAAATGCTCACTTGAGTCCTGTTCTTCTTGTAGCTGTTCTAGAGATGATTTTGCAGCATTATCTAATTCTTCTACTGAAGTTGCTTTATATCCTATTTCACCTTCCTGAGGAATATGGAACCAACCAGAGATACTAAGACGATTCCCTGAACCAACGACTTCTTCTACTGAATGAAATGAGTGTCCAGGTTGAACGGTAAACATGACAAATTGATTCCATTGAGGAGGGATGATGACTGTAGGCTCAGTGGCAGGGATTCCCTTCTCAATCACAGGATAAAGTTCAAGTGCTCCTCCATCTTTAGGTTGCCATGGATCTTCAGGATCGGTTAAATAAAGAATATAAGAGACACGACGAGTACCAATGACATCATCATGGTTTAATAAATGACAGCCTCTTTGATATGAATTGATACTCATATCCATTTTACTACCTGAAAGTGGACCACAGCCTGTTACTTGAGAAATAAAATGACGAAACTCATAAGAATAGATAGCATTTCGAAGTTCAAATAAATTGGAAAGTTGTCTTAATTCACCTTTAGAAAGGCCATCAAGATTAGCCAAGTCACCCGTTTGATTTACCTGTCATTATCCATATTACAAAAAAAAAAAAAAAAAAAATCGTGAATATTTATATATTATACAAGTATTTATTATTACTATTTATACCTTATAAATATCTGTTTCTTTTAAGGTAAAATGCAAGTTGGAAAGTATCTCTTTACGCACTTTTCTTAACAACCCATCGTCAATGAGTGTATTGATCTTGCAATGAAGATAAGGCTTAGACTCTTTGAATGCCTTTTCAATAGACGCTATGGACTCATCTTCAAAAAGTCCTTTATGAAACTTGTCTTTAAAACTATTATCAATTTTCTGTCTCTTGTTCATCATTAATTTAAAGAGAGAGAGAGAGAAAGAAAAAGAAAAAAAAAAAGAAGGGAAAAAAAATAAGGAAAGAAAGGAACAGTGGCTAATCATAAATACATGTATTTTTTTTTCATAATTTTTGGAATTTTTCTTTATTTTATTTTATTTTATTTATACATGTAGCTTTTGTTAGAACTCTAAAAATACTCCTACATGTACGGAGAGAGTCAATAAAAGTATATTTACAGATCAAGTTAACAATATCAAAATAATCCCTGTCAAACAGAAAAAAAAAATAAAGTATGTGGGGAAAGGGGGAAAGAGAAGTAAAACTTTTTCTCCGCATAGATTTTTTTATTTTTATCAAGTTTAAATACTATGTACATGCATTCATTTTTTATTTCAAGCTTAATTTTCACCTCATTGACCAAGTAATTTTGCCAAGAAACTCTTACTTCCATCCTTATTTGCATTAAGGGAAGCTATTAATCGGGAATAATACTTTGGATTACTAGCAGGTGATAATATTTTCTCTGATAATGGAAACTAACAAATAAATTACGTTAAGAAAAAAAAAAGAAAAAGGCTTTTTCTTCATGCTTATGTTTACCCTTTCTTTAAACTCATTATTTAATAATCTTTCTAATGCTGCTAATTCTCTTTTAGCTTGAGTCATGTCTAATTGATCTTTATTCAAAAGAGGTTTTCTAAATGTTTCTTCTATTCTATTTGACATGATTTGTTTTAAATCGCGTTTAGGTCTCACTTTATCAACTGGCCATTTTTGCATTACTTTTAAAAAAGAACGATATAGTGTTTGGATTTCTTTTGTTGACATGGTTTTATTATATACAAAGAAGAATATTGTATTCTTATGAAGCCAGGGTAAAAAAAATAAAAAATAAAAAAGCTGATGAGGAGTTTTAAAAAAAAAAAAGAAAAAAAAAGTGTATACAGATATTATTTTTGATGTTGTGCAATTTCAAGTGGATCCTTTTCCAACGGTATTGGATCATCTTCTATACCAAGTTCTTCCTTCAATTCGTTTGGTTTGCCTGGAAAATGTTCAGTCACAGCAGAAAATATATCACGAAACTATAAACCACGTTAAAAAAAAATAAAGTGATTAAAATGAAAGCGTGTCAAAAACACTTCTTTTTTTACCATCGCACGTCTCTTTTTCCATAAATTTCTATTGCTTTCATATTCATCATTTGTACGTTTTCGTTTTTCTGGAGATATTAAAACTGTACCGTTCTTTAATTTGTATAGTTTTTCTTTTAATAATTCATTCTATTTATAACGTTAATTCTTTCAAAATTTCGTTCTTATTCATCACATAAAAATCGAACCTCTTTTTGAAGTTTCTCTATTAATAATCTTGCTTCTGATGTTGTAGGCGTACTTTTTATGTCTGACAATGCTAATAATATAAAAATAAAAAGTGGTTATATTATTATTATTACGTAATAATCATTTTACTTTGATCAAGCCTTTTATTCTCCATTGAAAGATCTTCATATTTTTGTGTGAATTCATTTATTGATTTATCTATTAATTCTTGTTCTTCTTGACCAGGTATGTTTTCAATATCTTGTTTAATAGAATAGATTATACTTTTCCCATATGTTTTTGACAAGACCAAGTCATCTTCAATTAACTTGTCGAGTACCTTGGTAATAACTCCTTTTGAATACTTTGAATGTAAATTATTGAATATATCAGCTATAATATAAATGTATATATTGTTTAGCTTGTATGACTTTAATTCAACGTGATTCTTTTTACTTGCACTGTAAGGTCTATTTGTCCTTTTCAAGTATTGTAAAACAGCAGTTTCTTTATATATATACATGTATGTATATTTAGTATAAACTTCTTTCTTTTTTTTCCTTTAGTAATTACCTTCTTCTTTGTTAATGCCATTACCCTTCTTTTTTACCATATTATAAAAAATGAATAAAAAAACAAAATAAAAAAAAATGCATAATGAACAATTTTTTCTAAGGCTTATTTTATGGGTGTCTGTAGTTTTTTTTTTATTGTTTATTTTTATTTTATTTTTATATACATTTTTCTTTTTCTTTTTTTTTTTCATTAAATGTTTTTAATGACAAATTCACTAATAACAGGTGGAACAGCCATTTTTGGAGTAATATTTATAGCTGCTTTTAGTGTTTATTACTTATACCATGATAGAAGATTTTCTTTATCAGAAAGATTTTATTTTTTAATATGCAAAAGAAATATAGAAGAAGCTTTATTAGAACATGAATTATTAAAACAACGTAAGAAAATATTCATAAAGCTCATTTCATGTTTATTTATTTTTTTTCATCTTATTTATAATTAGCTGAACCGGATATTATTGCAAATAATACCCAATATATTGAAATTAATGGACATAAACTTCGAATTGTTCATATAATTCATGAATTAGGCAGCAAAGTTCCTTTAATTGTATTTATACACGGTTTAGGCGGACAGGTATAAATCAGGTTTATTATGATAATGTCATGTGTATTTAGTTTTATTTTATTTTATTTTTTGGTGAAAAAAAAAAAAAAAAAAAAAAAAAAGGTGTCGCAATGGAAATGTCAAATAGAATACTTTTCACATACCGCACATGTACTTGCTATAGATTTATTAGGCTGTGGCAAAAGTGAAGTGACAAAAGAGTAAGAATAATAATAATAAATAGAAAAACAAACTGAAAATTGATTTATATTTATATTTATTAGTTGGGAATCTTATACAACAGCTTCATTAGTGGAAGATGTAAAACTTCTTTTATTAGAACGTTATCAATATCCATCTACTGTAATTATTGCACATTCTTATGGCTGTTCAATTGCTTCATTTGTTGCTTCATCTCCTGAAATTCAATCAAGTTTAAAAGGTTTAATATTAATAGCACCTAAAGACCATATTAAAGATACTCAGAAAAGAAATCAAAAGAAATTAAGATGGATACCTAATTGGATTTTTAATTGTGCTCGAACAGCAGATAGAAAGGGAGGATTATATTCAAAAAGTGTAGATCGCTTCTTAGGCACTGAACTTACGGATCTAGAAATTCGTAAAAGGTATAATCATGTATTTATGATTAAAAAGAAGAGAAAAGAAAAGAGCTGTATTATTGATGATGACTACTACTATTACTACTATTACTACTACTACTACTTACTTCAATTATAATTAGTCAATTACGATGGAATCTTCAAAGTAAAACGCCAGTTTATAAAAGATATGTGAGAGGTGCCAGTTTTCCTAGTCGAACTATATATGAAAAGATTAAAATAGGTGTATTGTTAATAGGTGGTGGACAGGATAGAGTAACGCCTCCAACAGAAATGAATATCATTCGTAATCATTTACTTGGATTAGATCCGGATGAAAATCAATGGGATAATGTATCACAACTTGATAATATACGTGTTCCAGTTCCTTATGTGATTCCTGATGTTGGACATGTACCTATGGTTGTTTATCCAGAGCTCGTAAATCCTGTCATATCTGACTTTTTGATTAAAAATTGTGGATTAAATACCTTAAGCGGCGCCTGGCAAATTTTACACAAAACAAAGGGTGAAAATAAATGGGATTTAAAGAACTATGCAAAGGTATGTATATTGATGATAAGAAAAGAAAAAAAAAAAGGGAAAAAATTGACCCAAATGTTACGTTAAAGTGGGCAGGAGTGGCGAATATTACAGAAACACCTATTGGACCTTCTTTATTTAGAGCAATGAAAGTAATGCGACAGACAGATAGTTCACATTGTCCTTCTGCTTTATTAGCCAAATATCCAGAGATACGATTTATTATTGATATCTCTAATGATACACCACCTTATAGGGCTAGTGATTTTGAACATTCAAGAATAGAATATATCAAATTTAAGACTGTTTCTAAAATTCCTCCAACAAGAGAAGAAGTTGCAAAATTTATAGAAATAGCTTCTTCTTGTTGGACAAAAATACCAGATGCTCAAATTGCAGTACACTGTCATTATGGATTTAATCGGACAGGATTTTTTATTTGTTGCTTTATGATTGAAAAGTTAGGTGTTTCTGTTCCTGATGCGCTTCGATATTTCAAAGAAGTGAGGCCTCCTGGAATAAGGTATATATATATATGTATATGTATATGTATATGTATATACATGTGTGTGTGTGTGTGTGTGTGTGTGTGTAAGCAATAGGGAAATATATAGATACATACGTTTAGGCTAATCTCTTCCTTTCCTTCTTTCTTTTTTTTTTTTTTTTTTTTTTTTTTTTTTGTTAGACATGCTCACTTTATTGATGAACTTTACCTTAGATATGTATTAAATCAAAGATAATAATATAGAATATACTGCATGTAATTTTCTTTTAAATTTGTATTATTAGAGTTTAATTAAGCACGGATAACTTTATCCAGGAGCAATTTAGATTTAGTAATAGTATACAATAAAGATAGCTTTTATTTTGAGGGGAAAAGGAGCAGACACACAAGGTAAAAAAAAAAGTTAAAAAAAAAAAAGAAGAGTGAGATAGAGAGAGAAAGGGGAAGAGAATAGAACATTGTATATTTCATAGCTTGAATCTAGTGATAGAATGGTACTGTATAGACTGAAGAATGTATTTTATTACTGTATAACCTGTAATATAAGACTGTTGTTATCTTCTGGTTATTCATACTTAAATATAACTCAATATCAACTTATTTGAATAAGGATTTTGTGAGTGCTAAAAAAATAAAAAAAAATAAAAATAAAAACATAGATTTTGTTTAAAGAGACAATAGGACCAAACAAAATGAAATTGATCAAGACATTATCAATAAAATGAACAATGACTTCTGCAATATCATCTAGCAGTAAATGGTAGTTATTCTTTCATTTTTTTTTAGTAAGATTAAGATTTGCTGAAAGACTCCATTCATATGTATGTATGTATGTATATTTGCTTCTTATCTATCATCTTTTTCAGTCATAAAAGTAGTGAAAGCAAGTCAATAATGAAGGATGAGTAAATAAAGGATAATTTCTTATAATGAATTTACGTTCAATATTTAACCAAAGAATAAACAATGTAAACATGGATGATATCTACCTGTAAAATTTCTATGTAATATTTATCTTTCTTTTTTTTTCTTTCTTTCTTTCCTTCTCCTTTATTTTTGATAATTACTTGTAATGTAGACTCCTAAATAAATAAATCCGAGAAATAAAGATATACATGTTGAACTGCTTATTCTGAATATTATACAGTTAAAACTATGAACACTTTATAAGGAGACAAAGACAAAAAAACTTTGATTATCAAGTTCTATGTGTATAGTTAAAAGAAAAAAAAAGGAGGGGGTGGTTATAAGCCAAGATAAAAAAAAAGAAAAGGAGAGTTCGATTTTCCATTTGTTAAAGCTAAACGAGTTCAATTTTTTTTTTCCTCCTAATGTATATATAAATATACATCTTTTATTTCTTTCTTTCTTTCTTTCTCTCTCTTTTTTTTCCCTGTCAATAAACTTTCTTTCTCTCTTTAAATTATGTTTTGTTTAGGCTCAAGAAAAAAGCAAAATAGTCGTAGTCATGAACATCAAACGTCTTATATAACGGATGATAAATCAACACTATCTCACCAAGGTGAGTCAATTTTAACTCTATTCACAAATCAGAGCCCAAAAAAACAACAACCAGAAGAATCTATATGCACTTTTCAATTACAAGAAGAATACAGTGAATTAAAATCTAAAGTGAGATTTTATAATATCTTTGCTTTTATTTGTTATTCACATACTCTCTTCTTTTATATATAGAATATGGAATATTTGGATATCATTAACAAACAAGTAAAAGAAATTGAACAATTAAAAAATACAATACATACCTATCAAACTTCAATAAGAGTGACAGATGGTACAAGATATCCGGAACAAAACAAAGAAATAGCATTAGTCGCAGCATTAACAGAGAAAGAAGATGTTTTAAAAGAGAACAATAATAAAGATGATAGCTTTGTAGTAGTATCAGATAATAATGTCGCCTGTTCTTTTATGGAAACAAAGCTTAAAAAAAAGAGGAAATTATCGATGAGACTTGTTATAAGCAACTATTAGAAGAAAAGGATAGGCTTCTACAAGAAAAGCAAGTTGAAATAGAAGAACTGAAATTTCAATGGGAAACAGAACGAGCAGAATTAATCAAACCTGCATTAGAGCAAGTAGTAGCTCAACTGGAAGAGTTGAAAGAAACCGTTAGTTATCTTACAAATTAACAAGTTTTAATCACTTGTTCAATTGAAATTTATAAATACATATATGCTGAATTTATTCATTTTCATTTTCTTTTTTCTTTTTTTTTTTACAGAATAAGATTGTTACAGAAAGATTAACTGAAAAGGAAGGTGAGTTAGTTGAACTTCGCGCAGAGTTAAATCGAAGAGATCGAAAGCCTAAAATACAACTTGTATCAAATGAACAAGAAAAACAAAAGAGATTAAATCGTTTAACAATGGATCTTGAGAATGATCGTTTATTGATTCAAAGACTTGATGAATTAAATCAACAACTCAAGGTAAAGTGGTTTCTTTTCTTTTTTTTTTCTTTTTATTCTAAATATTTATACATTTATATATGTATATATTTTTTTATTAAGACTCAAAAACAAAAACACGAATCAATATTAAAATCACATGCTAAAGTGATTGCAGAAAAAGATAAAGTTTTACAGGAACATGAAAAATTATTAAAAGAGTTAAAAGGGACACATGAAAATGCTACAAGGGCTTTAGAACAGGAACACTTGCATAACTTGAATCAGCTTCAATTGAAATATCAAAGACAAACAAATGAACTCAGCAAACGATTAAAACAAGCAGAATCGCAAGCCAAGTCAAATGTGAATAATGAGTTGGATAAGATTTTAGTCGAGTTTGAGCAATCACAGCATAATCATTCAGTTCAAGTCGCTAGTCTAAAACAATCCTATCAGAAACGGGTATCCGTTATGTTACAGGGACAACAAGCAGAGATAAGGAGCTTGATCAATTACGACAAAAATAATAATTCTCATTTGCAACAAAATAAATTGGATAGTTTAAACAGCAGTAACATAAATAATAACAGTCAACCCATCCCTCCTGTAATTACTGGTAATAGTAGTGATGGTAGTATATCCAAATTACGAAATAATTCTAAATATGTTTGGCCGCCTATTGTTGCTGCTTGATTTAATTTAATAAATAATGTACTTCAATAAATATTATTTATTTATTTATTTATAAATCAATATATTATTAAATATTCAATAATGGTAATATGTATATAAAGAAAAGGAAAAAAAGGAAAAGGAAAAGAAAAAGAAAATAAATAAAATTACAAAATATGATACATAACTGTACAGTGAAAAAAAAAAAGGGAGGAGGGGGAAATTTTTTTTTTCTTGTTTTCTTTTTTTTTTCTTCTAAGTAACGATGCCTGAGTAGTTACCAGCTGATAATGGACAGTTATCAAATGAACCGCCAATACCACCATTACCCCACCAATTAGCTTGCCAGTTGGTACCTTCTGAAACACCAAAGATGACAATACCACAAATGGCAACACCGGAATTAAAGGCGGCGGATGTAATGTAATTGTACTTTGTCCACCAGTCTCTATGATATTTACGAAGATAGTACATAAAGAAGACACCAGCAAGGAACCACATGGAGAAATTGAGAGGAACAGCAGGAGGCATCATACCGATGGAACCAAAGATCAATGGCCAGTGAACATATCGGACCCAACTGTTAGGATATTTTCTTGAATACAACCAGAAAGGAATAGGAATGAAGAGACCGATGATAAAGAACCAGAGCATGGAGCTATACATGGATCCAATACCAAACATTCTGGCAGGACCAATGGTACCCCAGATAATAGAAGCTGAATAGAAGGTACGAGCGCTAGGACAAGTGAAAGGGTATGCTTTAACAGTACAGATATTATCAACAGAATCCATAAGCCAGATAGCAGTGCCCAAGTTAATAACACCAGCGATAGCAGTACCAATAGTTTGTACCCAGAACATGGCCCTTGGGGGAATCTTGGTATAGTGGCCAAGCTTTAAATCGCTGACAAAGGTAAGACATTGAATCATAGAGATATAACCATAAGTCTTGAAGGTGACATTAGCAATAGGATGACCAGGAAGTGCAAAACCAATGATAAATTCAGTAATCACATTAATACCCGGTGTCTGATTTGTAATGGCGGTAATGATACCGATTGGAAGCACGAAGATCATTGAAATAGCGAGTGCAAGAATAAGGCCCCACCAGGGGAGACCGATGGGCCAGTGATAGATAAGACCAAATGAAGCACCAAAGGAGAGGATAAAGACAGTAATATACCACCATTGAGGAACTTCAGGATAAACACGCATCAATTTGTGATGAATATCTTCATCTTCTTGATTACGGGACTTCTTCCATTGCTCAATAATTTCTTTGCCGTGATACAGGATAGTATGTACAATAACACTCGTAATACCAGCGAAACTGATACCATAAGCAAGAGCAAAGAAAGTAGACATACGAAGAGGACCATATTTTTCATAGAGCTCAGGATCTAAGAATCTATCGCTGTTCAAAACTAATGAGTTGTCCCATACTTCACCCTCATTGTTGTAAAGGGTAGGGGTAAGAATAGGGAACTTCTTGGCTTCCCAAACATCAGTATAATACAAGATGGGCATAATAATCCAAGCAACCATCACAAAACCAAAGCCAATGTTCAAAATAGCAAAGAGGGGAACAATGTTAGGTGAACCGAGATAAGAAGTAATAGTAGCCCAATCGAAGGACACGGCTAAAACGCCAAGACCACTATAAGATCCAGTAATTTGAGACAATACAACACTTGAGGGTCTAATCCAGCAAACCCATGAGAAGAAGGTCAAGATTTGGAAAAAGTAACCAGGAAGCCAGTAGTAAATAAACATACCAATGAAGCAATAAATGAACCATTTCATACGACTAGGACCAGACCAGTTATTAGCGGGTTCATGAAAGGAACGGAAAAGAGAGATACTAGCCAAGTTACCAGGCCAAACCATGGCAGAGGGATATACTAAATAAGGACGAAGTATACCGGCCAAACCATAACCAATAAATTGAGTTGTCATGATCAACAAAAGACCGCCACCCCAACCAAGGTTTTGGCCATAGAAAAGACGTTGAATTGTGAAGATGTCTACAGCATAAGCAGTAGAAGCAGAGGTACCAGCCATGGTGGTGATTAAAATATGTTCTTTTATGTTGAATGGTCCAGGATTGAAAAATCTTGATTTAGGGATAACCTTTTCGAGAAGTTTTCCTATAGGAAAGGAAATCAATTGGATGACAAAAGAACCTACAGATAAAGCATTTTTTCTGAACCAAAAGAATTGATTGATAAAACTGATTACACAAGTGAAAATAACACCTAAAAACCACATACGGAAGGTATAAACAGGAAGTGTTGGATCATCTTTACTATATTATTAAAATAATAATAAATGTTAGCTTATTTGATATTTATGGTATATATATGACTCTGCTTACTTTGATACTACAGCGCGAACTTCTTCGATAGGAGAATCTTCTTCATCTTCAACATATACTCCAGATGATTTCTCTATATCTTCATATGAATCTTCTTCATGAGTTTGGCTAAGAAAATCATCTACTTTTTCTGTGGTGACAAGTCCTTCTGATGTTGTAAAATTTCCATTGTTACTGAAATCCCCTCTTTTTTCAAGAGAGGTTATACTAGTTTCTTCCATAATATAATATTACTCTATTTATTACAATGAATTAAATTTATTTATATGGGTATGTATGTATGTATGTATTTATATGTTATTAAGAATTGATTTATATATAAAAATATTAAAAAAAAGAAGATGCACAAAAAAAAAGCGTTAAAGAAATAACAAGATCTCAAAAAAATATATTATCTATTTATATAAAATCAAAATATGAGAGTAGATTCAACATTAATCTCAAACTTTATTAAATTTAATAAGGAAGTATGTAAGGAACTTATCTCTCTCTTTTTTTTTTTTTTTTTTTTTTGTTTCAAATATGTCATATTTCATATGCTCCATATTTACGGAAGACATTTGTGTTTTTATTGTCAGTTATAGAAATATGCTTCAAATGTATAAATTATTTATCTCAATTTAATTATATCTGAGTATAAGTGTACAAAAAAGGAAATGCTCGTCCAAATTTGTTCATTTAAAACTGTTACTCGTGTACTTGTAAAACCTTTATATGTTTAGATAAGGATTTATTTCGCAGGTGACAAAAATATAAAAATATATATTTTTGGTAATATTAGTAGTTTTTATAACTGTGCAACCAATCAAATTATAGAAATATGCTGGAAAACCAGTTTATGCATTTTATTTTGATATCCTAATATAAAACAAACGTATTTAATTGGTGCTCTAATCTCAGGGTTGTTAGGGAGAGGAGAACAAAAAAAAAGAATTTATTGAAAATAAGGTTAAAAGATATGAAGAAAGAAAGAGAACAATGTTTTTTTTTATCTCTAGTAGAATTATTAATTCCAGAAAAAAAATATATTATGATTGTGAGAAATATGTGAATAAACTACAATTAATCTCTCTCTTATTTTTTTTTTAGGTACTATGAAAGTTAACTTAAGCATTCTTAATAATAAGCGTCATCATTAGTAATAATTATGAAGTGTGAATAATGCAACTGATAAGAATTTAAATACACAAAGGAAGCTTTTACAGTCTTCATAACAACTTATAGTCCTAAAGTTGAAGCAATAAAGCTCATTAAGAACAAAAAATAAAATAAACCCTAAGTTTAGTTAAAAAATATACTTCAAAAAAAATACGATTATCAATAAGGATCGTAAGCTTACTAAGAGCAACTAAGCAGAAATGACATCTGCATAACAAAAAAAAAAAAAAAAAAAACTGTAATAAAACAAATCATATTAGCAATAGTCTCTAATAAGTTTTGTTTTTAAAAGTATTTAATTATTACAAGTCATTCATAACAAGAATTTTTTTTTACCGAAACATAGTAGTTCTTGTCAGATAACTTGACAAAGAAGATAGGGAATTCAAAGTCAAATAGAGAGAGGAGATAGTAGAGAATATATTATTTTTTATATATAAAAGGGAAGTCTTTTTCACTACAAAGCCGACAAAGAAATGGTTTAATTATTTTAGTCTTTTTAGAAATAATAGGAATTAAATTAAATACCAAGTTGAATAGATTCTCTACTTAAAAGCTAGAAGAATTATTATGTAAAGTGATAATGTTTCCCTTTACCTGATTAATTATGATTTATAAGCAATATTTTAAAGTTTATAAAGTAAGGCCTTTTCTTAACTGCTACTCATTATTTGCTGATGTTAGAGATAGAAACAACAAATCTATATTGATGAGATCTTCATGCATACTATCTCATCAAAATTGCGTATTGAAATATTTTCATCGTTATTTTCCATATTCTCTTCTTGATCAGATATTCATTGAAAAGATAAAGGATCAAAATAAGGTTCCTTAAAGAAAAGATTACAGAACTTTAAAAATACCAATGCTAAAATTGGTATTTTTTTTTCAAAGAGATAAGGTCAAGCTAACTTATCAATTGCCTTAGTCTGTAAATAAATTTACATTTATTCGATAATCTTTTTTTATATCTATTTCAAAAAAAAAAAAAAAAAAAAAAAAAAAAAAAAAAAAAAAAAAACGTAGCGCCAAGAGTTTTTAAAATCAGAATATACAAATAAAAATCAATTATTTTATTTTACTTTATATATCTAAACACTGATGCCTCTTTAAAATAATATAAAAAGAAAACAAGAATAACTTTATTTTATTTGAGATACTGTTATATTTGTAATGGGAATCTTTCAAATAAGAAAACTTCGTGTTTGTACCAGGGAAGACGAGTTTTAGATTAAATTATCTTCTTTTAATAAATGAGCAATTTTATGATAGTATTCATTAATAATAAGTCTTCTTCATTTGTTAGAAAACATTAGGAATGAAAGAACTATTGCAAACAACAATAATAAAATTTCATCAGTTGTATACATTTGATGGATATATAATTTGCCTGTTTCTAATGGTTACAAATTAGTTTTTTTTTTCTTTTTTTTTTTACATGTCACGAGGTTATAGTAGTCTTAACTTTCAGGGAAAATATAATTCAAGCTAAATCAATTAAATAGTTAAATCTAGTAAAATGAAGTGAATTGTACCATAAATCAGTATCTTTATTCAGTGAGCATAGAAACTCTAAGCAAAATTGCCCTTTGTTCACTCCTTGTATAAATAGTATTAAAGATATCGAATAATAACTAAAGTTAATAGACCGTTCAAGTTTTCATTCATAGCTCCAATTAAAAAAAAAAAAAAATAAATAAATAAAAATAAAAAATAAAAATAAAAGCAGTAAAAAACTCATATTAAAGTAATACTCTGATTGTTATTTGAAGTAAGTATATTATTGACCGTAGTATTTTGTATCGGCCATGTTATTATCATAATTAAAATTGTTATTAATTGTTACAGATGCAAATAGTCTAGTCTTTTCCAAGTCTTTAGGATGAAGCATAAATAATTTAAAAAAATCGATTTTTGTACACATATAATTTTTTATATAAGCAATATAGCATATGGCTTTTTATGTTACATTTTAATAAATAAAATAGTTTAAATAAATAAGTATTGTAAGGTCCTTAAAACATCTCTTCTTTGCAGTGGGAATACAAGTACCTTTTACAGTCACATCTTATAGTTGTTGTTGTTTTCTTCTCTCCCACTTCTAGTAATAAAATAGTCAATGCCTTTAATGAAAAATAGCATAGTAATAAAATAGAATAAATACAATAAGTTAAGAAAAAAAAACATTTGATATCACTGTCTACCATCATCTAAGCTATATCAAGTTAGCAATAGTTAATTATTTAATTTGTGTTCAACTGCTCATTAATAAAGTAAATGCTCAGTAATACGCTTAATTAAAGTTACCAACGTCTGTTTTCTAGTATTTTGAAGTAATAGATAAAGAAAAAATAGAGGGCTCTTATCGTAATCCCAATAGATTTTGTTAAATCAAGGGCAGATGTATAGCTCCCAAGATATAGATTGGAGACAGACTAATATTATATCTTAGTAAATACTTTTAGTATAACGTTCTCTTTTTCATCTTTTTCCTCGATATAACCTCCTATAGCAATCAATAGTGTTATGTATATGATGAGATACAGCAAAGAACATGATAATTAAGATACTTGTATATATACAATAAAATTGAATATAGAATATACCAACTAAAATGCTTTGTATCTCTCATAGTAGACAGATAAATTAAACTTACCGAACCTATTTGTATAAAAATAAAAATGAAAACTGTGTACAGCTGAAGAAAAAAAAAAGGATACACATAGATATTTTTAAAAGCCAATATAGCAGGAATATTTAGGCTACAAACAATTATATAATTTAACTATTTTACTATACAGCCAATACGATGGATATTGTCGCCAATTAACAAATATTTGTCGGCAGTTAAGAAATAATTGTCGCAAAGGTTTTTTGTAATTTTATTGAAATTTTTTAGAGAGGCTCTTTATATAATTTTATTAGAGAACAAGCTCTGGATATAAGCATAAGCAATATTATAAAAGATGAATTACATAATACAGGACAAATTATAAGCCTGAATATGAAATAAAAAATATCATATCTTTTTTTTTTTTCATCGTATTATCTTTTGTACACTCTTTGAAACTCTATCTCTTTCTTCTCTTCAAAGCCATTATTCCTTTCAAACTGATCAAAATCTAAAAAGCCTTGTTATCACGATCATCATAAAAAAGAGCTCAATTGCCATAATACAGTAATAAGAAAGCTTACAGCTTAACTACTTAAAATGCATGAACCGCCAAGAGTATCTTGTACAATTGAAAAAAAAAGCATTCTACAACAAAGCTAAAAGAGAACATCTTGTAAAACTAATTGTAAGAAAAAAAAGCGTCTAGATTGTGTGTGTGTCTAAAAATAAAAATAAAACTGTTGTATAAAATACCATTTTTTATATTATTGATAGCTTATCTATGAACATCATGCTCTGTCGTGTAACTGAATTTGACTAGTTTTGGCTTAATTTCTTTACAAGAATGCTCAATATATTCACATGAATATAAATACATATAAAAAAAGTAAACAAACATCTTCTTTTTTTTTTCTTACTTTCTTACTTTCTTGCTTACTTTCAAAGAAGGCAGTAATGCTTTACTACATTCAAATAAAAGGCAAAACTTATCTCTAAAGTATTAAAAAGAAAAGAGAAAAAAAAGAAAAGGAGAAAGGCAGGAGAGAAGATTTATCGCAAAGTAAATTAAAAACAAAAAAAATACGCTAAAATTTAACTTTAATAACTTCTCCTTCTTTTTGTTTATTTTTTTTCTCCTGAATTTTACTATAAAAAAAAAGTACATTTTTTGTTTTTTTCCCTTTTCTTCTTCTTCTTTTTCTTTAGCTTTTTTTATTTTTCCTATTCTTCTTTATTTTTACTTGAAACTACGGGTAGACATTGTCAGGGTTATGAAGTGTGCTCAAGTCACATAGCTTGGCTTACTTGAGTTTGTAGAACTGTCCGTTTATAACATGGCTAAAGGGGAGGGCCTAGACTCTCTTTTGGTTACTACATGCATATCCGCCTTCACCTTGGGTTATTGCAACCTTAGATAATTGATGGGACCTTATCGAATTTTGACTGCTCAAGTTTGATTTATTTCCAAAGGAGGAGGGAAATAAAAAGGATACTTGGGGTTGGAAATTGTAAACCTGTTCCTTTTTTAGGGAGATTAGCGTACTCTTTGTCTGCACCATTGAAAGGGCTTATCTCAAGGTTTAGTTTTTCTGTTTTTCTTTTTGGAGGTTTTTCCTTCTTTTTATTTTTATCTAGTTGCTGTTTATAAAATAAAAATAGATAAGGATGCACAGCTTACGTTTCTGACCGTGGTTTTTTCATCTATTTATTTAGTTGAAGAATCCCAACTTGTATTTACTGTTAAGTCAAAAGTAGATGCTAGGGGTCAAAGAAGGGACATTCTCAGGTAAACAATAGTCAGGTCGTGCACTTCATATATCTGGATTCCTTCCACTTCGCCACGCTACAGGTCAGAATGTTTAGCCCGGCTTCCAGTGAAACTTACATCCAACTGTATTTTTTATTGGGGTAGGAAGTGAGGAATCCTATCTTTTTCTTCTAGCAAGGCTTGGGCCAGGTTGGACTTTGCCAAGTGTCTACTAGTTGAAACTGGACGTTTATCTTTCAAGTAGAAATTTAGAGGGAGAAGAAAAAATTACAGCCTGTATCAATTTGTATGGGTTGTAATATTATTTTTGGGATTAGATATGCTTTCACCTTCTCGTGGTTAATCCTGTTAGTATCAAGTCTCTTTTAAAGAGATCTGAGAACTAAGAAAAGCATCTTTTTTTATAATATTAACAAAAATGAAAAAAAAAAAATTAATAAAAATCGTTTTATAATAAAGTTGCTTCTCTAATATTATTTAATAATTAAGCGTATATGAAAAAAGTGGTGAAAGACTATAGCAGCACAGTGTATAAATATTAAAAAGATTATTGTATATTTTCCCTAAGATTTCTTTCCTCTCAAGGTAAGTTATGTGTGGTTAAATAAATTCAGCATCACTAGAATGTAAACTACCAGAATAAGACTAAAACTAGCCAACATTCATAAAGAGCATTCATAATCTAATTGCTGTACAAAAGACTGTTCATCTTTAGGGTATAACTTGAAGTTGTTTCAAGCCTTGCTATCATAAGTACTCATTATTCTATCTGGAAACAAACTAACTTTGGTTTTCCAACTAGTGATTTTTTTGTCAACACAATTTTTTTCAACACAATTTTCTCCAAGGAGAATTTTCTTTGGGTATTGATCATTGAGTATAGTTATATATGTAAAGACTGAAGGTAATTATTGAGTTGAGATTTTGAGATGCTAAAATTTTCGAATTGTTCAGCTAACCTCCCTCATTATTTCATCCATATCAATCTAGAAGGGGTTCATCGCCCACTAGATTCCTCAAAAATTTGTTGTGATCGTTGGTGAAAGAAGACTGAGGACCAGAACTTATAGAAGACTTTTTGTAAGGCACTTCTCCCGTTTCTCTGTACATTTTCCATCATCTTTGAGCCACACATGGTTCGATCCCAAGTTCTCTAGCGAACTGGGTAGCTAGGCCTCTTTCTTGAGCACTTTCAATCATTCTATCAATAAAGTCATCTCGTTGCCTGTCACGGTACTTTCTGTATTCTTTGCCGGCTTAATTAGCATTACTTTAACTATGTTTTCTACAGCAATCTTCTCAGGTGGTTTTAATTTTCTCCAAGTGCTTTGATCGGTTAGTCTTTCAAGAACCACATTAGGATTGGGTTACCTCAGTTAGAACACCCTCCATTGGATCATAAACTATCATACCCTTCTTGTCGTACAGGTTATCGTGCCCATCTTCGTAATAGAAAAGACCTCTCCACAACTCAAACTAAAAACAAAAAAATGTATTAAACAAAAAGAAGAGCTCAAGAAGAGGAAAACACTACGACAATTTAAGCTAATCTGATGCGACAATACGCTTTTCCCTAAAACGACAATCAACAAAAATAAAAACGACAAATTGAAATTTCTTTTGCGACAATTATTTCTCAACTGTCGGTAAATATTTGCTAATTGGTGACAATATCCATCGTACTGGCTGTATAACAAATAAAGACGATTAAAAAAAAAAAAGGTCATTAAAGCAATATAGAAAAGATAAGCTCAAAATGAACGATATGGCCCTATGAGATTACATCCCCTTTGTGTATCCATACACATATACATATATACAAATATATATGTGTATATAATCGCTTCTTTCCATTCTTACAGTGCGTCCGCCGTCAATTGGACAATTTTTTGAAAAAGCTGGTCAAATTTTTGAATAAATTTGCCCACTTTTTTGAAACTCAATTGGTCATTTGTTTGAAATTCATTTGGTCATTTTATTTAAATTCAATTGATCTTTTTTTTTTTTTTTTTTTTTGAAAATTATTATACTTTATATAATGTTAAGGGAAAGTTATAGAGGGACCTTATTTAAGCAATTACTAAATTGGTTTATGGAATGTTGAATAATATTTCGAAGATGCTCAACAGGTACTTCTTCACTAGCCTCAATAATTCTTGAAGTAAGCGTTTCAACATCATTAAGTTTACTTCGCTTTACTTTTCCCTTAAGAATGGCCCAAAATTGTTCTATTGGGTTGAGTTCGGGCGAGTAGGGAGGAAGGTATAATGGCTTATAGCCCCGACTTACAATTACAGGGTCAATTATAGCAGGAACATGAATTGGTGCATTGTCCATAACAATAAAAAATCCTTTCATTTCTGGGAACTCATCCATAATATCCATAGTATCGTTAAGAAACAAAAGATAATGATCGCCAGTAGTGCCACTGGGAATAGTTAATTTATCTTTAGGAGCCTTTCTCTTTTTGGCCCCTACAACTTTCCTTCTCTTAACATTTCCAGATTCTCGCATACTCACATTGACGACACCATTAGCTGATATTGCACCAAGAACAGTATGTGAGGTAGCCTTGGTGGAGGGAGTTGTGGTAGTTGCTTTCGTACCGCGCTGTGACCAACCACGACTACGACGCATATTAATGTCAAACCCGGACTCATCAACAAATATACAATTGTCGAGATAATTGACGCCATTGCTGATCAATTTCTCAACCCACTCAGCACGAGCTTTAAGATTTTTATCATCGTTTCTGGCAAGAGGGTGTCGGTTAATAAGTTTGATGCTGAGATTACATTCTTCCTTCATGAACTCGGCTACTCTTGTTTTTTTTATTTGTAAGCCAGCAAAGTTGGCTGTCAAGCTTTCAACTGCGTCCTGGATTGTTGCAGTTGAGTCATCATCAAAAAAACTGGTTAGATAAACTTTATGAGCTTCGTTCAGTTGACTGACTGGTCTGTTGGGATTCAGATTCGTCTTTTTGATAGGAATCTTCCTTTCCGGATCATCCTCGTAAGCCTTTTTCCATTTGCGCGCTGTGTTATAATTTACATTTGCGGCTATGGCCGCATCTTTTGGTCTCATGAGTTTTTCTTTCAAAAAATAAAAGTAACGTCTACGGTCTTCCATTGTATAAATGTTATACTCAAGAGGTCTTTCTTTCTTTGGACTAGCCTCTTTCATGACTGTATCGTCTGAACTGATCGTTTCAAATTGGAGATCCTTGTTCTTAATGTATTTTCGTAGATCTGTTAATCTTTTCAAACGAAATGACTTCTCTTCAACATATGCTTTTGCTTGCTCGCCCTGTTCATCAATGAGATTACCAGCACCATCTTCATAAAAATATTCATGCTCATTTGAAAAATAATCTCGAAATAATGGTATAAAAAAAAAGTAACAAAATATACCTCAGATAAAATGATCAAAAAAATGATCTATTGAATTTAAATAAAATGACCAAATGAATTTCAAACAAATGACCAATTGAGTTTCAAAAAAGTGGGCAAATTTATTCAAAAATTTGACCAGCTTTTTCAAAAAATTGTCCAATTGACGGCGGACGCACTGTATATACTTGTTTAGTTCAATTCGATTCATTTTAGTGAGTATATATTTTTAAGTGATATTCCTCTATAAAAAAAGAAAGGGGAATAATTATAAAATGTATGCTATAATAAAAACAAGTAAATCAAGATCTTATTGTCATCATGAACTTGATTTTATTTTGTACAGATGTATGTACATCTATATTATACTGATTTACATATTCTAATCTTTTACAAAGAACTTGTACTTTTGTGTAAGGGTTATCAAGTTGTACAGTATATAAATCGTAACACAAAAAATGAAACTTTATTATCTTCTTAAACGTAAAAAGAATGCATTCTTACTGAAAGAACTATCAGCAGGTAAATATTTGTCATAAAAGTTGACTATAAATTCTTCAGGTTTAAATCCAAACTTTTGATATAAAATCTGTAAATTATTAAAAAAAAGAATAAGTTTACACACATATATAATAAATTTATATTTCTTCTTCTCTCTCTTTACCATAGCATTATTATTTGCAAAGACATGAAGTGTTATATCTTTACCAATCGCGGTTTGAAATAAGTGATATAGCATAAATCTTGAAAAAATAAATAAATAAATATTATAGTATTTTGTTAGCAGTATATTCTACTTACTGTCCTATGTTAGCATTTCTCCATCCAGGATCAACTGTAAAATAAGTGATATATGCCTCTGGTGTCATAAAAGCACATCCAATAACATGCCGTTTATAGAGTGCTACAATACTGAATTCTGGAAATAACAAAGATTCTGAAACATCAATGCCCTCCCAAAAGGATCGACTTAATAACCTGTTTACTTGTTCTAAATGCTCTTTCTGAAAATAAACATAGTCAATACTTTCACCTTCTATTATACCACTCGGTTCTTTTTCTCCCTTAGCTATAGGTTTTCCTTTACAAGCTTTGATTTGTCCTAATAAAAGCATACGTTTTGGTTTACTCTGAAAATCACGTCTTATGAAAGGACGTAATTTACGACCATTCCAAGATGATAGCCATGGTTCTTCTCGAGTAATTGTATTACATTGACGAATTGAACCATAGAGTCGAGAAGCAAAAGAGGATGTATAAGGTGTAAATGTGATTTTATCAAGTAATTGCTGTTGATCATCTTGTTGCTGCTCTATGTATTGATTAGATGCGGGTTGGATAATAGTTTCTTTAGAAATAGGTTCCAAGTTATGTTTTGGCATTCTTAATAGATTTACAAGATGCTGATCTATATCAAAGAGTTTGATACCTAAATTTCGTTTTAATCTACGTACAGCTAATTTACGTTTATATCGATGAGCAGCAGATGTTAAATTTTTAGAGGATCGCTCAAGCTTTTGTAAAAGTAACCATTCTCCCTGTGGTGTAAGGGCTGAGGTGCCTAATGAAGAGTTTTGCAAAGTAGTATGGGTACTTGTCTTAACTGATTGAGGAGTAGAAGTAATGGGTATAGACTCTTCATGAGGAGGCAATGAAGGTGATTCTGAAATTAATTGTATTTCTTGAGATTTTGGAATTTCTGTAGTTATACTGACAGATGGGGATAAGTTAGGAGTAGTATGCAATGTTTGTACAGTTGATGAAGGCGATAGTGAAGGGTTTGGGGAAACTGAGGGTATGCTAGATTGAGACATATTTACAGATATAAGTTTAGATGGTGAACCAAATGAAGCTAAAGCAACAGGTTGCTCTTCTTCTTTTACTTTAACTACTGGTTTTGTATTTTGTTCTTTGGATGATTTTTTTTTCTTTGCCATGTTTTCTTTAAAAGCTCTAGTTGGTTTATCCTCAGTTTCTGAAGATGATTCATTAGCAGAGGATAATTCTGACAGTGAACTAAAGTCTAATAAATCTGTGTCTTCTTCTTCTTCTTTTCTTTGTTCTTTCTTTATTTTCTTTAGTCTCTTTTGTTTCGGTAAATTATCGTTTTCTATTTTCGTTCTTTTTAACGGTTTTTTTAAATTTGGTTTTAACTTTGCTGCTGCCTTTGACTTCTTTTCACTTGATGGTGGTTCTATCTTGTGAAGTGTCCACCAAGCTAAAAGGAGTCAATTAAACACATATTCTTCTCTATTTACATCTATAATCAACTTACCACTCTGATGAAATTTTTCCAAGCCTGACAGAAATATATTACTATGAGTTGATAAAACACTTGCGATTGTATTATTCCAAGTTAAAGATCCTAAAATAAACAAATCAACATATAGTCTGGTTTGTTTGTTTTTTTTTCTTCCCTCCCTTTATTTCTTACTTTGCTTATCAGGTATAAGATAATCCCAATAATTATCAATAAACGCACATACGTCTTCTTTCCAGCGAAAGTAATAATGATCTCGTCTGTCTTTTTTGGGTTTTTTCTCATCCTCTATTTGTGCGTTTCTTATCAAATTATAAATAACTAAATGAACAATAGAGATCCAGCTTAATCCTTTTCTTTGAAATGTTTCTGGTCCTTCATTACATACTGAACAATTAAAAACACCAAATGTATCTCCAAATAACAAAGGTTTAACCATACAATTAATGCAATCTTTAAAAACAAAAAACAAAAAGCAGTCTTCAATACTTGTTGATCTTAAGTATATAATGTCAATTACCTCGATGAAAGAATTGTTTGCATTTATCACAACGAATCATAGGTTGATCTCTATTTGTAATAAAGAGAGTGTTTTTTTTTATAATTTTGCTTTAATTATTTTTATTTCACTACTAAAATCTTCATTTAACTTACTCTTTGATTCCTTTACCACAATAACAATATTTATCTTCAATATTTCGTTTATGCTCATTATCCCAAGTTAAACCTTCTAACTATTATAATATAAAATAGAAAGATAAGTATATTATTACTTTCTTTTTTTTATATACAGAAAAGGATTTCATTAGTTATAATCTAGGATATTACATTATAAGGAAATTTTTTCTTCATATTAATTAGCTCAGAAATAAAAAAGTGGTATTATACAGAACTAGTATATAATAAAACAAAGAATGAAAAAAATAGTAAATTATTTGATTGGATACAATTATTTTACAGGACTTTTTTTTTTTTTTTTTTTTTTTTTTTTTTTTTTTTTTTTTTTTTTTTTTTGTTGTTGTTGTTGTTGTGCTATGATTTAGCTTTTTTTTTTTTAATACATTTATAATAAAACAGATTCCTATTTATTCTTTGTATAAATACCTTTGACTCAATTTAATGCTACATGGATGAATCTGTTTATTACCACTTTGCTACTGTGAAGCAGAGAATAGAAAATCGACATGAAATGTAAAGATTTTAATAATTTATATATTTTGTATATATTTATATACATGTACATTATTTAATTGACATTATCAATTTTTGCTATTTAATCTGATGCAGTGAATACCAATTAATTCTAAGACAACAACCGAAGCAATCACGCATGTGTGGCATTGGTGAGAAAGGTACATTGAATGCATGCATGTAATCATATGGATTGATTTGTTGATGATATACATATATATTTTTTTTTAAATATATTTATTTAGCTGACAGGAGACCTATTGATCCACCACGTAAAATAATAGATTGAATTGTCAAGACTATTTCATTTCATCACTAATTTATTCTTATTGAATTCATTATAATATATAGCCATTGTTCAGTTGAAAGTTATAGATCCATCACTGTCGCCTTATGAAAAAAAGTAAGTTTAAGCGATGAACTAAAAAAAAAAAGAAAAAAAAACAAATTTGTAACATTTTAATTATTGTGATCCAGTTCATATTTACAAAACCCATACTATTTTATGTATGCCTCGTTAATGGCAGCAGATTTAGACGAGGAGTTACATTTGTTAAAAGATGGAAGAACAAGGAGTACAACTGGATCTGTTGTTTCTTCACTTTATCATTTAAAAGACATTGATAACACAGATGCGGGGTTTTTTGTATTTCCAGATTTATCTGTTCGAATGGAAGGAAGTTATAGATTAAAATTAAGCCTATTTGAAATTATTGGTAAAGATGTATTTCATTGTCGATCAATCATTTCAAATAAATTTTTTGTTTATTCTGCAAAAAAGTAAGTAAACGAAATAGAAGATGACATGTTGGAGTAAAATTGATTTTTAAATGACACATTTGGCAGATTTCCTGGAATGGAAGAGTCGACATTCCTATCAAGATCATTTGCAGATCAAGGTTTAAAAATACGAATAAGGAAGGAACTACGTCAACGAAGAAAATTAAAAAATAATATAGAAGAAAGGAATAGAAATAATAGTAATTATAATTCCAATGATCACTCAAATGAAGGCAGTAACAATAACACTATAAATATCATGACTACTAGTACTAACGATAATACGTCTATTTTACCAGTACCAATATCGTCACATTCGTCTCTTACTCAAATTGGAAAAAGAATAAAGATATCAAAAGAGTTATTACCGAATGCATCAACTGCAGCTACGACTACAACTATATCACAATATAGAAACGATCTCTTACCTGGTCCCATAAGATATTTATCCTATAGCCCTAGAGAACCAGATACTGAAGCATTACCTTTAATGATTAGCCCAATACAAAATACGGTCTATCATTCACGACAGGAAAATACAAACAATATTGAGTCTTCAAATCATGCAACAATTTCCAGAGAAAGAACATCAATGACTGGTATGTATATTTTTTTGTATATAAGTGTAATTAGTTTCAAACATGTATGCATTGCATCTTTTTCTGTTAGAGGATCGACAGCCAACTTTATTACATCCAACTCAAAATTACTTCCCAGTAGAAATACCACCTATATATCAAAATCGAAGTATGAGTTATAGATACCAAAACGATCTATACCATCATTCACAGGAAGCGCATTCAAATCCTTCTAATCTAAGCTCGTTCCGTTACGCTGGTGGTAGCTCACACCCATCATCGAGTTACTATCCATTGAATTATCCTTTACCCCTTCCATATAGCGTCACCTCTTCTTCACTCCCTATACTACCGCGTCAACAACAGTCTCATCCGTCACATATACAATCGTCACTACCACCCTCGCTTCCACCTCCCACTGTATCTCCTTCAAACCAACCTTCATTACCTATTCCTTCTTCTCAACTCCACCCATCATCCTCTGTACAGAAACCACCGCCAGAATATTAATTCCAAAAAAATAAAATAAATGTGTATATGCATATACATTATATGTATTCGCTTTCCTTTCAAAATAGAAAAAAAGATGTACGTACTGTAATCTAAATTCCTTTTTATATGTGTATAAAGCTAATAATAAAACAATACAAAAAAAAAGTATTATTAATGCATATGAGGAATAAATATTAAATATGCCTTTTTTTTTTCTTTTATATTAAAAAAAAAAAAATAAAAAATAAATATGCAGAGGATGTATGTTAAATTTTCTTCAAAAAAAAAAAAGAAAAGAACTGAATTATTGTATTATGTAAGCAAATCAACTATTATAATCCAGATTCTTTTAATCTTCTAGCAATTGTATCTTCACCACGTTCCCTAAAATAGAAATAATTAAGTATATATGTATACATATATTTAATATTATAAATTCACCTTGGTTCTAATTTTAAACTCAAGTTATAAAGTTCCTCTTCTTCTCTACTTGACTGCAGGTGAGTTTTAATAAACTGTTGGATATCAGGGACGGCAGTTAACATATAGTGAGTCGATTGATATTGCTGAAGATCCTGAATGACTTCAGCCGTCTTCATTCGCTTAGCAAAATTAATTAAATGGTTTGATTTTTTCAAAAAATTTGAATTGCCATCCTCAATAAAGGTTAAATCTTGTAAATAGATGCCCAAGAATGGGATACAAGGAGGATTCACTTTGTGGATGATATCTCTATATTCACTAAAGTTACGATTTGCACCCATGAGTCGACGAATGTTTTGTAAGATCTGCAGGGTTCTGGCGCTAACAAAATCCCATGTACGTTTTAATCGACCAATCGAACCATTGTCAAAGGCTGACAGGATGGCCATGCATGTATTATAGTTATTTAGCAATCGACAACGCTCTGCTACAAAGATCCAATGTTTCAAAACACTTGCCCGCTTTTTCACTTCCTCTTTACTCAAAATGGAATCTGTCACCCAAGCTGTTACTTGATTAGAATGTTCAATAGAGGCCTTGACGTTAGCAGCTATATGGTCTTGATCTGTATCCGGTTTCCCCCAATTCTTATCCAGACACTCTACGGGTTTGATGCAATTATAAAGACGGAAATCCATGATTGTCATCTGTCTTGCTAATTCATGTGGATCCAACTCCAACAGTTTAATTCGCCTCATATTTTTGGGTAGGATGGGTATAGGCATATCTGCAGTACGTATATTTAATTTCATTTTACGAATCTGACTTGAATCCTCTGCTAATAAACGCTTTTTAATAAGCTTCGTTAGTTGTTCAGCACCAAATTTCATGGATTCTATGATTATATTCTCTGTAAAATGGCTTATTTCAGGTAATATCGGTCGATCTTCTTCTTCATTGTAATATACTTCTAACCAAGATTTAATCACATTAAATACCCTAATGGCATAAAACCAAAAAAAAGACATATTTGTTTATTATCTATGTGTATATATTTATAATATTTATTACATATTTATTTCTCTTTCTTACCTTAAACGCACTAGTTTTAACTTTTTTCTTTCCATATGTCCACTTCTTCTAAAGTTAAATTTTCAGGCGGTGTTAATTGATATCGATTAAATAATTCATTGAATAATTCCTGTGTAGTGCAAAATGATCTGTAAGTTAATAAAAACGTGGTATTAAACTTGGAATCTACAAAAAAAAAAAAAAAAAAAAAAAAATACATGTAAGTAAAATAGTGTAAAATAATGTAATATATGTATACACATATATACATATAATCTGTGCTGTATTATTCCTTTTACCTAACTGGTTATGTTGAGTTAAATATTGTACAAGTGCATGTAATGTTCCTCCTTTTACTTTGCCTTCCATACTATATACAATTTCGTTTGAATCGATATCTGAAGTAAGATACCAAGGTGTTTCATTATTTGACATGATGGTGGCTGCTAATTGGTTGGATCCAGTAGAAGAGGAAGCTCCTGTAATGTGAGTTGCAACTGTAGAAAGAACATCATTATGCTGGGTCAAAGTAGGTGAATTCAAGAGAGTATCACGATAATGGACAGCTGCAGCAATTGTATCCTCACCAAAGAATTTTGTGATTTTTGCTTCCTTTTGTAAACGTAAAGTATGATTATTAGCTGTCATGTCACTATGAAAACTATCATTATCGTCATTCCCATCATCACTCAAGATATGCATGTCATCCGACAGTATGCGATGATGCCCCGTATGATTAGAGGTGAATAGAGTGGATCCAGTATCCAACTGTTTTGCTGTATCAATCAAATTCTCAGATGAATTATCAATATCGACTTCATTATTATCTGTATCAGATAGTGTTGGAACAGGAGATCTGTTACTACTACTACTGGTAGACGTTACTGCTCTCCCGTGATTCATACGTGGTGAGCTATGAAGAGTATTGATATGATAATGTTGTCTCTGTATAGGAGTAGATGCATTATTTCTGATAGACTCACAACCAGGTATTTTATGATTTAATTTAGCAGGAACTTCGTTCAGTGTTTGGCATGTATCAATCACATGTTGTATTCCAACTTCAATTGAATTCACATATTGCTTCAATTGATCATAAGCTAATTTAATTTGATTTGCATTTAAACTACTATTTGTGATTGTTTGTGATATTACAAATAGAGACCCCATAGCAGTATAGATAGGCTGCTTAGAGTGAAATAACATGGCCAATTGTGTATCACAATCATCTGTATTTGCATCACTCTTCCTTCGTCTTTGACCCATTTCTTCTACGGCATTCAGAAAATGACTTGTGGTATGACTCAGGTTTCTAAACTGAGCTACCAAAAGTGGAGCATTTGCTTTTAGTTTAGACAAAGTATCCTTTAGATTCTCATTTTCCAAATGAAGAAAAGTATTATGAATACTTTCCATATAGGAGCTCACCGCACCACGCACATTATCAGCAAGAACCAAAATTGCGTTGGTAGCGTCGATTTGATGACTTGCAGGATTTTTCAAGACAAAAGGGGGAAGGCTACTATTATTATCGCTGTTGATGGTCGTACTACGCCAATAAAGAAAGTGATCATGTGATGAAAGCGTTGGCTTATTTTCCTTAATTTCTATTTGTAGTTCTTGAGCATAAATAATAAAGTTACGAGCGGCAATTAAAAGATCCTCAGCATCAGATTGTAATTTACCAAGTGATTCAGGCGGTGACCAAGCACTAGAAGCGACTTTAGTTGAAAGAACCAACTTTGCAAGAGCAGCTAACAAATTGCGATGAAGATTTCGAAGTTGTTTGTTTGATCTTAAATGAATAGAAGTTTCCTTTTCTAAACAATTAGAAACGTATAATAAAAGTCGAATACGGTGAACGATAGAGGTAACATCTTGAACAAAATGAGTATTATCTCCTTGACGAATGGAATCCTTTAATCTAGAAATAACATGAGCAATAGATGAAGATAAGCTTTGCCATGAAATAGGCAAATTCTCATCACTATAAATACTACTTGTACGATCCGATTGCTCTTCATTTATATCTGTGCTCCTGTAACTATAATTTTGTTGATAATTTGGTGAATCTGCGAATGAAGATAACTTTAATAACTATTTATTAGTAGACTTGATATATATATAAAAAAAAATATCTTGACATGTATATATTATTACCAATATGCCAGTATCAGGGTCAATATTCTCCAATTCCCAGGTAATTTCATTTGATTTAAAGTTATAGTAATAATATCGTCCTTTTGAAGTCATTTTACGTATCCAATTTGGAGGAAGCTGCAAAAAAAAAAAAAAAAAAAAAAAATTACACAGTAAGAATCAGTTATATGTATGCAAATCAATTATACAAGTACCTTTTCATGATCCTCAAAGTCGACTTCAAATGGTTCATTTTTCATGGCCAGATGTTGTTGTGACATGGAAGGAGAAGCTATTGTGTTTTTATCATGTACAGGCATTGTATGATAATCCACAGATTGTTGATTGTATAGTGTGTCATTCACCATCATCCGATTAACTGCACGTACCGGACGTACAGGAGGTGAAAGTTCATAATGCTCATTCATTTCATAAGAGAGCAAATTCCCGTTATTATTGTACGATTCTGTTAAATTATTATCTACTAGTGTTTCTTTCATTTTATTGCTCAAATGATCATAAAAATCAGAAGGAATCGAGTATCTCATTTCTTGTGTTTGTGTATTATAATAATATTGTTCAGATCCATCTTCAGTCGTTTGAATGATCCATGGTGAATTATCATAGATACTTAATCGTGTATCTGTCACACGTTGCTGCTTCTGATTTAAATTCATTTGTTGTTGTAATTCCCATAACTATAAAATTAGTATGGTTAGACAAGTAATTGCATGTAAAAAAAAAAAAAAATTAAACTTTTTTTTTTTTTTTTTTTTTTTTTTTTTTTTACTTGAAATTTATCAGATTCGTCTGTTTCTTTTATAATTTCAACATAATTACTGGGAAACCAGCCTCTTCTTCCATTACACCTATTAAGAATAAAATAAGATAGAATTAGTATGAGGAGAATGAGATTAATAAAAGGGACATTACCAACCATCCCACCAACCAGAATCTAATTGGGCAAGTACATCAATGACTGAGCCTGATTTAAATGACAATGAAGAAGGATCATTTGATTCATAAGAGTACAACGCTCTCACTCGACATATGACTTGTTTATTATTCATAATGACTAATGAGCGTAGGAAGAGAAATAGAATGAAAGCTTAATATCTCTTTTATATAAGAAGAAGAAGAGGGAAAAAGAAAGTAGGGGAACAAAAGAAATGGTTTTATGTTGTACAATTAAAAAAAAAAAAAAAAAAAAAATAGGAAAAACAGTAGACTGTTACGAATAATGATCGTCACTGTTAAACGAATATAATAGAAATCTCCCATTTACTGTATGGATAATAAGCTGTTATTTACAAATAGTGGTATCAACAACAATAGGGTAATTATAAATTCTAAACAGCATTGTTTTTTTTTTCTCGATTTTGTACCTGCTTTTTCAGTTATCCAATTAAAATTCGTGTAAAGGAAGAACTTTAAATTAGACTATTTTAAACTCGTTTTCTTTTCTTTTTATATATACACTTTATTGATGAACTTCTTTACACGTCAATAGCCTTATTTTGTCAATTATTACAAAATAATAATAAAAATAAGCTTATTATCTTTGTTAGATACGAGTATTAACATACTTTTATATATATACAAAATAATCTTTTTCTTTCTTTCTTTTCTTTTTTCCTTTTAATCATTATTTTCAGGATCATGAACAACATCATATCGTTTGCCACGAATACCCCAAATGCCATAATTCGCTAAAATGGTTTGTCTTATGTCCATTAAATTAACATCACGTTTTAAGCTACGAAAGACATTTTGACTTGGCTTCAAAACCCAATCAAATTCATTTTCATAGTCTTCTTTGACTGCCTCTACGTCACTCTTCATATCATTTTCGTCATATCCTGTCATAAAGATAGGGCATTTTGTTTCAAGTGCCTTCTGGATTGATGGTTTCCAATTTTCACGAGAATCAGGTTGAGCAATACCAGGAGAGAATAGGAAGAAAAGGTCAGTATAAGGATCAAACTTTTCAATGGTTTCATGATAGTCATGATACATGGCGGTATCATAGGTAAAAGCAAGCCGTTCGTTAATCATTTTAGTATAAGGCTTTTGATTAGGTGCTAATGCATCAGGACCCACAAAATGGATATGGAAAGGTGTTACAGGGAACAGATAAGCCATTTGAAGCCATATATGAGAAGGTAACGTAGCTTCTGCTCGTGCACCTATAATATAAATATTGATGGTTTCTGTACGAGGTTCTTGCTGACTACTATTACTTAATTGATTTTTAGGATACAGAATTGTTCTTAAAGCTAATAAAAAATGGGATTAAAAATAAGTTTAATTATAAAAAGTTCTATAAGTTTACCTGCAATAGATCTTGCGCCTTCAGCAGTAATATGCTCACCATATTTATATGGACTTGATTGATGTAAAACTGAAGCAATGGTTATTGGATAAGTTAATAATTTAGAGACGTGACGTAAAGATCTATCAGAATCCATAGAAGGGAAACTACGAGTATAAAAGAAAATATCCCAGTTTTCCATGCTTACTGTTTCATCAAATCCTTGTGCGCCTAAATAACAAGCGTTTAATTTTTTATTTTATTTTATTTTTATTTTATTTTTTTTTTTCATTAGAAAAAGAAAAACTTACTTGGAAATTCAAACTCACGCATGGGTCTACCTGAACGTAAGTCATGGTCATCCTCATTGACTTGCCGCAAAATTTTACAATTTTCTTCATGTGCAGCTCTTCCTTGATGATAATGTTCTTCACTACAATGGGTAGGGTATCCACAATCAGGACAATCAAAAACGGGATGTTTGGAATGTGCTTGTTCTCCATGTACTTCACAACAAACAGGGCATACGCCATACTTGTTAATAATGGCAGCTCTATCCCTCATTTCTGGTAGCGGTGATTTAGAAAGCACATGAAATAAATCATCTTTTTCGAGTATAAGTTCTTTGTTATCTTCTATTTCATTGCTTTTAAAAATTCCTTTAAAAGAAATAGGACGAACGATAGATTGTGAAAGCAGTCTTTTTTGGCTGGTAATAGCAGTTCTAGCTGAATTTGTTAATGTTTTTGAGAGAATAAAACATGAGGTATAATAGTTATTGCTTTGTAGTACTTGACGTGAAGTAGGTATTATATGTTTAAAAGCTCTATTCATTGGAAGTCAAGACTAAAAGGGAAAAAAAAATATACACAGAAAAGTAAAGAGTAGTGAAGCTTTATACCCCGAATAATTATTACATAAAAGTAAAAAAGAAGCAGGGCGTTTTCAATTTTCTAATACATACACAGTATGTGTATACTATCCAATCATATTTCCCTATTTATTTTTTAACTTTTTTTTTAAGATTACTACAGCTCAATCTTTATTTCTACCTTTTTTTAAAGGCAAAGTGTCTATGAGGACAGAACAACGCTTTTTTTTTGGTATGTATAATATCTTGGTTTTTTTTTAATTTTCTTGGAACGCTTTTGGTTTGTTATTTTAGTTTTATAAAAAGTAAAGTATGGTGTGTTTCTTTATATTATTAGCTTTTTATTCTTCTAATCAGAGCTTCTAAAAAAAAAACTTTATTTCTCAATCAAAGCTTTTACATACACTAGTGGTGCGATAAGTTATTAAACATGGGTAATAGTCAAATAATTGATATTTATTATATTTTAATCCGCAAAGACTATATCAAATGGAATTCCTTGTTTTTAATATTTTTGAACTACTGAAATAAACTTTTATGCCTAATGTCAAGAGGGGGAGTGGAGGGGAAGAGACGCCTACAAAGTTTCCGGTCAGATATTGGTAACCAAATCAAGAAACATACGCATAAGCAAGAAGATTTAATATTTGTAAATGTAAAGATATTCAGAGACATTTTTACGATTAATGAAAGAAAGATAAAATGCTTTATTTTGTTATATTCGTCTGTTTAGAATACTGAAGATAGTATTTTTTTTTTAAAACATAAAAGGATAGCTTTTGACATAATCCAATTTAATTTTATTTGACATTATCTTTTTCGTTCATATTAACAATAGGCCATCATAATAATATTATCCTAGTTTCTTTCTTCTTTTAACGAAAAGGGAAGGAAGAACGATAACTTCTATAAAGAACCTAGTAGCTATCTTGCACTTAGTCTCACCTATATTTTATCTTTTTCTTCTTTAAGGAAACTATTCAAAGATTGATACAAATTTTAGAAATTTTATTTTAGGATGTCCAGCTAAAAATGCTTTTAACAGAGTATTATTATTTTACCTATAGTTGATATATTTTTAATGTATCAATAATCATCCAAGTATTTTTACAAAGAATACATAAAAAAAACCAAAGACAACTAGCATAAATGAATTATTCATTCATTGCAAGCTTAATATATTAATATGACACTTTTGGTCTTTGCGAGGATTAAAAGTGTTCATTAAATCAAAAGAATACATTCGTATATCAAAGCTTGTAAATTACACCACTAAAAAAGAATTACTTTAAGCTATAAATCAACTTACTCTTATTCAGTATCAATACGCGTTTACTCATAATTCTTTTTTTTTAAGCTTTTTATACATAAGCATACTTGTTTATACCTACTTTATCTGATTGATCTTTTTTTTTTTTTTTTTTTTTTACTCTTTTTCCTTATTAAAATGATACTCTATAATAACCCTAAACTTCCTCTGCCTTAGCTATATTACTGATATATTATTTGCATTAATTCAAAAAAAAAAAAAAAAATCGTACATGATAAATTCTCTTTCTCTTTATGAGCCTTAGGACAGTAGTGATTTAATTTAATAATTGTCTAGACTATTTTCTTTATCATCCCGTTTCCTTTTCTTTTCATATTCTGTCTCTTTTAAAAGAGATCTTGTTTTTATTTTCTATGCTAAAGACATTATACCCTCGCAACGGTTTTTGAATTTCTTTCTTTTTTTTTTTTTTTAAAAAAAAAATACACAATTTGTATTTTAATTAGCTATTTTAGTTTTTCTTTTCCGCCCCTTTTTTTTTCTTCTCCCCTTTTATTTTTCTTTACAATAAAAGTAAGATGAAGATCAATGGAGAAACTTTGTATATTGGTTTTCACCAAGTTCTTTTTTTAATATCTGGGCTTTGTACAACTCTAGGGATTCAATGGTTATTTTATCATGGAGCAGCAAGTAATTTATTAAATTTTTTACATTGTTCATTCACTATGAAGATTAATTAATTAATTATTTTTTTTTTTTTTTAAAAAAAAAGCGGGTGACAGTTATTTAGCGCAATTATCACAATATCTTGGCATGGTTTTAGTCGGTTTAATTATACCTATTTTATTAAAAAATAAAAAAAAGGGCTATAGTCAAGTTAATCAAGAAGAAGAACTAGCAGAAATAGGCCATATCAATATGGTAAGAAGGAAAAATGAATAAATAAATGAAATAATATTCACTTTTTTTTTTCAGGTACAAATAAATCATGATAATATTACAAGTACAGAAACTCATATACCCAATCAAGATATTACATTGTATGAAGAAGGACCTATTTCACATAAATCAGTTATTAAATTGTCTGTATTAGATGTATTTGCTAACTTTTGCGTTACTGTTGGCTTTTCAATCATTGGTAGTGGCGTAAGTAATAAGTCTATAAATGACTGCTTTTTAACATCTTTATTATTATAGATGTATCAGGTTATTTATAGCAGTGTTGTTATCTGGTGTGCTATTTTAAATTGGTTACTTATGAGTCGATCTTTATCTAAATTACAATGGTTTTCTATATTTGGTACAAGTGCTGGTTTAGCTGTTAGTTCAATGGGTAATTTCCCTTTAGATCATCAGTCACCAGTATCTTTATTGATGTTTGGCACTTTAATGACTTTAGGCGGTACATTCTTTTACTGTAAGTAGTGTTGGTAGTAGTAGTAGTGTTGGTAGTAGTAGTGTTGGTAGTAGTAGTGTTGGTAGTAGTAGTGTTGGTAGTAGTAGTGTTGGTAGTAGTAGTGTTGGTAGTAGTAGTGTTGGTAGTAGTAGTAGTAGTAGTGGTAGTAGTAGTGGTAGTATCTCATATACTAATAATCATTATTAGCCTGTGTTTATGTTTATTCTGATTATCTTATGTCACAACAAAGGCCTCCACCATTACCTGCTAGATTATGCTTTTATACAGGTGTTTATACATCATGTATTTCACTTGTTTGGATTTCTATATATACTTTACCTCGATTTAATCAATTAATACATATAAAGGAGTCAACTACAATCGAACATGTATGCTTTATGTATATATTAGTAATAGTGGCTAATGCAACCCATTCATGGAATTATTATGAACTTATTGAACGAACAGGAAGTGTAAGACCCAATCTATATATCCTTTTGAATTGATATAATATCTTATATAATAGTGTCTACTTTATAGGTAGCTACTGGTATTTTGCAAGGTTTAAGAGCAGTTTTAGTTTATGTTATTAGTGATTCATGGTATTGTAAAACAGACCCTGCACAATGTAAGTTATGACAAGTAATTTCTTTTGTTATCCTTCTAATGCTCATCTATTATTAGGCTTTACAATGTATAAAGGAATTGGTTCCATTCTTGTCATTGGTTGTGTGTTATTATTTACTTTAGGACGACATCATAATAATGCACAAAGTATAGATAAAAAGAGCTTAGTTGAATAATAAAACTATTATTTATAACTGATATTTAAATCATTCCAATGAAAAAGAAAGAAAGAAAGGAAAAAGAAAAAAAAAAAAAAAAAAGTAACCTATTTATTTTATTTTACACTCTTTCTTAAATCACATGGCACACTTTTTTATGGCACCATTTTTTGGCATACATTATAATTCGGTTTCGGTTTGGAACAACTGCCGACTTTTGTTATGGCACATTTTTTTTTTTTTTTATTCATGGCAAAAAAGTATGCTATCACATTAAAGTGGCTGTTTATCAAAACACAACTGCCATTTGGATGCAGAATAACGATAAAAGCCTCGCAAGTCACTATAAAGAATACTGTTACAAGCTTCAGAAATCCTTGAAGTGAGAGTTTCTTTCTGTAGAAGTTTCTCCCTCTTGAGCTTGCTCTTGACAACAGACCAGAATTACTTTATTGGATTCAATTCTGGGGAATAGGGGGATATATATATATATATATATACAGCCATAGCCTCGATTGATAACGTATCTTCCGATATCTTCATGCTCATCCATAACATCAAGAACACTCCCAATAAAATTAAAATAATGGTCAATGACAGTACCTGTAGTTTTGATAGCTTTGGATGCACCAGGCAATTCCCGTTTTATTTTTGAGGGAGCCTCATACGGCCACCTTACTTTGACACTGATGACACCAAAAGGTGAAATGGCCTCCCCTTCCCCAATGGCGTCGTTGTCTGTGCCCTTGTTGTGGGCGTTTCGACTATTGCTCTCTCGCCTTTCTTGCGACCAAGCTACTCTTCTTTTCATGTTGATGTGGAATGCCGCTTCATCAATAAAGACACAGTTTCTCTCAAAATCTAGATCCGTCTCTGACCATTTAACTACCCATTCGTATCTCTGCTGGATCTTTTCAGGGGAGTTTCTTTCCGTAGAATAAAAGTATGCTTTTTTTTTTCTGTGATAGAGCGTAATCTTCTGTCATGAACTTGTGAACAGTCGCCCGAGAAACTTTCAGACCATCAAATTGAGTAGTCAAGCCATCTAATGCTTGATCTACTATTGTGGAGGGATTATCATCAAATGTCTGTACAAGGTACTCCTTGTGATTTTCATACAACATTTTCTGTCTTCCTGCTTTTTTTTTTTTTTTAATTTATTCTCAAAATTCTCAACTTCCTCATTATTCCTCTCTTTCTCCTTATCCTCAGGAGATTTTTGTATCTCAAGCTGATCCCTTCTGGAGCCAATTGTATGCCGTTTGGTCAAGGGGATATTTGCTAATTTCGCAGCTTTTCCTGCAGTTAAACCTTTCTCATAAATGTGAAAAAAAAAGAAAATAGATCTTTGACATGACCTTGGTGTCTTTTCCTTGTTTGATCATCTTTAAATCCATTCAGAGTATGACCTTTGCTTTTTACTATTCTTTCCGGCGGCTTCATTTCAGAATGCATTTCAAAGTCAGTGATATCGTCTAAAGGGGCACGCTTCCTCATCCACTTCCATTTGAACCGGTTCACGGTCATTTTCATCCATGGCACCACCCTTTCCGTCTTCAAAAAAAAATATGGAGAGAGACATCGCTTATATATGAAATTTAAAGAAAATAAAAACAATTTCTTTTCATTAAAAGTAAAAGGATGCCATTTTTTTTAAGAAAATTTTTAAACTGTACCAAACTCGATTAAGTTTGTGTGCTAAATCGAATTAGGAAGTGTGCCAAAATGGAAAAAAAAATGTGCCATAAAAAAAAAAAAAAAAAAAAAAAAAAAAAAAGTGTTCCATGTGATTTAAGAAAGAGCGTACTTCATTTTATTTCATTTTATTTCATTTTTCCTTTTGTTGTTTTCAAATGTGTCAAAAGTCTCAATATGAATTTACTCCATTTCAACAATGGGAAATGGCATTCATTTATGCTTTTGCCTCTACTTTCAATCCACAAAAAGAAATCGAACCTAGCTTTTATCCCCTACCAGAGTTTACTCCTCAGGTGCGTGTATAAAATGACCCTTCTTCTTATATTAGATGACACATCTTATAAAAAAAAAATTTAAAGGATTTAGAAGAAGAAATTCAAAAAGAAGAAAGTGAATTAATACATAAAATCATCTGTGCTTCTCTTGGAAATGCTTTAAATCGCAAAAACTATGTTGAGTAAAGTATGCTTTGCATGTGCATATGTATATGTGTATATGTGTATATGTGTATATGTGTATATGTGTATATGTGTATATGTGTATATATGTATATATATATTGTTATCTAATCATGTCTTTTTTTTTTTTTTCTTCATTACATTAGATCATTCAAAAATTCACTACACCAAATTGTAGCAGATAAAATTAAATCATTTGAAATAGATTTAGAAGTGAATCCTTTAAATAAGCAAAATTTTAATTCGTTATCTATTGAACTTAAAGTAAAAATGTCACAAAAAAAAAAAAAAAAAAGTCATGTTGTGTGTTACTTACTTAACTAATCTTCTATAATAAATAGTTATACATTTTACACTCTCTAATAGAATGGCAGTTACAAGATAGCCGAGCTATTAAATCCATTATTGACCACAATAATCAACATACAACAAAAAATCAATCTAATCCTATAAGATCTTCTCCAATTGGTATAGACAGTAAAAAGCGTAAATATTGGCAATTTGGAGGTAAAATGATAGTAGCAGATTTACATATACCCGACCCATAGTATGAAATTAATCAATTTATTTATTTATTTAGAATCTTGTTGGATATGGCGTGAAAAGGCGAATATGAAGGAAAGAAATCAATGGGAAATAGTCTGTAGAAATCGTCAAGAATTAGAAGAATTTGTTTCCTCTTTATCTTCTTCTTCAAATAAATCAGAGAAGGCACTTGTTAAAGTCATTCAAGATGACATTTATGAAATAGCAGATAAAGAAAGACAAAAACGATTACGTAAAGAAAGAGCTGAAATGCGAAAACTGATACCTGTAGAAATTTCAATTACCCCAACTCAATTAAGATCTCGAGGTGATCGAAATAATAGAGTTCGGTATAATTATGATGACGTATATGAACTAGTGGATGAGGATGAGGATGAGGATGAGGATGAATACTATGAAGAGGATAATAAAAGAAGGACAACTGAAGATATCTGTAAGCCTTTACAAGCACCAATCAGATGGAGTAGTCGGTTAAACAGTAATAGACAACAACACATGAATGACAACAATACTGACTTAGTCATAAGTGAAGGTGTGAGTCAGGATCTTACATTATAGATAATAGAGGCTTGTTTATATATATCATATTGCATAAAAATAATAAAATAGGATTCTGTCGTCAATTGCGGAGATTAAATTATTATTATTATTATACAAAAGTAGTGATTGCTTCTTTGGTCCTGCATCCCTTTTTTTTTTTATTGTTATTATCCTATTCGTATACAAGTATATAAACACACACACATATACATACACATATATACATATATATATATATATACGCATATAAATGTTCAGTTGGATAAAAGAAAGAAAAAAGACAATAAAGGCATTATGTGCCATTTTTATTCTATTTTCAACAGTGACAATAGCAGATGAACATGACCATGTGGTAAAATGTTGCTTACATGTTTTTTTTAAAAAAAAAAAATCGCGTCTGAATTATTGAATTATAAATTAGTACAAAGAGGGCGATGAAGTGGTAGTATGGATGAATACAGTTGGGCCTTTGAATAATAGACAAGAAACATATCCTTATTTTCAATTACCGTTTTGTCAAGGCCCACATACTATACAACATCATCATGAAACTTTAGGAGAAGCCCTTCAGGGTATGGATCTTGTCAATTCTGGAATTCCAATTCGCTACTTGAGTAAAATATTTAGAAAAAGATATTTATTATTATTATTATTATTTTTTTTCTAATTTACTTTATTTTCTTAAAAACAAGAAACTGATTCATATCAACCTTATTGTAAAAAGGTACTTGATGCAAAAGATATCGATGTATTAAGATATGCAGTGGATAATCAATATTGGTATACAATGTTTATTGGTAAATAATAAGGGAGATTAGGAGGAATTCAAAAAAAAAAAAAATATATTAATTGGGTATGATAAATAGACGATTTGCCGTTAAATGGTGTTGTAGGCGGAAATGTTAATGAGGGTAAAGAAGATTCCCAAATTACACAAGATCCACATTTTAAACCACTTTATGTTTATACACACAAGAGTTTTACATTTGAATACAACAAAAATCAAGTAAGAAGAGAATATAATAAATTATAATCAGCGAGTAATAGAAGAATACTTACATTTTTTTCTTGAAAAAAAAAAAAAAAAAAAAAAAAAAAAAAAAAAAAAAAAAAAAGATTATTTCTGTTAGTTTACAGCATGCTGCACCTGTCGAGTTAAAATATAATCAAAAATCATTAGAATTAACCTTCACATATTCAGTTGATTGGAACCCTACAGAAGTTGCATTTCAGGATCGGTTTGATAGTTTATTAGAGACAGATTTCTTTGAACATAAAGTAATAGAATGATTCGTTTTTTTTTTGTTTTCTTTATAAAGAACTGTATGCTAATTCTATTTCTTCTTTTTTTAAAAAAAAAGGTGCATTGGCTTTCTATTTTTAGCTCATTTATGATGGTGCTATTTTTGACTGGTCTTGTGTCAGTTATTCTTTTAAGAACTATTAAACGTGATTTTACAAGATATGATCGTGAAGAAGGCCTTACAGACTTTGTAATGATTACTCTAATGAATATAATCTTACTAGCTTTATATTTATATGCTTTATTTTATTTTGTAGGATCGGGATTTAGGTGACGAATATGGTTGGAAACAAGTTCATGGTGATGTCTTTCGTCAACCTCCTCGCCTTATGTTAATGTCAGCTCTGATGGGTACTGGATCTCAACTTGTCATTTTAGCAGCTGTGGTTATCTTGTATACTATATTAGGTGATTTATATGCTGAACGTGCAACTATTCTCACCGCTACTATTTTCTTGTATGCTCTTACTTCATTTGTGGCTGGATATACGAGTGCACGATACTATGCTAGATATGGAGGCAAAGATTGGGTAAAAACTGTAGTCATGACAGCTTGTTTATGGCCAGGTGCTGTCTCATGCATTGGTGGTTTTATTAATGCTTTAGCTATCTTTTATTCGAGTTCACGAGCAATCTCTTTTTATACTTTATTATCTATCGTTGCTCTCTGGATCTTTTTATGTTTCCCCTTAACTTTACTTGGTACAATTGTCGGTCGTAATTGGGGCAGTCAAACAGATTTCCCTTGTCGCGTGAATCCAATCCCAAGACCTATTCCTGAAAAAGTATGGTATGCTGAGCCTTTAATGATTGTCGCCATGGGTGGTATTTTACCTTTTGGTTCTATCTTTATTGAAATTTATTTCATCTTTACTTCCTTCTGGACATATAAGATTTATTATGTTTATGGATTTATGTTCTTGGTCTTTATTATCATGCTAATTGTTAGTGCTTGTGTTTCTATCGTAAGTACTTACTTTTTGTTGAATTCTGAAGATCATCGCTGGTAATACATACTATATAAATATATATAAAAATGTGTGTGTGTGTGTGTGTGTGTGTGTATGTATATATATATATATATATGTATATATAAACTAACAAAAAAAATTTCCTTTTTTCAAGGCATTGGGTTAGTTTTATGACATGCGCCTCTACAGCAGGTTATATCTATATTTACTCTATCTATTACTTTTTTATGAAGACAAAGTAAGCGAGTTATATTTACTTTACGTATTAGGAGGGGAGGGGATTGAAGGTGTATATGTAATCTTTTTTTTTAATTTAGGATGACAGGCATGTTTCAAACTAGTTTTTATTTCGGTTATACAGCCCTTTTATGTTTGGGTATATTTTGTATGTTAGGTATGTCGAACTATAAGTCAATATATAATAAAGACAAAAGAAAAAAAAATATTAAGTATATAAAATTATATTATAGGTTTTGTTGGTCATACGATTGCGAGTCAATTTGTTCGTAAAATATATCAAAATGTTAAAATTGACTAAGAAGATTTATTAATATATTGAAAATCTATCCCCCTTTTTTTTTTTTTTACACATAATAAAAGTAAATTGCAAATAGTGAAGAATGCACTATTATAGCAAAGTTAAATCAGCATACACACACATAAAGATATATATATGCTTTACTTTTTTATTATTATTATTATTATTAAGTAAATTTAATATATTAAAGAAAGTCTCTCTCTCTATACATAAGCATGTTGTAAAAAGAATATATGATGAATATGTATAAATTAAGGTATAAAAAAAAAGAATAAAAATACATTTAAACAGAAAACTCCTCTAATGATGATGCTGCAATAGATAATTCATTTTTGTTTCTTTTTGTATATGAACGACTACTGCCTCTAGATAAAGTAGGCGAATCGCTTTCATTATCTGATTGAATTGATTTTAGTAAATTTTCAGCCAAGATTACAATTGATTCACTCTTCTGTATTCGTTTTTCACGTGGAGTTAAAGACTTTTCTTGATTTCTATTACGTCTACTACTTGTGTCTATATTTCCTTCTCTCAATTTATCTAATAGATTATCCATGATGTTCTTATCTTCATCCATTCCTAATTGATTTGCTGTATCATTAAAGTAAAAATTAGGGAAAATATACAAAAAAAAAAAAAAAAAAAAAAAAAAAAAAAAAAAAATTATCATCATTATATTACCATCACTGGTATCAACACCACGAAGTCGTTGTGCCTTTATTTTCTCTATGCGTGCTTCCTCAGCTCGTCTTGCCTTTTCCATAGTTTCAAGCTTCTTTTTAGCAGATACATTATCGCTCATAGCACGCTATAAATAAATAAATAAATAAATATGATATTTATATATTAAAATTATTTACCTCCCAACTTGATGTAAATGTCTTGAAGATGCCAAAGAATTCATCTGGCTTCATTTGATCAGGATTTTCACCATAGTAGCTTACAACATCTCTGTAAGCTACATCCATAGATGTATATCTAACTTCAAGTTCTTCAAACTTTTCAATCGCTTCATTTCTGAAGTTTCTCATTATTTGTGCATAATTGTCGCCTTCTTCTGTATTTTCGTCCTCATCTTCTGTTTCTGGATAATGATTATCTAGTTCCTGTATTAATTTCTGTAGACCCACACGAATTTCATTATACTCTTTAACCATATCTTGTAACGTAACTATAGAAAGAGTAATAATTAAAAAAAAAATAATAACACAATATATATATATATATATATACCTTTGCAAGCATTGCCACTTTCTTGAAGATCATCCAAGAAATGATGAAGACGAGGGATTTTAGATTCAACAGAATCCACCAAGAAATGAAGTAAAGTAGTATTGCTCTCTGTTCCTTTAGTATCAACCAACTATGAAATATATTAGATTATTTCCTATTTTTTTTTATCTAAAAAGATTTTTTTTTTTTTACCTTGTTGATGCTTGCTATACGAATACCAAAAGCGCCTCCTTGAAAAGTAGTTCCATTCATAAAGTTGCCCATAACTAGAATGAACTTTTTTTTTTTTTTTTTTTTTTAGATAATTGTGCTTAAATACATATTTATATTCGGCAGATTACCTTTAATAACTCTTTGAATGCTTTTGACTCTTTCAGGGCAATAGAAGCTTCCAAGACAGATTTCATATTCTAAATATATATCCTTATTGGGTCAATATAATTTCTTTAAGAAAAAAGGGGAAAAAAAATACAAACTTACTCGAGATAACTGTTGATGTTTCTCTGCAAATGTAGCACGGAATAGCATATTGTCTATTCTTTCCTTATATCGATCAATTTTTAACATCTATTAAAAGAGAAAATATATATATATATATATATAAGCCTTTTGGTTTTATACATACATAATATCACCTAAAATTTACCTCAACGCAGAAGCTGTCAGGTTTGGATAATTGCTCCAACTCTTCCTCTGAGGCACTCTTAACAAATACAGACAGTTTGCCTTGTTCTTCTGCTGTAGGTACATTAGCTTGCAAATGAATCAAAAGATTTTCTGTAAGGATATCATCTTCTACAGCTAAAATTGCTTTTCGAACCTCTTCAAATGTATAACGTTTCAATTTTGAAAGTAAAGCGATGTTAATATTATATGCCTTTTTAGGATCTAAGATACGAATTTCTTGTCTCTTCTCCTTTATCACTCGTTTCTTGCTTTGAATCACCTTTTGCGCGAATAATTCTTCAATAGAATTAAAGATTCCTAACTCATCAAGTTCATCTTCTAATGCCATTTCATCAATATCATCAGATCCCCAAATTGTTTTGCCCACAAAGTTGGCTTGAAGTTTAGTCCATTGAAGTGCCCTTGTCTTCACATTAGGCTGATGACGAATCACTTTACGAGTTGGTGCAGAAGGTGCAACTGGGGCATTCAATGTTCCAGGAAGAGGTGGGGGTGGAGGTGGTACTGCATTAGAACCAGGTGGTGGAGGTGGCGGTGGGGGTGGTGGGGGTATTTGACCATTTGAAAAAGAAGATGGCGGTGGTGGGGGTGGAGGAGGAGGTGGGGGTGGTATAGTTCCATTAGTCATTGGCGGTGGTGGTGGCGGTGGCGGAGGTGGAGGTGGTATAGCTCCATTAGTCGTTGGTGGTGGTGGAGGTGGTGGCGGTGGTGGGGGAGGAGATGGTATATTTTGGTTTTCTGATTTTTCAGATTGTAATGTTGATAATGATATTTGTGGTGGTGATGGTATATCAGTAGGTGGTTGATTATTTACAGTTTCGTTTGAAACATTATTTTGTTCGTCTGATTGTATCAATTGTTTTGAAGGCTTAAAATTAGGTTCAGAGGAGTTAATAGTGGTAGTTGATTTGTCAGCAGAGGAAAGTAGAGTTGAATTATCCTTATTGCTTTGCTTTTTCAATTTAAGTTCCAATTCTGCAGCCAGTGCACTAATTGGTTTATCGGAATAATCTTCTGGTATGTTATTTGAAATCTCATTAGATTCTTCACTTAAAAGTTGATCTACTTGGTCTTTAAGCTCGATACTCATCTTTATGCCATCTTTATTATCATTATTAAGTTCTGCTGAAGAGGCATCAGATAACCAATTCTTTCTTCCGCCAGAAACAGGAACACGGCGAGTTGATCCAATTAGAGGAGCTGTTCCAGGAATAACAAATTCAGTCGGTCCACCACTAAGTTGTCCTAGTAGAGATGCTTTGAAACTATCTGACAATCCCTCTGCTCGGGGAATATACTCCTTTGATAATACGACAATAAGTATCTGATTATTCTTTACAAGTGTTTTTTTTTTCATTATTCCTTTTTCAGTTTATTACTTACTTCTTCATTTTGTCCTGGTTTTCCTTCTAAAATGGCTTGTGCTTTTAGACGATCGTATGCCTTCGTCACTTCCTCTCTACCTAACACAAAGTGGCCATTTTGGTCATCTTCAACAATTCCATCTTTACGATTAGCATCGATCGCTTTTGTATAAATCTGCCTTAATTGTTGATCTAGAGCTGCAATATTCATTTCATATTCATGTTGAATATCCTTCAATTTCCGTTGTAGGGTAGATATAGTATGACGTGACATACGTAATAAATCCTCCAGCGAGTTTGTTTTATCTCGCAATATACCGATCAAACCATCCTCTTTTAAATTAATTTCAGTTTCAAGTTCCTGTTTCTCTTTAATAGCTTTTTCATACATTTTTTTTGTTTCTTCCGCCTCCTTTAGGGCAGCATTTAACTGATCTTGTTCGGCAAATTTATCAATCAGCATACCAACTGACCAAACCACACCTGATCCTGAAAAACTATCATTTTCAATTCCTTTTCGATCCATTACAACTTGTGTAATTAACTTGTCTATAATTTGGAAATAACGAACTCTAATGTGTGTGTGTGTGTGTTTTGGGGAGGGGTTATTAAATATATTTACGCAACACTAATTTTTATTTTTTATTTTTTTTCCTACTTACTGAATATCACCTTGAGCTTGTACCATAAGAAGATGTTGAAGTGCACTTAAGAAAAAGTTATAACTTCGAGTACCCTCTACTCTTTCCAAAATACGTTCAAAACAAGCACGAGGATCATTCATACTGGTCAGCATAGTTTCATTATAAATGTCCATAATCTCATCCACATCATTTTCGCACATTTGCCTATAGATATTGATATGGCGTTTAAGTTGCTCGTTATTAAATTGCATCATTTTTTCCATAATCGAATCTAATCCACTCGCATTCAACTGATTACGAAGATGAACACGAATCTCAACATCTTCAATAACTGTAACGAGAGAATTGACTAACATCATATTGGATAAAGCAAAATCACTTAAATGACTATCGGGTGCACCACTTCCTGCTAATCGTTTCACATCTTCACTTGCACCTACTAAGCTTCCCATCTTTCCTCTTCCATCTAATGTTGCTTCTAATAACTTTAACCAGGCATCAAATCTACCAAATTCACCAAGATGTTCACTTAATTTATCTAAGCCCTTGAGTACAATATCTTGCCCCTTTGGTAAATCGACATGGCATACAAAAGCTAAAATTTCGCAGACTAATTTTCGTGTTTGAATAGGAGGTGATACAAGCGATAATACAATACGAAAAACGCATTGAGGATGTGAAATAACTTCTCCGGCGCCCCACTAAAAAAATAAATAAATAAATAGATAGATAGATAAATAAACTAGCTGATACTAAAACAAAAAACAAAAAAAAAACAAAAAAAAAAAATACTCAACTCTATTATTAATTAATGATTTAAAGCATTTTAAAATTTCAGCTTCCATCTGCAAGTCCGATTCATTTCTACCAAAAAAAAAAAAAAAAAAAAAAATCAGTTTTTTTCATAACACAAATAAATTAAAATCCCCTTACTTTTGATCCCTTATATTGATCACATCAAGAACGCTTGTGATAATTTGTATGCCTTTCAGTTCTATAAACTTCCTCACCCAGCTTAAAGACATTGTTCTTAAACTTACGGCTAAATGGGCAATTAGACGTGGAGTGACACCTTTCGTATCGGGTTCCGATAATTTTTCAATATAAAACTCAGGAGAATTTTTGTCTACTGAAGTTATTGGAGTAGAATTATGATGATGATTCTCTTTATTTGAGTTATTTCCAACATTAGTACTAGCAGATGAAGAATTCAGTGTATTCAAATTTGAAAAGTTGGCTTGCTTATCTTGGGATATCATCAACCATTTCTTTTCAGTTGAAAAGTCTAACATAACTGAACGTGCTGCATTATCACGAATACCTCTTCGTGTCTACATGCATATACGTATATAAAATTACATAAATACATATTTATTAATTTTTTTTTAATTCATTTATATTTTGCATACCAGCATTTTTTCAAACATGTCTTCTATCTCTGCTTCACTATATCCATTATAATCTACTAAACTTTTATGAGAATTTACTGTTATCAGATTCAAAAAAAAAAAAAAAAAAAAAAAAAAAAGAGAGAGAGAGAAAGAAAGAAAGAAAGAAGGATAATTAATATGTAGGAAATTTGATGAAACTATAAAAACTTACGTCGATTGCTACTTATGCTTACGTTGGTAAGATAGGATCCATCATTTGAAATGGAGGAAGATCGAGAAGAATAATTCCAGGAAGTGGAAGGAGGAAGTGAATTTTTTTCACCAGGTGTTGAAGTATGTCTTGGTAAACTAGGTATTAAAGTTGAATCCCCTTCTTTCCTTTTATTCTTCTTTGTTATACTAAATATCTCCATAAAAAAAAAAGATAAAAGTTTTATGAAGAAGGAAAAAAAAAAGTGAAAAGGAAGAAGTTATTGAAAGTACAATAAAATGTATTTATTAGGAATTTCATTAATTTGAGGGAAAAAAAAAAAAGTCGGCTTCTTAAAATTGTTACTGAAAACATTTATTTTAAAAGCTTTGTTCAATTTCATTATTATACTTTAAATTAAGACACTGTCAGTATTTCAGACGAATTAAAATTAAATTTTAAATATTAAACTAACCTTTTTTGGACAAAAAGAGAGAGAATAAAGTTTGGACTCAAGAAATTAGATTTTAGACAAATATTATATGAAGATATCTTGAACTATTTTTCTTTTTCTTTTTCTTTTTTTGTACATCATAAGCTACCATACGACATATTTTTTTTAATTATCACCATTAACCGTAGATACTTTCCTTTATATATAGAATTTACCTTTATAATCATTTTTGTCGACGTGTCCTGCTTCATAGCAGTTCTATCTATATGTAATTTATCAGGAATTATATACATATATTATTAAGAGCTTCTAGCCTTTGAACGGATCATTTATGTCCTCTGTCAGCCTTCTTTCGTTGAAAATCAGTTTTTTTCTTTTCCCCCTTTTCAAACGGTGTTTTTGAGTATGTTGAAGATTTTGTTAGAGTTAATAAAAAGAAGAAAAGAAACGTAAATTGAATCAATCCTCTCTGATATCTTAAGGTTGGAGTCGTCTTATGATGTATAGTTTATTTCGAAAGCTCCCCTTAACTTATACTACATTTGATGTACTTTATATATATAAAATGATACCAGCCTGTGTATAATTGATAAAGTATTTACGTGATATTTGATTAAGCTTTCTTTTTAAAATCATTAAATTGATCAAGACCTTACCTTAAATACGACAGATGTATTTCTGAGTCGCTAATATGATGTAATATCATGTTAGGCGGAACATCAAAGTATAAGTTTGCTGCTGCATGTATAAACCCACTTATACGAGATGTATAATTGGAGAAAACACGAGACTTATTTCTCATCAAATGTCTATTACTAAATTTAACTTTTTTTTTTTTTTTAATTTATCAAATCATAGCCTTATAATTCTACACATCCATGTCTAAAACACACTTTCTTTTTTACCAGTATGATTTTCGCAAGTAAAATCGATTTTTTTTTTTCGCGAATCAAATTTTATTTATTTAAAGAAAAAAGAAAGAAAGAAAGCCTAGAGTCTGTCTCAAATTACAGTTATCATAAATACGATATGAATATGTATACAAATATAATCTCATTTTTATTCGGATATCGTAATTTCCCTGAAAAAAAAAAAAAAAAAAAAAAAAAAAAAAAAAAAAAAAGCTCTACTTTTTCTTTTTTTTCTTTTACTAGGTTTCACTTCTCTATGACTTAATTCCTGGTTACTGTCTTGTTTTATAATCACTTGTATTAGAATATATTTAACAAGTTATAAGCTATTTTCTATTTATAAATAAAACAGTAATTTTGGGTTCTTTATAAAATAAAGCTTACTTTTGCAGAGGCTTTTGATATAAAAATTACTCTATCTGATTTAATGACAGAAATCCCTATTTACCATTTTTGGAAACCTTTCATAAGAAAAAAGAACATGATACGACGTAAATTTTACATATTTATTTCATTTCTTTATATTTGCATATTCTATTTATATATTCATATATAAATACATATATATACATATATATCCAAAATACAAGCCAATATACCTATGGACATTAAAAGAGAAACAAATAAAGATGAAAAGAGTTTATTAGCAGTTACAGCAAAGGGAGCATCCTATCTTATTTTATTACAGTTTATATCACGCATGTTAACTTTTTTACTAAATCAAATTGTATTACGTTATGTATCGAAAGCAACATTTGGCATTGCATCTGTTAATCTTGAACTATTAGCGTCTACTATTTTATTTATTTCTCGTGAAGGTTTCCGTTCTGCTTTAATTCGATCGAGTAAAAAGCCTCAAACTATCTTAAATCTTGCTTACATTCCAACCTGTTTTGGTGTTATTATCACTTTTTTAACCTGTATTTATTATTTATCCACTATTTCTGAGGAAGAGGCATTCCGTTTCCCTTATTATCGTATGGCTGTCTTGCTTTATGGAGCTGCTTCATTTTTAGAATTGACAGTTGAACCTTTATTTGTACTAGCATTGAATCATCTTCATTTTCAATTACGAGTTACTGTAGAAGGTGTAGCAGTGATTGTCAAATGTCTAGTCACCTTTAGCTTGACCATTTATTTTGCAGGCAATGAAGAATATAGCATTTTGGCCTTTGCTATTGCTCAATTCGTATTTGGTTTTATTATGATGATGGGTTATTTAGGATTTTTTTTATATAAAGAAAAGTCATTTCAGAAGCTATTACCTCATCAAATAGTAGAGGAAGAAGGACATGAGTAAAGTGGAAAAAAGAAAAGAAAAGAAAAAAAAAGGAACGAGAGAGAGAGAGAGACAGAGACAGAGAATTATCTGCTTGTACATGTATTAAATTAAATTGTAAACTATAGGAAATATTGGTTTGATAAACAATTACTTCACTTGGGAATAACAATGACAAAACAGTCGTTCTTGAAACATATTCTGACAGAAGGAGACAAAATGCTGATTTCAGTGTTAAGTTCGGTTCAAGATAGAGGAGTCTATGCATTTGTAGTCAACTATGGTTAGTTTTAATTGCGTAGAATGAATGAATATGTTTGATATTAACATGATTTCTTTAGGATCTTTAATTGTACGTATTTTATTTCAACCTTTAGAAGAAACTGGACGAACCTTCTTTTCTCGACTCTTACTTTCTACAGAGAAAGTAAAAAAAGAAGACTGTAAGATGGCAGCCAATGTACTATTGATATTAATTAAATTTCACGTATTATTGGGATTGTTATTCATCTGTTTTGGAACTAATTATACTTCGACACTCATTGATCTTTTGGTGGGTAAAAAATGGTCATTAGGAGAAGGGAATGCGCCTGGAGTATTAGCGATGTATTGTATATATGTGCCCTTTATGGGTATTAATGGTATAACAGAAGGATTTGTACAGGCAGTTGCTAGTAAAAAAGACTTGACAAGATTAAGTTATTATATGATATTCTTTTCTACTTGTTTCATGTTATCTGGATTTATTTTCATGTATATATTACAGTTAGGAGCCAATGGACTTGTGATAGCCAATATGGTTAATCTCGGTGTTCGTATTAGTTATAGTTGGTATTATATTCGAAACTATATGAGTAGTAAACAGGTTACACTTTCTGTATATCAATGGTTTCCACATGTTGTAACCTTATCCTCATTTGTATTGGCTTGGTTTGTTACCTATTGGTCCAAAAATTATATAGGATGGTACACATTTAAACAAAAAGTAATGCATATCACAGTTGGTGGAATATGTTTTTTATTTATTAGTTTAGTCATGTAAGTATTTTAAAGAAAAAGAAGAGAAAAAAAGAAAAAGAAAAAAAGAAAAAAAAAAAAAGAAAGAAAGAAAAAAGATTTTAATTGCATTTATTATAGATTTTGGAAAGAAAAAGGGTTAATAAATGAAATAAAGAAAATAAAAAAATCAAAGTAGTTGTAGTAACTACCCTAATGGAAACACAAAGATTTTCACTAACTTTAAAAAAAAAAAAAAAGAAAAAAAAATCAAGTTAACTTTCTTTATAGAAACAACAGTAATAATGATGATAGCATAAAGAAAGAAAAAAAGAAAGAAAAAAGGGGAAATAATAAAACAAGTCAAATTTACTTAATTGTAAAGAAGACAGAATAGAAAAAAGTCTGTTTATGGGCGGTGGTAGCATTAGTTGCTGTAGTACAAATTATGAATGACTTTTCCTTCCTTTCCTCATTAAACTAATATAAATTTCGTCCTTTTTTTTTTTCTTTTTATTTTTTTCCTTTCTTTTCTCTTTTTATTACATATTTTTTGTTTGTTCCCCTTGTCAATCCTTTTATGTTATTCATTCACTTGTTTTTTATTATTACCTTTTCTATGGTAAATGCGGTACCCATGACTGCTATTACTGATCATTTATCACAGTCAACAGAGATTGGCTTTCTCTTGACTGACAGTCTTTCAGAATATTATGAAAGTATTGTAAATCAAGTTATGCTTGACGTAACAGAAGATGTATTATCTTATGTTCCAAAATCAATTTATTATGATAATATAGAAGGTATATTTTATATAGATAGATTCAATATGTATTTAAATGCAACATACTCACCTTTATTTTATTTTTATTTTTACTTTTTTTTTTTCAGGACGCCAATCAGCTCAAAAATCAATGACTCGTAATTTGAATTTTATGCGTGCAAGTTTATTAGCATCTATAAACCCACTTGTTTCAACAGATATTCCTCAAATTAATGAATTTATTCAAGTTCAAAATCAATATAAAAAGGCAACAAAAGAAGAACAACTAGGTCCTATTCTATTAGATGCCATCTTGTCTTTAAATAAAAAGTTAAGTCATCAACTAGGCTTGATTGTAAATGCAGAGCAATCTTCTTCTATTCTGTTACGTCAAGCAAGCGCTCAATTTATCAAAAATAATCAACCTAATTTAGATTCTTCTTCAACAATTACTGTTGAATGGAACTTGCGTAAACCTTTCCAAATCAATGTTTTCCAAGAAAAGAAGGCAGTACAACCACAAATAATTAATCTTGAAATTGAATGGCTCTACAATCAACTCTCTTTAGTTGAAACTAATTTGCTGAATGAATTTAATGATCGTATAGAAGAAGCAATTGATTTAATCATCGAAGCTTTATCTTATGATATCTAAAATAATACCCCTCTCTCCTTCTTCTTTTCTCTCTCTTTCCCTTCTTTACAATTATTTATATTTATTTTTACTCCTCGTTAACAATAATTGTTGTATTTATTATTTCTTGGATTTTTCTATTATTTTTAAAACCATAAACTTACGCTAAAACTTGTTTCTAATGATTTTACAAAATGCCACCATTTTGGCTAATATATACATGATATTAATTTATTTATCTATTGTTAATACATATGGACTTACCGGTATATACAATACTTCGCCTTCTTTTAATACACATTCAACATAATTAACTTCTTTGAAAAGTGGGAATTGTTCCTCATTAACATCTTCAACATCAACCTAAATGGAAAAAAAAAAAAAAAAAAGTCATTGTTGAATACTTATTATCATTCTTCTTCTTTTTTTATTATTTACCTGACTGGTATTTGTCATTAAACCCTCTCTTGGATAAACAAGTGATGTTTGTTGAGGTGAAATTAATCTCAAATATTTACTTCCAACCACTTGACAAAGTAAATTATGATAAGGATCTTGATGTAAAGGTGAAATAGTACCTTTAGGCCCAAACCATGCATTCTTAATCACGTCTTCTGCATGAGAGAGATATAATTCGTTCAAGTTGGGTTTAATATAACAATAATCGGGTATAAGAATATCCTTCTCTAAGCTTGGTATTTGATAAAATAGATCATGTTGTGCTAAATAAGCTGGCACCTTTTCCTTTTCTTGTTTCAGAATATGTCTATTCACAAAATCTGAGAAACGCATCATCGTTTGTTGCCAGTTTGAATCTGTATATTGACTACCAATTTCAATAGGAACTACTCTATCTGCAGCAATGGATAATAGATATTCTACTGACCCCCAAGGATGTTCATTAAAAGCTGGCCAATGGTCAATGACTCCACTAGGAATAATAAAAGGTGTTGGTACATCTTGATTACAGTGTTCAAGGAAAGATTCAAAACTTGGAGGCTCATCAAGACGTTTAATCGGATAGTTTAATTCTACAGTACTCGATTCCTTATTAGAATTCATTTTTTTACTTTTCTTAAATACAGGAGCTGTATCCTCATATCGTCCATTTGTAAGCCAAGCTTGAAGTTCATTTAGAATAGAAAGGGCCATTGATCGGCGTTGAGGTCCAGGTGATCCACTTACAATTGAGCATGTATCTAAATCGCTTATAATGCTTTGTACTTGAGGCTCCAACATTTTAAAATCAAATGCTTTATTTGCATTATTCAAAATGGATTTAAGTTGAATCAATACTTTAAGTAAACCAGCATCCATTACCATCCGTCTCCAGTATATAGGAACATCTTTGAAATGGTATATTAATATAGCCTCATTACAATAATCTGTTAGAGCAGTTGCTTTTATTAAAAAACTATCGAAATCAGTTGTATCTGTTTTCAAGATGGCTTCAAGTGTTGATTCAAATAAAGAATGAACAGAGGCTCCACATGATTTAAGGTCTAATAACAATAAAAATAGACTCGGAATTAACAAAATACTCAAACTTTGCCTTTCTTTTTTTTTTATTTATTTTTATTGCACCTTCTCTTTTTTCTTTATCCTCAAGTAATTCAGATAAAGCGTCGTATAAGTCTTTGAATTTTTGAAATTGTATTAACATTGAAACTACTATGTTATGTCAAAAAAAAAAAAAAAAAAAAAAAAAAAAAAAGAAAAAGAGAGACAGGCTAATCTGAAAATGAAAAAAATTGATATCTTCTAGATTTTTTTTTTTTTTAATACAACAACTATACAAATAATGAGATAAAATAAAATCCCCCTTAACGCTTGACCCAGGTATACTTTGCACGAGCCTTTCTTTGACCTTCTTTCTTACGTTCAACCACTCTAGGATCGCGAGTAATACAGCCAGCTATAATTTTATATATACGAATATATTAAATAACCTTAAATCATAAAAATAGAAAAGTGATAACTTACCTTTACGTAAGGTAGGCTTCAATTCACTATTATGAATCAATAAAGCCCTACCAAGACCCAGCTTAATAGCCTGTGCTTGACCTTATAAATAAATAAATAAATAAATAAATAATCAGCTTGGTTTCCTTCTAGACGTATTAGATTCAATATATTTACCTGTACTTCCTCCTCCCTTTACAAGAATCCATGCATTGTATTTATCCTTGGTCTCTGTCACATCTAATGGTAAAGTCACTTCATTTCTGTCAACCAATCTTTGAAAATAGTCATTCAACTCGATACCATTCACAAGAATCTTGCCTTCACCTTCAACCAGATAACAATTAGCACGTGATTCCTTTCTACGTCCAACTGCAAAGGCACGACCCATATCATCTAGAGTGCGAATCTTGCTGTTTCCTACATCTTGACTAGTAGCATCAAATCGTTGATAAGGTTCTAAAATGTTGGCTACAGCAGGAGGTAAGGGTTTAGGAAGTGATGCAAGCATGTTTAGGTGGCCCATAATCTTTCTCCATTGTGATGTAGTGAGAGGAATACTTAAATGCTCTGACATCTTGTCTTTTGATTTCCAAGAATACGTGATTTCATTCTGTGTTGCTTTGACAACAGCTAACTCAGAGGGTAATTCAGCATCTATTTTCTTTGTTTCTGGTTTCCAATCTTCAAATTGCTTATAGAGTGCATCGAGCTCAATTAAAAGATCGTTATACTTGAAATTGCCTGTAAAATAAGATAATGATTCGGGTTTATCTCTATATTGAAGAATATCATCTTGTTGTTGATTATGTTGGTAATAGGTGGATGCCCCTCGTTTTGTGAAAACAGAAGATATAAGTGGACGATTAAAAAGTTGTGTTGTAGTATTTATTGATAAAGCACGAGTTATTTTTAATATTCTAGACATTTCAGCAATGCTACTAACAAAAGTTTGTGTATAAAAAAAAAAAGAAAAAAAAAATGATACTTTTATTTAATCAGGCCCCTTGACAGTTTTTTTATTATAATAACAATTATTGTTATTTCTATCCTCTGTCTTTTGGTTCTATTTTTTAACCCCCCGCAATTTTTATTCTTTTTTTTTTTTATTTTTTTTTTTCTCAAGATTAATAATAGCTGTGTGTATTGAATGATATAGATAAACTTGATTATATAATATAATCTTAAGGTGAAAGATTACATAATATATCATCTAGACCCTTTATTATTATTATTATAATTCACGTTTAACGTATTTCATAGCTTCAATATCTACTACAATCTTATCACCTTCATTTACAAATTCAGGTACTTGAAGTTTAGCACCATTTGTTAAAACGGCAGATTTGTAAACAGTGCCTTTTGCAGCTTGTCCAGCACGATTAATGACGGATTGAACGGTAAATGTATAATTTGAAGGCAACTTGAAAATGCAAGGCTGTCTACCATTTTCAGGGGTTGTTAAGAAACTGACAGTAACAGGCATCGAATCTGAAAATAGAATAAACAATCATAGTCTCTTTGTGCATCTATATATTCACCATACCTTCTAACATATTAACCGATCGTTCTCCTCCTTCACATCTTGACATATCCATCTCTATTTCTTCAAAGCTTTCAAGATTCAATAAATGCACTTTATTACCTTCTGAATACAAGTATTGATATGCTTCTTCAGACAAGTTCAAGACTTTTTTTTTTAAAAAGGAAGAAAAGAAAAGTGAAAGTGAGAGTGAGAGTGAGAGTCATGTTGGTTATATTCAAAAAGGTGATAGACACTTGATATATACATACTTTCTAAACTATCCCCAGATTTAAAGCGCTCATTTGCTTTGACATTTGACAAGATATCTTGTAATTCCATCTTTATATGTCAACTCTTTTTAATACTGATTCTTTTCTTTTATATATAATAATAATAATAAAGGGTTCGCTAACAGTACCTTAACTATAGCACCGCCTCTACCAGTTGATACATGGTCTCTTGTCAATACTTTCCAAGCTTTATCTTTATATTGTACAATTTGTCCCTTTTTAACAGACCCAACACTTAATTTATAAAAGCGTTTAGTTGTATATGGTAATACTAAGCGGGATAATGGCTGATTCCATCTATGAATCATTGCTTGTTTGGCTAAAGTAAAACAAGTAGTAGATATCATATAAAAGTAGAAAGAGAAAGAGAGAGAGAGAAAAAAATAAAATATGCAGTATTCAAAAAAAGAAAAAAAAAGCTGAGCTTTAACAATTATTGAAACCCCAAAGTAATAATAATAATAACTGGAAAGAGAGGGGGAATGTTTTTTTTTTTATTCATCACTCGTTAACTGACAATTTATGGTTCCTTTTATCATTTTGCATGAGCTTGTCTGCAAGTAAGCATATATTTATATTTAAAAAAAAAAGGGTCTTTTAATATATTCACATATAACTAATAAATTACATATCTTGTAATTGTGTCTTTATCATCTTATAAATGTAGTATTAAAATGATATAAATAAGTATTCTTTTCTTTTTTTTTTGAAAATGATGTGCATAGATTTAAAATAGGATAATGATTGCTTGTAGTTATATAGATATGTGTGTATGTGACTTAGTTTTTACTGTTTATTTTCTTAGCAGTAGGTACTCTACAATTGTTGACCTATGGAGACAAAAATAAGTAATTTGTAGATTATATAAATATACAAATAATGTCTTTACCTTTTGTGCAAATCTTAAAGAACAAAGGCTTTCACCAAAGTGTTCAACTAAAGGAGACATATTAACAAACATTAATGTTTTACAGTTACCTCCTAAAATAAAGTACAATCTTAGTTTTTTTTTTTTTCGTATATATATATTTATATTACCTAGTGAATTTTGAAGTAAATAGGTTAGCTTTGAATTTCGATAGGGTACAAATCCATTATCATTCTTTTTGTTCACAAGAGCTTGGATTACATCACCAAGGCAACTTAAACTTTTATTAATCGCTTGAGTTTCACGAAGACGATCACCCACTGATCCAGAAACAGCTAATCTTTCTGAACCAGCTAAATCAATTAAATTCAAGACACCCTCTGTAGTCTCACCTGTCACTTCATTATATCCATTAAGTCGTAAGGTAAATACACTATGACTACGAGAAGATCTTTCATTTAAATTTGTAGCACCTGTGGCACGGTTTTGTGTCGCTTTTTTAAGCATCATTTTCAACTTGGCAGGAGAATCAAGTTGAACACGAGTCATATTTGTAACTGACGTCTTGCCTGTTCCACTATCATGATGAATTTCATGTTTAATTTTGCCATAATTAAAAGTGTCTCCAAGTAAATCATGAATCACTTCATTATATATTTCTAAAAATTGTCCTTCCATTGTATATTTCCAGCCAAATTGATTTAGCTTTTGAGCAACATCATATATTTGACTTACGGCACGAGGAATCATACCAGTCGTTTCTTCATTTGATAAAGAAGGACCTTGCATGGTATAGGTTTTACCACTACCAGTTTGACCATATCTAAAGGGGAGAAAGATGACATTGTTTAATTAAATGAATCGAATACTTTATTTTGAAAAGAAAAAGAAAAGAAAAAAAAAAACTTACGCAAAAATAGATACATGAAAACCATCTAGAGAAGATTGGACAAGCTGTTCTATTTCTTCATAACATTCCTTTTGCGTAGATTCTGGAGAAAATACTCTATCAAAGGTAAATGTATGTGTTTTGGTTGTTACATTTCCTAGCGTAGAAGACATTTTTTCGACAAGTTCTATACTTTCATTATCTTCACCAAAATATCTTATAGATGCCACGTCTTTTTTTGTATCTATCATATATAAAGGAACAGGTAAGAAATGAATACTACTACTTTTTTTTTTTGATTATAGACATGTTACCTAAAGCAGGACGAACACGACAGAATACTCTAATATTGCCCTTTAATTCTTGAAGTTTATCGTGATAGCTTCTTCGCTTTCTTTCATCCTCTAGTAATTGACGTTCAAGCATTGCCATATATTTATGTTTTTCTTCTTCAACTTCATCAAGTCTCTTACACTCTTCATTATAATTATTTACACTCGCAGAAAGATTCTTTATAAATATAATAAAATAAATAAATGGTTTTTTTAATGACTACACTACTTGTTCTTTACCTCTTTTTGCTCTCGTTTTGCGTTTAAAAATTGATCGATTTCTTTAAATTCTGATTCAAGTTTTTGTTTTGCTAATATCAAGTTCTCATTTTCTTTCTTTTCAATACTAAAGGAATTTATAGTCGCTGTATAGTGTTGTTGATGTGTTTCAAGTTGTGCTTCAAAAGTGGATAAACTAGATCGAATTCTTACGTTTTCATCAAGTAAAGATTTATTTTTTAATATAAATTTCTGCTTTGCACGATTTATTTCTTCTTCATATCTTACTTGGTTTATCTAACAGGAAAAAAGCAAGTCAAAAAATGAAAGAAATCCAATACGTTATTTCTCTTTACCTTCAAGTTATCTTCAAGTTCAATTACTTTTTCTTTTGCTTCTCGTAATAAAGACTCTTTACTTTCAACACTTGATTGTAAATCATTTTGAAGCTTTTCAATTTCACTAACTGAGAAAAATATATCAATAACACTATTATTTTATAAACATTGAAAAAAAAAATAGAATCTCACTTTCTTCATCTTGTTCATTCAGTTGACTTTGAAGTTTATTTAAATATCCTTTTGTATCCCAAGAAGGTATAGCTTTGGGTAAACTCTTGGCTGTTACTTTAGAGGAAGCATCTGCTTTAAATCGTTTCAGATTTCTTGACGAAGCTAAACCAGGTGATTTATTTCTTTGTTGATTACGAACTGTATGACTCGATGTAACTGATGAACTTGTACTTGTAGAAGAATCAATAGAAGAAGTGATCGATGCTCTTTTTGCATTTTCTGTTGATCGGCTTGCGATAGTTGAACGTACTGGAATTCGTGGTGATTGATTTGTTTTAATACGAGACTTTACTCTTCGTGTGATATCTGATGTATCCACGTCTGATTTTCTTTTGATTACTTGTCCATTTTCATTTTTAGTGTTGTCAATGTTCATTTTTTATTCGTAAGAAAATGGGAAAAAAAAAAATAAGGGGAACAGAAAATGAAATTAAGAACGCTTTTTTTTTTTTTTTATTTAATATTTGAATGTCCGTTTTTTTTTTTTTGGCTTGATTCTTTAGGCACAACCAATGTTAAAGATGTTAATCATATCTAATAATATTAAAAGCTATCATGTCTTTTTATTTTCTTCATACTATGATTATCATTAAAAAAAAACAGGCGAAATTTTTACTGTTGAAATTCAACTTCTTTATTTATTTTTGTCTATAGATAGTAGTAGTAGTAGTAGAAATAGCAGAAGCAAATCTAAGTGCTTATTATTATAACAGGATTCAGTATTTCTACTTTTATTGATTGTATTTCTCTTTTTTTTTTTTTAAGCCACTTACTACTATTGCAATAAGTATATGTTGTCGGGGATTAATATGTATTAGATAATAGTTCTATTAATTTTCATTTCCCTTTTTTTTTTTCTCTCTTTTATAATTTTAAAATAAAAAAGGATGGCTGATTTGAGTAAAGACGTCCAGAATTTGAAATTAGAAGGAGAAGCCGTTAAGGTTGCTCCTGTGGATGCACCTAAAGTTGCTGCACAAAACGTCACACCTTGGGAAGTTGAAGGCGCTATTGTAGACGGTGTTCAACAAGCTATTGATTATAACAAGCTTATTGAGCAATTTGGTACTAGACATATCGATGATGCTTTATTAGAACGTTTTGAAAAATTAACTGGACGTAGACCTCACATCTTTTTAAGAAGAGGCACTTTCTTCTCTCATAGGTAAATTGCATGTTAATGAGAAAGAGTGAAAAAAAAAATAAAAAATTTTTTATCGCGAAAATTATCTAATTCTTGTCATTTTTTTTTAGAGAGCTTAATGTCATTCTCGATCGTTATGAGCAAAAAAAGCCTTTCTTTTTGTATACCGGCCGTGGTCCTTCTAGTTCTTCTATGCACTTGGGCCATATGGTTCCTTTCATCTTTTGTCAGTAAGTGAGATGTTGATGAGATGAGAAAAGGAAGAAGACAATATATTCATTTTTTTTTTTTTTTTGTATAATAGATGGCTTCAAGACGTTTTTGATGTACCTATTGTTATTCAATTGACAGATGATGAGAAATTTTTATTCAAACCTAATTTGACAGTTGAAATGTGCCAACAATTTGCTTATGAAAATGCAAAGGATATTATTGCTTGCGGTTTTAAGCCTGAAAAGACATTTATTTTCTCCAATTTTGATAATGTTGGGTAAACAAAAAAAAACAAACTGATATAAAAAAAAACATATTTATTAATATGCAATTTAGTGGTGCATTTTATCGTAATGTAGTTAAAATTTCTCGCTGTATTACACTTTCTCAATCTAAAGCTACTTTTGGGTTCAATGATAGGTAAACAAAAAAAAAAGGGGGGAAAGAGGGATTTTTCTTTGTTAATGTTTTCTTTTTCTTCGTGTAAATAGCGACAATATTGGTAAGGCACACTTTGTTAGTGTTCAAGCTGCACCTTCATTTTCAAACTCTTTCCCTCAAATTTTTGGTGAAAAGAAGGATATTCCTTGTTTGATTCCTTGTGCTATTGATCAAGATCCCTATTTCCGTTTAACTCGTGATGTTGCAAAGAGATTGAAATATCTTAAGCCATCTCTTATTCATGCAAAGTTCTTCCCTGCTCTTCAAGGCCCTCAAACAAAGATGAGTGCTTCATTAGATACATCAGCTATTTTCATGAGTGATACTCCTAAACAAATTAAGAATAAGATTAATAAGCACGCCTTTTCAGGTGGTGGAGCTACTATTGAAGAACATAGAGCTAACGGTGGTAATCCTGACGTTGATGTTGCTTATCAATACCTTTCTTTCTTTTTGGAAGACGATGAAGAATTGAAAAAGATTCATGATGTAAGTTTTTTAAAAAAAAAAAAAAAAGTATGCATATATGATAAGGATGTGATGTTAACACTCTAGTTTATAGTCATATAAATCAGGCGAATTAATGACAGGCGAATTAAAGAAAATCTGTATTGAAGTTTTACAAAAGTTTGTTGCTGACTTCCAAGAAAGAAAGAGTAAAATCACTGATGAAACAATTGCCTTCTTTATGGATAAGAATAGAAAAATTGATCCCTAAACAAAAAATGAAAAAAAAAAAATAAATAAAATAAAATAGAGACTGTGTAACGTCAGTGCTTACCGAATTAATTTATATGAGTGTGAGGGAGGGAGGGGGGTTGAAAGGAGAGGGAGGGGGGCTGCATTACAACAAAGCGATTTTTATTTTTTATTTTTGTTATTATTATTGGTTTTTTTCTTTTCCTTTAAAAGTTCTAAATGTCCTTAAAAAGATCAAGCACGAGAATCCCTTCAGCCGTCTCTCATCATCGTAATGATAATAGTTCAACTTTAACTATTGATTCCGCAAATGGTAGTAGACAAAGACAAACTAAAAGAGATGAAGTAAATATAAAAAAAGAATAAAACAATACAAGTTGTTAGATAAACAAGTTCTTTTTTATTATTATTCTTATTTAGGCTATTAGAAAAAAGTTAGAAACCGAACTTTCAAAAAAGAAGTCGGGCTCAAAAAGAATTCGTCAGACACGTAAGATAGCGGGTACCGTTTCAGCTCTTCGTCCTGCTCAAGCTTTGACTGTAAAAGATAATATGTTGGTGATTGAAGCGTCTCAGTTAATGGCAGCTAAAAGAAGTGACTGTGTTCTTGTGGTAGATGAAGATGATCATTTGAGTGGTATCTTCACTGCTAAAGATCTTGCATATCGAGTTGTAGCTGAATCCTTGGACGCAAGGTATTGAAAAAAATAAAAAAGGAGAGGGAGAAAGGGAAAGGGAAAGGGGAAATACTAGGATCTATCGATTTTTAAGTCTTTTATTTTTATTTTATTTTTATTTTATTTTATTTATTTATTTTTTTGACTATATCACAGAGATACTACGGTTGCTCATATTATGACAAAGGGTCCTATGTGCGTCACTTCTGATACTTCTGCTACTGATGCTCTTAATTTGATGGTTTCTCGAGGATTTCGTCATTTGGTAACATACAATGATAGTCATCTAGTTCATTATGTTAATCATTCTGTATGTAAATAGCCTGTTTGTAATGAAGAAGGTGATATCTTTGGTTTATTAGATATAACAAAATGTTTGTATGAAGCACTTGATAAAATGGAAAGAGCCTTTGGTTCTTCTCGTAAACTTTATGATGCGTTAGAAGGTGTGGAGAAGGAATGGAGCAATTCACCTATTCAATTAGTTCAATATATGGAAGCATTACGTGATAAAATGGAATGTCCTGATTTAAGTACGGTATTGGATGGTTTACCTCCTGCTGAAGTAAATGTAAAGACAAATGTACGTGATGTTGCACGTATGATGAAAGAATATCGTACAACGGCAGTCTTGGTGGCAGATCGAGAAGGTTTAGCTGGTATCTTTACAACAAAAGATATTGTATTGCGTGTTATTGCTGCAGGTTTAAACCCGGAAAATTGTTCTGTTGTACGTGTCATGACACCACATCCTGATACTGCTTCACCTCAGATGACAATCATGGATGCTTTAAGGAAAATGCATGGTAAAAGGAGAAAAAGAAAAAAAAAAAAAAAAGGGCACGTTTATTTACTTCTTTATTTTTAAGACGGGCATTACCTTAACCTTCCAATCATTGAAGATGGGGATGTGGTTGGCATTGTTGACGTTTTAAAGTTAACTTATGCTACATTAGAACAAATTAACAGTATTCAAGGCAATGATGGTGAAGGTAAAAATGCAAATTATATATCTATATACATTTATATATAATTGTTTACATCTATTGGTTTTTAGGTCCAATGTGGGGCAGATTTTGGGATAGTTTTGGAGTTACAGAAAATCCTGAATCAGGATCACAATTATCAGATCCACTCTCTTCACATAATAGTAATAATATAATTAATCGCGCTATATCTCCTGAGCCTTCAACTTCACTATCTCAACTTCAAGGATTCTCTGAAATCACACCTAATGAATCAGCTAGTATGGTTGCTAACAATGACGATAATCGCTCTTCCATGTCTGAAGACTACAGAATATTATCTAAAGGGGAAGAAGACGTTTTTTCTTTCAAATTCACAACCAGCAAAGGAAGAACACATCGATTTGCATCTACTTATAACAGTTATTCTGCTCTTTTAGACTGTGTACATCAAAAAATAATGACTGAACACATGGCTAATATAAGTGATACTATAGAAGATGCACAATTACCTGTAGAATCATGGCTAAATATTTCTTATTTGGACGATGAAAATGATCAAGTTTTAATTACTTCCGATGCTGATGTATTAGATGCTGTTAAGTTGGCTCGTAAAATGGGACAGGATCGTGTTAAATTATTTATTCATGATAAAACTGAAAAAAAAGAAAATGAAACGATAGTTACAAGCACCAAGATAGAGGAATCTGTTGTCGTTACAGAGCCTATTGAAGTTAGTAGGACGGCAATAATGCCTACTATTGAAATTACAGAAAGCAGCAATCATGCTGAGGATATAAAGCCAAATATGAAGAAGAAGAAAACTATCAAAGTAGATGAAGAAAATAATAAATCAAATAGAAAGAAAGAGACTGAAGCGAATACAGTGGCTGGTATTCCTCAAGAATTAATATTACCAGCAGCAATTGCATTCTTAGGTGTTGTTATTATTGGCGTATTCGCGTTTTCTCGTGTCAATGAAAATCGTCGTTAATAAATTTATTTACAAATAAGTACATTTTTTTATGTATTCTAAGTTTATTGCTTGTTTTCTAATCATTTCTTGCTATTTATTGTCATTATTATCCTTCTTCTTCTTTGGTGGGGGAGGAGTCTTCTTTTTCTTTTTCTTCATTGCTAAAGGATTGACACCTTTTACTTTCCTCTTCTTTGGTTTAGGTTTTTGTTGATGCTCATCTCCTTCATTAGCTAGCACCTTTCTCTTTAGTTGCAAAGTCATTTTATCTACAGGTTGTGTCTTTTCTAGTTCATGCTGTTTCATGACTTGTTTTGACCTATCCGTCATAGGCTCAATGCCTAATCTTTGGTGTTTAACATTAACATAGATGATTGGAACACCCGGTATCTTTCTTAATCTATCCTTTAATTTAGGATTTTGTGTTGCAATAGAAAGGTGATGTTTATTATCGTCGCCTACTGCTTCTCGAATACATTGATAACTAGAAACGGGCTGTTCTTTATGAGAACATTTACGAGTTTCAAATTTTTTAGCTAAAATGTAAGCACTGGTATGATCATGTCCTTTTGATTTTAGTTCATTTAAAATACATTCGGTAACAACTATAGTTAAAGAAAATTAATAAAAACTACTGTATCCACACACATACATATACATATATATATATATATATTACGTAAACGAGTTGGAGCAAACATTAAGCTTGGAAGTGCATCCTTTAAATAAATCTTTCTATCCAAAGCTACCTTGCAAAACTCTCCATCCACTGGAACAAAAAAAAAAAAAAAAAAAAAAAAAAAAAAAAAAAAAAAAAAAAAAAAAAAAAAAAAAAAAGACGTAAATTAGTACAAAGATCTTATATTTAATAGTAATGATATTTACATAGTATTTGATATGGTGGTCTAAATCCAAAACCAATTGAATAAGTATGTACGATCTTTTTATTAGTTCGCGATTCTTTTGTCATTAGTGAAAGAAATCGATAAAAAAAAATATTTTTTTCTTTTTAAAACCAGATGACGTTGATTTATTTTTTTAATGGCTGCTGGTGTCTTAAATTTTTTTTTTCTCCTTTATCGAGTAGGTTCATAAAAAAAAAAAAAAGTTTATAAATTAACAATTTCATATGTATAAGCTATTGTTGTTGATAAAAATACGGATAAATAGAGAAAGTGCAGATAAGAATGATTATATCGAGTGTTTCAGTCGAATTAAGCCAAAATAAAGGCATTTCTCATAATCAAGATTATAGCATAATTGATAGTTTAATTCGGACAAATTAAAAAGGAACAAATTAGGGAAACTGATGAAGAACTTTTTATTATGGAAATGTTTTTATGTTCATCTTTTGATCCTGTTGTACTATTATTGAGCAAGAAAACTCTCAAAAATACTCTGTACCTTTTATCTAGAGAATCCCAGTAGATCTGCTTATCTATTTCTTCCCTAGGAGAATACAAACTTTTAGCCCTATCCAAATTGCTCTCAGCAGTTTACCACATCTTTTAGTGATTATCTATGATAAAGCTTGGGCACAATAGCCTTTATATTAGTGATTTCGACGATTACTGTCTTTTTCTTTTATATGCATATAATTGACGGCATATGCCTTAAATAGTTGAAGATCTTTTATTCTCTTTCCTTTTGAAGCAATTATTGGTTCTTACACTAGCTGAATCTATTTATCTTGCCTGATTTATAACTCAATCTCTAATATCCAACTTGCTTTACACTATAATGTTCACAATATGCATCCCTTTTTTTTTTTGACTATTGAACCCGAAAAAGGCTTCTATCTTTATTTTCGGTCAATTACTCTAGATAGCTGATCAATATACGATCTTGATGAATAGAAAAAGATTATCTATTAGCTGTGCTTAAAACTGGCTTTTTTTGACTTTTTTCTTTTAACGTATTCCATTCATATAGAAGAAATAATATACTCAAGTCTGGCTTTTCATTTTTTTTTTTGATGTATATTATAAATAAATAAAAAAAAAGTGACGTTACAAGTGTCATATTTGATTGGTTATTGTTTGTGTCAATGGGTAAATTTTTACTTTAATCCCCCACTTTTTATTTTATTTTATTTTATTTTCTTCTTTTGCCTTTAAGACAAAAAAACAACTTTTATTTAAATCTCGAATTCAAATAAACAACAAAAGTTAAACTAGAGGAAGAAGGAATAAATTCGAAACTTGTCTTTCTTTTTTCTCTCTCATCATTTTTTTTTTCATTTTTCATTTTTTTTTTTTTTTTTTGCTATTTTCTTATATTTTGTATACCAGAATAGACTTGATTATTATTATTATAATAAAAAGGAGGGGAATAAGTTTAATTATATAATTTCTATTGAGATAAAGATCAGTATGACTATAACATTTAATAACTGGTGGAGACAGTTTGCGTAAGTATAAATAATAATGATGATTTATATAGGTTATTGACTTTTTATTTTTAATTTTTTTTTTTTTTTTTTTTTTTTTTTGCGTGTGTGTATCAGTCAAAGTCATGAAAATTTGAAGCATTCTATTGCAGGCGCTGGCGCTGGCATTGTTTCGTCTATCGTAACATGTCCATTAGATGTAGCAAAGACCCGGTTACAAAATCAAAGTGTTGCTTTACCTGGAGAAAAACTATATAAAGGTACTATAGGTACTTTGAGTAGAATTTGGCAAGAAGAGGGTATTCGTGGGTTATATAGAGGTTTAGGACCAACAATATTAGGCTATCTGCCTACTTGGGCAATTTATTTCACTGCTTATGATTATTGTAAAAATCATTGGGCTGATAGATTAGGTATTTATTGAAGAGTTAAAAAAAAAATGCATGTGAATATCAATAATATTATTTATTTATAGTAGGACATAATAAAGAATGGCTATTGCATATTAGTTCTGCTATGTCGGCGGGAGCAGCATCTACGATATTAACTAACCCTTTGTGGGTAATAAAAACTAGACTTATGGTAATGTGTATACATAAAAATAACAGCTAGGATCAAGACAATTAATTTTTTTTAGACTCAAAGTGAATGGACAGCATATAGATATAAAAATACTTTACATGCATTTATAACAATTGCAGAAGTGGAAGGATTTAGAGGATTTTATAAAGGTTTAGGACCATCACTTTTTGGTATTAGTCATGTTGCTGTTCAGTTTCCTTTATATGAAAAGCTAAAGATTGTATTCAGTATGTATACATAATATATATATACACACATATATACAAAAAAATAAAAAGATAAATTGAACAAGTTATTTTGTTCTTATATAGATGTGGATCATCATGTTTCGTCAGGGTCCTCTGCCATTTTACTAGCTTCGTCACTTTCAAAAATGGCTGCAAGTCTTGCGACATATCCACATGAAGTGATTCGAACTCGTTTACAGAATCAAACAAAAAAACCATACAAATATAAAGGTATTCTGCATGCTATTCGAGTCATGTCCAAAGAAGAAGGTATTCGAGGATTTTATAAAGGTCTATCAACAAATTTAGTTAGAACAGTACCTTCTTCGGCAATGACAATTCTAACATATGAAATGATTGTTAAAAAATTAGATGATTTGAAAAAAAATTAAAAAAGAGAAAAAAAAAAGAAAAGAAAAGATACATAAATATTTATTGTAAATAAATACCCTATTATTATACACAAAATAGGCTTCATTATATATAAACCGTATTCTTTACTTTATTATTATAGGCTGTAGTGGATTAAAAGAAAGAGATTTTATTAGTTGTGTACTGTATATACACTTTTTTTTTTTTTACGTAAGCATGTCAAAGCATACATTTGTAATATACATGTATTTTATATATGTTAGTCATGTGTATCAATTATAATAAAGAGAGCCATAATATAGATTATCTGACAGTTATTTCTTCCATATACATATACTGATATATGTATTTCGCAAAGAGAATGAGTTATAAAGATAAACACACACACACACATTAAGCACTATCTTAATAAAGTGCTGTTCTTATACTGGTAAAGACCCTCTTAGAATGAGTATTAAAAGAACGTATTAATGTTTTTCTTCAGGATATTATTTGCAATTGTAGTAAATAAATAAATAATCACATGATAATATAATTTAAGCACAAATATCCAATACGATATTATTACCCCCAGGGCATTAATAATTAGTTGTCCAACAGTAACATTTAAAGTTGCTCATTGGGTTTGACAGAGAAGATAGATATCCATCCTTCACAAAACCTCATTTGAGCAATAAACTAGAATACCAAATATACGAAATTTACATGAAACTAAAAGAGGAAGGGAGAAAGAGAGAGAGAGAGAAGAAGAAGAAGGCACTTACATGTTAAACATGAATAGACAAAGCTGGGAAAACCTTTTAATAATTGTTTAAAGAGCAATCGATAGAATATTGAGTAAACGACAAACCTTCAATTAATCGCTTCAATTAAATGGCAATCAATAAATATTTTCTTCTGATTTTTTTTTTTTCAGTATTATATAATACTGGAGTAAAATATATTTATTGCTTAATCTTTTTTGCAATGTTGCATAACAGCTAATTATATAACATAAAGAAAATTGGCTTTACTATATTAATTATCTTAAAACTCTTAAAGTTTCTTATAATTTTATAAATATGTATATATATTTATTTGTTTTTGAATAGGAGAAATAATAACAATATATAGGATATATACATTTATATGTTAAAAAATGAATAGTACAAAAGGGAAGTTAATAATATAAATGTCTAAATAATAAAAAAAAGAATGTAAAATTACTATTTACAAAAAAAAAGGAATAATGTAATGAAATTGAATTTGCTTTGATATAAAATTTAAGCTGTCTTTTCAGCATTATATTCAACTACAACTTCCTCTTCATCACTCTTACGTTTGGGAGATGGTTTAATATCACGCTGAATGGCATCTTCTTCAGCATCGCGTGCATCAGCCTTATGATGACAAATCCAGAAGAGAATAGTACAAACAAGCATTGCAATACAAATACCAAGATACATCCAAGTTAGTTTAGGATCTACGGCAACTGAAACCAAGGCAAAACCAAGAATGGAAGCGAAGCAACTAGTAAGCAAGTAAAGAGCCATAACAATAGATTTCATAGATTGAGGAGCCTTTTTATAAGCATATTCCATACCCGTAATAGAAGCAAAAATTTCAGAAATAGCAATCAAAATATAGGAGGGAATTAAATAAGCAGCAGAGATCCAGTTTTCTCTGCCTTCAGGATGGTCATAATAAGGGGGGGATCTATAAATTTTGGCTTGAATACCAGCAGTATATCCCATGGAAGCAGCAGCAAAGAAGAAGCCTAAGGTAATACGAGCAATGGGACGCAAAGGAATATTCAATCTTCTAAGTAAAGGATATAAAAAGTTATCCATAATAGGAATCAAGATAATCAAGGCAATAGGATCGATGTTCTGCATAATATCGTTAGGGACATTACCAGTTATCATAGTGGCAGCCATAGAAACTAAGTTATTAGTCATTTGATTGTAACATAACCAATAAATAGGGAACCAACAGAAGACAACACATGCCTTCAAGGCACGCCTTAATTCATCAACAAAAATATCATCCCAAGTGACTTTAGACATTAACTCAGGATGATCAATAGCCATATTAGAAGGTTTACAAGCTTCAAGGCCACCTTTCACCTTGAAAGAAAGCCAAAAGAGTCTACCGACTTCAATAAAGACAGATCCACGAGGAGGAGATTGAACATATTGTTTACGACCAAGAATAACAATAATAATACAAGGAACAAACATAAGAGTAGGTAACAAATAAGCAGGCCAGAAACCAACATTCTTTTCTAATTCCGTAGTTGCAATAGCAGAGAGGGAACCGACATTAATACTCCAATAAAAGTAATTGAAAATCTTTTGGTATGTAGCTTGAGGAGTAACGATAACGCGTTTACCATTTTTAAGTGTCTTCACATAGGCGGACTTACTACGATATTGCTCAGCAACAAGAGGTGATACATTAGATTTAATACCACCCGTACCAAGACCAATAATAATAATGGCAACTACAAGACCAGGGAAAGCACTGCCATTGGCAATAGCTTTGGGAATAGAGGTGAGAGTAAGGATAATAAGACCAATACAGTAAATGACAGCAAATACAAGGATAGTAATGTATTTACCCCAGAATTGATCAGCGATAATAGCGCCTAACACTGGGGTGATATAACACCAGAATTGGAAAAAGGTAGTTAAAGCAGTAGCTGCTTGTTGACCTCTATTTAGAGCACCTGGTAATTCTGCGGGATCTACAAAATATTAAAAAAAGGAAAATAATACATGTATTAAAAAAAACTGTTTATCGATGTATATATATATATAGCTACTAAATAAGATAATTACATGAAGGAGGAGCAGGATTTTGAATATAATTTTGGAAAGGACCACTCAAACCATTATAAGTGAATCGTTCACAAAATTCAATTAAAATAACTAAAAATGCTGCTTTTGGAATTGTATCAGAAACTTCAGGCAATTCTTTCCACTCTTCTTCTGTCGGTTCGGGGCCGGCTATTTGACTTTCAGCTGTATAAGAATGAGCATCGCTGGTTATATTGTCTTCATAACTTATTGTTGTTGATTCTAATATAGTACTCTTTTTCTCGTCCTCCATAATGGTCGTAGAGAAAGGTATATTTTAATGTATAAACGGAAATGAAATAAGATATAAATTAATTTTTTTAAAGAAAAAAAAAAAAAAAAAAAAAAAGGAGTATAAGGGATTATATATACAAAACAAAATTTTGCTTTTTAGTTCTCCGTTTAGAAAAGATATTATAATGTTTCATTATTTTAAATAAAAAAAACAATTTGTTCTAGTTCTGTTACAGATCAAATTTCATTAAGTGAAAAAAAAAAAAGAAAAAGAAAAAGAAAAAAAACGTGATAATCATTTTGTACTTCAACACTTACAGAGAGCTTAATAGTTGACATGTTACACGAAAATTATACAATAATCGATCAAGTTATCTGTCAAAAAAAACTAAAACTGGGTAAATAATTTATATCCTAAAAATGGGAAACTATTCTAGCAAATCATTTCTCACGCTCTCTTGACCTATGTTGATTATTGTGGGAAATTTATTTCTATTCTGGAAATAAGTTCCAAATAAAGAAATATCAAGGTTTGGAGTCTAACGACTTGCCTAAAATAGATTAACTTATCTTATGCCCTTCCCCCTTTTTACTTTTTGAATTACACTCCGCACTGATACTGATTATAAATAAAAAAACAGCTGATAGACGTAAGGAAGGTTTTATTCTCTACTGCCCGAAACCTTTTTATTAAAAATGATTGGTGAAAAGCATTTATGAATGTCTTATGTATTGTTCGTTATCAGAACACAATTTTAATCCGGATATTAGTTTTTTTTTTTATAATTTAGTTTTTTTTTTTTTTCTTGAGGAAAAACTTGGTTCGAAAAACTTACGGGAATTGCAATCCGTCAAAAGCTACTATGCTTAAAAATCACTGGGTCTTCCCATAATATGTCTTTTTTTCCCGGGAAAAAAAAAAAAGATTATCACAATGAAAGGAATTTATATAATATATAAATTTAATGTTTTATAACTCCATTACGATTGCCTCTTTTAGTGTATACATTGACACATATCCTCGTGAACTTTTTTTTTCTGCTTCTGTTATCACAACAAGTAAATAAAAATAAAAAAAGAAAAAAAAAGGAAAAATGCACATATGAAATCAATAAACATTATATATGATAATCTATTGTATTCTGTCAGGTCAGTAGAAACGCGTTATACGATTTTTGCTAAAAAAGAAATAACATACATTATTAATTGAAAGAAGACTGAATTAAATATAAAATTTATTATTATGTGATAGCTTATTTTTTTCTATTTTTGGTATGTTGAAAAATGCACTGCACAGATATTAGAGATCTAATTCGTTCCATTTACAGAAATAAAACTGTATAGTAGTGATATCATTTTTTTTAATAAAAATCTCCTACCTTTTGCTTCTCCCCCCCCAAAAAAAAAAAAAAAAAAAAAAAAAAAAAAAAAAAAAGATACATTTAATTTATTTTCAACTTTTTAATACTCTGTTGAATCTCTCCAGAAGGCGCTTTATGAAAAAGCAAAATAAAGGAACCAAATATAAGACATAAATACTCCTCCATACTGAAAATAAATAATATAAAAGGTTTCAAGTTCTACATATTACTCTGAATAACAAGGCTCATCTTGATTATATTACAGAGACAAAACAATATATTTCTAATATTGACGCGTTATTATATAAAAGAAGTATAGCCTACCAATAGTAAATAATGATATATTATAAAATACAGTCTTACTTACACAGGTCTAAAATAATATATATTATGTTAATAGTTAAAAAATTATTTTTATATTCAATAAGATACGATGTTTAGTCTTTTATTGAATATTCGTAATTTATATTACAAAGTAAACTATTTAACCATCATTAACTGGTTTATGAAAAATATGCTGAAACTATAATACAATGTATATATCATAAATCTGTTATTTACTACTTTGTTTTAAGGATAAAGAGAAAAAAGAAAAAAGAAAAAAGTTCATTTAATTGTTATGTATTCTTGTTGATTACGATAATATTATATAAACGTATTTAATTTGTATTATATACATTATTTACATAGTAGTAACATCGTTTCTTCTCAAAAGGGACTATATATAGATTAAAGAAAAAACAAACCTGTTAGTAAAGAAGGACGTCTTATAATTTGAACTTATTTTATATTATTATCGTTATCTTGCTTCAAAGCCACACGAAGGACGACGGTAATCACCATAGTATATTTTCATATTATTTTGTATTTTTTTAGAACAGTAAATAGCGTTGTTACTACAATAATATAGTTTATTTAAATATCTGAATAATATAGAATAAAAAAGCCTACATTATTTCTTCAATTGAATATAAACTGTAGATATAGTAACTCACAAAAGGGTTATAATGTTTTTGGTTTTCATAATTTTCCATCTTTTTTTATGTTGCTTTTCTATAGATTTGTTTTACTAATTTTTTTTTCTATACTGCTTCAAAAACTAGATGATTTAAGCTATCCAATGATGCACCTTGAGGTCCCAACTCTATTCGTTTTGTTAATTAGAGTAAACATTCCAATCGCTCATTCCTTCATCTGGGATTTCGCATAATTGAGTCAATTGAAATGGGCTTTTCATATAATAGCTTTTATCTGATTTTTTTTCCCAGTTTTATAACTTTAAATGTTTACTAAGTCATAATAAACTGATTTTAGCAATAAAAACATATTTTTTTTTTCCTCTCTGCGTTAGACTATAATTCTTCAAAGTCATTCACGACATCTCTTCATTTAACTAATTTCTAACATGCATCCAATTCCTTACGACAAAAAAAAAATGATATTTTAGCTAAGCTCAAAGTTAAGAGGTCCCATAGAGCAATTGCAAAAAGTTTAACTATTTCTAACATTACTGTCGGAAGAATTGCTAAGGCTTATGGCATTGCATGTAATAAAAAAAAAAAAACGAACACTCAAGATTAATCTCTAAACATCTTGGTAGATTGATTGTCAGATCGTTCTATACTGGTTATTCTACTGCAACAGTTGAAGCAGTCAGGAGCCTATAAGGTCAAGGTATTGACATTTCAGCTTAGACTACTCATAGATTCCTCAAGATATCTGATTTCGATTCTAAGATCAAGAAAGTTTGTATTACTATCAACTAATGAGCGAAAGTAGAATCAACTGAAATGAGCAAAAGCTTATAAAAGTTGGACGGTTGAAGACTAGAAAAAAATTATTTTCAGCGACGAAACAAAAATAAATCATTTAGGATTGAATGGAAAGCAGTGGGCGTGGGCCAAAAGAGGTGAGCCCCTTAGAGATCATAATGCTAACTATAAATACGAAGGTGGAGGTGTGAGTTTAATATTGTGGAGCTGCTTTACACAACATGATCCTGGCTTTATTACCAAGATATAGGACGGGATGGGCTTGCAATTATTATTGCGAAATACTTGATGGTGACTTTATAAAATCTTTGAAAGATGATGGTTAAAATTGGAGGATGTTTTCCTGTTGAAGGATAACGATCCAAAACATACATCAAAATACATACAAAAATTCTTGGAACTAAGTTAAATAAATGTATTAGATTAGTCCTCCTACTTACAGGATCTGAATCCACTTGAGAACATATGGTTTTATCTCAAGTGCAAGCTTGTTGCTTATGAAACACCCCCAAAAAATATATTGGGGCTGTTATCAAAGCTAAAGGTAATCATACGAAGTATTAAACTGGCCTGTAAATTACCAGAATAAAATATAGAAAGGAACTACACTAATATGTTCTATAAAAGACATTTTCTTTTTCTACTTTATTCAAATTGTATAAATACATATGTTCATAAGTTACCTATTAAAGTTATTGCCAAAACTTTGGAAGGAAGCACTACAGACATGAAAAAAAAATTAAAAAGAAACTCTCCGGCGGGGAATTGAACCCCGGTCTCCCGCGTGACAGGCGGGGATACTCACCACTATACTACCGAAGATCTTGTTATTGAGTCGGTCTTTGATAATCATCATAGTTTGTATAGAAATTCAGCGGTCACGTGACTTGTTAGTTCTCGGGGCTGTTTATATAATTTTTGTATTTTTCTTTCCATCTTTAATAAAAAAAAGAAGCTTCGACATGGTTGTAAGATTTATAGTTTAATTCAATAATATTAATCGTCATAATAGATCATATAGTGCACTTGAATATGTTATTGCTATGATTGTAGTCGTATTTACAACTAAGTTAAAAGAAATAAACTATCATTTATTTAAATAATAAAGAGTTTATTCGAATAAAACCAGTGTATTGTACTTCACAGCATAATATTCATTCTACACTCAGTTTTAATAATAGTCATTGTTAGAGTATTCGAGCATTAAAAATAATTATATACATCGTATTATATAATAATAAGAATTCAATAGATTTATGACTGTTATATTCAATTACATAATTATTGATACAAGTCATACATATTATATATACATCCATAATGTTGTATATTGTTATAGAGGGAATATTCACTGTAAACTAATATTAACGCGTTGCTTATCCCAAAGACAATAATCGTGTATATTTTTAATATCAGCAACAGCTCAGGCAGAAATCTGCATAATGCATGCAGAGTTATTCGGAGATAAAATTTGTGCATATTTGTGCATAAAGGCTTTATTATAGCAGTATTCACTTATCTAAATCACACTCCTATCAATATGACTTACCTTACAAAAACATATAAATAGCACTCGTCATTTTTTCATATTATTTTCTGGTGTACAATTTTTGTATTATTTTATCTTTATTAAAACTATACGAAGTTTTCACAGACTTGTCTTATCTTCTTCCTTATCTTTATACTCAAAACAATAATAAATACTAACTCTACAAAATAATGATAAGAAAAACATAGTGTAAGGAGTTATTAATGATAAAGATACAGTGACTCACAAAACTGTTCACGTTTTCCAAAATTTTACAGATATGCAAAAATTAACATTCAAAGTTAACACAGTAGATTCACATATAATATGTCATTCAAAAGCTTGACATCTGCTTAGTTTATATATAATCATACTATTTTAACTGGATGACTACGGAGTCTAAAATCTGGCTTTCAAATTAACATGTCCGTGTGAACAGTTTTGTGGCCGTGTATTAAAAAATTAAAAAGTCGTTACCACAACTTGGTAATTACCCCATATCGGGCTTATACTCAGCCATAGTTCAGCTTCTTGTTCAGACTTAATTTTATATCATTTTTACTCTATATTACTAGGTTTTAACTTACATATAGAGGTACGTTTATTGAATATGGCTGGAATTACTACAGATCAACGTGATAGTGTTATTTCTCTCTTGAAATCTGGAGCCAGCACCTGAGAAGTAGCTAAAAGGGTTGGAATTAGTCTTGGTGCAGTATCCAAAATTGGAAAACAAAATTGCAATAACAGAGACAAGAATAAAGGCGGAAGGCGCAGTATCTTGTCTACAGCAGATAAAAGGCATTGTGTGCATTTAGTAACCAAAGGGCGTCTAGAAAATGCGGTTCAAGTCCAAAAACAACTGAAAATGGATTATAGCATTGATGTCAGTGTTGAGACTATTCGTCGAGCCCTAAAAGAAGCTGGTTTGGGATCTTTCGAAAAGGAAAAGAAGCCTGCCCTAAGCGATACAAATGCAAAAAAGAGACTTGAATGGTGTCTTGCACATCGCAATTGGACTATAGACGATTGGAAGCGTGAAGTATGGTCTGATGAAACAAAAATAAACAGATTTAATTCTGATGGACGTGTCTGGGTATGGATACGAGACGGTGAGACGCTTCAGCCGCAGCATGTCAAGCAAACACGAAAGCATGGTGGAGGCGGTCTAATGTTTTGGAGCGCCATTACCTACGCAGGTGTAGGTTGGATTTGCAAGGTCGAAGGAACAATGGACCGTTATGTCTATAAAAGCATTTTGGAGGAAGATTTATCATATACTATTCAGCATACATGTGAACAATTGAACCTCAGACGTGACCAAATCATTTTCCAACAAGATAATGACTCAAAGCATACGTCAACTGTAGTCCTAGAATACCTAAATAGACAAGATTATCAGCTTATGGATTGGCCTGCACAGTCTCCTGACTTGAATCCAATCGAAAACATGTGGCGTTTATTAAAGATTCGTCTAAATGAATATGATACGCCTCCAAAAGGCATGAATGAGCTATATGAACGGGTAGTACATATATGGTATAAGGTAATCACTATAGAAGAATGCCGAAAGGTTATTGAAAGTATGCCACATCGTATAGAAGAGTGTATCAAGGCGAAAGGTTACTGGACGAAGTACTGAACCCTCAATTTCTTCATAATTAGCAGTTTCGTTAGGGCCTCACAAAACTGTTCACGCTGTATACTGTAATTTGAAAGCCGGTTCAATAATAATTAATAAATTTTTTCTATCAAACTTTTCTATACATAAAATGTCCGAGTCTTAAGCTCTCTAAAAATATAAGTTTTATATACTGTTGATATATAACATAACTAATAAATGTCACTAATTATGTAAAATTTGCAAATTCGTGAACAGTTTTGTGAGTCACTGTATATGAATTATAGATTATACCTATTAATCATATATATATATTATTATTTAATATTGTCTAAAATACTAACTTATAAATATAATCATATACTATCTATGAGAACTCTATTCTAATTGAATACACTATATAATATAATGAAATTCATTTAAGTAGTACATTGAGAAATGAATATAATATAAAGAAGCTGGTTAGAATATAAATCTATATGTCAAAAATGTCTTTCCTATATCATTCACAAGTATGAACAAACGAGATTTCATTATTCGATTTCAAGAAAAATAACCGGCTAGATCAAACACCAATAATTTAATATTTATTAGATTAATTCTTAATCAGGGCAAAGACTAGAGCTCAAACACAATAACTTTAATTATTCTATGGGAAAATATTCTTCTTTCAAGATATCTTCATTCTGTTCCTGTCGCGAAGTAACCCGTTCTCCACAAGAAATCAATAAGGATCTATTTTGCACTCATCTTTTAGAAATTAAGTTTTAAGTTTTATTTTAAATTTTTTATTGATAATAAAAGTTTTATACAAAGTTTTCACAGATTTATTCTGTCTTATTCTTTTTTTATCTTTATCTTATTGAATTAAGTTATAAATCTTACAACCATGACAACGACCGAATAAGATATGTTATAGATAATGAAGTATTAGAAGTTTTTAATATTGTTTTATGGAGTGAATTAAGAGAGTTTTTCAGGAGGATCTAGATAGAATTCCTTGAATAATTCTATAATCCATGTGTTTAATCAAGAAACATGACATTATAAGTCAGTTCATGATAAGGCCACACGCCTAAAATATATTATCCAAACATAGATATTAATAAATATTTGTATGTATCATCACGAGTTGCACAAGTACTTACAGACCAAAATATGTAAGAACAAAAACTATCGGAACAGTATTTGACTGGATCAAGTTATATTTGAACATCTTTAATTAACAAGAATAAAAATAATTTATACGAACATCTATTGTATTGAATAAATGTTGTGTATTAGGAACCAAGCTTTGATTCGTACTCTTAATTACTTCTATAGTAACCCATAAGCGCACCTTAGATAATGATATTTAAATTTATGGTATAAACTCTTTTCAATAATAAAATGAAAAGATAGTTAGAATTAGTTTTTTTTTTAGCTATCTTTAAATAATCATTTATAGTCTTTTTCTAATTTTTTATTTTGTCTTTATCTTTATTGCTAAGGATACATCACATTTCTTGTATTATTTGTTTTCAAGAAAGATGTGAAATTATGTTTGTTGATTAATTTTCAAAAGCTGAATGGTTTTATGGTAAAAGATAACTATTTTATACCTCACATACATGCTATACTAGACATATCAGATGGTACAACATCTTTTTCAGTTTTTACCAATTCAGTTTATAAGATATCATACTTTACAAAATTCTAAACATTTAAATTAAGGGCCAATGTCTATGAGACTTAGTGAGAGTCTCAGTACTTATTAAAGGCAAATGTATAATAGAGTATAAGGATTTTTAGATAAATTTGTTTGTGTCTTTATATACAATTATATAGTTTATTCAAAAACTGTAAAGTGACATAAAATATACGTATAAAAGACCTTTGATGCATGTAACAGGACCAATCTTCAGGTTGAAGATATTAGAATTTCGATCTTTTTTTTTAAAGGAAAAAAAAATACATATATAAAATATGAATTAAAAAAGGGTAGTTAAAGACTAACAGATGACAATATTAAAAAGATTATCAAGTTGTGTGAGATAAAAAAGTACTCAACTGGCTGAATAATTTTAAGGCTTGTTTATATTTTTTTTTTCTACGATTGCATACTTTTCCCAGACTGTAATTAAGATAATACTTTTAAAAAATACGTTTAAAAGATAAAAGAGTAATTTTTCAAAGAAGATGATGATTTCAAAATATAGTTAAATTATCCTTTTATAAAATTCAATTTGTCTGTCAAACGATATGTTTAGTTTATGGTTGTAATATGTTATTTTCAAACAGTTCACTTCTATAAGATAATAATACGCTTTACCAACATTATAAACTCTTGCCAGCCGTAGCAGAATTTAGAATAAGTAAAAAAACTATAGCTTTATTTTATGGTATACTTTCATGAAGGCTATACCAAAAATCCATCATATATCTTATTTATTAATATACTGGTTGATCCACATACCTATATAAACCACTAGCTTTATGATTTCTCCATGTCATTTTTCTTGTTTACCTACTTACGGGTAACTTATTCTTCAAAGATTGCTTAAGATTGATATTATCTATTATTCCGTTCCTTGTTTCAATTTTATTCTTCTCATTAAAGATGCATATATATGTGTGATGATTAGTTTGTTCAAGTCTCTATCTAATAATAATAACTACACTCTCATTACTTAAGATCATTTAATACTCCATTTATTTTATTATTTCTTTTATTTTTGTACATATTTTACGCATATCAAATACCCCTTAAAAAGATTTTTTTTTTTTTTTTTTTTTTTTTTTTTTTTTTTTTTTTTTTTTTTTTTTTACAAGTACAAAAATTACTCAGATTTTACATTCCTTTTTTTTCTGTTCCTTTATTTTTTATTTTATTTTATTTTATTTTTTTAAAAATTGTACAGTACAATAGATGACAGATTCAGAGAATGCTAAAAATTCTTCGAATGCAATTAATAGTTTGAATTCAAATAATACAAACTCTACAGCTAATAACTATTGTTCAGCAATAAATCAGTTACAAGCTTTATCTATAAAAAATAATTCATCAACAGTTGAGAATGCAACAATCCATAACTCCCGAGAAGAGATTAACTCATTAGTAAGTCTTGATTAGCGTTAATAAATAGCAAAAATATTTTATTTATATATATAAAAAAAGTTTGTAATAGGAAAGTGTTTGTGTTGTAATAGGTAAAACATCGTTATGAAAAGTCTTTTTCGTTGCTCTTTCTAATTTTCTTCTTGGTTATAAAGTGAATTAAAATATCCGTATACTGTTTCTCGCTTCCGATGCCCAGTATGTGATACGATAAATGACCTTAAACCTTATCTTCGTAAGCAATCCTCCACTCAACCACTTACACTTAAACAATTAAAAAAATCAATTTATGAATGCAAACTAAAAGAAAGAGCCAAAAGATCTAAAAATATACCCATTGATGAGAAAGAAAAAGAGAGGATCTATGAACCAATTGAAAAGATAGTAGAGTCAGTATTCAGTAGTTGGGCTTCCTTAAATAATAGCTTTCTTAATGTAAGGACTCCCCTTTTTTTATTATTATTTCTAAATAGCTAACCCATTTTATTTAGGGACAAGAAACAAGCTTAGAACATAGTGGTATTGATATGAATGATACAATAGATGCTTATAGAATTATATTAAGATTAGTATGTATCATTAGTAAATATCATGTGTCTATAATAATGCTTGTCGATTTTTATTAAATAGCCTACTAATGTGATTCGAGCCATGATGTCTGCAATTGATAAGCTATTAAAAAGACCAACTGTTCCATTAAAGAAGGTGTCCGATATTCGATTTCTGATAATTATATTAGAGAATCCTTTATTAGCGCAGCATAATTTTCCTGCAGAAACAAAATATCATCATAATTTATTAAAACGAGTTTTTGGAATTTTAAGTTGTCTCAATAATGATTGTCATTATGGATTAGTTCATTGGTTTTCAAGGTGAAAACAAAACAAAACAAAAGAAACACAATTACATGGAAGCGTTAACTCAACTATAGAAATATTTCTTTTTATTTAGTTATTCTGTAAAAAATTTTCAAGCCAAAATTAATCTCATTCATGCATTCTTAAGCCATCGTATATCGAGGGCAAGACGCAGTAAGCTAGGATTACCTATAGCCTATGAATCAGATTGGAAGACAGTTAGTGCAGCACGAGTGATGGCGTTATTATGTAAGATCCTGTTTTTATGTGCATAACAATCCTTAATATACATACATACATATCTATATACATATATTATTTATAGTTACTAGTAATCATCGATCAAACAAAGTTCATATATCCGAATTTTATAATACTATGGCAGATTGTATCAATTTAATGGGTGACTTTGAATTATGGCAAGCACAGTCTGGAAAGTTTGCCTTTTGTCAATATCCCTTTTTACTCAGCATGGGATCAAAAATGAAAATTGTGGAGTCTGATGCTAAACAACAAATGGAAACTAAATGGAGAGAAGCATTTTTTAATATGATATTTCATCAAAAAGTATCCAATCCCTATCTTGTTCTTCGCGTATCAAGAGATAACTTAATCGATGATTCATTACGACAATTGGCACAAAATGAATTAGATCTGAAGAAATCGTTACGTATCGAATTTATAGGCGAGGACGGTGTCGATGCTGGTGGTTTAAGAAAAGAATGGTTTTTATTGTTAGTAAGATCTTTATTTGATCCTCAGTATGGTATGTTTACATACGATGAGGATTCTAACTTGTGCTGGTTTAATCCATCGAGCTTTGAAACTGAAGACCAATTCTTTCTTGTGGGAGTTGTTCTTGGTCTTGCCATTTACAATTCTACAATCCTTGATATTCATTTACCCTTAGCATGTTATAAAAAATTATTGAATTTACCAGTTAATCTGTCTGATCTTAAAGCATTTCGACCTACTTTAGCAAAAGGTCTTCAGCAATTATTAGATTTTGAAGGTCATGTTGAAGAGGTGTTCTGTAGATCATTTATAGTAGAAATTGAAGCATTTGGTGAACGTCAATGTGTGCCACTTATTCATGGTGGAGATCAAGTAATGGTTACACAAAAGAATAAACAAGAATTCGTTTCGCTTTATGTTGACTTTTTGCTTAATAAAAGTATTAAGCGTCAGTTTGGAGCATTTAAGCGAGGCTTTTATCTTGTGTGTGGTGGTAATGCATTATCTTTATTTCGTCCCGAAGAAATTGAATTACTTATACGAGGTAGTGATGAGCCTTTAGCAATTGACGAACTCAAAGGGCAGACCGATTACATAGGATTTCATGAGAATGAAGAAACTATTGCGTAAGTATAGGAATTAAAAATACCATGGAGAAAGAGTAATTTACTTTTTAACAACAGGAATTTTTGGAGTATTGTAAAGGCTATGAAACCAGAAACACAACGAAAGCTGCTTATGTTTGTTACAGGAAGTGATCGTATACCTGCAACAGGAACAACACAAATGCATCTTCAAATTGTATGTGGAAATAATGGTGATAGTGACAGGTAAATAATAATAATAATAATAATAATAATTGTATAAGCTTTTTTTTTTTTTTTTTTTTTTTTTTTTTTTTTTAATTTAACTAATGTATGTGTTTAATAGATTACCTTCAGCTCATACTTGTTTCAATCAATTAATATTATACAAGTATCATACCAAAGAAAAATTAGAGAAAATGCTATTAACTGCTATTGAAGAAAGTCAAGGATTTTATGTGAAATAATAACCATTCATTTTTATTAAAGTAACTTAATACATATACACAATTATTTTATGTATAAGCAAACATAAAGGGAAGAGTTTTTTTTTTTTTTTTTTTTTTTTTTTTTTTTTTTTGAGTTCTTAATAAATTTATCAAGTCTTTTTTTTTTCGCTCGAGTTAGTTCAGGAGAAAGAGAAGTAACAGTCAAGAAACACTTTTGAAGAATAAAGATTAAAAAAGTGAATGACAGGGACAATTAAGATCGTAAATATGAGAAGTTTTAGTGGAGGAACTAGGTAAATAAAATAATAGTAATAATAGATATTTATCTTATTATAGGTAGTATTGTTTGAGTAATAAAAAAGGTTGCTCACCATCTGATAAACCAGGTTGATACATAATGCTTTTAAACAAAGAAATACTTTGTCTAATATAAATAAATCAAAAAGTCAGCCTTTAATATAGAATCCAAAAATACAATTAAAAGATGCCCCTAAACGATTAATCATTTTTTTTTTTTTTTTTTTTTTTTTTTTTTTTTTTTTTTTTTTTAGAAATCATTGTAAAATATTTATTAATATCTCTTTGTCATTATTGTTCATTTAGTATAACAGCCTATATTTGCAATAATTAACTAACATCGTACATGAAAATATAATTTCTTGTAGGATATACAGAAATGATAACATGGCAATCTATTTAAAGCAGAACTAGTAAAAGATAATATTTAAGAAAAATTGTACAAAATGTGGCATTAAAAAGTGAATAAATAAATAAATAAATAAATAAATATGTATATATTTATTAACAAACACGGTAAACAAAATCTTACATTGTAACAATTTGATTGAAAAAAAAAAAAAAAAAAAAAAAAAAAAAAAAAAAAAAAAAAAAAAAAAAAAAAAACTATGTATTTTTTATTATTAAACTTTTTCATTATGATCTTCTTCATTATCACTTAAAGTAATCGTCTCAGAGTCTGAATCACCCTCATGATACAAAGTTACTAAATAAATATAAATAATACATTAAGATAGTCGCTAAAAAAGCAATGTAGATTATAGATAAATACCTGAATTAAACTTGGAGAATGGATCTACTGAGTAATTATCAATAGTATTCATTGCTTCATCTGCATCTAAATCTAAACTCATGCTACTTCCCTTCTGATAAAAATAATGATTATTCGTTTGCCCCGTTATACCAGGTACAATAGGCGGGGTCATATGTCGTAATAAAGCAAAATTAAGGGATTTGAAAAAATGATGTCCTTTTACTTCTGACGCTCCTGCTCTTGATCCCAGCCTTCTATTTTCTTGTTTCTCTAATAATCGTCGAATTAAATTTTTACAAGAGTTGGAAACAGTCTGTGCTTGTTTTTTTTGTGGTGGTGGAAAGGAAATATCGGACTTGATGATATTTGAAAAAGTTTCATTTCTATTAGCCCCTTTGAATGGTGTAGTGCCGTACTATATACATACATACATATATATATATATAAATATATATTTTCAAAAGTAAAGTTTAATAATAGGGGAATAACAATAAAAATGAAAGATCATCATTATATAGTAAGGAGGAAATGGAATATACTTACAAGCATCTCATAAATTAAAATACCTAGTGTCCACCAATCTACTCCACTTGTATGACCCCAGCCACGGATTACTTCTGGAGCAATATATTCTATATGAAACATAAATATACAAGTTAAAAAAATAAAAGTATTATTTTTAAGCTGGCTTTTTATGCTATACCTTCTGTACCCACAAAACTATTTGTTCTTAAATGTGCTATGCAAGTCTTAGTATCAATTGAAGGTGGCTATAAATAGTATACATTTGAGTAAAATTATAGACATTAAAATTAAAATAAAATTGGATATTACTATATGAGGTGAATTAGATTTGACAATAGCCGGTAATCCAGGTGGAAGTGATTGCTTACTTAGATCAAAATCAGTCAGCATAAGATGTCCACTTTGATGTAATAGTATATCTAAAGATGATGAGAACATATTTAATACATAGCTTTTGATTAATATATTTATCGTAATGGACAATACAATACTTTCAGGCTTCAAATCTCTATAAATGAATCCTTGTAAATGAAGATACTCTAAAGCAAGGATGACTTCCGCTGCATAAAACTTTGCTCCTTCTTCTGGAAGACATTTAGTAGGTCTCGATTGAAGTGCTCTAAAGAATTCACCTCCCAAGCAATATTCCATAACAAAATAAAGATGATCTTGGCTTTGAAATGAATGATAAAGAGAGACAATAAAGGGGTGATTAGCACTTGACAAGATTTCTTGTTCAGCTAACACTCTTTTCACTTTATTTCTTCTCAACATTTCCTTTTTTGAAAGCACTTTCATAGCCATCATTTTATCTGTCTCTTTCTGTTTCACCAAGTAAACTCTACCCACATCCCCTTTCCCAAGCATCCGAATCTTTGAAAAACTGCTAGGTCCAACTTGAACTTCTCTAATTTTAACGCTATTGGTAGCGTATGATCGACGATTAAGATTTTTAGTTAATGATAAAATTTTACGATCTAGAGTATAGAGCGAAGGAGAAGGCTCTTTAATTGTATCATTATCTAATATGGTAGGCGGTATTGCAAGTGCTGACCATTGATGCATGTTACTATTTTTTATTACTGCTGTATCATTGCTAATAATGCTACTGTTACTACTGCTACTTACATTATATCGATGCTTCTTTTTTTTGTTCCCATTTGTTGAAAACCAACTATTACTTTTTAACCCTTTTTGATATTGCAGATCTCCAAAATCATTTGGTAACCCAAATCCAACTATTGTACTTGATAAAGATACTGCAGTTGATGATGAATTATTATTGTTATAGTAATCATTTGATTGATTTTTATTACTGCCATTGTTTGACGAAAAAAATAATTTAAAGCGAGAAAAATGAGGTGTTCCATAAGATGAAGGTGAAGCAATAGTTGTATTCATGACTCTTAAATTATATTCCTTTTTTTTTTTTTTCAAAAAAAAAAAATAAAATAAAATAAAATAAAGGAAAAGAAAAAGAAACTAAAAAAGACAACAAAATCAAAAAAAGTAATTATTCAAATATCTATTTTTTTGGACTCCTTTTTTCTCTTTCATAACAGTATATAAAGCCTTCTGATAAATAAGGGGAACTGTTCAAAAAAAAAAAAAAAAAAAAGGGAGATGAAAGGAGAGAACGTACAAGGGAGAAAAGAACAAATTAAGGACTACTATATAAAGGGATTATATTACACTAAAACTTTGTCATGTCTCCTTAAAAAAAAAAAAGAAACTTACAGTGTAGCATTATAAAAAATGTCAAATATAAATATTTATGCATATAATAAACAACATATTAAAGTTTAATACTTTAATAAAAAAAAAAAAATAATGAGTAGGGTAAACAATAAAAATAAATTATATAAAACAAACAAAATATACATTATGTAATGAATAAGTTTTTAAGATCCAAACCAAGTTTCCCAACTATTTTGAGTTGGTTCAGCAGGATCATCATTATTTAATAAATCAGCTACTTTAGTTACAGCAGAGGGTGCTTCAGGTTGTTGTTGCTGTGCTGCAGGCCTTGTTTGTATAGATGTTGAGGTAGCTGAAGAATAACTTATGTTATTGTTAGGATAAGCAGTCTCAGAAGTGGGTTGTGTTATACGTGTAGATGATGATGATACTGTAGAAGGATAATATCCAGAACCATAATAAGATGTTGAGCTAATTGATTGTTGTGGCTGTTGGGGAGAAGACTTTATTACAGGTTGAGGTTGTATTATAGGTGACGATTGTTCCGCAATAGGGGCGGGGAAAGGAAAGCTTTGAAGAGCTTGAAAATGCGCAGCATTTGAATCAAATGATGGTTCTATTCGTGGCATATCACGTTTTGATTGTTGTTGCTGTTGTTGTCTTGATCGAAAACAATCTACTATTTCTCTTAAATGCAATTTTTCTTCATTATTAACATAAAAATTACGAACTTGAATAGCGGTCTTCGAACCCATTGCACTAGCGACTTTCTCCCAATCTGTACCATAAATACCTAAATAATTAATAAAATCATTACGTTCCAAAACAGACCAGTATGAGGAATAATTAGAACGCTTAGTTTCAGTCAATGTTGCTGTACGACCTAATTTACGACCCCCCGAGCGTATTGCTCCATACTCAGTATCGTGCCCGTTAGATAGAGCTCCTTCTGTTTGTGTAGTTTCAATACGACTTGACGATGAACGAACTCTACGTCTTCTTTGCTGAGGTTGATTAGGTGTAGAGGTGTTATATGGCGTTTGCTGTAACGTCGAAGATGGACTAGCATTGGCAGTATCAGCAGATACAGGTAATGTAAAAGAGTTAGTCATCGAACTATTAACTAAATCACCACTTGAAGCTCTTGTCCGGGAAGATAACACTGTCTGTTTTGGTACCTCGTCTCTAGGTGTGTTAGCTCCCATTTGAAACATACCAACCAAGGCTGCAGCTGCATCTTCTTCTTCGGCTTTTAAGTCGGTACGGCCACCTAAAGCAACTACTTCATTATGTACTGCATTTTGTATAGTCGCGGGTGATGGTATCCGAGGTATTTGTGATACAGAAGGTAATGATGTTGTATTTGTAGGCATTGTTGATGTAGATACCTCAGATTGATGATTATCTTCTTCATTGAAAACATTAGGACCGTATTTGCGTTTAAAGTTATGATAAAAATTACGACATTGTTCTTCAGTTTTAGTTTTTATTAAATTAGAAGCTTGCGTAAAATCACGACCATACTGTTTAAATGCTTCTATAGCCATCTCCTTTTCTTGATCAGACCATTTAGTAGCTCCACTACCTCCTCCACTTGAGACACTTGTACTTGAAGAGATAGCTGCCTTATTATCTACTTCATCTATTGTATCCATTAAATCTTCTGAAAAGCGTTTTGTTGTTGAAGAGTCATTGTTAACAGCTTCAATAGAAGAGATTGTTTCACGATTTACAGCACGACCCTTGCGACGCTGGTGACCAGTACTAGAACCACTATTAGTACGTCGTTTTTCTTGCTGGGGTGGTTGCTGTTGTAGCATCATATTAACATCATCTGAAGCACTGCTAACTGGTGCTGACTGAATAAGGGGAGTTGTGATAGGAGGAACTGATACAGTACTATTAGAGGAGGAGAATACGGGTCGTTTAGATTTTTTCCTTTCCGCTACACTATCCCAATAGGCATTTGCTTGCTCAAGATCACGAAGTTCTTTACTTTTGCGTTCTGCATCCTTTTCCTTAGCTTTTCTTGATACTTGTGCTTCACCAATATCTGTCATTAACGCAGAACCCTTGGTCTTTGTCTTACGAACATTAGAGGGAGCATCACCAGTTACAGCACGAATAGCAGCGGCTATTCTATCTCTATACTTTGTAGCTCTTCCTCTTCTACCTTTCTTCATCAATGCTTTAAAATCAATCTTCTTTTTCTTTCGATAATAGAATAAAACACATTGACAGGCAGTTTTGGTACCAATAGCATTTGAAATACGTTCGAATTGTTTAGGATACATCATATAGGATTCCATAAAGGTGGTTACTTCCTGTTGATTCCACACATCACCTGTATCGGGACCCGTATGATAGTAAGTTAAAGGATCTTTAATAAGCCCACTACGGTCATCATAGACACGCATACGTTCTCGGACATCTAATATCATTGGGGGAATAGTAGCCGTTGTCTTTTTAGAACGTGATTCAGGATTTCTCATTTCAGCTGCTTCAAGTGATTGAATAATTTCAAGCAATTCAGCTTCAGAACGTGCAGCATCAGAAGTGAAATAACCATTACCACCATAAGGAGTTGAGGTGCCATCACTTTTAAAACGCAATGCATCAGGCGCATTGCTCATGAAAATAACGTTATCAACATATTCTTCAGGCTCGTCTCTTCTACGAGAACGATGACTACCATATTTTTCTGCTGCTTTACGTTCATGATTACGCATACGATCTAAAGCTAAATTTTTTTCCTTCCATTGTTCATAAAGCGCTTTATATTCATTTTTTAACATTTTTTCCTTTTTCTTTAATGCAACCTTTTGCGTGCTAAGCGTATGTGCAACACTAATACGAAGCTTTTCAAATCGAGCAATATTTTCTTTATAGCATGGATAATCCTCAATACTAGAATAAATGGGCTTTGACCATTTCTCCTCATCAGACCAATCATCTAAATCCTCCTTCTTTCCTTGCCATTGACCGCTTAGTGTAGATGAATTTTGCTTAGCAATCTTTCTATTATCTTGAAGAATTTTTTCATATAATTCGTCATCTAAATGATCATTCTTTGCACGCAATTGGTTGATGAGTAATTGAGGACGCTTTCGCATAATAGGAGGTGGCTCTTCTGTAAAGTCTATCATATCAGTCGATGCATTTGAGGCGGAAAGTTCATTTTCCATAGCTTGCAATGCTTGTTTCTTGGCTTCTTCTTTATTTTTAGCCTCTCTTTCTTCAGCATTTTCATCTTCATCATCTGCCATTTCAACATCTTCTTCATCACGAACTGCAGTATTAGCTTCTTCCTCACGCTTTAAAGCAACTTCTAATAATTCTTCATATGTACTGATTTGATTTTCAATATCATCAATACGCTCAACGATTTGTTCTTGAGTCAAATTCAGTAGATCATCCTCTTTATTAAGAGAGCTAGAATGAGATTCTGAAGTCGACGTAACTATTTTTGCCTTTTCTTCTGATTGATCAGGTTGTGACGATAACAAATTGTCATTTAAAGGTGGTGGTGGTGCATATGAAACTTGTTCATCTTTAACTGTAATCTCTTCAGCTATTGTTGAACTAATCAAGGGTGATTCATCTTTAGATTTGATTTTTTTAACATCATCCACTTCCATAGGTTCTGGAGACTCTATTTGTTTTATATTGGTATCAACTAATATTGTATTTTTAGATATATCTCCTTCATGATCATCTTTTATTTTTTCCTTTTGTTCAGTTTTTAGCTTTACATCTTCGTTAACAAGCTCACCCTTTTCTAGAGATTCAATTTCAGACTGATTAATAGAAGCTTCTTCCGTCATGGCATTTGTTACCATGGTTGTTGTTGTTATGGAAGCTGGTTTCTCAATCGAAGTCGTTGTTTCTTCTGTTCGTTGTACGATTGAAGGTATCTCTGTATCATTTTTTTTATTATCATATTTTGCTGTGTTATCTGTATTCCTAACTTTAAGAGGGTAGGTAGTAGAAGTAGGTGATGTTTTCCCACTTCGAGATTCAAGATTATTTGATAAAATTCTTTCAGATCTATCACGGTCCAATATTCGTCTATTATCATCCATTTTACTACTTCCCCAGCTCGACCTATTACTACCACTCCTTCCAATACCACGATAACGGTCATAGTCAGATAATGGTCCACTTGAACTATTATTTCGTGAGCTTCTGTAATAATCACGATCATCTAAGCGGTCTCTTTCATAATATGGAATATGTGAGCTGGGTGAGGGAGGCATATCTCGATCTCTATCACGGTCCGGTCTATATGAGTCACCTCCATAAAGAGGCATTTGATAAGTAGATAATAAAGGCGGTGCACCATAACTTGATGACTCATAACGTGAATCACGCATATAACTATATAAAAATAAATAAATAAATAAAACAAATGTTGATTGAGATCAATTATACGTATAAAATAATTGTATTCATTTACCCATCACGGCGTCTATCATATTCACGTCGACGATCATCGTCTCTATACCTTCTATCTCTATCACGGTCTCTATCACGGTCTCTATCACGCCAATCACTATATCGATTAGAAGAGATATAAGAAGATGAGATAGGTGGTGCATCTGAATTTGCAGGTGTTAATTGTAGTTTCCCCTCGTCTTTTATATCTTTAACACTACTTGAACTTGTTGATATTGTCATTTTAGAATCCTTTGAAGGGTCTGCGTTCACTAATATTTATATTTATATATTTAGTTTAATAAAGAAACATATATGTGGATTTCCTCTCTTCGTATTGATAATTCTTACCTTCACGGCGAATAGAATTTATTGGTAATTTCGTATAATCTCGAGACATCATACCCGATGAGGATGAGGAATAATGATGAGAATCATCACGATAATAAGGAGCATAGCGATCATCTCTATCAGAAAATAAAAATGATAAATTTAATAATTTATTTATGATAAATAAATTTCTATATAGTTACCTATCTCTTTCACGTCCACGAGAAGATAAATATCTATCATCTCTCATCACTATAGATCTATCTCTTTCACGATCTCTATCTCGTAAATCCCTATAACTATCTAGATCAGCTGATATACTGCTGCGTGAAGGTCTGTAGTTATAATCGTATCGATATCTGGAACTACTTGAAGGAGGGTGCCTTCCATCGTTATAAGGTGGTGAACGAGATCTTGAAGGTGAACGTGAATGTGTTTCCTGTGAGGATGCTGAGCCTGCAACGCTCATTAAATTGATCAATTATTCTTAAGTTGTTAATTTGGGAAATAATATAATTGCAACAAAAAAAAAAAGGAAAATATGTATGTGCAGTTTTATTTTAACAAAAAAAAAAAAAAAAAAAGCTGACGTCGAATCTAATATTATAATTTTCTATTGGCTTAAATTCAATTATACATCCTTTTCAAAAAAAAAAAAAAAAAAAAAAAAAAAAAAAAAAAAAAAAAAAAAAAACTTATTGTTCATTTAACAGTATAAATTAAACAAACTAAAAATAAAAGTGGGCAATCAAAGAGTTTTTAATTTAAATATTTATTAATAATAATTAGTTACTCATATAAGAGCATTAAAAAAGAACCCAAGTTATTTTACTCTACATTTTGCTTCATGAATATTTTTGTTAGGAGGATTGTCAACGTTATTAAACCCCATTAAAGATAATTATATACTATTTGAAAATGTGAGCAACATTTTGTTTAAACCGATTGCAATCTTTTGATGTGTTTGTTAGTAATACAGATTAAAAATCGAATTAAGTGCAATTTAGAATGCAATTGGAGTAGTATTATTACTCTCCTCTGACTGATATAATAATACTCTAGTAGTAGTACATCATTTTATATACTTTAGAATAAAGACAAGGAAGTATTAAACAAATATTGTACTCTAAACAGAATACCTTTCTTGGGTCTTTATTATGAATAATTACTTTACTTGTACAGACCATCTATACTTTTAATAACTGATCTTATCTTATCCATTTACAGTTAACATATACGCATACTAAAGAATAGCTTACACTCAGATGCATTTACAATTATTATACATATTTTTTTTTTAAAAAAAACCTGAATTCTAAACTGATTTGCTAAAAAAAAAAAAGAAAAAAAAACGAATTTTTTTGTCTGTATCATATCTGGTTAGACTTTTTTATTTTTATCTATTTATTAAATCTTTTTAAGAATGGGATTCTTTGATGAAATAAGATCGCGTAATTTCTCATTTTATGCTCAATGGTAAAATGAAAAAAAACATTGAACTATTTTATTACAATGAAACTAATATAATGCTCGTCTTTACTTCTTCTTTTTTTTTAAGGCTTGGAATCATCTCCATTATTTGTAAAGTATTATGCAACAACATCATTGAACATCTTATTTCTTCTTCATTCTAATACAACTTTTAATAGTATTAATTATTCTTGGTGTGTTCAGTTTAACAAGCAATCTACCTTTTGCGATTATTGGATGGTAATAATTGCTTTTGTTAGAATGAAAACAAGAATATTAACATACCATTTGTAGGATAATAGCTTTTATATTATTTTTTGTTGAAGTACCTTTCTGTACAAAGATTTGCCCTACAAGCCCAAGATTGTAAGACAAACAGATATATTTCTTCTATTTCTAATAATTATCATGTATTATAGTGATGCATTTATTGCTCGATTTGAAAACAGTTATTTCCGTGGTGCAGTTTACATTATGTAAGTAAAAAATTCAACAACAACAAAAAACAAGAATATAATAAAATAAACATTCTTTCTATTTAGTTTTTCTATTGTAATGTTCTTATCGACTACAATCAAGACTACCTTACTCATTATTCCTGCTATTACTTTACTATTTACCTTTATTTCATATGGTACTAATATACAAAAGTAGGCTTATTTTTAGGGGAAATATTAACAAATAATGTATTTTTTTTTGTTTTAGTTATTGCTGCTATAAAGAAACAACCTTATGCAAGTGCTAAAATCTTGGGCGGTACTGGAGTAGATAATGTAGTTTAAACATATATAAAATACAAATTTATTTATTTATGTATGAATATGTACCTTAAAATAATGATCAACAATAATTTTCTTTATTTTTTTTTAAAAAAAAAGAATTATAATTCATCAAATTGACGTGCTAATTCATCCAACTCAGATTTTACACTATTGTATTTATCAGAAAGCTCTTCATAATATTGTTCTTTATCACCTAATTCAATTTCGAGTTGTTGAACTTTACGTTCAGCTTCCTCAGCCTTTAAATCAGCTTCATTATAACTAAATAAATACATTTTCAAGATTAGTATATTCTCATATGTATTTACAAGTATAAACACATGCACACGGTATACGCACACATATACACACACACATATATTTATATACTATGTTCTCCTTATTAAAATTAAATAAATACTTTACTTGGCAGAAATGGTTTGTAACTTTGCTTCAGTTTTATCTAATTGTTCTTCTAAATTCTTTGTACGGATTTGAAGAGATAAAAGCTCATGATCTTTAGAAGTATGCTCAAGTTCAAGTTGCTTGATTTTTGTTTCATATTCTTCAGCGAGAGCATTAGCTTGTTCAGTTTGAGCACGAAGGGTAGCAAGTTTCTTTTTTTATTATTATTATTGAATTAATAGTTAGTAAAAATATATAAAAGATATTTATATCTACAAACCTCTTTAACTCTTTCCATTTTATATATGTAATAAATAAATAAAAAGAGAAGAGAAAAAAGGAAAGAAAAGAAAAAAAGAGGGGGGAAGAAGCTACGTGTTCAAACTAATAATAAAAAAGTGTGTAGTTAGGTGGTAGTAGTAATAAAGGAACGGTGAGGGGGAAAAAAAAAAACTGAAGTTTAAAATAATATTTTTAAATAGCCAATAATTTAAAAGTACCTTAATGTTCTTTGCCTCTTTTAGGAAGAGGGAAATAAAAAAAGTTTATTTATATTGTATCACTCTATTCTCGTGAATGCTTAGCAAACAAAGATTAATTACATATTGAACGCATCACTTCTTGCTCATCAACGAAACTTATCTTTTTACTATTCAAACTGAGAGGGATTTTACTCTTTTTTCCGGGAAAAAAAAAAATCGATTTTACATATGAGCAGTGATTCATTTCATGAACAAAAATCATGCATTTCTCTTCCAGTTTCGTCTGTGCACCTATTTAAATAAAGAAATAAATAAAATGAAACGATTAAAAGTAATGATTAATAATATTTTTGTAAAGGGTCATGTTTATTTCTAATGATTCGATAGTCTGCTTATAGTCAATAAAGTCGTCTAACACTTTGAGTAAGCTTTTAAGCTAGAATATTTTCTTAAGGATAAAGATATTAGTTGCTGTATTTGAGTCTGTAGACTACAATATAGATAAAAGCCAATTCTATGTATAAATAGGATGCATGTTTATTCATTCTTTCTCTCTTTTTTTTTTATCATATCAGGCTGTTTCTTTTATTTTGAATAATAAGGTTAGCTTCTACAATTGTAAATAGCCTACACTCAAACATGTAATTATATAATACAAAAAAAAATCCCTTTATGTTTTAAAGATAGCTTGAATAATTTCTAAAGATACATAAACACATTCTTTTAAATTCCAATAAAATAAATTTGGATTGGTGGGTAAAATAAGATCTGATATGAGAGGGGTAATAAGGGCTGGATGCTCATATGTTTCATGAACTGAGATTGAATCATTAGGATAAACTGTGAAATCATGATATCTTTGGTATTTTTCATTCTCGGATAATATGTATCTTGAACTGGTAACATTATCATGACTGCTATTATCTATATTTACGAAAGAAGTATTCTTCTCTGCTAAATATGGGTATTCTTCATCAACATAATTCACTTGATTGCTCTCAGAAACGATCTGTTCAATTGCTTTAAAAGAGCAATAATTGGAATCTGTTATCGAGATGACGATATCATTATCATCTCCATTATTATTGTTCACATCTGTTACTGCTGCTACACCACCACTGTAACTACTACTACTACTACTACTTACATTACGGTGACTACTAGTATAATCTGTTGCTGTGGCTTCAGACTGGTGCATCGAAATAATAGATTCTCGAATAGACTTCATAATTAGATCATCTTCTTCTTTAGGCGTCTGTATAAAATGTCTTGATAAACAAGCATACCGTCCAGATATCCACCAAGCTCTTAGATAATAAAATTTCCAAATATCGTCCACATACTTCCACCAGCAAAGGAATCCTCGACCCTCTCTTACGCTTGCTTCTTGTGAATCACTCCTTTGCTGAAATCGATTCATGTATGGATGAGTTTTAAAATGTTGAATTAAACAATTCAGTTTTATTTTCACCCAAATGGTAAAGATAATCAAGGGAAGAATCGAAGTCGCTGCAGAGGGGACGCCCTTTAGATAAAGTAACCCCATCATGGTAAATTGAAAGATGAGTAATCCATCTGATGTGTAACGTACAACACGATGATAATGACGAGATCCATTTGTTTCATAACGACGAACGTAGCAATACATGTATTGATGACGATAGACCATAAGTGCAATTGCGAAATAAAAAAATGAAAACAAAAGGATAAGAGGCTGAATCACAGAGTAAGTAACAGCGATCACTAAACATAATATATGATTTGGGTAATAATAATAATAGGAGAAGAACCAAGGTGAATTATATCTTAATCGCATACGAGGTGTACGAGAAAAAATAGGCTGGATAAAGATAAAATGGCCAAATAACTGTGATCCTAGTTGGATTAATTCAATCGCATGTGTCGATGAGTTAAAAAGGATATAATTTAAAAAGAAATTGGCTCCTTGAGGTAGAGCATTAGCAAGAAGTTGGATTAACATGGTTGGCTCATATAATACATCAAGCATTGTAGTAAGGAATGTTGTTCCCAATAAAAATACAATCAATACATTAAAAATAGCAAAGTGATAATAACGTCCTAACACACAGTCTTCTAGTTCCGAATAAGAGATAAAATCTTCCTGTTTTGATATTACTTTTTTTTAAAAAAAAAAAAGAAAAAAAATAAAATAAAGTAGATAATAAATACTAGGCATATAATGTATACCGACTTATAAATTATCCTTTTTTTTTCTTTCTTTCTTTTACCTAGTACTATCCATGGCAAAAGACTCATAAACAAAGTGACTAATAAAGTGGGTAAAATATTCTGTATAAATGACCTTGCTATAAAAGATGAAGTCAAAAAATAACGTAAAAATGGAACATGATTAGATAATGTCTCAATAGATGTTAATCCTAGAATAAATGTAATAGGAAATAGCCAAAATACCGTTAATGACCTAGTAGTTTATAAGCATAAATATAGATTATTATTTATAATTAACACATATATACACACACACGCCCATATATATGTATGTATGTATGTATAGCCCATCATTATGTATTTAAAAATAAAGGGGGATTTTTTTTTTTTTTACCAAACGGCAGCAAAAACAATACATTGCCGAAAAGTACCCATAATTCTGCTTTTTCTTCCTCGTCTTAATAAACTTCTCCATAAAATATCTCTTGGTTCAGGTGCCATACAAGTATCAAATACACCTGGTTTCCACGATGTTACAATTTGGGCACACATATATGCTGAATGAGCTGTTCTATATTATAAAAAAAAAACGAAAAGAAAAGAAAAAAAGAGAGAGAGAGAGAGAGATGATTTTATGAGTGTACTACTACTTTATCACACGAACCATTGTAATATATCGTATTTTTACTTGAATGTCACAAATGCAGAGCCTGTAGGTGTATCATATTTTGAGAATAGATGATTATTATCTCTTAACTGATTGATCTCCTTTCCCAAGTCATCAATTTGTTTCAAGAGAAGTTGAATTCCTTTTATATTACTTTCTAAAGATAATGATATACATTCTTGTTTAATATAAGATAGCCAATCAAACCAAACTACTCTATTGTTCTCTACAAAAGGCAATGGTTTGTCATGATGATGCATCATCGCAATACGAACGATATGTATTAATCTTGATTCTAATTGATCCATCTTTTTATCTCTCCTTTTTAAAGTGGATTGTAATAATTGAATAATTGTATTGGATATGAGCTTTATATCCTCAACTTCACCTATCTTGTTGGCTCCTTCAAAATGTTCCTGCAATGCTACTTGATTTCGTAAATGAGGAGGTATGTGGGTTACCAAGACAGAGCGACTATGTAGACATTCTCCTTTAACAGTCTGTTGCTGTTGTTGCCATAGATCGATATGATGAAGATAATTCACAAACAAGAGCCATAACCAGCAGAGTGTGATACTAAATACAAAGACTACATGAATCCAGACCAGAGAACTTTGATTAGGTATACTGGCAATAGAAAGGCGATGCAATGTAGAATTACTTTGAAAGAAGTAATCTGATGCTGTTATTATTGTAGTAGTATTAGTAGTGTTCTCTGTTTTATGGGATGGAAGTTTGCTGGTCATCATCTCTTCTGAAGATAAGGGAAGAAGGGTAAAAAGAGCGCTTCTACTACTACTAGTAGTAGTAGTAGTATCGTTCCCACTGATAAGATCATGTTTTGAAAGTGGTAGGTTGGATTCATTAGCTACTATTACTTCTTGAGATGCATTGAAGATTAAAGGCGCTAACCAATGAAGTGTAAGAAGAATAGGACAAACTATCATAGACTGTGCCATTAAGAAATGGGTTGTCATGCGCAAGAATCTTATATGCATGGTTGCATCTAATCCTACTTTATTGATAAACTCTATTTCTTCGAGATAAAATGTTGAAGTGACCCATGAAAAGAGATGTGAAGGTTGCTTTGGCATTGCATTTCTATTTCATATTATTTAAATTCTCAAAGTTATATATATTTTTATATATGTATATGTATGTATGTATGTATGTATATTCTTTTTTTTTTTTTTTTTTTTTTTTTACTCTAAAAGTTGAGTGCGAGCTGAAAATAAGTATTTCATGGAGTCTAAGCGTTTACATATTTCAAAAGCTATGATACATGTAAAAGAAACTGCACATGAGATGCCAAAAGTAGTTGATAAACCAAAGAAAGTAGGTACATAATACGCTGTTTCTATAGTGGCCATAATGGCATTATTATTCTATGCTAATTTATAAAAAGAGAAGGACAAGAAGAATAAAAATTGTATACATACATATATATATGTATATGTATATATATATGTATATAAATTTATTCAATTCACTCTTGTCTTTCTCTTCAGAAAAAGAAAAGGGGAAAAAACAATAATAAAGGAGCAAAATAAACAAGGAGATAAGTGAAAAAAAATATATGTATATAATATGCTTCTATCAAAGAACTACCGTATGATTTGTAATGGAATGTTTTATTATTTGTTTACTATATAAGATAATATGATATATGTGTATGTAAATGTATATGTATTTATATTTATGTTGGCTTCAATCAAAATGTTACAAATTTATAGTGTATATATAAATATATATATTTATATATAAAAAGGATAAATAATATACAAGCAATATGACAAAAAAAAAAAAAGGAAGGAAGGAAGGAAGGAAAGAGTATATGTTAAGAGAAAAAAAAATTTTTTTTCCCTCTTCTCTTCTCTCACTCATCCTCCTTCTCTCTCTCTTTATATCTTTAAGAATGAATAAAATATAGATGTATAGGTAGGGTTTTATTTTTGATTCTGCTTTTGGGGCCTCTGAGACGATAAGGATGATGATGAAGGGCGTTGAGGTGATGAAATGAGTTGAGATTGACGTTTTTTCTTTTCCTTTTCAGCAATAACACCAGGAGGCTCAGAGGTGATAAGAACAAGATTACCCCGCCTCTCTTGGGTTATTTGATCCAAGACAGAGACATGATGAACATGACAAGTACCCGGTTCATCAGGAGTACAGACATCAATTCCTTTCACCCAATTATCTTGAAGAATCTTTTGTACACTCCAACGACGACTAGGATCGACTTCGAGTATACTTGTCATAACAGATCGAGATTCTCGAGGGAGCCATTTGATTAATCTGAATTTTTGTTGATTTTGGTTCGTGATAAAGGCTCTAAAGGCAATATCTGAACTCTTTGATATTCTCCAAGGGAATCTATGTATTATCATACATACAAAGATGATACCACATGACCATATATCTGATAACCGTGGATCATATAAGGATTGTGTGTATTGTTCTGGTGCAATATAAGGGTCTGAACCAAAAACACCTAAAATAGTATATATATATATATATTTTAAAAAAAAAATAAGTCCCTGATGATTTTTTATGTAATATACACATATATATGTAAAGACCTTTTGTCATCGTAATTGAATTATCAAATGGATATTTAAATACAGTTGAACAACCAAAATCTATAATTTTAAGTATACCCATATGATCCAAGACAAGGTTATCCAACTTGAGATCTCTATGAGCAATCCCTATTGAATGCAAATAATTGACACCGTTTAATAATTGACGCCAACAACACGCAATTTCTTCTCTAGACATCATACGGCTCATTACGACATTAAACATATCATTAGGTGCATATTCCATAATTTCATAGAAACTAGTTCCATTCTCTTCTTGAATAAGGTCTAAAGCTTCGATAATATTAGGATGTTGAAGAGTAGACCCTATACAGAACTCGGCTGTTACTTTCTTGATATAATCCTTCTCTGTCTCATTAGGGAATCGTTTACGAAATTGTTTCACTGCGTATGTCTTGTTGTGCTGTTTAATTAATCGAACTGATCCACCTGCTCCTTTGCCAATATATCGACCTATATATGAGGCAAATTTTTTTTTTATTATTATTTTTATTTTAGTAATTCAAGGAGAAAACTAAGGCTAAAATGCCGCACATATAAATATATTCCCTCATAATAATGTAATGCATTATATGATGTATGTGCAAATTAAATAATAACAATAATAACTTTTACCCCATTGACCATATTTATTTGAGATATTCTGTTTAAATTGATTTCCATAAAATGGTTCTTCTGAATCAGATGTAACTGGTGATTGAATAAAAAATCTTCTTAAATCAAAGAACGCTATCTCTTTTGAGTTTCGATCTATAGTGTGTTGATGCTGTGTATGAGTAGGTGTGATTGTATGAGGAGAAAGAGAAAGAGGAGGGGGATGATGATGGAAATGGGTTTGAAGATATTGCTGGTTATAAAGTGGTTTCTTGAATATAAATTGAGAAGGTACTGGATTTAAACAAGGGGAGGATCTATTGTTTTGAACTAAAGAAGACCTTGCTGCTGGTGGTGGTGCTGCAGCTGCTACAATTAAAGAAGAGATAGAAGAATTTGTAGAAGATGTACTTGAAGTTGAAGTAACTGAATTTGGCGCTAACTGCTTTACTGCTGTAAAATTCTTTTTATTACTATTATTATTATTACTTGAAGCTACATGTTGTAGTAATTTTGTTAACTCTACATAATCAACAGTTGTAGAGTCATTTGTATGTAAATGGTGAGTCGTTGCGTTTGTATGTGTAACTACAGCAGTAGATAATGTTGGACTAGAAGGAACGGATCCTTCAGGTGTTAATAAAATAGGTGCATTTTGTTGATGTAAAAATAAAAGTGATGGTGGAGAAGTTATTGATTGCTCTTGTATCGCCATCTTATTAAAGTAAATTCTTTTAAAACAAAAAAAAACTAGGAAAGAAAAAAAAAAGAAAAAAAAAAAAAAAAAGAAGAAAAATTGGCCTTATTTAAATACACGTTTTTTTTTTTTTTTTTTTTTTTTTTTTTGTTACTGTATGAAACTCAATATAAAAATCATGAAACTCGTATTTATCTGATGACAATGCGTCACAGGCTTTGTTAATATTATTATAAACATGCTTGTCAAGTATTTATATATTTATATATTTGTGTATACACGTATATATTTTTTTTTTGTTTCAAAGGATGTCTTTCTTTACAATATGAATGCTATTATATATGCGCATTTACATTTATAATATCTCATATCTCCTTTTAAATGTTTGATATCAGTTGATTTCTGACAAAAGAAAAAAACTCTCCTTTTCTTTGTAATAAATAAATTCCATATTTGTATAATCTATATATCATTATTCGTCCCCTTGATCTCTAATAGATTATTTAAAAATCAGTGTTTTTCCGAAGATTACAAACAAATAAAAATATTACATTTATTTCTCTAACATGTCAAAAAAAAAACTATTATTAAAATTAATTTGCTTATATCAATTGAGGCTTTTTTTTTTCCTCCCTATAAACTCGGCAATGTTACTATTCCCACATGTATGATATTCTCACCATTATAAAAAAAAAAAAAAAAATGTCTATAAAGGCTAAAATATATCTTCGAATTTACGTATCATTAAGATACTAGTGAATTAATTATTGCAAAGAATAAATATCTATTATTTTAGTATTAGGAAAGAATAGAGAGAGTGATGAATGAATTGAAGCTTAAAGAAGGATGATGAAACTATTCATACAAAAATATGCGATTGTTATGAAAAAGACAAAGAAAGAGAGAGGCAATAAACTACCTTAAAAGGTATTCAGACTTTGAGTTATAAAGGAAAGAACTACACTTGTATACAAACTGTCCGTTGCATCAATTTACTTGCTATGAATACTTTCTTTCTTTCTCCTTCCCCTCATCTATTAGATGACTTTGATAAAGCCGTTCATAATCGGGTACCTCTTCACTCTATCTTTTTTTTTTTTAATATGTTGAATCAAAGAAGGATAAAAGAGTCCTCATGATATGTTGTTCTGTTATAATATACACACATTATTATAAGAATTTTGTAATATTAAATTTATCAAAGAAGATGAATGAATGATACTATTTGCAAACCTTTTTTGCCGAATAGTAACTTGAGAAGAATATGTCTTGCGAAACTCTAAATAAAGACTCTGATTATTCTTAAAACTCCTGTTGTTGTATAGGTTGAACAATGATTAAGCTTTCAAACTTTCTTGTTTTCTACTACTAACCAACTTGAAATAGGTCTTGTGTCATTTCTTTTCTTATTATGGTAAAACATAATTATCAAAGTAAGCAACTAAAGGAAACAACTTGGGCATTCTTCTTCTTTTCGGGGATAATATGTTTCAAGTAGCATTTAGACCAGGTCAATTCAAAAGAAAAGAAAAAAAAAATAGGAAAAAGTAGCGGACTGTTTTTAATATTTTATAACCTATTTTTTTTTTTTTTTTTTTTTTATAAAAAAAAGATTTCCTTTTCTTTTCTCCAGATTTCAATAATGTTAATAGTAAAAAGATGCAAGACATCACAATGTACATCTATATTCAAACGCTGTTTATCTATTCTTCAGCAGAAAAGACCAGAAAGGGGGGATAAAGTAGTTGTAGCAATGTCAGGAGGGGTTGATTCGAGTGTATCAGCGGCCCTTTTAAAGCAACAGGGTTTTGATGTCCAGGGTATTTATATGCGTAACTGGGATACCTCAGATGAACGTGGTGTGTGTACAAGTCGGGAAGATTGGGAAGATGTTCAAAAGGTATGTCATCATCTCGACATTCCTTGTCAACAAGTTAATTTTGTAAAAGAGTATTGGCAGGATGTATTTGAAAAGACGTTAGAAGACTATGCACATGGATTGACACCGAACCCAGATATTGCTTGTAATAGTTCTATCAAGTTTGGTGCTTTACTAAACAAGATACCTAAGGATGCATGGTTTGCAACAGGGCATTATTGTCGATCAACACCTGAAGGGAAATTACTTCGGGGGCTCGAGAGGAAGAAGGACCAATCCTATTATCTCTCTAATGTACCTGAAGAAGCCATAAGTCGAACGCTCTTCCCTTTAGGTGATTTCACCTCCAAGGCAGCCGTAAAGGACCTTGCACATCAATTAGGATTAGGTGGTATTGCAGCTAAAAAAGAAAGTATGGGTATTTGTTTTGTGGGTCAGCGTAAAAAGTTTGCAGACTTTTTAAAAGAATATATTGATTTACCTCCTGGTCCTGCTATCAATCTTGAAAATGGACAAGTCATTGGAGAACATCAGGGACTTTATGGTTATACGATTGGTCAAGCGTCACGTATTTGCTATCGTTCTGATAAATGGTTTGTGGCAGAAAAGGATATAAAAGAAAATAAGTTGATATGTGTACCTGGCTCAAACCATCCGGCTTTATTTCATATGGGATGTAGAGCGCGTGATTGGAAATGGATTCATCATGCAGCGCCTTCTAAACTTGATATAAATGGTGAAATAGAAGTAGAGGCACAAATTCGATATAGACAATCATCTGAAAAGGCCATTTTATCCATTCAATCCAATAGGCACCCTACTATAATTTTTAAACGTCCTATACGTGCCATTGCACGTGGACAGCAAGTGGTTGTTTGGGATCAAGACTGGTGTTTAGGAGGAGGTGTTATAGAAGAAGTTTTATTTTAATAATAATAATAAAAAAAAATTAAAAGAAAAGATATGTAAATATAAAAACGAATAAAGCAACACCTAAAACTACTTGAGGTGGATAACCTTCAGTAGGACGTGGTTTTTCCAAAGCAGCTAAATGTTGATGCACTGCATCTAAAGGTTGAACTGTAGGTGCTAACTTTCTTGTAGTGGATTGATTGCGTGCACGTAAGCCTTCTTCTTGGTTCTTCAATTCAGTTAATTCTTTTTCAAGTTTTGCGATTTTTTCCAATGCTTTTTTTAACTCGTTATTATCATCTGAAATAGGAGAAGAGGGGGTGGTAAGAGCTGCAGGGGATGCAGTTGCTGGTGACGCAGTTGCTGGTGATGTTGGCGCTGGTGCAGGCGCTGGTGCAGGTGCTGGCGCAGTTGTGGTTGCAGTTGCAGTAGCAGTTGTAGCTGCAATCTCGGGAGCGGGTACAGGAATAGGTGCTGCTGCAGTGGCCATAGTGGTACTAGGTACTGAAGCATCGTTATCACTACTATTAGTAGGAATAGCGGATGATGTAATATTATCGGCATTTGTAACCGGTTCAGGAATAGAAGAAACCTTATAAATGATGAAAATATTAAAACTTATTCATATTATTATACAATCATAATTACTTACTTCTTTAGTTATAGGAGCATAGATATCATTCGTAGTAGAAGGTTGATGTTGTTCAGTAATAAAAACACATTTAATCTTTTGTTGATGTAAACTTGCCTTTCCTTCCGCTTCAACATAACTCCACTATTTATTAACCCAGTTTAACAATCAAACTATTCAATTTTGATAAACTATATACATTACCATACTAGCTATATCTTGATGATTCTGTTCGACTGCTTCAGTAATTGGTGCAGTTTGAACAAGGAATTTATCTTTACATTTGTAATTTGCTGGAAGTTCTTCTTTAAATGGTTGTAGTATAACTAAATGAATTCGTTTATATATAAGTTTATATATATATATATATATATATTATCCTTTATATGTATATATATATATATATATATATTATGTAGTCAGCTTACTTTGAACCTCAATCTCAGAATTAGCCTCAATTCTTCCAGCATTAGGTCGAACACAATATTGTTTAGGCGCAGTAGTCTTTATTTTAAATATAATAGGCTCTGTTCCGGGGTTTCTCACGTAAAGGGATTGTTTACAAATACGCGTAAAAGGACCTAAAATAGAAGTTCATGATGGCTATGTTATTATAGATAGATAGATAGATAGATAGATAGATATTTACTGTGAAATTCTAATTGTTCAGAAGGAGTAATAATAACAGACATTACTATGCTAATTAAAGAAGAAGAAGAATAAGAAAAAAAGAAAAAGATATAAATAAAATAAATAAATAAATAAATATAATAATCAAAAAACGGTAAATGAATCACATGTCTGATAAATACATTTAAACAGACTTCAATTTTAGGAAAAAAAAAAAAAGAAAAATAGAATTTAGTTTCTTAAAGAAGTTCATCATGAAACAAATGAAGAAGAGAAGACATGATATCAAGAATATATTCATATTTGCTTTCACTTATTGCTCGTTATCATTTCTCTTCTTTAATTGTATTATGCATTAATTACTGAAAAAAAAAAGTCTAACCTTGCTCTATATTATATTAAAAAAAAAAAGGTGTCACAAAATTACATAGTAAAGAGTGATGAATTACTAAATTAATAATAATAACTGCTAACAAGAAGTATGGTATTAACAACATTTTTTTACTTTTTCATGTATTATGATGACAGCTTATTATTATTGCCGTCTAGATAATATAAGAGTCATAGTCATGTGATGTTACAATTTAATATGAAAAAGAAGAGATATTAAAACTTCTATAGTGGAAATAATATACACTACTTCTTAGTAACTAATTCTTGTTTTTTTGTACAACATAGAGGAAAACAAAGTCTATTATTAAAGGAATAATGTTTTGTAGAGAAGTATACTTTCTTTTTTTTTTTAGCGTCAATTATTTCTGATGCTAAAAAAAAAATGTCCTAAATATACTTAATAAAACTAGTGAATAAATTACTCAACTTATATACATGTATAAAATAAAAGTCTTTTGATCATTAATGAAGAATTTAAAATGTATGAGGATTTAAATGCTCTTGGAGCGAGAATATAATGAATAATTTGACGCTGATTCATTAGATGATCTTGAATGTTAAAGAAAAAATGTTTCAAGTTTTTTTTTTTTTTTTAACTTATTTACTCACTTTTTTTTTTATCGTATATATTTTTCTCTTCTGTTTATAATATTAATTTATTAAATAAAAGATAGAGGGAGACGAAAGGACATACCTAACATATTGGACATATATACATTAAAGACATTCACTTATAATCTGACTCATTGATCCATTAGCATTTTTACAAATGACAACTCCTGGTGATTATTAAAAAAGAAAAAAAAAAGGGGAGAGAGAGAAATCTATTTGTTATTAAATTAATACATATTTATAATAAAGTTGGTAGCTTTAATGATATTGGAAGATCTGCTAGAGATATTTTAGTAAGGGATTATTCTATTGGTGGCTTTAAACTTGATATTAAAACCACTACTTCTAATGGCTCAGTAAGTGTATCATACTATAACGCGTTTATTATATCTTATATCTTTTTTTTTTTTTTACAAGTCATTTAAAATGAATGGCCATCGCGATAATAAAACGGGTGTAATTGTTGGTAGTATTGAAAGTCGATATACAAATAAAAAGACTGGTTTATCTTTAACTCAAGCTTGGACAAGTTCAAACCATCTTAATAGCAAAATTGAATTAGAAAATAAACTTGCTAGTAAATAGAAGAATAAAATTATAATAATGATGTATTCATCATATAATAATACAACTTATAATAATAGGAGGGTTAAAACTTGAAGCTACCGTCTTTGTTTCTCCTTCTGTTAGAGAAAAGAATATTAGATTGAATACAACTTTTAGACGACCTAATATTTATACAACTACTTCCTTTGATACCTTTAAAGTAATATACATATATCAAATATTTATATTTATATTTATATTTACATATTTATGTTTAGCGTAATTTAGTTGTAAATTCGGCTATTGGTCTTCAAGGCGTCCTTATAGGTGGTGAAGTTGTTTATAATATGAGAGATGCAAAGGTAGATATAAAGTGTATAAGTTTATAAGATAAAATAGAATTAAACTCTATAGTATCATCTTAGATAAATTGCTATAATACAGCAGTTGGTTATTCTACTCGTGATTACGCCATTACAATTCATGCTGCTAACAACTTTTCCAAATACATTGCCTCCTATTATCATCGCTTAGATAAAACTTTACAAGCATCTGGTAAAGTGACTTGGAATAATAATAAAAGTGCAGTTGAAGTTGAAATAGGAGCCAAATATAATCTAGACCCTACTTCATTTATTAAGGGTAAGATAACTAATACAGGTGTTGTTTGCGCATCATTCACTCAATGTATTCGACCTGGTGTTAAAATGAATATGGGTATTGCTATGGATACAACTTGCTGGAATGAAAGTATCAATCCTAAATTTGGAATTGCTTTGACTCTTGAAAATTAATGCTATGGTTATAATAAACAAAAAAAGGATGATTGATATATTACACAATCATTTGTAAACAACCTATAAAAAAAGTAAGATATGTAGTCTAAATTATAAGGAAAATGTATTCTTTTGACAATCGTCTAAAGACATTTACGCACTATCATTCAAGCATACTGTTCTTACATCAGAGCAAATACTATTCCAACTTTTATAGTTTGCATGTGACTTGAAACTATAAATAAATTTTCCCTAATAGATTGAAACAATTAAAAAAAAAAAAAAAAAAAAAAAAAAAAAAAAAAAAAAAAAAAAAAAAAAAAAAAAAAAAAAAACTTTCCAAATAAATAAAGAGAAAGAGAGAGAGATTGTCAAAGTATCGTTATATGCATACGCAAAAAGTAGAAAAGGATCTTGAACTTTTATACAAATTGATGTTTCTATAGTAACTAAATGTTTTAAACCTTTTTTTTATTTATATTTTTTCAAGTCGCATCATCAAAGGAAATTAGTAATTGTTTATCAAACCTTTTCTCCCCTTCCATTGAATCCTTTTCGAATATGTCTACTAACTTTTTAAAGGAACTCTAATTTCCGCGGAAAAAGGGGTTCGAAGGGACCTAGAATTTTGAATCCCAATTGTTAACAATTTTAAATGCTGACATAATAAATAAATTTAAACGGAAATTGTAGTAATAGTGGCTGTTGTAAAACCTTTTTTTTTTTTTTTCATACAAATACAATAAAAGAAGAAGAAAAGGAGACATCCTCTTTAGTTGAAGGATGTACACAATTTTTTTTTGTTATGTACTACTATTACTACTACTGTTTGTATGTGTTAACCAATAGTAATCCATCATTTATTTATTCATTTTTTTTCTCATTCATATATTCTTAATATAAATAAATCAGGGTCAAAATAAAGTTTCAGAATAAATAAACTTATTTATTTTTAAGAATTATGATATGTAATGTATACATATAGATGCATAATAATAGATGGACATGATATATCATCCAAATGTACTAACAATGTGTGCAAGTTGTAATAATCCTGCTTGAGAAGATGAAATAGTATGCTTATCGTCATCTTCTTTATCAATGGTAGTAGCTAATGAGGAAGGAAGAAGAGTTGCCTCCTTTTGTTGTTGTTGTTGTTTTTGTTGTTTTTGTATCGTTTTAAATAATATCACGTTATCTCTTGATGGTAAGCTTGTTGGATGTAATAGTGTAAATGGTAATGATACCTTTGACTTTTTAATGGTTTTCATATTTAGTGGTTCATGTTGATAAAAGGTAATTTCGGGTTGTTGTCTTTGCTCTAACACAGTAGTAGTAGTAGTAGTAGTAGTATTGGTAGTAGTAATAGGGGAAGAGGGTAGTACAAATGATGAAGTATTGTTATAAATAGGATATTGAGTAGTGGGTTTAGTTGGTGTAATATGTATCAGTTTATTTTGGTTAATTGTATCTTTTAACCTATTTAGGTGATTCTGTTGTAATTCTACTATAGAATTTAAAGGTATATTAGGATAATGAACTAGATTAGTTGTAGATGATTTAGTTAATAAAGATTGACGATAATTATTTAAATGCTGATCTATGGTTAAAGGTCTTTCATTCATATAAGGATCTGATCTTATTCTCTGATGAGCATGAAGCTTTGGTCTTGGATGAAGTTCTTCTGTAATAACTCTCTTTTGTGATTTTCTTGATTTTGGTGACATATGCGTACGATAATGTTGCATCATATTATCTTGACGAGAGAAACGGGATAAACACCCTGGGAAAAGACATGGAAAATTTTTTTCTCCTGTATGAATCCTAAAATGTCTTGCTAAATGCCCACTAAATAATAGATGAATTATAAGAATAATATGTATATATTTTCTTTTTTTTTTTTTACCTTGTTGTAAAGCTTTTTGTACATCCTGGTTCTGTACAATGGTATTTTCTTTTTGGATCAAATTGTGTTTGACGTCCAGGTGAAGGTAATGGTGTATGAATAGAAGAAGAAGAAGAACTATCTGTATTGATATTTTCGTCTGATGCAACAGAAGAAGGTGGACTATGGGTTACTGTTGTAGCTATCATCATAGGTTGTGGTTGTATATCATTATTATCATTCAAAAGGTTAATATGACGACCTGATGCATTTGTAACTAAAAAAGCTGTTTCTTTTGTAGTATCATTTATCATTTTATTATAAAACATGAAAGAAAA